TATGTATGGGCATATCATTTGCATCTGAAACAATAACCCATGACCGGCTTTACAGGAGACAGGAGACTATTTATTGCATGCTGCTTGATCAGTATTCTTGTTTCGATATCCAGCCTGGCATACACATATGAGTTTAGGATACATCTAGTGCCATCTCTTCAAGCGAATACACAGGAACCGTATTCAATGCAATCTTCCACTTGATAATCTTATTTAACGTGGTTCCTAGTTGGGATTTTGCTTATCCCTAGCTCAAGGAAAGTCGTGCGACACTGGCTATTCCATCTACCAGGTCGATGGAAGTTCCAGTCATGACGACGATAACAGGTTACACCAGTCGGCACCATGTGAGACATCTGATGCAGGCCATGCCCGAACCTACATGGAGCTGAGTAACGAATCAATGCGGTGATGGCCGCTATTAGGCTGTCGTGTTTTGGTTTCCATATCCCGAACCAAGCCAAGCACAGCCAAGACGTACCGTCGCTATATATTCCACGATATATTGGAGATGCTCTCCAGGCTTCAACGATAACACGACCGTTATTCTCTGCCTCAAATCTATATACGTAACCCACCCAGCTAAGCCAGGATCAGCTGCCAGAAAAGACCAGCCTCTGAACCCTATTACAGCATTTCCTTGTGCAACCAGACTTTGTTGGCGATACGGTTCTTTCACTGGGCCCTTTAAAGACCGGTCCGTGCACGGAAGCTCATCATTGAATCGGCGAGCTTCGTCGGGTGAGAAGTCATTATAGTATTTTGAAAGCCCATTCATTAACAGCCAATATTTTGACTTTTCTCTGACAAGCCCAGCGCCCTTCGACGTAAGTGTGCTGGATCTTCGGCTAAGTAGTTCCTCGATTGGTCGGTCATGTCTTGGATTTTTCTTTGTTAAGCTCGGCAGCATCCACATATCGTATTTGGGGTGCGGGCCACCTGCAAGGTAGTTCCATAGTGCCCGCAGGACTGGCAGCGGGAAAATTGTCCATCTGTTAACCTTATCGCTGAGTCAAAGAATGTCAGCGGTTACCGTTTCGGCCTACGAATTACAACTCAATTTACAAAAGAAACAGAGAACGAATGATGATGGAAGGGAATGAATAGGGAAAGGTGCTATGTACGCCATATGGAGCTTTGAGTTTCCTTACTTTAAATATACTCCTTGAAGAGAGCGCTGCCCCCTTTTGTCAAATAGTCAAAGCATAGCTCATCGGTTCAGGCTCCTATAATTTATGCTATGTATCCATTGAAGATACTTTGGGCTTTGTTTGCGAAGAACCTAATCCTGAATACAGTACATAAAATGTATGTACATGGGCCCCTGGCACGAAGATCCCATTTACATTACGTGGCATCATAACTTTTCCCTTGTGCATCCACATAAAACATATCGTTGACATGGATGATCTCCTTAGAACAGGGGAGACCAGACTCGAGATGATTCATAAAATGGCAGGAGTCAGAATATCTCACGCACATTATGATGCAGGGTAATTATAATCATTCCTCGCAGCCTGTAAAAATAATCAGAAATAAAAGAAAATTAGTTTTGATTAGAATTCAGTAATGAGCCCCCTCCCTCGTCTTGTTGGACTCTCTCTGCTTATTTTTCTTATTGGGGAATTTAAGTTCTCTTGTCAAGCTTTGCGGTCAGCGACAGTTCAAATCTAAACCTTGGCCGCGTCACTAGTAGATACGAGTACGAGTCACGAGCGACCAAAATGGCCACTGTGGCTTCTTCCCCCTCCCCGATCCCCCGATAAACACTCGACACTAAAGAAAGTTATTTCCGAGGTGGCTGCTTGGCTAGAACCACCGTTATGTTTTCTGGGAGGCTCAAGCCGACGGAGCCGCTCATTCCGGTTGCTGCTGAACAAACGAGGAGGAAGAGGAGGGGTGAATGGAGTAATGTACGGCCGTAGAGTGAGTCCACTCGCAAGGACTCCCGTTATTAGTGATTATTAATACTGGCATAATCGGTGGGTGGGGAATCGATCGGATTCCGTGGTCGTGTCAGTTGCCAAATCCCGATAACCAACTGGGGTTTTTAAACAATCGTACAGCTGCCACATTTAAGATTTTTAAACTTCTATTTTGTTGGGTGGCTGCTCGACTATAATTCCTTCTTCTGTACAGGTGTTCGTGATGATAGGTGTCATTCCCGACCGTAGATAAGTTCATCCCTAGGATCGAAAAAACCGGAGTCGCTCTATTTGAACCATGGTCATGACAAGAAGGTTAAATTACGAATAATGTCTGTGTGTTAGAAATAATTACCGCGCATAAAAAAGTGAATTATTTACAGTACATATAAAAAAAAGTAGTGCCTGACTACTACAAGGGCATAATTTAATCAGCGCGACACGCGCAAGGCTGATGAGAACTGTATGCTTCTAAACGAATGAACCTATCTCCATGACTTAATTAAATAACCAATCTATAAGAAATCAGGTGTTGCCTCTCACGGCCTAGTCTAGATGCCAAGCATCAGCGTGGAATCAATCGGCCAGCTGAATATGGACCGGGGTGGGTGCGGCCTCTCTAAGCGAGCATAAAGTTCAGCGCCGGCCTCCTCGTGTCGGATTAAGCTTAAGCTTCGGAGTCCGCGCACTAACCATCTTTTTTTCTTTTGTTTTTATGAATTTTATATTTGAATATTGGAATATTTTTATCTCCTGCGATCAGAGCGCCACCTTCTGAATACATCCGACACAGATCACTTTTACGGGGGTCGTACACTGCGTTTTCTTAGTAAGTGATGTACTTCCGTAGTAGCCTAACCAGTCACATTCTCTCATTTTGGGCGTTTCAAAATTAGAGAAAAAAGAATGATTCGTGTTTACTTTCTTTTGGATCTGGCCCTTCGCACGTCATGCCAGGAATGGGGGATGCCTTGCGAAGGGGTTAAACCAAGGCTCACGAATAACCTTACTGCGCATTTCCCTTCCCTTTTATCCTTCCTTCAACCTTGCCCTTCTCTCCACCTTCTCGCCCCACTTCATCCTTGGGTCAAGCCACCGTAAGCTTAGCCAAGGACTTTCCAAGAACTTCCAAGACTACTCCTAGGTTGGCAACCCTTTCGGACGGCCTCGGCCTGAAGTAGACAAGACAAGATCTCGTGCTTGAATTATGATTTGTCTTGATCGTATCGTCTTGATCAGATCGAGACTCTTAGTATGATAATATCATCATATCTATACGGCGTACTCCGTGATGACTTATTTATAAAGTTGTCAGTCGATCAGCACCTTGACATGATTCTACCAGCGCTAAAGTCGAATTACAGTTTCATTATTACTTATTGTGCAGACTAAAGGGCTTTAATTATATCTGCAAGGTAGTATTTTATCTCCTTAGTACTACTAGTGTCCCTATCCTACTAGGCTCTTAAAGAGTGCACTCTTTATCACGATCCATCATCCAATGTGACTTGTGCCACTGCCACACTGACTTTGCCACAACCATAAAATGGCCAACACTCAAATCCAACTAGCCCTTTTGTCATTTTATGAAACCAGAACCTGGATCCAAGGTTCTCATGCATAAAATAGGAGTCATGGGATAACCTTATGGATTTCAAATCAACCTCTTTCCTTGTCTAGCTTGCATTGTTCGGACTTTGTTACATATTTTTTTTTTTTTTTCTCTAATCTGCTCCCTTTTTGGGCCTTGTTCCCTTCCCAGTTTCCGTGCTCGCTTGATCACATCTTCGATCGTCATTCGCTCCATCTTCAACCTTAGTTGCGTGTCCCCACCTAACCTTGTTTGCGAAGAGGCTATTGTATTACGAGTGGTTTTTTTTTTTTTTTTTTTATGAATTCTTTTCTTCTACATTTTCCTCTTTGATACAAGGCCCCCCATGCGGGAAAATTTAAATTGATTGGATTTAAGCTTCCTATTTAAAGATTTCCATAACCCTGGAAGCCTGAACATACTCTTTTTGTATTATTTAGATACAGGAGTATTAAGTCTTGTATTATGATTAATTATGCTTTAGTCATTTCTCCTTCGGTCGCCCATTCTTGGAATCTCGGCGTTTAGCAACCTCCGTCCGATCTTGGCTCGGTCCCTGCGACTGTGCCTCCCTTATTTAACCTTCTTTTAATGAATCTTCATGGGGTCTGTTCCTTTATAAGGTTCCAAGCACCCCAACTCCCGCGCGAGGCGGTTTCATAAAAAAAAGAAGATTCCTCCTTTCTTCCCTTCCCTGCTCACTCCACATTCCCCTAAGGTCTGAACGGAGTCCTCCGTGTACACTTATAAATTTAATCTCAACTCCTTCGGATCTCGTATCTTCCAAAGTCCGCCGAGACAGTTGAGGGCCTAAACCCACATCCTGCCAACCTTGTGGGGTCCAAAGAAAAAGTCCAAGAGACTAGAGTGAGTCCTGTCTCCCCACTACTGTGCCTCTTTTTCTGTTTTTCTCTCTTCTTTTTGCTGTGTTCCTGTCGGCATTCTTTACGCCCGCTCCAACCCACTTCTTGTTCGCCCCACAACAAATCTCTGCAGGCGCTCAGCCTTTTTTTCCTTCGCTATCCCCATTTTCCAAAACGAAAATAATCAAAATTCAAAAAAAAGGATCCAAAATTACGGCTTACCCTTACCATGTTTGGGTGACGTAAAAAAGCTCGGCCTTTATACTTTTATCCTATTGCTACCCCATACCTTTCTTTTTCCCTGACCTGATATCTTTCTTTATTTCTTTATATGCTTGGGTCTCTCCACCTTATCTCGGTTTGCCTTTTTATACTTCCTTTCTTCTCCTTCTCTTCTTTTCTTCCCCTCCCACAATATACACACATCTCACCGCTCTCAAGCTGGTCATCATCCATCGGGGACATTCCAAAGATTAACTGTCGGCTGCAGATCTTATCTTGTTTCCTCCGATCTCTAACCACAACGCAAGAGTTGACGACACCTTGAGCTGAACTCGTCGACTCATTCGCACTATATTTAAACACTCCCTACCAGGGTGATCGGTGACCTGCGAAGTTTAGATGGAGACATATTACGGCCACGTCCGCACCCCGGCAGACGCTATCATCCTTTTCGAGGCCTGTCGGATTGGTCTGTTGCCGCGAGTACAGCGTCGACTATCAGAGAAGGAGCGTCAATCAATTCGATCAGGATCAGTGTTCGTCTGGGATGAGCGGGAAGCGGGTATGCGACGATGGACCGACGGCAAATCATGGAGTGCGAGTCGGGTTTCTGGCAGCTTTTTGACGTATCGTGAGATGGAAGGCAAGCGAGGCGGCGGTGCCGTGCCCCAGACTTCAGTATCACGACCAGGAAAGACGCCAGAGAGCAGAGGCAGCGACGACGATCGAGGTGATGGAACTGATGAAGGCCCTGACGGATATCGGTATAAGCCTGATGGTCTCATGAAACAATCCTTCAGTATTACTACATCAACTGGCCAGCACCTTCACCTGATCAGCTACTACTCTCGCTCTCACCCGTCCGCTGCCAACCTTCAACAACCCACCACCGACCCAGCTCTCCGTCATGTTCGACCACAAAAAGGTCTGTACCCCGAGTCAACGGTCAACGATCAGCAGAACCTCCCCGTGGTGACTCGCGGTCCAATGCCTGGTGCTGCCGCTTACCCCATCACTCCTCACCCCATGGGTGGTTTCCCTCGCACGAATCCTGGACATGCCCAGGCTTATACCCAACTACACCACCCTTGGCCTCCTACTCCGTTGGCTACTCCGCCGACTATTGCGGTGCCATATCCCGGTGCCTCTTATCTACCACCAGTTGCTGCCGCTGGCGGTCCTCCATATGGACCTCCTCAGCACCAGCCTCCACCCCACATACAGCAATCCTCTCACGGTCTGCCACCTCCGCCTCACGCAATGGCCAGCCCATTCGACCGGCCGGGACACCACGAATCTGCAATGCCACCAGCGGGCCCACCACCAGCCGGAGCACCCGTCTACCAAGGACGATCGCCGCGATCTCTGCACCAGCCACCACCTGAGCAGCGGAGTCCCCGGATATACGGACAGCCAATCTCAGATCCGCGCATGGCCTCGCCGAGAAACCCACCAGGTTCTATTATGCAGCCTAACGGCGTGAGACACAGCCCACAGTTGCCGAAGCAGACCCCACCTACAACAGTACGACAGCTTGGATCTATCGGTACTCCTCCCAAGCCTGAACCGGGTACTGTCCCTGGTATTGGCTCGCTTATGAGCGGCACTTCTCTTGCTCCGATTACTTCAGCTGGTTCTCCTGCCGGTGGGCCTGGAAGCCCACCTGGTGCTCGGCCCTCCGTCACCGTTGACGGACCCCGAGATATTCCCAACGACAAGATTGGGTTCGGAGGGGAGGACGTGCGAGCTTTGCGCCAGTTGGACCGGGTGTTCATCTGATCGCCATACAATCTCAACGCAATCCAGGTTGCCATATATCTACATCAAAAAGACATGGCACTCCACCTCTCACCAAAAGGAGCTATACACGTCTCCACCCGCTCATCCTCGACCCTTCTTCAACCTCGTTTTGCGATTTCCAAATTGATTCTTCGCACACTAGACTGGATGAGTCTATATTTTTACCGGAACCGGGAGTTCTTATTTCATGTGATATCCACCTATGTTTTTTTGCTGGGTTTCGTTTATCATGCTGGTCATTCTTAGCATCTGTTTTCTTTTTGCATGGGTCGGAGGTGGTTATCTGCATTTTCTTCCCTCTTTCTTCTATTCTTGTGATTATATCTTTATAACCTATCGTGTGTGTGATCTGGTCACGGCTTCTTTTGATTTATGGGCCTTGTCATACATATTGTTATGCATTGGGATCGGATCGGTCTACACGGATGGGATACGGTTTTTGGGCTTCGGGTTCTAGCTAGTCTTGTCAATGGACTTGCTTTGTATATCCCTCTTATTCTTTAAATCTTTCCTTGTAGTCATATTGATATCGAAACTGCGCTGCTACGCACAGAAAGCCAGGCAGCAAAAGAAACTTGATCGATGGCTATTTCGAGAAATCTCCAAGGAAGCAGAACAGGAAGGGGGAAGAAGAGGACTCTTATACGCCAACAAAACAAGGCGTAGGGCCTGGCCAAACAACCTTGGAATCTGCCATCAGGAGGGAATCTCCATCAATTGTTTATGAGTTTTCGGTTCATCAGATACTGGCCGAGTAGACAGGACTGGCCCGTTGGTATGTGATTGTACCGCTCAGCACCCTTGACCCAACTACCCCATTGCCATATCCATGAGCCATATGAACTAAGGGCTTAACTCACAGTCCAATCCCTCTGATTACTTGTCTGGCAGCTCTAGCCTCAACGCCCAATCACTAAAGGATTGGTGGGACACACTTTTATGGGTTGTATTCACACTGAAAACTAAAACCAAGGGGACTTTTATCCCTTTTGTTGGAATTTCTATTCTCCATGACTCGACCCAACTATTTGCCAATGGCTCATATTGTTGGTTTGCTTGGTCCTTTGGGTCACCAGAACCTCTAGACCTCAAATGAATCTTTCCTTCCTACATGCATCTCTTTAGGCTGCTTCCTTCTTCCCTTCCTCACACATATGATCATTAAAATTCTCAGACCCTTAGGAACTTATCTCTCTACACCTCTTTGAACGAAAAAAAGGGTTCCCGCTTCCTTCTGCCGCTTACTTTCAACACCGATGACACAACATACAAGCGATCTGAGATGATATATTGAGGAAGAAAAGAAAAAAAAAAAAAAAACCCCAGATAAATAAAACCAAAAGACATCGTGTTCTCAGTCCAGTTTGATATCTACCGCTGCTCACAGCGATTTGCAGTGTCAAGTTCTGCGATAGGTCCTCCTATACTCCACACCAAGCTCAGCCATAGACTCGTCCACATCCCGAAGGCTTTCCCCAAATTTCCGCTTCTCTTTTTGCCTCCTCTCTTCTGCTGACTCGCTCATAGGTCCTGATTCCGATGGTAGAGGTTCCCGCAATGGCCTAATAACAGGCGAATTACTAGGTGCTGGTGGGCAAACTGGTGGAAGTTTTCCATGGGTTTCAACTAGACTGGCTTCATCGACACTGAGCACGCGGGCGATGTTTTCGTTTTGCTTTGCCAAAGAATGTGGTGTCTGACCGAGCGAGTTGGGTATGTCCATGCTTGCATGATAGTCCAGAAGGATCCTGACGGTAGAATCCATTCCACCTGCGATGGCTAGCGATAATGCTGTATTGTCCTGGGCATCTTGGCTGTCTGGATTCGCTCCATGCTCAAGCAACGTGCTGAAAATTTCGTCACAGCCTATCGTTGCCCGAAAGGATCCCGGACTTGTATAAATCTTGGCTGCAAGTATCAGTGCAGTGTCACCATCATTATTCCTGGTATCGACCCAAGCACCCCTTTCGATCAGAAGTTTGACGATTGATGAATATTTAGATCCGGCAGCCAATAACAAGGGTGTGTTGCCATCGTCATCAACACAGTCAACATCGGCCCCATTCTCGAGAAGGACCCTGGCTGATGTCTCGCGGCATGATAATATAGCCTTCATTAAGGGGGTGTGGCCGCGAAGACCTTTCTTGTTGATGTCAGCACCCCTCTCAATCAGAAGTTTGAGGATTGCTGGATTGTCAAATTCAGCTGCTGATAACAAAGGTCTATTGCCAGAGTCATCGACGCAATCAACATCAGCCCCTTTTTCAAGTAGGACTCTCACAGCGTTCTCATTCTTGCGGAGTACGGCCTCCATTAGTGGGGTGCGGCCATGAAGAGGAGATTTCTTGTTGATGTCGGCACCCCCATCAATCAGGATGCTTATGACTTCTTCATCACCATGCCGTGCCGCCTCTACTAAAGGGGTGCTACCAGCAACATTGCAGGAGTTTACCGAGGCACCACTCGCTATCAGGAGGTGGGCGATTTCTCGGTGGCCTCGTTTTACTGCAGACATCAAGGGTGTGCTTCCGTCATGACCGGACCGGGAGTCAGGATTTGCACCAGCAGAAAGTACGAGCTTCACAATAGCCGTGTGTCCTGTGTCTGTAGCTAAAGCGAGAGGCATCCTTCCGGAATTCGTGCCGACCGAATGTGGACTAGCCCCAGCCTCAAGTAATGAAGCAACTGCTGCACCATATCCTTTCTTTATCGCCCAGCATAGAGGGTTATACCCACTAGAGTCCTGGTTGTTTAGTGGGCTGCGCTTCGACACCACCTCGGTCACAAACCGAGTGAGACCAAGTTCTGCCGCCCTGTAAATGATCTCGACAAAGCCCGGTACATATAGTTCGGCAATCCGCTCCAATGATTGAAGCTGCATACTTGGAAAGCGCGCACGTATCTCATCAAAGACAACATGAGCAGGTAGTGCGTAAGAAACATCATTTGATTCAGACCCGGCCACAATTATGCCAGACAGTCCGCCGGAAGAAACATCCACAACCCATGATCCGCAATATCCAGGTACTGTTTTGGGTAGAGTCTCAGCAAGGATTCAAACTCATTCACTTGGGCACCTCAGATATCGTGTACTTACTTGCCTTCATATTCAGGGCCCAGACATCTTGCAATCCAACATTCGGAATGAACAGCCCGCAAGTTGATGGCGAAGCCTTTGTTTGTACTGGATTTACCGGACTCACTGCTGCCCAAAGCTCTCCCTCGGACAACGAATCTCGAGTTATCCACCATGGAACCACAAGCTTGTCGCCCCCGGTAATGAGGTTGATTGGGAGATCAGCTGGTCGAAGTTTGAGAAGAGCCCAGTCCGCGCCATGTGAGAAGTATCTTGGCCTATTCGAATCGGGGATGGCCCCTAGCATTTTTCTTCGGTGAGATCTTGGTTCTTCCACGAAGGCTGCGTCGGTTTCAAGTGTAATATAAGGGGCTTCTTCGGTGTGACTAATGAGTTCTGTCACCTCGCTATCATCGTCACTCATATCGCTTTCATCGTCGTCTGATGATTCATCTTGGGGACGTCCCAGGAATGGATGAGCAACTGTAACGCCAAAAAATTCTCCATCGATTTCGATACTACCTCCCAAGGTAGCCATTTGAGTCGATATGAAATCCCGGCCTCCAACAGCGAAACGCGTCCCACTAATGGCGCAGAGAGGAGAATCGTCATCATCATCATTTTCGTTTCTGGAGGTGCCCATGGTTATTGATATCTTGCTCTCGTAACCATATACCCGGAAGCCCCAGGTCCGGGACAGCTCGCCGTGTCCTTCAATCAGCTTTACAGCATTCTTGGTGACTCTCTTGTTTCCGCAAATGATGATCGCAGCTGGACGTGATGAATGCCACTCTCTGCCAATCATCCAGCAACACACACTGTAAGGTGTCTGCCTTTTGACATTCTTGTAAACCATCCTCGTGTTATCTTGGAGAAGAGGCTTGATCGCCCCGGGGTAGATAGATTTGTTCCATTCGTCTTTCACCAGCGCAATTGGGTCCCAGGCGAATTCATTATTGAATTTCCAGGATCGCGCCTGGTCCACGGATGCTTGCCTGCAATCGAGATCGAGTTTATCCCAGAACGTGGGCTTGAGGGGTGGACTAGGTTGGGACGCGAGATCCAGAAGTCGGCTGAAATGTGTTTGTAGTTGAGTTCGTGTCGTCATTTCCATTTTTGCATGGAGGGCTCCGTACAGCCAGAGATAAGGGGCTATTATTGGGATCTCGCTAACAAGCAAAGGCCAAGAGGAAGAGGTTGTGTTCTCCAAGTGCTGCATTTGCGGCGAGGCAGACTCTCAGCCGCCTTACAACTCATCACGTTCAGCCACTGCGGGGAGCCCGACGAATGGAAATAGGACAATCATGCAGGCGAATGTCACTTTTTCACCCGGGTAGCTTAGACTTTGAGAGTTGAGGGAGCTGCATTGTCGTAGCTTTCTGCTCCTTCTTCGAGTTCTATCCATACGAGGTGGTTTATTGAGCACTCAATCGTGACCGAGAGACATGGTTGGGCCACTGGCGTCCCCTCCGTCTGATCTATGGGCTATTCACCTCAACCAACACACTGAGGATGTGGAAGTAGTTTTGAAAGCTAAGTTACCGCAAAGTCTATGGAACCTTTCCCCAGATGATGCTCAGGAGTCATCAAATGAGTTCTTGGAATACTACCGGGGCCAACTTGTCGGAGTCGAGGCTCACAAACTAAACTTGAAGACTCATAGAGACCTAATTGGTCTGATTGATTTCATCAAGACAAGGGCAGATTTCACTAAACCGGAACTGATTGACTGTCTCGAAACAAGTTGGTCCGATCTCGGTCCACCCATCCCAGCGATTGAGCTTGCACTCCGGGTTTGGCTCTTTTTACCAATGGAGGAATGGGGTAGCAGACAGACACTTGAGCAATATATCCACTCAAAGTTCCCCAGATCGAATTCTTTACCCGATAGCCCACCGATCGCATTGAATTTCAATGCCCTGAATCTCGAGCAGATTGGTGGATTCAACATTGTCTGGACGGAAAGCCTTCAAGATCATCTGTCTCTCAGTATCGACGATACAGAGAAGGAACTGAGGATTTTCCACATTGCCTCCTTTCTCCATGGATACGGAAAGAGTAGAGACCGGTATGAACCTATTCTTCTGCCATTATTCCCTCCATCCACTGATCATTCTCAGGCCCATCTTCCCACCGGGATTCCTTGAGGAAACTGCCCGCACATTGTCACTCCTGATCCCGTCATCAAATTTAAAATGTCAACGATGGATCCGAAAGGCTCGCCGGCAGGACGAAATCGATCTAGAAGCAGCGTATCTGCCTCCCACATCGCGTGATCTTGCCGACTTCCCGTACTGGGGACGTCAGCTCATGGAGCTACGAGATGAATATGAGCGCACAGAACCGACGACAGTGCGGCAATGGATCTTGGATAAGAGGAAGCCGAATCAACGGTATACGTTCTGGATTGCTGTGATTGCACTGTTTCTGGCATTAGTTTTTGGTTTGATTCAATCGGTGACGGGGATCATTCAGGCCATGCACATCAATTGAAGGGAGGGAATGTTTCTGGTTCTTCATACCTCGTTGGTGCCTTTACATGATTGTCTGCTGTGAGATTAGTGTATCTCTGCCTTGAAGATATCTAGAACGCCCTTTTTGGTTAGCCTGTTAGCTTAAACAGCTGTCTTCTCGACAGATTGAGCTTCGGATTAGATACGAGGAGAGCTTTATCAGTCAATTCCATTGTTCTCGAGGATCCGAATGTTTTTCGTCTTTAGATAGGAGATCACTTTTGATACAACCTCTTCACCCACCATACCCCTCCCCTCATCTCAATCTAAAGACAATCAATATACCTAGCTCCGGTAGCTTAATGTTCTCCACCAAATGGCGATGTTGATCCGCGGAATCACGTCTTATCAAACCCGACTTTCGGGTCTCGATAAGGCAATCGGTCACTCTCCCCTGACGGCCCCGCCGAGATGCACCTGCAGCAATTCCGAGGAGATGGTCGTGCCTCTTTTCTTTTCTTTTTCTCCTTCCCAAGAAACAAAGTCAACTAGTCAACAAATCCGCCTTGAACCTCTTCTCTTCCCCCTCCCCCTAGCCGCTAGTTGTCTGCACATTCCTCGTCGGTTCCACAGTACCGGGTCAGGCAGAAGGACATATATAGATATTTTAGATATTTGCCTCCATGGATCCTTGATCGACCCGTCGATCATTGTTAGGAGGCGACTATACTTCACCAATAGACCCCATCAATCGGAGTCTCATCTGTCACTCCCCACGCCCGGAATGCGCCATTTACCTCTTGGAAGAAGGAAAAAGCAAACCGGCCCGAACTGCCCGGCTGGGCAGTGGCACAGAACAACTCATTGTCGGGAAACAAGTTTTAGCTGGGCAATTGCGAGTGGTTTGCTTTTCTGCGCTACTGTTAGTCAAATGGTGGCACGCAAGTCGATGATCACCTATCATCCAGAGTTCGGAATAATGCACCTGCCAACCATAAGTGACACTATTTACATATGAAAGAAACTAAGACATTCCTTAACATCGATAATCAATGCGCCCGTCGCCGATCTTCATGGCTAAAGAAGCGCCTAGAGTCGAATCCGCAGGGTGAATGATTTGCACTTGGTTAGATCTTTCACGCAGGACTTCATGACCCATGGCTCTGGCTCCAAGGACTAGCGTCTAGTCTCGCGATTCTTGCCATTACAATGATGGTTTGCATCATGCTATTGGTCTTCATTCAGTAGTTTATGATCCAATACGAGGGGCAAAATCGGCCGAGGGGATATCAGACAAGAGAATGGCGAGTTGATGGCTCAACTTGGAAATGTGCACGATTATGGTGTGTAGAAAGAAAGGGATGTGCATCCGAGGAGGCGAAATAGATGAGCCACAATCAAATACGTAAAAAAGAGGGCAGGCAGCAGAAAAACACAGCATAGCCATGGGCCTGCGTCTGAGGCTGAAGTATTGATATTGACGGTGGACAATATCGGTCGCTTTGAGCCGCCAGGGGCTATTATATAGAACAATAACAGTCTGTAAATGAAGCATATTCGCTACCGCTACGATCTTGAAACCGTGGCTAGGCTTGCCTAGTTTCATGCATGCAATGCCACTGTAGCGTAGAGCACTTGACTAACGATGTAGGATCCTCCCAATCTAGTAATCCGTCCAGTAGATGAACCAATATACTGGAACTACCACAATCCTTCGATGTCCGCGGAATAAAGATCCCTGGGGCCATCTCCTTGGGATTCTCTTACTTCTCCTACAACGGCAAAAGCCTCATAGGCTGGCAGATGACCAGGACATTGACAGCAACCACCCCAGCCGCCACCACAGAACAAATTCTCCCACCGGCTGGATGGTGGATGAGTGGATGACCCCTCCTCTCCCAGTGCTCCAAAAAAGACACCTTGACCACACTGACCTCACAGCCACGAACGGTCCCGTCACAACCCACTCAGCCCAAAATTGACCCATCATCAAAAAGCTCCGGAAACCGGAGAGGATCGCCGAAGGGCCTCGAGCGGGGTTATTGCAGGCACCAATGTCGCGCGACCTCCGACATCGTGCTCCTCTTCTTTTTTCTGTTCGTTGCTTTCTATTTTTTTTCTTAGTCCTTCTTTTTGGGGGCCATCTTGAGGTGTTGGAAGTGAATTGTGGGACGAGTTCGTGATGACCGAATAGAGCCGACCATCGCCGTTATGACTGGTGGGGGGGCCAGATGGAGAGATGGAGTGTGAGTGGGGACAGGCTGGATCTTGGACGACAAGAGCAAAATCTAACGAGAGATGTACGTTTTAGGGTAGATCGTAATGATCGCCGGGCTCTTGGCGCCCGGGCTCCTGGGGAGTATGGAGAGTATGGAGATGGAGTTTTCTTGTGTATTAGTGTAGAGAATCTCCGTTGTTTAGTCAAATTGTAGATGCAACAAGTTGCTCTCTGCCGTGTCGGTCTTGTGCTCTGCCTGTACAGTGACCATCGTCTGTATTCTCATTGGCACTCGGCAATAATGCTGTGGATTAGAATTGTTGAGCCCGAGAGGATGGACGATGGAGACACATAGTGGAGGTCAGTAGGACTGTTAGTTGCCCCGTTTGATGGGAAATGAAGGCTTTTCTAGTAGATTTCCTGGAAAATCGTCACGCCTCTCGGCGCTTTGAACCCTTCTTGTTCGTCTTTGATCGACGATAGTTCGGCCGTAGGATATTAAGGAGTTTGATCTTCATCGTGTGAGCTTTAGTTTAAAGCCCGAGGTGATGAGCCAACCAGAGGCTGACTGAATGATGCTGGATGGACCCGAAGGTTCCGGCTGGACGCTAAGTTTATACAAATCATACAATGTACATTCATTATTCATGTCAGCGTGAGACTATACTCTAAGGTGACTGGGCAATTGGGTGATGGAAGTATGTACTGTAGTCTGTACTCTACTGTGTCGTCTGCCTACCGTCGTTTCGAGTAACGCTGGCCCCAGCTTTAGCCCTGGATCTGGACCGGGAACCTGGTTCATGCTTGTTCGAGACTGTTGGGCGTCAAGCCTCCTCGTTCCCGCGTTGCGCCCGACTAGGAATTACTGGAAGTACGTGGGATCAGCCAGGGGGGCCCGTTCTGGCCCGCATCGGTCTTCTCCACCTCCACCCTGTGCTGGTCCCAGCCACCCCACTACCTTGTCCTCCCCGTGGAAGGTCAAAGAAGAGCTGACGGGCGGGGAGAAGGGAAGAGAATGGATATGCTTGTGGTTCCCGATCTCTGAACAATCCAATAGAAATGAATCATGAGAGGGCTTAAACCAGGTCAATGCAGGCCAATGGAGAATCATTCATATACGACAAGAGCCATGCTACCAAAGTGCCATACAAAGTGTGTAAACCAACGGAATTCAGCCGACGCTCGGAAAACCTGCTCTTCTCAGAACACGAGGTCATGTGGATCGTCTATTTCGCCCGTTTAGCTCAAAGAGGAACCCGCACGAAGCGCCAGGTACGAAATACTTGCGGCCTGAGACGCTGGTTGGCTAAGAAATGCTGAACTAAACTTGTAGTTTATGACCAAGTCTGCATACTACTAAACCCGGTCAACCATCTCCGCCAATTGGCAGTATTACTTGAAGTGACTTATTAGTGACACCTGTATGGAGGAATTGGGAGTGTAGACTCTGCGTAGCCAAGGTAGGGCTCGGATGCCCCTCGTGAGCTCATGTTCATAGCCTCATACTGCAGTAGGCAGTAGACCCAATATTTAATTTTCTTTTCTTTGTTTGCTTATTTTCCCCTCCTCATCTAGCCTCTTCCCCATGATTTTCCCACAGTTAGCCCCCTTTGTTCAGGAACGCGCGCACACTAGACAACCATGGTGTGCGACCGGTGAAAGACCGAACTGCAGGATGACTCCTCACCTACAGTAGTTTACAGTAGTAGACTCGCGCCGGCGGGCATACCTGGTCGATTCGGCAGCAACCGATGGTTCATCTCCACTCCAAACGGGATGACGCGGGAAGAACCTTCAATTGGGGTCCCATCCTTGGTCGGGCCCCGCCTGGTGCCATTGATTCGAGCTCTCCTGGAATGTATACAGAGTATGTCAAGTACAGAGTATAGTACAGAGGAAACTGTAGCATAACTCAACGAATTAAGTGTATTCTTTGCTGTGATATTATTTACGAAAAATTCGACGTGTGCCCTCCGTGATCGGGGACCAAGTTCTGTACAGTGAAAATGTGACCCCCGCCCTCGCAGCTTACCCCAGGCTCCTTTCATGCTGTTTGACGCGAGGGCTATTATTACAGTAGGCCGTGTGTCTCTCGTTGTTTCGCTCTCTCGGGCGCCAAAATCTGCGACTCATTCCAGTGAACGATGGTTGGTCCAAAAGCTCTGGGCACATTCTGGTTCTTGTCCATGGTGACATCCTTTGGTCGGCCTTGTACCCCGTAGTCCCAGTCCACTAGTCCTCTTAGCGTCAGATCACAGTGCAGGGCGATCTCTCGGAAGCAGAACTTGCTTTAATTTCCTTAACTGTGACCGGACTAGGCCTGGCCCCATCGGATTGCATTAACTCGTTTGACCGTCTTGAATGACCTGACCACTGGACCGGGGGCGTATCAGCCCTGACGTCCAGCCAAAATCTATTCCCGGCCAATCCGACTGTGGCTGTTGGTGGCAACAAGTGGTTTGCCCAAAAGGTTGAGGTAGCCATGATCTTTCCTGTAGCTAAACTACTTGGGCCGGCTGGCGAGGAGCTCCGAGCGTAAGATGGGCTATAACTTATGGGGGGGGGGGGTGTTTATTCCGGTACCTGGGTTCTAAGGCTATTTGACTACTCGGACTAAGTCAGACTAGAAGGCAACTAGCAGGGATCGCCTGCCTGAAACTCTCCCGGGTTTCCACTCTGGGGCATCCGGTCTCAGCTGATGCGCCGCCCAGAGTCAAAATGGATAAACGGGTTGGAATTGTGGGATCTCCGCTCTCTCTTTTCGCCGTAGGCCGCTATTCGGAACAGTCATGCGAGAGACGACAAGGTTTCTCATGTTTGCACAGGGCAGAAGGGAAGAGAGTATAGCGGTCGGCGTGAATAAACCATCATTTACTCCAGACACTAGACTCTGAGGAGGAGATTTCCTGGTAAGTCGTCCGGCAGATCCAGGGTTGAAGAGAAAAAAAAGATGCGTAGAGATGAGGAAGACACTAGGACAGAGCACTGACTGAGTTTGGTGTCCTCCTTGCAATGTATCTTTACTAGGAAGGATCACTCACAATGTACATTCAAGGAAGGTCACTGACCTGTTCCATCACCATCCGCAATACTCCGTCCTCGCAGAAAAGAAACGTCTCGCCACATACCACCCCCCTTAGGATGGTCAGGTCACAAGCTCTTCTCCATACGACGCCCACGGCCCAAGCACTCGGGGACCCCCTCAGCCGTCATCGCTATTTCGGAACTATCGTGGATGGAGCGTATCCAACGCTCTTTTTACCCCGGAAGTCGAGTGACAGCCTGCTGATCTGGGTAATTGAGACCGGTCTCCGGAAAGAGACAAGACACAGAGAGAGAGAAGAAACACAACTGCATCATCGTGTCCCCAATAGGTGGAACCCACAGGGAAATACGTACTCACTCCGAACCTTGTCGATTCCCTGCAGCGGATGTCCGTGCTTGGTAGCTGGAGACGATCTGGCCCACTTACCCCAGATTGTTGGCGTCGTACAAAGGGGAAAACTTGCGTAACAGCATTTCAATCTCGGCGGATCATTCTGTTCTCCAGGAAGCGCTGGGTGGAGGATTGCGCTTAGACCCGATGTCGCTCCCGTGTGGGAGAGTCTGGAGAGTGGATGTTCTGCAAAATGTCACTTCTTTTTGCATTTGCCGCGGCGGAGGACTGGGAGTATTGACCCTATTGACGCTCTCGTGCCGTCCCGGGAGCAGGGAACCAGCGGACCAGAAGCGAAGGTGTAGTAGTCAGAAGGGCCCCCAACTAACTAACTAACCAATAATGTAACACCCGTTATAGGCTGAGCTGGTGGTAAGTGGACTGGTCGGAGAGCCCAGCCGGGGGGTTTTGTTTAGTCTGGAGTCTGTGTATTTTATTTTTATTTTTCCTGCGCCCGTGAAACCTGCCGCGCTTTCCTTGCCCAAAAATTTTCATTAGGGGAAAAAGACCAGAGCAAAGAGGAGACCCTAGTCTTAGTCGATCCTAGTGCCGCCTAGACAAGCTCTTGAGGAGTTGGTCTGGGTAGTTTGGGCAAGTTACCTAACCCAACACTCTCTGTATCCCCTTGGAGGAAGTACCAATTAATTGATGCCGATACTTGCCCAACTAAGCGATAACTGTGGGGGAACAATTGGTGGCTTTCGATTTTCCAGTTATACGATTCATTTTTCTGTAAGTAGGATGGGGATGCGAGGCGCCATTTCGACAAGTATATTTCTTCAAGAATAGTTCTTATAATACTTATAAGGAGTTATAGGTACGAACCGGAATTGCTGGGATGAGGTTCTAGGGTGTCGAAGATGCCTGGTTCTTTCGGGGGCTCGGCCTTTGGGCCTGGCTAGGGCTATTAATATTTTCTCACTATAGGTTGAGTTTGGAGGGAGTAGTCACGGGGAAGGAGAGATATTAATTAGGATATTGGTATAGTAAGTCACATAGCAAATATGATAGAAGAATCCGGGGGAATCCTGAATGCACTATACATATACGATGTGCATTTTTCCCTACTTGAAACTGCATGCTGGATCCAACCCCACGAATTCCAACCGGAGTTTGACATTGCCTGTTCCAGCCGTGTTTTGCTGGGGGTTGCATGACTTTTTCTCCCGTCATACTAGGCCCTTGTCACAGCGGAAGAGCGACCAGATTGAGAGGGGGCCTAGAGAGAGCAGAGCATGGGCCGATATAGTGGATCATCACAGTAGACTGACCATTTGTGTTTGCCCGATTCTTCAGGATGGGCTCATGGCGAGACACCCCCTATGTTCATTACTATTAACTAATGGGAAAAGATGAGAGATTTTTAAACGAGGGAGAAGAAAAAAAGAAAGAGTAGAATACTATGGAACCTAATAACAATCCCTAAGGAAAAAGAAATGATTCAAAGTCCGCGCCCATACTCCCCGTACAGAAGAGGGTCTACGAGGCGAAATTCGATGCCGAACGATCCATATTGCTTTTTCGCACTCTTTTTCCCTAATTTTCTTTTTTTTTCCATATGAATATTCTGATTTTGATTTTGATTATTTTCCATTATTTTCTTCACTGCAAATCAGGGCGTCAGATCCAACATGCTTGGCAGCCTCCCCCGCATGCAAAGTTTAAACCCATTCTATAATGAGAGGTTCGAGGGCCCTAATTCGTATGACCTCAGGCTTTTCCATTACGCATTTCATTCTGTTGTCCAAAATGTCATCCAAGTCGGATTAAACATTCTTATGGGAGCCGCCTCCCCCACACTTTCGTTTCTTTCTAGTCTTCTTCGACTTTTTTCTTCGACGGCTTGACTCTCGTCTGACTACTTACTACTTACAACTATTACTCCTACTACTCCTACTACTCCTACTACTATCTCCAACTTCGACTATTAATACTATTTCCTCCCTTCCTCGGACTTTGGCCCCCTCCACCACCTCCTCTTCCTGCTTCTTACTTCCTTTTCCGATCTGCCACCTGATCGGCCACCAAGTCCGGCCGCTAAAACAAAGTACACTGCGCCCACGCCTGCCAGGAAACCGCTCATAACCGCCTTCTTCCTTCTTGGGTGCCTGGTGGACTAGTATTTTGGTATTTATTACTATACTAGGATCACTCTCCCCCATTCGGACTATACTAGTTGGGTTCTATACTAGTGTCCATCCTGTGGTTTCCCCTCCCCGCCCCGGTTATATTCCCACCCAACCCTCTTTTTCCTTTCCTCCGTCAGCCTTTCCACCACCAGCGCCTGGCCCTACCGGTGCCTTTACCTGTTCTGGCCCATGTTCAATGTTGTCCATGCAGAACTCCCTGTACTTTGCGCGCCCAGAGTTCACCGGGTCCGGTCTACATGACGAGACCTGCTCCGGAAACCCTTCGGATCGTCCCATCCCCACTCTAGCCGACATTACCAACGCTCACTCAACCTCCCACTCCCACTCCCTACGAGCCAGCACCTCCAGCACCAGCACCGGCGCCAGCCCTGATGATACCTCGACGGACTCCCCCGACTGGCCCGGCGACTCGGCCGATCGGTCGCTGGCTGATTTAGATGCGCATTCCACGAATTACCACCTGTCGCATCGACCGGACTCCTCCTCCTCGGCCTTTCTCGATGCGCCACCACGCTTTGACATGGACAACCTACCCAAGGTGGAGGAGTTGGACGACGATATCCAAAGCATTAAACCATCCGAAGTGGGGACAGAGGGGCCAAACGACTCGGCTGCGCCCGTCGCGGTTCCACGGAAACGTGGTCGTCCACGCAAACACCCGCTTCCTGCACCGGGCGGCCAGGTAAAAGTCACAAAGGGTCGCTCCAAGACCGGCTGTATAACCTGCCGCCGCAGGAAGAAGAAGTGCGATGAAACCAAGCCAGCGTAAGTGGTTACCCTGGACTTTCCCCCTAACAGTCCAGGAATTTTTGCCCCCTTCCTGGTCGCGCTCATTCGGAATCGCCGATGTTATGGTATGATGTTGACCTGGTCGCAGGTGTCTCAACTGTCAAAAGAATGCGGTTGTCTGCGAGGGATATCCCCCAAAGGAGATTTGGAAGAGTGGTCGTCAAAAAATGGCCGATGGTATGTGATCCCCGCAATTCGAAATGCGGAATTTCAAATTTTGGGTTTCCCCATTTCAATCTTGACTTGGTCGGTGCATGCATTTCAATCTGACACATCCCCCCTCATCTAGCGGTCCGCACCCAGTCCCTTACATCCGTTCCTCGTAACCTCCCCCTCCTCATTGATGGCATCGAAACCGAGATCGATCGTCGTTTCCTCGATCACTTCGTCTACGGATTCAGCCGGGTTCTGACCCTCATCAACGATGACTCGAATCCCTTCAAGGAGATCCTTCTGCCGATGGCCACGCAACATCGAGGGCTGATGCATTCGCTCATGTGCTTGTCTGGGTCACATTTGTCTGGTTTGGATCCCGAGCCCAAACTGAAAGAGCGCAAATACTTCCACTTCCATCGTGCGATTCAAGATCTTAAGGACAACATTACCGCGACGTCATCTCAGACTGCAAGCGCCAGCACGGGCACGGGCACGGATCAGGATCAGGATCAACAATTACTTGTCGAGGACCCGATCATCGCATCGACGATCGCTCTCAGCCTCAACACGATCTGCGAAGGCGAGACCAACGGCGAGTATCGCCCTCACATGGATGCCGCGCGGTACTTGTTACTCTCGCAGCAGCCCCGAAATGAGAAGTTCCGCCAATTCATCGTCGAATTTTTCCAGTATCACGACATCTCGAATGCCCTCACATCTCTGGACCGTCGCCCCTCGCTTATGCAGGGTGGCCTGCGCCTACCCGACTTTGTGCCTGGGGCCCAGGCTGGCAATTTCCTTGGTGTGTTTGATGGTCTCTTCAACTACATCTCTGAAATCACCCAGTTGCGAGACAGGATTCGCCAGAGGTTTAACGAGGGTTACGAGCCTGCTGTCGATTATCAAACCCTCAGTGAAGCCGTCCAGATCGACACGGCGATTCGGTCATGGAAGACATCACATGAGGAGGAATCCCCGAACTGGTACTTGGCTCAACTATATCGGCAATCAACATGGGTCTACCTCTACCGGACGATCCGGCCCTCGCGACCGAGCGATAAGATCTCCCAAGTGGTCGACGACGGTCTAGGCTACCTGGATCAGCTACCCCAAGATGCGGGTGCCTACAGTATCGTCTTGATGCCACTCTTCTTGCTGGGATGCTCAGCCTTCATACCGCAACAGCGCGAGCGGATCCAACGTGGTTTCGAAACCCTCAAATCCTATTCCAACCTCCGCAACATTGAACCTGCTTTCAAGGTTGTCTCGCGAGTATGGGAGATTATGGACACCAAAATTGAGGACAGTTGGGACTGGGAGAAGATCATCAGTGACATGAACATGGATTTCTTGATCACTTGAGATCTTTCTTCATATTCCCTCGCCTCCAGCCTACAACCTATTTTACCTCTATGCCCTTGATGTTGATACCCCCTGCTCACGTTTTTCTTGGTTACGCTTTCTTTTCCTCTTGACCTGTTCACACTCATCACATTTGGGCTTACAATCCCGTTGGACTATGTGAATATTGGACTTTAAGCATAACGGTTGTTTCTTCCATGGAGGCTGTACTAATGATGTGTGGCGTTTTCTGCTCGGTTCTGTTTCTGTGATATCTTTTTGTTTCTGTTCTCTATTAACCATGCATCTGCATTTTTGGAAAGGCGGAGGGCATAGGAGGCCCAGCTGTTCTGAGTTTTTTTTTGTTTCTTCTGTTCTGATGGCTGGCGAATTGCAACCCGTGCGGGGACCCCGCAGTAAGGGGGGAATGTGGAGGAGTGCATGATACGAGCGAGCGATGCACACAAGAGGGTAACGGTCAAGTCAAATCTTGACCGCTTGATCTGACCTTTCTTCTTCTCCGCCTTTTTGTGGAGAGAAACGTGTACGTTTTTCTGTACATTTTCCTCCCCTGTCTGTACTGGGGTCATACACAAAGTCAAAAAGCAAAAGCCGAAAAAAAGCACTATGGTGTTCTAGTTCTTGGGGAGGTTGAAAAATTTGAGGTATTAATCATGAGATATAGCCCATTCAGCTATCATCTCATCCTTAACGACAGGGGCGTTTTGTTTCTCCCTTGATGTGTTGATTGATGGGATGTGGTATTCTTGAATATGCCTTTTTTTTTCATGGATTGTGTGCGTTGTATATATCCCTTAGCTTTCTGCTGTGTATGTATTTGCCTGCAATTGGAAGCTGTGAATCCTCTGTATATTATGTCAAATGCAAAATTATGACTCTTTTTCTGATGCGGGGATTCTGTTGTCGTTGAGTTTGAGTTTGAGTTTGAAGTCTACCTTTTGGGTTAGGAAGGAAAGTCTGCTTCACCTTTAATCAAGTACCTAATGAGGTTAGCTTCGAGGCTGGGAGGGGTGGTGAGGTGTACTTGAAGTTCTATCGACTCCATCTGCACAGGCGGCCAATGTCTTTATAGAGGCTCTGAGAACGATGGTTCTCATCCGCACACGGCTATACTTGCCCAGTACTGTGGATCTACGCTATTCCCATATAACTAACCCAGAATCAGACGCACTGGTTTATTCTGTCCGAGTTTTTTAGTGTCTTGGTGATGCAGCATCGATTATGAATGACTTGTAGATGTAACTCTGACGGCTACTTGTAGATTCAAGATGGACACTTCATCAAATAACAGGGTTATTGATTCCAGACGAGAATATCTCATATTTGCGCTCAAACATTGCAGATCTCACACAAATTACAAATTCCATCCTCTATTGCTCTTTGATGGCCCAGAATATGCAGTTCAATCCTCTGTAACCGAGAGATATCTGGTAATGGCACCGACTGGTGATCTCATTAGGACGCGGACATAACATATGGGTCACATGCCAATAACTACACATGTCTACCAAACAATCTTGCCCATGGAACTAACTGAACCGATTAGGATGCGGGCCAATCTTTTGAAGTCGCCTAAAGTTGATAATAGTGTCACACCTACGACGATATCGACCTTCAACCCCGAGACACTCGTTTTTCTCTCCACACCCCCAGACAACATCAACATCGTGTCTCTACAACATCACTCTCTTCATCAACCATGGAGTTGGTCTACACTGAACCAGTCCCTCGCGCCTTGAAGCTCAAGATCACGCCTCTGAAAGGGGAACAGCAATCCTGCCCACCAGTTGTGAACGGCGGACGGCAAATGCGTCGAATTGACAGTACGTGCATCCACCTCTCTCCCCTCCTCTTCCTCAAAACCACCCTTCTCACAACTCTATCAGAAACAACCTCCGACGCCTGGGGCCCCCCAGTCTTCGCCAACCGCCGCGCCTCAATCGAACCCAGAATAACCGCCCAAAACGAAGACATGTTCCGCACCTTCCATCCAGCCCTCCGCTCCGAACCCGAAGTCTTCACTCTAACCCGCAAAGCCACCAACCACCCCGTCTGGCTCGTGTTCCCCCGAAAAGGCGACAGCGGACCCTTCACGCACGTCGGCGGTAGAGCAGTACACACCCAACCGTACTTTGAGACGCCCACCGAGCATGGGATGAAATATGCGATGACGAGGGAGGATCCGATTCCGCGTGCTATTGACGTGAATGAGACTTTGTCGGGGGAGGATCTGGGGATGGTTAAGGGGGTTTTTCCGAGGGCGATTGGGATTCAGGTTTTTCAGTGTGAGTGTGTGGTTGTTTGGTTTGGGGGAGAGGGAGGATATGGTTGCGTCTTGGGAGGAGGGGACGCCGGTTAGTATTGGGGGGTTGATGGTGGGTTATCGGTGTTAGGTTATATCGTTGTCTGAGTTGGGGAAGAGATGTTTTACTGCTGTAAGTCCTCGATAGGTAATCTGAACTTTTATGCCTTGGATGTCTTGTGTCGACCTGTCATACTAAACTCAAGGGGTGCAGCTTGATTCATTGGGTCAAGATTGTCAAAGTAGCGCGCACTTATTTTGCATTTGAAGCACCGTATATGATACGATGTTGTTTGTTTAAGAATGCTCAATACTTCATAGCTATCAATCTGCTGGGTGAACTACCTACACTTCCATATAGCAATGAAACAAGATCGAATCTTTTACGCATAAGTCTCTGTGTTATGGTTCTCCACGTTGGGTCGACATTACTCGTGATATAAATGCGCAATCTGAATTGTTAGGGTAAATTTGACTGGAAGCTACGCTGCCCTCTCATTCAGGTGACTGTAATCAAGCTAGAATTTGTTTTCTAGGGGATAAACCTTACAATGAATCTTATTATCGAGCGAGCTGAATGTGCAAGGCCCATCCAGCCGGATTCACTGAGATTCTTGAAATGCTTCCACCACCTATCCACGGCGCAGAGTGTCGACTCAGTTTCTCCCTGAAATATGACTCAATACTCCTACGAGTCTAGCCCATAGATGTGTTTGCAGTCTGTTATCCTTATTTCGTGAAAGACATTTGCCAGGTATGATATTGAAGCTCTCTCGGGTAGACACTGCCTTACCTCCTATAATTTTCTTATAAACACTGGCTACACTTGCTAATATGGCGATGCTCCGAGTCAGTGATGATGTTCGTGTTCCCATGGCCCGGGTCTCGCGATTTGTTATCTTAGTAGGCTATTATTGTAGCTAAGGGCTACTAGAGGATCCACGGATCGAGATTGGAATCGCACGATATAACCGGAGAACAGCGAAAAAGACGGGTCCTCCGGCCAATCTACCCCCGAAAAATTCGGCGTGATAGTAATGGGAGCCGAACTGAAGGTTCCTCAATGGCTAGGTTTACCATTGAGTGAGGGAGAAAACGGTTCGCGCTATTGAATTGAGTATCCACATCGAAGGAGCTAGGCATTTTTTGCCGAGAATATCGCGATTCTTCAGCTCAAACTTGACACTAGGCACCAAGAAAGAGAGATATGCTATCCACCAGGCCCTGTTCGTCTGTTTGAATCATTATTCAAACTTCATTCAAGTCGCCAGCATCCTATTAGTATCACCTAATGGGCACATGCATTTGAGAAGCGAAGAATAGCTAGCAGTCTCCCCTAATGAGCACCGATCTGCCACAGTCGGCAACCCGGGATCGGTTCAGAACTTTAGTAGTTTGCCCTGCCGAAGCGGCACTTTTACTAATTGCGTCCCACTTTTCCGAGCAAATCCAGTTCGGTAGGAACTTCCAAGCTTCACTCGGGTTTTCCGAGCTGCCTGGGTTCCACGTGGTTATTAATGGGTAACGCTTATTTTTCCCGGCGTATATCATGAGATATCTCGCTTACGCACGACAAATCAAGTCAATCAAAATGGAGATAATGCCGAAAATGATAATTTTCACCGCCATGATTGGATCCTTCACTTGCTTCTATTCAGCCCCAAGTCCCGCAGGAGATTTCCCATCGCTCGTAGCTTTCAAGTCTGGTATCACCAACCAGTTTGGAGTGGCGTCTGTATTACCAGATTTGTCTCGTATCTGCTTCCTTGATTTCATATTGGCCATAGAGCACCCTGCTTTCCAGCGGATCCAATGATCCACTGGTTGTGTTAGCTTAATCGGCGCCAAAATATCCTAGGGGCCCATGAGTATAAAGTAAACATGCTCTTTCCCTTCGTTCTGGGTTTCTGTAAAACATTCATTCATTTCTTTCGTTTTGACCATTGTCACTCTTTTTGGCTACGGCCACTGTCATTCGTTTTATCTATAAGCATGCGTCTGCTTCAAGTAGCCACAGCAGCCTCCTCTTTTGGAGTTGCTGCTGCCGCCGCCCTTCGATCTTCTCAGGTTTCTGAAAATGCTTGCTCCAATTCTATCTTTACCGGCGAGATCCTGCATCTCTCTGTCAACATCATTGAGTACCCCGTTATTGTTGATGTTGAGCTAAAGGAGAATGCTGTCGTCACTATCGACAATACCATTCTCATTGAATGCACTAATGCCCCGACTCACCTGCACACAACGGTCTATGCAACCGAGATCGCCACTGTGACCAAGACTATCTCCACCGCTACTATTACTGCTCAGCAGGTTGCCGCTGCTTCGGATGAGGTCACTCGTACCGTCTTGACTCAAGTTGGCGCAAAGGAGACTTCCGCCTCGGATGCAAGCACTCGCCCTGTCCTGACTGAGGTCAGAACTAAGGGAAACTCCAAGCCGTAAGTTTCCCCTTACATTCATATTTGATGCCTCGCGGACTCCATTTTCGCATGAAATAGCAATGTGCCAATTTGATGTAGCTAACCAAGTCCAGGACTGACGCCATTGCACCCGTAGCCGGTGGCTCTGCTGTCGGATCCGGGGTTAACACTGCTCTTTACACTGCCTCGACTTCAAACACTGCCGTGCATACACTCACGAAGACCACGGTCCACCATGGTACCACTGCAACCAAGACCTACACAGTCACTGCTGCCTCCACTACTGCCACCCTTGCTGCTGGCGAATGGACTGACTGGACCAAGTTCAAGGCCAATGGTGTCAACTTGGGAGGTTGGCTCGAGTTGGAGAAGGTCTTCAACCAATATTGGTGGGATCAGTATGCCCCGGATGCCGATGATGAGTGGAGCTTCTGCAAGTCTCTGGGCTCTCGCTGTGCCTCGGTCATTGAGCACCACTATGCCTCTTATATCACGACCCAGGACATTGACAAGATGGCAAAGACTGGTGAGTCTTCTTTCCGATGCACATCTTTATACATTGTGATCACTTACGAAAAATGCAAAAACAGGTGTCAACATTCTCCGCATTCCGACAACCTACGCTGCTTGGATCAAGGTCCCCGGCTCTGAGCTGTACCACGGCAATCAGAAGGAGTACTTGAAGAAGATTGCCACCTATGCCATTGAGAAGTACAACATGCGCGTCATTGTTGGTCTTCACTCCCTGCCCGGTGGTGTCAACTCTTTGGATATTGGCGAGGCAATTGGCCACGATTCGTGGTTCTTCAACAGCACCAACTTGGCATACTCCCTGCAGGCAGTTGACGAGGTCGTGAACTTCTTTGTTGAGACCGGATACCCCTGGGCTTTCACCTTGGCTCCTATCAACGAAGCCTCCGATAATCCGACCAAGTTCGCTTCCGCAGAGACCATGACTACCAACGGTACTGCCTGGGTTGTTCGCTATGTCCAAGGTGCTCTGTCGCGCATTGCCCGCGTGGACAAGCGTATCCCGCTCATGCTTCAGGACTGCTTCCTCGGCGAGGAGCACTGGTCTCCCTACTTCGCCACCGGCACCAATCTGGTGATCGATACCCATGTGTACTACTTCGCCGCCTCCGGTGTCTACTCCCAGTGGGCCAGCGGCGCGATCTGCGGTCAAGCCTCGGTGCTTGGTGGTGATGGCAAGTTCCCCGTTTTCGTTGGTGAGTGGGCTCTGCAGACGCTTTACAGTAACACCTTCTCGAACCGTAAGACGCTGTTTGACACCCAGCGCTACGCTTGGAGCTACTATGTCCAGGGTGGCACCTTCTGGAATGCCAAGCACAATAGCAGTGCCGTTGTTGATGGTCAGGGTACCCAGAGGGATTACTGGTCATATGAGCGATTGATCGATGCAGGTGTGATCACTCGTGCTGCTTCCAATGTGACCTATTGTTAGAAGGACGAGCTGGGTGGCAGGGCACTTACAAACGTCTGTAGCCCTAGGGATATATATCTGGGAACTAGCCCATCCCTAATTCGATGTAATCAATATTTGCAATCATGATTATGATCTAAGTATGGAATACTAGTAGACTCGCTTAGATACTAAATCATGAAGCCATAACCATCAACTCGCTTAATTCCCCTTCTTAAATCGCTTTGCGTCGGCTTGTAAGCATCCGGAGTTACCCCGAGTTTGGTCCCGCAGCTTGCGGTACCCGTCACTCTGATTTCCCGAGGTCGGCTTTTGTTATCCCGAGCTGCCACCCCACGTTTGGGGGGTGACCCCCCTCTTATTGTCCGGATTGCGTCCAGAATCAATTCACACTTCTTCCCTTCCTCAATTACTAAACATAGAAGAATATATCTACGCAATGCCCTTCTCTACCGCTATTCGCACAAGCCTGCAGGGCTCTACACCAGCCTTTGGCTTCTGGCTCACGTATGTTCAATCTGGTTGACTCGGATCGAAGTCCGGCGGACCCCTCCGTTGGAAGGCGAGGATGGAGGGGATATTCTACAAGACGGAAGGCTAACGCAAATGTGCAGTCTCCCCAGCTCTGGCCTTGCTAAGACTATCCTTCACGGAGCCTCCGGATCTTCAACGAGGTTTAGCTGGGTTCTGGTTGATGCGGAACACGGCTTGATCTCCGACCAGCACTATTATGATGTTAGTGATCAGCCTGAGTCCAGTAATCAATGCTGTGGAGAACTGACATATAAGTTCTAGCTGAATAACGCCATTGGCCATGAGAATGCCAGCCCCATCATCCGGGTGCCCTGGGGTGAGGAATGGATGATTAAGCGTGCTCTCGATTCTGGTGCACATGGAATTATGACTCCCATGTGCCACTCTGAAGTAAGTATGACCCGAACTACAGATTGATCTATTCAGGAGGACAAGCTAACAGTCAATTCTCCGCCCGCCACAGGTTGATGCCGCCAATATTGTCAAGTACACTCGTTATCCGCCCCAGGGCACTCGCGGCTACGGTCCCATGTTCGCTCCCCACTCTCTCCCCGGAGTCAACCCCGGTGCCGACTACGATGACCAATCGAACGCTAGTGTGACCGTTTGCGTGCAAATCGAGTCGCGTCCTGGTGTCGAGAATGTGGAGAAGATTGCTGCTGTGGACGGTGTTGACGTCCTTTTCATCGGTCCCTTCGATCTCGCTAAGCAGATGAACGTCACTCGCGGTGGTGAGGAGCACGAGGCTGCTATCAAGCGGGTTTTGACTGCTGCCCATAACGCTGGCAAGAAGGCGGCTATCTTCTGTACGTGGTCCCCGGATAAGACCTCAACTATATTGAGAACTGGCATAGCTAACATCGGCACTTTCTAGGCTCTGACGGCAATGATGCTCGCAACCGTGCCCAGCAGGGCTTTGATATGATCTCTGTTAACACTGATGTTGGTGTCATTCGGACTGGTATGTTGAACGAGCTTAAGACTGCCAACGGAGAGGAGGTGCAGGGAGGTCCTCGTCAGGGCTACTAGACATCATTGAAAACGTTCTATATATTGAATGAGATAGACACAACAGATCTATAAAACTAGCAAAAGTCTATTCATTTCAAATCCCATCAAACCATCCCCTATTGTGGTTGGTCCTTCATTTTTCCGATAGATCGACGCTAGCTACTTGATTGGTCGGCGTAATTGTCTACAGCATCCTATTCAGGTAAGGCTGAGTTCTCGCATTCGTGTTTAGCTGCATCTGGCTTTATAGTATCCGCTGTATGGAGCAAGATGCCCATGAAAAGATACATACACTACAATAATTTTCTCGCTTTTCTTCATCCCCTTGCAGAACCATCAAATGCCGTCATATGAAACGAGCATCATCGAAACCTCATCTATTCCGATCGCACAATCTGATTGGCCAACTTGTCTTCCTCGCTTCGAAGCACGGCGCCACGTGTGCTTAGTCAGGCGGGATGTAGAGGAACTTGACCAATCAGACTGTTTGCGGGTGACGGGGCAGTTTATAGTCCGGGGATGATGGTGGGCCGAAAGCCCGGAGGATTTCCCCCAAAAGACCTGACTTGGCTTTCTGTCGGCTCGTGAAAACAACGTCGCGCTAGAGATGAGAGATGATGTTTTCTCCTTTCCTGCAATCTTAGAGTACCCAGACTCAACAGGACTCCTACGTTGGACGCCTTCCTCTCAATCGCGGCTCACTTCATTGAGAGCAAACCAAGATTCGGTCTAAACTTTGCGAAAAGCTGGAAATGACGTTGCAGTATTAGGAGAAGCGCTGTTTGGGGATTTCTAAGTCTGAAGCTAATCTTCGCGATGGAGAAGGACGAAATCATCACCGATCTTGCCATTCACAAGGAGGCTGCTGGCTTCGACGCCGCCCTTCAGGATGCTGTGTACAACTTGTCACTACGCGCGGTCAATCCAGTCGATGTCAATGTGACCGATCTCTCTCTTGATATCAACACCGCCGCATCGGCATGGGAGGCATCGCAACTCTGGCGTCGCATGCGCGGCCAGAAACCGGAAGGTACCTCGAAAAAAGTCCTCAATGGAGTAAACGCGGCGATGCCCAGCGGCAGCTTGACAGCCATCATTGGAAGCAGTGGATCTGGTAAAACATCTCTTCTCAACCTGATGGCTGGTCGCATGTCCCTATCTCGGGCGACGGTCGCTGGAAGCACGACTTTCAATGGAAGTACCGATATCAACAGCGTCCGCAGCGCCTACGTCCTGCAAGAGGATGTTCTCATTCCAACTTTGACCGTTCGCGAGACCCTTCGATACTCGGCCGATCTCCGCCTCCCACCGCCAACGACCCAGGAAGAGCGCCGCGCCATAGTGGAGCAGGTCATTCTCGAACTTGGGTTGAAAGAGTGCGCTGATACTCGTATTGGAACGACCGCACACAAAGGCTGCAGTGGAGGCGAGAAGCGGCGCACGAGTATTGGTGTACAGTTGCTGGCCAACCCATCCGTACTCTTTTGCGATGAGCCAACTACGGGTCTCGATGCAACCAGCGCTTTCCAAATTATCCGAACGTTGAAGCGCCTTGCTCAAGACGGTCGCACTGTAATCGTTTCTATTCACGCGCCTCGCTCTGAAATCTGGAGTCTCTTCGACAATGTGATTTTGCTGGCTCGCGGGTCTGCTCTGTACAGTGGCCCAGTGAGCGAGTCGGTAGCGCACTTTGAACAATGTGGCCATATTCTACCTCCTTTTGTCAATCCAGCTGAGTATCTCATTGACTTGGCTGCCATCGATAATCGAACCGAAGAATTGGAAGCTGCTTCTCACGTCCGCGTTGAAAATCTCCGCGAGGCATGGCAATCTCGGCCTAAATCCGAAGCAGCGGTGGATCATGCCGAAAAGAAGTTACCAGCGAAGCTTGCCTTGGAAGGCGTGGACACTGGAGCTATGAAGAAGGTTTCATTTCGCCGACAGTTCCGTGTCCTCACGTCGCGAACATTCACAACGACCATCCGCGACCCAATGGGCGTCGCTGGCAGTCTTCTCGAAGCTGTTGGCATGGCTGTAATCAACGGCTGGATCTTTCTGCAGCTCGACGAGAGTCTCGCCGGTATCCGTTCACGCCAGGGTAGCCTGTATACTGCTAGCAGTCTGAACGGATACTTGATTTTACTGTACGAGACGTACCGTCTGACAATCGATATCCGCCTCTTTGACCGCGAACGCAATGAAGGTGTTGTCGGTGTGCCAGCGTTCCTGTTGAGCAGGCGAGTCGCTCGATTCCCGCTGGAAGATCTCCCCGTGCCACTGCTCTTCTCCATCATCTTTTATTTCATGGTGGGCTATCGTCTCGAGCCTGGACAGTTTTTCATCTTCTTCGCGCTGACTTTGCTCACGCATTACATCGCTGTGACGTTTGCGGCGGTGTCTATTGGCGTGGCGAGGAGTTTCCCAGGGGCGAGTCTTGTTGGCAACATGTGCTTTACGCTGCAGTCGTTTGCATGCGGATACTTTGTGCAGTCTCAGCAGATCCCCGTGTATGTTCGATGGCTCAAGTGGTGCGCTTACACGTTCTATATCTTTGGGGCACTGTGCGCGAACGAGTTTATCGGAACCGGGGATTCGAAAATTGGGCATTTTTACAACTGTCCGTACTCCGATGACCCTCTTGACCCGGTATGCAGAGAGTATACGGGGAAAGTACATCATGGACAGCCTGGGCATGCCATCCAACTGGATTTGGCGACCGATTGTGATCCTCGTCGCGTTTACGCTCGGTCATTATCTGCTTGCAGGTCTGTTGCTGCAGTACAATCGCTTTGCGATTGACATCGCACAGGCTCGAAAGTCGGAGGGTGATCCATCAGCGAAGAAGGCTAAGATCGCGATTCGTCCTGCCGAAGAGGCGCGGCGAGTAGCTATCTCGCTAGACAAATATGCTCTCGAGATTCGAAAGCGACGGCTGCCGTGGAAGCGCAAGCAGAAACTTCAAATCTTGCAGCCGATCACCGCCGAGTTCCACCCCGGAGAGTTGAATATCATCATGGGTCCGTCTGGCAGTGGTAAGACATCGCTACTCAACTCGATTGCTCGCAGGCTTCATGGTTCGGCTAGTACGCAGTATCGTGTTACCGGGCAAATGCTGTACAACGGGGCCGTGCCGTCCGAGAATGTGATTCGCTCGGTGACCTCATTTGTGACGCAGGACGATGATGCTCTTATGCCTTCGCTGACCGTGCGCGAAAGTTTGCGGTTTGCAGCGGGACTTCGCCTACCAACATGGATGACGCGCGAAGAGAAGAACCGCCGAGCCGAGGAGATTCTGTACAAGATGGGCCTCAAAGAATGCGCCGACAATCTCATTGGGAGCGAGCTGATCAAGGGTATCAGTGGAGGAGAGAAACGCCGAGTCACTATTGCGATCCAGATTCTCACAGACCCCAAGGTGCTTCTACTGGACGAGCCCACGTCTGGTCTTGATGCCTTCACCGCGATGTCCATCATTGAAGTTCTGCAGGGGCTCGCAGCTGAAGGCCGTACGCTCATCATGACCATTCATCAGTCGCGATCAGACTTGTTCTCCCATTTCTCACAAGTTCTGCTTCTAGCTCGCGGAGGCTATCCCGTATACGCCGGCCAGGGACAACAGATGCTCCCGCATTTTTCAAACTTGGGCCACGAATGTCCGAAGACGACCAACCCCGCAGACTTTGTGCTCGACCTGATCACTGTCGATCTGCAACAAGAAGACCGAGAGGCCATCACTCGCGAACGTGTCCAGCACCTCATTTCTCGTTGGACCGATGCAAAACCGCAACTCGGGCGAACCTCGTCTCAAATTGCGACTCCGGCGGAGTTGGGTAGTCTGCGACGACAGATGTTGCCCTTCCGTGTGACATTCCCGCTTGTGCTACACCGATCCTTCCTCAACTTCTGGCGTCAGCCACCACTCGTGATGGCTCGGTCGATGCAGATCGTTGGTATTGCGATTATCATGGCGCTGTTCTTTGCGCCGCTGAAGAATGACTATGCGGCGGTGCAATCTCGCATGGGATTTATTCAGGAGTTTGCCGCCTTGTACTTTGTGGGTGAGTTATCAAGCACTTGATTTTGATGCATAACATATCAGATACTAATCGGTATAGGCATGCTTCAAAACATTGCAATCTACCCGAACGAGCGGGACGTCTTCTATCGCGAAGAAGCCGACAATTGCTACTCTGCCGAAACGTTCATACTTTCCTACACAACCATCGAGATACCCTTTGAGATCATCTCGGCTCTCGTCTTCGGCGTGCTAGCCGCGTTCGCAGATAACCTCAAACGCAGTGCGCAAATGTTCCTCATCAGCGCCTTCAACTGCTTCTGCATCATCAGCTGCGGCGAGTCCGTGGGAATAATGTTCTGCACGCTGTTCTCGCACGTCGGTTTCGCAGTCAACGTCACCTCGATTCTGCTCTCTATTTCGACAATCCTCGGCGGCGTAATGAGTCTGAATGTCAACGAGGTTCTCCAGGGCTTGAACCACTTGTCGCCGATCAAATATGCTATTGCCAACTTGGCGCCGTACTCGATGCATGGGCAGATGTTTGATTGTACGCCGTCTCAGCAGCTGGCGGATGGGAGCTGTCCGATCAATACAGGCGATGATGTACTCGCGCTGTATAACCTTGACAAGAACGGGCCCATGAACGTGTTGGCGCTCGGGGTGTGTACGATCATCTATCGTTTGGTCGCATACCTATTTCTGAAGGCGATGCGGTCGCATCGCATGATGGAGCGGTGGCGCGAGTGGCGGCAGTCGAGGCAATCGGCTTGATTTTGTTTCTTTTGCATTTGCACCTGGTTGATACCCTTTGCTCATAGTTGAAGCGCTTCCAATCTAATTCGGATCGGATCTTGATATTGACCTTACATTGTACATCTTATATTCATTCTTTGTGCATAATCTCCGCGTCGAAGCGGACAATTAATATCACAAAAATCCGATCGAGTTTCTGGTCACTATAGTAACCTCGTCGGAGGCCGCCGGAGTGTATACAATGACCCTTCTTAGCAGGTGGCCACAACTCGACACATCGCCACCTTTCGATCGGATATTATTAATGAGCCTTGGAACGCTGCCTAAGGTGAACAGACAACCAATCAAGAGCGCCTGGCTGATGGTATCCATGGACGTTCTAATTCGCCAAATTTTCGTAGAGAACTCGGTGGCGAGCATCGTGTACATTCTCTCTCCGACCGGCTAATCTGCCCAGTCCTCTCCAAACATGGATAATCATCGCCTTTTCCTTCTCGATCGGATTTCCCAAATTTCAAGTCCAAATAGAGTCAATAAAGTTTGAACGGAGGGGTGTTCTCGACCCTTCTAGTGTTGGCCCCAAGAACTAGCGACCTCTTGGCAGAGGGGCAGAACAACGGCAGTGACAAAGTGACAAGTCTTTGCTGAATTTCCAGAAGTGCCGCTCTTTGTGGTTGACCCATTGAGAAGTATCCGAGTTCTTTGAGTATTTTCAATTCTTTCAATCTTGTGAGATGCCAAAAGTAGTCTGATTGGCCGATCCAACCAAAAAAGTGTTTCGTAGAATGGTTCACCCAACAATGAAGACCATCGGGACCGAACATTCACACCGAATTCCATTCCCCTCACTGACCAAACCAGTGTTCGGCATACTCTGGGTCAAACGGAACCAGACTTGACAACTCAGGAACGAGTGGTCCCGGTTGCTTCTGAATGGACATGTACCTTTTTCCATCCCTTTTCTTCCACGGAGTTCCGTGTGATAGTGGGGCAAATAATTACAGTGTTTGTGATTATTCAGGTACAGTAACGCAGTGTCCCTGGACACGAGCACGGATACTCCTACTGCATCAGGCACAATGTCCAGTCCAGCGGAGAACTCTCATCCTCGAAAAAAACCGCCCCCTCACCCAAGAATTCACAAACAATGCCCTGAGCCTGACACCCTGAAACAGGACATAATCCCGGCTTACCCTGGATCTGCCACCATTCGCTGAACCCTTCCCAGTGGAGTCCGCGACATATCGCCCTGGGCCTAGAGTGAGAATCCCTCCCTCTGACTTCCCCCATCAGGCCTACCATCGTGAACCGACTCGCCGGAACACGAAAAACAGGGGCCTCTGCGAATCGCCGCACACAAAAACGGTGTTGCGGAGTCTTAGCTGATCCACCATTTGTAACTTGTTCAGGGCGCTAGTCTTGGATCCACGAATCGGAGGGCGAGGAGGGGAGGGAGGGGCTCGTTAGGCTGGCGATCGAATCGGGGACTTTGTTCTTCCTTCCACCACCAGGTGGATGCTGGACTGGCGGGGGTGCCTGTCTATCACTTGGGTCTAGATTGAGGGATCGTCTGAGATGAGTTTTCTTTCAAGATTCGAGTTTTTTTTGGTTGTTTTGTTTCGCGCGCGGTTCCACTGTTCCTTTTTTTTTTTTTTTGGGCCCAATGGGAGTGTGGGAGAGTCATTTTGGTTGCTTTCTTACTGGTGAGGGGTTTTTGTTTCTTGTCTTTGGTCTTTGGGCCTTGTTTCATCTTTGGGTGTGGTCATGGTTTGCTCATACCTTTGTTCTCGGGAGTAAGAGAATTCTTGTTGTTGTCAAGGATAGTAGGGGCAGTCGACACTGGAAGTACTTTTACTGTAAAGAATGGAGATAATTCAATATAAATCCAAAGTAAAGTCAATCATGAATGTAATCATTCAATCTCTATAAATCTATCTCAATCATCCCCAATATAAAACTCCAGAGAAGATCGAGAAATCCTCATCGTCCTGATCCGGGGGGTATTCAACGAAGAAAAGGTGGGCATAAAAGTAGATTCATCATAGCTCGTAGACGACGTCCTGCCCCGGCGGGGAAATCAACCCGCGCACTCTTGGGGGAATAAGATAGGCATGTCGAATCAACCGAACATGTTGGTCTTCCAAAATCAACAAGAAAAAGGGCCACCAACTAGGGTGGAACGAAGAAAAGCTCGAACGATAACAAAAAACGGGCGATATCGAATCACCAGCCCGGAAGGGGTGGATATAGGTGAGACGAAGAGAAGAAAGTTTAAAGACCCTTTAAAGGAGTGCTCGGGTCAACCGGCAGGAAGGCAGAAATGGGGTTGCGAAAAGTATAAACGAAGGTCGTAAGATGATAATGAATGTGGTTGCAACCATTTACTGGCCAATAGTCAAAGCCAGACCGGTGTTGATGGGGCAGCCGTGAGTGGCGTGGTCATCAGTAGGAATGAGGTAGGCAGCATTGCAAGCATCGTCACCAGCCTTGCAGACAGCCGAGGGGCACGAAGAGGTCGAGTCAGTGGGCAGGACAGCGAAACCATACTGGGTGAACTGGGAGTTGGCGCCCATATCGATGCAAGAGAGATCCCAGAAGATGGTGTCAACGGCCTGGGTGTACTCGAACTGCAGGACATCAGACTGGTTGGGGTCGGTGGCCAACTTGATGGAGACACCGCCACCATTGGGGTTGGTCTTCCAGGCCTCGCTGTAGGTACCGCCGTTGGCAGTCAGGACCTGCATGGGACCGACGGTGTCGGTGACGGACCAGGCGTAGACGTCGTGGCTCAGGTTGTTGGTGATCAGAACGGAGCCACCAGCGGGGACGGTGTTGTTGCGGCGAACCATGTTGTTCATGTTCATGCCGGAGGGGAGGGCAGAGGCCAGAGCAGCGAAGGCAGCGGCAATGCCGAAAGTCTTGGTGAACATCATTTTGAGAATAAAAGAGTGATGTAGTAGAGACCGTGGGTTTTGAGGTTGGGTATAGAGAGAGTAGGTCTGATCGACGGATCTATAAAGAATGCAATCGAGAATCGATCTCGAAATGAAAGGCAGGAACCCGAGGGTTGTTGAAAAGAGAGTGGTCTTCAAAGAGAGAGAATGAGAGACTTGTTTGAAAGAAGAGAAGAAGGACCCTGAGAGGGAATGAACAGGGCCTCTTTATAACTTTCAACAGGGTCCTATTCAGTCGCCCCGGATAGGTACCGATCAGGAAAAAAAACGTGTGCGGGCCCAGCCATGCAACGGTCATCCATGGATCGAATCAAGGAACAAGTGGACTGTGGATAACAAGTGGATCTCCTGGCGCCAAAGGCAAAAAAGAAAGGAGTGGGGCAGAGTAGAGGCAAATGGTCGAATCATACGGAGTAGATTTCTTAGTTTTACTTCTCGAAGGGTCTGGCCTAACGTCGCATTAACAGGCCCTAGGGCCTTTTTTGTTCGAATTAATGGGCATGTCTGGACTCAATTAGCCGGGGAGTTGTGTCGCCTAGCAAATGGGAGAAATTGAGAAATTGGAGGTATAGAACAGATACATAGATTCTACCCATCTCGTATACCGAGTCCGCTATACCCTAATTTTGATATGCGGTGTGATGAGGATCAATAATTGACGTGTCTGGTGGTCTATGGACGGTCAATAAAAACACGGTGAGTCACTAGCATACTGGCATAGGCTGTTGTTCAATTGTAGAGTGGGAGAATAGACCAGTTGTCGGGAGACGGGAGTGGTGGGCGTGGAGAAACAAAAAGTGCGTGAGAATTGCCTCCCTTCAAAGAAAAGATGGTTAGAGCCACCACATAAACCCGCCGTGGCAATTAGCCACTTTCTCTCTTTCTTCTTCTCTCCATACGTCATCCCTTCCGCGCCCATCCGCGGTTCTCCCAATTCCCAAGGCGAATGAAAAGGAAAAAGTCTGACGGATACAGCTTTCTACCCATGGCAAGTCACTTCGGCAGTAGCCATAATCCATATGCTTTGACACATGCTTGCCTCGGGGACCATCTTCGAACCTTCGAAAGAAGGTTCTCCCCTGTATACAGTAGAAAACTCGCCTTTTCCAATCCCACGGATTGATTGAATGCGGCCTCGCTTTGGGAAGCTACCAATATTCGGTTCTACTACTTAACGTCTCAAACTGACATACCTGATGCCCGCCATTTTGCTATTTGCCATTTGCCTTTATCCATTACCGCATTGCTCTTTCTAGCATGCGGAATTGCAAATCTGACTGGTGTGCCCTGAACATGCATACATCAGATGTTCGCCGTGCACAAAATGTTCGACGAGCCTATGAGATGAGTTCGACATGTCAAACCCACATACCTTCTTCCTTCCTGCAGTAAAGTAGTCTTGCTGAGCTGTACATTTCTCGTTCCTGAATAATCATTACCATAGAAATTTTCTTTTCTTTTTTTCTCTTACCCAATATCCACAGAGTGTAGTCCCTCTTTCTCCACCCCCGGTGCCTCTGACGTTGCAGGGCTCTTGGGTACCTGTCGATCGAGCCTGGATTTACGGAGAATTGTGGTGGCAATGCGTGGTTTTTGTTGGGCTTTGCGTTTCTCCGTGGAATCTTGTAGGTATATTGTGGTTTAAATAATAGTTAATAATATTGTTGTTATTATTACTGTTGTACTTACTACTTACTCTATGATCATTTCAATATTGACTGATCTTTTCTGATTTGCTCGGTGTGGCCCATGCTCCCCGAAGCTATACCACAACCCCGAAGCAAAAGACCCTGAACCACTGGTCCAGTTTGTTGACACCCGATATATCAATAGTCTATACTATGTACTACTATATTCTTTGCAATACTAATATACGAGCTGTCAATTCATCTACCTTCCTCGCCATTTTAGCCCGCATATGCTGCCCTATCTCCGATCGCGCGACACCACAGTAGTCTAGGTCTTAGCCCAGTGTCCCACCGCCAGTGGCCACCTTAACCAGGCCAAGTGGGCCCGCCTAGGCAGGAAACAGTTACTGCCATAGCAAGGCAAGACCGTTCCTTAAACCTTTCACCGAGGAGGAACTCGGAATAATAGGGCTCGAATGGGGCCTGAACGGGGACGCGGCCCAACCGCCAACCGCCAGCTGGACGATCGCTGGCGTCCCCCCTCTTGCCCACTTTCGCCCACGCTAGGGAATTAGGGCACTTCCAGAATTGTGTGGGAAGGATTTGATGAGTCTAGACCGACTCTTTGGGCTGAGCGGAGGGAGTTTGTCGGACCGGGCCTGTGCTCGTTTGGTACCTGCGTAGGGCGTTAACTCTACAGGAGATTAACTCTTAGATCTCTTCATGGGCGAGATTGTTGGGCCTGGCCGGTTGGAAAAGGGCTTGGTGGCACTGATCAGGGTTGGATGTCACTGTCATTCACTTGAGTGCTCGAGAATGGAGAAGGATCCTTTTTTAATCATCGCCTCCAACATCGTGGTGGGCCGGGATGGGTCGAGATGGCAAATTCACGATGGAGTGAACGGTGTGAATGGTGCTACAGTAACTACTTCACACAGTAATTGGAAAAAGCAGCCGCTGATCAAGAACGATGACATGATAAAAACTATTTGGTATACTACTGTGTACAGAACGGATCTCTTCAACTTCACGCCGTGTGGCACGGCACATCCCCGCCATACCGGGCTGGTGTGGACTCCACTCCACCATCACACAGCCACTGAAGTCACCTTCCTGCTTCAGTTCTGAGTCACGCCCGTTCCTTTTTCGTGGGCAGGGATGTGGTGTCCATACACTCCGACCGGGCTCTAAGAGAGATCCTGGAGCGGAGGCACTGGAGCACCCAGAACAGGTCGGGGGAAAGTCAAGGGAAGCCCGCCTATCTGGAGGCTTCATGCAAGGCACCGAGATTCCCCGTAGAAATTATCTCCGTAGAAACTATCCCTTGAAGCCTAGGCCGCGAGGATTCCCTTCCTCTCGCTGATTTACCACATTGGTGATCGCATAGCCGAGAGACTAGCCAATGTGCTCTCGCCACTTGACTCGTCCTTCTTGCGGTGACCGGCCAACTCCAAGTTGATTTGCCGATGGACATGCACCAGCCAGTCCACGTAGCTTTGGGCTTCGTTGTTCCGATCCTCCAGCAGTAGACGAGCGAATTCATACTCTGCCCCGTCGAGACCTTGTCGGGCCAATTGGATGGTCACGGCCTTGGATCCGCGCACCGTAGAGAAGTACTGCAACAAGTTCCGGACTTGGGCGTTGAGATGGGTCTCCAGAACAGGCAGTGACGACATGTTGGGGTTCAGCTCCTGAAGCGAGTTGTGTCCGGGACCGAACAAGTCCTCCAGGAGATTGGGCGAAACCTGTGCGTGTAGCCAGAGCAGAATGGCCTGGCCGTTGTCCACCAGGTAGACACCTCCCTCCTCGACCTTGGAGAAGCTTGCCCTTACAGCTGGCGGGACTTGGAGCTGACCATGCTCGTTGGCGAACCCATCTTCCGGTTGCATGTTATGAATGGGGATGATGCGGGGATAGAGGTAGAGAGACATTTCTGTGCAGCCGATTGACCGGATCATGCGCATGTCGTGAACACGTCGGTCGATCGCTTCGTTTCCACCTGCAATACTAGATTAGCGAGAATGTCACCTCGGCGTAGAAGAGGAGGAACCACTTACCCTTGAATGCCCTGGACTTGACCAAGCTCAGCATATACATCGAGAACTCCTTCAAGTTCTCAGGCAAAACCAGCTGCCCAGGCGGGTGTGACCCAGAGAAGATCTTGCGATACCCACTGAATATATCAACGGTCTTCTCTGAGATGCTGGCGCGAATGTCCTTGAGGCTCTTGTCAAGTGTCTTGGAGGCAGCTGTAGTGCAGTGTTAGCAAGGCGACAAGAAAGACCACTCGACATCTGTTCGACACTTGACATACCCTCTTTGGCGATGACTGCCACAATAGCATCCTGGTCAACAAACTTCATCGTCTCCATGCCACCTTCATTGACAGCGGCCACCACGTTGATACATCGGACGCGACGTTGGCCATCCGCGGACGTATACAGCAAGGCAGCCTGGAAGTGAGCGTCCAGCTTGGGGTCCAGCTTTCCATCATAGCTGAAGAGAACACCAATGGCCTTCTCCGCATCGATGCCGCCAATTTCGAGATCGGCACCGAGAGCATGTTGTACGAAATTGCCGTGGTAAGAGGAAACCTGAAGTCCGTTGGAGCATCGGACCTTCATCAAGCACTGGTAACCAGTCTCTCGGGTGATAGCATGAGCCAACTCCTTCCGCACCTTGGGAACGTCGCGGGGCGAGTGGAAGTTGGAGTAGAAGAATGTCTCGCCTCCGGTGAGCGCTGCCACATGACCTATTCATGGAGTTAGATTATGGTTTTCCCCAGATACCTTCATTCGCAGTCCAAACATACCAATTGTTGCCACATCCATGTAGGCGCCACCGGGAGAGGCGATGAAAAAGTCCACACCCACACCGGCTTCGGCCATCTTGCTAGCGGTTTTCTTCCATGCCGTATCCTCAGTAGTATACAACTTCCGCTCAGCGTCGGTCCCGTGAAGGCTGCGGTCATCGCGTTGCTCTGACAGCTTTCCGGGGCCCGATGTCGGCAGGCTTGCCAACGCGCACACAATTTTGCCTCCGGTTGGTTGCAGCGCCGAGAGAGCAGCATTCAAAGTTGGAAGCAATGCTGACTCGGTATTCTTGATATGGGAGAAGATAGTAGGTATCTGGCCCAAGAGAGATGAGATTACGGATCTTTTGTTTTCGTCCGGTTAGTGTCTGGAAAGCAAGAGAGTAAGAAAAAAGCAGTTGCCAGCACATACTTTGATTCGTAAGGATCAACGAAGAGACCCTCGCTGAGTGGTACAAACGGCTCTTCCAAATCAGTCATCACCATCATTTGCGCTTGGTTCAAAGTTGACTGTTTCTCACGTCAGCTAAATGCGCATTGCTTGGTAACCCGGGTTCCACATACCGTGAGGTTGTAGAATTGCACCTCCTTGTCATAAGTGACAATGCCAACCTTCGCACCCGCGGGCAGCTTGCGGGCCTTAGATTCATCGCCCTCGGAGCCATCTACCTCCCCATCCTCACCATACAAAGCTTCCGCAATACCAGCACAGACACCCTTCAAGTAGCCACGATGCGATGCCTCGCGGCTAACATCGATCAGGAACAGCGTGCGCAGACCCACGGGCTCCTTATTCCAGTATTCCTTGGGTACCAAGAACTCGACTGTGCCCATCATCAATTCCGGCCGTTGCATACGATCCACGCGCGCACCACTCGGATCCAGAGGCGCAAAGTACTCGGCGGGCGTATCATTGGGGAATGTGCACATGTTGCAGACGAATTTGCTGCCCGCAGCACGGAATGACATGAACGGATTGATGTATGTTCGGCATCGTCGACAGCGTGGGGGGCCAGTATCCCCAAAGTCCAAAACAGGAATTGGTTGTTCACCAGGGTCTAGTGGTGCGAGCGGCTGTAGGATCATTCCCAGAGGAAGACCAGTGGAGGAGAGGAAGTCGGAGGTCGAGGGAATGTTATTAAGCGTCAGGCGGGCGTACTTTGGCGACGAATTGCCTTGGTCGTGAGCAACGAACGGAATTGCGGCAGGTGGAGGTAGATGCCGGTCCATTGTCGGGTAGACATGGTTGAAATAATACTGAGCCGGCAGGTCTCGCGATCGGGGGATGCTGGGGATCTGTTCGGGGTCAATTCGACCTTGCGTAGGCACCGAGCCCGCACCACTGGGCATTCCAGGCTGTGAGGTGATTCCTGGAGCAGACAGAGCAGGCTGAGGAACTCCACCGGGGGCCACTGGCGGTGGACTTTGGTTCAGACCGGTGTTGAGGAATTGAGAGGTTGGTTGCACACCTCCCGCGGGGGGCATTGCATTGTTGAAGCCCTGCGCCGGGGCAGCTGAGCCAGTTCCAATATCATGATAGGCATGACGATGCTTCTTTCGGTGTGTTCTAGCTCCAGCATCTGCTGCAATTCCCAGACCACTCATCTGAGAGGCCAGACCAGCCATATTGGGATCTCCAGCGGCAGCCACTGGCTGTTGGGCGGCATTGTATGCGGCATCGGGGCTCTGGGCCTGGTAGGCAGACTGAGGAGAACCGTAGGCAGGCCACTGATTTGGCGAAGTGTTGGCGTAGCCGGCTCCTGGCTGCGGAGGAGCGGCACCTGGGGGTAACCGGCGGCCGAGTACGGCGGTGATGATTGAGGGGGAATGTGTTGTTGAGCTTGGGGGTTGGAGGGGTCGTAGCCAGCCTGGCCCATTGCGTGATACATGGGGTCAGCCATGGTGGATCCGGGGGCGAGAGGAATAAGGAGACTCGGGATCAGCAAAGCATAACGGGGGAGGTCAGAAGGTGTTGCACCCCGCGATGTTGACGACGTTGATGATCTACCGGACTGACCACCTTTACTCTCCCGCGTCGCGGGCCTGCGGAATTAAGTGGCTCCGAGGCTTCACGTGTGGAACCGGTCCCTTATTGTATACTTGGTACCTGATCATCAACATTCACGATACTCTTCACCTTTGAATTCCTATTTTATTTTCTCGTTAGCTGTTCAATTTATCACAAATCTTTCTTTTCTTTCATAAAACAAATACTGTCCCCAAGGTCACCCCTACAATGTCTCAGTGGCTTCATTTCAATAACTTTGTCGTCATTCCCCTCCACCGCCATTCCATCGAAAAGAACACTAGCTAAATGACACGAATGCAGCCCACCAATGCATCAATTTCCCCGTCCGTGCTGATTTAGGCTAGTGAAAAGGTCGGAATCACCATCCGACTAAAGTTGACAGAAATTGAGGACCTTCCGATAAGCGTCCGTTATCGATGCATGTTCATTCCTGATTCCTTCGTACTGTCTTCCATACCCTGTCATTTGTTCACATTTGTTCACGAACCCGAGTCACTGGCCCAAATAATCCCTGGACGTGCGTCCCCTCGAATCAACGGACTCGCGCTTATCGGATTGCGCACATCACCAACAGTAGTCACATTTTCTAGCCCCCTTAGGGCTCTTGAAGATTTTCTCGGGTCCCATTCACGCTGTCTGCTCGCTTCTGGTCGGGGAATTGGGCCCCTCCATCTGGCGTCACTGCCGGGCCACTAAAATACCGAGTCCATACCTGCAGTGCTGGGATTAATCCTGGCATATATCTCTAGCGTGCTCGGTAAGTCGCCTCCCTATTAATTGCGTGCTTCTATCGTCGATTTTTTTTTGCTTTTTCCCTTTCCTAACCTTATCTCCTCTCGTCCCTTCCTATCCATTCGTTATGTCTAAACCGCTCAACTCAGATCGTAAACCAAAAAGCCGTCAGCTAGGAGACCCTCCCCCTCCAGTATCCCCACCAATGGCTACTATTCAAGATGATGACGAGCTTCTGCTCGCCCGAATTGGCTATAAGCAGGTACGTGCGCGAGTTCCTCCTGTGGTTCCCGCGGGTACTGCCGCTAACCTTATTTCCCCGGTATCAAGGAGCTTCGAAGAGAATTCTCTAAATGGTCGACTGTGTCATATGCTATTAGTATACTGGGAGTTCTTGGTTCAGTCCCAGCAACATTGGGTCAACCTCTCATAGTTGGAGGCCCGGCAACTGCGGTATGGTGCTGGCTAATCGGCTCTATTATGGCTCTGGCCATCGGTAGTTCCGTCGCGGAACTAGTGTCTGCGTATCCTACTGCAGGTGGCATGTACTATGTGACGAAGCATGTGGTACCCCCCGATCAAGTTCCGCTCTTTGCTTGGACACAAGGATGGTGCAACCTGCTGGGCCAGACAGCGGGTGTGTCTTCAGTCGCGTATACCGTTTCCCAGATGTTGCTTGCGTGTGTTAGCATGAACTCGGATCTTATCGATGGCGAATACTCATATTCACCGTATGTGAACATCATCTTTGAAGCAGATCAGATCCTGACAAAGTCTTAGAACCGCTCTCCAGACAGTGCTAGTATCTATTGGGATACTGCTCGTCCTGGGTATCATATGTTCGCTGACGACGAAAACCTTGCATCGAATCATCCTTTGGTTTGCTCCAATTAACAGTATGTGCTCATCTCATACACTTTGTATCATGCCTACTGACACCTTTAAGTTTTGGCTACCATCGGCATTTGCGTTGCACTCTTGTATCTCACCCCAGATAAGCAACCGGCCTCATGGGTCTTTACCCACTTCACCGACGGGTCTGGATGGGGATCAAAGGTGTTCTCATTCTTTTTGGGCTTCTTGTCTGTGGCATGGACAATGACCGATTACGATGGGACGACTCAGTTAGTATTACCCGAGACAATATGTTAAGGCCATTCTAACGTTCCTCATAGCATGTCTGAGGAAACGCACGATGCTGCCGTGCGTGGTCCAGTCGCTATAAAAACCGCCGTGCTGGTATCTGGAGCCTTTGGATGGCTTCTAACAGTCAGCATGTGCTTCTGCTTGACTGATTTCGAGGGTATCCTAAAATCTCCGACAGGTCTACCTGCTGCTCAGATATTCCTGAATGCAGGTGGAAGGACGGGCGGCACAGTGATGTGGGCATTCGCCATCCTCGTGCAGTTCTTTACCGGCTGTTCAGCCATGCTGGCTGATACACGAATGGCATACGCCTTTGCTCGAGATAACGCACTCCCATTCTCCGACTTCTTGGCCAAGGTCAATCCTTATACTCACACCCCAGTCAACGCAGTCTGGTTTGTGGTTTTCTTCAGTATTTCCCTGAACTTGATCGCCATCGGGTCAACCGAGACTGCCCTCGCCATTTTTAGTGTCACCGCTCCCGCCTTGGATATATCATATGTGTCCGTCATCTTGGCACACCAAATTTACAAGCACAAAGTCAAGTTCATCGAGGGACCATTCACCCTCGGGAGATGGGGTACTCTTATCAACTACATTGCAGTAGTCTGGGTGCTATTTATTAGTACCATCCTCTTCTTCCCATCACAGCTGCCTGTGACACCTGCCAACATGTACGAGCCCCCTCAACGCTATAAATCTCGCATCATACTAACAGCGCTTTGCCAGGAACTATGCGATCTGTGTGGCAGCTTTCATTGCCGTATTCGCCTTTGTCTGGTGGTTCGTTGCAGCCAGAGGGTAAGACATGACCTTTTCTTCCTGGATGAAGCAGCAAGTACTGACAACTCCCTAGCAAATACACTGGTCCTCAGACCAACGATATTATTAACGAAATTCCCAGCGAGGACAACGAGGATGACTGCGAAGAGCCTGATGATTTCTCGGTTTGAGATGTCGCATTTCATCAGACATGAGTACATGTTGATATACATTTGCATTTCTTGCTGTTAATGAAATAGACGAATACCGGCTTAGAGAGGGAAGATTGGAGTTCAGTTGATTTTTTGTTAGATGTTTTCGGGTCAATATGTCGTAATGTTTAAGCTGACAGTGTCATTCCATGTGTTATGATAGATAGAGGCAAATAAAATCTTTGAGGCAAGAGACGTGAAGAATTTCGGCCAGTTATACCCCAGTTCGTCTTTCCCTAAACCTGGCTCTGAAGCAGATGACTGAAAACACGTATGTTTTCAAAATTTCCTCACGAGTTTGGACTCATCAAACTCCAATTTAGCATGGTGACCGCAAATAATCCCGTAGTCTCGGAATATGCACGGCTCCTTTCAAAATAAGTGCTCCCGCCTTGGATGTTGCAAACTCCCACGCCAAAAAGCTCCATGCTTAGCACATTAAACGTGATCCACATTTGGCAAATGACTCGCAGAGAATGTGAAAATAGAAGCGTTGGGAATGCTTCTAGAAGATGACGTAGTGATCTGGCAAATTTGGGGGTGGGTCCTTCCCCAGACTGTGGTCAAAAAAGTAAATACATACATCTTTATGTACATGTACCCAATATGCACCTCATCCATCGATCCAGTATAGATGGCGATTGTTACGCTCATGTGGGATCCCCACGCATTTCGTTTGCGTATTGACCTACAGACATAGAACCTCTGAGACACTAGGGCATGAGGAATATAAAAAACAATTACCCTTCAAGACAACCAATAAGTTGTTATCACGAGTGTTTGACTTGATTATCCTTGGAATATCAATTCCTGAAACCTATATGTACATGTCTTAAGGCTTTGTGGCAGGGAATTTACCACTGCCCAAGATATCACCATCCTCGGTTTTTCCATTCAGAGCTCGGTCGATGCGGAACTGAGAAGTTTGGAAAAGTCGAGGCATACTGGTTTCCTCAAAAGGAATATCTTGAACGATCATCTTGGCCAGCTCTTTCGATGACAGCCAAATGACCGGCATACCATGCCCATTGAAGCCTGCAAGGATGTACTGGTCCTTACCGCCAGGCACAGTTCCGATATGAGGGTTCGAGTCGTAAGAGTATCCCATAACACCCGACCAGATCTTGTCTATCCTGGCACCAGTATCTTCCCATCCACAGTAGGTTTTCTGCATGTAGTCGTTGTAGTAGTCCTTTGCAGAATCGATGAGGATGCCATCGTCCACATTGTTATACCACTGTTTCTCGTGTTTCCGGAACACTGCAGCAGCACCTCCGACAATGATACTGCCGTCAGCACGGGGAATAAGATACGACAGTACATTTTCATCCGTTCGGTTGATATAGGAGTTATTCAGGAGGGGCGCAGTCACTCCATCTGGAACGGTGATCCTGCAACATATGCCTTTGCATGGAACAATGTTCTTCTTATACTGTGGGAGGACACCCGAGACATAGGCGTTGTTTGCGTAGACGACCTTTCCAGCACGCATCTTGCCTCGAGGTGTCTCCACGATAAATCCGCCTTCTGGATCAGCGGTTACTGATGTGACCGGAGTGTTTGTTTGCAAGTTGACGCCAGCATCAACAATCAGCTCCACTAGATGCATGATGAACTTGTAGGGCCACATCGTCCCAGCAGTGAAGCTGGCACAAGCCTTGGCACCTTTCACTCCGCAGATCTGGAAGGTAAGTGTCAGTGTGTAGTCTTTGCTAGAATGTAGATAAGCGATTCACTTACCCCTTCCACATTGTCGCCGGAGTAGAAAATTACATCATCCATATACTCGAATCCCTCGGAAACCATGCGGTCATATACAGATTTGGCCTTCTCTGCCGCGTCTGCGTTACACCAAACATCGATCGACCGGGTTAGAGTGAAATCACAATCGATCTTCTCTTGCTCAATGGTCTTTTTCAGAGCGCGTAGATTGTGAATTTCAAACTCGGCAATCTCAGCTCCAGCCCGAGCTCCCGCACGGTCCACGTATGTTGGAATATGACCATAGAGGTCGGGTCTGGCATGACCACCGTTCCTGCCAGTTGCCCCCGAGCAAGCACCTCGGGCCTCTAGAATAGCGATGGACCTGTTCACATCCCCATGGTCTTTGACGAGGTGGTAGGCAGTGCCGACACCAGCATATCCAGCACCGATAATCACGATATCACTGTGCTCGGGCAATTGTTCTGTTGAACGATGATCATGAAGCTTGTGCCGTGTTGTTTGCCAGAACGTCTCGCCAGGGTTGTTGGCAGGGAGACACTCGGGAGTCCCGGCAGTTTGAGGCGAATCTCTACTTCGAGTGGGCAAATCTTGAGTTCTGACAGGCATGGTTGAAAGAAGAAACTGATAACGAATAGACAGAATAGACTTGGAAAGGCAATCAACAGAGCACGCGGATCAGGACATAATTAAGTTTCCGGTGATTTTGGTAGAGTTGAGTGTCTTTACGGCGATAGTCCGGAGACCGGAACGTTATCGGCAAACGAACTGGCCACTCATGCCAAGTGCGCTTGCCCCCCGGGCCGGAGTTTCCTTTTCGGGCCTTAACCTTAAAGCCTAATCTCGACCCATGAGTCGAAGATGCACCTCCCCGCATGATGCCTCGACATCAAGAGTCAGTGCTCAACCTTCCATCTGAAAGATAGTCGATGTCTAATCTTCATTCTTTTCTTGCCGGTATAGATCCGGTCGCTTGGACCAACGACAAACGAGCGATTACCAATGCCCCCAAGGTGACCTGCCGCCATGCGTCGTGATTGGTGTCCGACAGATCGCCAAAAACAATATGCATGAAAGTGGAAAGTAGTACAAATTTCCCACGGCAACTCCAATTATTCAGTCTTCTCCAAGAAAATTCTGTTTCGACTGCTTATTCTTCAAACATGACCATTTCCGCCATGTCGGAGGATCATGATATTCGCATTACCTCTTCGAAAGAGAAATACCCCGATTACAACGCCGAGATGACCAAAGAGGAAGATGTGGAGAATTCTGCTGGGCAGCTGGAAGAAATCCACAACCTGCGACAGGGACTCCACCAGCGACACATCCAGATGATCGCTCTCGCCGGTACTGTTGGAACGGGTCTGTTTCTCAGCTCGGGTCGCGCCATCGCCCACGCCGGCCCCTTGGGAGCCTTCCTGTCATATTCCATCATCGGTCTAGCAGTGTCTAGTGTTGTTTTTGGCGTCGGTGAGATGGGTGCTTTGTGCCCTCTCAACGGAGGAGTCATAAGATATGCAGAAATCTTCTTTGATCCTGCGCTGGCCTTCGCCAATGGATGGAACCAAGTGTACTCCTATATTGTGTCCATCCCAGCTGAATTGGTCGCATGCGCCGTCATTGTTGAGTTCTGGATCACTGTCAGCAGTGCTATATGGATCACCGTATTCGGTCTTATCATGACTATCACGGCGCTACTCTTCGTCCGGATCTACGGAGAGCTCGAGTTTGGATTCTCGATTCTCAAAATCATGTTGATTATCGGTATTAACATTATGGCTTTGGTCATCACCTGCGGTGGAGCGCCAAGTCACAAAACCATAGGCTTTGAATACTGGAAGGCTCCGTATGGCCCCTTTGTCCAATACCTCGGCATCAAAGGCTCACTGGGCCGTTTCCTTGGATTTTGGGCCACATTCAGCAATGCTCTATACGCTTATTCCGGCATTGAAAACATCACCGTTGCAGCTGCAGAGACTAGATGTCCTCGGCAAGCTATCCCAATGGCCGCACGACGCATTTTCGTCCGTATCCTGCTATTCTACGTTATTACGATATTCATGGTTGGTTTAGTTGTATCCTCTGCCGACCCGAGCCTACTCCAAGACTCCGGCACGGCGGCCCAGTCTCCCTTTGTTATTGCCGCCCGGGATGCCGGTATCAAAGTGGTTCCATCAATCATCAACGCCGTTGTTCTGACCTCAGCCTGGTCATCAGGGAACTCTAACATGCTCGGCGGCTCTCGAATTCTCTACGGAATGGCAATGCAGGGTCATGCTCCCGCTGTCTTCAAGCGTCTTAACCGCTTCTCAATTCCCTACGTCGCCGTTGGCCTTTACAGCATTTTCATGGCTCTAGGCTACATGGCTCTCTCTGATGGCGCATCCCTGGCCTTTGAATGGCTCCAAGATTTGGTTTCTATCTCTACCATTGTAAACTGGATAACTATAATTGTTGTCTATCTTCGGTTTCTATATGGATGCAAGAAGCAGGGGATCGACCGGAAGAGAGAGTTGCCTTGGGCGGCTCCATTCCAGCCTTATGGAACATGGTTTTCCTTGGTCATCTTCGTCCTACTGTTCCTGACTGGAGGTTATTCTACATTTATGAAGGGACATTGGAGCACTGAGACCTTTATCTCGTCTTACTTCAATTTGCCGTTCATCCTCATCGTGTATTTCGGATACAAGTTCTGGATGAAGACCAAGATCATTCCATTGGAGGATATCCCCATTCGGCCTTTTATTGAGCATTATCGGCAGAATCCTGAGCCAGAACCGGCGCCTAAACGTGGGCTCCGGCGACTGAATATCCTGTGGTCTTAATGCCGGGAATGATTTGGTTGAATATAGCAAATGCAATTCTTTCTATTTTAGCACATGAAACAATCTCCATGCAATTTGTAGAATAGTTGATCATCAAGTTTATTTTTGGAATAGTGATATAATGCTTGAAACTATGCCATGGAGACAGTCCAAATATGAAGCCGGACTTGAACAACGTTCCACTACATATAATTCGGCTTCATGTCCTTTAAAAGTCGTTTGAAATCTGTATCTATAATTTATCGGGAATCTTAGGTAGGTATCTCATATATCCTTCTCATACACGAAATCTTGCGGTGATTTTGATGCGGGCTAGGCTTTCTAACTAGGAAGGCCACGTTCCTAGGGATTGAAATGAGAAAAGGAGCCCGGGCCTGCATACAGCTATATCTATGAATGAATGGTATGAGATAGATATCAATTCACTCGAAGTATTTTCACTTGCATTAACCGTTGAGTTCCTATAACCGTTGTCCAGTTGGTGATGGATTACGTGATCCTCTTACGGAATCGGAGAGATTGGCTTATCTCACTTCGCTCCACTCCGTTCGTCGAGAGTGCCCTCCGAAGCTCAGTTTGAATGATAAGCAGTACTGACAAGGGCTACCATTTTGCTCCTTTGAATTATCTATTGAGAGATAGGGGTTGAATATCAAAGTCATCCCTGGAAGCCTGTTGATAAAAAGTGCTCTGTTGTCCAATCAGATTAGACCGGACCGGACCTTCCCGATCAGGAATAGTGTAGACCGGATCTCACGATGGCAGTTGGGGAGCTTTTGGTGCGGGGAGAAATCCACGGTGGCCATCAAATTGTCCTTTCATTAATTTACGAAGCTTATCTTCTTCTTTTGGGCTTGAACCTTGCAATTGAATTGAGAAACCCCAATTACACCATCTTCAGAGTCTCCGAGAGCCTTGAATCCCCAATTACTTCTCGGCAACGCAAACAACATCTTTCTGAATCCCGCAATATCACAATGACTGGCCAAAAACACGTCATTTTTGACGTTGTCGGAACATGCGTCTCATTTGACGCCTTCTACAATGGCATTGAAAAAGTCATGGGTCAACGTCTCCTGGCTCGAAACATCACAGCTCGCTCCTTCGGCTTCACCTGGATGACCGCAGCCGAATTGGAGTTCACCTTTCTCTCAATCTCTGAACGCTACAAGCCCTACAAAGAAGTCATGTCTGCCCTCTTCTTCCGCACGTTATACATGATGGGTGTTGAGGACCCGCGTGCCTTCGCCACTGAAGCCGAGCGAGACCAGTGCGCCCAGGGATACTCGGAGTTGGAACTACGCCCAGGAACTAAAGACTGCTTTGCCAAGCTGCGCGATGCTGGGTTCACTGTTTGGTGTTTAACAACTGGTGATACCAAGCGTGTACGAGGATACTTTGAGCGGGGTGGTGTTGACATGCCACTTGAGAACTTCATTAGTTGTGATACAGCTGGTGTGGCGAAGCCTGCGCTGGCGGCATATAGGCCTGCTTTGGCCCAGTTCAAGGAGGAAGATAAGAAATGGTTTGCGGCTGCCCATATGTGGGATGTGAGTGCTGCTGTGAAGGTAGGGTTCCGGGGCGCCTATTGTACTGTGTATGAGAAGGAATCGTGCGCAGAGATCTTTGATGCCGAGTTGGAGGTTATTGAGGATACCTTACCTGCTATGGCGGATAAGATTATTGCGGCTTCACTCTGATAGAGTATTTGTGATTAGATTAACATCAAATGAAAAAAGGATTATTGTACATGACTATGTATACAAATAGTCTCGCAGAGCAGTTCAGTGTCGGTTCATATCCATACTCTGGGCAGCACCGTATTCCGGATTCATGAGGAATTGCTCCAGTACCTGTGTCTCGGTCCAAGTGGGCCATGCCGCCGAGGGCGATGTGTTTTCGGCACCAAAGAGTGGTATTTCAATAATTGGGTCAAGCGCGCCGAGCATACCCATGTCTCGATCGGACATAGACAAAGATGCTTGACTGCAGTCCATGTCCATGATCCGGCCGTAGGAGTGAGAATAAAAGCCCGACGATTGACCAGTTAGTGGTCCCACGTCATCGGGTTGAGCAGGCGAAGAGTCTGCAGCAAAATTAGCCGCTTCAAGCATGTCACCTTTCCTCAATCTAGCGCCCCAATGCTTGAATGTTTCGTAATCTGATATAGGACGCTCAGATAATGTCATACTGCCCTGTTGGGACTGCTGGACTCCGGCATGAAGACGCGCTAATGCACGCTCAAGCGTCTCAATTAAAGACACCTCGGACTGAGCCGATTCGCCAGCGGCGGACATTTCTCGAATCATGTCCAGCCCTTTGTAAAGCAAGTTTCGAAATTGCTCAGAAAAGTTTTGGATGGAGTAGGCAATCAACACGAGGAGCGACGCTCGGCATGAGCTATATTCAATGTAGGACGCACGCGCAAGGCCGGATCCGCTATCCCTTAATTCTTGTAGAATACCCAGTGCTTCCGTTGCTGCCTCGATACAATCATCAATCAAGTCTTTGCGACTCAACGAATACTTGAAACTTGTACTATCGGAAGTGGCGTTTCGATCGGCGACACTGGGCTCCGAATCTGCTGGTGAATTATTCAAAGATTCCGAAATATTCTTCTTCAGCAGGAACGGTCGTCCGATAAACATGCGAACCAAGCAATATTCCAGCTGGAGGTGCATCACCGAGCGAAGTTGGGCTATCGGCTGCAGACTGCTGCTCACGATCTCCTGGGGAAGAGAGCTCCACCACTCCTTGAGTGCCGCTTTGCTCGTCAGGAGGTGGGATATAATTTTGGAAATTTGTTGTTTGTGGCAAGTCCGAAGGTTGCTTCTATAGAAATGTCAGACTTGGTCGTATATCGAGCCCATTAACACGTACACGTCGCGAAATATATCTTCCAGAAAATGAATCAACTGGATCGAGGCTTCGGCACGGGCGACACTTGTGCGAGTGTCATCCAATGCTAAGTCAGACCGGTATATAGGGAGTGCCGCGTCGACATCGGTTCTGAGCACTGACAAAGGTCTGCCGTGGAAGATGGAGATTTTTCTGGCCTCTATCAGTACGAACTGTTATCCATAATCAAAACCTAGCTTACCTTTCAAGTAAGTATGCTGTCCACCATACACGATTGCGGGCCTCGACCATGGTCGCACTGAAGGCATCATTCTTGCATTTTCGATGCATGCCATTCTGCATTCCAAGCCGGATTGCAAGGTTAATGTAAATATACCCTAGCCCTGACGTATCAACAGGCAGTGCATAGTAACCAAAAAGAAGGCAAGCTTGAACACTCTCGAGAGATGATAGCTCGATGATCTCTGGAAGTAGTCGAATGGCTTGCTGGTAGAATGTCGCACCGATATCTTCTTCAGAGAAATTTTGACTAGAAGTTCCGGTAGAATTTTGTGTCGAAGATTCGAGGTGTGCATATTGGGACCCGATCGCAAAGACTGTGAGTAAGATGCTGATGATCACCTCACCTCCCTTTTTGGCAAAAGTACTAGGGTCTCCATAGAGAAGATTCATTCGTTCGAAGAACCAACTCCTGCCAATGAAAAAGTAGTGGGTCTCGGCATATTTGAAGAAGTTTCTTGCCAGAAATTCGGCGATTGGACGAGGGGGGCAACATGATATCGCCGCCGCGAGGTGATCCCGCCCTGGGCGTAATTGATGAGCTCGTGGGAAATCCCAACCCATTTTAGGCTCGTTTGCCTGGTAATTATGCTTAATCAGCCTTGATTTGCCAAAACATTCAGAGGGAGATGGAGCATACCCGACTCTCCAATCCCCCCATTCGTTCAATATGTTGCTTCAGTCGCATGGAGAAATTCCAATATGAAAATTCCCCAGAAAAGTCTGGACAAAATCAGTGAGTTGATGCACTGAAATTGGTTGAATAAACTGACGCGTAGTGTTGTCTCCTACTGGATCCATCGTACACGCCTCGTCGTCCATCACTAATCCTTCAACCTCTTGGGCGTCCGATCCGACAACACCCGCGCTATCACCGTCGACATCAAGTGCATCCGCCAGTTTGGCGAGGCTCTTTGTATCAAGTCGGATGCCTTCAATGGTACGTTTTAATATACGCTCCATATATCTGGAGCGGCCGATCAATTCTTGAAAGTCAGACTTGGCCACTCGTTCCCTGTATATCTTAGCGGCTTCCTATTCCGATAAAGAAATCATAGCAACATACTCTGGAACATATGCCCTGAATTCACGCATTCTTGAAGTTGGCCCTTTCTCACATACTCGTTCGAAATGGAGACACCTCCTACATGGGGGTCCACCCTCGCACTTCTCCTTCAAGCGCCGACACTCATCACAGCTGTACGGAATTTCTTAGAAATCAGTCATATTATTGAACTCACCCTTAATACTTACGCTCGAATTGCGCGTTTCCGGTGGTCCATTACTCAATATTCATTCGTACTGAGTAGTCAATTGGCTAAAAGGAAGTAGCAATCGACTGGGAAGTACAATCAAGACCGCCAAAAAGTGGGGTCAACCACGTGACCTGATCGGCGATAAGGAACCCACCAATCACGGAACTCCAGAGTAGTTTAAGCTCCGAGGCCAGAAAGCCATTTTGACACGCACCTTTAGATAACAGAAATCCATCAAATCAAAAGATCATTCCCTAATTGAACTCCATTACGTAGCCTCTCAATCTCCATAGCAATGCTTGTCTCAAACCCATAGAACTTATGATCCTCGGCCAGCTGCAGTACCTACAAACACCACCAAAACTGCAAGCATATGCAGCAGTGTACGCAACAATATCCTTTGGCTCCGACGATGTCATAAAAATTGCCAATGCCACAGCAACTACCAGAGCAGAGCAAACCGTAGTAACCAAGTTCCTTATCCAAAAAGGGTTCAACACCATTATCAGCATAGGAAAGACTAGTGCAAGTCCTCCGCCAAGAGCCATTGTGAGACGAACCCAGAACTTCTGTTTAGCCATTGAAATCTCTTCCTCTAGAATACCTGACCGAGTAGCATTCGAGAAGAAGAATTCAATTTTATCTCTTACCGACCATATTTGCTGGTCTATTCTCTGGGCTGCGTCGGAATGTGGTTCTAGCTTCGCTGATTCTGATTGTAGAGTGTCGATTTTATTCATCATCATCAGAGAGACAGCTTCTAGATTTACTCTTCCGAAGATCCAGCTCGATTTCGAGCGAATTGTAAGATAATCTTGGATAGCCTTGGCTACTTTCCCTCTCAGATCATTCATTTTGCGAGTCATGGTTCAGAGAACTCACAATGTTGGTCAAGATCATTCTGTATGTTACTGGTCACACCATGATCTGTGAAATCAGGAGAATTCATTTCGGTGCAGTACTTCAGATGTTGTGCACGAGTGTATAGAACATTGTATTGATAAAGACGTTCAATTGACAATATGTTAGGAGGAGCTTGGACGTGTGGCTTTCTTTTTCTGGATCGGGTGAAACCGTAGGGAGAAAAGAGAATTGATCGAAGAAAGATCGAGGCAGGGGACCTCTCGAAGGTCACATCGCCGAGGTTACCCGAATCATCCATTCTCACCCTCACTTCGATGATGATAAATGTGGCCACAGAGAACTGAAGGGGGGGGGGGGGGGGGGGGGGGGCGTCGGAAAATGGAGTTTACTCGAAGGCAAAATCATGAAAAGAGGGCAGTTTTGGGCTCAAGATTTGGTATCAGTAGAACTACGTCTACATTTCACGCATCAACTGATGCCCAACGCACTACTACCCAATGTGTGTTGCATAACCAACTAGCCAGCAAGAGTGAGTACCTGCTTTACTGTATTTTTTCTGATGACAATCTGGGGAAGGATCCAACCCCAAATTCGACAGGTCGCTACCTCATCTTCTACAAGCATTCCTAGCATTCCACTAGTCCCTCTCTTGAATTCTTAGTCCAAGTATCTTATCTGATATTTGGAGATTGAGGTGATTTCTCTTTCTCTGCAACAACACATTTTAACAGAGAGAACTCTTTTCGTTCCATGACGCCATTCCCAAAGTCCTTACAGTAGGCGTTGAGGGACTAATACATGTTCTATTGCTGTCGTCATTATACGCCAAACACAATCAACACTCATATGCGTTCTTTCATCCAACTCCCGCGGCTCTTATAAAATGGTTGAACATGACAGAATAAACATCGATGCATATTCCTATCATTCCCCTTGGTTTTATTTGTGTGGCTCCTGTTGCAGTAGTAAGGTTGTGAACTCTTTGTTTGATTGAGATCTCGGACGGTGTATATTGGACCTTGGAGCAGAAGGCACGTCCCGGACAGTATCAATTTGCAAACTTCTTGTCAGCAAAGGTTGGCCTGAACATCTGCTGCTTGCTCTCGCTTGCTGCCTTGGCCCCCCACCCTCAGATATAAAAAAGCTCTTCCTCACCCCCTCAGCTGGAATCATTTCTCCATCTTCAACTATTTAACCTTCCACCCTCACTACCTCCCCCCCCCCCCCTCCCTGCCTCGTCCCCCTCCACTTCCTCTCTCTTTACCTAAATGAACATCCATTCATTCTTCTACCTGATTGGTAGACTACAATATATGATATCCATGTAAACCTCTTTATTGATGGCATTACAGATGTGATTGAGCAATCTCATCTTGATGTTGGCTTAATGGGTACGCAACAAAAATACATAGGCCCTAGCATGCGTGTGAGTGAAGATGATACTGAGGTCGGAGGAATTGAGATCTACATAACTACTCAATATAGATGATGAAAGTTCTTGAATGCTCCGATGCTGTTCGAGTTATAAGGTACATCATAGAGTATAAAAATACATGTCATGCCAACCTAATTTCCTGCCACCACAGCCAAGCCCTCGTAAATCTTCCTCTTCACAGCGAGGAAGCTCCCAGCATTACGACCAAGAGCGGCCTGATTCGCTGCCGCCTGTGCTGCAGCTTCGATCTCAATTCTGCCCGTGCCAGACTTCCGCACGGCGACGGATTTGTCGATGAGAAGGGTACCTTCTCCACGGAATTCAGCCGTGTGTCCAGCGGCTTGCATGAGTTTGCGAAGATCAGCCAGACGAAGGTCACCGACGTGAAAAGGGCGTGCCATAGACCGAGTACCGGCAGCCATGCTGGCTGGCAATGTATCGAGGAGAGGGAAGGCTTCAGACTTATCAGCGGTTTTGGCAGGACCGTCGATGGTCGGAGCTACTGCAGACGAAGCCGCTTCGTCCTTGACTAGCTTCATCTTCTTGCCAGCTACGTCGGCGTCAGCCTCCTCCTCCTCTGCGGGAAGCTTGGGAGCCCGAAGTTGTGCGGTCAAAGCGACAACACCGAGGCTGCGAACATGCTGCCAGTTGAGACGTCTAACGAGACTGTTGCTCAACTTGACCGTCCAGGCATTGGTATCGACACTCGCGTCAACGGGCTCTCCATTTGCAGGTGTGAAAATGATAGCAGCGGCATCAGCACTAGTGGTCGAGGCATCACCGCCAACCTTCACAGTGAGCAGCTTCTTACACTCATCTGCCAAGGCCAACGTTTCATCCTTCATACCGCCGACAAGAATCAGCTTTTGTGGCTGGATAAGCGGAATCAACATCTCTAGGCTGCGCTTGTCGTGCAAGCCCATGAAGTCAACAAAGGCAATGCGGGCGTTGATCGTTATCGACTCTTTGTTGTATACGGCCTTGGCAGGACCCTCGAATGATTGCGGGTCTGCCTCCTCTTCCGAAGATGCGGCGACATCAGCACCTTCACCATCCGAAGAGAGGCTGAGGTCATCCCTGGCGCCAGAATCAACCTTTTGGCCGTTTGTCGACAGATGCTGGCGCTTGCGACCTCCAGCGCCGTCCGATAGCCTGCGTCCACCAGCTCCAGCCGCATCATCCCAACGTCTTTTCTGGCCAAGCTTTGTCTGCGCGTCAGATCGTCGTTGTTGCATGTCGATTTCTTCACGCTCCTCTGCTCGAAGGTACTCTTCTGGCCGAATGAACTCTCCATACTCATCACCTCGCTTGCGTGGTGCCACGTATGGAAACATGCGTTCACGTCCCTTCTTGCCTCGCACGTCATAGTCGTAGACATTCTTGCGTCGAAGAAGAACGTTGATACCCAAATCTTCATCAGTAAGGGCTAGTTTACTCCGGTTCGAGTGCGCGAGCGTCGTTGAAAAGTTGAGAACTCGGCCCTGTTGTTCAGTGTCGGAATCTTCAGAAGAAGTAGAGCTGGATCGGTCGTCCAGTACATCTGCCGCAATCTCAAGATTCTCCTGTCCTCGTGCCTGGGAAGTATCTTGGAGCTGTCGTTTTGTAGCTAGGTATTGCTGGTAGAGTAGTTGATCCCTCACATCCAGAGGGGCACGCTGCACGTCGGTCCAGGCCAATTCCCGTCCTCCGCTGTGGACTTGTTCGAGGAGTTCTCCATCGGGTCCTTTCTCCAATGCGACTCCATCCCTCCGTTCCTCATACCATTGCCATATCATACTTCCGAGAGATGCTGTACTGGAGAGTTCCTCGGTTGCTTCGGGCATTGTGTTTCGGAAGGATTCGGTCAACAACAGCAAATTGTTAGGACCTTCGGCAATTTGTCGGAGTGACTCTTTTGAGAAACCCCAAGCCAGAGAGGTATCAGAGGCAAGGATGACTTTTGGTCCCTGGTCAGCCAGTAGCTTTTCGAGACGCTTCTTGCGCTCTACAGTCTTGAGGTGCTTGAAAGTAAAGGGACCAACGCCTTTCCCGCTTCCCTTGTCATTTCCCTGTCCGCCAGTCTTTTGGCCATCGGCACTCTCGGCCGCCTCGAACTCTCGAACGATATTCTCGTCCATCCACTCAAGCATACTTCGGGCGAGTCGCAAGGTAGTGTTGACTTTTCTGCCGGCTAAGTAAAGACCTGCACCTTGGAGGACATCACCCTTCTCGCCAGTCGACGCATCACGCCAAGCGTGCTCGAGCGCATACGCCAGTTCAAGTACACGCGAACTTGTATCCGTTGGGATGAGTACGGTACCACCTTTAGCTAGACTGCTTCGGATCATGTCAAGCAAAAGATCGTCTCTCTTCTTCCGGCCACCGGATACTGCAATATTGTCACCTCCCTTTGTACTACAAATGAGAGCTGTTGGCTTTCGCAATTGCTCGATAACCTCAGTTCCACTCGCTCCAGAACCACCGAACCATGCGGCACCTGCCACGACACTCTCTCGCGCCTGGTTCCAGTCCATCGCGTAAACGATGGATTCCATTCCATGCTGGATGTGCCATATCGTTCCTCCGACGGTGTGTCCAGCATTGTAGGCAGTTAGTGTGAGTCCGTCCAAGGGCGGCGAAAACGGAGACGGAAGTGGTTGATGAGGCTGTGAGTATTTGAGAGGTTGGATAAGGGAGAAGTATCGAGCAATTTCCTCCGTTGTCGGTGCTTGAAGAAGAATCCGACCTGAGCTGCCAGCAGCTTCGGTGCCATCTTCACCGTCTCCCACCGAGCCTACTGCGGATGCTGCCGAGGACGCGCCAGGTTCGGAGATTGAGACTTTTGGCAGGAATGTTGCCGCGAGTGGCGATGAAACGTAGAGGTCTTGCAAGCATGTGCGGCCGAAAGCAATAACGGGGCTCGTCGCGAAAATCGGGATCTGAGTGAATAGAGGGAATGTCCGACAGCAGTGGACGAAGGCACCAATATGCGCCGGAGTCGCGTGGGTCAGGAGGATCAATGAGAGGGTTGGTATGTGCCTATTCAAAAAAAATAAAATTGGTCAGCTTGCATCATTCAAGTAGCATGGAGAAGCGCGGATTCAAGCTCACTTCTCAAGCTCTGCCAAGTCACGAGTATCGAAGGATTCGTCCCAACCAACGTCCACCAGGATCTTGATACCACCATCGAGTTCCAGGATGGACTGCGATGCCCTCGAGGATGATGACTGTGCCCCGAGCAGGGGAGTGAATGTGAACATTGTGATTGCTTGTCGTTTAGAGACGGGAGCATGCGCAGGTGGATCTGGTCCGGCGTATTCGCGACGCGCGCAATCGGGCCAATTAATCGGGTTGTCGTTCAAGAAATTGAGTATTTCATCACCTCATAGTGGTCAGCAAGTCTGCCTTGCCTCAATCGAAGCGCAAAGAACAAGGGATCGGGCAGAGCTGAGTGGGCGGGTTCCTGTGACACTCCAGTCAGAGCTGCCTTTGCTTAGTCGGGGCCCGACGAAAAACGGTGTTTGTACTGTTTGTTTCCCTGGTCAGGTGATCTGGAGGTTGCCCAATCACGAGGTTTCAACTATATAATCCTCGACAAGTAACTGGTAGCAGATCTACGCTTGTTTTCGAATTAGAAAAAAGAGGAAGTCTATTGATTTACAGGAATAGCTCAAGTCAAATAATGAGAAAGTAAAACATGCACAAAGTTCAAAACTCCCCCCATCGACCCTATTCTAACCTGCTAACCATACAGAGTCACGAGATATATCGCGGGCCTCAATTTCAAGTCGCTGCTCGAAACCATGCAAAATCTTGCAGGTTTTGCTGTCAGATATCTTTGCAAGCGGCACAGTTGAAGTCTGCCCCTTTCACAAGTTCAAAAAATTACGCATTCTCAAATCTCCTATACCAATAATCAGTGAGTCTTCATATCATGCACTGACTATTCGTCACTTACCTCCCGCGGCCTCTTCATATTCGTAAATGGCCTGTTGGCTGTAGGAACCTTGACGAAGTTTGCCTTGACATGAGTTTCGACCTTTTCAGGAATTACAGCACCAGCCCATGTTCGGATTCGACGAAAGGCCTCAACGTCGGGATAATGTTTCCGGCGCGCTTCGGGATCCGCGACGATCTCATTGCACATCTGGAGATACTTGGTAGTTTCGTCGGGCTTCTCAGGCGGGAACAAGATCTTGTCTATTTCTCGCACGGGCTCTCCATTGAGGGCGGTGGAGCTCTCTGCTGTTTGAGTCGAACCTGCATCGGGAGGCTGAAATGGGTATTTGTCTGCGTCTTTGCCACTACCAGTTTGTTGAGCTTGTCCATCTTGTTGGGCTTTTGCTCTGTGCATGTCTTCCACTTGAGAACGAGCTCTGTTAATATCTGAAATCTTATCCAACATAAGGTATATTTCCTCTGGAGCGAGGATGATTGGACTCACGGGCTGGTTCGCGGGCGTGCCATGGCGATTGTGCTGTTCAAGCAAGCAAGTCAGTATCAGTGCACAATCAGGATCAAGATCCAAGACAGTTCCCTAAACAAGAAACCTCAAATATGCAAGGGGGTCATGAGAAGAATGTTCGCAAGATCTGACTCCTTGTTCCTGAAGCCTTAAGCACCAATCATGGCGAGCTATATAGCTCCAACACTCCACAGCTTTCAGTAGAAGCATGTCCTCCATAGAGAAGTATTGACACATTTGTCATGAAATCATCGGATAATCTTGAAAGCTTACAGGAAAAGACACAGAAACATTCTCGGAATCAAGAGCATAACGACAAACCAAACACACTTGTACTCACCAATTCGTGCAATTTCGCCTCCATCTCCTGCTGACCTTCTGGCCTCAGGAGGTACCCATTCGTTTTTATGTAAGGAAGAACGAATACTGACCAACTTCTCCTCAGATCCAATATCCCGGGCCCCCGCGCCTTTGTGTGTCTGCTGCTTATCGTCATTTACAGCTGCCTGCTTGGTTGTCTTCTTGGATTCCTTCTTGGATCCCTTCTTGGTTGCTTTTGTACGTGTGGGAAGCCGCTTCTTAGTAGCTTTGACCTCTAGCACAGCAACCGGGTCGAGGGAAGGATCCTGCTGGTCGACGGGTCCCAGCGTTCCTTTCATATTCTTCTTCATTACTGAAGCAATGGGAAAATCCTTTTCCTTATCGGACACGTCCTGGTCCGGCTGATACTTGAGCTCCGGGCGCCCATGTTTGTCGTCATCAGGGAACGTTTGGTCCTTCGTCTTGAGTGCTTTTGTAGAAGCCAGGATTCGATTGAGGGTCGAACTGAGTGGAGCCACTGCACCGGAGGGATCCAAGCGCGGTGGGGGTGGTACTGGATCCTCGACATTGGCAACCAAGCTTGCGTATTGTTCATTGCGTATAGCATAGCCCAACTGCCGGCGAGAGTGTTTACATTGCAATGCCACCATAAGAAGTCCATGCGCGTACGCGTAAAGCTCTTGGCCTGTCAAATTGCCCCAGACTGAAGCTGGACCTGGATCAAAACTCCACTTGAGGTCTCCAAGCCCAAGAGTATTGTCATGAGCTTTGGGGTGGGTGTTCGGTGCCACCCCTGGGATGATGGTTCTGCCTGGGTGTGTCCTGATCAAGTCTCTCTCAATATGTGCGCCGAGATCTTGATCATCCAACAGAGTTCTCCAACGAGGAAGTGGCGCATTTTGTCCATAGTAGATTTTGGGATGACCTCGCGGAGCACTGGATACGGCGGGAAATTCCAAGCTTGTATCGGAGTCTGTGACTTTTCGAAGAGGGTTGATCACTCTCTGCAGCCGCTGTAATCTTTCTGGAGGCGGAGCCTTTGTCACAGCAGTCGCAGTAGCTGTATCTTCCGCTTTCTTGGTCTTGTGTTTCTTTGCCGGTGGACCAGTGGTGGGCGAGGTTGTTCCTGCCGCCGTCTTTGCAGTGGCAGCCTTCGATAAAAGAGCTGTATGGGACCTTGTTCGACGCTGCGTCATGATACTAGTCTAGTGCACAGACTGATCGTCAGTCACCTACCATATGATCTTGAAGGAGTTACGGCCGGATGGTAGCACATTGTATACTCACGATAGAACCTTTCTTTTGCGACGCAACTCGAGCGAGACAGTGGTTATGGAGAAGAACAAAAAGTGGTTGTGAGAAGTGTGTCTGATCAGAGCAATGAAAAGGACTGTATGTTTGGGCAGTTGGTCTCGAGGTGACCATGGCAGTTTAAAATTCCTGCGACTCGCCCAAACAGACAAAGGATTACCTTGTGTATGGGATCTAAATAGTTTCTTTGTTCTCAATCCCGTCGCCCCGAACCCGAACCCCTCAGCCACGGCACAAACTAATCTGCTTTCGAGGTCCCAGAAAGCAAACTTTCTTTGTCTGGAAATATCCTAGAATCTTCGAGTAGAATTTTCCCATGAATCGAGGTCTGTGAGCTCCACAAGACTCGAGGAAATTACAGTATCTGGGGTGAAATTAAGGAAGATCATCATGTACCTCGGTCAAACTAGTCGTGCAGCCGTGCAGTATGGTTTATGGAAAAATCTAGGAACCAGTTAATTCAATGAAACTTTTCGATACTTGATTGTGATAGAAAAAACGAACGGTTGAAATCTCGAGACGAAAGAGCGACCTCGCGGGAACAGCTCGAAGACAATGAAAGAGTCAAGCCGAGGGGAACAAGATAAGACGAACTGCGAACTGCGAACTGCTTCTGGCTTCTGTAGTCAATTGATCAAAGAGGGACGTGAAAACCAGACAAAGAGTCAGATTTTATTTACTCCAGAAGGGCAGAATCTTTGTCCTTGGTTCGCATGATTCCTCGATGCGTGTCGTAACTAGGCCGTGTGACAGGACACGTTCATCTCGCCTCCCGAAGGAGGTCAAATACTACTTTTACGAGCATATTTACTTAAATTTCATGTTCTGCAAAGACCTACACGTTCATCAAGACATTTTGAGGAGTGGTCTTCGTAATCCTCTATAACGCTGGATTGTAAAATGGAGGAAGTCGAGGATCAATGAATCAAAGAAGACGTGGCATAAAGAGGGTTCAGGCTTGTTCTCGAGAAAGTTCAGAGTTTTTCCTCAAGACGTCAAAGAAAGGGATGAAATACGTGCTATTTTGTCGAAAATATCATTAATCTACACATGACCACAACTTGATTGCATTTGAAGTCGATCTAACAAAGAAATGAGAGGTTCAAATTAACTCAATAAAACTGATTAGGTGGGAAGAGACGCCCGTCCATTCAAATAGTGAGTACAGCCCATCTGGAATGTAGGCATGCTACTCTTCTAGTATCATGCTCCTCGGTAGACGCGATCATATTACTCAAGGGATGCCTGGTATTGAAATCGACTCTCGCGTGCACATCAAAGAATGAAAATCTGAGGTGGTCCTCGCACAAGGATCCGGTAGCCCGAGGAACAAAGAAACGACACACAGCGGCCACATGTGCCCGCATATGCTGACAGACTCGCCCCGAAGTCGTATATTGCTTTGTCTTCCTCACACCTTGTTGTCTATCGCAGAAAACTCTAATGTCCGCGGAATTCGATGATTTTCTACCTACTATACGGGGTTCAAGTTACGGTAGACAGACCGTTATTCCTGCATCATAGCCGTTGATCCCTTAATGTCCATACCCCTAACCATGTGGCGATCAAATAGGATCACCCTCTTTTTACACAGAATAAAACCCCCCTGATGCAACGGATACAAGAAATAGATCAACGCAAATCAAAAAGCCAAATCCACCACCTCTAGAGGAAATTATATTAATTCTCTGCAGGCGATCAATCCACAAACTGAGAATGTCCACTTCCTTATTCCCCAGTATTTCACACATCACGAATTCATAAATCCTAGTAGCCTCTAACAAGCAATTATTTTCTGTCAAATCCATTTCAGGTTGCCCTGGCGAGCCATGTATAGCCAAGTTTACTGCCAATACCTGGGCTCGTCGAAGACGTGATAGCGGTGTCCGCGGACACCCTCGCCACGGAAGAGCGCAGGGAAGCGACGGCCAACAGGGACCAGTTCCTCCGGGACGCGGACTTCCTCCTCAGGCTCGGGCTCGCCGATGACGAATTTGCCGACCTACATCATAAGTTAGTCATATCATGTGGATATGTCAATTTGAAAGGGGATAGTAGCTTACCTGAATCTCAGTGTCGGTGATGGTGTCACGGCTGATACGGGCGTAACCAGTACGCTTCAATTTCTTGAAGAGAATGTACTCACACCAACGATCCCAATCGGTAGGATCGATATCCTTCATACCACTGATATCGCTGACATAGGTGTTGTAGTTACCCTCGAGCGGCTTGGTGACCAGATAACTCAACAGGATCAGGGGGCGAGGAGAAGAGCCCATCAGCTTGGACAGGTACTCGGTCTGCAGACGACGATCCTCGGGGTCCTCCTCCTGACCGGAGTGGAAGACGACAACGTCGATCATCTCGCCGTACATGTCGAGAGTAGCATGAATGGCAGGAGCCAGCTCGCCAACAGGCGAGGGGAGAAGGTGGTGGGTAGAGTTGACGATGGGGAACTTGGACAGCAAAGCAGAGCCCCAGGTGTGCTTGTTGGGACCAGGGCCAAAGTCGGCATAGTAGCCGAGGTCCTCTGCGATGTACTGAGTAACATCCTTGTTACCCATGATGACGCGCTGGTTGTCGGACTCGAGGAAACCAATCACGTCAAGCTCGAGCTCGCCCAGAACATCGCGCATGCGGCGCTCAGCAGCCCACATGTTGTTATCAAGACCGAAGTGGACGGTCCAGATACCAGCGGTAACAACCTTGTCCTCCTTGTGGTGGGGAACGTAGTCGTTGGTGGGGAAGCGGAGGTAAGCCACAGAGACGGAGAGCAGCTGCAGGGCCGCCAGGACGTAGATGTAGTACGAACGCTGGCGCTTGCTGTTGGGGCTAACAGGCTTCTTGCGGGAGGAGCGAGAGGAGTTGGTGGTCGCGGCGGAGAACACACCAGCGCCGATAGCGAGCATAGTAGTCATCATGAGCCAGTCAGTGTGCTCACGAACGAGAGGACCACCAGGAACGAAGGCATAGGCAACGACCCAGACGTGGAAGAGCAAAAGGAAGACGTAAAGGAGGAAACCAACGCCGAAGGTACTGGCGGCGCCGTGGCGAACACAGGAGGTGATCAGAACGGGAGCCACGGCCATAATGTAGAAGGCGAGCGCCAGGGCGCCGTAGAATCCAGTCCAGTGTTGGTAGTAGGTCAGAAGAGCCGCACCAACGGATCCAAGTCCAAAGGCCGTCCAGGTACCCGCAATCGCAGGGTTAAAGATACCATACACGAGGCCAGCGCCCATAACAAAGATGGTAACGGCACCGTGCGGCACAGCAATGGGACCACGAACAGGATATCCTTCCCAGACCCAGGAGATCATGGTGCTAGAGTCAGTCAGAAGCGAGACGATGGCAAAGAGAAGACCACCAAAGCCGAGACCGGCAAGGAGAGCAGAGCCCTTCTTGCCGCCAGCGGGCAGATAATCACCACCGCTAGTATTCGTGGGGCGCTGGGAGCGCAGAACGGCAAAAATAGCAAGGAACAGACCAATCTTGTTCCAGCCACCGTTCTCGGCGTGCATGATGGGCCAAAGGGGGTTGTTGGTCGAGCAGGCGAACTTGGCAATGACGGACAGGATCAAACCGATGCCCCAAGCCATGATGCGAGTCTCCAAGCGAGGCGTGTTGGCACGCTCGGCAAAGAAGGTAGCAGTCCATGCCGCACAGGTAATCGCGAGAGCGAAAGCAGTCACAAACAGACGGTGAGCGGGATTCGGGAACTTGTAAGCGAGAAGACCAGACAGCGAGATCAGATGGAGGAGTCGCAGATTCTTCACTGCAATCTGCCTGATCGATGGGATGGCAAAGAAGAAAGGCGAAACGACAGCAGCAATCGCAACCTCATAGCCTGAGATACCCATATGCCAAAGAGGGAAGTCTGTCATAGTTAGTACAATTAATATTCGAGAGAGGAAGTAACAACGGCCACTCACACCACACAAGCACCGGGAGACCGGTCACAATGGTCCAGAAGACAAACTAGCACATAGTTAGATGAAGTAAAGGTTAGGTTGCAGTTACAAAACATACCCCATTGTAAACATCCGCGGCGGCATCAACAATCTCGGTCCAGAAGAAGCCCTCGCCAAAAGTGTTGCCCACGACCTTGCCCTTCCTATACTACAGGTTAGCCTCCGTCGGGGCCGAGACTGGACTTAATTGGGATGTACGCACTCTTTTTCAAGAACAGAATCCGCGGTCGTTTTCAACTGTCTAAATTGATAATTTAGGAAATGTCTTTTTTCCATATCCAAACATGACATATGGCACTATACATTTGTCGTGGGTGTCATTTCGGAAGCCACGGTACATACCCTCTGCTGATACCCTTGATATCCCGAACCACAATCTCGAATCCTTCAAAGTCGAGAACCGTAATGGCATCGAAGCCAACATCGAACAGAATCAGGGACCACTCGAAGAAGGCGTAGCGGGTGTATGCTAGGAGATACGAAGGTATCAGAAATGGTCTTGCTAATTTCGAGTTTGATCAAGCCAGAACTTACCTCCAGCCACCTTGTGGACCTTGTGCTGAATAAAATAGTAGATCAATGGCACCAAGGTTCCGAAGAACAGGCTGGCCATGATCTTGCGGTACTTCACGGCACGGCGGTTGTTGGGGCTGAGCGCAAGGCAGCCCAGTGTCCACGGCAAAGTCGCAACAAGATACGAAATCATGAAGATATCATGCCAATCATGATCATCAGTGGATGTGACGTACGTCCATCCACCACAAGTCAAAGTGCGGAAGACACCCACACCAGCGACGATCTTAGGGAGAGATGAGTTAGGACGCGCGGTAAGCACGTACCACAGGAAGACGAGGGCGAAGCGAGGACCGGAAGTGATGGCGATGAAGACCTGGAAAAACGAGCGTTCGGGATAGCGATCGCCAATCGTGGCGGAGACGGAGGGAAACCATTCATCGGGGTAGCCGTAGTGTTCATTCTGGACGATCTTGTGATAATGCAACGCGCAGCCGACAATTAACGCGCTGAAGAACGCGGCATACGCGAACAAAGTGTGAGTCCATGCAATCCATTTTCCGTTGATCTGCGAAGTCAATCGAGTCAGCGCCTATCCGAGGGTCTTATCGTGTGTGTCAAGCACCACGTACCGCAACCACGGCATCTCCATCCTTGAATCTGGGAGCCATAGCGGCGCAGAGGGAGGTTGAGACTCTGCACCAATATATAGGAGAACCGAGAGAAAAGGTTGAAACGAGTGTGATGAATCGAAAGAATAGAGAACGACGATTTGTAGAGCAAGGGCCCCTGAGGAAAGGAAAACATTCGGATGCACCGGTGCTCCAGAGTGTCCTTGGACGGGCTGACTGCCTGGCTAACCCGATATGGTTTAGCGTGGGTGCCGGTGGTCGGTGCTTTGGTCAATGCGGGATGCCGACAACTTTTTTTTCTTCCCTGAAGATCAAAGATCACCAACGTCAACCATGTCCGTCGCCACAGATAAGGCTCGATTCTTTCTCGAGCAGTCGGTGCCCGAACTCAAGGAGTATGAGCGCAAGAAGCTTTTTACAAAGGTAAAGTTCCCCTGCGGTGACTTGGCCGGAGTCGCGCGCTGATGTTGACTTTTTTCTCTACAGGATGAAATCACTTCAATCATCAAGAAGCGGTCCGACTTTGAGCACAAGCTCAATGCGCGCGGAGCGGCTCCCATCGATTTTGTCCGATATTTTGAGTACGAGATGAACCTCGAGAACCTGCGTAAGAAGCGAGTAAAGAGAATGGGAATCCGAACAGCTGGACACAGCGGCCAACGACGCATTTACTTCATTCTTGACCGTGCCACGCGCAAGTTCCACGGCGATCTCAACCTCTGGATTCAATATATTGAATATGCGCGGAAACAAAAAGCCAATAAGAAGCTTTCTATCATCTTCACGGATGCCCTTCGGTTCCACCCGACCAGCGCTGAGTTGTGGGTTTACGCCGCCAAGTACGTTCTTGATGACCATGCGGATATGTCCCAGGCGCGGAGTTACATGCAGCGCGGTCTGCGGTTCTGCAAGAGCTCAAGGGATCTTTGGCTGCAATACGCCAAGTTGGAATTGATCTACATCGCCAAGCTGATCGCTCGTCAACGGATCTTGGGACTCGACGAGGAGCGGCCGGTGCAAGTCGAGACGGCTGGGGATGAGATGGGCGACATGGTTGCGCTCCCCGACATTACCGACGAAGATATCAACCCGACACGGAATGACGGTGAAGTTGATCAACAAGCGTTGCAAAATCTCAACTCTACTCCGGCGCTGACCGGTGCAATTCCCAGCGCCATCTTCGATGCCGCAATGAAGAACTTCCACAATGAGGACCGATTCGGAGCTGAATTCTACGAGATGGTTCTAGAGTTCCAGGATACGCCGTGTTTCCAGAAGATCCTGGGGCACGTGGTGGACACGATGCGGGCGCACAAGCCTACCAGCCCCCGGACGCAGATCTGCTACATCAAGTTCCCCACTGCAGGTGTTCATGTCACATCTGCAGAGTTCCCACGAGCCCTTGGTAGCTCGTTGGCCCGTCTCAAGGAGTCGGCTCTGACCCATGACCTGGCCCAGGAGGTGGTGAGCTGGCTGCAACCCCTCGCAGACACGGAGGACCTGGATCCTTCGCTCAAGAAGGTCATTCAGGCCACATTACGCACCGCCGAGCGTGCATCCTCCAAGGAGTAAACACCATTTCTGTTTTCTTTTAGCGTACTCGGGCATTCTTCTGCACATTTCAAGGCGTTGTTGGTCGGACGTGAAGCCAAAAATTTCCCAGGAAAGATCTAGTTTTTATTATGTGGTATATGTGCACAGTTCATAATGTTAGCTTCTTCTTGGAAGAGGATGATCAACAACTCGTTCTCCTCAATCATCGTATTTGCTTCCCCGGCGGTTGCTCTTTTTGCTGCTGTGAATCTTTTTCTCCTTGAGTCGGGCCTCATTTTGGGCGCGCTGTCTGTAAGCCATTGGTTAGGAAGATCCCACTACCATGGGTGAAGTGGGTGATGCTTCTAATTTTAAGAAGAAAAAAAAAAAGAGGGAGCGGTGGGCCTACAATTTGCTCACGCGGTCTTTCTGTTCCTGGGACGTTTCGCCTGGAATGACCTCTTTAGCCGAGATGACCAGCAGCCGATTAAGCTTTGCATAGCACAAATCCACGTTGGTCGCCTGTTGCCGGGATTCGTCCGATTGAATCACCAGCGCCTGTGAACGGTCCGTCGCGTAACGGGAGGCGCGTAATGGAGGATGTAATAGACGCGGCACCAAAGGAAATATCGTGGCCAGGGGCACTTTTAAAGTAGCTTTAGAATTGACTCTGTAGGGGTTTTCCAGGGAAGATCGCCCTCTCCACGGTTAGCTCGGGAGCCCTGCAGAAATTATGAGTTTGAGAAGGGAGAGGAGAATGGGGGGGAACCGTTCGCACGGATCGGATTTGCACCGACTTATTCACGTTCTGACCGCCGGGTCCGCTTGAACGGCTGAACGAGACCTGGCCGACATGGCGGGGAATGGACTTGACGCCCGACTCAAAGGCTTTCAGCCACTTTCTCGCTAGCTCGACGTCGTGAGGGTCTGAAGGGTCAGATGACCCCGTGGAAGCAAACTTTGCACTCCGGCCGAGCGAAATGGGCGTAGTGAAAGGGAGAAATGGAGTTGATTGCGTTCTGATCCACGAGCGAAACGCGCACCACTGCGACCACCGTGATCGGAGCGGCATTTGGTGGTGTTCCCCCAACGCCGAGCAGGAGAGGAAAACAATAATATGAGATGAAATGCCAAACTGGAGAAAAGAGAAGAAGGAAACGGGGTGGAGCTACCCTGACTAATTAAATCTTCCACCGCGGAAAGGAGGTTCTCCGACTTTGATCTGGTGGTCTAGCCAGTCTGAGAACCCAGCCCCTCAGCGTGGCAGTACGATGGTCGGTGTCAATGATAATGTTAGCGTGGTACTTCCACCCCTACTTCATGACTAATATTCTGCCACCCTTTTATTACGACTTCACGTAATTAAACCACTATAATACAATATATTACCGCCTAGTAAGGTGTATGACCCCCCCTGCGCGTCGATAACAGCCTGGCAGCGCTTCTGCATCAGATCAATCTGCTGGTCTAAAAAGCTTGTAGGAATCGCATCCCAAGCAGCTCGCACAGCCTCGCGTAGCTGATCATAAGATAGCTTACGATCATAGTCTTTCAAATATCGATCACCGATCCAATCTTTTATCCAATCCCAAACCTTCTCAATTGGATTAAGATCTGGCGAATACGGTGGCCAGTCGATAGGGTATATCCCACGATCGTGAAGCTCCTCAATAGTTAAGAGATTTCGATGAGATGGTGCGCCGTCTTGCATTACAATTAGATGTTGATCTAAATGATTGCGAGCCAGCGAAACCATACCGTCGATAAGAGGCACAATTCGCTCTGTATATCGAGCAGCAGTAATAGTGCCCCATTCCTTCTCCCAAAATAGACAAGGGCCTTTCTTATTATTATAGAATGAGCCCCAAAACATCCAGCCAGGTGCACGAGAAATTCGCTCTCGTACACAAGTATCATCAAATTCCTCACCAGCCCGACGCGTAACATAGATCCGTCGATGATAGACCGATGTAACCCAGGTCTCATCAGTCCATAATATCTTTTCCCACTGCTCACGCGTCCAATTAACGTGCTCTAGCGCCCAGATTAGACGCAGTGCTCGTGTACGGTCGGACAACGGAGGCTTTCGAAGGGCCTTACATCGATGATATCCACGTCTAGCTAAGGCCCTTCGTAAGGTGACAGAACTAATAGGGAGTTGTAGTTCTTCTATAACCCTAGAGTACGGCATCCGTCGTGTCTCTTTCGAAGATGAGATAAACTCGATTATCTCATCAAGCTGTTCTTCTGATAGCTTTCGACCTCGGCCAGGGGCCTTACGTGGTGTAGGCCTCTCATCAGTGCAAGCCTTTTGGACCTGACGCTGGGTAATGCCCAGTTTTGATGCAATTTGGCTATAGGTAAGCCCCTGAGCGCGCAGTGTACGCGCTGCGATGCGCTGATCACGACTAGCTTTATGGCTAGGGGTATGAGGGGCCTGGGGGGCCTGGGGGGTATGATCGGATCTTTCGTGATTAGTCTCCATGGTAGGTAGGTAGGTAGGTAGGTAGGTAGGTAGGAAGGTAGGTGGCTAGGTGGCTAGGTGGAAGGGTTTGAAACATATGGTATTGCCCTAATCCCTATTCGGAAGGCGGTTGGAGAGGGTATTAGTCATGAAGAAGGGGTGAAAGTACCACGCTAACATTATCATTGACACCGACCATCGTACAAACCACAAGCTGTGTGACTGGTAGGCTGTTCCCGCCGCACGCCGTAGTAGAGCCGTTTCAACAAATAAGTGGATTCCCCGCTAGTAATAAGGTGGCAGGTGGTTAAACGACGTAAGAACGACGAAGCACCTGGTCCCAGAACAAGCCAGAACAAGCACTGATGGGCCCCTCGAGCGCGGTTACAGGAGTAGGACTGCAGTATGTAGTGGGGGGAAACCTTGGGGAGGATTGGCATGGGTCGTGCTGTTTATGCTCGTCTAATTGGCGGAAAGTGGACAGCTGTCGCGGCCAAACTGGTTGTTCTCTTTTGACTGGCCTGTTTTGGCCTGTCTGATTGCCTGGTCGGGGATGAGAGGGAAGTGATCGGGGAGAGGTGGGAAGTTGGAGGAGAAGCTGCAAGTCGGCCGTACTCCTGACCTCGAGCAGAGGCCTGCATGCGCCTAAGCACTAGAGTGCTGTACAGTACTCCGTATTGTTAAGGTAGTACTGTTAATACTACTACCGACAGTAGTTAGATGGTCCCTTAGTACTAACTTACTAAGTACCCCACGGAGTATATCAGCGCATTTCTGCTGTACCAATTTCTTTGAATATTGTCCGTTGCTCATTCAAAAATCCTTCACTTTTGATTTCATTTCTCTTTCATCTCACATCCTCTCCCTCCTCTCTTCCTTCTTCTATTCTTCTTCTGGCCGGCCCCGTCGGCCTTAATCTGGGACCCTTTACCGCCCTTCCGGACCCATACTTTTACAGTAGCAGTCATACTAGTCATATACTTAGTCCTACTCTTTTTTTTCTCATCGCCCCACCTGAGCTTGCGATTGCAAAATTCACCAATCTGTGACCCTCTTGGCCCGTGACCTAAGAACCTAAGAACCTTTGATCTTCGATCATTCCACCACCTCCGAACTTCCCTCAACTTTTTTACAACCACACCCACCCACCCCTTTTTCTACTTTCCCCTCCCTTTCTACTCATTGTAGATGAAACGCCCACCTCCCCCTCGCTCTACATGACGCCCAGTCCTCCTGATGAAGCGCTTCACTTCCGCGGAAAGACACTGACTCCGGAGAGCCCGCGCCCACTACATATCCCGGAGCCGGCCAATATCCCTGTCCTGGAGAATCAAATGGACCCCGTCTTTAATGACACTTCGACATATCAACGTTCAGAGTATCCCCAGGAATCCCTTCAAACACAAGATCGCGATGGATGGTCGAGGATCGCGCAGGATGGCCAGGATCTAGCGTTGGGGCTGCGCAGGGACCCAGGTAGATTGCAGGGTGTGCAGCTGATGGAACAGCCCGTGATGAATGCTATTCCTGCTCTGGCAGCGCAGATTTATCCTTCCAATACCACAGGGACCGAACAGCAGCAGCAGAAGGGTAATATGAACATGAATATGCACATGAACCCCAACCTTGCCTTTGCAGCTCCCAGTCACTCCCATGCGCCTCCGGTTCTTCCGGGTCCCCAGGGTTATCTCCCGGCTAGCGACAGAGACAATGCCGGTCATTCGGCTTCGTCCTTGAAGCCTGATCACATAGATGATGGAAACGGGAATATGGGATCGAGTTCTATGGGGGTCAACTTCCAGACCCTACTCGACAACCTCTCTCAATCCTCTGCTACTGCTACTGCCAACGCCAACGCCAACGCCAATGCTACGTGGGCTGCCCCTACTCTAGCGGAGGGCTCGTCCTTCCATCAAGCCCCTACGGGCGAGTCTCTTCACCCTGGTATACCCCCCGCACTGCATGCTCAGTGTGCGGACCTCCCCGCCCGTCCTTCTCTCCAAGACCCCTCCCTCCCCCAAAAGTACTCCCCGAGCGAAGAGAATGCCCATCAGCAAACATCTACCGCCCCAAATCCTGCTCCCTCCTCCGCCCATGCAGCCCAATCCAGTAACAATGCCCACCAAACCGATCCCCCATCCATGCCCCCGGTCGCGCCCGGTACTGAGTCTCGTGTTGGAGACCTCCCACCGCCACCCATGGCGAGTTTCCAGCAACGGGGCTCTTCCTCGGCCGCAGAATCGCAGGGCTCTCAAGAGGGTCCCTCCACAGTCAAGAAAGGCCGCCTTGATCTGTTATCGCGTGGGAAACCCTTGAGTGAAGATGATCAGCCCTGGGGCCCAGAAGTGCAAAAGAAATATGACGAGTTCCTACATGATGAGCGGATCTATGTGACCGAAGGTCTCTGGGACCGGTTCCCTGTTGGGTCCAGATTGTTTGTCGGTCAGTATCCCATGCTTTATTTAACCTTTCTAGCCTCCACTATGGCCAAGACACCTAACTTGGTGTTCAATTTTTAGGCAACCTTCCCACCGAGCGGGTGACAAAGCGAGACATGTTCCATAGATTCCACCAGTATGGTAAACTGGCTCAAATCTCCATCAAACAGGCTTATGGCTTTATCCAATTTTTGGAAGCCGGCGCATGCCACGCAGCACTCCAGATTGAACAAGGGGCCTTGATTCGAGGGAGAAAAATCCGTACGTTCCGTCTTATCTGATCGCCGCGATCATTTCCCTAATCGTCCACAGACCTCGAAATCTCGAAGCCACAGAGATCAACTGCTCGACCCGGTGCTGCAGAGGCGTCTCGTGCACCCCCGCCTCGTCGCTCCAGGTCGCCCGAATTCAGCCGTACTGCTCCTGCCCGCAGCGCCGCGCGTGCTCCGGGCGACCGTTATGACCGACCGCACGAGTCTAGTCGGCTTCCATTCAGTGATTTCCGCGATGAGCCCTCTCACCGCCGGCGTGACGATTATCGCCCTCCCCGGTCTCCTTCACCTCGCCCATTCCGGGCTCGGGATGGCTATCGATCACGGGATAGGACACCAGAGCGATTTGATCGCCGTGAGCGCCGACGGTCACGATCACCCCGCTCTCCTCGTTCACCCTATGCGCGCGACCGGCGGTATCGAAGCCCTAGCCCGAGACCCCGAGGTAATTACGAAGGGGAAGCAGACCTCCCAGTGCCTCGTCGGGCACCACGAGACGTCCCGGAGGTGCAGGTGCTTGTGCTGGAAGAGATTGACCGGTAAGTTCTGGATATATTGCATCTTTATTAGCACCATCACTCATCTCTTGTGAAGGAATTTCATCCTCCATGTGGAGAATGCCTTTCGCAACCGTGGCCTGCGGGTAGATGTGTTGGTCCTTGGCCCTCGCATCCCTCTAGGCGCAGCCGTCCATCGCCAATATGTTGAAGGTGTTCTTGCAGTCGTGAGGCTGTCACGCCCCAATCAATTCTCCCGGAAGATTCCCCTGCAAATGTTCGATCGCAGCGCGGGCCCGGAAAATGTTCGCTTCACCGGTACGCTACAGCCATCTATCTTCTCCTGTAATAGTACAACATTCTAACCTGCTTCCAGACTACCCCGAACTCGATCCTAACATCGCTGCGGAGGTAATGTTCCACCAAGCCCAGGCTATGCGAGGACCGGCCGCCTCCTTCGCGCCTAATCCTGCCTTCGGTCTCGCACCGATTCAGCCCCTGCAGATGGCTCAACCACATATTCCAACTCTCTCGAACCCTCCCAATATCGCCAATCTTATCGGTACATTGGATGGTCCCGCTCTTCAATCTCTCCTATCAGCGCTTCAGCAGCGCCCCGGTCCCTCATCCCAGCCCGTCTCAGCCACACAGTCACCTTTCGCCTCTCCCAATCCTCCGCAACCAGCCGACCTGGCCAGTCTGTTGAGCAGTGCGACCCGGGCTCCTCCTATGCCCTCTCTTCATCCTCGACAACCCATTCCTCACCCTCACCCCCACCCACCATATAATCTCCAACCTCCAAACGCCCCCATGGTCACTGACCCCAATCTGCTCTCGCTCTTGGCGAAAGGCTTTGGGGCCCAGCAACCACAGGCGCAGGCCCCAGTTGGTTCTAATGTGCAAAACCTGATGAACCATCTGACCAAATGGAAGCAATGATTTAACGATTCTTCTACACTTTTGTCACTTATGTTACTACATTTTGGAGCTTGGCGTTTTCTTTTTCGCCATCGATTTTCTTGGAAAAGCGGCGACTACCATTGTTTCTTCTTTCCGGATCTTACTTTTTTGGATTCTCATGCTTCATTTTCACGGCTGGAATTTCTTTAACATCCCAGCGACTTTGCAATAACCGGCGTTCATTGGGCCCCTTAGGGCTGCTAACAAGATTCTAGATACTAGGGTGATTGGCGGTGTCTAGGTTGGAGTTGTCTCATTGATTTTTCTTTTTTGATTCTTTTTACAATTCGTCTTCCATCTCAGTCATGTACCGAACTTTTGGGACAGCTTCGGGTATCTGTTTGATGGGCAAGGTGGACATAATGGCCCGTCCTCTTTTTGGGACACAATGCTCTATAACCCTTTCTGAGTGTCGTCATTGCTGTTGTATGATTCTCTTGGAAAATATAGTCTGCACATACTCGGTCATGTCTGCTCCAATGTAGAAATGAGTCCATGGTCTTCGTCTCCCATAACATATCCAGTCTCCAATTTAAACAACTCTTTCAAGCAAGATAATGCATAGCCTGCACAAGGTACCTATGGAACTAAAATACTGCTTTAAATCAGTGTAGCATTAAATGGAGTGCTCATCGAAATACGTCAAGAGTGGATATGGTACATAATGTACAAGAAAGTAGCCCGTCTGCCCCTTCACCTATAGCCTCTAGCCTAACTCTTCTAGTTGGACTTCCAACCTTGAGACTTCAGCTCTTTCACCGTCTCCGCATCCTCCTTCTTGATCCGCTCAATCGTCTTGTCCCGGTTGTATTCCATCACGCGCTTTTCCTTGAAGTATTTGACCTAAACAATCAATCGAATTAGCATAGAGTTCAATTTCAAACATTTGACAACCGTGTCCAAGATATGCAAGTCCCAAAAGACTGCTTTCCTCCCGAAGAAGAATATAAAGCCCTACAAAAGCTATTGTACGTACCCAAGTCGCCGAACAAGCAGCCTCAAACTCCGCAACCTCCTTCGCGCATTTCCGTCTTGCCTCCTTATCATCTTTAATTCCGTCCAAAATATCATTCCGATCCAGACAGGCGAAGAAAGCATCCCTTCCCTCCCAGCAACGTGCGCGACTCGTGCGATCCGGAGCGATGCGGCCGCCGTCAGAGGCTTTGTTCGAGTCGCCGGATGACCAAGGGAGCCAGCCCATGTTGTAGATGTGTGTGGTTGTTTGTGGGAGCTTAATCGGGATTTTAGGGTATTCGGGCACGCGAATTGGTGCGTTGTGGCTGGGGACAGCTTGGATAGGTTGTTGGTAAGTTGTGGTAATGCGGGAGGAAATGGAGGCAATGGTTGCTCCCGCGGGCTCGGCAGTGCCAAGACAAGACTGTTGATCGTGATCTGCGGTGTTGGACATCTGGTCCGTTTCCCTTTTTTTAACCACTCCTAACGACTCGGCGATTTAACTACACCCAGAACACCACAGCGATCTCTATACGAACGTCGCGGCTCGAAGACTCCGCAGTCTCTGTCTGGCGCAGTTCATTACAACAGACGAATCTTGGCCGTCGTTGCATACTCCCTCCTCCGCCTCCGCCTCCTAAGCTCCTCGGCCATTTTCCTCGCTTCGAGCGCACAGCTCGCGTCCCCTACATTTCTATACAAAGGTCGCTAAGGGAAAATCCCTGGCCTCCTAGTTGATGCCCGGGCGCCGGCGCCTTCCAGCGGGGTCGCGATCCGACCTCCCGCCATTGAAAATCATCCGCAAGATCCTCTTGCTCCAGGTTGCCTATTATGTCTGCGCGACGGTGCTAATCCTATTCACAACGATCGTCTACGGCACTCCCTTCTCATTCAATCTTATCCTTGGATGGGACTATCTGAGAGGTGACACCACGGTTGGTTGGATGCTGGGATTGGTGTGGATGTTGAATTGTGTTATCAGGTGAGTTGCCTTGATCCTCTACAAAGGAGCGCCTACCCTCGATACACTTCATTAAACTAACCGCCTTCGCCATTTATAGCGTGATATTCCTCCTCCTCTTCGTATCCCGATCAAAGCTGGTCCCCGATTTCGCTCTTACAATTCACTTCCTCCATCTGGTCGCCACCATCCTTTACACCCGCTCCGTGCCTACCAACCTCCTTTGGTGGGGCCTCCAGTTCGCCAGCGCAGGTATAATGACCTACCTGGGCATGTGGGCATGCCAACACCGCGAACTCAAGCCCATCAGCTTCGGTGGACTCGCCGGACTCGGAGGCAGCAGTAGCCAGGCCTCCTCATCCCAACAGCCCACCAGTGAGAGCAACCTAGAGTCCGGCTTTGGCCGAGGCCGAGGGCGGGAGCGAAGTCTCCAGGCTGGAACGGGCGAGTACGAAATGGATGAGATGAAGCCCGGCGAGCGGACTGTATGAGTGGCTTGGCTTCGTTATGACCTTCCCCTTTTTTATTCCTTTTTCTCTTGAAGCCCCCTTGGGTTATGATCTTTCTTGGGCTGTTTCTTTTCTCCCTTCTTGATGCACGAGCCTGCTGAGGACTGTTTGCATACGTTGTTCTCGTTTTCGTATACCCTGCCACGGTTGCATCTGTATAGATGGCGTTTGCCCTAATGATGAAGGGAATGGATGTTCATTTTCATGTGTCGAATACTTTGTTTCAATAATTTATCTCCGAGGCTTGGCCTCGCTTATGACAGTTTAGAATCTTTACACATCAATACCAATACCAATATCTTTAAGTTTTGCATCAAATTAACGGCCTTGAATGTAGACTTTGGGCTTCGAGATTGGATCTTGAATGCGATACTCTGGAAAACCAGCAGATACCTGCTACGTAGTACGTTGACCATCATCACCGGAGCTAAAAGCGACGTTGCAGGTTGAAATGCGGTGAGTAAGAACAAAATGAATGACTTGGAAACATATTCCATGCCCATTAGCAAAGGACAAGCTTAACAACACTGTGAGCAGAGAGGGACAGACGCTTGAAGGCAATATGCTTTCAACCATTCCAACCTAGGGCGTCACCGAGTTTCCAAGTAGCCTCCCAATTTCCTCTGCAATCGCCAAAGTTCGCTCTTCGCTCAGTCTGCGACCAATTACCTGAACAGCCACGGGGGCTCCATGATACGCCTCTGGGTCATACTCAGCTTGCACAGTTGCATCCAGGTCACCCAAAGGCTGATAATCCTTTTTCTTCAGATCCAGATTCTTATCGGCGAATGTGACTGGAACAACAACGCTGGTAAAATCGAGCAAGTTGATCACCGATGCATAGCCGTAGTATCGGAACTGATTATGGCGGATGGCTGCGGTTGCAGTGATTGGGGCAATGATTGCGTCCAATTCCTTGCCTTGTTGCTCCTCGAGTTCACGCCATTTCTCGAGGTACTCGCTTTGATAGTTCCATTTCTTGAGATGGGTGTCCCAGAGTTGGTTCATGTCAATTTGCTGTATGTCTGGGTTCAAGAGGTCTTTGATGTTTGGTATCGAGGGCTCTCCAGATGCGTTGATGTCTTTGAACACGTCCTAGTTTGAACATGTAAGCTTTCACTTGAGATCTCAGGCTCTAGAAGTGGATTTTCTCACGGTATTTCCATCTGAGGCATATATGTTGTTGATGAGATTGTGTCCGAAGTGGTGTTTATGGGGCTTCCACGGAATAATGGTGTGTCCATTCTTCTTCAAGGTCGAGACCACCGTCTCAACACCTCTCAGAATTGGAGGATGGGGAAGGACCTGTCAGTTATAGTGATTAGTATTTGAAGACGTAGTCGTTGGGGAATGGAACACCTACAACACCATCACTTGCGTAGTATCCCAGGGTCAATCCCGCGGGGATTTTCGATTTGATAGCCTCCTCTTCAGCAAGTCTCCAAGGAATGGGGACAACCTTCGAGTCGTATTTCCAAGGCTCCTGCCCCAACACGGAAGTGAGGAACAACCTGAGATCTTCTTCCGTAAGTTTACTGAGACTTGAATGGTGTCTGGACTGCAAACTCACCTGCTGCCGAATGAGCCATTGGCCCAACCACACTATGAACAGTCTCCTGGCCTTCCATACTATTCGCCATTTTGGCATACGGCATACGACCATGACTCGGCCTGATGCCGTACAAAAAGTTGAAAGCAGAAGGAACACGAATTGAGCCACCTTGAAAGTGATTCTGTTAGTCTTTCTTAGAGTTCACGGATCAATGCACGTACCAATATCAGTTCCTACTCCAATAACACCACCCCGAATACCAACCATGGCACCTTCACCTCCTGAGCTCCCACCGCATGACCAGTTCTTGTTGCGAGGGTTGAGCGTTCTTCCAATAATATTATTCACGGTTTCGCAAACCATCAATGTCTGTGGCACGCTGGTCTTCGTGTAGAAAACAGCACCGGCCTTTCGTAGAAGAGTCACGAGAACAGACTCGGTCGTGTCATATTTACCTAGCCAGGAGACATACCCCATGGATGTTTCGACGCCCTATTCGTATAGACTCTGAGCATTGTGGTCTTAAATATGGGACTAGAGACTCCTCACCTTCACACGTAACTGATCTTTGAGTGAGATGGGCAGTCCATGAAGCGGTCCCACTGGTTTCTTGTGGGCATCAAAGTAGGCATCAAGCTCTTTAGCTTGGGCGATGGCCAATTCAGGGAAGAATTCCAGGCAACAATTCACCTACTCAAGAGTAAGATACAAAGAGTTTACCGACGTTGAACGACAGCTTTTGCTCACCAGCTGATGTGCGAGTGCTGCTCGTTTGCAAAAGGCTATTGTGACGTCGACTGCTTTGAGCTTTCCCTGTGCCAGCTGCTGAACTAGATCGGTAGCACTTGATTCCGTAATTCTTAGTTCTTGATCCGTGAGTAGCCCTGACTTTGCTGGAAAATCAAGGACAGAGTCCTCGGTGGGCAGCTCTTGGATCCTCCATTCCTTAGGGATTGAATCGTTGATGCGTGTTCGCTTGTCAGCAGCTAGCTGTTCCCAATTAGAGGACATAATTCTCAAGAAGTATCTTTGTCTTTAATAGGCTTTGGCAAGTCGACTGGTAGAACTTGGGCTTGTAAACCTGACAAACTATTGAGTGACCGAGGATGTGGGGGCCTTTAAATCCCCAGAATGACCCCGCTTTCTGTATCTTCCATCTATCATGTTAATTTACCAAAATTTGTCTCACGTATTGCTGATGGCAATATAAACTCTTACTATCTTATCGTACCAGTTATCTGCGCACGCAGCGAACGTATCAGATCGGAGTGCCGAGTTGGGGTCGTTGGAGAAGCCCCTCTCTGCCGGAGACCCTAATTCGGCAAGTGCATATCGTCCATCGAATGTTATAAGCGCTAATTACCGTATTTTGGTTAGTAAATTCCCATTACATGCCCGATACTGCAGGGTCTCTTTGGGATATTGTAGAACCACCCCACCGTTTGTTCCGTTGATCCGGTCCTTGGGTAGCACGGCTCGATTCTTCGTGCTTTTCAGGTTGTTCGATGTGTTGCTCTATAGTGTGCAGAGTGATCATACTATAGTAAATTGGTTTATTGATAATGTTCACAGAAGCTCGGGGCTGACAGTCGATTGCCCCGACTTCATTGGATCAATCGGATAAGAATAAACAATTAATCCCTCGAGTGCATCCCCGCGCACCTCTCATTGAAACACCCGTCCGTTGCTCTCCTCCACAATCAAGTCGAACTCGGGCTGGAACTCGGTATAAAGGTTGTGCTACACACTGTTAGCATCATAACTCATTAATAATGCAAGCGGGATCGTGAGACACCACTTACAGGATTCTGAGCAAAATCGGCAGTATACTGGGCCACCTCATTGTTGATAACACGCTTGGGAATACCATTCGCGGCGGCCGCCTCGGCCATTAGTTGAGAGTGACAAGCATTGTCCAGCATGGAATAGAGAATAGCGGCTTCATCAACCGTTCGGCCGACAGTTAGAAGGCTAGATAAGACTCAGGTTAGATTTCCCCAAACAATGCAAGATCTAGCAAACCAGTTCTCTCAAAAGAACTCACCCGTGATTCTGAAGAATACATGCGATGTTATCCTTGCCGAGTGCCTCTGCAATTTGCTTTCCTTCTTCTTGAGAAAGCGCGACACCACCGTGATCATCATATACGCCCAGGCGGCCGTAAAAGTTGCAAGCATCTGATACTCATTAGTATGATCTGAGTTATAAATTTTGTCGTTGGGTGGCAATGGCAAACCTTGAGTCAGCATCTCAATAGGCTTTCCAAAAGCACTCCATGTCTTTCCATAAACGCCATGGGTATGCGCCGCAGCAACGACATCCGGACGGGCCTTGTGAATCTCAGAATGAATCATGAACCCAGCTTCGTTGATGGGTAATTGAGCGCCTCCCTCGGTAACGTATCCGTCACTGTCCACCAAGACTAGATCGGAAGCCTTGATAGTGGAGAAGTGCTTGGCAAAGGGGTTCATCCAAAAGTGATCCTTGAGAACAGGGTCTGTTTGACACGTTAGCAACTGTTAATAACGACATTGTTCATTGAAACTTTTCATGAATACCTCGCATAGAGATGTGTCCAGAGACACCCTCGGCATATCCCATCTTGCCAAAGTAACGGAATGCAGCAGCCATGTGTTCCTTCATCCATTTGCGCTTCTCAAGCGGGTCCGAGAAGGTAGGAATACCGCGCAGCTTCAAGGTTCCATTACGATTACCACGGGCAACAGACTGGAATTGAGTGTCGTTGGCCGCTGACTGGATCTGCTCCTCGCCGGCGAGGAGAAAAGATCGCTGTGTCTGCTGAGTAGTCACAGTAGATGTCGACATGTTGATTGTAATGGGCAGAATGACAATCAGGAGTTTCACACCAGCTCAAGACTCACCTTTTGCCTGATTTTATGGATCTGGGGGGGAATATGGGCAGTTATTTAATAATCGAACGCTTATCTATGTGAGCCCCACCCCAAAACCCCCGCTTGAGTGTTGTTGGAAGGCGGGCCCGTGAGGTCGGACTGTTTCCCGACGAACCCGATGCCCCGAGAGCGTTGCTTTTAATCATCATATCCGAATGCTGCAATTCATTTTGTAAGGTAGCTCCGACGATTCATTCGAATTACAGACGAGCAATTCAGACAGAACCGGCGATGTGTACCGTGAACCATCAAACTGCTCGGTAGGCAAAATCAAGAGAGCGACTCAAGCCGATATCATTTGATAACTACATCCACGAGTTCATACAAAATCAATGGGAGACAGTACCCGGGGCTAGGAGCTACGATAGTCAGTCAGGCCGGGTACAGACACCCGAGACGCCTTCTCGCGTACAAATTGCCTGTTCGGGAAATTTGGCAGCCTCAGGCCTATAATATACACGTGACCCTCGTTATCGGCACCATGTGGGATAATCGGCGGAGCTGGCGACAGCTGTCTTTCTCTAGGAATCACCTTGCACACTCACAATCAACTTGCTGCATCTTGCAGAACATATCAATTCACCAAGGATCGTTTGGAGATACCAAAGACTGCAACATTCACAGCTGTCAACAGACGCCGCCGACAGGCTCCACTGCACGTTACTTAATTCAAGCGTGTTTACTATCTCGAAAGCCCCAATTGGTACTCGAAATCACTTCATTCGGCAACACTCTTGACGCCATAGTGAATATCCCAGGAAACTAAAGTGTCCAGACCCCCCATCATGGCGGAAGGGGAGCCCTCGTATATCGACTATGAGGCCTTCCTAGACCCCGACTTTTCTCCGGCGAGCTTTGCCAATACTCTCGTGTTGAGCACCAACAATGCCACCGACACCCCACTCGATCTATCCACTCCACTCTCACGAGTCCTCTTCGACCTGCAAGAAATTGATACCCACATCCACACCCTTACCACAAAGTCCGCACTGCCCCTATTATCACATACACAAGGTCAGACCGAGGCTGCAGAGCGTATCCTAAAGGAGGCCGGGACACAGATCACTTCTGTGACTCAAGGATACGAGCGGTTGGAGAAGGAGGTCTTGCAGAAATGGAAGGCGGCGGACGAGGCGCGCATTGCCGCAGAGAACTCTTTGTCTACGGTCCGGCTGGCTCGGGCCGTTGGACGTTGTCTGACGCTGGGTCGGCAGCTGGAGAGTCAAGTTGGAGAAATCACAGGCAGAGGCACAGGACAGCCATCCACAACGGGGCCTGATGGAGCTCCGCCTGTGAGAGAGGGATTCCGAGCGCTAGAACGAGCAGCTTATACGATTCTGAATCTGCGCCAGATGTTCTCAGCTACGACGGAAGATGACGAGGGATATGGATTGGAGCGAGTTAAGGTGATGCGCACGTTGCGGAATGAGTTTGTGATCCCCGCCGAAAACATGGTCAAAGCAAGGGCGCAGCAGACTATCAACCGATTCTCCTTGACAAGTCCCATGGCTCCGTCCAATGGCCACGCGCCGGTTCCTTCCAGCTACAAGCAAGTCCGTGATGCGCGGGCACGCCTGGGTCCTGCTGCCGCTACTCTATATCTTCTTTCCCCCATCCCGAAGGGCGGTGCCACTGTATCCGACTACAAGCCCGAGCTACTCCTCTCGACGTTGCAGGGCTACATGCACACAGCTATTATGACCTCGGTGAACAGTCTCGCCAAATCACTCTCCCAGCTCCCCACGATGGACCGAACTCTCAACGAGGTTGCCTCACGATGCCAGGATATTGCTGCCCTGGAGTCTTTCCTCCGAAACCTCCGCGCACCAACACATCCTCTCTTAGCACCCGGCGGCCCCGGCGGACCTGGAGCCGACTCGGAGGCTGCAGCAAGTGCTAATAAGGCCAACTTGCTCCAGCCCCTCCTCAATGCCCTCGACACCTCATCGCTGCCTTCATACTACTGGCGCTCGCTCGCATCTTCCCTCACGTCACGCGTTCAAGAGATCATCAGCCGGGGTGGTGTCTCCGCGCGAACATTGCGGTCGGACCGTGATCGACTCAAGACAGAGATTAAAGAATGCGTTATGCGTGCTTCGCAGGTAACCGCAGCCAGCTTGTTGGCTGAGAAGGGCCGCTCTGGTACGGATACTGTGAGTTTGGGCAACTGGGAGCGCGAAGCGGCTGTCATGGTGGGCTCAGTTGTTGGACCACTGGGCCGGTGAAGCTGGCAAGTCGATTACGGTGCCAGTATATTCTGATGAGAATAGCAGAATTGCATGTGAGATAACTTTCAAGGCATGAAAATACAAGATACCCATTAGAAGTCATTCCAACATGGATGGCAAGGCCAATCACTAATATAAAATTCACATGATATTCGTATCAAATGAAACTTGAACTATATCTTATCTCTATACACTAATCATAGCTCACCGTCATATCTAACCAAACTCTCCCATCCTACGGTCCTTACCTTATCATCCCAATCATCTCTACCCCATGGATCAACAGCCCCAATGTCCAGGAACAATCTATCTACCAAACCCTTAAACCACCCAGGTACCAAACCCCCTCGACGACAACAACCCCGGTACAACTACCCTAAAGCACCAAACAAAGCAAATCCCGACCTTCGCAGTCCAAGCTCACGGACGGTAACACCAGGGCCAACGAAGCGCAGCACAACGCAACAAAGAAGAAAACCCAACCACGATCTAGATCAGCCACCCCACCCTCAGCCTCGAGCCGCCAATGGTCCCTGGTTCACCGGCAGGTACGGAGGACAAAGATCGGCCAAAACCTCCGGATCTCGGACAATTTACCTATGCTGTTGCAGGGGAGGGGGGTGTTGGACGAGACGAGGTCAGATGACTGCCGCACGGTGGTGGTGGGTCTAGGTGTTCGTGCGTTGTGAAGGTGGCTGGATGGGCGGTTGGATTCGGATGGTCTTGCCTTGCGTTGCTTTGAGGCGTACAGGGCTAGGCTCCCGTGAAAATGGAGAGATGCGGAGGGTTGAAGGTGAAAGGGGTTTGAGGGTAAGGTAAGGAAGGTTGTTATGTTTCTTTGTGTTGCGGGTTGGGCCTTGTTCGGCCGTCTGAAATCACATGTGGGTTGGATGGCTGAATGCATGTGCATGTATCTGGATTCAGGCGGTTACAGTTGTATTATGGAGTACTGTAGGGTGAGGTACCGTGGGGTTCCATAAGTTTAGACCCCCGACATCTTTTGAAAATCATATTTGCAGTCACGATTGGAACGATAGACTAAAAGATGATACCTCAGCTATCAAGAAAGAAGAATGAAATGACCTTTCAAAAGTCCTTTCCAAAAATCAAAACCGGAAGCATATTGTTGGGTGGTTTCTCTGGTTTCTCGGCTCAGACTTTTGAACTACCACTGTACATATTCTTAATACATATACGAGGGATGATCTTATCAATTCTTATCAGATTAGGTTTGGATTATTATGTCTGCTATATCAGTTTGTTGATAGTAACTGGAGGTTGGTTATAGAACTACCTATATCGGAATAGTTCGGGGTCATTTCGGTCGGCGATGTCCCGACGTAACAGCCTCATCTTTTCCAAATATAAATATCATATACCTAATATACTATATCCCATGCCCCATATACCTACCTAGCATATAAACTAACCACAACAGAACAACACAAAAGCTGACAATCCAGTTATACAATTCTATTTGCTAATCCCACCGAAATCTCGTCATCTCTAAGCCCCAGCTGAACCATGTACCTAATTATCCCACCCTCTCAAACATATCCTGTACGATGAGGCGATGAAGACATACGTGGCCGGGGCTTCCAGGCACGCCCGCCTTTCTTACGACGCCCGCGCCCCCCACCACCTCCATCAGGTACATGTACATGGATACACCCGGCAGACCATGCAGAGCGCGTGTGATTGGCCTCGTGGCACGAATATATTTTCAAGAAATGCAGGACCTATCATCTGTGCTTTCTGTGCGGTACAAGAAGGTGAGACCTATGAAGAAGACGGGGGTGGATGGGAGGCGCTGGCTTGACCGCTTCAAAGGCAAATGGATGTGGAACTGGGGGCGAAATGCGAAACGCAGGAGTAGAAAACTAGGTATGAGAAAAAAAAAAAAAAAAAAACTAGATTCAATATACAAGAAACAAGAATGATGAACGAAACAAATGATGGTACGTATTGGGGTTCGTTGAGCCGAGATGAGATGTGCGGGGAAGAAGTCGATTTTGTTGGATAGAACCATATTAACTACCCTCCATGTTGTAAAATGAAGTCGAGATGAAGTATGGAATTTGTACGGACTCCATTCAGATTCTGTAGTGTAGTTACAGTAGTCGAGTAATGAGTCAAACTAGATCCGGCCAGTTGGAGTGGACTGTCGAGTCAACGACGTCAGAGAGGAGGGGTTGATTAACGATTTCCCCCTCCCCGCCGATCCAGCCCATAATTCAGGCTGATCGAAGGATTCAGTTATCGATAAGCCCTGCAGGTACCTGGCGCTACTTGGAGTCGTTGACTGGTGCTCTTGGTGCCTCGCGGTGTTGCCGACCCTGCGGTGGCGTGCAGATGGGGTTATCTTCGGGCATACATTCATATTTGAAGTGGATTATAGAGGGGGGTAGGTGGGTAGATACGGAGTATATTTTGATTCTCTGAGGCTACAAATAATGTATAAATGAGTATCGAAGTACTTACTTTGTACTCCATACCGGAAGTGCGGAGTACAGTACCCATCAGGTACCGGGCCCTTACAGCCCAGCCCCCTCGTCCGTCGGCTTACGTATACTTTTTACGGACACCACCCCCAATCAACGGTTGTCACAAGGAGTACGCGGGGAGAGGATCTCCTTGCTCCACTATAACGAAGAAAGCTCAATGGTGGCCTGGCGGTCATCATCTCCGTCTTTTCGTACAAGACAGGGCCACATACCCGCCTCTTTCTCCAATCCCTTGACACGATGTCCAGCAAAGTCACGATTTGTCGTGGGGGTGGGTATATAGTCAGGAATTAAAGAGGGGCAAACGGTCGATCAGCGGCCCGGAGATATCAGCCACCAACTCAGGGCCCTTGTGTGTCCGGGGATCATTCCAGCGGACTGGGTATTGGGGAAGAAATAGATGGATTGATGGAAAGATGAAACGACCACTTGCCAACCAGCGATATTATTTGGAACTACAGTATTAGCTTGGAATCGAGCAACTCCTGACGGGACGGGTATTGAGTGCATTATTGCAACAGGCTTGCTGGAAAATGAAGCACATCATTCACATCACTAGTGGCGTCACGAAAAATCATGGGCTAGCAAGTTACAGTAGACCCAAGATGTCGGCGCTGAATCTACATACCTAACCCATACTAACTGTGTACCTCGAAGTTTAGTCCAGACATAATAACAGGTGCTGCTGCCCGGCAACGGATATCAGCAGATCAAGAAAGCAATAATAACGAGCAAGGTTCGAAGCATATTAAAGTACTCACGTACCGTGGAAGATAGCAATACAAGCCATCATCATGCGAGCCTCTCCCCTCTCTAGACGACTCCGCTCGCCGATCATCGATATCATAATCCTGCCGTTTGCAGGAGTCGCAGACCCCAGTCGAGAGAGTCGAGACTACTGGAGCGGGGAAGAGAGACAGACAGGGAGGGGTTGGTTGATGGAGATTGGAGACTGGTGGTTGGTTGATGGAAACATGGCTGGGGGGGGGGGGGAAGAATGAAAGTATATTATTGGGGACGAGGGCCAAGGTTAGTGGGGGAGGCGAGAAGCTCAGACGCAGGCACGGAGATCCGCTCAACGGGCGAGTCGGTGGGCACCGGGCCCTGAAGGTTTTTCGGATGGATGGAGAGGGTTATAATCTGGAAAGTGTATCACCGGTGGAAGCTGGGGAGCTTTGGGTTTTTGGGCCGAACGCGGGGTTTTGAAGAGTTGAGTGTAAGTGTAAAATGTAGAGTAGTTGCGAGTGGAGAGATCGAGATCGTTGACTAGGTGGGAACCTTGCTAGGAGGTCATGTTACCTACTGAAGGATTTGATAGTTTATGAAGCAAAGCAAAATACTTTGTAGTAGAAAACATTCAATAATCCATCTTATGATAAGCAAGCATGAGAAAAAAGTACCAAACGAAACAGGTATGTAGTAGATAGTAGATAGTAGATATAGCCAGATTGTGAACATCTTCTTATCGGCTATCAAGATGATGATGAAAGTCCAATGAAAGCACAAAGCTCTGTATCCAGCCGCATTTCCACCATATACTCGAGATGCCGTACTATCATGTACCGAATACAATGTATACATCGAGCCTCTGGCCCGGGGTCCATGCCAGATCGTACCTCCCGCCGCATGCCGAACGGGCTCGAGCGAACCGGTGTTACTGGCGTACAAGAAGCCAGCACTGACGGCCTTGCACCGGCAGTGCTGTGACTGCTGTCAGTGCTCTCGACCAGGGGGAGGGGAAGGGGCTTGTTAGAGCGGAGATTTTTCACTTCGTATCAGGGCGGACCATTCGGAATTGACCCCTACCGCGTAACCATCCCAAAGTCTGTCCAGAAAGTCTGGAGAGTATGACGAAGGGGGACTGAAATGAGAGCATGAGGCGAGTTTCTGTTCTTGACTTTAGAACATCATCATATTCCCCAAGGACAGATTTCTGGTAGTTTTTGTATATATGCTGATTCTTGTTACTCCCCGCCTCCCGTAGGATAATGGTAGATAGAGATATATGATACATCCACTTCCACGCCGTCAATGCAAGGGGTTCGCATGGTAGGGAAGAAGAAAAAAAGAAACCAAAAAAAGAAATACCCTCGAACCAGTCTCGTTACTCTCGTAATGCTGTAAGAAGTGAGTGGGGAACCTAGACAAACGGTCTCGAGTCTCGACCGATCTGCTTTTCTCCTCGTACCAAACTGCCCGAAGGCCCTTGGCGGGGCCCTGGAGCCGGTGGATTCGGTGGGTTCATCCCAGGGTCTTTGGGTCTTTCGGAGAGGAGAACGTCAAAGACTACGACTTCCGTAGGATATTGTGAATTAAGACTGGTTCCCGGCAGCTCGGGGATTGGTCCCTCCCTTCGTACCCGTGGGACTGAACAAACGATGACCAGACATCAAGGGACCTTGATGACTGGTTGAACTGGTTGGACTGGGGGCCCTATGAATCATTCATCTGGTGCCTGGTGCCTTTTACCTTCGGACCTTGGTGGAAGCAAGACAGTGGTCGAGATTCGTTTGGGACCATTTGCTCGTGCCGCTCTTGGCCTAGCGTTCCTGGGAGATCGAGATGGAAGTGTACAACCGAGAATGCGAATGGAAAGGAATATGAATTAGAGGAAGGAATCTGATATAGGAGGGGTTTTCCAGCCGAGTAGAGAGGGTCTGGAACAATAGTCTGCCCTGGAAACGAAGGGTTTATAGTTGCAAGAGTCGTGTGTATGTTGCAAGTCACATCGTCGTCGATCTGGTGAAACGATGATTTGCATCGGTAGGCCCGGAAGAGGCCAATCCAGTTAGGGAGCTGTCCTGTCTGGTCTCTTGTTTCCCCTGGGATCTTCCATCTGGAGAGGGGGGCGTAAGCTGAGAGGGCCTCGTTCTCATAGATGATAGGTGGTGTTCATAGTGTGTCCATCATGAAGTGTCCATAGTAGTTGTCCCATCGAGAGTATTATTCGGTACTCGAAACTATGAATGTGGATGACCATTTGGCCCTTTTTGCCCCTCGCTTCCCGATAAGCCTCGTTCTCATCGTCACCACTGGTCTTCGATGCGGATGTTCCTTTTTTTCTGGACTTTGCCTTCAGACTCTTTTTACTCTCTCCCTTCACCCCGTTTCCTCTTGTCACTTTTTTTTTTCTTTTTTATTCTTTCCCCTTTCCCCTGTCCCCTGTGTATACGATCTCTCCCTCTCATACTCATACCTCGTCTATACTTCCCCCTCCTCTGTGCTTATTCGTCCGATATACTACATCATACATCATCTCCATCTATATATACACATCTCGTCCCAAACGATTTAATCCTGACCCCGGCTGGTCGGATCTGACGTTCCCTTGGATCACGTTTCTTTTCTCTCTATCTCATCTATCAACTACTATCGACTATCCATCGTCTATCAGACCTATCTACCCAACTGACCTGGTCTCGATCTTCTATTCTTATATATCAGATCGGCTCTACTCTCCCCCCCTCTCTCGTGTCTCGGCAGCCCGCCCAGGAACAACCTGAAACATCTACCCTCCTCCGAATTCTCCACCAGCCGTCAGCCTTTCCCATCTTGCCTTCCCAGCCCTCATCCCCATCCCCATCCTATCTCATCCCATCCATCTTTCTCCTCCTCCTCCGGCCGATCCCCAGGTTACAGTTCTTCGCCCGGGTCTCCCCTCAGAGATGCTCGCGATCGGCTAACTATCCTTCCCTTTTTCTTCTCGTCCCTCTTCCTTCTCCCCTTCTCATATTTCCCCTGCACAACTCCTTGCGTCGTTTCGACGAAATCCGGTTGTGCATTCCATCCTCCGACCCTCCTTCCCACCACCCCACCCTTTCGCTTCTTCGTTGCCGCCATCTTCCCCTCCTCGCCTTTCCCCTCCTCGGTTGTGAAAGAGAGAGAGAGAGAGAGAGAGAGAGAGAGCTGTGGTCCCGAGATCCAGTAAAGCGCCACAGCCTCTAAACCAAATCGTACGTGTCGAAAAACCTTCCGCCTCTTGAATTTACCCTACATTCTTCTCCTCTTGACTTCCTCTCAAAATCTTTCTTCTCTTTTTTTAATCTTGTAGTGGTCCGGACTAAAAAAAATTTCTTGCGCAAATGTTTACAGTGAGCGTTGCCTTCAGACTCCGCGTCTTCTCTTCTCTCTGCCCTCCTGCTCCGGTGTAGCACTGCGGCTCTTACGATACGATCGAGACCAATAGACTCCTCCCCGCTGGATTCCGGGGTCAATACTAGTGACGTGGATCGGGTTGCCAGCTTTGCGACCGCGGTTATCGCCTCTGACCTTATTTTTCCCCTCCGAAGCGACCAACCTTGACATCACCCGCCTCCACCAGATTACGTCGCCCCCATCATGGCTTCTTTCCTTCCCGTCAACACCTCGGCCGCGACCGATGACCACGCCATGGACGGTGCGACCACCCCCCGTGCGATTCCCAACGGTGTGTCGGCCTCCTCAGATCGATCCTCCCCGACGGACCAACCCCCGGATGTCGTTGCAGAGTCAAGTCGAGCCGATGGCCCTACACGAGCGGGACACTCAAGAACAGCCTCGACCATATCAGATGATGCGATGAATGTGGACTCGGACGGAGAACGTGATGGATCAGACCAAGAGACCGAAGCGGGCGGTGCGCCCCCATCGAAAAAGAAGAAGGGACAGCGGTTCTTCTGCACGGATTTCCCTCCTTGCAACCTCAGTTTCACACGCAGCGAGCATTTGGCTCGACATATTCGAAAGCATACGGGCGAGAGACCCTTTCAATGTCACTGCTCCCGACGATTCTCGCGTCTGGATAATTTACGACAACATGCGCAGACGGTGCACGTCAATGAAGAGATCCCCGGTGACTCGTTGGCGGCCACGGGCACTCGGTTCCAACGCCAAGTGCGGACGGATCGAGTGCGCCCGACTGGCCGGGCTCGTGCTGGGACTGGAGGTAGCCAGGGTGCCCACAGCCGTGGTCATAGCAGGAACTTGTCGACTTCCAGCATCGCATCTACGGCATCCACATTTAGCCAACCCCCGGAGCTTCGGCGACGACCCCCGCCGTTGATCATGGCCAACGACCCTACCAGCCGGGCACGCCTAGGACTGGATCCGATGGGAGAGCCTCCGAGTACGCCACCAGGCCAAATTCGTGGCATTCCAGGTCCCTCAGCCGGCGGGTCGCCTTATACTCCGTCCAACGTTTACCCTGGTGGCCCGACTGCCAGCCCCCAATATACTTCTCCCATGTCTAACGGAGCGCATAACTTCTGGGAGGGCAAGACCGCTGCTCGCCGACTGTCTGTTCCTACCAGCAGTAACCCATTCCTCGCACAACATGGTGGCGCATATCCTCCGCCATATGGCTCACCCGCCGGTCTTCCCTACGCGAATGCCGCTGGTGTCTTTGCGAGCCCAACTAGCACAAACTATCCTGCGTCTCGGGATGAGAGCACCCTTACTGCCGCCGAGGCAGAGATGCGGAGGCGAACATGGCATCCATCGACATATCCCACATTTAGCCGGCCATCTACAAGTGGCTTGAGTCAGTATCATACACCCGATACTGTCCAGGGACCTCCTTTGATGGGTGGACCCAACGCTGCAGACCAACCGCCACGGCTGCCTGGAATCGAGAGCTTCGACAAAGTCGTGTCTCAGCACCGACCATTGACCCCGCCCACCCGTAAAGCGAGTCCGATGCAGATTGATAGCCAACACCGAGCTCATCCACCTCCTAACCATAACTTCGGCTCTGGCTACAACTACGGAGCTCCATCAGTGCGTCCAGCACCTCCAATGTCCGGTCCTGGCCACCGTCGCGGCCATGTGTCGTGGGACATGTCCTTGCATCACAATCTCACCGGGCTCGAAATTCGAGACCGACGAGCCTCTCGGGATGCAAGCCAGTGGAGCCAGCAAACCATTGCCGAGCTTCAGAACGTGTCTTCCCGCCCTTCGTCCTCATATCAGCCAGTATTTCCACCCACCGTTGAGCGTAGTCCAGAAGAGCATCGGGGTCATTCATCGAATCTGTCAACGAGTAGTCGTCCAGCGCAGACATCTCCCGAAGACTCGAGCAGCAGCGAGGGGGTTCACACTCCGTCTACGACCTCGGTCGAGTACCACCCAGCCATTGTGCACAGCAGCGGATATATCGAATCGCACGATTCGCCGTTGCCATCCGATCACCCTCAACCGGTAGGACCCCCTCCTTCGAACGGACGGCACGCGACCCGGATACTAATGCCGTCATAGATCTGTGTCCGACAAGCCTCTCACGCCGACGGCTACCCGGGCCACACCGAGCAAGAGCCCCGATCAGATATGTACTCGGACTCCTCTGCACGAGACAACGGGATGGGCCGGCTCGAGGCCTTGGTTGCCGTCGCAACGAGTGAGAATAAAGGTGCCGCCAGATTGTTCTTGTAAAAATTGATATTCGACATACCGGGAGATCGATATATACTCGCCTATAATACCTACTACCTTTTTAACTCAACCCTTTTCATCCACAGTCATTCTCCTCTACGAGAATGGCCTCTCCCGGCTTTGTGGATCCGGACCTCACCTCGACACCACCCTACTCAACATTCGTTCCCGAACCCAATGCTCATCCATTGTGAGATAATCTTTCCATTTATCATCTGGGAAAATGGGCGGCGCCTCTCATCGAGGCCCGCTCGCCCTTGACGAAGTAACGACTTTGATGAATTTATACATGAAACTGGATCTTCTCCCTCTCATTTATCTGATCTGATTTACTCTGCGTTCTTCTTTTTTTGTTTCTACTTGGGAGTCTCGTGTCTGATCTTTCAGAGTTCCCGAACTCTCCGCTGCATGTCCTGGCGTTTCGAGCAGGAGCCGTATGGATGGCCTCGTGTGTGCATGCGATACCCACCTCGATCAATTGGTTTGGTGTCTTGTTCTCCACCCCCCATCCCATTCCCCCCCTCCTCCTCTACCCAATCTCCCTCTTTCCTCTATCTCTTTTGGTTGTGGTGCGGCTTCCGATTATTCGAGCTGACTTCCGCTTCTCCTATCTCCCTCTCTCACTCTTTCCGATGCCCGATGGTGTTCATGCAATTTGGTTTTTATGTGGTGGTGGTTTCTCATATAGTTTCTGCTTTTGTCTTATTATACTCAACTTTTTTTTCCATCTGGTGGAATTCATCATGTCAATGTTTTTATGTCGTCTACGGCCGTTGTTAGGATCGTTATGATGTTAGGTTTTTTGGACCTTGATATGATTGCAAATGCCAATTTTTGAAGAACAACAATCCATTTCCTTTACTTGAGGAGTTGCTGTATAGTAGGAGAAAACGTCAAAATTAGAATCGCTAGGAAAAGGTCTAGATTGTGCAGCACTTCTGCGTGATGTAGCAAAGCATGGGATTGCCTGAGCTCCCGGCATGACGTCTACCCCGCACGAACGAGGATCCCCCGATTGATTGATTTATTCCCTTGTTCCTTCGTTCACCAGATAGAGGGTACTTGGATTATTCTAAGTACTGTATTATTGAGACTACTATATCCAAGATTGAACATCTGCCTCTCGCCAAAAAGGCAATCATTGCTCGTAACCTTCGAAATGTGCAGTTCAATATCGGAACCACATGCGGCAATGACTTGCTGGTGACGTCGTCCGGGTGCATTGAGGTGGACCCGCCTAGCGCCGAGCTAATAAGATGACCCCGGTTTTGGCTCAAAGGTAGGAGAAGAATACATATGTACTGTAAATCAAAGGACACCAGAGAAGAAAGGGAAGAGGGATGATAGAATAGACCAGTTCAATACGAAGCCATGTCTTGTTCTATAAGCTTGTCCACCAGCTATAACTACAAAATGATATAAAACTCGAACTCTTATGAACCAACACAATATGAAGCACGAACCACCTTCCCCTCAAGGTGTAATAATTAATGTAACGGCAACAGCATGCAGGGCCGAATTTGCCAATTTGCCAACGGGGAACCGGGACAGACGTCATCGTCCGGTGACAGGGAAACCCGCCCAGTTCTGAACCATCAAGCTCAGTTTCTCCCCAGACACTTCTTCAACTTCTTTAAATACTCTTGATCCCCTCGAATTTAGTCCAGAGCTTCGTACCTGGATATCTCGACTCTACTTTCGAATCCGAATCTTCCTCCTCACACAAACACCACTCTACACAGACATCATGTCCAAGAACCGAACGGGCCTGTATTTGGGTCTGGCTGTGGCCGGCGCTGGCGGATACTATCTGTATCGTGCGGGCGGAGATGTCAAGGGTGCGAAGCAGGAGATGAAGAGTATGTTTCATCTTTTCCTTGAGAGGATGTTGCTATGCATTCCCTTACTTGTTTCATATGGGAATTGCTGACTTGTTTCTGTTTCTTACAGTTGACGCCGACAAGGCGCGCGAGAAGCTCCCCCGTGGTAAAAATGCGGAGAAGTTCGGCGAGAGTGTTGGCAAGGAAGCTGGTTCTAATATCGATGAAGCTGTATGCATACTATTCTCCCTTGCGCTGTGCCTTTTTCCTATCTCCCCATTATGCTTTTGCGTTGCAACAGCCTGGCCACTTGGATATACTACCAGCCACTGTGGCCACTGCCTCCCTCTATCCCATCCCATCCCATCCCATCCCATCCTGTCTCATATCTGATCTCAACTGGAGAAAAACAACCTCACTAACTCTCCTTCCCAGATCGACAACGCCCGCTCCAAGGCCAAGCTAGACGAGCGCATCCCCGCCCTCATCGACAACGGCAAGCAGCAGCTGGAAGATGGCCGAAAGCACCTGGAAGATGGCAAGAAGCAACTCGATGGGTTCCGCAAGGAAGCGCGGGATCAGTTCAATGCTACTGTGGACAAGGTCGATCGTACGGTGGAGGAGAAGGCGGCTGAGGCCAAGGGGACTGTTTCTGGGTGGTTTGGGGGTGGTAAGAAATAGATGATGATTATAGTGATCAATGAGGCTCTACTTGGATTTTCGATGGACTGGGGGGCTTCAGTAATTGAGATTGAGATTAAGATTGATGATCAATGCCGGATGAGGGCTTCTGTTCGTCGAGGATAGGAATTCGATTATGAGATAATGAAATTATTGGTTTGCAGATGCAAATACTGTACATATCGTAGGTTTGTAGGTATTATTGTTGTGGTTTTTATCAGATCTTCGAGTTCTTCTTCAGGAACCGAGGGTCCAAAATTGTGAGGGATTACAATCGCTAGTCCGCGTGCCCCTGTGGACATCTTGCTTGCATGTTCGGAGCATTGTTCCTCTACAGGCCCGTCTGGCCCCGACGCAGCATTCTCATGCCAGGGGATTATTACCACAGTGACGAGAATACCAACCCCACAGTCTCATGGTCATCTCGTCCATCTAATTTTTTTTTCTTAAATAATGCTTGAGAACCTCTACTTCTGTGATGCTCCAGAATTAGTGCCCGTGCAGTCAATTTTTATCATCTTGTGGTGGTATCAGCGGTACTCCTTCGTGAAACTCGGACGCGTCAATTAAACCCGAAACAGTTTAACGTCTCCGTCTCCACACGCGCCTCGACGCGTCGAGCCTTTTCGCGCCCTGTTTTTCCCTCTTCAGTGCTAAGTGCTACATCTGCTCCTTAAACACTGCACTCCCTCCCTTCTCTCCTCTCCATCCTCTCCATCATCCCCACCTTCCACCTCTTACTACCCTTTTAACTCTCTAATACTCGGCATCTCTTACTCTGATTATATCTTCAGTTGCATTTATCGGTCGCGATTCCCTCAGCATCCCCCTGAACCCGTCGCTCCCGCCCAACGGGAAAATTCGCAGCCGCGATGCCGCGCACCGCCAGACAGAGCGCCCTGCTCCAAAGTCAACCAGCGATTCAGAGCTTTGGCCGGGCAACCAAGGCTGGTGTGACGCCGTCATTGCCTGCGAAGAAGACTGCTTCTCTACCCGTTTCCCCGTCGAAGAAAAGGAAGTTGCAGGAGCTCGAAAATGTGGACTGTGCCGGTCGGCAATCCCTCGACGAAGAGGCCAACACGCCTTCCAAGACTTTAAAAATTAGTCAATTGTCGGTTTCTTCCCCGCGCAGTGGTCATTATGCCTCGCCGAAGCGAACCCCGAGTCGTCGGACTCGTGTTTCGACTGTCGCTGTCGCCAATATCCCCGAAGTTCCCGACACCCCCTCGAAGCAACGCACCATCAACTTTGAGAAGGTCATTCCCGAGCCGAAACTTGCGCCACAAGCACCCTGTGTCAATGATTTCTTGGGTCTTCATTATGCTTTCGTTCAGGCTCTTTCCATTCACATGGCTCATAATGGTCCCATTTCCCCGGCTGATTTCCGCGAGCTCCTTCCCAGCGTGACCAGGATCTGGAAAAAGCGCAAGGTGCAGCCCAAGGATCTCCAACGCTTATTGTGGGTCTGGGACCACAGCTTGAAGGCCAAGGATGTCTCCTATCGTCTGGCAAATTACGGCCTGGGCAAGGTGTGTCTGGAAAGGACTGTGCAGATCGATCAACAGCCCCCTGCCTTGCAGGATGCATTCGAACAGGCCTTGGATCTGCTTTGGGAACAGACGGAACCCTCGCTCGAAATTGCCAAGGAGGAGGATCGTCCGGCACTTTTCCTCGAGTCTCTCGGCCTTGCGCCTATTCACGAATCCCTCACGCCATTCACCGCATTCAAGAAGGGTCAACAGCGTCTGCAGGATTTGAGATCTGGCGTGATTCGCATGAAGACCGAGAAATTGCGCGCAGAGGCAGAAATTGGAGAGTCCAAGCCTCTGGCTCCTGCGATCAACCGTCGACAAAGTCTTCTCGATCGCATTAAGAATAAGGAGCTGCGCCAGTCCAAGCTGCCCCCTCCGCCAACCAAGAAGGAGGTGACCCGTCGAGCGGCTGCTGATCGTGTCGAGGAAGTTGCCGGAATTCTGGCTCTTTTGCGTCCCGCGGCCTATGTGGGCACTGGTATCAAGGCCATGTTCGCTAGCCAGCGCAAGCCTTTCAATATGGACACGATGGTCGACCATGTTCGTGATTCTGTTCGGATTCCGATCCCTCGGGATGAAGTCGAAGCGTGCCTTGAGATTCTGGCTGATCCTCGTGTGGCCGGTCACTGGGTGACTATGGTTACGGTGAAGGATATCCGCTCGGTGGTCCTCAAGTCCTGCAAGGACATTGCGGTCAACCAGCTTGGAGCAAAGGTCGCTCAGTTGAAGGCCGAGTGGGAGAAGCCCCAGGCCTGTGTGTCGAGTCCCTTGTTGAAGATCTGAAGGACTCACGGTGGATTTTGTTTTGAAAATTTTGTTGTATACCTCGCATCCGCGGAGCCGGTCTTGCTCGCGATCTTGCATTGAAGCGTTGTTCTGATACCCTGTACTTTGTGGACCTCATGTCTGTTAGCATACATTTTACCATCATACCCATTACCTCGAGAATAAATCTTAATTACACTCATCATATCAATGACCTTGTCCTTCTAGTTCATAGCTTAATAATACAAGTACTTTCCAAGCAGTCCTGCGCAGGTATTACTGAGAGACCCAAAAGTGATAGACCACTTAACGCGCGACGCGTGCCACGTGACCGCGTCCGCCCAAAACGCGTCTCGAGCTCACACCAATTGCCGTGACACCATCAAGCTCGGCGACTGTCCAAACAATCAGTTGCAGAATCACCGACAAGATGTCATCTCGACCAGATTTGAAGGTATGTCCCGATACTTCCATAATCTAATATTCCCGCAGAAAAAAGTAACTAACCGATGACCCTGAACCTAACCAGGTTGACGACGAAGTCGGTTTCATCCGCTTCTACCGCTCCCTCCCCGAAGCCGACAACAATGAGACCATCCGAGTCTTTGATCGAGGCGATTGGTACTCATCACACGGTGCCGACGCCGAGTTCATCGCCCGTACCGTCTATAAAACCACCTCCGTCCTTCGAAACCTAGGCCGCAGCGAGACCAGCGGCCTGCCATCCGTCACTATGAGCGTGACCGTGTTCCGCAATTTCCTCCGCGAGGCGCTCTTCCGGCTCAACAAGCGCGTCGAGATCTGGGTGTCGGGCGGTACGGGCAAGGGAAATTGGAAGCTGGGCAAGCAAGCTAGTCCCGGTAACCTGCAAGACGTGGAAGATGAGCTCGGCAGCGTTGGTGCTATGTCCATGGATTCAGCGCCTATCATTCTCGCTGTGAAGATTTCCGCGCGTGCATCGGAGGCTAGGAACGTCGGTGTGTGTTTTGCGGATGCGAGTGTGCGTGAGCTCGGTGTGAGCGAATTCCTTGATAACGATATCTACTCCAACTTCGAGTCTCTGGTTATTCAACTCGGCGTGAAGGAGTGTCTGGTGGTTATGGATTCTGCTGGGAAGGATGTTGAACTTGCCAAGATTCGGGCCATTGCTGATAGCTGTGGTATTGCCATCTCCGAGCGGCCGGCGGCGGACTATGGTGTGCGTGATATCGAGCAGGATCTCACCCGGCTGCTTCGTGATGAACGATCTGCGGGTACCCTGCCACAGACGGAATTGAAGCTTGCTATGGGATCTGCGTCTGCGTTGATCAAGTACCTTGGCGTGATGACCGATCCGACCAATTTCGGCCAGTACCAGCTTTATCAGCATGATTTGTCGCAGTATATGAAGCTGGATGCGTCTGCGCTGCGTGCTTTGAATCTTATGCCTGGTCCGCGCGACGGATCGAAGAGTATGAGCCTGTTTGGTCTGTTGAACCATTGCAAGACGCCTGTCGGAAGTAGGCTGCTGTCGCAGTGGTTGAAGCAACCGTTGATGGATCTTGCTGCCATTGAGCAGCGGCAGCAACTGGTAGAGGCCTTTGTGGTCAATACCGAGCTGCGTCAGACGATGCAGGAGGAGCATCTGCGTGCTATTCCCGATCTTTACCGTCTTGCCAAGCGTTTCCAGCGGAAGCAAGCTAATTTGGAGGACGTTGTCCGAGTGTACCAAGTGGCTATCCGGCTTCCTGGGTTCGTCAGGGCTCTGGAGGATGTTATGGACGAACAATATCAGACGCCTTTGGATACGGAGTATACGTCTAAGCTGCGTGGTCACTCGGATAGCTTGGCCAGGTTGGAGGAGATGGTGGAGACTACAGTTGACCTCGCTGCGCTCGATAACCATGAATTTATCATAAAGCCAGAGTTTGACGAGGGACTTCGTGTTATTCGGAAGAAGCTGGACAAGGTTCGGTACGACATGGATATGGAGCACCGACGGGTCGCGAAGGATCTCAACCAGGAAATGGAGAAGAAGCTCTTCATGGAGAATCACCGTGTCCATGGCTGGTGTTTCCGTCTGACCCGCACGGAAGCAGGTTGCATTCGCAACAAGAAGGGATACCAGGAGTGCTCGACGCAGAAGAACGGCGTCTACTTTACTACCTCGACGATGCAATCTCTCCGCCGGGAGCATGACCAGCTCTCTTCCAACTACAACCGAACCCAGACTGGTCTCGTCAATGAAGTTGTCAACGTCGCTGCTTCCTATTGCCCCGTTTTGGAACAGCTTGCTGGTGTTCTAGCACACCTCGATGTTATCGTGGCCTTCGCACATGCAGCAGTCCATGCACCTGCAGGATACGTTCGTCCTAAGATGCACCCTCGAGGCACGGGTAACACCGTTCTCAAGGAAGCCCGTCACCCATGCATGGAAATGCAAGATGACATTTCCTTCATCACTAATGATGTCTCTCTGATCCGTGACGAATCCTCCTTCCTCATTATCACCGGTCCCAACATGGGCGGTAAATCTACGTACATCCGCCAAATCGGTGTTATCGCGCTCATGGCCCAGACTGGCTGCTTCGTGCCCTGCACCGAAGCAGAGCTGACAATCTTCGATTGCATCCTTGCCCGAGTCGGTGCTAGTGACTCCCAGCTCAAGGGTGTGTCCACTTTCATGGCGGAGATGCTCGAGACGGCCAACATTCTCAAGTCTGCTACCTCGGAATCTTTGATTATCATCGACGAGCTCGGTCGTGGAACTAGTACCTACGATGGGTTCGGCCTGGCCTGGGCTATCTCCGAGCACATCGTCACCGAAATCCGTTGCTTCGGTCTCTTCGCAACCCATTTCCACGAGTTGACCGCATTGGCGGAACGGTACCAAAAGGCTGTGAAGAACCTCCACGTGGTGGCATTCATCGGCGACGGAACCAAAGGCGATGTTGATGACGGCGCCGAAAAGAAGAAGCGCCAAGTCACATTGCTGTACCGTGTCGAACCAGGCATCTGCGATCAATCATTCGGTATCCACGTTGCCGAGCTCGTTCGATTCCCCGAAAAGGTTGTCAACATGGCCCGCCAAAAGGCCGAGGAATTGGAAGATTTTTCAACTGCTGAGAGTTCAGAGCAGCAGCAGTCTACTCCCTCATTGGATAAGTACTCCCATGAAGAGGTGGAGGAAGGTAATGCCCTTCTCAAGGAGATGTTGTTGAAGTGGAAGGCCGAGATTGAGGGTAAAGACCTTTCGTCGGAGCAGAAGCGCCAGATCATGCGCGATCTTGTCAAGGGTGATGAGAAGTTGCAGGCGAATAAGGTGTTCCAAGGTATCAAGGCTCTTTAGGGATATGAATAAGTAATTGATGTGGGCTGAAGTTTTTGTATGGAGTTTGGTGTATGGGATTGGGGACCTCAGGGAAATGCATTTGACGAGGACTTGTTTAAAATAGTTTTCGGGACCTATTGTCTTATCTATACTTGAAATCAATCGATGCAGAATAAACAAGTGATCACTTGCTAATTATCCTAATGTCTTCAACAACTACAGTTGGTAGCTAGATGTAGATCAGGGACAGTCACGTGGGTTAACCTTACTGGTCTAGACGCCAACGCGCCTCGGGGTAACCTGAGTGGGCGGCTTGTCCAAAGCTTGTCTATTATTCTTCATTCACTCCTTCATGAACTTTCCAAGACCCTCATCCTCTTCATTTTACCGCAGCTGACCCCTTTCAAACTCGTCTCACCTGGCAAAAAAGCCCCTCCCTCAAACTTCCCCCTCCAGCTATGTGCGCCAACTAAACCGCGGACCGCTTGAACCACCCTGATTCATGCACCCCTTTTCCATCCTCACCCTTGGGATCTTTGTCGCGGGATACATCACCGCTCGGTGGGACCTTGTAACCCGCCTGTACGAATTGGCCATTTTTGCGTGGGACCACGGTGTTGTGGTATGTTTTTGTTGCTGGGTTGTTCGGAGAGGACACACCCCTCCCCTCCTCTCCATTAACAGCTAGGACTTCCGATACGTGGGACTGTGGAATTATTGCTGACGATCGTGGTTGGCTATAGACAAGGACTCTGAAAGGATTCTTGTTTCTCTCCGTCTTTTTCTTCCTCTTGGTTCTGCCAATTAATCACCTGGCGTCAAGAGAGGGGAGTCTGGTAAGTTCAACACTGAGCGCTCGCGCAGTGGATTGCTATGAATGCTTGCTAATATATTCGCTGTTATGTTAGCACCCGCGCCACGTGAATCTCGGTGTCTCCGCACGAGAACAGCTACGCCGCCGAGGCTCGTTCTAAAGGTCCGGAGAAGGATGACAATATGCTCATGAGCGATGGGCTATTGCGGGTATTCTGGCCATATGATCTCCCGCGATCCTCGTCGCCGGGAGTGATTGTTGGATGGCGCAATTCGGAGCTAGATCTGTTCGTGCTCACGGTGTTGGAAGATGTCGAGGTGAGTGACTTCATTGTTGGAGGGGCATGTAGTCCTGCGCAACGGCATACTAATTGCACGTTTCCTCGAAATAGCCGCGCAATGTCGACAATGCGCTCCGCGCTGGGATTCTCTTTCGGAATAGCCCACATCCGATTGTTCGCATCTTTACCTTGTGCGGGCGATCCCAGATGCACGTCCTCGGCTCGACAAATCCACAGTCACCTCCGACCTCATTCAACCCCTCCCATCTATACGTGAACACGCAATCTACATCCAAGGTTCCTCAAATATACTGTCCTCCAGGCACAAATTTGTCAGTTCAGGTCATCATGTATGATCGCCCGCATCCGACCCGCATGGAGTACATGTCTTTGAATCCAATCTCGCTGGCATTGGGCGACAAGGTGGCAGCTTCAGAAAAGTTTGGACCGGTTACGGACAAGATTGAGTCGGAAGAGGAGAAGGAGAAAGTAAGAGGTCGGCTGCTGGTTGAGAAACTCAAGTTTCACACGGTTGTCAAGCACGCGCCTTCGCAGAAGGAACAGGCACTTCCCTTGATCATCAACCAAGTCAATTGCGCCTATGAAATGGCACAGCTGATGCATAAGAACACCCATCTCATTGGTATTCGTGCCAAGCGGAGTATGAGTGTTGGAGAGCGCGTGGTGGAGTCTGCCACAACATTGTGGGGGTTTATCGTCCTCTGCCTAGCTCACGTCTTTTGGCAATGGATTTGGCCTGTTATCACTAGAATTTTCGTGATAGGACTTGTGTGTCACCGATCCGTCGCAGAGATTGTCTTGCAGGTTCTTGAATGGCGAGCTCGACCGGATGCTGCTGCTCTCAAGGATATCTCTGCGACCGCTCAGCAAGTGGATATACGACTCCAGCAATTCTGTTACTGGCCTATTCAATATGTCAAGCTTCGCCAACGGAAAGACAATTGGGAAAGTGTGACGACCAGCCACCCGGATTATATTCGATTTTACAACAGCTTGTGGCTCGTCGCCAACGACGTGATCATCGGCATTGCTCTCGGGTCCTATATCATCGACAATGCAAACTGGGTGGCATCTCAAATCAATACTGTCCTAACAGGCTGGACTGTGGAAGGCCTGCAACGCACAATCTCATGGTTGATGGATTGGCCAGCTGGATTGAAGTTGAACAACGAACTCGCGGCATTCCTTGGTGACTTGTTCTTGTGGGTCATTGAAAACTGGGCTGCGTGCATCGCCAATCTGCAACCATACCTCCCACATGTCATCTACATTGTGGGGTGCTCCAGTTTCGCCGGCGCCAGCATGCCCATCGCCTTATTCTCCGACCTTCTTTCGATTCTAACCGTTCACATCTACTCATTCTACATTGCATCTGCTAGAATCTTCAATTGGCAACTTACCATCATCATCTCTCTGTTCCATCTTTTCCGTGGAAAAAAGCGCAACGTCTTGCGCAATCGGATAGACTCATGCGATTACGACCTCGACCAGCTTTTGCTTGGCACCATCTTGTTTACCGTCCTTTTCTTCCTTCTTCCTACTGTCATTGTCTTTTACTTGACATTCGCCTCGGCCCGGATGTTGATCATCACCATGAAAGCTGGTTTCGATACCTGTCTGGCATTTTTGAACCATTTCCCGCTCTTCGCATTGATGCTGCGTGTGAAAGACTCGAGACGACTACCCGGTGGCATCCGGTTTGAGCTTCGGGATGCAGTGACGAAAGGTTCCAATGATGCAGACTCTCCGGCTGTTTCTTACATCCACCTCGAGGTCCGTCTTGTCAAACAAATCACTTCCACGAGTAACCGCTGACATTCTGGCTTAGTCTATCCCCCTCCCACTCCGCGCCATGTTTGACCAATACTTCCAACTCGGTCACCGACTCCGCAAACATTACCTAGCACCCCGTGTCATTTTCTGTCTCATGACCGGCCGCTTCGTCCCGCCCATTCACCGCCGCAACCTATACAGCATGCAATATAGCATGCTACCGGCACGGCGCGCAGGCATGGCCGAGGTATGGTCAATGTTGACGCAGCCGAAGAAAGGTGGAAACGGGAGTGGAAGTTCTAGCTCTGTCGGGGGAATCGGAGCCTTGGGTAATCCGATTCCCAAGGTCCCGCCTAACTTTGGGCAAGGGGATGTACGTCGACGGGGGCATCGGTGATGTTGGTGTAGAATAATACCCTAGTATATGGATCGTAAGCGTTGATTCTATTAATGAATTTTTGCCTTTTGGCATATTACATGTTGAATATCTTCTTATGATTGCAGTCCACACGTACTCAATAGACTACCTAGACACATAGGTAGGTGTCTCTTCACATACCGTAAGCCCCATATGTTTCTTTTCTGAGCTGCCACTGCCTTTATCAGGGGCGCTCAGAAGGCATTAAATTCAAGGCTCACTCAGTGTATGCCTCCCTCAGGCGCAGTAACCTACATACCGCCTACGCCTGTATGAGTGCAATAGTGGTGGAGAGACCCTAGTAGATATCGCTAATTTTTGGGCCCTCCGATTGCATGTTATCCTTGATGACCACAACAATGAGCTGCTGTTGTCACCCTTTCTTGTCTGGTTACTGAGCGTATTAGAGTGCTTACAAGACATGCACCAGTGAGCGGAAGTAAATCAGACTTGCTAAGGACCTAATAAGGGCTGCCCAATCAGTGAGCAACGGAGTCTGACTGGCCCCTAGGTACGCGAGACGATCCGAAAACGATGGCAATTGTTGGCAAGGGCCGGCTAATGCTCACTGGTTAGGTCCCTGGTCACTGGCGTACTCAATTCGGAGTAAGAAGAAAACGTCATGAACATTGTAGCTCGATATATCATCGGGCCAGTTCTATCGTCCAAAACAACCTCAAAGATAACATGATTAACTGAGTAGTTGAGTGATATGTTGATACATCTAGTTTTGACGGTATGCAGAGAAGAGAGATCACGCTTGCCTATATATAACATGCACCTGTTGCCGTTTGCGCCTGAGTTATTAAACATTGTCCTCGCCATCGGGAAATAATCGAGAAGTGATCAAAGAAAATGCATAGAGGGGAGATGAAAAGGAATGCCAGGTAGAGAACAGCTAGGCCTCATGATTTTTTGAGAAACTCGGCATCGGTCTCACTGCTGCTCTTGCGAGCATCATCGAGCATTGTGTCGATGCCTTTCTCTTTGAGAGATTTCTACATTTCAAGAGAATATGGTCAGCCGGATTTGTTCCGAATCCTAAAATTGGAAGTGTAACGTACATGTAGGCATGTTTTGTACTTTTTAAACAGTTCCTCGCAGTCATTTGATGAAGTGTTGCCTCGAAGATATTCTGTCTCGTTGTTAGCTACATTTGCTGCTTGCAGGGAGTAAATAATCAAAATAGCAGAGACTGACTCTCACTATACCACTTCAGAAAGCAGGTATCATATCTCCTGATTGTTCTCCATGTCAGTTTTTCGTGTCTTCCCTGGCCAGGTAGTGTAGAAACTGAGAGAGTGACATGGAACTTACTCTTTGATGTCGTTGCATTCGGGGGCAATTGAGGCGGCCATTATTAGAAGCTGAGGATTGAAGTGTGTATAAATTATTGAAAATTTTCAACAATTTGTAAATGATTTGCTTCAAGGTGAACAAACTTGTTGTAAGGTGGATATGTTAAAGTGTTGGAAGCTCAGCAGGAGAAGAAAGTCGCCGCGGAGGCTCGGAGGTGGCCAATTAAACACCCGCAGCCGCCCACTTCCTTTCGGCAGGCGGTCAACGCGCAACTCTTCACGCTTTCCACTTTTTTTCTTCGCAGCTCCAACTCTCTCATTCGACATCTGCAACGGCTTTTTTAGCTCTGCTAGCCATGGATTCCGCAGAGCTCGATCCATTCCAGAAGAAGGTGTCCGCCGCTTTGGTGCAGGTGACCCGTACTGTTGCTCAGCTGTCGTCGGAGGACCTGGGCTTCCACCGTACCTCGAGTTCGGAGTTCACAGAGTCACTTGACGAACAAAGCGAGCGGATTCTTGCGCTGACGTCTGCTGTGCTTAAGGCTGCTACCGCCGGGACTGACGTGGATGCGCCGTCACTCGACACAGAAGAATCTCTCGAGGATAATTGGCGGGGTGTGGTGGACGTGATCGATTCGCTTCTCGAAAAAGCCGATGCTTGTTTGGATGAGTTCACGGGCGTGATCAAGAAATTGAGCCCTTCACAAGAGGAGCAGGCTCCAGTGGCCAGGAAAGCACCCAAATTCCCAACCACTTACGACTACGGACCATCGAAAATCCCTAAGCCGCAGTTGTTGTTCGATCACAAGCCCGATAACTCCGACTTGGGCCCTTTCCATCCTCTTCTCGAGACCAAACCTCATGCCTCCGTTCCACTCGAAAAGTCTCTGACGCAACGACAAATTGGTGGCGTAACTGCCTACCCGCATCCGTACGAGACCGAAATTCGCAATGCGCAGTACCCGAAGTCCGTTTACCAGACTGCCTCCCCGATCAACTTCCTCTCATTTGAGGGCACGACCGCTACGTTTGTTGATACTTTGGATGGAGTCAAGAAGATGCTTGAAGAGTTGAAGCAAGCAAAGGAGATCGCTATTGATCTGGAGCATCATGATGTACACTCATACCACGGTCTTGTGTCCTTGATGCAGATCAGCACGCGGAATAAGGACTGGGTGGTTGATACCCTCAAACCGTGGAGAGAAGAGCTCCAGATGCTCAACGAAGTTTTCGCCGACCCCAAGATTCTCAAGGTCCTGCACGGATCCACCATGGATATTATCTGGTTGCAGCGTGACCTGGGATTGTACGTGGTTGGCATGTTCGATACCTTCCATGCCGCATCTGCGCTGGGATACCCCAAGAGAAGCTTAAAGTTCCTGCTTAAGAAGTTTGTTGACTTTGAAGCCGATAAGCGGTATCAGATGGCGGATTGGCGTGTTCGTCCACTTCCATCGGGCATGTTTGACTATGCCCGATCTGATACCCACTATCTCCTGTACATCTACGACTGTATGCGGAACGCACTTATCGAGGCATCGACTCCGGAAGAAAGTCTCATTGATTACGTGCAAGACCGCTCAAAGAACGAGGCTCTGCAGAGATACGAACGTCCTGTCTACGATGCGGAGAAGGGACAAGGTGCTGGAGGCTGGTACGATCTGCTTTCCAGAAACCCAGGCGGTGCGCTTTCCAAAGAGCAATTTGCCGTCTTCAAGGCCATTCACCAGTGGCGTGACGAGGTAGCCCGTGCCGCAGATGAGGGCTGGCAGTGCGTGTTCCCCAAGCATATGCTTTTCAAGCTTGCTCAAGTCATGCCTCTTGACATGGGAACTTTGTTGCGCACCCTCTCGCCCATGACCCCTCTCACCAAGGATCGAGCTGGGGATCTGCTTAACACGATCAAGAAGGCTGCCGCTGCCGGTGCCACAGGTCCAGAATGGCGCGATATCGCACCGCCACCCAAGACTCTTCCCGTGGCTGTTGATATGGAAGATGTTGACTTCCCTATTGCTGAGCGTTACGAGACATCTCAGTTCTGGGGCGATGTCTTGCAACTTCAAGAGCCGTCCGCTCCGGCATCATACTCTGCTGTTGCATCCCTCGAAGCTCTCCGACTTTCTCTTCCTTTGCCGCCGATGCCTACTACCGTCTCTCAAGCTAGGGAGAAGCTTGCCGTTACGGCAAATGCCCAGTCCTCTCCGGCTCCCAAGGCGGCCCCTGCGCCCGCTCCGGTCCCCGAAGAGCCCAAGTACTTCACTGTGAAAGACCTTGGTGGTCCACGCAAGCGAAAGGTTGCTCCGGTTGACACCCGTGACGAAGAGGCCTCTACACCCGATATCTTGGCTGGACCAAGCGACGAATCAGAGATGACCGCGAAACAACGCAAGAAACTACGCAAGGAGAAGAAAAAAGCCAAGAAGACTGCCCAGTCTGCCTCTCAATTCGAGGCTGAGCCTTTTGATTACAATACTGCGGACTCAGTCCTCAAGGCGGCCCCCACAGCTGCGCCAAGCGCACAACAGAGGAAAAAGCCATTCAATCCCTACGTCAAGGCGTTGGACGCTCCCTCGGGTGCACGCAAGCAACAGCGGAACGACGCTGGAAAGTCTATGACATTCCGAGAGTAAAACTTCCGACGCCTTGCAGTCTCAATTTTCTACAAAAGAAGCATATTTGGGGTTGGTGGTTTGTTTCCTTTCTTGTGTTTCACTTTATGAGCATAGCGATACCCTTGCGTCAATGGGAGGCCCTGGGATTCTTTTTGTGTGTACAGATATAGGGTTTCTCATGGAAATGAACTATCTTAACATGAAATAATCTTCTGCAATAAGATTAGGTAGTTAAATCCATTTATCCAACCCTTCTACCTAGAGTTCTCCGAGCCAAGAAGCGTCTTGTTCAGCTCCTTGCCATGATAAATTTCTTCGAATGTCCTATACTTGAGTTTACATCCATGCCAGAGATAAGCCAAGAACTCTCGGGATAGAAAAAGTAGATATTTGCTATATTAGATACTCGTATACTCAATGATTATACCATAAATTAGTTTCCCTTCTTTCATTTCACTGCAGGGCTCTATACCCAAGTCGATATCTATAGATAGTCACGTGATAATACCCAGGAACCACCAATCATATTGCATCCCTTGATAGCGAGGTGGGCCTGACTCATCGTCGAGGGGCAGAAATCCCCCCGCCAAAGAATTGTAGATTGTCATTACAGGCAGCTCATCAAAGCGCAGAGTACGATATCAATCCCCTTAAATCGATATTCCGAATAGCTGATTTACTTTACATAGCCCTTGACAAGCTCTACCATGGCGGACGAACCAGGACAACCCCCAGCGCTCACTACGCTTAGCCTCGCCGACAAGGCGCCCGCCGCAAAGGCCGTCGGCCAGGTCATCACTCCCTTCGATGTCTCTGGCGGTGTCGATGAGACTGGCAAGCTCCTGCCCGTCGACTATGACAAGCTTGTCCGCGAATTTGGCGCCACTCCTCTCACCCCCGACCTGCTCGAGCGCTTCGAGAAGGTCACCGGCCACCGCCCTCACCGTTTCATGCGCCGCGGCGTTGTGTTCAGTCACCGCGAGTTGGGCAAGATCTTGGATCGCCATGAGAAGGGCCAGCCTTTCTATCTCTACACCGGACGTGGACCCAGCAGTGACAGCATGCATGTGGGACACACCGTCCCGTTCGAGTTCACCAAGTATGAGGCCCCCTTGTCGCGCAGGGTATATAATTGCAGTGCTAATCTGGTTTTACGTACCTAGGTGGCTTCAAGATGTGTTCGACGTCCCCCTTGTGATCATGATGACCGACGATGAGAAGTATATGCATTCCCAGAAGATCGAGATTGAGGACGCCAAGCGCTTCACCAAGGCCAATGCGAAGGATATCATTGCTGTCGGATTCGACATGAAGAAGACATTCATCTTCAGTGACTTCGACTTTGTTGGTGGCGCATTCTATGAGAACATTTGCAGAATGGCCAAGCGCATCACAATCAACCAAGTGCGAGGCACATTTGGCTTCAACGACAGCAACAACATTGGAGAATTCCACTTCTGCGCCACCCAGTCCGCGACTGCGTTCGCGACCAGTTTCCCTCAGATCTTCGGTACCGACCGCAAGAAGGTCTCCTCAATTCCCTGCCTGATTCCCTGCGCCATTGACCAGGATCCCTACTTCCGCCAATGCCGCGAACACGCTGAGAAGATGAAGTATAAGAAGCCTTCGCTTATTCACGCAATCTTCCTGCCCGCTCTTCAGGGCCCTGGCTCGAAGATGTCCGCCAGTGTCGAAACATCCGCTATCTTCATGAACGATACCCCCAATAAGATCAAGAACAAGATCAACAAGTATGCCTTCTCCGGTGGCCAGGAGACCCAGGAGCTTCACCGCGAGCTGGGTGGTAACACCAAGGTCGATGTTCCCTTCCAGTACCTGACCTTCTTCCTCGAGGACGATGATGAGCTCGAGCGCATTCGCACCGCTTATGAGAAGGGTGAGATGCTGACGGGTGAATTGAAGCAACTCTGCATTGCAGAGCTGCAGACGTACGTGAAGGCGTTCCAAGAGCGCCGGGCTCTGGTCACCGATGAGATTGTGGCCGAGTACATGCGCCCGCGTCCTTTGGAGTGGAAGGGTAACCCCAACCCGGTGGTTGCCGAGAAGAAATAAAGCCCGTGGGACCCGATGTCTAAACTACGATCTCAAAACAAAATTCACCTGCATACCTCATTCAATCCCATGATTGTCTTCATAAGTTATATTTGCAATAGTTTCAGGAAGTTGATACCTGTGTGTCACATAGAATTGGATGCAATTAATGTGTTCTGTGCGTTGGGTATATGGGGAGGTATTTATCGACTCAAAACGACCACGCCTCTAACGAACCCACGAACTCCATTACTAAGCCAACACTCCTCCCCGTCTACCATATCTGCCTTGGTGATCACTTGTTCCACGCAAAATCCTTGGCTCAAGGCATATCTTCTACTTGTGCCGGCGTTTCCTCCACTTGTCAATGGCGGAGTGACCCAAACTGCCTCGTTCGCATTGATCTCCTTCCCAACGATGTGCCGTCGAAAATAGGGCGTGGTGATGCTTCCTTCCATTATCTCTCCGTCTGGGTTGACTACTAGAACCTCGGATGTCTCTGCAGGGGAGGTGATTCCCGCGCGCACGCGAGCGGCTGTATAGTCGTCTCGAGCGGTAGTTTTGTGTGTTGTGAAGCCGGATGGAGTAATAGATTGTGAATCAACATACACCTTCCAGATGGTAGATTGTGTACCGGAGTGAAGGGAAGGAACTAATAGGTTCAACGGGTCCATCGCTACAGTAGGATTGACCTCGACCGAGCCCTTGCCATTGTAGTCCACGGCGATTCTCAACCGCCATGGCTTCTCTCTGTTTGGTATTGAGCCATCGAGAAAACTCTCAAAGCTGTCTAGACCTTGTTGTAGAAAATCTAGCGCACTATCCCATTCGAAATGGCGCGCAGCATTGATCAGCCGATCTCGGTGGTAGGAGAGGAGGTAATAAGGCGAGTGCGCTGGCACTGGATAACTCTCGTCATTCGCATTGTGAGAGGTCACCCTCGGAAGATCGGGATCAAATCGAAGGGTGGAAATAATCTGGAAGGATGGTGTAGCAGCTGAAATGGTAGTTGAAGCCATTGTCGCGTGTCTTCAATGGTTTGTTCTCGGTTACTCGTTCTGTCCTGACGTTAGTCGTTGGCTGCGTCATCCACGGGAGTCGGCGCGGCACACGAGCTCAGTCCAGCGTTGTTTCTGACGACTGGAGACAATGTGCAAGCCAATTGAACCCGGGGCAAAGTCAAATGGACCTCAATAATGCACTGCAACGGGCGACTGCATCGCTTCTCGTCGGCCAAACCGGGTTATTCAAAGTGGTGATGTGGAGAAGCTACGCCGACGTTACCGTTGCGTAGCGCGTGATTGGCCCGTGCCGAGAGGCCGAACTCTCGACTTTTCCTCCAAGCTTCCGTCATTCCTCCCTATCTCACACTTCCCGCCCTCTGGCCAAGGACTGGTACGTATCGCGTGTTCTGATTCTGCCTTTCATCGGCGCATTGCCCCCTTTGACTCTTTCCGTGCTGACCGCGTCCAGAAAAAGGACTCTCACAGCATTGGTCGCCGTGTCCGGTTCCTACAACACATCATGTCCAGCGAGTCGCCATTGCCCACGCCCACGCAGAACGTGGTGCTGGACACCTCGTCGCTTCCTGCTGCGACCTCATCTTCGGTTTGGGATCGCATCTCAAACTGGGTGTCGGAGAACAAGGCTGTCGTCTACACCATCGCCGGTGTTGCCGTGGTCGTGACTGGCGCTGGTGTTGTCTACTACTTGAACGACTCTAGCAAGTCGAGCGCTTCATCTACTCCCTCCGTCCCTAAGAAGAGCAAGAACCAACGACGGAAAGAGAAGAAGAAGGCCGAGGAAGAGAAGAAGACCAAGGCCGCCTCGGTCCAGGAAGGTTTGTCTCCTACTAACCGGCTAGAACACGACAGTTGAACCGCGACTGACATCACTCTAGAGCCTGCAGCCAAGAAGGCCGAGGAGCCTGCTGAGGATCTGCCCGAGGTCGATGAGGCTACTGTCGGTCAGCTTTCTGAGGAGGTATGGTTGCCCCCTTCAATTGAAAGTCGTGAATCTCGGGATAGCCACTAACCCACTTCTCGAAGACTCGGAAGGAATACGCCGCCAAGCTGAAGGCCGCTGGTAACAAGGCTTACGGCTCCAAGGATTATAACAGTGCCATTGAGTTGTATGGCAAGGCCATCATTTGCAAGCCCGACCCCGTCTTCTACTCGAACCGTGCCGCCTGCTACAATGTTCTGTCTGAGTGGGAAAAGGTTGTGGAGGACACCAGCGCCGCCATCGCGATGGATAGCGAGTACGTGAAGGCTTTGAACCGGAGAGCCATTGCCTATGAGCATCTTGGCAAGTTCAGCGAGGCTCTCCTCGACTTTACTGCCAGCTGCATCATCGATGGGTTCTCCAACGATGTCAGTCGCAACTCTCTCGAGCGCCTGTTGAAGAAGGTTGCCGAGCAGAAGAGCAAGGCTATCCTCGAGGCCCGCACCAAGAAGCTGCCCAGCGCTACCTTCGTTTCCAACTACCTGCAGAGCTTCCGTTCCCAGGCGCTTCCCGAGGGCCTGGAGGAGTCCGTTGAGTTGAGCGAGGACTCTGGCAAGGGTCTGCTGCGCAAGGGTCTGATTGCCATGGGCAAGAAGACCGGTGATGGTTACGAGGAGGCTGCTGCTGCTTTCGACAAGGCGCTCGAGGTTGGTGATCTCGGTGAATTCGAGGCCCTAGCTCTCAACATGAAGGCCACTTTCACATATCTCGGTGGTAACGCCACCGGTGCGTTGGAAGGTCTGGACAAGAGTGTGGAGCTCCAGCCCTCCCTGGTCCAAAGTTACATTAAGCGTGCTAGCTTGCACCTTGAGCTTGGTACGCATGTTCTGAACGAAATTGACACTGGATATTTTTGCTGACTGTTTATTAGGCAACAAGGATGCCGCTGCGGATGACTTCGAGCTCGCCATCACCCACAACAAGGATGACCCCGATATCTACTACCACCGCGCCCAGCTCCACTTCATCCTCGGTGAGTTCGCCGAGGCCGCCAAGGATTACCAAAAGTCCATCGACCTCGACCGATCCTTCATCTACTCTCACATTCAGCTTGGTGTGACCCAGTACAAGATGGGCTCTGTTGCCTCCGCCATGGCTACTTTCCGCCGCTCGGTGAAGAACTTCGAGGAGGTTCCCGATGTCTACAACTACTACGGCGAGCTGCTCCTCGACCAGCAGAACTACCCCGAGGCTATTGAGAAGTTCGACAAGGCTGTTGAGATGGAGAAGCTGAGCAAGCCTATGGGTATCAACGTTCTGCCTCTCATCAACAAGGCCTTGGCCCTCTTCCAGTGGAAGCAAGACTTCCAGGAAGCCGAGAACTTGTGCCAGAAGGCGCTTATCAGTACGTTCACCAGATTAGCACTTGCATTCTCTTATTTCGAAATCCCTCGTACTAACTCTCGATGCAGTTGACCCCGAGTGTGATATTGCCGTTGGCACCATGGCCCAGCTGCTCCTGCAGCAGGGCAAGGTCTCGCAGGCCCTCAAGTACTTCGAGCGGGCCGCTGAGCTCGCCCGCACCGAGGCTGAGATCGTCAACGCCATCTCCTACGCCGAGGCCACCCGCACTCAGTTGGAGGTCCAGGAGAAGTACCCCCAGCTGGCTGCCCGCCTCAACGCCATGGGTGCCATGGGTGGCGCTCCCCCTGGCATGTAAAAGCAACATGATCTGTCTGGTTATTGTTTTGGTTTGTGTGTTTCCCATTGTTGTCACGCCTCCAATCTTCCCTCTTCTTTCGCTTCGTTTTATCGTCTCCCGGATCTGGAGTCGGGTGCCTGTCTAAATTACCCCCCTTTCGATTCCGGTCTTTGGTCTTTGGTCCTCTCTCTTCGGCTTGACTCTACGGTTGTCCCGACCAGCGGTTTTTTCTCCTCCCTGTATTTAGTATTCTCCTGTCTCTCTGACATATTCCCTCTTACCATTATGTCGTTTTATTTTCTCGATTCTTTCTTATTTTTTGTGGGACACCGGGCAGAGATACCCAAGGGAGTGCGAACCGGGATGTTTGGGCTAGCACAGAGTTCCACACCAACTTTTGCATTGGGTTGAGAATATGTGGTGAGTAATCTATGTACCATAGAGGTGAATGTGATGTCTTTTGATATACAGATGCATATTGAGAGCGTAGTAGCCGTATGGTATAAATATTGGCACTCAACACTACCTAGACTGTGTGGACTATATCCTAGTGGTATGATATAAATCGCAATAGTATGGAATTTAATAGTTGATGGAGAGACATTTGCAAGGAGCTTTAAACACTTCGCACTCGTGGTCACCAGACTCACTACTAGACTAGTCTGGGGATGGGATCCACTTGGCACTTGGAGATGGACGCGATAAGGAGGATAAGAAGTGATAAGAACGACGATTGCCCCACCCGACCGAAGTATGAACTGTTAAATATACTTCCTAGTAGTAGTAATGTACTTCCTAGCTTCACATGATCAACCACTAAACGCTTATCGGCCTCCTTGTTAAACCTCTTAGAGTTGCCCTCTTTACCCAACGAGGGAAAGGAAGACTCTCCGATCACTTTCCTCACCAGTGGTTGCGTGCCTGCTGGCCCAAGGATCCCCATAGGGCCGGGCCCCAAACTTCTTAGAAGCCTTGACCTCAACCTGATTCTGATTCATCATCATCTACCCCTCTTCCCTCTCACCTTCCCTTTCCACCTTTCCACCTCCCACCTTCCCTCCACCTTCATCGATATTCAGCCGCAGCTTTCTCATTTATTTAATATCATCTCCGCCAACCCCTCGAGCCCTCTTTGTTCCTCTAGGCCGGTGACATCCGGTAAGCATCCCTCTGCCCCTCGCCGTTTGGCTTACCTTGCAGCTGCTGCAGCCTGGTGGCTTCACCGACTTACTCTGCCTTGTTCAACGTGTCTCGCTCTGTCTGCTGACCGAGCCTCATAGATCATAGTCTACCTGGCAGTCAAGCTCTGCGTTTCTCACCTTCTTATCGCCATATGAAACTGGAGTTTCTGGCTGCTACGATCCTCCTCAGTCACCATGTCTGAGGTTCAAGGTATGTATTGCGGGAACTCCCAAGTACTACCTTGTCTAGAGATTTGTGCCCGAACTAACATGGCCCTTTCCACAGCGTCGGTCGTTCTCAGCCCCATCAGCCCTTTGGGCCCCGAATCCTCGATCACCCGTAGCTTCACCCTCTCCAGCCGCAACCCTGTCTTCGAGATCGGTCGGTCTTCCAAACGTGAGGTTAAGAACCGCACCCCCGCCAAGGATAATGGGTGGTTTGACTCTCGGGTGATGTCTCGCGATCATGCTGAGCTGGGTTTCAACATGGACAAAGAGGTATCATCACTTTGCCCACCACCATACTCCTTCTCCCACCCGATGGATTATGCTGAGCAAAGATCCTCACAGAAGATGATCTATATTCGCGATTTTGGATCTACCCATGGAACGTGGCTGAACAACGTCAAGCTCATTACCGGCGAGGATACCCCGTTGCTTAGCGGAGATATCCTGCGGTTCGGCGTTGATGTTGACCGTGGTGACGGTGCGTCATAGTAACCTCCCATCCTGCACTTGAAATCATGATCGACTAACACTTTTCACAGAAGAGTTTCCGGCTTTGAGCGTCCGCTGCAACGTTACGTGGTCCGAGTCCACGCCCACCACCGATCTTGACATCTACTCCTGCGAGTCGTCGGACATGCTATACAACCATACAGCTGAACCCGGACCGACCACATTCGAATCTAAGCCAGCATCTGAGCTTCGTCCAAGCTCTTCTACCAATACATTTTGTGTTCCCGATGACGACGAGAGTGACGTGGGGGAGATTAAGGTTAATCAAATTTCTCCCTTCAAAGTCAGCGATGGCGATATCACAGTCCTCTACGACGATCGTCACGAGGACAATTACCAGGCCTCGCATGGGCACGAATTGTCTATGAATTCCGGACCCCATGACTCTGGCTGTGAGGAGTTGTTCCCCATCGATCATTCACATGAAGAGTATTCGGATTCGAGCAATGGAGAGGATTCGGAATTCGACTCTGACCCTTCGTCCTTCAGTCAGGTCAGCGACGATGAGGAAGACGAGGAAGAGGCAGAACACTTTGATTATTTAAATCTCCCCATTCCAATCAGCGACGATGACAATTCAGGCTTGGAAGATGAATCTGACGTTGAGTCTGATGCCCTCTATGATGATGAATACTCAGTCGGCCAGGGCGAGGATGAGAAGGAGTGTATCGACCCGAGCATGCTGGCACACAATGACAATGAGCCACCTTCGGCTCTCGAGGAGGCTATCCAGGACTATACCCCGGCTAGCGTGACCCCCAAGCCGCACTTCAAGACTGAGGTTCAGGAGCAAGTTCCATGCCCAATGCACCACCAGCACATTATCTTCCCCACCCACTTCCCTCTGACTCCCATTACTCCCGTGCTGGATCACAAACGTGACGAAGACGATGGATCCCAGCGTCTTGGTCGCTTGAGCATAGGTGACGTGCTCAATAATTATCAAGATGGACCCTTTGTTGGCCCCAGTGACGCAACATCGAAGGATGCTTCTTTGGAAGAAGAAGTAGTGGCCGAATCTTCCAGCCCGGCTTCACTCAAGCGAAAGGCTTTTGAGATGGAGTCCCAGGACGCTCAGATTCCCGAATCGATCATGTCACCCTCTGAAAATTTGGACCTGGAGACAATCTCCCAGTCCCAGGTTGCCGACGCGATCAGCTCCGCGCTTTCAGAGAGCTCTGACGGCGAACGTCCCAACAAACGAGTCAAAGCTACCCACGATACCTCCAACCATCTCGCAAGCTACACGGCTACCGCCGTAATCAGTGCCTTGCTGGGTGGTCTGGGTACCATTGCTCTTCTGGCTTCGCTCCCAGCAGAATATTTCCAGTGATTGCAGATCAACTATACTTCCATTACATGGACGGGAGTTTTCTGGTCTGACATTCTTTCTCTTCCTTTTTGTTTTCTGTCCGCGCTGCGATCGTGTTGATCCATGGCATAAAAGTGCTATCGGGTATGCGTCACAGACTGCTTGGAGTTGCAGGGACTAGGAGTTCGTGCGTCGGATTGGGTGGCTATTCTGATTTACCCCTTTTACATTGCTAGTTTTGTTTTTCATTGCTTTAATTGTCCATAAACATTGCTGTGGCCTCGCGGTCATGTTCTTGTTTTGGACTTTCTATTCGGCGTCGATTATGATATCTACCCCCCGTTACCCTTTTGATTACTACGCAGATGATAACGACTCGCAAGAATGAATGAGTTTCCTATATTGAGTTTCCTTTACCTGATCATGCAAAGCATCATAACACGGTGACATCTTGTAAAATCGGCCATGCCATCCCTCATCCTCGCGTGATGCCCCTCAGTCTCCGTGATGCTCGGTGCTGCCAGGTACCAGCCTTTTATCGGCGGACTTGTTTAGAAGCAGAGGAGCACAGTGATGTCATGCATCGGGACCGAAGAGTCTTTGTCTGGAGTGTATTCTCGTTGCAATAATGTTTCGGCTTTCCAAACGGTATGGCTGTACTCCTTGCTCAATACTCATTGACAGTGTGTTTCCATCAGCCCGAATCTGGACAGTCGGTTTGATACTCTGGAATGTCACTGTATGAGGTATCGAGTGTGGCCAGGAAGAACCAAAAATCTAGACGATCATTCCTACTGCCAGGGCCGAATCAGATTACGGAAATATCCCAAGGATCCTTGTCAGTTGGACTGCAGCTTCCCTGCCGATTCATGTCAGCTGACTAGCGAGTGTCTTCCCTTTTCCTTTCTTCTTTCTCGGGCGAGGATGGTGCCACTATCCACTATGCCATGTCCCATTCAACAGAAATTCGAAAGAATCAGATATACGGAAGTGTACCGAGACCTCACAGGGCTTCTTTCAACCCCGCTAGTCTCAGTTAGCCTCCTCGACGGTGGTCGATCCGTGGCCCAAGCCAAGAAAGTATGCTAGCGCAGGTGTCCACTGTCAAGCCCCCTTCCCCAGCCCGTGTCGAAATCCCGAGCCTAGCGCGTGATAGAGAATGGCTGGCTGCAGCTCTCTCTCAGTTAGCGCTTCGATCTACAGTACACTACTCGAACAAGCCGCAGTTGGACCTCGCCCGAATATGGTCTTCTTGTCCTCTTGTTTGACGCAACAACAAATCCCTGAGGGCCGGCGCTTCCGTACTGTATAAACTGATCAGAAAGACTACAGTATCTGTCGTCCCACAAATCCAGGCACATCTCTTAGTGCTGAGTGGCTGCAGACATGTTCTGAGCGGAGAATATACACCTCTTACAGTACGTCACCCAGACACATCAGGTCCTGTGTGGATCATGGATCATCTTTGGACCTCAACGGTTGTCAGGGAACCCCTTGCCTCCACCACATCTCGAGGCTGGCCCCGAGTCTTGACATGGGAGAGTATTTGTGCTCGTCTTGAAATAGCATTCCAGAGTAGAAAAAGTATCCGGCCACTTCAGATTTCTTGCTGAACGGATACTTGCTTGAGAAGTCAAAAAATTTGCAGTCGGGGCCGACCCTACATGTCCTTTGAAGACTTCTTGTTGGTCATTGACGACGTGGTAGTTTCTACGTACTATTGGCCCTAGGGCTGGCATTTTGACGTGTTCCAGGCGCTGCTATTCGCCCGTTTAATACCTCTTCGTCCTATCTGTGCGAATTATAGTGACCCCCGTAATGGTTCGAGCCAGGGGAATAATGTCCATTTACCCTCGGAGTTCTGGAACAGACCCATCATGCGTTGGGAGTGCCCATGATCACGTTTCTTTTTTGTTGCCTATCTCGTGCCCATCGAAAGGGTATATCTGATCAACACGGTCCTTGTCTAAGAAGGCAAGGCAGAGCTATGCAATGCGTGCATTTAGATGGCACATGCACTCCAACATTTCATGCACGAGGAACCGCCTCCAGCGCCCTGTCACCGAACTGCTTTTTCACAACAAATTGACTATCTTGGATTAGATGTGGGCGCTCAATACTTCATTTTCCTTTGCTTCCACTCCATGCAGATGGCCATCTGACTGCCAACCTGAACAGGTATCGTAGACGGCTCCTGCAACCCTACCCCAAATTTCCGTCAAGATGCAAATAATATCTTGTCTCAAAGGGGTATGTCTTCGTATGAAACTCTTGGATTCACCATATCAAGCTGACAAATCTCATTATGTGAATTATCTAGTCACTAACTTCGTCTGCGTGATTCGTATGCCTCGGAGATGAGATCATCCACGCATGGCTGTCTGCAGCTATCCGTGGATGGACTATCTCAGTCGGGCTACCTCTAGCGAGCCCATCTAATTGTATCCCCGGCCCGGCCGGCGGCCTTCACTCATACTATAGACATACAATTGTGATACGGCCAAGACCCGAAGACCCTGGATAGCCATACTACATGTTCCTCAGTCGCAACACACGGCTGTGGTGGTTGCCATGCGGCTGGGAGCTGTTGTCCGCTAGGCAACACCGAGTCCAGTCTCGGCGATGTCCTGCCAAAAAATCAGCCTCTCTCTGATTCGCGGCTTTTAATGGAATCCCGTTAGACAATCCCTGCCTCATTCCAATCCTCTTGTTGCCTCGAACCGCCGCTATTGAAAACCGACGTCTAACCCAGGACACCGTTGCAGTCGAATGGTAGCAACTGCTATTCAACCTTGGCCCTCTTGTGAACTTGAGAGTCATCAGGGCATCTCCACAGCTCCGCCGACCAATTTGATCACCATGACCTACAAGATCAAGACCCCCGGCCCCGCCAGCTCGGCCCGTTTCAGCAATCCTGGACTTGCATCTTGGAATACGTTGGTCTAAGATTTTAGATACGCCATCTTATGCCCCTCCGATGTACCCCTCTTGAGCTTCGGGGCCAGGCTAAACCCAAGAGGGCGCATGCACCGTTCCCTGTACATGCCAGATCTACTCCTGCCGACCTCATTTGTGGATCGTGTTCCGGCAATATGTCGCCTGTCCCAAGGTGACCGACCTCAACATTGGTTCCGGCTCGATCGCGGCCTTCAATCCTGCTAGTCGTTAGGATACAATGCCCTGCTGATCACTCAAATGGTCGCCGTTCATCGAGGATCTTCGGGGTTAACGAGTTTTCTTTTGGTTGATCCTTCTTCTGATCCGTTTGGAGAATGTAACCGTTTTACCTTGAGAGGTCGTGTGCCACCACCCCCCTCGCTTGTATAAGAGTCCACGCTCCGTGTCTGCCCTATTTCCGGACTCGTTGTACTCCGGACTGGGTAGGATTTTATCCTTGTCAGATTGCTGACTCTAACACGTTGCCTTGTTTCTTGTTGGATCTGTTGTTGGTGTTTATCAAAGACACATTCACGATTCATAAGGCTACGATTCCTCGTTTTTCGTCCGGATTCTCTCCAACAAGTCATACGGGAAAGAGGACAAACGGCTATCTGCTTTCATATATCGACAGCATCTTCCACGAGAGCTTGTGTATCTCGCCATACTTCTCCCAAGCTACGTCTATCCCAACCTCGCGCAGACTTTCTACTCTGCAGCATCGCCCTACCACTTTGTATCAACACAATGACTTCTTTGAAGCTCTCCAGTTTCCACCTCGACCCAGATCATATATCCTGCATCGGCGGTCGAACGGTTATAACATGCCGAGGCTGCGCTGGCAATGCTCCAAGGTAGATACGACACTTTTTATCCCAGTTGTCTCGCAGGAAATACTCACTAGATCTCTAGAGGTGGAATCTGTACTAGCTGCGGTGGCCGTGGCTTCAACGTCTTCACATGTGGCCACTGTAATCCATCAGCAGTGGTAGCGACTTCAAGCATCTCAGCTGCAGCCGGTACTGCTTCAGCCACAGCCAACACAACACCAGGTTCGTCCGCTCCATCTTCTCCTGGCTCGTTAAGCCGGAGTCCTTCTACGTCATATCCATCACATAGTGACCCTCGAACTGGTGGCGCGTGGAGACCCCCTGGCGATGCTAGAGATGGGACAAATTATGGACGGATAAGAACACAAACACCACGCAACGTCTGATCTCCAATGAGGTCCTGGCTGGGATTCTCCGGGGATTTACCGGTATTCGCCTGCATCAGGTTGATACACAGCCTTCTTTTGGCCACCTTCTCTCTCATATCTCCGGTGGCACTGGATGCAATGTTGCGTTTGTATATTTTGACATTATGGGGTTTACGGAATTCTGCGGCTTGGAAGCAACTGGAATGGGAATTTCTTTCGGTCTTTCTTTTTGAATCTTGTTTAGTGATCATTAGCATCTTGGATGAATCAGATGGATTGTTTCTGCGGAGAGGATTACAACACAGCTCTACCATTCGTCCCCAACTATATTCCACTCTATCTCACGGCATCTCTCCTTGTGATCGGTATACTTCTCCACGGCAATAGTTCAACACACCTTCAGTCAGATCTTGCGGTCAATCGCAGCATAATCTCCCCATGATCAATCCCTTCAAACCAAAGAATATCTATTTCCCCACCGGCCCCACCCTCTACTCTTCCACTACGTAAGTCTTCTCGTCCACGATCCTCCATGACCGTGAGATTGTCATCTGGGGTCAAATACTCGCCAATAGCATGAGCATCAATAGTCATGTCTCTCACACTTAAGAAAACAGTAGAGTATTCAAGCCAAGTTACGTATATTAAAGACCTGGAACCCTCGCAAACACAATGCGAGAAAAGAAATTTCTTCCACATTCATGAATCGAACCCTTGATCTCCGGTTCCCCATACAAACATCCCAGTGTGCTCGGTCTGTACTTTACCTTTTTCCCATGGTATTCCGAAGGGCTTCATCCGGGCACCACCGCAACAGATAACATAGCTATACAGCAGCCCATCTCTTTAGAATGCTTGAAAAAAAGAGATTATTAGAATGCTCTTAGCTAGCTGATTAAATTGAGATAAGTAAAGAAGAAAAAAAAAAAAAGATAACCGCAGAATTCAATCTGTCTTCCCACCCGCCGCCTAGCCGAGCTCCACAGAAGCTTCACGGCACCGCGACATAAATTTCTCTGGATCCGGAATGGCATCGATACGTTTCTGGAATAATGCCTGTGGTCCATGCAATTTTCCTGATGATGGTGGGTGTGTCGGTTGTTGTAGATAAAGACACGCGGGATATACGCCAAGAAATATATGCCAGCTTCTATAGATGCATAGATTCCTATGGTGAAAGGATTCCGGTGGTCTCCGGGATAGTAATGTGTCCATAACAGGCGGCAGTAGATGATGCAGAGCGGGTTTATGCTTTGGAAAGTAAGGACCAGGAGCCATGCGCCGGGGGTCATATACTCGTTTACATTGCGATTGAGAGACTTTCCCACAAAGTTTACGCTTCTAGTACGTAGATATTCTCGATCAATTATGATATCAAGAAAAGTTGATGGTCCCGTAGGACCCAAATGATTTATAAATAGATGTAGCCTGATAATAAACTAGAACAATTTCTGGGTGCGAGCCCGCAGGGCCGGTCCCCAAATGTACAGTGGCAAGGCCAGGAAGAGGCATGCCCACTGAACACCAGCAAACTCATAGAACATCTTGGCGACTCCCTCCTTACCCATCCAAGAATACGCGCCCGTGGCCAATCCAAATGCAACCACATTCTTGGAAGCATTGACCAGCACAAGTGCCTCGCCACTAGTCCGGGGGTAAGAGTCCACGACATATGACAGCATGACCGAGGGGACCAAAGTCAGACCGGCGGCAGAAATGGCCGCACCCACGGCGGGCTTGACGTAGTGCTCTCCCCGGGCGATGGTATATCCGAAGATAACCAGACCAATGGGGCAGACGAGGAAGGGGAGGATCAGCGCGGGCAGACGGTGCTCGGGCTTGTGGACGTTGTTGTTGCGCTTGCGGAGCCAGCGGGAGAGGAGATCGGTCAAGGGACCGGCGACGGGCCAGGCGACCACGATGCCAATGAAGCTGCTAAGCATGAAGAGGCCAAGTTCAGAGGAGGAGAAGAGGTATGGAGGTGCGGAGAGCAGAGCAGGGGCGAGTGTGGAGACGGCGACGACACTGGTTTGTGTTAGTATCCAGATTCAGGATGATAAATAGGGAGCCGTTACTTACCCGCCAAGGACAACGCCGTACATGATCGAGGCGATCAACACACCGGGGATCAGCAGTAACGGGAAAGGAAGCACGAAGAGATAGGTGAAGAACTTGAACACGCCCTTCTTCTTGGCCCCCTTGGTGAGGCTGACGGTGAAAAGGCCCTTGAAGTATTCACCATAGTCCATGCTGGCACGGTCGCCGACCTGGGATCTTGTAGGGATGGTCTCCAGGTGGCTATGAGCATCCTTTTCGATTTCCTCGGGTTGCTCTGGGAGTTCCTCCTCATCGGTCTCATAGATGGTCTCTGGCAGCATGAAGATGGTAGTCAAGAAGTTGACTCCGGCAATGATGGCGCAGAGAATGAAGAACCAGCGCCAGCCACGGGCCTCAATGAGGTAGCCAGCGATCATTGGTCCAATCTGGGAACCACCTGACAGGAATCCAGCGTAAACGGCCATCGCACTGGAATAGTTTCGCTCGTAGAAGAGGTCTGCGAGGATGCTAGGTCCAAGAGATTCAATAGCACCATATCCTAGATTGAATTAGCGAACGTGGAATTGGAAAGTCACGAATGTCTCTATCATACCGAAACTGGCAAAGATTCGCGAGGCAAGCAGGCTGTTGTAGGTCTGGGCGACGGCGCTCCAAATGAGACCACCCAAAAACATCGCCATAGAGAGGAGGACCATGGGACGCTTCCCAAAGCACAGGGCAAGGGGCATCCAGAACAAATTGGCCAAGCCCATGGCCAGCACGGAGTAAGTGACTAGAGCCGATAGCATGTCATTGTCGGCATGGAAAGCCATCGCCAGAGACCCGAATCCGGTCGTGATTCCCGACTATTCATGGGAGAAGCCATTAGAAACATAGATCTAGCAAATGATTTTGATGAAACCTACCGAGTACATGTTTCCCATGAAAACATATACATTGACGGTGAGCAGGGCGGCATATCGCACCCGTTGTGGGAAGAGCTGCCAATGTTAGCCGAATTGGAATCCAGAATCAAAGCACAGACTATGACTTACTCTGGGATCGACAACCGTCATTTTGGATAAATTTCCAACCGCTGGGGAAGAGATATCAAACGTGGGGAAAAGTCGTACGACTCTGGACTGATCAGAACAGTAGGGGGGAAGTCGCCCCATATAAGCATCAGCTTCGGCATAGAAAGTCGTGAAATGCCTGAGAGCCACACTTAAAGTTCCAATGCAGGTCTAGGCTATCCGGTGAGCCTTGGTAGGTTTATTTTCCCCGCGGATGAGCCGGTATTCACGAATCAAATCGCCCGGGGCTGGTTGAAAAGGTTCTTCGGGATGTCCGTGGGGGAGATTCGGGTACGTGTCGGGTCCACATCCCTACGACGCCTCTTTAAGCGAGTATTTACGGGAAGATTGGGGATGGATTTGTAAATAATTAGCGATGGGAAGATTGATCGGATATCACTCAGGGTCCAACATAGATAGAGCAAATGCATATAATCAGCCTTTCTAGCTCTTTAGTGGTTCTTTAATTGAGCCTCCCGATGTAATGCTTTTGTTAGGGAGAGGTTCCCTCCAAGAGGTGGCAAGCCCTAGGCCGCAAGCCTCCATAGAGCCACCAGAGAACTCGGTCAACACATTTGGTCATGAGGAACTGACCGAAGGACCAGAGTCGCGCCGAATGGGGCTGGAGAATAAAGTATCTTATCAGCCATAATGATTGGATGTATTGAATTTGATATGGACTCCCCCAGATTCCTGTCATCATGGTCTTGGTACCCCAGACGGCCCCACGGTGACTCGGCAGATGGTAAGTTCAGCTCCCCCGCGATGACATGCACCCCGGACACCTACGGCAAGCCGCGTCGACGTGTGGATGAAGGTATCCACCGAGCAGACGTGTCGCTGGACTCGGCCGTGCACTGACAGTCTCGTGGATTGGGGGAACTCGCCATCGAAGCTGGGAAATCCGAGTCGGCATTCCCGAGCGCGGGGCGAGTTCCGGCGACTTTTTCGGTCATTCCGGCGATTTTAGCACCGACAGCGCGAGCTACGAATAACTTCTTTGATCTCACGGGGCTCTTCTTCTTTGAAATATTCAATAGAGACCATATTTCTACAGGGATCAATATTCTGGCTGGTATATCCGTCTCTTTTGGTTTCAAGACTTCAGCAATTACAAGCCATCAACATGGTAAGCTTGCGCGAACTTCTCATTTTGTGCTTCCTCCCTCACTAAAATCAATACAACGTAGGTCCCCCAAGAAGCCAGTCTCCGCGTGGTCATCGTCGGCGCTGGTCTCAGTGGCATTGCTACTGCCATCTCCGCCGCACTCTCCGGTCATTCAGTCCAGGTCATTGAGCAAGCACCGGAGCTAGCCGAGGTTGGTGCCGGCCTGCAGATTACCCCAAATGCCTCGCGTCTCCTCAAATACTGGAAGCTCCGGGATTCGCTATGGGAGGCCGCAGCTGAGCCCACGAAATTGACCGTCCACCGGTACTCGGGTCAAGTGCTGGCTCACGACGACGCTTTCGACAAGAGAATCCGTGCTAAGTATGACGATGCGCCTTTCGTCGACTTGCACCGAGTGGATCTGCAACAAGCTTTGTATGCGCGGGCCCAGGATCTGGGTGTGGTTTTCCACCTGGGTGAGCGGATTGAGCGGATCGACTTTGACGCTACCACCGTTCACTCGGTGGCGGGGAGCAACTACACTGGTGATCTGATTGTCGCGGCGGATGGCCTTTGGTCTAAATGCCGAGAGGCCTTTGAGGGAAAGAAGGATGAACCACTGCCTACGGGTGATCTGGCGTATCGGATTGTCTTGAGTTCGGACCAGGTCGCTGATCCGGAGCTCAAGGCGCTTGTGGAGAACCCCGAGGTGCACTTCTGGATTGGACCTGGTGCTCATGCTGTCGCGTACTCTGTTCGCGGCGGAAAGATGTACAACATTGTCTTGCTGGTGCCTGATAACCTGCCGCCCGGTGTTTCGAGACAGGCTGGCTCGGTCGCGGAGATGAAGGAGCTGTTTGTGGGTTGGGATCCAATGTATGCGCATCCGATTCATTACTATGAAGTTTCACAGGCTAACAAGGTCTTTTTGCTCATTGCTCAGCCTTAACAAGTTCTTGGATTGTGTCATGAGTGGCAGTATCGACAAGTGGAAGCTGATGCACCGTAAGTTCTAATACACAATTGATTCGGCCCAAGATGGATACTAATGTGACCCCAGACGGTGAAATGGACAAGTGGGTTAATGACAAGTCGAACCTCGTCTTCATGTAAGTGTCAAATATCACCGATGTATCTTCGACATCAAAAACTAATGATCACAAAAGTGGTGATTCCTGCCACCCAATGCTTCCCTATCTGGCACAGGGTGCCAACTCCTCATTAGAGGACGGTGCCGTTCTCGGCCAGTTGTTGGGGCATATGACGGATAAGGCCCAGCTGCCTCGTATCCTGCGTCTATATGAGAGCCTTCGCAAGTCTCGGGGAGAGGCCATCGTTCGGGAGACATTCAAGCAGGTAATCTTTGACACTTTCCCTCCAGTTGTACGACTCGTACCACAAAGGTGTCACGACTAACAAATACATTCTCAGAGACACGACTTCCACATGGAGGATGGTGAGGAGCAGAAGAAGCGTGACGATGTCTTCCTCTCGCAGCTTGGCAAGGAGATCAAGGGACATTTCCCGAGTCGATGGTAAGATATCTGGACCCGTCTATGCTGTCCGTCCATTTCTAACATGGTTACCATCAACAGGACATGCCCAGAAGTCCAGCCTTGGCTATACGGCTATGACGCCATCAAGGAAGTCGAGAAGGCGGTTGCTCAAAATCCAGACGTCTTTGCCAAGCAGCCCGCATCTCGATCATCCACTTGTTCAGTTTTATAAATATTTTTATACACAGATTATCATTTCAGATAGCATTGTCACAATATTTACATTACATCACAACGCTAGGCTGCTTTATAGCAATTTCAACACGTGATTTTTATGGCTGCACCTACATAGCTTACTCGTCTCTGTTCCAATAAATAGTCTGAGAACCCTGGCTGAGCGGCAATCTTTCGGCGTGAACTTTCAACCTTTCTACAGTGCAGCTGAAAGGAAAATATGCATGCAAAACCAGATCCTTTTCTGGTGGCGCAATCTCTTATTGCCTGCGACCCCTCTTATCCTGATGTTTAGCCCTCCTTCCTGTCTAGGAAAAGAAATTGCATGTAAATTGAGCCATGAGGAGGCTCCGTGCTCCTCAAGAAACAGGCTCTGAAGCAATCTAGCTTAGCGCCTTTCTTCCCTCTGATTAACAGCCTTCTTCTTTGCAAGTAGATAATCTCTTTACATTTAATTGTGCTTAGAAATCAGTACAATGGCTTGAGAATTTTGATCAAGTCCTTCCTTACTAAGAGTTGAATACCGGATTTATGGACGACCTTTAAGTGGCAACATAAGTGTAGGCTATCTCAATCTAAAGTTATGACGTGATATTCATCACTTTTATTGATGAGCAGTCTGATGCCTGTTTATACAATGCTGTGTAACCTAACGCAAGAGTTGTTACACAAGCGTGGAGGCACTCCCAAAAATGTGGGTACACTCAGTATGGAGTCTACGAATAGCATATTTGGAGTTCATACAAGGCATTTTGACGAGTCATTCTCGTGAAGGAACTGCTGCCACGTTGACTTTTCAAGCCCAGCTCTGTCCGAGCGGAATAACAACAAGAAATGGGAGAAGAATCTCTTTATAAAGCTCTCCGTTCCCACCTGTGTACAGATTATGTTGAACAACGTCTGTCGATCATTTCAAATAGGCTATGTACAGTTGCTCTCAGGAAACCCAAAATCATGTCCTTGTTTGCGGGTAAGACATATATCCTTCATTCCCAGTGTTATCATGAATCTAATAAAAGTTAGATGACTCTGATCAGGCAAAGGCGTATGCCGAAGTCCACAACAACGATAGCGGTGAAACATCTGACGAGCATGTTGCTGGTGCAGCAGCTTTTGTGGTATGAAAGGAATATGAGAAGTATTGCGCGGCAAACGGTATGAACCTTTTGTCAGGAATTAGAATTGAGGATTAACGAAGTATAGGAAAACCCGACTCTCATGACCAAGCAAAAGAAATTATTGCTGGCTCCACAGGCGCATTTATTGATCGTCTTGTCGAATCAAAGGGCTTAGATGCTGTTGACAAGTCAAACGCACAAAATTTGGCAAATCAGCAGGTAGAAGAAGTGCTAGCGTCGGAATACTAGGTTAGGCCTAGCTCAGAATCTAGTCAGCCTACATATATGCGCAGAACTTCTCACTATCTTTCTACGACTATTCCTGTTTCCTAAGATAACTATCTTTATGCAGAATTAAAATATTAGTTATTGATGTTATCTGCACCTGATCTATCAGTCTATGATCCTTAATGATCGCAATGAATATCCTATTCTTTAGGAGAAAAGGGAATCCCAACATTCTCGGGCTTCACTTAATCACTGTCACTTCACATTTAGTTCACTTGGTTTATCCTTGATGTTATGAATATCATTATCATAACTAGTTAAAAAGGAAACAATGTTGAATTCTCTCCGGCCCGAGACTGAATCCTGTATGCACTTGGCCAAATTGCTCAACTCTAATATGGATAGTTGCATACGAATTGTTACTCCATTGTCTTTCTTATCCTGATGCTTGCTTCCTTAATATCTCTTCTCATTCACTGTTCACAAGTATTATCATAGAAATTTAGCTTATTCGCATAGTCATATTCTGGTATTGCCTTATAGCTAAATCCTATAGGTCTAGTCTCACGCGAGTGAAACTGTAACGTTACTATGAGTAAGTTACGCGGTGCCGACTGGTCACTATGAGTCGAGCTGCCTAAGGCTCTATTTGCTGAGTTCCGCTGCTAATCCTGATCAAGGATTGCCATGCTAAGATTCGCATGAGATAATTACTCCGGAGACGGCAGTTTTACATTTACCTATATTATTAAACATGAAACATTCATCAGATACTGAGCGGGTCTTATCATTCATCAGAGTCGAGATCTATAAACACATCTTAATAAAGTACACCCTTACACATCCCCAGGATATCCCATTCGATAGATTCCAAGCTCACCTCTTCATCAAAGAGAACTGCTCAGCCTTGACCCCCAACAAAGGCACAAACTCCTTCCCCTCACAAATCTCCATCGCCCTCCGATAAGCCGGCCGTTCCCCAACACGCTCCAAATAAGCCAAGATATGCTTATGTTTCTCCCCATCATACTCAACAGGACAAAAGCCCCGCATAGTCGTCAACGTAAAAATAGTCATGATATCCGCAGCCGTAAGCGTCTTGCCAGCAAGATACGCCCCAGTCTCGCCAAGTCGATTCTCCATCATAGACAGTAACTGATCCCACTTTGCCAGCGTGCGCACAACGACAGGTGAATTAGGATCCGATGCTGGGCCGCGGGTCATAAGCACACTGAAGAGGGCGGGTTGGAGACTCCCGTTGGCGAAGTGGTACCATTCTAGGTAATTGGCGTATGTTTCTCCGTCTTTTGGGGTTGGTGCGAATTGGCCATTCCCGTGGACGGCGATGATGTAGTCGATTATAGCACCTGATTCGGCCAGGACGATGCGGGACTGTGTCACAGGGGATGGATCGTCTTCCATGACAGGAGCTGTGCCGGCTGGGTGCAGGTCTTTGATTGATTGGGGCGCGAAGATTGGGTCGCGCTTGTGGTGGACGAAGTTGTAGGCTAGGTTTAGTTCCTCGGCGAGCCATATTATGCGCTCGGATTGGGAGAGGCCTAGGTGGTGGAGGGTTAAGGGCATGATTGCGGTGGATAGGTGTGTTGGAGTGGGTGTATAGTGGCGGATGTGAATATGGGTATGAATGAGCTGGTAAGGAGTTATCCTTGAAGAGAATAATGGATTGGGACGGAGAGAAGAGATGTTGATCGGGCAGTGCCTCAGCCTAAATACAGAGCCTTGTCAAGACTTGTTGGAGCTCGAGGTTACACCCGCGTTTCAAGGTCTATGACGTCGGAGAAATTATGACCAATAACTCGAGTCTAGAACTTAGATCCACGATCTGATAATCGATCGAGAACCGAATAATGACGGTGAGTCAAACACAGTGATATGCCAGCCTTGTCAGGTCCACAAGGGGAAAGAGCGACACGGGTTTAAGCATTTTGATAAGTCCGCATGGTCAGCACTAAGACAGGATAGGAAGGACTCCTCCGTACCTCCACTCTCGGAGACGACTACTTCACAATAAAGTCATGAAATCAAGACATAATCATTCATAAATATCTGTACATCCTCATATAAACATAATCCAATCCACCTTATGAACCCCGAACACGTTAATCCCCATCCAGCATAGGCAACCCCCCAATATCATCAAGCAGCCTCGCAATACCCTCAAAGGAATAATCCGGGAACCCAAAGCCATAAGCCCACTCCGGAATTTCAAACCCAGACTGCCCACCAGCCCCTGCTTCCGCAGATGGCGGCAATCCCTCAGTTCCATCACCGGGTCCTCCGGATGCAGGCTGCTGCGCACCGGAGGCTCTGAAATCGCGTAGGTACTGACGGATAATCTCTACTGATTTCCGGGCTACGACGGATTCATCCATTGACTCAAGGATTTCCACGCCCATTTCGACGGAGCGGAGGAGGGGCATGGTGTCGGTGCACATGCCGAGTTTGGACATGGGGAGGAGGAGGGTGGATGTGGCGAACATCACGTAGGTTGTGTTGTACCACCTGATCGCTCGTTAGTAGTGCGGTGGTGGGATTGACCCGTGGGTACGTACCAGCATCGGAAGAATGTGTGTACTCGGTAGATGTCGTGGATCACCTCGATTGTCTTCATGGCCGCGTCTAAACACTTGGCAATCGTTTCTTCCAATTCATTGGGTGGATGTCGGAGTTTCCGGGTGAAATGACTCAGGAATGGTCGGAATAAAAGCATCTTCACGTTATAGTATCCTGAAAAGAGGTAAGGTTAACCGGTTTACTAAGAAGAGCGTGGTGTGTAAGACTCACGAATACCCAGGACAAGCCGTTGCCGTCTAGCCCACTTGGGATCACGAAGTGCGCTCTGCGAAAGCCTGTAAGCACCGATATCCGGCTTGATTCTCTCTGGCAGCCTTGCAAGCCAACGATCCATCTCCATTTCGATCTGAAGAGCCAACTGAAGTTTCTCTTGAAGTGTGATGCGTGAATGGTAGATCTGGACAGATACTCGGCGTATAATCTGGGCAAAGTCAATCATCCAGGGGATGATGGCGTATTCGGTGTCATCACGATCTGGAATGGCTCTATTGTGATATTCGTCCATTCCGAGAGTATCTGGTCGCCCAACAGAAAAGCTCATTTCTCTGTGGATCAGTTAGTCAATCATTTTCTTCGCCGTCATATTGTAAATGCTCATAATTCTTACATTTCCAGCGAGAACATGCCCCTGTATAGATCAGACAGGTTAGTAGATGAAGCATTACAAGTCATAACAGCTCTGCCGACTTACCACCAAGTCTTCGAGATCCAGCTCGAACGAGGGTCTTTGGGACACTCCACCTCTCGATTGAACCCAGCGGAAAGACATGTGCGCACCGCCAGACCCAGGTACATATAGGCCACTAAGCGACATTAGCATACCGTACATTCCCAGCAGTTGTATGCACCCACAATTCGGATTCAGTTCGTTCTGGCAGATCTTGGCCTAGTATTTGTGAGCATAGTTTACCCCATAACCAGAATGATCATCACATACCATCATATAAAGACATTGCACCGTTTCAAGGTCATTTGAAAATCGTAAATAGTTCAGATAAGCCTGTGCCTCGCCAAACAATTTCCGGCTCCACTCAAAGCGTCCTAGGCCGGCCAGCTTATCTTCATCCCAGACGCGCACCAATGCACCAAAAGATAACACACTCAAGTAGAGAGCGACGAAGCTCGGTTCCGGTGTATGTGCACGGTTGAACCAGAGGTCATTGGCACGTATTAGGAAATCCTCTTTATCGATGAATGGGTGGATGAAATGGATATTCTCAAAATACCCATTCATAAACACGTGGGCCTGGTCAAAGTAATAGTTCTGCTGCTCAATCGCAGCAGTCGGTCCGATAGAACAAGACGGTGAGAAACTTGAGTTATGTAGCGTGGAAATTAGCGAGAGTTCCGCTGGCCCGGGATACGGTTCCTCGTTGCTCTTGGGGTCTCGTGCCTTTTTCAAATGGCCGATGATTGCTGCTGATGATGTACTGCCGTAGAACTCGATGCCGTTTGTGTGGTGGTTTAATTCCTTGATTTCGTCGTCTGCGCTTTCGGCAGACTCTTCATGTGTCACTGCGTTACCTGGTAGTCTGGTGGGTTCCTGGGGTGTAGATCCCGTTCGGGGCATTGAGCATGGAGTATTCTCTATTCCTGTTGGTGCTGGGGGCTGTGATATTGGTATTTTTGTTGATTGTGGTGATGCTGTGGTTCGAGCTTCGGCATTCCGTAGCCTCGAAGCTAGCTCTTCGACCTTTTTCTCGAGGTCGGCAACATAGCTGCAGGGGATTTCAGTTTTGGCGCGAGACAAATGGCATGATAGACCGGTTATTCCGAAATATCAGATCGGATGTTATCAAAAATTCAATCATAGCATACCTTGCAGACCGGTTACTTTCCCGTTCCCGATAATTCCCCTGATACACACAATTCAGCTGGCTCTCTATGCGCTCGTTAGCTAATGCTGTTCTCTGAAAATGTCAAAAGCTGCTGGGTTATGATCCCCACTTTTACAATGCGAGCACGGATACTGCTCATCGCACTTATACTTCTTCGTCCTGCATCGGTCGCAAGCCTGCGCGGCGCGTGGCCTCTTCGCCCGCTTGGGCGCCGGTTCATCCGCCGCAAAGGGCGGGGTGCTCTGATGAGATTGCATTATCCAGACATTGTTCGCAGGCGCGAGATTCTTTCGAGTCTGGGGTAAATGGGGTTTGCGTATACTCCGTGGAGAGGGGCGCTAGTCGATGCAGATGATAACGACGCAGCGTCCGGAAAATCCGGATTGTCGGACGCTTGGTCCCTCTTGATCCACGTGACAGTCCGCGGGGACAATAGCGCCCGTGGGAATCCGGGGGCCAATCAGCGAGAACTAAAGCAGGGGCTACTGTATGTAGTGTGCTGTTAAGTGGCGTCACATTAATAATGTTGTGTTGGGGGAAGACAGTTCGGCAGATACAAGAGAAAAGTGGCTGATGCTAGTGGTCGAATTGCCGATGTATTGTTAGTTGCTGGCAGAGTATACTGGAGATCCACAGTTGTGTGTTGGTCATTCGAACTGAAAATGAAATTTCATATGCAAGTATGTACATTTAGATCTATTGACATGGCTTATATTCATAATCCCCTTAGAAAGTAATCTTCAGGCCCTCCGCGACAGAGGCAAGCTTTGATGAATCCCACTCGGGAGCCTGGTCCGGCAGAACAACCTCCTCAATCTGCTTACCAGCCTGGTGGATCAAAGACTCGATACCATCGCCATCGGCAAAGGAGTGGACCTTGACGTATTTGCTCTCAAAGCCCAGGGAGAAAGCCTGACCGGCAGGGATGACAACGGTCTCACCCTCGCGGAAAATAGTCTCGCCTACACCCTCCAGGCTCACCTTAAGAGCACCCTCCATCACACAGAGACAGTGGTCCACAGTAGCGAAAGTCATATACTTGGAGAACACAGTCTGACCGTAGTCCTTGGAAGACTCGATACTAGATATGGCACAGACACCGGCGCTCTGTTTCGTCGTGACAAAAGGCCGGGACATGACACCACCCAACATCCAGCGGGGACCAGTGTTGGCACGCAGGAAGTAACCCTGGTTGCCCTCGGGCAGCTTCTCATCCTCCTTGGTCCAGTCGCTCACCTCGGGAGGCACGTAGTGGGGCTGGAACACGACGTCGAACTTGCCCTTGGCGGCCATGACCTTGGGGATCAAGAGAGACTTGAGATCGCGGTTATCGGTCTCGGGCACCAGGATACCCTCGTAAGGCTCGGAGACGTAGCGGAAGAAGTCCACCCAGTCACCGGGGGTAATCAGGCCCTGGAGCTCTGTGTGCGGGCCGACCATTTCGGGGTTGTGAACGACAGTCTAAAATTGAGATGGTGAGTTTCATGTCTTGCAGAAGATACGATAGAAGAAGTTTACATACGGGAGGAATATAGGCAAAGTCACCAGGACCCAGAATCCTGCACTGGGGACCATTCCACAGCTTCAGATAGCCCTTTGTGACCAAGAAGACATCGTGGGCCTTCTCGTGGTAGTGGAAACCAGGGGCATCAGAGACTGTGGCACCACTCTGGAAAACCGCCATGAGACCATTGGTCTGCTTGGAGGAGGTCAGGATGCGGAAGACACCCTTGCTGCCAGGAATGGTGATGCGCTCGCCCTCGAGTTGAGGGATGGCGTAGGGCACCCGCTCCGCGGGGGGTAGATTTGAGAATGGCAGCGACATTATGTGTGAGAGGTATGGAATTGCGAATGAGAGTTTCAAGAAAGGAATAATATCGTGAGATCTAGAGGGGCGGGGATTCTAAGTTTTAAAACGTGCCGAAAAGTTGTAGCTGCCGGCATGCGGGGGACCTGATGCCGAGAGCGGAGAAGCCGTGCTCGGAAGATCCGAGTTGCTCTTCTGGGGAAGTTGTATGGAGTTGGATTGGGGGAAGAAAAGTGGATTGTGATTTGTCCTTGTCAAGACCCCAGTTCTTAGTATCGCTTCAGTATGTTAGTTGAGCCATCCTTGTGCACGGAGTCGGTGCGAGAAGAGGCCGAAGTGCGAGTCGGCCTCCATGGAGCACCGTTTTCACGGCAGTGTTTAAACTTCCGAGTAGACTATGGGGCGCTGAGCCGGTGGACTCATTGGACCAGGGCCTTTCTACTATGTACACAAAAGAGAAGCTATTAACATTCAGCTTCGTGTGTACCTGAGTCAGTTCAATGATTCTTAATCATGGCGGGGTAACTCGGATAGTCCGTAGAACCAACTGCCTGCTGCTCCGCGCCGACGCGTCGTGGTTGGAGTTAGTGACATTACTACATTATGTATCACAATCAGAATTATTTAAAGACTATCATCACCTGATCCAGGAACTCAATTGATGATTAAGACCAGCAGAGACCATTCCAATTCAGCCCTCTTTTACCGCGGAACTCAGTCTCCGAAGTTCAACCAGATCGGCTCTCCCACAATGAGCCCCAATCGACCGATGGGCTGATGCCACAATCCCAGACCAATTCCACTTCCCCTTCCTCCTATCCTTTTCAGAAGGGGGTACGCAGTAACAGACGACATCGACTCGTAAATCCCTATCCGAAGCCTCCGGATTGGTTTAAATTCCCTTGCCACCCAGGAACCCTGTCACTCGATATCCGTATCTCCAGACTTTTTCTTCATCGGATAAGAAATCACCCACAATCCCCACCTTCGTGGGGACGCCGCCTCAGCCCGAATCTGTGGGGTTTGTGGCTCAAGAGGGACTATATTACTCTGGGGAGTTCTGTTGCTGCCCCTCCATTGCTAGTCTAGTTACTTTGTCATTTCTCCCTCTCTCTCTTTCTCTCTCTTTCTCTCTAGAATTTCGACATTAGACACAATTCTATCCGCGAACATGGCGAACACGACCAATGCACAGCTGGAAAAGCCTACGGGCGAGTATCGCCAGTATCTGCCCGACTTGAGCCTCCCACGCTTTCAGGTGATGTGCACGCAGGATGCGCACGAATATGCCCATGCTTTTAAGACGGGGAAGCAGCCCCCATGGTTGCATGCGCTGTATATGCATTGGTTGGATTTGTTCCAGGAGCCCTTCAAGGGTGTCACCACCGACGGTAAGGGATTCAATTGCATGCGCCGAGCTAGCTAGCTAGCTTGATAAACTTGACAACCGATTCTAACTGCTATCCACAGGCAATGTCCGTCCCGATCTGTTCACATTACAAGATGAAGATATCCCCATCCAACAGATCGTCGACGCTACACAATCCCTTCTCTCTCTCCTAGACGACAAGCAAAAGGAAGCCGTCTGCTACCACATCGACTCGCCGCAATGGCGCACATGGTCGAACCCAGAGTTCCTCCTCTCGCACAAGGGCGTGCGCCTCGACGAGGTCACCCCCTCCATCCGCGACGCAGTCATGAACATCCTCAAGACCACCCTCTCCCCGGAAGGCTACTCAAAGGCCGTCAGCGCCATGCGCATCAACCACTTCCTCGGCGAACTCGTCAAGTCCTCACGCGTCATGAACGAATTCTCCTACAACTTCGCCCTCTTCGGTCGTCCCTCCACGACTAGACCCTGGGGCTGGTCGTTCTACGGCCACCACCTGTGTCTAAATATCTTCCTGTACAAGGGGCAGATTATTGCTTCACCGTGGTTCACGGGCGCAGAGCCGAATGAGATTGATGCCGGTCCGTACGCTGGGACCCGCATCATGCAAGTCGAGGAGAAACTAGGTCTGCAATTGATGCAGTCCCTCTCCGCCGAGTTACAATCCCGCGCGCGCGTCTTCGCCGAAATGAAAGACCCCGCTATGCCGGTCGGTCGCTGGAATAAGGATGACCAGCGGCACGTGTGCGGTGCATACCGCGATAACCGCGAGGTTCCCTACGAGGGTATCCTCGCGTCAACCTTCAGCGCCGAACAGAAGGAGCTTATGTACGGCATTCTGGAGCAGTATCTTCTCTACCTGCCTGCGAAGGCGCGCGCAATGAAGATCGAGCAGATCCGCAAGTTCGAAGGCGAGACGTACTTTTGCTGGATTGGTGGGTATGGCGATGAGAATGCGTTTTATTATCGGATTCAGAGTCCCGTTATTCTGGTCGAGTTTGATCATCACTCCGGTGTGTTTTTGAACAATGAGGAGCCGAAGAAGTTCCATATTCATACTTTGTTGCGTACGCCTAATGCGGGTGATTATGGACACGCCTTGCGGGCGAAGATTCCTGCTGTTGAGGGGTTGAATGCGAAGGAAATTGTTTGGTAGGTGGTTCGAATTTGATGATATGAAGAAAGACGCTCCCCCAAGTCATGTATACTGTATGGAATGAATCTCGATGAAGCATTTTCTGTTCTGCACCTGCATTTGTATAAAGCCCGTTGTTGCCCCCACTGTTCTGCCTTGGCTGTGCTTTCATATTTAGACCGCGCTGATACTGTCCTCTGTCTGATTCGTTGCTTGTTAAGGCCTCCACCCCGTTTGACGAAGATATGATTGATACTGAGGGCTTTTCCTTGTCTGTCTGTGTGTCAAAAAATCTTAATAAGAAGATATCAAGTGCATGATCATCCATATTAGTCGTAAACTACCACCAAGGCACGCAAGATAGAGAAATTATGTACATCCCCAGCGCCGAAAGCAGAATGAAAGGTTAGTAAAAGAAAAATACGCCAAAAACAAATCATAAAGTCTCAAAGAAAGATTAATATCGCATAAAGTCGAGTAATCCAATCTGTTGGCCAGCCGGTTTGACTTTCGTGTCTCGCGCGACTCGGGAAAAACGCCTAAGATGATGAGACAGCCACCATATATCAAATCACGCAGGTACTTTGTGTCTCCTCAGGAGCTCATCCTAAGCGCATCATGATCCGGGATTAGCTCATAACCCCCCCTCAGACGGCAAGATCTGAGCCGCAATAACGATCGCGCCCGCGCAGATCAAACTAAAGCACCAACTGACAGTGCAGAAGATCCAGGACTGGTCCAGACGCCAGCCAACGAAGAACCGGTCTTCGTTGTCGAAGAGATATGCCTGCACATAACCCAGAACTGTCAGTATGATTCTATTGTCTGGTTATTCCCTTTGTTGGAAGGAAGACCTACCACAATCGACATCCCCGCCGCCTGCACAATAGCAGACAAAATAATCAACAAACTAAGAACCCGCCACCCATTCTCGCGCAGTCGCTTCCCACCGCCGAGGATGATCACGTAGGCGACTATGCTCATTCCTTCCAATACCACGGTAAAGGACATCAAGAACCCGACAGAGCGCCACATGGAACAGAAATACCGGTCGTCGCCATGACAATCGTCGCTCTGGGGGAAACTCTCGCAGGTATCGGTGAGTGAGGAGCAGCGTTGATGGAGTCCGTAGGAGTAGTGGTGGGCGGGCTGGAATAGACCACGGTGTAACTGTTAGTTCAAGGCCATGTGTGTGGCGGTCGCATGCGGCGTCCTCGTACCTTTTCGCTATGATAGCTGACCCATTTTGGGATCACGATGGAGCATAGTGTCAAGGTAAATGCTATGTGAAATAGACGTGTCAGTCACAAAATCTCCGCTCGTTATCTTGTATCTGTACTCTGTATCTGTACAGTGTGGGTGGATGGAATGGGTGGATCCATCGTGGCGCGGGGAGAGCTTCGACCTTCAACCTTCACTTACAAGCTAGGAACAGTACCAGTGTGCCCGAGTAGACGATTGTCTTTGTGAGAAAACCCGTATAGTTCCGGTCAGTGCCCCTCGGTACCAGGTGGAAATCCATGGCGGGCAGACGACAGGTCGAGGGACAGGGAGGAGGAGAAAGGGAGAGAGAGAGAGAGAGAATGAAATGATGGGCGATGGCGTAGATGGTTCAGGACGAGATTTGGCCCGTGCGACGGGCGGTACAAATCCGATGAGGCTGGAATTTCAGTGGGACTTGACACCTACAGCTGTAGGCAGCAATAATCTATGGATGGTTCGGAGGAGATTTTACAAGTGAAATAATTTAACAGAAGATATCGAGGGTAAATGGTTTAAGTTTTGAAAGAAGGGGGGGGAAGAAGGAGTGTCGAGGACTGAGACTTGTGATGTACAGAAGAGAGAGATCCTCGAACAAGTTGCAACTTGCTGAAGGTTACAATGACCAGGAATTCAGAAATCCAGAAATGAATCATGCTCCCCCCTCCTTCTTCACCGATCCACCCTCGTCCCACCTACCACTGTTCCCAGTCTGAACTACTTCGTATTCCTTGCGAAATACAATTTCAGGACACTCTCCACCATGGCGGGCAGCTGCTCCCATCCCGCAAAACAAGGCAGAGACAGTCCAAGCACCTGCAGGAGGCGCATAGGCGGCGATCCCATTTTCTCCATAGTTAGTATACTTGGCGGTAAAAGCGGTCTACACGAGAATATCAGATTGGATCCTCACATAACCCCTAGTCATCTATAACTGACAAGGTTTCGGAACAATGCTAGTAGATATGCAATTTCTCACCTGATACTTAAGAGAATGTACTGCTCCCCCTAAATCATCAAAAGAACCAGTCCTACATGATCCCATCTTTAAAACTCACAGTGGTCATCCTCCCCGCAGAGGTTCCACGAATACAAGGACAGGCCAGGAACAATCATTGCATGGGGACACACTCCCCGACAGATCTAACTAATCTGCCAGAAAGCCATCCCAGAAGATAGCCGTCATCATTAAAAAAGTAGGCAAGAAGTTACGAACCAGCGAGATACATGAGACATAATATACATGCAGGACGCGCATGCCCAGCAAACATAATAAAGGGTTGAAGGAAAAGAAAAACAAAAACGAGCAAAACGATCAAGCAAGATGGCACGAAAAGGCCAGCCTGAAGTGATGTACACATGTACAAGCAAAATCTCATGCTCGTGGTGACATCGGGGGAAAAAGATGGCCACCAAAAGAACAAACGCCAACCAAATTTCATGCCAGAACGAATGTTGCGCCGAGTACTGTCATCGCCATTGCCGTGTTCATTGCCGTTGCCATGTCACTTTCACTCCGTGCGCTTCTGTCCCAGCATCGCACGGAAATCATCATTGCTCTTCTTGGACGGCACACTCTCGCCACCCTTACTGTCGGCACTGGTGTCCATCTTGTCTTTTTCCGATGCCGCACTAGAAGCAGGTGCAGCAGGGGCTCGTTTTAAGCCCAGTCCCCCTCGGCGGCCACCACGGGCACCGGGCTGCTGAGGGCGCCTGATCGGGCCTGCTGGTTGGAGGGAAGGTTTTGGCTTCTCCTGTTTGATCGAAGTAATACGATCCGTCTTCTTCTCCGCCTGCAACTTGAGCATCTCATCCACACTTCCGATATGAAGCGGGCGTCCGGGGGCAATCTCCTTGCCCTCAAGTGCCAAGGAAGCCTTGCCAGCATCATGGACGTCAACGTATTCGACGATGGCACCCTGGTGATCCGGGCGAAGGACAATCTTGACTAGTCGGCCAAACGGTTCGACCAACGCGCGGACACGAGCATCGTTAACAGTATCGGGAACATTCATCAGGGCGAGAGTACGTTCCGATCGGCCACCGACCGTTTCCACCACACCGGGGATGTTACCGTTGGCCTCGGGAGGCGGCGAAGCCGATGTGGCAACCTGGGAGATGATAGTACTAGCCATGCGCTTAGCGCCGGTATCCCCGCTCAATTTCACAGATAATTGACGTCTTCCAAGGGGTTGTTGGTCCATGACAAGAGCGGCCTCGGCTTCTTCCTGTTAAATTTGTTAAAATCAATCAATTAATGCCAGATTGCGACTCCAGAGAGATCCACATACCTTGGAACTATAAGCCACGAAGAAGAACCCTCGGTGGGCGCCATCGGCGTTGAGTGGGAGGTGAAGATTTTCGATAGTGCCGAACTTGGAGAATGCCTCACGGGCATCGCTTTCCTTGAGTTTCCAATCAAAGCCTTTGCAGAAGATTTCACGGCCTTCCTGCATTGCGCCATTACGCTTTTCCTTCTGAGACGGGTCGGAGATCTTCACAACGAGCTTGTAGCCCTTCTCGACCTCTGTCCCGTTCAACTCCGTAGCTTGGTGTGATGCGCTGGCAGTAGCAAACTGCACGTAGCAGAACCGACGCTTAGTTTGATACTTGAGCGATGGGAAGCGAATATCAACGACATGGCCGTACTTGTTGAAGAGATTGCGAATGTACTCCTCGTCTGCGGTCGGAGGGAAATTTGTAACCCACAAGGTGGATTCAGACTCCAGCATGACTTCAATGGTGTTTCCATTGAAGGTCTTTTGATCGCGTGTCAGCGCCGCCAGAGCTTCCTCCTTCGTCTCAAACTCAATAACCGCAACTTCAGAGTCTCCATCTGGCCCGGGCAACATCTTGACACCGTTGATGGTGCCGCTGTGGCGGAAAAACTGTCGCACATTATGCTCAGTGGTCTCCCGGGGAAGGTTTTTGACTACGACAGTCGCATGCTCACGATCGCGGGCGAGAGGTTGAGGCTCGGCAGCTCCTTGTTCCGGGGCCACCTCCTCAGCACGGACTTTCTTGCTGGTGGGCTCCCCATTCTCCTTCTCGTCTTCGCGCTTGCGCTTTTCCGAGGTAGAAGCAGCTTCGGCAGCGGCTTCCCATTGCTGTTGCTGCTGCTGCTGCTGCTCCTGTTGCTGCTGTTGTGCAGCCGCGGCTTCGCGCGCCTCTCGCTCTCTCCGAGCAGTGACGGCTCGCACGGCCTTGCGCGTCTCAATCACGGCAAGCTGCAATTCATCCGCATCTTCGTAATCCTCGCAGTGAGCAATATAGGTCTGCACAAGTTTCTCAGGCCAGTCGAGGTCTTCACGCTTGATTGCCTGTTTGAGAACCGCCGTCGCAAAGCTAGGATTGGGAGTGCGCCGGGCAGCATCGACTGTGGCTTCTCCCTGGACGAACTTGCTCCAGCAGACGAGCTCCCAGCTGTAGTAGGTGAGCCAGAACTCGTAGCTGTCGCCACGACGCGGAACGAGGCCCTTGAACGTCTCCCGCGCACTGTCCCAACTGCCACTTTCACTGAGATAGCGAATATAGATACGTTCCAGGCGGAAATGAGGGTCTCCCTGGTAGGACCGACCATACTTTTTCTCGCCCAATTCTTGCACACTCTCGATTGCCGACCGAATTCCCACCTCTGCAACATCCAAGTCTTCGTCGGTGGCGTCAGAAAGGAATGCACGTCGACGGAGATAGCTGCACCAGGTCGTGTGAACTTTCAGCACTTCTTCCATACCACCAGCATCCAGCAGGCCCGTACTAGTGGCTCTGTGCTTGATGCCCGAGATCTTGGAGAAAGACTGTCCTTCTCGCTCAGAACTCAGCAGGTACTGGGACCAGAGGTTACCAGACCAAGGGCAGTGGCGTGTGGCACGGTCCAAAGTTGCAAGTGTCGTGGTAGAAGCGTGGCCATGCATAGATTCGCCGATGAGGAACATGATATAGTCCTCCCACAAAGAGACATCGGTAGGGAAGCGCAGAACAGCACGCTGGTAAACAGCATTGACGAGCTCAAAGTGGAATTCTCGTCGCCGGCGGTTACGACTGAGTTCCCAATCAATGTATTCCCTGTACAAGTTCCACTCGACAGACTTGTCACCGGAATCCTGGGCCTTGCTGAGTCGATGCTCGAATTCTTCTCTTGCGGCGTAGAAATTTTTCGAGGATGACGCCTGGGCTACCGTCTCCGACATAATATCCTCATAGTTGGATTCGAAATAAGTAGAGATAAAGCCGGAGAAGGTCTGGAAGGTCTGGTCCCAAGTAGCATGAGGGGTCTGTAGTCGCACCTCATACAATCCGCGGAGGTGGTTGATCTTCTCTTGAGAAGGAGCTCGAGTGAGATCCTGAGTCAAGAGCTCCAGGAATCGATCCCAAACGAGGTGGCTGTTGTTAATACGCCACTGGGTCGCTTCCGCCGCTCGCTGCCACACGTCCAGGACCGTCTGCCACGTGAACACTTCGCGTCCAATCATCCGATCTTCTTCGGTCCACTGGCCAGCTCCATGTTCGCCGGATGTTGCATTGTACAGATAGAGCACCCATTCGCCATAGATGTGCCAAAGCTTAGTGCAGCCAAACTCTTCCTCGACTGATCGCTGACACAGCTCCATTACAGAGGTGCGTTCCATAACCGTGTGCGCAAGCATGCTCTCGTCTTGAATCCACTCGGCCCAAAGGTCCTCCCCCATGGCGAAAAGCTTGTCCATTTCCTCACGGGCAGTCCTCAAATCCTTGAGGAGATCATACCGACGAGGGTCGCCATGGATATCGGGGTTGTTGGGCGGGTAGACATGGTTCACAAAGCCCGCATGCAATAACCCGATGAATTGAACGTGGGCCTCGTAGGTGTGGGGATTCTCTTGAATTTTGTTGAACAGCTCTGTTGCCAAATGCTGCGCTTCGGGGTCCAACGACGTCTGGACGTAATTCCTTTGCGCGCTTTCCCGTGGACCATCCGCCATGGCTAGGTCGAACGAAGTGCGGGGGGTGGGGGTGTTATGGTTGATTTGGTTCACGTGAGGGTGGATGGTAGATGGAGACAGTTGGCTCTGGTGAAACTCGGCGTTTCTCAACATGTTAGGTGCGTTCTGGCGCGCCGTACGCTGGTGATGCTGCGCATGCTGCTGCTTTTGCTGTTGTTGTTGTTGTTGTTGCTGCTGTTGAGGTTGGGGTTGGGGTGGCGGTGGCTGATGGTGCTGCATTGAGGCCAAGTCTGCCAGTGTATCCATTCCATTAGAGGGCTGTCTCGATGGCGGCCGGTCGGTCGAAGGGGAAGTTCCATTCCCGGCAGCGGTGACGTTGGGGCTAACGGAGGGACTGGTTACAGTGGGCGAAGATTCAGGCAGTCCGGTAGGAGCATAGACTTGCTGCGCAAGAGGCGAAGATGTCTTGTTTTTGCGACCAGGACCTCGCGCCCGCTGAACTGCCTTGTGAGGGGACGGGCCTGCAGCCAGGGCCGATGCGTTGCTCGACGTAGCACCGGGAGCGGGCGCTGAGATCCCAGACTTCGCATTCGAGTCCGGGGAAAGCAATGAATTGATGTCCATTTTGGTCAGGTTCGAGGGAGGGGGAACCTGCGACACGTTCAAATGAAAGAAAAGAAAGAGTGATCAACACTCAAAGAATATTGTCAAAGACCAGAGGTCGCGGATAGTGCTAAAAGTAGCAGAGGTCCAGATCAGACAATAGCCAAGAAGTGTCTCAACAACATGTCCATTCCTGAACCAGCAAACGCAGCTTGATCTTCAAATCCCGGCTCGTGGGGCAGATAGCCGGGATCGCGAGTGATCCTTTTCTTGTTTTTCGGCGCAATGCCGGTCGCGAACGGAGTTGCGTTATTGCTAGCTCAAGGCTTTCGCAGAGACCGATGGTAAAGGATCCGTAAAGTTGGCGACAAAGGACGATCGGGAGAGGGAGCGGGAGAGATGGTTGCTAGGGCGTGGTCGATCACCGGGTGGAAGAGAGTCCGGAAGCGTGTGAGAAGCACAGCCGGAGCGAGGAAGAGGAGAGATAAGAGACCACAGGCAAGAGGCCTGGGAGGGTTGGAGGGGGGGAGAAGGATGAAGGAAAGGAAGGTGTCGATGAGAGTAAAGGAAGAAGGAGGGTACTGAAAGCCCTGAAAGAGGGAGGAAGATGAGGGCTAGTGGATCTTCACTGTGGAGATGACGGTGTGAGGGAAATGTCCCTCAAGAGGTTGGGAAGATCAAATAGATAAATCAGTAACGGGACAGACAGTGGATACAGCTTCTCCATAAGTATAAGCCGGTTTACTGGATTCTTGTTCTAAGCTACGATCCCCTCTGTATCGTGGAGGCGTATCCATTCTGATCGATCACGTCGCGACTGCATTGCTCTATGTGGCCTGAGGCAACTACAGGTAGCGGGCTGAGCCAACCGCGCAACCGCCAAGTTTGACCTTTTTTCCGCTTTAACTTCCCCGACATCAAGAGATCAACAACACATCCCCATGGCCACAATGGGTGCTGTCTCTCCATATGGGCAGCTGGTCCGGACTGGTCAGTATCAATTCTGTGTTGAACATTTCAGAATCCCCCCAACTCCCTGCTAACCTCACGATTAGCGGCCCGGGCCCAAGTCTCATACGTTCCCCGACGGACCTTCACCTCGACAGTCACCTGCCGGGCACAAAACGGCAATGCCAATTCCAACAAGAAGAAGGGTGGATTCCTTTCATCCATGAAGGATTGGGTTCTCGGAGAATCCAAACCCAAGGCTGCCTTCACCCCAGTTGCCCCGAAGCGCGAAGAAGGTGGACTCGGTGCTAGCTCCATTTTCGCCGACGACGTGGGCCGCGCCTCCGGTCCCAAGCCCAGCAAGCAGAAGAAGCAACTCCAAGAGCAACAACAACAAGCGGAAGGCGAGGAGGACCTGCCTCTGGAGAAGCGCAACAAGGACCGCCTGCAGCTCGCCTTGAACCCGAACCCGAAGGCCCAGCTGCGGTGGGAGAAGAAAATGGTGATCCGCGAGATCCGCAAGCGTGGCCGTATCTCAAAGGAGGTTCAGATCAAGCGTACCGAGCGTGAATCCATGTCCAAGTCACATTGGTTCAAGACCTCTGTCAAGAAGTTGGGCCCCCTGGCCCGGCAGATCGCGGGTAAGCCTCTCGACGAGGCGATCTTGCAGATGCGTTTCAGCAAGAAGAAGGCTGCCAAGGACGTGCTGGGACATCTGGAGCACGCGAAGAACGTCGCCATGGTCCGTGCCGGCATGGGCCTGGGAGCCCCTGCTGGTACCTCCGCCGAGCCCGTCACCGTCACTTTCAAGACTGGTGAGCGCAAGAAGATTACCGACCCGACTTCCATCTACATTCAGCAGGCGTGGGTGAACCGTGGTCCTTACGGCTTCGGTATGGACCACCGAGCTCGTGGGCAGATCAACAAGCTCCGGCCCCCGGCCACTGGCATTTCGGTGGTGTTGAAGGAGGAGAAGACTCGCATTCGGGAGTGGCAGCAGCGTGAGGCTGATGCCCTGCGCAAGCGCAAGGCTCAGCTCTGGACCCAGCTGCCTGACCGCAAGGTCTCTGCGCAGAACCAGTATTACAGCTGGTAGATGTGCAGATTTCCCCCGAGTTGATTTCCCTTTTTGGCGTTACGTTGTATTATTTTTGGACATCACCCAGTCTCTTTTGTTTCTGTGCCGGGTCTGGATGAGGAGAATTTGCATTGTAGTAGAAAGTAGGGCGAATTTGCCCATGTACAATATATACAAGATTCAAACACACATCTCAAGGAACCATGTCCTCATCTTCACATAGCCGATGCCAAGTAGACGACTCATGACTGCTTCTCTGCCTTAACAACAACCGGAATAACCGCCCCAGTCGCCAGCGGGAACTTCCGGTGCCCAACAACCTGCAAAATACTCGTAATAGCACCCGAATGCGCCGTCAAAGAAAGAAAAACATTCTCATCCGTACCGAAAATATCATTCAACAACTCCAGCAATCGCCGATCCCGATGTTCATCCGACTCGCGAACCTTCGGATCCCAAAGTCCATCTTCCTCCGTAAAGCGTGGCTCCAACCGGTACCGTGGGAAATCCGCTGCGATAGCCGACTTGGTTGAACGGCGGTCACAGGTGTGCTCGCCCATGGTTTCGCGGAGTAACTAAGTAGATTGAGATCGAGTGTTAATACACATCTTCCAACTCCCAGTAATTCAAGTTTATAGTGTTTTGTGTGCACTGGGCTAGGAGCGTCTTACCTCCTTCACAAGCGGTTGAAAAGGATTCGTCAACGGCATATCCAACCCTTCAAACGTAACCTGCGCCGTCTGGCAGCACCGATGTAACGGGCTAACATAGTATGACTGCGGCGCTGGGATACCAGTCGCCCATTGACAGACCCATGTATCATGGGCAGTCTGGGCCTGGGCAATGCCTATCTCTGTGAGGTGGGCATCTGACCAAGTGCCGAATTCGTCTCCATCTAGGAGGGACCAGTACTCCTATAGCGTTTGTTAGCTCCCTCTGCATTAGATGATGGTCTGGAAATGTGGATGGCGAACATACATCCCAGGCTTTAGTCCCGTATCGCCGCTCAGCAACATTGTGTACACCTTCTCCGTGTCGTCCCAGAAAAAGGACTTTATATTTGGTTTGTGAATCAGCGGTCTCATTGAGATGGGTCATGTGCTTTGCGAAACGTTGCCATTGAGTATCGTTTTGGGAATTGCCAGTCTCGTGGTCATATTCTTTGGAAATCAGCCCGAAATTGGTGGATGACTTTTGTGTATCATTAGTGCTATGTGTCTTTGAATAGAGATCATTTTGAGATTTCGGGGCTTACATAGTCGAAGGTGTCTGGGTCGGTGCTTGGCTCATCTTGAAGGAAACACCCAGGGACTGTGCTGAATTTGAAAGAGGCTGGCTCAGTTGAGAGTTTTGTGAGTGTCATTTTGTAGATGGTTTTTGCTTAGCTTGAGGTTCTTGAGCTTTTGTAGGACAGGGGAGGATCAGATGGAAGCTTCAGCGTCTGACTTCCAAGGTGGGGCGGGGCAAAGGGGGGGGCCACAGGAGGAGAGATTGAGATTGTAAAAGCATCCCTGCAGATGGATGTCTCCTTACCAAGATTTAACAATTATACTATCCGTAAACTACGATTGACCAGGAAAATGTAGATCTTTATCATAATCATAGCTTTTTTGTATTGTTATTTGGGTGGTTCACCCATTCCTCTAGTCGGTTGTCTGTATAAGACCGATTCCTGATCTCCGTCAGAGTACCAAGTAGTTAAAAAAACACACACAACGCCAATCAAATACTCATCGCCAAATCCAATCATTAGGGTAGTCCAGGCAGAAAAAAAAACAAAAGTCATGAGAGCTCAAACAGTTAACAGTGCGTAGGCAACAGCAGTTATGGGCCGTGTCCTTCAATTGCACTGATGACCGTCTCGAGTCTCCAAAATCGTGCAACTCAGTCGCATCGATTAAATGAGAGACGATTGCAAAATCTTTCTCGCAGACATCAGCTGGCTACCCAAAAGGGATATGCACTTGCCGACAGACTGTTCGGACCAAGAAGCAAATGAGAGAGACGAAAGCCCAATGCCAGCAATCGCCGACACTGTGCTTGAAAAGAGGCCGCCAAGTTGGGTCGAAATCGACCGAACGAGGCTGTTTTGTCCGGACGAAACGCTCGAACAACGATCCTGGGGGGAAATTTCCACTTGTGCCCGCGCACGAGAGGAAAGAATGTCTGATCGCTTCTGGAAGAAGGCCGTGGATCGCGGTGAGTTATTGGTAGCCAATCCTCCCTGGCTCACCGACTTCTGGCCTATGGTAGCCAGAATTGAGGATGATTGAGCGCGAGATGAGACTGGCGTGGTTGACGAGACGCTGTTGTCTACGATATGCGTAAACATCTTGTCTCGAGGACGCCGGACATCCAGGTATGAGCAGCGCGTAGCGCTTGAGTTCGAGGTGCTCGAAGATGGCGTAGTCTGTCTGGTGTTGGTGTTCTCCGGGACACTGCTGGACACACCAGCAGCGGTTGTCGGGGAGAATCCAACAACGCGCCAGCGCAGGTTCGACTGGCCAATGGCCCGCCGGTTGGTTGCGTTGACGGATTGAGGAACGCTCGGTGATTGGCGCGATACGCCCTGTCCCACAGAGCCAGGAGCCTTGTCGGCCGTCTTGACGGCAGGTAGGCCAGCAGCAGCGCCGCGCAGATTGGACTGCGAAACGACACGGCTGTTTGTTGCTCTGACGGGTTGAGAGGCGCTCGTAGCTTGCCGCGAGACATTCTGTCCCGATGCAAGAACACTTTTGCCGGCTTCCTTGACATGTGTCAAGTAGGCGGAAGCGTTGTATTGCGGATCGTGTCCGCGGACACCGCTGCTGTTCCGCTTGGCATCCACCGCCTGGTCGGATTGAACACCGAAAGTCTTGCCAGCTTGCTTGGCTATAGAGAAAGCCGATACGCTGAATTGAGGGTTGTGTCCTGGGACACCGCTTGTGCGCTTGACTGTTGCCTTGACGGACGGGAGCACGCCGCTCGAGCTGGTCGATGGATCGTGTCCTGGAGAGTTGTTGATGGTCACCTTAAACGTCTTGCCGGTTGACACGGTGGGCAGTGGTCGAATTGTAGGTGGTACAGATGATCTGTCGTGACCTGGAACACTAGAGACACGTGAATCCGGAAGAACGGGTGACGAACGTGCCGATTGTTGCGGCCGTTCCTTGTAAGCCACATTCATTGGGACATCTTGAACACCCATGTGGGCGGCGGCCTTCTCCAGGCAGTTGCACTGATCCATTGTTAGCATCTCACGACGAATTGATAGTAACGCAAGGCGGGAGACTCACTCGTTTGTGTTGCTTCTTGTGCTTCTCGCAGGCTCCATACTTCCGAGCCTTGATGTAGTTCTCCTTCTGTGCCTGAGAACGGGGCTTCTGCTTCTTCGGCAGGTTCGCAGCGGCATTCATGTTCAGGTCCAGGACCAACTCGACTCCTCCAGTGCCAGTAGCAGGGGTGGGGGCGGAGGGTGTCCCCGGGCTAGCGCTAGCAGATTGGGGAGAGTTGCTTCCGCGAACATACTCTGACCAGGATGGGGAGGAGAAGCTGGTGTTGGAGTCGGAAGACATGTCGAGGTCACGGGCCGTGGCATCGCACAACCTCTGTAGATGCAACGCAATAGCAGCTTCACGGCGCTTCTCCTTGATCGACGCAACGCGCGGGTCGGCAGCGGCCTGCGCTTCGACCATCGGACGGAAGTCAAAAGAAGCATCGTATTGCGGGTAGGTGTAGAATGCGCTGTCATCCAAAGCAGCAGTGTGGTCGGGGAGCATGCCCATTTCTGGGGACAAATCGGCGAAAAAGCCTTCTTGTGAAGCATCATATTCGATCATGTCTGGGAAGGCAGATTGGCTGAAGTCCAGCAGGTCAGTGCCCAGCATCTCAGCATCATAGGGCAATGCCATGTCCGGAGAGACCGAGTTGGTCGAGGCCGAGGCGGAAGATTCATCGCCGTAGGCTGATGGCAGATCCAAGAATTGGTCAAAGTCGACCCACTCCTCGAATTGAGTTGGGCTATCGAGATAGAAGAACTGATCAGATGTAGACGCCATGGTTTTGAATATCACTTGACGTATTGGGGTATCCTTTTTTTTTTTTGGAGGGCGGGGATGATGGATATTAGATAAGGGATATCGTAAGAAGGAAAGACTTTGAGGGGATGTAGTCTTGTAAATGGTATCGTTGTTTTAGGGGTATGAGGGCATCAGGTGGGCTCGAGGCCAACAATCCTGTAGTGATGAGGTCGAGGGGGGTAAAGCTCCAGGGGAAAAAAAGAAAGAGAACCTGAGGACTGAGGCAGAGGGGAAAAGGACCGTGTTGTATAGGGACTCAAGGCGGAGCTGGTTCCCCCCCAGAGGGTCGCAGAGTCGCAGGCAGTCGCAAAATGAGGCCCCACTCGACTCGGCGGAGCAGCGCGCAGCCCATTCCTCTTTGGGGTCCCCGACTTCCACTAAACTGCTTTGGGACCCCGACACTACCTTCTGCGCCGGCTCTTCATTGGTTTGGCCCATAACTCTGACAGACTGGGCCCTGGTTCAGCCTCTGTTGACTCATTCCTCGTTCCATCCCGCTGAACAGTGGCTGAGAGTTCCATCATGCGGGACCTTTATGAGACGGTCACGGATTTGTCGAGCTGTGATTGGGTCCATTTTTTCAATGCGCATGAGTTAATTGAGATTTCGACATCATTCAAGCATTGACCTCTGCCATTGGGTGTATGTATTTCGAGCTTATGACCTAATTTTCAAGAACACCCTTCGCAGGGCTACGCCTCTACCGAGGTCATACGAAGGGGCTGTGATGTTTGTTGATTTGATCACCTTTACAACTTCATGGAATCGGCAAATGATATCATTCTCTACCGAGCAATCTCACATCCTAGGAATCAGAATGATCGCTGCCAATCTTAGAAGTCAAATGTCACCCGCTCAGTGTAACCCCAGGTGTCCGTATTATCCTGCATACAGATACCAAGGATTGTAGCGGCCAATCACGGTCCAGAAAAGCAACAATAATACAGAAGATGGAAAATTTGATGAGAAAGATATAATCTTGGTAAATAAATCGATTTTGCCTACAGTTAGGATTAAACCTACCCAGTACTATAGGCAAAACTATAGAAGTTCGGGTGGCAGTTGCACGAAATATATATTTGTGCCCGCGCCACTAGACGGCATACCAGGACCTAGGTTTCCGCCACGCCTTCCATGACCCAAGCAACGTTACTAGATCCGCCTAGATCCTTCAATATCGAGATCTCAAGATCTAGAGCTAAGCTTTTTTAGTTTTTACCCTGGTCATTGTGGCAAAGCTTCTCCAAGTATGACCCAAGGCTAAACGGTTAGGTACTCCAAGGCCGCAAAAAAAAAAAAGTACATCAGCGTCTGTCCCGTTATTCTGAGAACATTATCTCCATACATAGGCTGGGCATTATGAAATGAAATCGAAGCAAAAGAGAGCAAATTGAAGCAAGAATGGATCGGGAACCAAAAAGATCTAGAGAAGCATAAGGGCCATGGATGGAGTTGGGCTGAGGGTGTTTGAAGACCAACCTTGAGAGTCTTCCATCGAAGCAAAGAACTGATCTAGTTACATGCCTGACCACCGCAGCAGCGTAGAGCTAGTTAGCAGCATCCCCGTCAGCCCTATTCTAGTCTTCATCTCGAGAAAACCGGGAATTATTCTGGTTCTTTGATCACCCTTGAGATTTCTCCTCTCTCGGTCTTTGGCCTCGCCACACGAGAAAGAGAAAACATTAGATACGATGATTTCATATACTCCACGACTTGAATTACAGAGAATCATGGTATCTTTAGAGCTAGGTACCTTTCACTTGTTATTTGTCGACTCCTTGCAAAGTCCTCATTGTTAATCTCGAATTTTGATGAGTGACGCTGCAAAGTCCTGGGACATCCTCTACTGAGACCCACTAACAAACTCGAAATACTGTTTGACAAGTCTTTTATCTGATGCTGCCTTGATGTCCACGGTAAACTGTAAACAATCATCAACCTGAGTACTGTATGTAAATCCGTGTCTATGGAGTTTGGTGGAATTTAGACAGCGCGTTTCCCCATTTCCGATTGGTCACGGCGTAAGGCCGGACTCCGCCAGAGTTAAATCCGCACTCGGCCCACTACTGGAACAAGCTTCTCGGCTGAAGCCTCGGAGTACACAATGCCCATAAGAAGACCGTTTAATCCGCAATTATTCCATGGAGTTTCTTTACAAATGGCGGATGGACTTTATTTATTTCCAGAACTTCGGATGGCATTATGAACCACGGCAATGATTTTATCTGTTAATACCTTCAAAGCTCCGTTTGACTGTTTAACTCCGTCACCATTAGCCATGTCGAGTCACTTATGCTTCTCCTTGTCGGGGGATTTAAAGCGGGTTGAAGAACCAGCAATTTCATCTAAATCAAATCAACCACAATAATACAACAGCATCTTCTTTCTTAAGAGCTTTCTACCTACAACCTTACAACTATACACTACAATGTCGCTGTCTGGAAAAGTTGTCCTCATTACTGGCTCCTCCAAGGGGATCGGCAAAGCCGCTGCTCTTCGCGTCGCCAGTGAAGGTGCCAACGTCGTGATCAATTACCTTCGCGACCCAGCTGCAGCCAACAATCTCGTTGAGCAAATTGGCACCGACCGCGCCCTAGCTGTTCAAGCCGATGCCTCAAAGATGGCCGACCTCGATTGCCTTGTCGATGCTGCGGTCGCAAAATTCGGCAAGATCGATGTTCTGATTCCAAACGCCGGAATCCTCCCACTTAGAGACTTGGAAAGTACCACCGAAGAAGACTTTGACAGAACCTACAACTTGATGGTGAAGGGACCGTTCTTCCTGGCTCAGGTATGTACACGTAAACCCTTTCAATCTTTCAACTCGACCAAGGCTAATTAATTCCTTGCACAGAAAGCTGTGAAGCATATGCCCTCCGGCGGACGAATCATCTTTGTCTCCACCTCAACTGCTCGGTTCTCGAGCGTCGCCCCCGCATACCTACTTTACACCTCTTCCAAGGGCGCAATCGAGCAGATGACTCGTATAATGGCCAAGGATTTGGCACGCAAGGGCATCTTGGTAAATGCAGTTGCACCCGGGCCAACGTCAACCGAACTCTTTCTTGAGGGGAAGCCAGAGCAGATGCTTAAGGCTATCGCTGGATTTAGTCCATTCAATCGGATTGGTGAGCCTGAGGAAATTGCTGCAGTTATGGCCTTCTTGTCGGGGAAGGACAGTAGTTGGATCTCAGGCCAGATTGTGGCTGTGAATGGAGCTATGGCATGATTTACTCGATAGGAATAAGAAGAAGTAATGATATCAGAGTTAAATGTGGCGCATCGTGTTATTCGTATTTAGATCTCGTATACAAGGCTTCCGACGGGCGTCCGGAAGGTTATCGATGTATCTGCACACTTGCGTTTTTGACCCCACAAGATCGTGAGATGCCAAGAGAGGAGAGATAACTGCTTGAATCGATATGTATATTCGTCCGGATGATATCAAGGCTGGCGGATGTTGTCTACTGTAATATTCGATTTATGTTTACACAATCCCGAGGCTTGATAATAAGTTTTCGAGGTCATTCGAAGCGACAGTTGGCTGTAAGTCCTCGATCTGTTTTCTCAGAGCATGACCGAATGGGCTGCGAATTGCCTCGTGTTCCTGGCTGAGTGGCGCGGGCTAGTATAATAATCACGAATAAGCGCCATCAATGGGATGCTTTTGTTTGGTGCAATTCCGACACTACACCCTCGTACATTCGTCCTATGGCGAGTCCGGAGACATACCTCGGATGAATAATGTAAAAAGATGGCGGAAGCTTCGACGGGATTATAAATCGAAGTGGGGTGAATCATGGTGACCTCGAGCCCCATCATATAAATCCTATTATACCCACCGAAACGAATTCATCTTGATCTTGCTTCGATCATACCCATCTCAATCACATTTATCGCCCAAAATGAGCCAACCGAACATCACCCTCTATACCACCCAGACTCCCAATGGGATCAAGATCTCAATTGCTCTGGAGGAGCTAGGGTACGAGATCAGTCTAGATATGCCGAGGCCATATAAACTGACAAGATGGTAGCCTGCCCTACAAGGTCGAGAAAATCGACATCTCTAAGAATACGCAAAAAGAAGAGTATGTGCTCCGTCTACGATGATCCCTGCAATCATCAGATCAGATCAAAGACCTACACGGGCCACATACTGACCGATTACTCAGCTGGTTCCTCGAGATCAACCCCAACGGTCGCATCCCCGCATTGACCGATACCTTCAGCGACGGCCAGACGATCCGACTGTTCGAGTCTGGCGGTATCCTTCAGTACTTGGCCGAGCGTTATGACACCGAGTACAAGATCTCTTATCCCAAGGGCACCCGCGAATACTACGAGACCAACAACTGGCTCTTCTTCCAGAATGCAGGCGTGGGTCCCATGCAGGGACAAGCTAATCACTTTGTGCGATACGCGCCCGAGCGCATCGAGTACGGTGTGAATCGCTACGTCAATGAGACCCGTCGTTTGTACGGCGTTCTTGATAAGCATCTCGCAAAGTCCAAGTCCGGATATCTGGTGGGCGACCACGTTACCATCGCTGATATCTCGCACTGGGGCTGGGTGGCTGCTGCAGGATGGGCTGGTATTGATATTGAGGAGTTCCCGCATGTCAAGGCCTGGGAGGAGCTTATGGCATCACGACCGGGCCTTGAGAAGGGCCGTCATGTCCCAAACCCGCACACTATTAAGGAGCTGATGAAGGATAAGGAGGCTGTGGAGAAGAGCGCTGCGCAGACTCGGGCGTGGGTCCAGGCCGGCATGAAGGATGATGCAAAGAACAAGATCTAAGTCGAGTTTGAGAGAAGAATACCTCAAATTGTGTATATAGCAGTCACTGCCTGAATTCAGTAAATAATAAAGCTTTTGATGCTGCCTTCGAAGCTGTAATGGTTGTTTGGCTAGACTCCAACCTTGGAAGCTCTCAAGGGTGGCGGCCACCATGTTCACCGCCTTTGAACCATCACGTGTATAAATCAATTGCCACTTTTCGCGGGACTCCTTAGCTTTCTTTCATCTCTAGCTTTCTTGTATCAACTAACCTGCCATCCTCTGACTTTCAAGCAGCAGCCATGGCGTGGCGCAACCAAGGAATCACAGGCTCCAACAACATTCCCCTGGGGCGCCGTCGCTTCGCGGGTGAGGAGGAAGATGAGAGTCGAACTGCTTCTCCTTCGTCTGTGCCTGATGGACCGAAGCGTGGCCGAAGCCCAGCTCGAGGTAAGCTCCCTTCTTCGAAACGACCTTTGTGCACCGAATCTAACCGCATTCTTTCAAAAACAGCCGAGCCCGCAGCCGATGGCGTCAAACGGCGCAAGAAGCGCAACCGCTGGGGCGACCAGCAGGAAAACAAGGCAGCTGGTCTGATGGGCTTGCCCACCATGATCATGGCCAACTTCACTAGCGAGCAGCTTGAGGCGTACACCCTGCATCTACGCATCGAGGAGATCAGCCAGAAGCTGCGGATCAACGATGTCGTCCCTGGTGACGGTGATCGGTATGTATAACCCTTATTCTATTCTTTTTTGTTGAATCCATCTGACACTCGCACAGGTCTCCCTCGCCACCGCCGCAGTATGACAACTTCGGTAGACGTGTTAACACTCGCGAGTACCGCTATCGCAAGCGCCTCGAGGATGAGCGTCACAAGCTGATCGAAAAGGCCATGAAAACCATCCCTAACTACCACCCGCCCTCTGACTACAGACGTCCGACCAAGACCCAAGAGAAGGTCTACGTCCCAGTGAATGACTATCCAGAGATTAACTTCAGTATGATAACTAACCCTCTAACTCCTAACGTTCCCCCTACTATGTCTGCCATGACTCTTTGCTCGACTCGAGCTGACGAGATCATTCCCTTGGACCTCGTCGGCCCGTTTCTTGCTAACACTCGGTGCTTGATGTTGCACATTGCTTGAAACACGCTTCACATACACGGGATTACTAACACTTAGCTCTTTGCTATCTTTTTAAAGTTGGCTTACTCATAGGACCTCGTGGAAACACCCTCAAGAAGATGGAGACCGAGTCTGGAGCCAAGATTGCCATTCGTGGCAAGGGCTCTGTCAAGGAGGGCAAGGGCCGATCTGATGCCGCTCACGCTAGCAACCAGGAAGAAGATCTCCACTGCCTTATCATGGCTGATACTGAGGAGAAGGTGAACAAAGCCAAGAAGCTTGTTCACAACGTCATTGAGACGGTAAGTTACACCCACGATCTTTCATTCTCTCCGTATATACATATGCTAATTGTCTTCTAGGCCGCATCCATCCCTGAGGGTCAGAACGAACTCAAGCGCAACCAACTTCGTGAGCTGGCTGCCCTCAACGGTACTCTTCGTGACGATGAGAACCAGGCTTGCCAAAACTGTGAGTATCTGCCCACCCGTCTTTTCTTTTTCATTATTTCTTACACTGCAACAGGTGGTCAAATTGGTCACCGCAAGTACGACTGCCCCGAGCAACGCAACTTCACCGCCAACATCATCTGTCGTGTTTGTGGCAATGCTGGTCACATGGCTCGTGATTGTCCCGATCGCCAGAGAGGCAGCGACTGGCGCAACGGTGGCAACGGTGGCGGCATTGGTGGTGCTCCACGCAATCCTCGTGCTATTGGCACTGGCGATGCCGTGGATCGAGAGATGGAGGTATGTTTCTCCCTTTTACTCAAAAGTACGGCTGAATCTGTGACTAACTTAACAAATAGCAACTCATGAACGAACTCTCTGGAGGCGCTCCCGGTGAGTACCCACCTCGTCGCATTGAAGCCGGTCCCGATCAAGGCGGCTACCCGGCGGAAGACCGCGATGCCAAGCCGTGGCAGCGTGGCCCGCCCGCAAGCGATGTTGCCCCCTGGCAGCAGCGACGTGAGCAGCGTCCTCGCGACGATTACAGCTCTCGCGATCAAGGTGGTCCTGCTCCTTGGGCTGCTCAGAACCGCGGTGGCAACGACTACGGCGGCTACGGGTCTCATGGCGGATATGCCGCTCCCGGTACCGCAACTGGTGCTGCCCCCTGGCAACAGCAAGCTCCTCCCGGCGGTGCTCCCCCTGCTGCTGCTCCTGCTGCCCCTGGATATGGATATGGAGCATACACCGGTTATGCCTATCCTCCCGGCATGGCAGCTCCTGGTATGGCCGCTCCCCCGCCACCCCCTGGTATGCCTTCTATGGGTGGTTATGGCGGTGCTGGCAGCCCTCCACCTCCCCCTCCTCCTGGTGATGGGCCTCCTCCTCCGCCTCCCAGCGACCAGCCCCCACCCCCGCCTCCCCCTGCGTGAGCAATTTTCCAACTCCGTTGATCCGTAAAATACAAAAACAGTCGGCGGAATGGTTTGCGATTTGCTTTGGGAGATACCGGGTCGAAAAGGTTGTATTCATCGTTTCTTTTCTTTCGGCTGGAAGTTTTTCAAATGAGTGAGATTTCTTGGTTTTAGGTTGATAATGCAATATCTGCTACACGTCTGTAGCGGAGTAATTTGAGGATATTTCAAAATCAAACTCCCTTGCAGTTTCCTTTTGTAACTATGTAGTAGACGCGCCGATAGGAAATTATTTGAAGTTACCCAATGAGCAGCAGTCAAGTCTATTGTCTGAGCAAAGAATTCAAACACAAAAACAGCTCGTGTAGCTTGTCCAAAGATAGTCTTCTGTCCCCATCCGTTGGCGAGTCATGTAACTGAATGTCAATGTACGATCCACACAGGAAGGTGGCGCATGATGATATTCAATTCTCAATAATGTACATGTATCAGAGATCAAATAAGAATCTCCTTCACGATATACATTATATGTGGCCCCACATGGGAGCTACGTGATGCCTCAGGCATCAAGTTTATAAACCAGTTTCTCACATTCTCCCCAACTTTTTCATCCCAGCAAATCCATTGTATGCATATGCGCCTTTTCTCCACACATATCGGACTCATTTTCAACTGTTCGGGTCGAGCTCTAGGCGTGTCGTTTTAAAAGACACGGCCTCAGTCCATACGGCAAATGCAGGCCCCGCCCGAGCAATTCTCCTTGCCTGTGGGCACGAACATGCATGCTTCTGCGTCAGTTACACAGCAGCGGAGACCCTCTGGGCAGTCCCGGCGACTATCATCCATCCGCTCTGGAAATTCTGGTCCTGCTATTTCTACCCGACACTCGGTCTCGTCCGTCAATGCACGCAATGCTGCGCGTGATGGCTCACAACAGCAGCAGGAGCAGCTTCGCCGCGCGTCACTTTCGGCGTCTACACAGTCGTCCCCGCCAAAGTGGTGGCGGATTCGTTTCTTCCGTGGCATGATGAATGATGTCAAGCGTAGGGCACCGTATTACTGGAGTGATTGGACTGATGCGTGGGACTATCGCATTGTGCCCGCTACGGTGTACATGTACTTTGCAAAGTATGTTTCGAGTTTTACTTGCCTGCAAATATTATTCTTTCTTTCTTCCAGACTCATGGCTATTGAACTCCCTATCAAATTGACAATAATACACGTGATATTTATCTTCCCAAGCTCACAATGGCTGCAGTATTCTTCCCGCTCTGGCTTTCTCGTTGGACATGTTTGAGAAGACGAATCAGAGCTTCGGTGTTAATGAGGTACTGCTCGCGTCTGTACTTGGAGCTGTCGTATTTTCTGTCTTTGCTGCTCAGCCATTGGTCATCGTCGGCGTCACTGGTGAGTTCCTGCACGTTTATTAAGTGAACGGTCGAAGCTGAGAAGGATTAGGTCCGATTACTGTCTTCAATTACACCGTCTACGATATCATCACACCAAGGGGCACACCGTACCTGGCTTTCATGTGCTGGATCGGAATGTAAGTGGAATCAATCTTCAATCCCGACTGTCTGAGTCTGACGTGTTGTGCAGTTGGTCATTGATCATGCACTGGGCCCTTGCCATCACAAATGCTTGCAACGGACTTACTTATGTCACACGCTTTTCATGCGATATCTTCGGGTTCTACGTCGCATTCATCTATCTTCAGAAGGGTATTCAGGTTCTCACTCGCCAATGGGGTACCGTTGGGGAGACTTCGGCATATCTAGCTATCATGGTGGCGCTTCTCGTCCTCATGGTAGCTTGGATTTGTGGAGAACTTGGCAACAGTAACCTCTTCAAGCGATGGATTCGAAAATTCTTGGAGGACTATGGTACCCCATTGACTATCATCTTCTTCACTGGCTTCGTGCACATCGGACACATGCGCGACGTGGATGTTTCCACCTTGCCGACAAGCAAGGCTTTCTTCCCCACGCTTGATCGGCCCTGGCTGGTGCGTTTCTGGGACATTGACGTTGGTGATATCTTTCTGGCTATTCCATTCGCTCTTCTTCTTACAATTCTGTTCTACTTTGATCACAATGGTAAGTCTCAAAGGTGTGCTGACCCTGTCTATTCCGCTATTAAATGGTCTTTAGTCTCGTCTCTCATCGCCCAAGGTACTGAGTTCCCTCTTCGGAAACCCGCTGGCTTCCATTGGGACATTTGGCTGCTCGGCCTCACCACCTTTGTTGCCGGAATTCTTGGTATCCCTTTCCCCAATGGGCTTATTCCCCAGGCCCCTTTCCACACTGCTGCTCTCTGCGTCACCCGCCAGGTAGCCGATGAAGACGATACGAACAAGGGGAAGGCCATCCGAGTCACCGACCACGTAGTCGAACAGCGCGTCAGCAATCTTGCTCAGGGACTCTTGACTCTGGGCACGATGACCGGTCCGCTTCTAATTGTTCTCCACCTGATTCCGCAGGGCGTCATGGCTGGCCTATTCTTCATCATGGGAGTCCAAGCTCTCCAAGGCAATGGCATCACCCAGAAACTGATTTTCCTCGCTCAAGACAAAGATTTCACTCCAGGATCAAACCCCTTGAAAAGAATCGAGCGTCGAGCAGCTATCTGGGCCTTTGTCATTGTCGAGCTAATTGGCTTCGGTGCAACTTTTGCCATCACCCAGACCATCGCTGCTATCGGTTTCCCTGTGATTATTCTCCTGCTTATCCCTGTACGATCGTTCCTGTTCCCAATGTGGTTCACCCGTGAGGAACTCAACATCCTGGATGCGCCTACTGCTAGCCCTTTTACTATGGAAAGCGTCGGTGGTACTCATGGCTTGGAAGAAGAGACTGCGGATTCGACGGCCACGGGGGCAGACATTCCCTCGGGTGGTGGCAATGGAGTTCTGAGAGGTCGATCTTCCTCTTCAGAGTCAGCAGTCGAGGAGGATGACCTAGAGAGAGGAGAGGCATACGAGCTTCAATCGACTGTTCATCGGCGCAGTAGTCACAGTCGAGTTGACTAAGGTGGTTGTGGAAGGGAACATAGTCCACCCATCCGAATTGATATGTCGGATTCAAAATGTTTATATTCAAACAAAAATTTCCAACAATCTTCCTCAAATGCCAATAAGCATGTCGAATTTGGAGATTTCTATGTGCTTTAAGGCCAATCAAAGCAACTCTATCCCCTCGATGATTGGCTTCTTGGCCATCATAATTATCGAGATCTTATTTGCAACGCCTAATCACCGTAGGGCGCCTAACCAAATGTATTTGATATAGACCAAACTAAGTGGAAATTCATTCCACTTAATACCACTCTTCGTCTTTCAACTCGCTGACCGAATCAATGTCATCTAGGCTTCCCACTGGCACAAAGACCAGACCGCGGAACTCGTCCACCTTAGCTTCGCGATAGATCACCGACCCACAACGACGACAAAAGCAGATGTGGCCGTGCCTATCATCTGGTAAGATAGCGCTAAAGGTGCTGGTGCTATCTGATAAGCCGGGGAAAAGAAAGTGCCACGTCGATGCACTCACCACCCCTCAGGGCCTCAGTTCCTCAGTTCCTCAAGAGAGTCAAACCTTCTCGGTGCTGTGCCACAATGTCCCTGTGCCACAGGCCGCTGAGCTGCCTGCCTGCCTGCTCAGTGCCGCCACTTGTGGCTTGAATCTCAGCTGGCATGTGGCTGGGTCAGCCCCCTCGACGTTCTGCCGAGAATTTGACCCTGACCGCCTCAGCAAGCGGTCACTCTACGCGCCAATCACTATCGAGAAAAGCGCCGCAATCACGAGATGACACGAGATAACAGTCATAACATGGGGGATCATAGTGGCGGTCACGGGTGGCTGCCAGTCATCGTGCGTGGGCCACCGCTTCTTTTGCTGGGGCCAGCGTGCGAACCGGTTGGAGTCGTGAAGACGAAAAAAAGGGTGGATTGCGGATTGCTGGTGGATCTGGTCAACTACAAAGAGTGGGACGGTCAAATTTTCGAGTCTGAGCGTGATATGATGGAGTCCAGCAGGAGTGCACTCGGATTGCAGCCTTCATGGTTGATTTGTTGTGAGGGAACTGGTTAGGTATAAGCTGAGGCCGTTCAAGTGTACAAAACATCTCTAATTGCAGGAATTCGGCCTCCAGCGAGGTATGAAACTAGGTCAGAGTCTTCGTGAAATAGTGTACATCAAAGGCTCGACAACGTCGACAAGATCTGATGAGAAAAAAGTAGTGCGATTCTCATCAATACTCAGAGAAGAGACAAATTCTTAAGTTTACCATCCTGCAGCGTAGCAATAGCATCTACCCCAGGTCTCATTGCACTGATAATCCCTTCAACGCGATGCGCAATCATCACAACGGTATGATCACAAAGATCGTGACGGAGTATATTTGCCAAGACGGACTCGGTCTGAGGATCCATAGAAGAGCTGGCTTCATCCAGTATCACAACGGGCTTGCGTGGCACCGCAGATCGAATCCTGAGCAACATGCGACCAAGGGCGAAGAGCTGTGCTTGTCCAGCTGAGAACGGCAGGAATCTGGACATGGGAAGATCCAAGAGCGTCTGGAGATCTGCGTTCCGAACCTTCTCTGATCTGGGCGAAGGATCGGTTCGAGAATCGATCTGATCCCAAATACCTACTCGCTGAAGGCTCCGCAGTATGTCTTCGTTCGAGCAAGTGTGGTAGGGATCAAGATTGAAACGCAGAGTTGCCGTCGGAATCATGAATCCATCTTGCGGTACAGCAATTATTCCCTGACTGCGGACAATTCTCGGATGTAAATGGCCGATGTCCACGTCGTCAATCTGTATGGTTCCTAATCTGGGTTGAAGCATCTGTAAAAGGGAGAACATCATTGTACTCTTGCCACTTTTTCCCGATCAAAATTCAGAAGTCAGCATTCCGCAAGTACCTATGTTTGTTTGGTTTCGGAACGGAGGTCTTTCTTACCTCCCTGTTCTACCGGCAACGATGATCTTCTGGCCAGGATTGACAGCGATAGAAAGATGGCTCAAGGCATCAGCCGAGCGATCTGAGTAGGCGACTGAAATATTATCGACCTTTAAACATCCGCGTGAAGGCCAGTGGAGGTCAGTTTTGGCAGGGATGCTCCCAACACTGTCTTCAATCGGAACGGCATCCTGAACACTTTTCAGTCGAGAAATTGTTCCGAGAGACGTTTCGAGGGATGTCCATGATTGGACAAGCTTGAGTAAGGTCGTGTTTGCGAGAATAATCAAATTCAATGCCAAACCCAAATCGGATCCACTAGTTGTATCACGTTGCAAAACGGTGACAACAATCAGGATGACTGCGAAAATTGCCATGATTGAATCCAAAGTCACTTTCAACCAGCACTGCAAGCATAGAAGCAGATAGGAAGGCTTTTGGGATATGTCCAGGAATTTGATATTTTCTTGCTCGAACTTGCTTTGCCAGCCGAATGCTCGTATTGTGACAATCCCGCTTGCCTAGGAAAAGGTAGGGTAAGAATGGGGTTTTGATCGCGCGGGTCATTCAGATAAACATACTGTATCCAGGAAATTACTAAAGACAAATGCTTTATTCTCAAACTCGAGGAAACGCAATTGCCGTGATGTCCGAAGGTAGACTCGCTGAATGAAATATACACATGCAGCACACACTGGTAGGGTGATGCTCATGACGAATCTCACTTTCAAGAGTAGGATGATTTGCATCGTCAATTTGAAGACCTCTGGAGTACCGAGTTAGCATCTTGATATGAGACACGAGTAATGAGGCCGAATTACGTGTGAAAAAGAAAGCCAGCGTCGAAGGAAGCTGCTTATCAACAACATTCATATCTTGTCCAAATCTGCAGAGCGAGAATCAGCATCTACAAATATTCCAGGAGGCATTCGTATTGTGAAAAAGACCTATTCAAAAGAATCCCGAGATCAGTTTCGGTGAAGTAGCGCAAAGGTGCCCTGTAAATTGGTCATTAGATTCGGTGAGCAGGTTGTCAGCCACGTCAAGGGAGTCAACAAACTTCAGAACTCTGTCTAGTAGATTTGCATGAAGAATCGCGCCTGAGTCAATGGCAACTTTGATTTGAGCCGACCTAGAGATGAAATGTTGAGATTTGACCAGAAGGCTTCGGTGCGATGATTCTTACCAGACAGTCCCACTCGTCGCCACCCAGGCAATCAAAGAAACTGAAGCATAGAGAGACATGTAGAACACCAAAGACTCGGAGGGACTTTCCGTTGCCCATTTAAGCGCATTCTGCGCGAACGTAGATCCATATGAAAAGCCCGCAGTGCATGCAATGAGAAGTAAGGTACTTCTCAGACCAACGGCTTTCATGTAGTACCCTGGCCAACTATTAATTCCTCGTCGTAAATTGTAGAGGCTCGAAATCATACCATAGGTGGTCAAGCCGCCATCCTTTCGTGAGAGTTCATCCACAGCATCGTTCATTCGGGACGCCTTTGTCTTTCTGGGATCATCGAAAGAATTTATTTCGAAGGCAGTCCTTGGAAGAATGGCGGGCCCTGCGGCAAAATCAGAAGTGTCGGTTTGTTCTCGTAGCCCCGACCAGGTATGCGGCTTGAGTTTTGAGTCCTGCAATATGAAAAATCTATCGGCGAAACGCCAAACATTTTCTGCAACCATTAAGTTAGGGGAGGTGTTGACTGCTCAGGGCTATTTTGGAGACCAACCTGAATTGCTGACAAGGAACACAGTGGCGCCAAGCCTTCGAAGAAGACCTTGTGAGCCAAGCAGACTTTGGGTGATGTGTTTCGTGACTTTGTAATCCAGTGCACTGAATGGGTCATCAAGCACGAATATTGGATACTTGGAGAACACAGCTCGTGCTAATGCCTGGATATTTGACAGTCAGTATCGCAAATAGAGATGAAGACATTCGAATGTGTGGTCAGTCCGTACTATGCGTTGTTTCTGCCCTCCGGACAGATTCATTCCATTGTTGTCAATGACTGTCAGATCGCCGTCAACAAAGGTAGCGAAGTCGGGAAGGAGCCCACATGCTTCGATGACTGTAGTGTACCACTCTTTGTCTTGAAATTCTCGCTGGCCAATGATGGCTTCACGGATGGTTGCCCGAGATAGCCAAGGATCTTGGGCACAGTAGGCAACTTCTTGTGAGCACACGCTAATCGAACCGGTGACAGGCGCGATTCCACCGAGAACGGCGGTTGCTAGAGTTGACTTGCCACTTCCAACAGCACCGGCACAGATGACAATCTCGCCACGGACGAGGTGCAAAGAGACATCACGGAGAACGGAATCACGAGCCGAGGGGAAATTGATTGATACGCCTTCAATGGAGGCTGCCTCATTTGCTTTCCTGAATTGAGAAATGTGTCGGGGGTCCCTAGCAGATGGTTGCTTGAGAAAATTCTGCAATCGGTCAAAGTTCGCCATGATGGACACTGCCTCTGGAACTAAGGTCATGACCATATTGGCCGGGTGTGTCACCATGGCTAGCAAAGCCAAGGAGGTGAACATCTGATCAGCCTCCAACTTTTCATTTTTCGATGAAAATGTAAAGAGGAGTACTGTCAGGACCGGCGCTAAGATTCCAAGTGCATTTGCTAGAGAAGATATTAGGCCTGAGACAATGACAGCCTTGGGAATTTGTCATCGGCGGTAAGTTGACACATACCACTTGCATTAGAAGCTACCATTATCCATCTGACCGACTTTGACGTTTCAGTTTCTTGACTTCGTAAGTGCAAAATATGAGACTGGAGGGCACGTTCCATGCCCATCATCTTCAAGCTCTTGATACCTTCCAAAGCCGAGGTCGTTGATGCAAGGCGGGCTTGGGTTGCATTGTTCCATGCTTTTTGTCGGCTACTCATATTCTTGGCAACATAGGCGCTCATTCGTGAACATGCTTGGATATGGTGTCAATCTCAATTCAATCAGCATTTGGCTTGACCCCGGGGGAATACAAACCAAAGATGAGAAGAGATGGTAGAAGCGCAAACCACCGAATGCAAGAGGCGAGCAACGCGGTCCCGATGAGAACCTCCATGAGACGGGCCCAGATTTCATGACATGTTTCACCTGATGATTCCACATTTTCAATGTCGGACACGACCAAAGCCAGAGCAGACGAATCACGAGATGCTTGAAGAGGCAATCGAAGCGATTGATGATGAACCAGTCCAACTAGCGCTCCCCGAATCATCACACGCAGTTTATTGATTCGGGTTTGATAGATTGCCGCCGATGCCTGTCAAATATCAAGTTATTCTCCTATAGACAACTGGCATAATGAGTCTTGAATTTACTTACCGCCATGCCTGCATAGACAATAATAGCAAAAAGCACAAGCTTCACTCCATTGATGTCTCCCAGAATAGTTTGAGACTTGCCGTTGACATATCTAATCGCGACTCCAATAAAAATTGGTTGTAGGTATGTGAACATGATCAGAAACAGACGTGGAAGAATAGGAGCCAAGAATGGACCCTTCAGACACTTTACCAGTGCGTACAACAGCCTCCAACGAGTATATATGTGAGCTAAAAGCAATTTTAGCGCTACTATACGATCTCCAAACGGAAAAGGAGAGAGAAAACAAGATAGTCACTCAGTAACTTACACGTCGCATGCCAATTTTCTGCAGCCTTTTGGCGCAGCGTTCCTGATGAAAATTGGTCATCAAGTCGGGGCAAATCTTGAAGCTTCAAGGCGGCGCTATATCCCTCTCTCAGAACCGGAAGGATCCAATAAAGGAAGGCTTGGCCCAAGAGCCCAGCTGCCTCTTCCGCGGTAGATGACGATTCCACGTCATGATAGGAGTAAATCTTTCTACCTAGAAATATCTGAACAAGCCAAATGGCCTCGAGGAGAGCCCGGGATTTGAGGAGGTAATCCGCTTCGATCTCTAAGCTGTTTCGATCAGACTGCTCAAGCAAGATGCCGCGAAACAATGAGCATGCCAAATAACCTGCAATGAGATCGAGGGACCCGAGAGACTTTTCTTTTTCAGAAAGCCAAAGGAAAACTGCTGCTGCTGCCGCGCAAAGTGTTACAGCTGAGTCCAAGATAACGCTGATATCCAATTTAGCCTGGCATCGCACAATGTACTGGTAGAAATAGATTGCGTGGACTCCTAAGAGCATACAAGGCAAGACCTAGAGAGTGGGATGGAAGATTTTGTTGGTGACCTGGCAAGAAACAAAAGTGACAGTCCATTGGACAGGAAACCAACCCATTTTTTCCGATGCCTGAATGCTGTGGTCTTCGTCCCTGGCCACGATCCTCGTTGATAAAGTCGTCGGAATAGAAGAAACAGCAAGATCAGAGACAGTGTCACCGAGCCAAGTTGACCTGGCGGAAGTCTCAGCAGAGCCATGGTGATGTTCGTGTGATGAGGCTATTCATTCGAAAGGACACAAAGCAGATCGATCTGATCAATCCCAATCCCAGAGTGCAGAAGATTTGATTGAAGGAAAAGTACGGAGCTATACGAATAGGTATCGCAGAGTATCCCAGAAACTTGGAATGACTGGAGGTCCAGGAAGACAGACCCACGGGGTGGTTTGAGTGCTAGGTCAGGTACCTCTCACTGGGTAGATCTGCCGTCTAACGGTGAATTTGCCAGTGCGAGTACGTCTCAAGGTTGGTTGAGATTCGATTGGAGCCCACCTGCAAAGTCAGCATGCATAAGTGCGGGGGCTAATAAGGTAGTAGATCGGGCTAGATATCCTGTGCAGGTATGGCAAATGGTAAGTAGATGATAACGCAAGAATCAAACAAGCCTCTCACGTACGCGAGTAGTGGGGTCAAGGTGAACTTGGTCAAAGATGATGCCAACTTCCATCAATGGAAAATCGTTCCACATCCCATGCCGGGTGAGTTACTCACTGGTCAATCAGAGCCACTTGAGGCTTGTCATAGTGGTAGTCTTCTTTATCGGCCATAGACAGAGGTGGCATTCACCCCCTGTCCTGCTGTCCTGCGGCCTCCCTTGGGGGGCAGGGGGGCCGGTGGACACACAGCACGTTGAGTTAGCGTCTTCTTATCTCATCAGCTGTACATGAGGCTCCTCTCGGTTTTTTCCTTGTCTGCCGGTCGTTAGAGAGCGTTTGAATGGGAGTTCTGTGGCGCTCCGTCATTGAGCAGCTTCGGGCTCTCTCTCCTAGTAAAGTCCCGCTGGGGATTTGAGGAAGGTGGTTCGAGATTTGTTCCCCTTGTCTCGGTTGGCGACAGTGCTCTCATTGGTCCTGGTCATGTTCCTACCTCGTCCGCGATCTCCCTGTCTCGACCGCGGCCCGTGGCGGCGTCCGTCCCCACAACTTTAGTGATCGGTGCTTGACAAAAGCAAGTACAGTGGAAGAGTGCTCGTGTAGAGACTGGGTCGGCTGCTATCCACCTGCAGTCAGAAAATGAAGTGTGCCAGATGTATCGTGGTCTTCTCTTACTGTAGTGGTCTTGGCAGCTGTACACCCTGCACATATGAAAAAGTAGGTTAGGGGCGCCTGGCCCCCAAAAGCCGCTCCGGACTCCGGTAGCTTTCGTCCCATTTTGACACGACAGGGCTGCTTGGAACCCAATGTGGAGACTTTCGCGATTCAATTGGACATAGCTTGTCAGGGCCAGACAGTCACAAGTTACAACTTAGTTATAAGTTATAGAATATTACTCCATTAGTCAATGGGACGCTCTTACCCGCACTGAGTTTACAAAATAAAACCTCTGTATCAAGTCAATACATGTCGAACTACGATCCAACCAGATAAATTGTACCTTTTTGAAAAGATATTATTATATGTCTTCTGAATCATCTTCTTTTATGGCGCAGGGCTTGTCTCGTCTACAAGAACTTAAGCGGGGATCAACATCTTCAACTGACTGGGTAGCATAAAACTGTAGACGGGCTGCAAGTATCTCGGCCAGTCGAAAACAGACGTTGTCAACCAGAGACTAATAGTTTACAAATAATCCAAAATTTTAAAAAAGACTGTCGATCCACTTTCTACATAATCTTTGACGTGCCGACGCGATCATCACGTGGCGCGCGGAATACGCGTCGCGAATCGCGATCCCGTAAGGAGTGCATAGTACTCCGTATACTCTCCAGCCTCCCCCGCCTCATACAAGAAGTCGCGACAGACCAAAAGCGCGACCTTGAAAATAACCCTAATCTCCTCTGGGCCTTCCAAAGTGGAACTTCTTCCTAGTCACCCCAGATCTCAATCTAGATCTAAAGACTCCCTAAAAAGAACTACCAATGTCGCCGAACCCAGCAAAACCATAAACACATTTCTACATCGGAAACCGCGGAACCACACATCTCTCTCCACTCTCAACCTCCAACCTCCAACTCCAAATCCACCGTCACATCTCACTATGTTCGCAACACAATCCATCCCCTCATCCCCCTCCACACCCTTCCGCCAAACGAGCCACTACATCCCAGCCCGTCCATCCCCGCTCGGCCCACGAAGCTCAAACATCGCCACACCCCCATGGACAATGACCTCTCCTAGTCGCGCCGGCCACCCGCAAAAGCCAGTCGACCCTGATGAGAACAGCCAATTCTCGCCAATCTCGTTTCCCAATTTCACCGTCCAGACCGAACAACCACAACGACATCATAATTTGGTCTCAGAGACACATCCTCAATCTCAATCGCCGAGTTTCGTCAATATCGCCTCCTCGCCTGCGCCTTTCACCTTCAATACTAGTACTACATTTACATCAACCTCGCAACACCACCAGCAACAGCAACAGCAAAACATATTCACCCCAACATCCCCCACCCCCACCTCCCCAACCCCTTCAGCAACACGTCCCCGCTACGCAGAGCGGTACGCGACACAAATCGTGAACCCCATGCGCAGCACGACATCTCTCGCGCGCTCCAAAACCCGCAAGATGTTTCTGAACCGGGTCAAGAATGAGCGTGATGCCGGTCGGTTCGAAGCGCGCGGGGAACAGATGATGATGGCGGAGTATTTAGCGGATAGGAGGCGGTGGGAGGAGAGTATGGCGCGGGATGTGGATGGGGTGTTAAGGGGGGTTGAGGGGGATATTGAGGATGAAGGGATGCTTCCTGGTAAGTTTCTGCGCTAGTCGCATTTCGTGTGTTGGAAAAGGTGTTTGCTAACTTGTTTTTTGGTGTAGATGAAGCTGAGCTAAGGGCCTTGGACGAGTTTGTCTCGCAGGAGGAGGCGTTTGAGATGGCGCTGCAGGAGCAGGAGATGTTGTCGAATAATAGGCATGCTGAGCCGGATGCGCCGTTTAGTGATGCTGAGTATGATGATATTTTTATGCATTTGTCGGAGCCTGCGCAGGATATGGATATGTCCTGAGTTGGATTGATTGTGTTTATGTTTGTCTGTGGATCTAGTTTGATCTGATCTGGTTGATTCTTGTCTGTCTTAGCGTGGGTAGGTTTGCATATGGCGGCGTTACAGGTATGGGTTTCTTTTCAAATGAAGAATCTGTCCAGATTCAAAGCGTGGATATCTCGGGGGTAAAAAAGGGTATCGACGTGGTTGTATATATGTACAAGTACAAAGCAAGCCGATGAGCACTAACATGAATGTGTATCTTTCTGTACTGAGGAATCAAGTCTTCTTGTTCCCATCTCTTTCTCGTTATGTATTCTTGTAGCCGAGCAGAACTTATGCTCTTATTGCTGCGGGCAATCTGGAACTCCACCTGGTGCACCACCTCCAGGCACACCTCCCAGCTCTCCCATCAGCGGATTCGAAATCAGCTCCTCGGGTGGGCTGCCTGCGGCTTGCATCTGTATCAAAAATCATCAGCATATTGCAACGAAAGCAACAAGGTATAATCAAAGACCCACTTCTTGCATCCGCTCCCACACATATTCCCGGCACTTGGAATCCTCATCCGTGTACCCCGGCTCCTCAAACTTGAGCACAATCTGCTTCACAACCCGCGCCTGCGTCTCATACCGCTCCATATCCTCCACCGGCACAGTTCCCTCGGCCTTACTCTTCTCAATCCAAGGTCCAAACTTGCCATCCAACTCCTTCATCGGTTCATAAAGCATCTCCTTATTCGACAACTGCTCCATCATCCCCATAAACATCTTCGTCAGATCCCCATCCTCACCGGCTCCACTGGCACCCGCCTCCACAGCCTTGAGCAGCTGCGCAATCAAATCATCGTCTAACCCGTCACCCGTCGTCGCGGCCTCAGTCGCACGATCCCCAGACTGCTTCATCCGCTCGATAGTGCGCTGGATGGCATCATTGAAGTTCTCGGGCTGTTCCGCGTCCGCAGCACCAGCACCAGCTGCCGGTGCCGGTGCCGGTGCCGATGCCGAGGTCGAAGCCGAGGCTGATGGAGTCTTTGCAAGACTCTCTGCGCCGGTGCTAGCACCCCCCTCCTCGGCCATCACGTCTGCGAGCAGCTGTTTCAGGAAATCACCCGGCGGAATTCCGCTCTCTTCGAGCTGTTTCGCGAATGCGTCTGCGCCTTGGTCAACGGCTGAGTGGAAGTCCTGGGCGTCAGTTGCGCCAGGGCCTGTGGCGCCGGGGTTCGCCATCATGCTGGCCATGTCTTTCTCCAGTTGTTTGAGGAAAGCATCTTCGTCGAAATCGGGCGGGGCGATGCCGGTGGCGGGGTCGGGTTGTGTAGTTGCTGGCGCGGGGACGGGTGCTGGCGCTGGTTTGGGTTTGGAGAAGTCATCTAGGACGTCTGTAGTTGGAGAGAGTTAGTGTTAGTCACTTCGCGAAGTAGAAGACTGCATGGTGTAGTGTGGTATGCGATGGCGGGGTTGATATGATAGTGCTTACCATCCAATTCGTCAAAGTCCGAGTCCTCATCGTCCTCGACTCCGACTTGTGGATTTACGACTTGCGGCTTTTGTGTAGACTCTTCCGATCCAGGCACGGCATTCTCGGCGACGGGCTTGTCATCGACAGTCGTCGTCGTGGCCGGAGCAACAGCGGCGGCGACGGTTTCTTCGCGGGGATGGTTGCCCGAGCCGGAGGCAGGGTTCGCCATAGTGAGAGAATTCTATCGCGGTCGGGAAAAAAGAAAGCGAAGCCGAGTGAAAGCTTGTCGTACACGAGAAAATCCGCTCAGGCAGCTAGGTCCAATGACCGAGTCAGAAAAGAAGTTTGCAGTCGGACTGGTGAGAGACCCGGTCCCGGCATGTGATGAGATGGGAATTTGGCGGGGAACCGACCGCCGATCGCCGAGGGACAACGCCGGCGGGTCGGCAAGTCCATTGGGTGAAGCATAATGAGATGGTATTGTTATGTAGACGGGGAGTGTGTATGGCATGGAGCTGGGATTGGGATTTGTGTCTTCTGTAGTGAAATCCCCTGTGAGACTCCGGAGGGAATCACTCATGTCATGTGTGGTCCAGCCCCGGAGAGTCACCGTTAGAGTGTACAGTGTATAGTTTAATTTCTACAGGGGAGCTACCTCCAAGCAAGAAGAGGGGTTCTGGCATCGGGGGGCATCAGCTAACCATTGATCAAATACTACGACACGCATTAGTAGTATGGATTTGAAGACTCAACATCCTACATAGTAAGCATAACCCTCAGCTCGCTACTAAACTTCATGCCTAAGGCAGGTCTCATCTCATTCGATGCGACATCCGAGTCTGCATGTCCCAGCATCAGCAAGCACCCCGCACCGGAAGTTGGGGGAAGAAAGTCTGCATTGCATCATCCCAGCAGGAATCTGGGGGGGACTGGATCTGGGTACTGCAGCGAGAAAAAACGAGCCATCGAGTGGGCTGGTCCAATCAAACCCCCTTCTGATCATCAAACAGCATGTCAGGGTAGTCTTATTATTCTTCACTAGGGGGTTCCTTTAGCAGGCCCGTGTTGCGGTTTCTGTCCTCGTGATGGAGAGGGGATTAGGTCATGTGGCTCCGGGCAAAGAAAAAACCTTCCTTGCTGGGACTGTCCCAAGCTGGAGGAGGTACATGAAATCCCTCACATATACGAAGTCATATGTTGTGGTGATATGATATTTTTCCGGGTATGAGATGCATGTCTATGCTAATAAGAGCAAGAGATTGGATATGTAGCTATAGGGAAAGGGATATTCAAAGCGAGAGGGCAGACGCAAACAAGTAGTACATTTTACTTTATTCTGGATAGAGTACAGAGTACTTGGTACGATGGTTTGGCGCACTGGCATGTACCCCTGAAACCCCACGGTGAGCTGAGTCTGGACTAGGCGGCGGAAGACGCCGATGGGACTCATGAGAGAGGGTGGAGAGGGTTAAGGTACAGTAGTAGATTGCACACACATGGTAGTACTACTAGTCTACTATAGTATGTACTTTCGTACTGAGCAAGGACTGAGCAAGGACTGAGCAAGCGGTTAGCAGTGGCAAGCAGTGGCCTCTGGCTAATAGAGTGCCTCCAGTCCTGTCCGTGGTCAGTGGTATGAGGGCTGGGGGCTGACCCCCGGTTCGCCCCGGTATCGGCTATTCGGCCTTCTGGCCTAGTTGAGTCTTGGCTCTCTGAAGTTTCTGCGCGCTCTAGTCTCTGGTACCTTCGCCGCGTGTTCTCTATAGTTCGAGCTTTTCATGTCTGCATAGGTTCATCGATTTTGATACTCCTATGTTGATCAAACCCATAGTAAAAACCCGTCCTAATTGCTAGCTACTTCGATCCTTTTGTGTACTCCTATATAGACATTGCCACACTGTATTTGTACCCAGGGCATGCGTCCTCTCAAGCCTTCTCCGCGGAAGGCTTTCCTGGGTGTTGTTTGATTTTTTCCTCCCTCTCTTTCTCCACGGCCAGATCGCCCGTACGACACGAGGGGGACTTTGCGACTTGGCCACCAACCATTCTGCCTTGAGTGGACCCGTGCCGTCACCGAGAGGAGAGGCGGCCATTTATGGAGGTGGAGTCACCAACAGGGCAAAAAAACGAAAGGAAAAGGAAAAAGAGAGGAGGAAAAAAAGAAAAAAAGTCAAAAAGAACCAGGGCAAAAAAAGAGAAGAGGGAAAAAAAAATGAAAAATCTCTTTCGTTTCGTCTGACCCCAAGCCAGTCAATAGTCAGTTAGTTGAACCCAAGTGAATCCACCCCAAAAAACCCGCCAAACCCGCTCCAAAAGGGCCCCAAGGGCAACAATATTATTATTATTCGTTTAGTCAATCGCTTTACCTCACATTAATTCTTCTTCCCTCCCACCCCCCGCCTTCCTTCCCACCCCGTTTACGTTTTATCTCAAATTCTCTGACTCTTCCTTTCTCATAATCATCAATTTCTTTTATGTCACTCTCTTGCCTCCCTTCCGCTCGCACGTCCCTTCTAACCGCTTAGCCGCGCGTCTCTAGCGTCTGTTCTCTGCTCGTCTTTTCCCCCTCTCTCTTTTCGCGCGGTTCCAAAGCCCGTGGCTCGGCGGGGGGAAAACTGGCTGGTCGGAGGGTTGTTACTCTCGATAGCAAAAGACCAAAAAAAGATCAACCCCTTACTAGGGTGTGTACATCGGTCGTGTCTTTTGCCAATCAGCCATCGTTGAGAGAGTGAGAGAGTGAAGGGTCGAGGGATTTTACGGTGGTCGCGTCTAGGGGAGGCTTGATAAGTAAAAAAAAAAGACTATCTGTTGATAACGAGATCGCGCCTGTTGGGCTCCCAATGGTCTCTATGGTCGAGACCGCCTCCCATCACGACCACAATGACACCGTCATGGACCCGGTCGTCCCCAAGTCAGAGCCTTTGCCTGATGGTTCCATCAGCTCGACGGTGTCCACGCCAGATGCTGAGGCCGAACCCTTAACACAAGATACCACCCAAACACAGAAGCGAAAAGGTGGTCGAAAACCTGTACGTTACCGCCTCTTACTGCCCTCCCCTTACCAACTTTGTTTTTTTTTTTTTCCTTTTTCGGGGGCTTGATGCGTGCTGCATCAAAGATGCAATAACCCGGGGCCCCGCATTCCTCTCTCCCTTTCCCTATCGCTTTGACATGCTTCCCCTGCGATATGCCTCTGTCATCGCTCTCTGCTATATTGCTGTCGCCATGTACCGTTACCCTTGGTGGTTCTTGTTTGGCTCATATCATCCTAGATTTATGCTACCTCAGAGGAACGGAAGCAGCGTAACCGACAGGCCCAGGCTGCCTTCCGTGAACGTCGTACGGAGTATATTCGTCAGCTAGAGACTACCATCAAGCGCAATGAGGAGTCTCTGCAGAGTCTGCAACAAAGCCATCGCAGCGCGGCAGATGAGTGTCTGATGCTACGATATAAGAACTCGTTGCTCGAGCGGATCTTGCTTGAGAAAGGTTCGTCTAACCTCCTCATCTTTTATCATCTCTCTCTTCTTATACTAACTTCCACAGGCATTGATGTCCAAGCTGAGCTACGGCTAAAGACTGGGGCTCCAGGGTCATCGGCCAAGCCCAACCCAGTGCCCGCCAAATCGGGCAATATGCCTCGTCCCTCCCAAAGACATCCAGCAGGCATAGCCTCCAAGCCGGATGCTTTCGCCATCTCCCAGCGTGAAGGTGCCTACGGTGTTCCATCGCCCCAGTTCCAAGCCACTCCGACTTCCCATGTATCCTCGCCATCACACGCCAAATCGCCAGGCTATGGCTTCCAGGGTGGGATGTCGCCTGTTGAGGTCAACGCCCAGGGAAATGGACGTCCTCAATTGCTACCCCAACCGCGGACGTTCACCAGCCAAACCTCACCAGGTGCAATCAGTATGCCCCAAACCGATCCCGCAGAGAAGGCTCGTGGGCCTCGTGGTGCGCGAGTAGCGGCAGCTTATTACCCATCTCCCTTCCAGAAGCATTATGACCAACTCGGTGAGTCATTCCTTTTCCCTTTTCTTTACAGCCGAATGAATATTCACTGACCACGGCCAGAACAAGAGTACGACGCACAAGCCGATCTTGTTGACGATGACCACGACGGCTCCGTCAACGCCTCATACGTCCCAGGCTTCACGCCACAGTCAGTGGCCTCGGGCTCTCACATGACGGGCTACAATCCATCCCAAGATGGAGCGCCCGGAGATTACGGCAATGCCAATCAACTCATGGCTCAATATGAGCCTATGTTGGACGCAGATCCGTTCGGGCTAAGTGCCAGTATGCACTTCCCGACGCCGTTTAACTACGAACAGAACAATCCTCGCTCTTGAAAGAGCAGAAAAAGAACAGCGAAAACCCAAAAAGTACCTTTTTTCTTGCCGCGGCCAGCATTGCGAGTTTTATCTTGTCCGAACTTTTTGAATTCGTCTCTTTACTTGGAAAAAAAAGTCCTTTTGAGCATTGCCCGGCGTTGTTGGAATGATTCGATACCAGGGAATACAACGGCAGTTCAGACTTTTTGTCTGGATGAATTGACTGGAATGCAAATGCAGCATCATCCATGTTCAGAAACCCGTTTGGGGAAGACTAGTCCGTATATAGTTGATGGGTTCATTAGTTGAGCTTCCACGGGGACGATGACGACAGTGTACACATATTTACGACTCGTCAGGTAGAATATCAAAACTACCTACCTACAACAGGAAATGACCTCCGTAAGCTAACTTTCAATTGCAATACATATTACATATACAATAATTCCAATCAATTTTTTTTTAAAACATGATGCGAATCAAATGTATGATGCCGAAAGCTCCGCCAGTGACGCCATGATACCCTAAGCCCTAGCCTGATTCGCTTAGTAAATGGCGCCTAACCGGATTCGGGCTGCACCACAAACCTCCCCTTCTTCCCTCGATCACTCGGTACTCGGTACGATCACCCGCTTCATCATCATCTCTTCACATTCAAAAGGCCGGATCTGCTGAGGTTCTGCCTTGTGTGCCCTCTTTCTCCCCCTTTTTTACACAAGTCGAGCGCCTTCCTGCCCGGAAGGACTCACGCAACACCAGGCGTCATGGTGGACGTCCGGTCCAAGGTACGCTGAGAACCGATGAAACAGCTCTCGCCTGTGCCCGCGAGGGGCTTCCTGGAAGCTCACGGGTCGACTTGAGCTGGCGGAGGCTGTGGCTAACGTGTGATTGTGCTTTTCTTTTCGATTTATAGAACCTTTATGAGCTTCTTGGTAAATATGCCCTTTTTTCCCTTTCTTTTCTTTTGTTCGTGGGGAAATGGGTGCTTCTGGAGCTCAGCTTCGGGTTTCGTCGGAAGCACACATTTCCCTCGCGATCAACCTCCGTTGAAGGTTTTCCATCTCAATTGAATCAGATCTCTAATTCCTTTAATCTACAGGCAATGACCCCGAGCTCGACCCCAACAGACCCCCTGCGCCTCCCGCCAAGGCTGTCGACCGTCCCGCTCCCCGCGTTGGCAAGCGTGATGCTCCCAAGGAGGCTCCCTCCACCCAGCCCCGTGAGGGTGCTCCCCGCCGCGGTGGCCGTGTGACCGGCGGCAACGATGCCGGTACGTGGATTGATGGATGAATTGATGGGGAATCATCAATTGGAGATGGGATGATGGAAATTATGGGAGCCGGAGCTGGAACTGACAACTCGGTATAGCTTTCCGTGACCGCACCGCCGGCCGCACCAACAACCGTCAGAAGCCCACCGATGAGGCCGAGCAGCCCTCCCGTCCCCGTGGCGGCAACCGTGGCCGTGGCGACCGCCAGTCCCGCACTGGCCAGACGTAAGCGATTCCCCGTTCCCGGTGGTGACAGCACGAAGCAATATCGATTGGGAAAAGCGCAGGCACAACGAATGCCTTTCATCCTGCCGAAGCCGGCTCTACATGCGCTACATTCAATTGAGACTAACTGATCATCTATCTTTCCAGTGACACTCGCAAGCAGGTCCAGCAGGGCTGGGGCGGCGAGTCCGGTGAGAAGGCCTGGGACGACGAGAAGGTCGGTGAGACCATCGCCAAGGCCGACGAGACCGCCGAGCCCCAGACTCCCGCTGAGGAGGCTGAGGAGGCCGACAAGTCCAAGTCCTACAGCGACTACCTGGCTGAGAAGGCTGCTAAGGACAGCCTCGCTGCCAAGCCCGTCCGTGCCGCCAACGAAGGCACCAAGGAGGACAAGAAGTGGGCTGCCGCCAAGGAGCTGAAGCACGAGGAGGCCGAGACCTACATCCAGGGTGCCTCCGAGAAGACTAAGCGTGAGAAGCAGCGCAAGGAGAAGAACTTCCTTGATGTCGACTTGCGCTTCGTCGAGCAGCCCCGCCCTGCTCCCACCGGTGCCCGTGGCGGCCGTGGTGGCCGTGGTGGTGACCGCGCTCCCCGTGGTGACCGTCCCGCTCGTGGTGGTGACCGTGGTGACCGTGCTCCTCGCGGTGCTCCCCGTGGTGACCGTGCCCCCGCTGCTGCTCCCCGTGGTGACCGTGCTCCCGCTGCTGCTCCCCGTGGTGGCCGTGGTGGTGCCCGCGCCCCCCGCCGCCGGCCCTACCGTCGACGAGAAGAACTTCCCCAGCCTGGGCGGCAACTAAAAAAAGGGAACCCACAAGCCTTGCGGCCCAAGTGCTGTTTTGTGAGAGGCGTGTTCTCGGTTTAAACTAAACTGGGAGTCACTCCTCGTTCTTCTCGCGCAGACTGCCTTTCCCCTGCTTTGTGTTTCCTTCTTGTTTTCCCACCTCGTTCTCTCTCTCTATCTCTCTGGCCCGTTTTCTCTCTCTCTCTTCCCCTCTCTCTATCTCTCTCTCCTTCTCTCCGGAATGTAACTTCCGCATTACATCACCGGCAAGAGTAGTTATTCTATGTCTTGTTCTAGTCGTCCATGGGGGAAAATGTCCAAACTCGGGCAATGGCAATAAATGGTTGTGATGAATTGATTCGATGGAAAAAAAATCCTTTGTTTCCTTTGCTCGGGTTTTCCCTCCCTTTTCTATTTTATTCCGATCACGACTATGACTGGGCTTTTCTGTGGGATGATGGATGGATTAGAGAGTTGGAACGGTGTGTGGGAAAGAAGAAGGGCATGGAGGATTTATTTCGTGTTTCCGGGAATTGTGCTCAAAAATAAAAATTATTTAGTCACCTCCCCTGAGGGTCTTTCCTTGTTTGTCTTGGGGTTTTGTTTGGATTTTCCTTCCTGAGGAGAGGAATGGGATTTAGGTAGAATCCCCGGGGGATGGATGGATTTTGCGTGTCTTAGGTTGTGTGCTCTTGACATTTTTCTTGTGGAAGGTGTGCAAACGTGAATTGGATGAACTTGAAATTTCAATGGCTCTCTATATGTAATTTGAATCTGATACTGAGAGGTTCTAACGAGGATCTACGTAAGGAATGCAGCTAAATCGTTCCATCTGATTTGGGCTGGTCTGGGTTTGTGGTGTTGAAGTATCTCGGAGTAGCTCGGGAGATTATGACGACATATCAGTGATAGTCAAATTTCAAAGAGAGACCCTACTCTGCTTTGGAGTCAATGTGACAATATGTACTCATACTGTAGCTACTATTATGCACATACTCGCCGCATATCCTTGGACTCGTTCATATAGTACTAGCATAGCGGAGATATCTCGGTAGCATCGACAGATCTTAAACAATGTATCTCACCTCCCAGTTCACTCACTACCTTCAAAGGTTTCAAGAAAAAGGTCAACCTAGCAGCTCAGCCATATAGATCTCAATGTTCTTGAATGTATAGAAGATCAAGCTGAGAGGCACAAAGCCGCTATGTACGGAGTTCTATATCAGATATAGAGGCTGAGCAAGTAGACCTTCCGCAAACAGGTCAAGAGCCTCCGGGGGGAATATAAGCTCAATCCAAGGGCATCGAATATTCGCAAATGACCACCATAAGCCAAGCCAAAGCCTTCTCTACAACTCATCATCCCCATGATGCAACCTCCAAGGCCTCTTCTCAAACTCCTTAACCGCACCCTCCGCAACCTCCTCCCAGCCCCGCATCGTCTCCTGGTCAACCTCATCCAAAAACGCCAACCCCTCCATAGCCTTCCCCCCACACGCCCTCTCCAGCGCCAAAAAAGCAAAATGCCCACCAATAACCGGCCGCGCAAAGAAATTAATCCCCGGGAAATTCCCATCACCCTCTGTATTATGCAGGTCCGTGAATGGTCGGTCCGTGACCGTTTCGTTGACCCACCGCGCGACGGATTCGAGGATCTCACTGCGCACGGGCTTGGATGCGACGGCCATGGAGAAGAATTCCCAGTCGGTTTTTGTGTAGAGATGTCGGCTGTCGAGGGGGAGACCGTACTTTTGACGGACGTAGTGGTACCATATTGATTGTTTTTGGTAGATGTGGTGGGGGACGAAGCCGGGGGATTTGTTAGTGCTAGAGTAGGAGGAAGGAGAGGAGGTGGTGTTTGTGTTTTCGAGGTGGAAGCAGAGCTGGGCGTCGGCGTAGAGATTGTAGATTGTTGTCCAGGAACCGTACCAGTCGTAGGCGAGTTTGGCGTGGGAGCCATCTCGTGACATGCCAAATTCTTCCCATTTGGTGATATATTCGTTGGCGATTTTCTTGAGGCGGGGTTAGCTTATACTTGATTAAAGTATGTAGAGCAAAGTACCTTGAAGTAAGAGGCATCCTCTTTGTCACCGACTAGCTCGGAGAGTTTGCTCATGGCGTTGATGCCGATGATGCCCTTCAGAGCTAGGTTGGTTTGGAGTGCAAGCCAGCCAGCAAAGTCATCAGTGGACACTATATCACAGAGTCAGTACTTTATCAGTCGAATAAGTGAACTCTGATTAAAACTCACGCTGGTTAGCAGGTTCCAAGGAGAATTCAACCAGGTAGCCAGTCCATTGCTTCCAGAGACGGTAGCTTCGCTGCACCCATTTCTTTGCAAGACTCCGACCCTCTATACCTCCGCCCCATTTGCTATCTTGATAGCTAATTCCCGACATGACTTGAAGATCATCAAGAGGGAACAGGCCCTGGTTCAGCGTCGAGAATTTTGATCGAGGCTCACCCTGTGACGACCAGATGGAAGACGCCTCGGAGCTATCCTCGTACTGAAGTGAATTGGCGATGGCAAGACCCATGATCAGAATGTTACCGCACTCCTCCACAGGCATGTACTCATCATTACCATCGGGGTGGCCGGTGGCATTGGGGAAGTGGCTACCCAGGTCATGCATAGCATAGGTATTGGGGTATTGTCCGCTGAGCATATGCTCGATCAGTGGCTCCAAGAGATACGCCAGCCAGCGGGGATTGGTATAGAGGAAGAATGGGAAGGCCGGGAAGATGACATCGATGGTCTGGAAGTTACCATTTGAAGAGATCTCCTTCAAAAACAGGATAGGGCTGTCCGGGGTACCCGAGAACTGGGTCGCCCCCATCACCTGTCGAGCACTGAGAGCAACAATGTCTACGTAGTCATCTGCTCCAGAGAGATACGCGTCCTTGGCCAGTTGTGCGGAATAGTTGGATGCCAGGGCACTTGCTGCGGCGTGGTCATTGTAGTGGAAATTCAGCAACTGGTCGGTGCTTGGGAACCAGGATTCCCAAAGAGGTCGCATCATGGTGAGTCCACGAGCAGCGGCATACTGAACGACAGGGGTCTGGATGAGGGCCACGGTAAATGTGACGCTTTGAGAACGATGGTCTGCTTGGCTGAGTCTGAAGGACTTAGAGAACGCAAAAACGGGCGAGCGATCACGAATGGCTCGGAATTGACCATCATTTGAGTTACGCAGGACTCCACTTTTCGCAAAGTGTCGTCGCACCTGTGATGCTTCTCCAGACTCATACCGCGCATCCTACAGGATGTCGTAGGTCAGCATAGAACCACACTAACCTAGAGGTGTTATCACTTACGTTAGGACCAGTGAAATGAAGAGTACCCCACTCGGCCCGATCGCGGATTTCAGACAAATCAAGCTCTGAGTCTCGGCGAATCTGCCAGCTTTGCAGACTGGGTTTTTGATTGTCGCTTTCTTCAACTTCGAGTGTATCCCACTGCCAGTTGAGGTGACTGCCTCCATCTCCACTTACCCATCGCCCATCGATATCCATATAGACATTGACATCAACGCCACCCTGTACATCGATTGTCACATAGGAAGCCGGAATCGACTGTCGCAAAGTCGAGGTCGGCGTGATGGGCGAGAGGAAGGAGACCGTGATATCAAGGGGCTTCGCAGCACCAGTGTCAATACGATAGGTGAAGTTGGTCGTAGAGGCGTCATAGTTATGTCCCAAGTAATCAGGGTATTGTACTTGGTATCTATAGTGCATATTTAGTTCATAAAATCACGGACTAAAGCTACCTGAGCTCTCCATACCCAGAATCCGAGGCCAACGAATCCTGTGGCCTACCAACTAAAGGATAAACGGTTCCCTTGCTAGGAACATGGGCCATCAATGCAAGGCCGACTTCCTCTCCAGTATAGAACATGGGCCATTTAGCCCAAGGATTCTCGCGGGCATTTCCCATCCACGTGCTGAGGTAGGGATTCCGCACTATTAAGGGTAACACGGGCGGCGTGAGGGTAGAAGCCGTACTAACGACGGCTTGACTGACAGCCGCAGCTAATACAGCGACGGACAGTTGCATGATAGGCCACTTCAAAACAAAAGGGAGTGACTATATTGAAAGGTCGACCGGCGTCACCAGGAACACAGGACGAGTGTGTAACGGGAAAAGGTGAAACGCAGGGGCCGAAGGTATAGGGAATATGAAATGCGGGGAACCGGGGCTCAGTTCTGCTCAGCTCAGCCGAGATGGACTCTCGGTTGGTTACGGCGAGTTTGGAGAGAGACCAAGAAGAAGAGGATGAATCTATTGGTTGGGATGTGTGCTTTTTTGCTTTTCCTTTTCTTATTTACCCCGGTCGTAATCCTGCGTGGGTGTATTCTTTTGGATGCAGTCAGCTCCGATGATGTCATGTGGAGACGGGGACGTCTTCAATCTGATTATGATCGACCCGAATAATAGGATATTCTCCAGGAACAAAGTTGGGTAGTTAAATGGTTAGCTATTGGTAAAATAGCCATAAGGTTCATAGATTCCAACCTAGATCTATTCATGAATAAGATGCCACTATAAGATGAGGAGAGAATAAGGTCAAGAGTGGTTTGTGATATATTCATGTTGCTCCCGGGTGGCTCTAAGAGATTCAACATTCATCATATTCTCGTAGACTACATCACTACCCTCGAGGTGCAAACGAACCAGCCTCCTAACTGGGAATGATTTTTTTTCTGATTACAACCAGGATTTAACATACTAATAATAAAATAACAACTCACCAGTTGAGCAGCGCGCCGACCAGCGCGTCCGCACGCGACTTTTTGGAGGGGCACATGACCACCAGCGTGACGAGATGAAGAAAGTTCAAGTGCATTTTAATAGGAGTGTTAAATTCCTTTCGAATCTTATTTTCTTAAACGAAGGCTCAAATCATAATAAAAAACATCCATAAGGATCTATCATATAACCCGAAGCAACTAACATCTCGACGTGTTACCAAAATAGTGACTAAGTTCTATGTCCTGTACTGGAGTCAATTTGATAGACGGCTCAGTTATATTGGATAAATACACAACCAAATGCCACTGGAGAATTGTCAAAACATGATACGCATTTCCGATTGCCCTCAAATCCGTGCTAAGAAGGTAGAGGCGCTAAGGCCGAGACAAACCCGTGGACGCGTGCTCAACACGACCAGTGGAGCCGTGTCCGTGCTTCTATACAGAGCTAGTAAGGTCCGGACTATACGCGATTGACGCGCGACCGTTTTGTGTTGAGTTTCCCTCTTTCTTCAATCTCCCTCTAATTCTTTATTCTCTTTCCCCCCAGTCTCCATTGTCAAGTTGGTTCAATTCCCTTTGGTCGACGTGGTGTGCATTATTAATCGCGTGGATCCTCCCCAACTTTCCCTGCCCGCTTCTTCCCCGCGCGGCGTATCTTTTTTCTCGACACCCTGCAAGTTGTCAAGTTACAACAACACCTGTGCCTCCCCGTCCCTCGTTGGTCCCAACCAGAGAAAATGCAGTCGGTCTCAGTCCAATTCAGCCCCGTCAAGGATGGCCGCCGTATCCTCGGTGAAAAGGACTCCAACGCGTGTCTGTCCCCCGCCCACCACGCCAAACAGGCCCTCTCGGTTACCAGCACCCCCGTCAAACGGACCCTTTTCACGACTGTCTCGCCTAAGAAACTTCTCCCGTCTCCAATCTTTGCAGGCCAAAAGCGAACGAGAGACCAAGTGGACGACATTGATGTAAACGACGCACCGGTGCAGGCCCCACGCGAAGCTCCCGTGGAGAGCCCACCATCCACCCTGAAACATGAGACCCAACAGGTAAGATATGATCCTGAAGCTATGTGGGAGATCTACAATCAAAACAGAAGCCATTGGCTAACCCTGAACGCCGCGCCATAGTTGAGTCCAGAGTCGGACGCGATGGAAATCGCCATCCCAGCCCTATCATCACAACCGGAACGCGACCAACCCCACGAGATGGATACCGCCACCAGATCCCGCAGCGCGTCGCAAGCCTCAGACACAGAACCGAGATCAATTCCCGACGATCCTGACGCGCGAAAAGTGTTTATTCAAGAAGTAAGCGAACTCTCCATTAGCCTGCCATTCCTACCGAGCATATTCCTAACTATACATCTTCCAACCTCCAGAAAGCAGCTCTTCTCCGAAACAAACTTCAAACCGCTATGCGCAATGTAGCTGACCATCAGATCGACCGACGTGTCTCGGAACTGGAAGCACACAGTCGCAAAGTCCCTCGACTCTCATTTTCCGCCCTCTCCTCTTCATCTCCCGCCACGTCCTTCCGCCACACCATCTTCACACCTTCTCAGCTCAAGACGCCGCAAATTGGCTCGGTGGAAAACATGAGCTCAACCCCTTCCCAACAAACACCGGATCTACCCCGACAGCCATCTTCGATCATTCAGAGCACGAATTACGCGAAGCGTTGCCAACGTACGCCACCCCGTGGCTTGGGATCACCAATGCAACTAAGCAGTCCGCCGGCCACGGTGGTCCGGTATAGTCGGAGTCGGGATATTGCCGAGGGGGTAGATTCGGAGGAAGCGCCTACATCGCACGATGCTCTCTCACCGTCGCAGCGAGGTGACGCGGTCGATGGATTACTCAAGCTCATGAGCACGTCGGATAGGCATGAGAACCCTGATGTATGGAGTGGGTAGTTTGCTGCGAGGATGACAGACGCGCAGTAATCAAGGATATGCCTTGCCCTGCTGCCGATGCTCTCTTCAGAGGCTACTTAGACCCCCAGCGTTGACTGGGATGTGATGAAGTTCACCCTGACGAATACTTGTTGACTACTACACTGATGAAAGATCGTGGGTACGGATGACAGCCGCTTTACTTTAATATTGGAACCATGCGGCGTCCGGTTAGACTTTTGTTACTTTGTTACCTTTACAATCAATGATACCATTTGTGTCCTCTGGCGACTATCTCTCGCACTCTTCTAAGTATGCATATATTTGACGAGAGTTGTTGCCTCGAGTCCCCGTGAAGGTCTAAACCGGAAGTATGAGACCATATGACATAGTATTGGGGCACTGTGGAATGTGATCGATCACCATGAGGGATGGGCAGGGCTATGCAGAATGACACAGATACAGTAAATCTCCTTTGTTCTGGACTACTGGCTGTGCTGGACCTTGATACTCCTGACATTTCACTTGAAATCTTGCAAACAAGTATTGTCGTTGAACTTGGTATACCCGTTTTGATCTCACCGAGCAACTACCCCGCAAACGTACTCTAGCTCTATTTACTTCCAATTTTATGATAGGTTAGGTTATCAAAAAAGCTGGGCGATAAGAATGGGTTTATTCAATCCGAACGTATTGGACTTAACGGATTTGACTTTTTTCATCATAGGCATGTTGGAACCGGCCTACTCTATAACCGCAGTCCTCTCTCTTAAGATTAATTAGTCTATTGAGAAAGACGTGGGAAAAGAAATATAGAAAGACATAGAGATAGTTGTGCTGTAAGAGTACTCGGGATAGAGTGACTATCTGCACGGATGAAAGACTCGCTAAAAATCTCATTGGTCTTGAATATGGTATCAAACAGATAGAACAATATATGCAGACTACTAAACTAGCCCTCCATTATTCACCGAACCTTCTTCAACTTATTCCGCTTGCGACCCAGCACATCACGGCCTTCTTCAATCTCTCCAGCAGCCTCACGCTTCGCCGCACCAACGTCCTTAAGGATAGTAGTTCTCGTCACACGACCCTCAATGCTAACGCCTTCCTCAGCCCACTCCACCATCTCCCGCTCAACCCGCTTCTCAATGGCGAGAATGAGCTCGACATCTCGCTGTCCAACCAAAGTGACAGCCTCACCAGTCCGTCCAGCACGGGCAGTACGACCAACACGGTGGACGTAATCGTCTGGGTTCCGCGGCACGTCGAAATTGACGACAAGGCTGACAATGGGAATATCGAGACCACGGGATGCAACATCTGTGGCAACTAGAACCCGGGCAGCTGCGGCTCGGAATCGGGCAAGGTTCGATGTTCGCTCGGATTGTGGGAGGAGACTGTGTAGGGATGTAGCGCGGTGGCCGAGGCGACGCAAAGTGCGCTCAAGCAGATCGGCGGTCTTAGTGTGATTGCAGAAGATAATGACGGGCTTGGAAATGTTTTCTTCGGTTGAGATCAAAGCGTGCAAGAACGCTTCGCGATGCGTCATGGGCACCTTGAGATATGTCTGTTTAAGAGTTGGCGGGATGCTACCTTGATTTTCGGTCGAGATCTCGGTCACGAAGATTGGCGGCTTGTTCTCGGTGCGTGGTAACGATTTCAAGGCCCGCACCTCGGCCGTCAATGTCGCAGTAAATAGAAGGGTTTGCCGTTCTGAGGAGGGAGGGACTGCCGATAGGCAGGTTTCGACGTCTGGCAGCATACTGCCGTGACCGCTGGCGAGAAGGCGGTCGGCTTCATCGAGTACGACCATTTTCACTCGACCAAGACCAGCAATCGTGTCTTGACCGGACGTTTTGATGTGATCCGCCAAACGACCCGGGGTCGCAATGACAACGTGTGGCCGTGTAGCGAGCTCGATTGCCTGCTGGCGCATATCTGTGCCTCCGGTGATGAGGATTGGCTTCATGCTCTGTGGGGCGGAGATGGCCTTGAATTGCTCGAAGATCTGAAGAGCTAACTCTCTGTAGTTTTCAAAGAAATGAGTTAGTATATGCTAGCTTATTACTGTGAAACACATCTAGCAAATCGAACATACCTCGTCGGCGTCAAAACCAGAGCAAAGATACCAAATGGATCCTGGGCCCACTTCTGAATGATAGGAACGGCAAACGCCATGGTCTTTCCTGAACCAGTTCGACTTCCACCAATACAGTCTCGCCCCTTCAAAATCTCAGGAATACAAGCCTTCTGAATAGCGGTGGGTCGTCGAATAGCCATCGTCGTCAAGGAACCCACAAGCCAAGGCGACACGTTCAGAGCGCCGAATGTAGATTCCTCTGCCCGAAGTCCAATTTCAAGAGCATCACGAATTGTAACAGGGTCCTCTTCGTCGGTTGGCTCGGGCTTTTTCGTCTCGTCTTTCTTTTTAATTCGGGAGACGGTGGGGAGTGGTGCTGGCGCAACATACTCGTCGTCTTCTTCGGCGGACTCGGAGAGGCGGCGGCGCTTAGTCGCGCGATCGTTGGTGTCGGGTTGGTTCATATCGGAATCATCGGAGACATACGAGTCTTCCGGCTTGGTATCATCTTTTGAGGGCGCCATTGTTGCTTGCGCCATTGTCTTTGTTTCCGAGAAATAATTTTGTGGCAGAAAAAGTTATCTCTATCTGGCGGTGAGGAGATCTTTGGCTCCGAATTGAGCATCTGCTGTCAAATGACTCGGTCACGTGGACAAACCGGGTGCTAGTAAGAGAGGATAGCAACAGCAATTCACGAAGCTCAAGCAAATATGGCTGAAATTGTTCTTATAGCAACTTGAAATTATACTACCAAGTCCACCGTAGGGCAGCGCCAACGCTAGAATCGGTACTAAATAGGTAAACACGTGGAAGTCGTTAGTCGACCATAGTAGGTACTATTAGACGGACATCTCATAGTATCTAAAAAAAGGTCGATTTTTCTTGAGTAATGCTCTACGTTGCTGCGAATATCACAGCATCGACGTCTGGCGCAACCACTGCAGTCAAGGGCGCAGTGGAATTCCATTTGAAACCCCTAGCAGAATTCCAGAACTATCTTGCAGGTTACAAATTGAAAGAAGCCTGGGCTATTAAGGAAGATGATCCAAAAGACACTCTAAAAGATCTTTTCAAAGAAGAGAAAATAGCATGTCTGGTTAGACCGCATTTCAATATGTATTATCTCGATACGGATGGTTCCTTTCGTCATATCATGATTGGAAGCTTCTTGAGGCGAAACCTAAATGAGAGATGATCTAACTAGAGATGATCTAAGTAGAGAGTCTCCTGCCTTCTCTACTTGCACGGGCGTCTCCTTCTCTCCCATCTCCAGCCAACCAAACACACGATCATCATCAATCTCTGGCTTCAACATTCATGCGTTCAATTTTTCATGACTTCTTCGAGAAGCAGCCCGTAACTGGTCAGTCGCTGTTCCTTCTCCTCTCTCATTGATGACTATACACCATGGTCAAGACAGAGGTTCTTGCTGATGTTCTGCCTACTGTTATACTCAGGTACCTGGCTCGATTAGCTTTTTATCTACTTTGCTGTCACCCTCGCCTTATTCAGCTACCGGAGCTAACAGTCTTCCGGCGAACCTCCGGCCTCGAGATAGCTCCTCCGTCCGTCGCTGTCGAGTAGGAAGATGCTGAGCAGCGCGCACCATAAGCAGCACCCTAAGAACTCAACTATGAAGACGGAGGAAACCTCCTTTTGGTCCTAGTCCTGCTGGCTCTTGTTCACACTCAATTCGCCTACTTCCTCTCCTCAACATCACCGAGCATAACACTTGCTAAGTGGAGTGCGTGTGGATCACTTCGCCGCCTCCTCTCAGCGGCTCTCATTTCCACTTTGTGTTGTCCACCTACCTCCAGGGGCTTACCCCAAGGGCTATCCTTGGTAGCAACATAACAGAGGTGGATATAGAGCCTGTTTTCTAGGCTTCTACTAAGGAGAACGAAACACAGCAAGGGGGCCAAGTAGGCTGGCACAGGATGCTTCAGGCGTGATTCAGGGCTGTTGGTTTAGGTGCTGGTGCTGTTTGAAGCATACTGGGGCGTCCGTCAGTCTTCATGTGGACTTGATGTCACTCTTTTGATTCAGAATTCTCTCACTCTTGATATTAAATCGTCTTACCTCAGCCCCGGAGTCCTCTCACTTTTACTTTGGAATTCTCTTTCTCTAAGCTTATATTATAGTTAGTAGTTAAATTACAAAAACTGTACCTGCTTAGTGAAAACTAGATCAGTAGAAGTCTCTGAGTCTAGAAACCTAAACTTCACAACCATCTTATAAGTCATCTCGTAAATCATACTCTAAAAGATAACTTAAGGAGATATTACCTAGCTGTCCAGAAAGATGATCCAAAAGAGATCTAGGGGACCATTCAAAAGACGACTTGATAGATGACTCGACAGTGTGTCAGTATCCATCTTAAGCCAGCATTTATCACTCCTAATCCGCTTCTTTTTCAAGATTTTCTTTTGAAGATGATTCATCAATAGAATACAGATAATACGAAGAATCCCGTGTCAAGAAGAATCCAACCGCATTGGATCTTCATGCCAAAACTCCCCGCCCGAATCTCGCCTATGCACAATCGACACCAGCATACCCAAGACAGCAAACTCAAGCTTCAACTTGACACTATAGACCGTCGCCTTGAAAATCACCTGTGTAAAATAGTAATTCAAATACTGAAGAACCACCAGCGCCAGATCCATGATAATAACGACGATATTGACAGCCAGCAATTCAGACAGGATCTTATGTCGCTTCGTTTCGCCGCTTGGATTCAACATAATCAATCGCGCCGTATTCCAGATGTAGACTCCCGAAATGAAGCATTCTTGTGCCGTGAACCATGTCACTTGAACACGCTCCATAGCAAAGTATCCACGATTCCAACCCGGGGATTGCGGTTTATAGGTCCAGCCCACATTCAAGACGATCGTCGGTACGGCTATTACTACTAGACTGAGCACGATCAGCCATCGGACGATTCTCAATATCGTCGTATTTTGCGATACGAGGTGTAGTCGTGAGTAGAGGACGATGGACTGATTGGGTACCATCATGATCCATGAAAAATTCTGCACAACCACGCTTGCGATGAACGGCTGTAAATTGAAGTATTGTAGTCCTCCCGTGATGGACAGGGGAGCCACGCCGAAGACGGTCGAGGTCAATAGAGACCAGAAGTAGAGGCTGCGATAGCGGCGGAAGGAGAGCGGGATGAGGATTGCCAGTTCGAGGGCATTGTATAAGGCTATGGCCATGAATACGATGATACTGATATCGAGGGCATCGTCGATCTTGTTGCTTCCTGTTCCGTGTGGCGATGTTAGGCTGCTAGACATGTTGCGCTGTGATGGTCGTGGTAGGCCGACGGGCAGGCGTACCCGTCGGATGCATCCCATGCAGATGGCAATGCGTGTGTCGTGTAGACACGGAGACTTGGCACTAGGAGGGTGTAGCAAGGAAGTGAAAACTTGAGGGAAGAGTAAAATCCATCTTCCCAAAGTCCTCAGCCTAGTCTCGTGCTGGGGTTGGCACGAGGGGGAGACACTTCAAGTAGAGTGGATGAGTCGAAGTTTACCAAGGATCGCAGTTTAAACTTCACGCAGGCCAATCGTGAGGCCGAAGAATGAGGGCCAAGCGGCCCCGAGAGTAGCAAGGCTACCCCGCAAAAAGAGGCAAATTGCCAAGGTCGAGACTGTCATGATTGATTAGATTGTGCTGGTTTAATGTAAATGGCATTTGATAGACCGAAGATGCCCTGAAGAAAACAACTGGCGTATCTATGGATTGAAAAAAAGATTGGAGTAGACGATTCTTTGGAGCGAGATCCTAAACATTCGGGACCGTCCAGGTTCATCTAGGCCGGCCTACTGTAGGATTGCTGCTGTATCCAAGCCTTCACCTCTGGAAGCCTGAAGAATCAGAGATCTCTTTCTTCAGCTCAGGGCCGTCATGAAAAATACTAGACTCACAGGAACATATCCACGATAAACTGATGCCAAATCACATTCGTGCCCCGGATTTAATACCCCACCGGCATCCCACATGGCGACATGTCTTCATCCCACCGGCATCCCACAAACATTCCTGATTAATGACAAGGCCTGAGCAGATGAAGTAAGTACATCCGAAGCTCTCATACACTGGGTACTTACTATATAAGGCTTCTATTCTCTCATTGAACAATCAATTCAATCCCTACTCCATCCAAACACATTCACATTCCACATTCCCAAATCCAAAACAATCATGTCTTCCGACCCCAAATCCCTCCGCCAATTGTTCGGCGCCTCTCCATCCACTGCTTCAGTCAAAGACTCCACTTTGATCATCATCGATGCCCAAAACGAATACGCCTCAGGCAAACTAAAGGTCGAAAATGTCGACCAGAGCCGCAAAGTCATCGCCGATCTGCTCTCTCGATACCGCCGTGGCGGTAATGGCAGTAACATCGTTCACGTTGTCCACGAAGTACCCGAGGGTGCACCGGTCTTCACACCTGGCACACCGTTGGCAGCTGAATTCGATGAGCTGAAGCCTCAATCTGGCGAGAAGGTTATTGCTAAGAACTTCCCGAGTTCGTTTGCTCAGACCGATTTGCATGAGTATCTTCAGGGTTTGGGTAGTGTGGGAAAGCGGATTGTTCTTGTGGGATATATGGCTCATGTTTGTGTTTCTACTACTGCACGGGCTGGAGATGAGCTGGGGTATGATGTCTTGGTTGTGTCGGATGCTATTGGTGATCGCCATATTCCTGGTGTTCAAGCTGAGACGTTGGTGTCTGTTGTGCTCTCTGAATTGGAAGATGGGTTTGGCACTGTGATTCGCGCTGCCGATATTACTGAATAAGTGTTTAGGAATGACGAGGTTCTATACCTATGACTATAATAGAGAACAGAATAATGGGTAAACATGGGAATTACACTCTTTCAAGAAACAAATCTTCTCCCTTCAAAGCCACCACCTCTCACTCCCAACTTCCAACACCTTCCCACACACCGAGATCCAATTTCCCATATCCCTCGCATCAAGCCTCTCCCGCCCAGCATCCACATGCAGCAATCGCCCCAACTCCAGAGTAGACTTGGCATCCCATAACTGCCGACTATCCGGCACAGGGAACTGCAGATCCGACAACTCAAGTAGCCGACCCTGTGTATCATCCGAGTCCCTACCTGCTCTGCATAAAGACGAGACCTTATACATTGCCAGCCCCAGTCGACCCATCTCCTCTACTCCAATCCAGATACAAGCCATAGAATCAACGTCCTGGTATCGTTCCAACATACTGGGGTAGTAGAATACCTGGTTCTGGGTACAGACTTGGACTAGAACGGAGAGAATTTCGTAATCGGATGGTGAGAGAGATAGGTTCAGGCTGAGAGAGCGGGTGTTGCTGTCCTGAATCAAGGAGAAGATTATGTATAGGAGGATACCCTGGTAGGTGGCGATAGGGCATATAGAGGTAGGACCGTCCTCTGCGGGTTCATTTCGAGGAGGAAGATTCTCCCATTGAACCTAGTTCGTCATTAAACTTCATACAGAATTAGTGATCAACATACATACCCTCTGTTCCCGAATCCATAACCCCAACTTCTGATGTAAATCAACCGCAGCCTGTCGCGCCGACGGCTTATCACTAACCCAAAGCCCAATCATCAACACCGCCTGAAGGAGCAACGGCGGCTCATCGGGAATACTGAAGGTCGCGCGATGTAAAATAGGCCAATGGGAATGAAAATGGGTAAAATAAAGATTAACATAGTGCTTTGTTTGAGCCGCGCGGTCCTCGTCTTCCAAAGGAACCGAGCCATCGGCACTAGACTCAAGTCTCTGCCCCTCCACCGACGACGGGGACACGGTAGATGTCGGCTTATCGAAGGTACATTCGCGTCCTTTGTCACGACAACGTAGACAGGGATTCCCGCCACGACATCGAATCTTGGCGTGACGACAAGCACGACAGGCGATGGTTGAGCGTGTTAAGTGTAATTGGGAGATACTATGGTCTTGACGGATATGGCGTCTTAGGGAGTCACTATTATTGAATGTGAGCGATTTTCCCCAAGCTCTCTGATAAGACTTGTCGGGGGTGGGGCTTTACTTTCGAGAGAACGTGCGATTGCAGAGCGAACAAGCACAGGCGAGACCACCGGTATGCTGTGCCTCATGTCGGTTCAGATGTTCTTTCCGCTGATAACTCGACGTACAGCCAGGGAATTGACATGAAAATGGTTTCTGGGAAGCCCTCAACGAAGACATGGTATTAGCTGGCCAGAAGTATAAGATGGAGGATCAATTATTAGGCGAATAAGTTGCTGATCTCGCGAGGATGCCATTGGAATCCCCAGCCCGCATCCCACCGGCAATACCCGTTGACGTTTCCGGTTGGATGGAAACTCCTAACGTTGTCTGACTAACAAGGTGTTCACCTGACCCAACCAACAAACTGCATGCCTATCAAGGAAATAGTAAAACAAAAACAATACTGTGAGCACCTCGCCCGAAATAAAATCGATCGGTGACTTGGAATGGCCCAGTACTGCGATTGGTATCTGACAGAGCCAAAATTTCTGGGATCGATGACCACTTTGAAGCCGGGGTCCTTTATCGAGGCCTTACTGAGTTCTTGACCAAGTCCCAAGGTTGGCCACGGAGGAGTCTAGATTTTTGCGATCTGATCACAATGGGACCGAGTTCTGCTCGATTTTATCTAATCCTATGGGCACTACGGTGGAAATGGAAGCCATGAAAAAACCGAATATTTTCTAATGTATTTATTCCAAGATAATATTCATTTGAAAAGGAACAGGGAGCCCAACGCTCCGATATGGGGAATCAAAACGAGACAAGATAGCGACGAAAGAGGCCCGAAAAGCCGTGAGACGGAAAGGGAGAGAGTACCCGAGTATTAGTAAAAGGTAGCGTAGGTATTGACAGAGGCGACCACGTCAAGGGATTGTGGAAGGTTGCTGAGAAGACAGAAATTCGCTCAAGGGAGTGTACAAGCACATTGATTCTATGATGGTGTGCCACAAAGGAATGGACGGGCCGTCCGAATAAGACGCCCAAATGCAACAAGAAAAGTATCCGCAACCAGAAGAAGAAAATAAAAACGCAGTCGTGACCTTCGCCTGACCAGCCCATTGCGCCGGAGAAGAATTGCATAATGATCGTACACAAGAAATGGGAACTTTTTACACTGCGACTAAAGACGTCGCGCCAAAGCACTGATTCAATCTAACTGTCATACAGTCCAGAATGAGAAGCTTGGACATCAACTCCTTAGAAGTTGGATGCAGCGTTAACAGGACCCGGGTTGTGGTACTGGTCTAGGGTGTTCTTGAAGGGGGTACCACCCTGAGACGGGCTAGGGGCCTTCTCACGAGGGCCACTGCCGACGGCAGTACCGCCCATCAGATCATCATCCTCATCGTTGTAACCCTCGTTGCGCTTCTTCTGGATGCGCCAGAAGACCACACCCAGAACACCAATGAGGATGGCACCACCGACGCCGACCACAACACCGATAATGATCTTCTTGTCCGAGGCGGAGACACCGCTGCTAGAAGAGCTGTTGTTTGCATTGAGCGACGGAGAGGTGGATGTCGCAGAAGCCGGAGTGGAGGTGGAAAGCATAACAGTCGCTTGGGGGGTGCCGCTGATGGTCACTTCGGCAGTGATGGTCTTGACCACGGCAGATTGAGTAGTTGAAGGAGTATCCGTGGTATCCGCCGCGGTAGTCTGCTCGGCAACACTGGAGGTGGTAGAAGTCTTAGATGAGGTAGTGGACGTCGAGGTGGTGGATGGGGGCTCGGAAGACGAGGAAGTGGTGGATGTGGTATGCGTGCTGGTGGTGCTGGGAGCCGTGGAAGAGGTAGTTGATGAAGTGGACGAGCTAGTACTGCTGGTTGTGGTAGGCTCCGAAGAAGAGCTGCTCGAGGTTGATGAAGCACCGCTGGTGATATCGCTGAGGAGGTTGGTAGCATCTGCACTTTGAGCCGCAACCGCGGTCAAGAGCAGAGCCTGGACGAGGAACGAGAGTTTTGAGAGACGCATGGCGGGCTATATGCGATGGTCGGTCGGATGATGGGCGATGGGAGTTGATGAAGAGGTCTTTCTCTGAACGAGGGGAGAAAGACAGGAACGATCGTAGATGAGTAAAGAGAGTGTCAGGCGAAAAAGCGAAGGAGGGATGGGGAAAAAGGGAGGAGTGAGTGAGAGTCAGGCAAGTCAGCTGGGTGGAAACAACAGGCAGTTGAAGCTAAACCTAATTAGGCACGCTAGCCCGGCCCTAGTCTCAGGCCTCTGCTGTTTAGCCCACTTGGCCCGGTTAGTCCTGTTACTGTTCTGTTAGTTCCGTCCACTCAACTTCCCCTAATCCTCCCTCGAATGGGCTGCCTAAATATGGGGCTATGCTCAAAGGGTTACACTGTACCCCGTTCGCAGGAGGAAAGTACATTGCATCTGGTGATTTCTTCTCTCATGAGTTCCATGTATCTCGAAAACCCACACCGATCGATCAGTCATGCCCTTGAAAACCTACACCCAAAACTCTCTCACCTTCGTGTGCTCCATACTCCGTACTGTGTGTACCCAGAGGCTTCGCGTCGCAACTCCCCCATCCAATCAAGCCCAAGAATCCCATCGGCCAACCAATAATGCCCTCCCAGTCAACGGCCCCACCTGGCTCTCGCATTTAATCCTGCCATATTTAGCAACTGGTGCATCCTCACCACATCCCCCGGCTGATTATTGACACTTGGACATCTGCAGATATTAATTGCGACTCTTGGCCTCTGTCAATCATGGCTGTGCGCTCCGAATAACAGACGTCACAGAGACCCTTCTCAGTTCAACATTGACGTGTTCTTTACAGCCGGTCGGTTCCTGAGTTCTAACCCATTATGTACAGATTATTTCCACCATTCATACCCGATGGCCTCCGCTAGGCGAAATGAAGCCGACGTACCCGGCGACTAGCCCTTAGTTGGCCTCCGTGGGGTTAGCATGTTGGCGACAGCGCGCTGTCACTTCGAGGGGCACAACTGCCAGTGTCAGTGTCAAACTAGCGTCGGTCTGAATTCTCCTCGGTGCAGAGTTGCCCGGAGGAAGCGACTCGTCGTCCCTAGCCAGGTCAAGTTCTAGACTCGAGGGGGGCCAATTCTGCACCCACCAGCCCGCGCAAATCACAACTCTTAACTAAGGCTTCGAAAATCTCTTGATGGATCTGTCATGCCAGTCCGATTTTTGACGAATTCCCTGCATACAACGGATCCTTTCGGCTGAGCCTCGACTCTGGTCTCTCGCCTTATGGATCCTCGGGGATGGTTCTAGAGAGGAGTCAAAAGAATCCATAATTCTGTGGCGGACGGTGACTGCTAACCATCCTGCACATTCACAAGGTCTTTAGAAGTAAACTCCCTTGACAGTCATTCCAATGCTTGACTGGCAAACCCTACCAACCTTGATAGGGGTGGTAAGTTGGTCCAGGCAGTATTGACCCTGCAGTCCTGCCCCTGGCCCTAATGCCAACCATCATCATCCCGGACCAGTCCCTGGGCTTAGCAAAAACCTGTCCCTGACATAATTTCATTTCTGCCTGTCAAGTCAAAAGCCACATGTGAGAGATTTCTCGGCGACTATTGAGTTGACACTTTAACCGTCGTTGGGCAGAGACGCGCGGCTTTTATTTGATTCGCGCAGGCCCTGCGTTCTTATCTGGAGCCAATCGTCCCGACGCCTATCTACAACATACCCCAGTTTTCAAGGAGCTCTGTGCCCATACAGTAGTAATCAATAGATAGAGATAATAGATGGGAAAAGTCGTATCTTCTTGTATATTATTCTTCCCACTCGCAGTTATGCTGTACAGAGAAACATCTAGCAAAATGGAAGGCCCGATACTTTTCAAAGTTGCAGAGGTGCATCTCATGGCCAGGAAATGCAACCCCCATCACTTGTCGAGGGGAAGCACTCGATATGCGATGAAAACGAGATGAAAATGAAGCAAAGCAAAGATTCAAATTGATGGGTATCATGCAGTTTTTTGTCCCCAAACGCCAGCAGAAGCAAGAAAATCGACGAGTCCTCAAAGTTTGTTGGGCGGCTTTCCTTTCATCTGATCCTGAATTTCCTCCTTGAAATATCGAACGAACTTATTGACGGAGCCTGTGAGATAATAATCAATCAGCTGCACTGTTCAACGACGCCAACGCCATGCGCGACCGGGCTCTTACCGCTACTGCCGTCCTCGAGTGTCGTCCGTGGCGGCTCTGGAGGGATACCATGACGAATCTGCTCCACGCGTTGATGAACGCGACCGACCATTTGATGGAAGAGGGGACTTCGGATGAGCTGGATGGGGGGTCAGCAACGGGGATATGTGATGACATCGATGGATTTCAAACGAACTCGACCGTATAGCCAGACCTGAGATCGTCAGCAAGGAAGATACTATCGCGACAACATCGGAATCCACTTACCTCCAGGGCTCGTAGCCCGAAAAGATGGAATACCATATCGACAGGTGGCGAGCTATTTGACTCGATGGAAGTGATTGATTCAAGATGGCATTCGCGGAGGAAGAGAGAACATGGAGAAGTCGGTCCTTAGGTAAGCCCCGCACCGAATTTCCCGGCGGGCAGAGCGGGACTCGGACTGGGCCCGCTGACTCTTCCAAGTTCCCATCATTCAACTTTTTGAAAGCTGGAGAAATGCCCTGTCACTGGCTCACCCAATACAACTCTCCGACGATCCCTGTCCAGCAATGACAGACTGGCCTTGCCAACGATCTACCGATTCCTGACCGCAATGGGGAGTGGAAGCACTCTCCAAATGGCCAGGCTCTTTCAACAACTACGATTCTAGGAATTCACATCTCCAACTAGTGCGACTTTGATCATGACCAAGGGTTGCTATACCTGTCGACGCCGTCGCATTATCTGCGACAATGGCCTGCCGACTTGCAGAAAGTGTCGCGATGCAGGGAAAGAATGCCTGGGCTATCAGAAGCCGTTGGTGTGGGTGAAAGGTGGTGTGGCTAGTCGAGGCAAGATGATGGGTCGCAGCTTCGACGATGTCAAGAAACCCGACGGAGATACAAAGGCCCAGAGTTCTACGCAATCTCAAGTCTCAGCGGTGGCGAATACTGCTGGCTTTGGCTTCTTTTCGATCACCGAATCCTCCTCTCCTACCAGCTCGCCGAGCTCGGGAGCACATACGAGTCCAGAATCCGATACCTATGTACACGAGACTGTGGAAACTGTAACATCTGGACATGCTGATGGGCATATATCACTTGGTTTGAATGCAACGGAAGAAGCGGACAGCAGGATGGTACATGTCCCTAGGGGCGCCTCTATGGACTTCATTTCAGCCCCCTGGGGTCTGGTAGATCCGCTGTTCAAAGACATGAGTCAAATCTCACGGTTCTACCTCTTCCACTGTATGTTGTTCTTTTTTTTTTATAATGCTAAATCCGAGATTGCTTACTGACTATATCGAACCTAGACAATCAACATATGGCCAATGACTTTGTTGTATATTCCCAGTCCAAGAACCCTTGGCGGGATATTATTTCTCTAGTCGGTGACTCGCCGCTTCTCGCACATGGTCTATGTGCCATGGGCGCTCTACACTACTCGTTGATGTCGGAATCAGACTCGACCCAGATGCCTTGGTCTTCAAACAGCCTCTTGACCAGCAGCTCACCTCTGTCACCCGAAGACATTGAAACTATCGTCTCCCCGGCTGGTAATCGGCGGCCATCTTCAAGGGCATTCCAGCATTTTCTCGAATTCAAGCAACGTACACTCCATCAACTCTCCAAGGACCTTTCAAATCCCGTGATGCAAAAAGACGACAGAACCTTGGCAGCTATCGTTGTGCTTGCTCTTGTGGATATATTCGAATCGGGAAGTGGAGCATGGAGTTATCACATTGAAGGCGCCAAGAAACTCTTGAGAGACAGACCAGAAAATAACCTCGGCCGAGGTATCCTTGATGGACTCGAAACCTTTGCCATCGACGGATGCCTAATGTAAGCATTCTCAATTCCCCTCCACACATCACTCAACTAACATTTTTCCAGCATGGAAATCATGGGCTCAACCCTCGCTCGCCCAGGCGCCCTCTCCAAACCGTTCTACTCCGCCGCCATGGGCCCAGCCATGCTCAAACGCCTTGAAGAAACCTCTTGGGTCGGCTGTCCCGCCTACCTCCTAGAAGTAATCTTTTTCATCCACACCCTCTGGTACCCAGACTCCGAAATCACCACCGCAACTCCCCAACCATCCGCCCTCCCCGCCTCAATGCAACAAGGCCAACCGCTCTCCCTGGAATCATACCTCGCTCTCCTCCAAGGAATCCGCGACTTCGACCCTGTAGCCTGGGCCCACCACATGCAAGCCTCCCATTTCCTCTCCGACCTCTCTACCCGCATCGCCCTCGCAAGATCCTACCAAACAGCCGTCTACCTCTATACAAGCCGTGTGCTATCCCGCACCCGCGAAGGCTACACCCCTCCCTGGGCAGACGTCGGTCTACCAGCAGACCACTCCGCCGTGGCGAGCGACCTCCTCAATCAAATATGTTCCGTGCCATACTCCGATCCACACTTTAAATGCCTAATATGGCCTACTTTCATCGCCGGCGCAGAATGTCGCCGTACATCGCAGCGGCCCCTCGTTCTTGAAAAACTCGGTGCGCTTTACCAGGCCGTGACGAGCGTCAACGTACAGAATGCTGCGTGGGTTCTGCGATTGATGTGGCAGAAGCATGATCAGAAACGGCGCGAGAATTGTGTGAGTACGCTTTCTGGACTCACGCTTGAAAATGTGGATGGTGTTGGTGGTGCGGGTAATGTCGATATCAATGATGACGATGACGAAGATTATGATAATACGTTTGACTGGGTCGATGAGCTGGATGAGTCGCGCCTGGATTGGTTGTTCATTTGATTCTTGGCACTTTTGACAGTCCTTGTGTATAAAATGGGATGGATGGGATGCCACCTCTGTGCTTGCTTTCTTTCGGACAGTTCGTCTTTTAATGAGTGTATATAATCATGAATGTTTATCTAACAGCTTGTATGAATCGGAAATATGTCTATTTCTCAATATTCTTAGGCCAAGGCTAATTTTATGACAACTTGTGCTTCTGCACGACCCACTACATATACAACTTTTGGATACAGTAGAAAACAGATACTCTGGATCCTTGATATCTAGACTAGAGAAACGGCTTTACTATGTACACATATATGATTTAACATTCTCTTTTGCGAAAGATCTTTCTAAAGATCTCTTAAACCGTCTTTCTTGATAGCTCAGGTATCTGTGACAAAAGGCTAGTAGGTGAATGGGAATACCGAGGTGGTGGCTCACTGGTGCTTCACTCGACATTTCACCGTCGCGAGTATCGTGGTCGACCAATTGATGAGCACTCAATTTGTTGACTTCGTTGAAGCGTCTCTTCTTCGATCGAGCCATTGGGAGGGAGGCCACCGGGCTGCTCAGCGCTGCCCTGCTGAGGAGTAGCGGGCTTGAAGTGATGAGTGATCGGCTGGGTGGAGTGGCTAATGAACGCACCTCCCTTCTTCCGATATATTGGCATTGTTTCAAACAGGTATATAAATCGATTTATAGCAGAGGTATACCACGAGTCGAGTTGTGAGTCGATGGTGAGGGAGGGGAAGAGAGAAAAGTAGAATCGGCGCTGTCGACCTCACTTCTGAGTTACAAGGATCTTACAGCCATTGCATTTCATCTAGAGATTCCATTGACTTGTAAGGGTATAAGTGCGCCTTTCGCTCATGAAATTCGATCTAGAGACCTATCACATAGATGCGGTTTAGGCTCTGCAGGGGTGGCAGGGGGATCTCTGAGGATTTGATCTTCCATCTCATGTACAGTGGACGCAAAATCACACTGGCCAATATCAGTCATACCGGCATATCCTTCTCTCCGATACTCGCAACAAGCTATGCTTCTTATACAAATGAGTTGACAACATTTCACTGGGTTTCGGCAACCTGCTCCACATATTAGTCTCAATCGATCTCTCAGAGTTAGATGAAGTTTCATGATATACTATCATAGCAGAAATGCTTTTCTCGCGCAGGAAGAATTATGCTTTTAATCGAGCAACCAGAGACCATTCAACCGGTCCAACAATGATAGAATTATCGATAGAAAAAAAGCAAAGGAAAAGAAAAAAAGTCGGGTATATCAATTTTGGAGTTCAGCCAGAAAAAGAAAACACAGACTATAGTCTGTCACGAGAGGATAAGAATTGGAAAAGAGCAAGTTAAAAAGGAAACAGTCAAGTGTGTGAAAGAAGGGAAGTGAAGTAAGAAAAGTTGAGTGGAAAGAAAGTCACAATGAAGGTGTTCATCCAGATTAAGGATGAGTAGTTAGAGAGAAAAGAAATACGCGATGGAAGCAAAGGAGTCGGTGAGTGGAGGAAGGTGACATGAGAAACCCAGGAGAAAGGACAGAGGGTAGAAAAAAACATCTCGCTCATGTTACTCCGATATAAGCAAGGCATACGGCGAGAGAAAGGAGCACAGAACTAGTCAGTAAACAATTGAGCAGCTTTCTACTGTAGCCTCAACAAAACCCGACGGTAATCAACGACCCAAGGATGGATACAAGAAAAAGCGAGGTCGCCAGATGCACAAGAAGAGAATAAAAGATAAGAAACATTGGGTGGAAGACCAGCTGCGTTGCGAGTTTGTCGACAATATGCTTCAGATCAAATCAGGGATATATAACAATTGACCGAGGGAAGCAAAGACACAGAAAAGAGACGAAGAAAAGAAGACTTGGAATAGACGCAAAGCAACAGCAAAGATGAATCACGCATGCTCCCTTCCAGTTCTAAATGCAGAAAACATATTCCAAAAACGAACAAAACACGCTCGTCACTGTAAAATGCAAAGGGTAGAATGACCAATATGCAGAGCAAACACCGTGTCCTCTGTGCGCGTATAGCGGACGGACCGGTGGTTGCGGTATAGAAAAAGGGAATAGCGAAAAGACGAGCGACGGAGTCGGATGCCAACATACCAAGGTCTGATAGCACGCGACGAGAATAAGGTGACATGCTTACCAAGAAAATGGAAGCAGGCAAGACACCCGAGCGATATTCGAGGAACCGGGCATGTTTGCAGAGATATCATCCGGCGCAAGTCCATCGGGGCGGAGGTAACAAACCACCAATGTTTAGAGTTTAGAAAACAGCGGCAAGACCATTCTTCGAATGCCGCCGGCTGAATCTTTTCTTCCCCTTTACCGATTCCGAGTCGGCTTGTTGCTTCACCAAGTGGTTTCGTCCCGGAGGAGGAATATTGGCCTCGTTTTGGAGTTCTGTACTCCGATCGAGTGTATTGGCGTGACTGGAGAATCCGGATGACAGGTCGCGGAAGGCATCCTCGGCGGAATAAGAGCCAGCACTTTGGTGCATTGAGGCCATCTCTTTGGCCCGGTCCAGTGCATCCAACCACTCTTGTGCTGATACCGCAGTGGCTCCGATGTTGCTAGAAGAGGGCTTAGGATCTTCAAACACAAAGTGTTTATCTCTCTGTGATTGTGTTAGTGGATTTAGGGCATCATCTAGTTCCGAAGTGGCAACGACCTACCGTGTCTACAATCCACGAGGAGTGACCCTTGGTATCCGTTGTGCTCCGATAGTGTGTCCCCGGCGCAAGCAACGAAATCTCCGTCTTTGCCTTCTTCTCATCACCACCAGCTGCGGCCAAAATAATCCTCGCGGAGGATGTGACCATGACCAACCGTGATCGCTTCTTTGTCGCTGACCCAGAGAAGAAGCGCGAGAACTTCTTAGGAGCCTCGCTGTCCCCACTGCCATTCTTTGACGTCGGACTATGCGATGCGGGTGATGACAAGACCACCATGTTACCAAGTTTCAAAATCCGTTCGTTGGATTTGCTCAACACGGGAGACCATTCGATATCCAGCTGACTGGGAGGAGGCAGCTCGGTGACCACTCGGGGGAGCGCACGCGAGTTGTTGGTCGTCGCATTCGATGGCGCAGTCGAGATGACCGGAGGAAAGCTGTCACCCCCTTCGCCGCCATTGAGCTTGATGGGCTCACGTGCGGGAGGCACATATGCCTTCAATCGAGGGGCCTTCTGCTGCCACAACTCCGGGCCCCATGAGATACCATCAAAGAACTCGTGGTTCTTGATGTGCTCGATCTGCAGTCGACGCGCAGGGTCGAGGACAAGAAGACGCTCAACGAGGTCGCGAGCCACCGTGGGAAATCCGATCGGGAATTCGTAGTCCAGGGCGACAATCTTTTGGAACGTCTGGTACTCATTGCTCGCCTTGAAGGGCGGACGACCAGCCAAGAGTTGGTAGATGATGCAACCAAACGCCCACAGATCACTAGCCTTGCAGGCGTTCTTGTCGACCAGCAATTCTGGACTGACATACTCTGCAGTGCCGACAAAGGAGCTTGCTCGTTCGTCTTCGGGGATCTCGGTCGAGTCGATTGGTGGAATAGAGGTCTGGCTCTCGTCCGGTCGTCGCGTCTTGAGGATCTTGGCGGTTCCGAAGTCGGTAATCTTCACATACATCTGGTGGTCCAGCAACACATTCTCTGGCTTCAAATCGCGGTGTATCACGCCGCGCTTGTGCATATAATCTATCGTGTCGAGAATCTGGGCGCCGTAGAACCTGGTACACTCTTCATCAAAGGTGGTCATGCGTTTCAGGACCCCCAATAGCTCTCCTCCTTTGCACAGGTCTAGCACGAAGTATAGTGATCGCTCATCCTGGAACGTGTAATAGAGCCGGACGATACCCGGGTGGTCGGTCAGACGGTTCAGCGTATCTTTTTCAATGTTGACGTATTTAACCTTCTTCTCCTTGATAATGTGTCGCTTGTCCAGGATCTTGATGGCGTATTCCTTCAATGTCTGGCGGTCTGTCGCAAAGACTACCGTACTGTAGGATCCCTCACCGAGCGTGTTTCCAAATGAGAAATCCCGCACACCCTTCTTGATATACCGAGCGACCGTCTTCCCGTTGGCATCGACTTCCTGTCTCACTGCGACCGCAGCTCCGCGGTCCTGCCAATCCTCGCTGCTGGGCGCCGGGCCGTTCTCCATAGCATAGGGTGTTCGCGACATCTGAGCTGGGTTTCCACCGCGGGCATGTGCTCGAGACGATTGCCGCATTGGCACTGGCCCATTGGCCGGAATCTGAGTTGTACGGTAGGACCGATCGCTGTGTGAGTTGTCGCGCGCCAGAACTCCCGCTTGCAACGCAGCCGACCCGCCGCGGGTATCTACTCGCGAATGTGAGGTAGAAGTGGACGAGGCCCCGGAATCGGTTCGCATGCGATAGGAATTATCCCGCGGCAATAGGGACGAGACGGAGCCGTTCGTGTAGACGGAGGAAAGGGGGCGGTTCGGGTTTGGGGGTGTGCCAAACGGCTGTGAAGCGTAATGCTGATGAGAGGCCGACGCTGGTTGGGAGGGATCAGAGACGGGATAGATGACGGAGGAGCGGTTCTCGTTCACTGGGGGATTGTCGAGCGGCGCAGGAGGAAAGGTCGTCTGGCGCTCGTCGAGCGGCGCGGGAACTTGTGGAGGTGTTGATACCGAGCCGTCCGGTTGAACCGTTGGTACCGGACTGGCGACCTCAGATTGGAGGGGTGAATCGTCCGGATTCGCAATTCGGAGCCCTCCCAGCGATTGGGAGAGGCTCAGATCTCCGTTCATGCTGGGCGGGGGATAGGCGACCGGGTGAGATTGAAGGTGGTGAGCGTGCTGGTGTCGGGGAGAGAGAAATCACTTCGGATTTGGGGGGGGGATTCGCCAGGGGAAGGAGAAATGTGAGGCAGCCGACGAACTAAGACGGCGAACGTTGACACCGCGGAGGCATGGTCCCGCGAGAGGATTAAAAGGGGAGAAATAGGAGGAAGGTTGATGGAAAAGGTTCAGCGAGCGAAGAGAATGAAGGAAGAAGAGAGAGCAGATAGAGAGAATCGAGAAGAAGAGAGGGGGGGGCTAGAGAGGAGATCAACAGGAGGCTCCGTTGGTGGTGGAAATCGGGTTTAGTCTCGAGGGGGGCGGAGCATTGAGATTGACAGGTTGGACTCGAATTAGGGATGATTTAGGATTATAATAATAATACTAATCAGTAGTAAGTTAATAATAGCCACGTTGGACCAGCAGGAATGGAGACTGCCTAGAGTCGAGAGAGTAGCCAGTATGGAACACTACTGATTACTCTATGTACAGATGGAGATATCTTCCTATGAAAGGGACAAAATTACCATTTACCATAATTCTATGATAAATATGCAATTCTCTTCCAATGAATTAACACCAGAAATAACGATAGCATGACTACAGTAATATCCGACGAGTATAGTATCTTGCTAGGCGTCGTCCTCACAGCTGCATACCAGATACGGGATCAACCTAGATTTCTCCTCCAGAATGACATGGTGGTCCCTTGAGAGATGTATCATATCGATTGAGACGATAACCAAGTTGGATTGCTTGCACAAAAGACATACTAACAAATCTATACAGGAGGAATACTCTTGTCTTGTCCTGTGGATGGCGCTTTCCTTCCTCTCGGTGTACAGCCCATCAACCTTCAATTCAACCCACCCAGACACCTTCATCAAAAAGCAAAGACCTGAGTCCAGATACAAAACACCAGCGACCATGCTGAGACGACCTCCAACCATCATCTCTCTGACCGAAGATGATCTACAATTCCACCTGCAGCGGATCTCCGCTCGGTCCCTCCCAGTCAACATCGACGAACTGAGCCTGGCGGAGACCGACCAGAACTATGCTGAACAAGAAGATCCCAATCCCACCACCACAACCTCTGAGAAACAACCCCCGAATGATACCAATTCTACCGGCCGGCTCGATCAGCTTTGCACTTTGCATGGCTCGACCTCGGGTCCCTCGTGCATGATTTCGACGGCAGCTCGGACGCACCCAGCGACCCTCCCTGCTTTGATGATGAATGGTTCGACCCACCGAACTATTGTTGACCCAACCCGGGCTCCCATACCTGCTGCCACCACGGCCCAACTGATATCATCTAATCTCCCGCAGACTCGAGCTTCCCGGCTTCGAGAACGCTCGCCCTCGCATGCTAGGCCCGAATTGACCATCCCACCGCAAGAGTTCTTGAATCACCACATTCTTCCATCCCCCAACGGCAAGAAAGGTCCGTCTGCTGCTGCCCCTGGAAAAGATTAAGTTTAGCAGCAATGATCATGTCACTCCCGGGAAGCATAAAGTCGCTGACTACTAGGCCCTCGCGCAGAAAATCACCGTCACAGTCATCCCCAGGATGCATTGACCACTCTAAAGAAGGATGAGTCGCGGCTTTCTACGTCCCAGTCTTCCCAACTGTCGCCCAGTGCCGCGCCCAGTGCCTTACCGGATCTGACCATCAATCTTGTTCCACAGCGGGACCTAGCCTTAGCGCCTGAAGAGTCTTACGAGGCAGGCTTGGCCAACACAGAAGTCTCGCCCACTATGGAGAATACCAACTAAGATTTTGACGCCATTCCCACCTGCTTTAGTGTTGGAAGCCTTCTGTGCGGATCGAAAGTGTGTCTAAATCTCCGGCGGTGGCGTGTTTTCAGATTACGCGCGGTCTGCGCTTGCGAGACACAGGCATCATTATACTGCTAAATATTAATACCTTGTGGCTGGGCTGATTGCATGTTTCCTGGCTGTGTGCTTCTAGGTCAATTCGACGTCTCTAATGTTTCAGCCCTTACGATGCAGCAGATCAAGCTTACACACACTAGTCTACCTTATCAAATCACGATATCACCATTCCCATATGCACTTCTTCATAAATCATCTGCACAGTATAAATAACTACATCCTATCGAGCCTCCGCCGCGAGCAGTAAGAAGAACGGCCGGTGACGCTCAACACTCCACTCCGGATGCGCTGCAACATCCTCCTCCGAAGGAGCCCAATCCTTCAGCCCAGTCAAGACAAACCCATTCTCCAACAACAACGATACATACGTCTCCGTTGTCCGATGATACTTCCTCACCCCATCCGTGCCCAACCAACTCGTAACTCGTAATCCCTCCTCACTATAAGAATTCAATGGCCACACCTTACCCTCCTCCTCCTCCTCCCCGGCACCCTTGACATCAATCCAATCTGCCGCCGGCCGAACAGGTGAGGAATAGATCGGATGCTCCACCGAAAAGACTAGTTTTCCATTCCCAGATCCGTTATTCCCTTTCTTCAAAGAAGAGTGGATCTGCCGGAGTAACCGAGCAAGATCTTCGATGTAGTGGAAAGTCAAAGAACTGTAGACGAAATCGTAGGACTCTTCGTCGAGAATGAGGGTCTCTAGATCACGTATCTCGTAGCTGACTTCGGGCGTGGAAGCGGGTTTTGCATCTTTGTCGAATGATTTCGCTTTCTCGATCATTTTTTCGGAAATGTCGATGCCCTGGATGTAGCTGGCTCCATTTTCGCGGGCCCAGCGGACAAACCAGCCATAGCCACAACCTAGATCGAGGACTCGGGATTGTGGGAGAGTGGTGCTGGAGGAACCGAGAATCATGTGGCGCAGGGATGGCCATTCTGGAGCAGCGGCGAGTCCTTGCTGGGATCGTGATAGTGTACTGTATGCCGAGAAGAACTCGGGGTTGTCGTAGATATTCTGGCTATTGGACTGCATCTTGAGCTCGGACATTATGCCGGCAGGTGGATTTAGGCGTTGATGTTGAAGTTTGGAGATGTTTGAATCTTATAGCAATTTCTGACGGAGGGATACGAGCTCCGATCTCCGTGATGAAATTTCCCTATCGGGTGCCCGGTTCGTGGGGTTACAATGTGGAAAAAGAGGAAGTATACTCATTACTCGCGATACATTGATTTCGAGACTCGCTCGGCTCAATGATAATGAGGGTATTCGAAAGAACGATGAAGATAGAGTATCTATTCCGTAAATTTTGACCAATCAAGTCATACATTGGTTGTATGTAGGGACGTATGCCTAGAATAGCTAGACACAATTTTGCCAGGTCAGCCACTGTCATCAATTCTCGAGATCGAACCCTATCTCCGGGCTGCTTCTTTCACGAAACACCACTTGAGTGTCTCAGTCTACCCAGCAAACTCTCTGTGTCTCGATGAGTCTAGATCCGGGCTGAAACATCGATCCAAAGAATCCAAGCTATGTATAGTTCGCGGGCGGAGAACAACCGCCTCGGCCCACAATTCGGTCGCCTTTGCCGCCCCAGCGACTGACGCGTCCCTCTGCCACGAGGGCTATTTCTGGAAATTCCGCGATTGAACGAGTACGATGGTTGGATTTATTAAGCATTCGGGCCCTTCCGTCCTTGCTGGGAAGCTTCATTCATAAGTAGGATTGGATATTGTACTTCAGGGCATATATGTTGCAGCAGCTTCGAGGTTCTTGTGTCGGGCCATTCCGTTGCTCTCGTATTCGCATCACGCCAGGCTGCAGCCAAGATTTTTCGATCTGGCATGGATGATATTAAATATAGAAGCACGAAAACCAGGATTTGCATCGAAAAGTCCAATGTTTCATCTACCCCGCATGTCTGCTTCACTACTGATACTGATATGCAAGTATGCGAGGAATTGAGACATTCTAGTGAAGCGGTCAAGTAGAAATATATCTTCTGTCGTGATCTTGCGTTGAAAGGTCAGAAATACACGTCTTGCGGTGTATCTTCCGATATTGACCTGGCCGAGCCGACAATTCCATTGGATTGCTAGACGCTGAGTGGAATGTTTGCTTACACAGCCCTGTTCACTATCTATGAATAGATCTGGTCATTCAAAGGCTCGGGAGATCTTTCCAACTCAGTTGACAACGCAGAGTCCATACCATTCTGAATGTACACGCTTGGCCTATAGATGAGCAAACATGACATAGTATGCACCCAGCAGTGCTTTGAGCTCAGATTGACCGAAACGATTAAGAGAAGTAAATCATAGTGGCTGGCCAACATGACTCAATAAGACATTGCAACTGTCGACGTACATTTGCTTCTCGGAGCCGTGATTGCCTGATGTCGAACTTTTGAACAAGTAGAAGTCCAAAGAGATGCCCATGAGGGCACTCCCGATAGTGGTCGTGAGCTCGGAGCGAAGTCAGATAGATATAGCGAACTCGGTGGTGAAATTGCCAATAGCCAGCGGCATTCGTCATAATTTTTGGTCTTGATACATAATCCCCAAGATCTCTCGAGGTCAAGCATAGAAATCTATCTTGGCCTCTTGAAAATTCTCCCGATCTCGTGCATCGCGTACCGAGCTCGCATATTTTTTCGCAGCAAATCCTAAAAGTTCCACAAAACCGAACAAAACACCAAAGATCAACCCAATACCGACAAAGAAGAGTACGATAGCCACGGTGCAAGGGATCACCCATTCAAAGATTCCGTAGGTGATTTCGCAAATGCACCAGGCAATGGACTGGAAGATGAACACAATGGTTTCGAGCATCCAACTAAGAAAATACCAAACTTGTTCACAGAAATGAGTGATGAAAAAGGTAGTCGCATTGAAAGTTTCGGTGAACATCTTTGATAGTAATTCGAGTAAGCTATTGGCTTTGGGTGGTGGTGGTGGTGTTGCACAAAAGGGTGGTTGGAAGTCGAGAGAAGGACGAACAGGTATATGCGTAATGACAACGGCATTTCTTCTTAGACGTACATCTCTCTAGAACGCATAGGTATCGAACTAGGCCAAAAAGTAGGAAAGGGTACAGAATTGGATATGGAGCGAAAACTATGATCCACGGTTCCCAATTGCCCCAATCTGGCTTCGGCTCCTAGGGCATCGGGATCGCCACTGATATTTGGAATAAGGAAGATGAATCTATCTGTCTTACACTCGATCTTCAACTAACCTTTCACAAATTCTCTTCATGAATAGCCAATAAATGGAAATGGAATGAAGTTCATATCGCTACATAGGTAGCTGATAAGTTTCGTGGAGAACGCTCACTGTGGAACTTCTGAAAGTCATCCCATTTAGCGCTTTTCCCATACAAAAGAGGAAGAACAAGTCGGGCATCAAAAATGGCTCTCCACGGATAGCTGTAGGTGCATCGACAGACAACCTCCGAAAGGGGCGATGCGAAACGACGGTGCAACGATGCCTCCTGTTCTGACAATGACCCGTCCTTCTCCATTCAACCTTTTTCAATGCGCCAACAAACATGTCACGGAACTCAATGATTGCTTGTTTGAATGTTGCCGAAGCAGCTGGGGGAGGAATGAATTCGGGAATTAGAGCAAACCGCTCGATAGGGACGGTCTGAGCATGGCTCCAATCGATGATGCCGGTAATATTGTAGTCTCCATCAACGAGTATGTTGTTAAAGTGAAGATCGATGTGACATAACGGGAATGGGCCGTAAATATGTTCGTCCGTAACCATTGAGGTCACTGCCTTCTCAAGGAACCAAGCAGCTGCCTCCCACTCTTGTTCACCTCTGTGCTCTTGGAGAATTGCTTTTGTTTGGGCTCGGCGGAAACGATGAAAGTACTCCAGCGAGGTAGACAACGGACCGATTAGAGAGCCCCTGAAAGAGAATAATACCAATTGGAGCGACTCGGGCTCGTCTGAGTGTAAGATGCGGCCAATTTGGCTGAATTGAATCGTGCTCAGCTCATAGATATAGAGGGCTAGTTGAGAAGCAAACTTTGCCTTGTGCTTATCTGGTGCTGAGAAAGCCATTTGACTTCTAGAACATTTCCAGAAACGGCTTCCATCAATAGATAGGGGTAGCCAAACTCGTTTACCGTCACATCATACCCAATAATGTGGGGAATAGGTATTGTCGTTCTGGTGCGGATCAACTCAATTGTCTATATCTCGCTCAAGAGAGAGGTAGAAACGTTCTCATCTTCTTTCTCTCGGGGAAGCAATATCCTTGCTATCCATTGTATCGCGTCCGAAAAGGTTAGGACAACCACCACATTTGATGCACCACTAGTGAATTTTGCCGTGTCTGCCGAGCAGGCAAGTGTTTTGAGCATGCGCTTCCTCTTTCTTGCGGAACTCCACAGCTCTAGAGCAGAGGTAACTGAAATCCGCGTTATCAAGGACTGTTTGTATTTTGTTTGCAAGTTCACTCTATATGTCGATGTTCTGGAACGAGCTCCAATTCTGGTTGACAGAAGTGACTGTGACAAAGGCGAGGGAACCGGAGCTGATGATCCAAAGAACCGAATTTGAGGAAAGCGAATATTAGATACCAAAGAAAAAAGCAGAAAAGAATTGTAGTCGATAGCGGGGTAGTAGGGAGTCCTGGAGGATATTATTTAGATCTTTATCTCGGGGTCGTGACTGTGGGAGGCTTGACTGACTTGGCGGTTAGAAAGCAGGCTATTGGTAGATGGACGGGAGTATTGCACCAGCAGCTTCGAACTTGATTATCAGTACCAAAGTTCGGTTGCTCCCTTGGCGAGCTTTTGATCGCTCGTAGTCGTGCTATATGAAAGGGAAATTGCTAAAACGACGATACACACATTCTTCTAGTTTAGCGCTGTAATAGTATTACTATCCTCTACAATAGGGTTTCATAAGTTTGAACTCCCGACACATTGTCAAAAAAATGTTAGCACTGACCAGTTAAACGGTATATGTGCTATCAAGAAAGATGATTCGAAAGATATTTAAAAAGGCCTTTCAAAAAAGAGTGATTGAAGCATTTCTAGTTGGTCCGTTTCTCTAGTTTGAAAACTCAGACCTTTGAACTACGTACTCTACTATATTTTGATGATATCCTTAGTAAAAGAAATTAATACCATTACTACTCTAAGCCAGACTAAGGGGTGTGTCGTCGAACTAGCAATCGTGTCTAGTCGTTTTACCAATTCCCGATATCTTGGTTTTCGCATCAGTTGGGTTCGTAAAGTCCCTCACACAACCAATTGATAACTTGCGTTTGTTCAAGTCACTTCAGAGATCAGACGCCCCAGCGGTGTATGTACAAAGCTTCCGTAATAGATTTGGGGGCCAAGTCGGACGTTGATCGTGTGGCGGAGGGCATCGCCATCCGCAAGGCCCCCCGCATCGACGTCGGCCAAGCATTCTTGATCTTTGAATAACAGCACCATGGGGCGCTCGTTCTCTCTTCGGGCAACTGAATTGAACAGAACAAACACGCAGATTGGTGGCAGGTTTTTCAGGCAACTTTCAAAAACCCGGGCAGTTCGATTCAAAACCACGGCCGGGTATGTAAAGGAGGTCTTCTTCCACTTGCTGCTGGAAGATTTGAACTTCTGAATAATTTCAAATTTCTCTCGAACTTGAGCCATCACGATGCTGTTCTCCCAAGCTGTTCTTTATACCGTCGGCATCATGGCTTCCGGCGTGACTGGTTATAAACTAGACTTCTACGACTTTGATGGGCCGCCTGGCAGTGGGTGTGAGAGTGATCAACTCGTTTGGCAGGATACATGGAGCAGTGATACCAGCTCACAGTGTACCCCCTTCAAGCTGTCGGATAAAGTGAAGTACATCCGTATCATAAAAACCGACGAAATCGATAACGAGCAACAAGTCCTCTTCTCGAGCTCCGATAACTGCGACCCCGCCAACGCCGTGCGTGTCCAGGAAGGTTGCTTCGATATCTCCGAAGCCTTCCCAGATGCCAAATCGTACCAAATTGTCTCTCGCAACATTGTTAAACACCCAGAGAAGACCGTTGACTCTTGGTGGACTCCTAAGGGTGACGCATGGTCACCTATCTACATATGGACCGCTACCGTCGCGGGAGTAACGGCAGTCAACGCGATACGATCAAGTCATGGCGAACATATTGCAGCTACAGTTGGCAGACCACTGTGGGCATTCGTCAGTTCACGCTTCATCTCGTCGATTCTGATTGCACAAGTATTTGCCACAGGAGCGGTGTACTTGAAGCAGAACTGGCTTTCCGGGAATAAAGATCATAGACCTTGCGAGAATGCGGAGTCCACGGTGAACCGCTTAGCCAAGATTATAAAGAAAATTGCCCCGGTTGATGAGATTGAGGCTATCAGGGCTACTATTACTTTGAAGGGTGGAAGAACTATGACCATCTCGCACCAGGCTGTCGAAGAGAAAGTTGAATAAGCCGATAATCTTGGGTGGAGAGGTCCTTGGGGATGTTCCTTGGAAATAAGAAGCTCACGGCTAGGGATGAGTAGGCAATGATAGGAAATTGAGCGTGCTGGATTTGAGTCGAAACGTATAGTTTTGCTGGTTGAAGGGCCCATTAACAGCTTCCTGTCAGTTTGAAGCTTGGGTCTAGAAGATCCACGCGCTTCACCTATATGATAATGCCTCCTTCGAGATCCTTTTCTGTCTCGTATCGCTCACGCCATTAGTTAAAAAGACGTCTCAATATACGATAACTTGAGTAGAAGCATGACAACGGTACGCGCTAGTAATCAGACCAATTGTGTACCCCTGACCCTTTCCTATTCCAACAATCTCGTCTGAGCATCGAATGCAGCCATATCACCATAATAGACTAACCTAACGTGCTTGCATACAAATTGCTTGTTGACGACGCAAACATACGCAACGCCCTATGCCAATTTAAAACAAGGCATGAATTAACCGAGTCCTCGGCAACTTTATCTCAAATTGCCGCTCGAGACGTAAGCCCCAAAGCCGGTGGCTTGAACTTTCATGGCAGCCAGATAAAATACTGAAAATACGACCTAGAATTTTAGTTGTACTAGATAGCTGGCAGAGTACGGCAGGGCCAGAGGGTTGATTGTGCTTCCAGATAGAATATACGTTTCCTTCACTCTTCTTGCTGGCTCACCCACCCATCGTCCCCCTTTTTCTTTTGCGACCGTATTTGACAGCTGATACCCCGCCAAGTCCCACCGTCCTTATTCATGATCAGCCAATACCAGGCCAGGGAATAACAAGGAAGAACGGACACTACCAAACCACAGTGTCCAAATGCGACTCCAAGACTTCCCGACTCTCATCACCACCGAGATCGCCTCTTATCTACCCCTGCGAGATGTTGTGATCCTTGCCCACCAGTCCGCTACGCTCCATTACGCATGTATACCACAGCTACGGCGAGCCCATCGACAAATACAGCTAAGCTCATTAGAAGATTGCTGCCATGGCTTCCAAATTCTTCTTTGGACACTACGCTGGCCCGCCCTAGGCCAGTATGTGCGTCATATCGAGATGAACACCTCATATGGAGGGGACTACTGCTTCGATATACCCCGCCCCACCAACACGCGCTCGCTATCCGACAACGACACGAATCTCCTCAAGGACGCTATACGTCGGGCGGGGTATGAAAAGGCCGAATTTGATGAAATGTGGCTACAGATATCGACTATCCCTGAAGATGCCTCCACAGCATATACATCGATGAGCTTCACCACAGATGAGGAAAAAGCCCGTGTTACTCCGTGGGCTCAGGCATTGGCCGCGATATTTATCTCAACATCGCCCAATCTTGAGTCTTTTGCTTTCGCTCCAATCTCTTGGATGCCGGGCGTTACGTGGGAGCCGAGATATGTCTTGAAGGAGTTTCTGGCAAATTCCTGTCGGTATGCGGAGAGCTTCTGTGCCCAGGGCTTAGAGAACTTACGCTGTGTTAGGCTTTTGCCTTGGGGACGACATACGCATAGTATATACGCCGGTTATCCGTTGTCTGTCAGTATAAAGCTGGTTGGGAATCTACCCGCAGTGCAGACTTGCTGGATCGAGGATGTCCAATCTCTTGATGCCATCGAGGTGCTGGAACCTGCATCTTGTCATTTTAAGACCATCCGCATTCATCGGTCGTGTCTGGGCTTTCGGACCTTGGGGAATGTCATTCGCTCCTGCAAGAAACTGGAAGAATTCGAGTATTCTTTTGGTTCTTTCCAGACCGAGGATTGGAAGTCGGTTATATACGGTCACGACTTGCTGGATGCGCTGTGCAGCCAGGCAGAGACATTACGCGTCTTGCACCTGGATCTGGGGGCTCAGCAAACCGATGTGAAGATTAGAAATTATGGTCACACCGGCGAAGACACCGCAGGACTGGCGGATTTGAGTGCCATGACTCATTTGGGCCTCGATATGGACTTGTTGCTATACTTTGCGCGGGGGTTGACCGGCAGCGATGACGACGGTCACTTCTCGTTGATAGAACAACTGCCACCTCAGCTAGAGTGTCTTACCATCTATGGGTACCAGCCAGGAATGAATGCACAATGGGATGAGGTGCTAGAGGAGTTGAAGGAGACGATCGTCGATGGAGACGAAACTGTGTTTACACTGCGTGGGGTCGACGAATACCTTCGACATCCCATGAACAATGCTTAGAATGGCGACAGAGTAGCCACTGTTGGCACCCAAATAACCGTTTAAGAATCTATAGATAGCAACAAAATACTGTCCGTCTAAAAACTACGGCACACTTCCTATTCCTCCCTCCCTATCCCACAACCCTCAAACATGGTCGAGCCGTTGAACCAAAACCACTCGCCAATCCCAGCTCATTTTCCTCCAAAAAGTTCCCCTTGCCAGGTTCTCTCTGGCTACCCACTTTTCCAGTCCATGCAGACGATTGGCAGGTATCCAATCTCCACCGCTAGTCTTGGCTCGTGGGGGCCCACGTAGTAAACGCCACCCCAATCTCCCCTTGAACGCAGCCGAACCATGGTGCGGGTTGTGTGAGAGGAGGGTATGATTGCCGTTGGATTGTTGGTGTGTAGGGCGAAGGAAGTTACATGTATTTATTATTGTGTATTGTTGCTAGCGCTATGTAGGTCTAGGCCGTTCGTCTTGTTAGGTGTTGCTCTCATAGTAAGATGTGCTAATGATTTGTGCTAATCTTTCGTTCATCGGTCCGTGGCGAGGCGAGGCGTTTTGGAGGAGGCGACATGGGGCTGTATTAGGTGAGAGCTAGTGAGACGAGATAAAATCCTTCGCAATGGAGAAACTACTATATGCTAAACAGTTATCAAAGTACATACTTTCTACGAGGAATAAAGTAGAGAATCATGATCGTCAACAGGCTTCAATTAGAGCAACATCACCACATCAAGCAAGTCTAAAAAAAAAGTGTGTATCGAGAAAAGAAGGCCACAAGCAACGTCCAACTCTAGGTGACAGGGGGGAAAAGATGGAGACGGATAGATAGATGTGGAAAGAAAGATAGATAGTGTAGAAAATAGAGAGGGGGAGATAGGATAGAATCACATGAAACGCCAACAAAGATCATCTCCCAGATGCCGCTTCAGATGCTCCCTTTGCATGTGTATTTTTTCCCGTGACAGTGTGATCTCGTGCAAGTGTACCAAAAAAGGAAAGGAGGAAAAAAAGAGGACATTGAGATGGAAAGAAGAAGAGGAAAAACCCGCAAATTATCTACTGCTGGGCCTTCTTGGCGAAGACCTGGGCACCATCGACCAGGCGGCGCTCGGAGTTCTGGCGACCGTTGACGAAGTCGGGGTAGTTGAGGGTCAGCTCAACGGCACCGTTGACAATGTTGTCAACAGCCTCGACACCGAGCATGAAGGAGTGGTCCTGGTTGCCGACCTCGTAGCGCCAGCTACCGAAGCGACCACGCGACCAGATACCCTTCTCCTGGAGCTTGGGGAGGATCTGAGTGAGGGCACCCTCACGCTCGAGGGAGGGGGTGGGGTAACCGTGGTCGAAGCGGCGGTGGTAGGTGGAGACAATCTCGTCACCGGGCTTGAGCATGTCGGTGTTGACCAGACCCTGGATGGAGTCGGCGAGGAGGGTCTCGTTGTTGACAGCCTTCATGGAAGACTCAGAAACCTCCAACATGATGGACCAGTAGGGGCCCTCCTTGGCCTCGTTGCTGCTGGGCTTGGAGCCATCAGCCAGCTGGAGAGTAGGCAGCTTCTTGGAGGCATCGGGCTGGTTGTAGGGGGAGTAGTTGGAGAAGATGGTGGCACGGTAGAAGGGGCAGTTGTCCTCGGGGAAGTACAGCCAGCACTTGTCACCGATGCGCTCGGGACGAGAGCCACGGATACCAACACCAATGACGTGGGTGGAGGAGTAGAAGAGCTGCTTGGTCAGGGGCATCAGCTCCTTGTCGTCCATGGCCTCGGCCAGGAAGTCGACAGCCATGGTGGAGACCAGCTTGGAGTAACCGATGGTGGTGCCGTCGGCCAGGGTGACAGTCTTGTTGTTGGCGTTCACCTTGGTGACCTTGCCCTTCTCACCGAAGCGAGTCTTCTCCTTGGGGAGAGTGTTGGCAACGGCAATCCAGATACCACCGGTACCGTCGCGGGCGGGGAAACGGAAGGTAGCGTTGGGACCCCAGTTACCGGCGGTCTTGTTGAGGATGACGTTGGTGGTCACAGCCTTCAAGTTGGGGGCAGCGACACGCTCACCGAGCCAAGCGCATTGCATCTGAGTGGAAGAGGATCGATTAGTTTTGCGAACTTAGGCGATGCGCGGGGGGTTTCCTATTATGGTCGCTTACCTTGGTGGTGGGAACGGCCCAGACCTTGTAGTTGTAGGGACGCATGAACAGGTCGGCGATACCAGTACCCATCATACGGACGATCCACTCGTCGAAGTTCTTGGGCTTGGTGTTGGCAACGCGAGCCTCCATGGCAGCATCGATCATGCCGTCAATGCACTTAACCTGCTCGGCCTTGGGCAGCATGGAGATGTTGTTCTGGAAGGGGTAGGGAACCCATTGCTCCTGGCAGCGGACGTAGGAGATACGCTCGTGAGTGTACCAGTCCTCGTCCTTGGGGAGGGCCTCGTCGATGCAGTCATCGAAGTACTTGTAGTGGGAGAAGATAACGTGGCCACCAACATCGTACAGCTGGAGAGAACGGGGATTCACAGGTCAGCAATTGTTCGATCTTGCGGAGCGCAGGCGGAGGTCATCGCTCGGGGACGGGGACGGAGAAGTAAACATACGAAGCCCTCAGGGGTCACATCAGTGGAAGCAAGACCACCGGGGATCTCGTTAGAGTCGATAATCAACCAAGATGGGCCATCCTATTCAATTGAGTTAGTTGGGTCTGATTCTCGTGGTACCCCTCCATCCAACCCCTTATTTTTTTTTCGGGCGGAGGAGGGGGAAATCTTCACCGCCGAATTGACGACGATGAAGAGTCGAGAAGAGAGACTTACGATCTGGTTGAGACGCTTGGCCGCACCCAAACCAGTCGGGCCAGCACCAATGACGAGAACGTCAACAGTACTAGGTGAAGCAGTCAGTTTGGTGATGCTCAATTGGGGGAGGGAGCAGAGTCGTCCTTACATGTCGGGGTGGGTCATCCTGCCTTGAAGGAGGTCCTGGAAGCTGGGCACGCGTTTAAAAGTTCGGCGAGCGATGTTCAGCATAAGAGAAAGCAGTAGCAGCAGAGAAACTGCGAGAAACTGGCTGAATATGAGGGGGGGGAGAGAGGGAGGATGATAAATGATGGAGGAGATGGAGAAAGGAGGAAAGGTGGGAGGACACGACAAGCAGTAGTGTACCGTGGGCCACCAGCTGGTCTGTGGCCAGTGGCCGGGACCTCTCTTATGGTGGTGGACAGTGTGGACTTCGGGTGGAGGGCGGTGGAGAACGTCCAGAAGCCCGTCGTGTTTCCGCACCAAAGTTAAGGGGCAACCAATGATGTCGTCTGGTTAAGGGGGCATGGAAACGGACCCGGTACTTTGCCAGTGTTCCAGCGGTGTTGAGAGTGGGGTGCCGTGCCTGTTTCAGGTTAACATTTTGTGTCTCCAGAGCCTGGCCCTTTTTGGGCTGATAGAAGATGAACTCGAGGAATGAACGGATAGAAACAATACTGCAATAAGGTATTTGATACTCTTTAAGCCGTGTACTATGGAATAGAGATGAGACTACACAATGTTCAAGTCATTGATCGGATTACCTGTTTGACTGTATATCAACTGCTAGTTAACTCCGATAGCCATATTAAAATCATCTCTACAGAACAGTATCTCCTCAGTAGAAACCAATAATCTACTGTCATTCCCCATTCCCCCCTTCTCTTATCACAGTCTATGAATGCAGCCAGCGCATAATCCAGCCCCCTCTGATAACGACTACATTATGCAGACCATCCCCAGTGGCCCCAGGGGCGCTGCCGCGAACAGTCAGGGGAGGCTACTGCAGTGGTCAACACATCAGAACGCGTACGCTTTGATCTGATTCTGGAGACCCGGGGAGACAGATTTGATTTCGTCGCCCCTTTTCTTTTGATTCTTGGGTCAAATCATCAAATGAAATGTTTTTACTTGATTGCCAAGTCTTGCTAGTGATCATCTCATTCGCCATCACAGCGCCACCTGCCAGACCCTGGTTTTTAAACTATCGAATCTATCACAAACCACGCAACGCCGTTGGCTCTCATCTTCATAGAGGAGGGGGAGCTTATCATGATCATTTTAATCCTTCGACCAAAAGAATTTGATTATAATGTCATTGGTTATTTCTCCCAAGGTGTATGCGATCCTCTTCTTCTACATCCGGCCAAAGTCATCACTCCCCCTCGGCCTTGGCAGCACATTTCAGGGTCTCGGCACGAATCAGGAATGCTGTTATCAGCTTCCCATCTCGGAGTATTTTGATTCGCATCTTGTTCAAGGGGCGACCTACTTTTAGAAATTTCTCTTTTTTTTCTTGGGGCAGGCAAAGGGAGAGGAACCGAAGCAACGAGGAACGATTCCCGATCGGTTCTTCGACGGGCTAAAAACGCCACCGATGTCGTTTGGCACGTTTGGAAGGATCGCTAAGCTCTGGTCTGCGAAATTGGCGTCCCTCAGTGGATGTGATACAGTGATTGGTATCATATGTCGCCTGTTGACAGGGACTACTACTTCATAACATGGATGTACTCCTCACGGAAGGATGCTGATATACTGAAGGATTGTCGGGTGACCCCTATCTAGACATAGCAAATACAGAGAAGTAGTTTAGTTAGACTCCTTCGAGTGTTACAGCTTGCGTAACCGATATGCATGGATCATAACGAAAAGGCCCGGTCTCAATTTTTTTTTTTCTTTTTTGGTGTCTCAATTTTTGATGTACATCATCTCTTGCCTTCTGTAGACGCGATCCCTGAACCCTTCGCGGACCAGCATCCGTAGGACGATCGTCCAGCAGTCTCCGATAGATCAAGGTGCTGAGCAGCACGGCGTGTGCGAAAAAGGGGTCCACTGATTGACCGTCCGTCCCTACCAAAGAAGGGAAGACTGACGAGGATCTTCTCAGTTAAGAACCAGGCTTCGATCTCATTGATCGACAAGTTGCCCGAGAAGTTCTTGAGCGGGAGCCCGCAAGTCGTTGGCCCCTCAATTACATATACCCTTGGAGCCATGGCCCGCCCCCCAGTGACACTCTGTTGGATCTCTTCCATACGCAGGACGGACAACCGGGTTGGTACTTGGTGTATGGAGTACAACCAACTACTCGTACCCAGGCGGAGAAGGATTTCAACTCTAGATGGCCGCAGGGGCGCTATGGCATCTGGCATGAAAAAGTTAAAAAAGCTTCTTTTTATTGTGAGAGGGGGGCAAAATAGAGATTTGGAACTCTCCACTTATCGGTCCTCCCCTCGTTCCCCGGGCCCTACCAGGCACCGTTTCGTTGCTTCTTCTTAGCCCCCGTTGATGGTCCTGTTGGCTCTTTGGTTTTTCCTTTCCCTTCCCCCCCCCTCTGGTGGTGGAGCCCCAGTCCCTGGATAGAGGGGACAATGGCGTCAGACACAGCCTCCTAAGGCGATCGCCGCATTCTCCACCCGTAAGGGACCAGGGCGGATGCAAATGGCTGTGAGCCTCTGAGGGATACTGAACGCGGGCCTGGTGGGTCGGGGCTAAGAGCTGCTTGCGTAATGCCTGCCTTCTTGTCAGACCTTTGGACCGTCAATGTAATTTGGATCAGCAGTGGTTTTGCCTGGCCGAGGACAGTGGTGGTCTCTCTATCTCAAACCAATGCGTCGTGACTCGTGATAGAGGGACAGACGGTTACATTTGTTTGTTGTTCCTGGAAATGTGCGTGTCCTGAAAGGTCTTATCTTGAATTACCGCATTGGGGTGATTGGGGCATCCCATGAAGCGGTAGTGTCTCCGTACTCGGCTGTCAGTGTCACAAAAATGCCAATCTAAGAATAGCGTCAACAATTCCAACCAGCAATAATGTGGGAAATCTATATCAATAATTCGGGTAATAATAAGGACAAGACTGTGGTGAGCCAGACCAGAGACGACGGGTGTCAGTGGAGCGTGGGTGAAGTTGGCCATGTTGATTGGTCGGTTTGGAAAAGAAGTTGCCACGAGTTGGCTGCGTTTTGCGTATGGACTGTACTGGTTTGGTCATTACCAGGTCAGCGTGTATGATTCTTTTGTCACACCCACCCAAAACACTCCCGATAAAGTCCAGGTGGCCTTTGCAGCCCTCGTCACCCTCCGTACCTGACAAGCCTCGTCAACACTGCAGCCACTGACTGCAGCCCCCGTTTTGGTTTCAAGTTCCCAACTCTGTTTGCAGCGGAGACTCCAAAGCGGAGCCGTTCGACGGCGTGTTATTTTACAACTAAACAGTCCTCATTTCACTTCATTTCCCAAGGTCCAGAACTTCTTTCCAGCTTTCTCTCGCCTTTCTCTCCGTGCTGGAACTTTACTGCTGACCAGTGACCAGTGATCAGTGGTTCTCTACACCCGAAAATTTACAGTACGTACTCCATTCCATCCCTTCACCTACTACCGCTGCTTTTCCATCATCATTTCTTCATCCTTTTTCCCCCACGCTCCTTAGACAACCTTTTGGTGTTGGCGCATTCTTGTTCTTGTCATCTTTTTTTGGGTCCAACTCCAATCACACACTCGTTAACCACCCCTCGACCTCCAGTGTCCCTTATCGCCTTTTAATCTCTCCCGTTCTCTACCCCTCGTGGCTTCCTCCGCGTTTAGCCAAGGAAGCCTGACTCGGCCCCGGCCCTTTGAATTCCGACAGTTTCTCTCTGATCAAACTCGATCATTCACTATGAGTTCCGACGGCGAGAAAGTCCGCGCCTCTGGCGAGACTCCCCGCGAGACTCTGCCTACCGTGAACCCGGCAGTTGAGAAGCAGGAGGCTCCCAAGGCCGCCTTCCACCCCGCTGTCTACGTGAGGTGAGATTTTGCAGCTCGTTCTCCGGAGACGTCCCGCACTCCAGAGAATGGAGAGACATCGTTAAGAAGACGAGACCCGAGGCTAATACCACAATTTGCAGTGTCTGGATTACTCTCAGTTCTTCCGTTATCCTGTTCAACAAGCACCTCCTCGACTACGCCAACTTCCGTGAGTCGCCGAGTCCTCCTCACGCGACAAACTGACCTGCGTTTCTGACCATTCTTCTCTCTCTGTACAGGCTTCCCCATCGTTCTCACAACATGGCACTTGACTTTTGCGACGATCATGACCCAACTTCTGGCCCGCTGCACCACCGTTCTCGACGGCCGCAAGTCGGTCAAAATGACTGGCCGTGTCTACCTCCGCGCAATTGTCCCCATTGGTCTTATGTTCAGTCTGAGTTTGATTTGCGGTAACATGACCTATCTGTACCTGAGCGTTGCCTTTATCCAGATGCTGAAGGTAAGTGACTTTTGAGCTGTCGGTTTTGAAGTATAGCAAGTTCTGGGGCTAATTGCGGATCGATTCTGTTGGTATAGGCTACCACTCCCGTTGCTGTCCTGCTCGCTACTTGGGGCATGGGTATGGCCCCCGTCAACTACAAGACTCTCGGAAACGTCTCCATCATCGTCCTTGGTGTTATCATTGCCTCCTTTGGTGAGATCAAGTTCGTCCTGGTCGGTTTCCTGTTCCAGCTCGGTGGTATCGTTTTCGAGGCCACTCGCCTGGTCATGGTCCAGCGCCTGCTCAGCTCTGCCGAGTACAAGATGGACCCCATGGTGTCTCTGTACTACTTTGCCCCCGTCTGTGCAGTCATGAACGGTCTCGTCGCTCTCTTCCTCGAGTTCCCCCGCCTGACCATGGACCACATCTACGGTGTCGGCATCTGGGTCCTGCTGGCCAACGCCATGGTTGCCTTCCTCTTGAATGTTTCCGTGGTGTTCCTGATCGGCAAGACCTCTTCCTTGGTCATGACCCTCTGCGGTGTCCTCAAGGATATCCTCCTGGTGGCTGCCTCCATGTTCATCTGGAGCACCCCGGTCTCAGGTCTCCAGTTCTTCGGTTACTCTCTGGCTCTCGTCGGTCTGGTCTACTACAAGCTCGGTGGTGACAAGATCCGCGAGTACACCGGCCAGGCCAACCGTGCCTGGGCCGAGTATGGCAACACCCGTCCCGCCCAGCGCCGGTTCGTCATCTTCGGTGCTGCCGCTCTCATCTTCTTCCTCTTTGTCGGCTCGATGGCTCCCAGCTACGCTCCCGGCCAGGTCGACCGGGTCAAGGGCATGCTGGGTGGTGCCACCTCCGGCAATGCTTAAATGCGTGACCTGCCCTAATCATTCCTTCGAAGTGATGTCGCTCCTTATCTGCTGAAATGCGAACAGAGTCCATATCCGAAGGTAATGAAGGGTCGATGAAGTGCCTGGCTTGTTGCAACTGAAGGACCTTAAGGTGTAGGAGTTTAGGTACGATTACGCCACCACTGTTACAAAAAAGGGAGAGAAAGCATAGTTGCATCTAGAAACTTCTTGTCGCCCTGGTCTTCTCTTCCTGTGTCATTTTTTTCCTTTCTTGACACCTCATTTTTGCTCGGGAGCTGGCTTCGGCGGCATGCAGGAAATGCAGCCGTTGACCAGTCTCCCACCCCGGAGACTCGCGTGATGGAAAACGGAGATTCTCTGGGCATTTCCTTCCTTTCCATTCTTTCCTCGACTGCATCCCCCCGCTATGTATACTGTGACTAGGGACGGGTGTTTGCTGGCGGTGTATTTTCCCGTGTTCTTTCATAGCTTTCCCTCTACCTGTTTCCTTACCATTTTTTTTCGACGAACAGATTTGAATGTTGTACCTTGCACGAGCTCCGGTGTCGGTTTTGCTTTGGACTTGACTCGTTCTGGTGTTGTTTTTTTTTTCTTTCCTTTCTTGCTGTCTTCATAGTTTGACAATAGACTTTTTTTCTCAAGGGTTCCTTCCATGTTGTATTCGGTGTGGGTGGCCTGTGCATGAGGAGGTATTTTTGGGGGGGGGGGGGTTGGGAGGATTTGATTGGCAGCCCTGGGGTGATAGGGTGATAGGGCGAGACGGTGAAGCTACAGTACAGTCTACGGGAGGTGGATTACCCCGACATACCAGCTCGATTACCCAGGTGACTGCATGGCTGACGAGGTGACGGGGGCCAAAGAGAAACCTGCGGACCGGCCGATGGCAGCCCCGACAGGACCAAGTTACGCGCAGTTAGTCAGTGACCAGCAGCTGAAATGACTGAAATGACTGGCAGGAACCGTGACTGGCGACGGGGCTGGGCCATGCTGGGCTGACTGGACACGACTAATGATTGGCCAATTGCCTGTAGCGGAGCCCCACCCGCCGCAGCCAAACGACGTCGGCCAGTGCTCGGGGCTCCACTGGTATGGTTTCGGTATGGTCATGGCTGATCGGAACTATCCTACATGCCCGTGTACGGTGGTTTCGTACGGTTCCCTCCGCATTGCGGATCCCCCTCCGATCGCCTCAGATCGTCTTTGCGCTCTTCTTCGCTTTCTTCCTCTCTTCTTTCTTCCCTTTCCTGTCTGCCTCTTTGACTCGCCTACTACGACTCTCTTGCCAATCATCGTCCCCCCGAACTCTCTTCTGTCCTACCGCCATTTGGTCTCTTCTCTTATCTTCTCCATATCCCTCCTACCTTTCTCTTCTATACTTCTTCGCTCTCTCTGTCCCTTCCTTCATTCTACAACCTGCACGCTCTTAGCTCGTGATCTATATACCAGGTGGTTGAAGCTTATTGTGTGTTGCTCACTTAACCCTACAGTACAGTACCTCTCGTCTAGGACATCGCCAAGACCTTCATCATGTGTCCTATGATCCTCAATCGCCTGTCCGATGGTCCCGCTATGGTCCTCTCTCCTTCCCAAGAAAACGCCTTCGGCCAGCTCCCCTCCCAGTCCTTGCTGGATACCCCGGGCAGTTTCCACACCTACCCGGGGAACTTCAACTCCTCCGCCTTCGGGGCCAACAGCTTTGCCCAGCCAGCCGTGAATACCAATGTCTCCGCTGCTCCCGCTCCGCCCAAGCCGTCTCGGAAGAGGTCGCGTGACGAGGCTGCCTTTGATGATGCCCTCGCTGTCAATGCTCCGCCGCAGCCCCAACCTGCTTCCGCTCGCAAGGAGGAGCCTATCTATGGCGAGGGAATGGTTCTGTTGAATCCACAAACCGGCCTGGCAGTCTCCGCCGAGAGCCAAACGGGTACTTGGTATGAAGAAAAAACCGAGTCGCAACAAGCTACGGCGGCTCCAATCTCGTCGCGATCTATTGCGATCCAGTCAGATGGTGCCGATATCAGTCGTAAGGCCCAGCGGCTTGATACCTCTGCCCCAGGTCTGGATGACATTGCTCTCGCGTCAATGCACCAGCGATTGAACGGCTCCGACATGGCTGACCAGCACCGCACCGCCCCGGCCACCCCCCAGCCGAACCACTCATCGACGATGCCACTCGCCTCCTGGGCATCAGCTGGCAGCGCATTGATACCGACGACGACATGGCCCCTGCTGTCCGTGGTTGGACAAAGTATATCGACAACCAGTACGCCGCCTATCTCCACCACTCGCAGATGCTCATGAAGAGCCGCGCACTCAATGCCTATCTTGTCGCCGCTATGCCCGTCTCCGCTTTTTCACCGGCTTTTTACCTTTTCAATGAAGACCTCACTCAGGGTCAGCTCGTGGCTTCATCGTGGGAATCATGCCTGAACAACCTGCGCTCCACTCCTCCCGTCTTTGAAGGAGCCGCTCCTCTCGCTGCTGCAAGCCGTCCACAACCCGCCGCCAACCCCTTCACTGCCGCCTCCGCATCTGGGGTACCCCTTCTGCAACAAGCTCTTTCAAGCCACTCTCACTCGCCTACCTGTGGCATGGACGCGGGAGCGGGGCTGAACGGAGGCGTTGAAATGGGAATGGAAATCGACTCCTAAGCACTCGCGCCTAATTATCTTTTTGCCCAAAAGTCACAATCGATCATCGAACGCGTTCAGCACCGGACCGCCGACCTTCGACCAGAAGATATTTCTTCGATGCCGCCGCCCGATCGATTCGCTCGCTCGCCGTTTCGTGCTTCGTGCTTCGTACTTTGCGCTTCTTCTGATTGTTCTTGATTACTCGATTTCTAGTCCTTTTTTTGCTTTCCACGCCCGCGCCTAACTGACCCAGTTCGGCAATTCGCTTCAAAACTCATCCCAGGAGGGTGAGTGGGTATGGTGTTTACTGGTTTTCTTTAATTTTTTTTTTTTTCTTTTCTTTCCTTTTGGTGGGGATTCTGGCTCTGGCGTCGTAATCGTTTTCTTGGGGGGGGGGGTTTATTTGCATGTTTTCCTATTTATTTTCCTTCTTGGCTCTGATGTTTTATTTACCTACCATTATCACAAATTTATGACGCAAATGAAACAAGAAAAATTCAGATTTGAGATTTGTGTTGAGATCTTAGAGGGTTTTTCGGGTCCTGTAAAGGCACAATATGTCTCGAGCGCGACCCGCAACACAACAGGCTTGCAGTCACAAGTTGAACCATAGACCACAGAAACGGTATCTATGCAATCAAGAAAGTTGATTATAAAAACATCTAGAAAGTGGCTTCAAATGAGAGTGATTGAAGTATGTCTGGTTGGTCCGTTCCAAGTCTCTTCTAACTCAGACTTTGAACTGCCACTGTGTTCCAGGACTGTGTTCCTGACCCCTCCGGGTGTCATCCCGTAAATGCCCACTGTATGTGGTACCTAGTCAACTCGCCTAGAAATATTTCTTCCACCGCGAATTGAATCTCCTATCTCCCGTCTCAAAGCCCGCATAGTCTAATTGTAATTTTCTTCCTTGACATGATCTTCCCGCACTTCCACCGGACTAGTACTCTCACTCTCCTTGCCAGCAGCCACTCCACCTCCATTCCCACCGGCACCATTGTCACCACTGGCATTAATATGCGCGCGCAAAGACGGATGTCTCGCGCGATCTGTGAAGAGAAAATCGATTTCTTCGAGGGTGAGGTTTGCTGTTTCGGGGTAGAAAAAGTACACAATCTACGAGCACAGTCAAGGTGAGCCAGGGATTAGTATTGTGCTCGATGCATGGAAGGACTTGGACTAACCGGAACAAAAGCCAGATTCAAACACATAAAGATAAGGTAACCCTTCCAGGCAAGATTCTCAATTAATGTTGGGGTGATCATGACGACGAAGAAATTCCAGAGCCAGTTTGCGGAGATGCCGATTGCTTGGCTGGTAGGCAGGAAGTGATTGTGAGGTTAGCAAGGCCCTATATCTATGTTTGATATTGAGGGGTAGAATATTGTATGTGATGTACGTACCCTTTTGCCCGTACATGCAGTGGCAGGATCTCTGGTCCGTACACCCAGGGGATACAGTTGACCGAGGCACCGAAGATGAGCATGAAGAGGAAGAAGAAGGCGACTGAGGCTGAGGCTGTTGGTTTTTCGATGGATGTTCCTGGTATTGTGTTAGTTAGAGATTTCTTCAACAAAGAAGAGACATATATGGGTAGCTGCTGGTCATATACCCTTGAACGAGAGTAGAATAGAAATCATCATCATGGATATAAAGAGACCGAAAGATCCCCACATCATGGGTTGGCGACGACCGTATCGGTCGGAGAAAAAGGTTGGATAGAAGGAGCCTAATTCAATCGTTAAATTAGAATCCAGGGTTGATGAGACGATGCAGACAACATACCGATCACAAACATGATCTGAATCACTCCCCCGAGCAAGAGACTCAATTTCCGATCTAAACCAACATTGTACTGCAACACCGAGGTCACATAGTACTAATCATAACGATCAGATGATTAGCAAGGTCCAACTCGAAGAATCTGAGACTTGAGACACCGCTTACTACAACCAGATTGATGCCACCCATCTGATTCATGAATTGAATCCCATAAGCCAACAACACCCGCTTCCCCGTCTGAACCTCATCCCGCTTAAGAATCTGCGACCATTTATATTCGCCATGTAGCGTCTCCAATTCAATGGCCTCCAGGATACCCTCTGACTCGGACACAACCTTTGGATCATCAGGTTGCATGTTATACACATCACATAGAACCTGCAACGCTTCATAGGGTCGGTTATGGCGATATAACCAGCGCGGACTCTCGGGCAAACTAACACATCAAACTCTCATCAGTAACACGCCCCTCCAAGAATGAAGTAAATGAGAGAATAACGACTCACCCAAACACCAACAAAATCACCATAATAGCAAATATCATCTGACAAGCTATGGGAAGACGCCAATTGATCGCGCCGGGGACATACGACATCCCATAATCGAACCAGTATGCAATCACGATACCGACACCAACGAATAATGGCTCACTACTCACATACTTGCCTCGTTTCCTGGCTTCGCAGAGTTCGGATTGATAAACGGGGACGGTGGTTGTTTCGATTCCCGTGCCAATTCCTGTGACGAAGCGGGCTACTAGGAGTTGTGCTCGGGAGAAGGCTGTTGTTTGTAGTGTTGCACCGATCTAGGTGAAGCGTGGTGAGATTGATGGTTACCAAGTAACTGCACAAAGGTTGTCTCTGAAAGACTAACGATGATCCAAACCATCGCAAACCACATCGACCTTCGTGGGCCGAGTCGATCGCCCGTTACGAAAGAAACGATGGTACCGGTGAAACAACCCAGGTTGTATATTGATACGATGATTCCGAGAATTCCTGCGCTGGGATGGTGTATGACTTCGAGGAAATCGTCATTGCCGACGATTCCAGAGAATACTCCCTGGTCGTATCCTTCAATGTGATATGGCACTGTCAGTTATCGTTGAGATGCACGACACCTTGCTTCTCCCATAAGATACCGAGTAAAAGAAGCAGTGAAAAACATACCAAAGAGAATAAAAGCCAATTGGCAGGTAAACATAATCGCCATTCTGAGCGGCCGCCCACGGCCGTATATATTAAGCTTGACCATTACGAGGCGAGGCGAGGTGCAGATCAGTCTTCTTGGTGTTGTTCAACAAAAATAATACAAAAATAAGGTAGAGCAAGCATACAAAAAAGCAAATAATCTGGCTCGCATGAGGCAGTCTAAATACTTAATCCCCCGCAGAAGCCCTAGAGCAGGAAATACAAGATCTGGGAATACCACATTGATCCCGTACAACCGAGCCAGTCAGTTCCCAGCTCGACCAATCCCCTTGCATGGCATAGGGTGTTCCGTAAGCCTGTCCTCCGAATTTGGCATTCTAGAGCGCCGGCTTTGTCTTGGATTTCACTGGAGAGGGGTGAATCACGGAGTTAGGCCGGAGGATGGTCGATAAGGGTATGTTTAAGCACTGGAGTAGAAGGTAAAATGGTTGCTGTGTGAGATGCTAGCGGGTAAACGGGATAAAGGAATGTTCCAGTGGTATATGGGAGAGATCTTTTGGAAGTTACGTTGGAGGTTTGGGAGGCTTTCTGCCAATACTGTCTCAGTTTGTACCTTTTATCCTGTTTCTCCACATCTTTCTGTATGCAATCTACTCAAGTAAGAGCACTCCTGGGTGATATGGAAGCATAGTAGCCCAGCAATCATCGAAAATTTATCATCCTCGGTTCTCAATGCCTTTTGCGGGGGTACGCAATCCGGGGAAGACAATCCACACTGGGAAGCTCGTATGTCCCCCGCATCTTGCGATCGGGGAGGAAGCCGATCGTCTCACGGACTCAGATAAACTAGGTTGAGGATCTGCAGACTTGTGTATGTTTGTGGTAAGTATCTACTACGCAATGAGCGGTTCTGATTGTCGTATTTGGTGAAGAGTTGGGGAAGTCGGGGAGAGTATGACTAGAGGGGTTGTGGATGGGCTCGAGTGCACGATGTTGATGAAGGAAGGGGACAGGTGTAGATATGATTTGTACGAGGCCAAAGGACTTACAATATAGCTTTAGTGGGATGAAGAGAATTAAGTTATTTTTTTGATTTTGAATTATTTTGTTTATTGTTCTATGCCAAGCCAATTCTCACGGTTGTTTTTGTGCACGACATCATCCCTAGCTATCAGGGCGATAAAGATATTGGCGCTTCTATGGAAAACACGCTGTAGAGCTTGATGTTGGGTCTCCTCCCCTGGCAATCACGTTAATCATAGTCGTAATCGCTGCCCGCATCGTAATAGTCGTCTTGGTAATCATTGTGGTACTCTCCGGCGAACGCGTCGTCGACGTGGTCATCCTCAGCATCGTCTTCGTCCTCGTCCATATCGTCGAGATCAGGGCCTGTAGGCTCATCATCATTTGCGGGGACAGCCGGAGCGGTCGCTGACGGGGTCGACACAGCGGAGACCAAAGGAGCAGTGGGAGGTGGCGTGGGCTGGTGAGCAGCGAAAATCACAGGCTTGCTGGTCACACCCGAAGGAGCTCGCGAGGACGCGCGTGCTGCACGTCGGGAGCGTGCCGGTGCCGGCTCAGGTTGAACGCTCACGCTGCGGCGTGAAACAACGCTCTGGCTGCGACTGCGACTGCGACTGTCGCTTCGGCTCAGAGACTCCACTTTCGCAGTTTTATCGCTTGAGGCGTCTTGGTCGTATAGGTTGTCGAGAAGTGAGTAATTGATCTTCTTGCTGTACCCACGCTTCTCCAACATTCGGCGTGTGGCCTCCGCCGGGGTTGAAGCGCGAGAGCTGCGACCATCCTCGCCATCGCCCTCGAGGTAGGTCACATCACCAAGACGGCCCTTGCGGCGCTTTCTAGGCTTGGATGTAGAGGGACCAGCAGTGGCTTCGACAAGTGCCCGCTTTAGGGCCTTTGCCTGTTGTGTGCGAAGATATTCCTTATTCTCGTGGACCCAGATGTGCTCTTTCAGCTCGATTTCGTCGGTGGAGAGCAGGCAGTTGACAACTTCGGGATCGTCCGCAAACTCGGCCTCGTCGATATCAACGCTGTCAGAAACGACACTGACCGGTTTGGGCTCGGTAATACTCTCGACTAGATCCGAACCTTTGGCCAGCATGGTCTGGATCTCTTCTTCAAGTGCATCCTCCGATGCAATTTGATCTGCAGAAGGTGCGGGATAAGATGGGCGCCGAGAGCCCTTAATCTTCACGTCCTTGAGGCCAGCCTTCTCCTTCTCAGCATCCTCGACGACCGCGTTCACAGCCTTGGCAACAGATCCTCGTCGTTGAGGATTATCCATCAAGGCGGGATCAATTGGAATATTGGGAATGGCAAACCCGTCGGCATCAAATCGCGGAGGATGAGTTGATTCCCTGTCACTTTCCACAGAATCACCCTCAATTTCGGCCGCAGTCTCTGGGTGTTTGGTTGTCGCACGAATCGACTTTTTACCCTCTCTACCCCTAGTAAAGGACGGGGGATCGTGCGCATTTTCCAATTGCACCGAGCGGAATTGGTCCACAGTAAGCTCGCCGCTCTCAGTCGAGCCAAACTCGTATAGACGTTGGCTGATGGTGACCTCGGTGACTTTAACAACGTAGACCACTTCACGAATGGTTCGGCGGAAATTGTTCATTCGAGCTGCCAGGATCAACGCCGCGCCACAGAGACCAGCAGGACGTCGACCGGTTGACATCCAATCACGGTTCATCCGCTGGATGATACGGACGGCCTCGCCCGCCACTTGCATCGTGGCATTTCCAAACTCCAGTTGCTTGGCGAATCGGTAGATCAAGCTTTCCGGGTCGATGGGGTTCATAAGAAAGACATTGCCGCCCAGCCGAAGTTCGTCGAGAAGGGCTTTGTATGTGCGACCAAGTTTGAAAACATTGACCATCAAGGCATCCGCAAAATCAATTAACATTGATGTATTACCATCCTGACGACGGCAAGCGATGTATAAGGCAACACCGGCGACATTTTTTATACGTCGACCTTGAATGAAGTTGAGACCAACTGCGAGTTTGAAAACCTGACCAGCAGCTTTCACGGCACTTTCAGGGATGTTGAGACTTCGGGCTAGTTGATTGATATATCGATTGCCATTCTGTTCGGTCAACTCCCGAGATTCCATACCACCACCCCGATTGTAACCTGGTCCGAAGCTTCGGACATGGGTCTGGTCTGATCCGACGAAAGATCCCTGTACAACTGCAGCACCGGATGATGTTTCTCCAAAAGTCACTTCGGACACAATATTGGATTCGCTGATAACAGTACCACACCCAGAGCAAACTTTTTGGCCTTCATCCTCGACGATATGTGGGGCAGGACACCCCGGGTTGGGACAGCTTTGAGTCTTCGGGTGTGTTTTAGGGCGTGCAGGTTGGGGGCGTCCGATCGGTTGTGGACGTCTGATCGGGGTTGAACTCGGGGGCTTTAGACTTGCAAGGCGTCCAACAGGAGGCCGTGGACCACGAGGGGTCACGGAGATGCTGGTAGACCGGGAGGCCGACATGGCTGCGGGGATGAAGGGCGTATGCGAATAAGATGTAATAATAACTGGGACGAATTGCAATTATCCTCGGGACCTCTGGTGATCGAAGGTTCTTCAAGTGAGGCGTAGGTTGGAGGATAGTAATAGAGTTGTGAGGTTTGAGCTTGTGGTAAAGATGAGGAGCAAGAGTATGAGGTCTAGGATGAGAAATTTGGCGAATTTGGAAGATAATGGAGCAGCCTGCTTTCCAACCAAGCGCTGCAGCGCTGTGTTGGTCTGCAATGCTCACGAAGCGTCGAGTCGCGCGACACGAATCTGAAATACGCGTGTCGGGGAATAGAAGAGAAAAAGATAAGTGATAAGGGCGAAGGAACGTGTGAGGTGGGGAGGCTGGCGAGAAGTTGAAGTTTTTGTGAGTGGACGTCACCCGTGGCTCAATGGTGGAGTCACGTGTCGTTCCATTCAGTTGGCGGGCGCGCGTTCGACTCGTTCAGCTGGCAGAGGTCGAATGTGTGGAAATTCGTAGCTTCCACAGTTTGTGAGCAGGGAAGATAGGAGATGAGTAGGATTTGAGTATGGAAGAGAGATAAGAAGAGAAAGAAAATTTATCTTCGGATATGAATCATCTATTCGCCTGGTGCTGGTTCTGCCTTCAAGCAGGCAGCTTCTGGAGGAGGCACCACGTGATCCGGATCGAGTCAAGTGTAGAGTTGCCACTAGTCCCAAATAGGATATATTGGCTCCCACTGTTGCCTTGGGGCCTGCCTGCCTGATTGCCTCAAAGAAGTGGCAACAGCAAGAGCGGGGTTTCACGCACCAAGGCCACCAGGCATCCACTCGAGTCCAGTTCACGCCCGTTATGTTCAAGCTGTAGCTCCAACTCGTAAAAGGTCGTTGACTTTACAATATATTGGGGCCCGAAGCTACGTAGATCCCCATACCTGGTGGCTGTTCATCCCGAAATATGGTGTCACATACCTGCACGAGGGTCATGGCACTCGATGGTTGGCATGCGGCTGGTCGTGTTGACTCTGCGGCATTTGTGCTTGTTCACGCACAAATGTCGCATCTTTGTCTTTCGCGTGTCGTCTACTTGATTCCACTGGAACTTTTCTTTGCTTTTTGCTAATCAACTCTCCTGCTGACAACTCCATTCATATTTCTCATGACTCTTTCTTTTTTTTTATGATGCAATTGACTGTGTCGCGGTTGCTGTTTCTCCAAGTGGCAATTCATTAATATACCGGCCTGCTACCCGCCATATCTCTGGTGTGGGCATAATTGAGAACATCATCTTATACTGTGTGTTTTGCAATACACAGGAAGACTATTATTACGTCCTGGCACCTATTATTACTCATTACTTTCATTGAAAAGGACTCCGCGACCGTTGTCAACTTGTCTTTCATTGTTGAGTCCTAGTGCCCGCAGACCGGGCGATCGATAACCAATTTTTTTGTGGATCATGTCTTCCGAACGAGAACTTCCATACAGTCCTCCACGATCACATACCCCAAAGATCCAGCAATATTCTTCGTCTAATATGACCATGAGGAGAAGTCTCTTCTGGGTGAGCAATATCCACTGCGCTTCGTGCGTGGCCTATGTCACCGAGGTCCTTTCTGAGATCCCTACGGTCCAAGACGTCGATGTGTCGATCTTGACACATGAAGTGCGCGTATCGCATGGAATCTCTGTACAACCGGAACACTTGGCTGCTGCTCTCATTCAGGCCGCCTTCGAAGTTTATCATGTCACAACCTATGATGACCGGGGAGCCATCGTTTCCGAGCTCGATACTACCTCTTGGAATCATCGCGGCTCGGGCTTTTTCTCGCCTCGCGCCTCTTATTCTAGCCTCTCATCAAACATCAAAGAAAGGCTACACAATAGTCGAGAGAAAGGACATATTGCCAACTGTGATGCCTGCAAGAAGGAACAAGCTCAGCAATTCTCTCCCGACTCCACTCAAACTGAAGTTGGCACTTTCAATGAAAAGTCTCCTCGGGCTCCCGCCTGGAAAGAAACCGACGATGATGGACATAGCCAACAAACTACGGATTTGGAACGATCACCAACAAGTGCAATATCTCACGCAGCACCGTCGGCGGCGACCTCAGAGACTCGGGTAGAACGCCCAGTGGATTTCTCCATCTCAATTCCCCCTGAAATCACTGAAACAGCTCGATCAACTCCATCTCAGACGGACGACGAGTTCACCGCACGGATTAGCATCGCTGGCATGAGTTGTGCATCCTGTGTCAATAGTGTTACTGCTGCTGTTCAAGACCTTGATTATGTAAGAGAGATTTCCGTCAACCTGCTCACCAATAGCGCGGCTCTCGTATACACAGGACCTCGGGGAAATATTGACACTATCATTGGTCAAATCGAGGATATTGGATTTGAAGCCTTTATTGATGAAGTCAATCCAGTCCCCAAGCTCTTGGCCCCTCAAACGGGTCCCAGACTCTATGTCACCGAGATTGCCATCACGGGCATGACTTGTGGTTCCTGCGTAGGCGCCGTCACTCGAGGCTTGGAGGAGCTACCTTTCGTGCGCAATGTTTCTGTCAACCTCCTGTCCCATAGTGGAAAGATCGAATTTGAAGGACGAGAGAATCTGGATAAAATCGTGGAGAAGATTGATGGCATGGGATACGAGGCTGCAGTTAACAGCGTCGATACCGTGTCTACAACAGAACAAGCATACAACCCCGTCCAAACGAGAACAATTTCGGTTCGCGTCGATGGCATGTTCTGCCACCACTGCCCCGAGAAAGTCCTGGCCTCCCTGGAGTTGCTTCACAATGTCACCGTGGACGAGATCCCCACCGAGAAAAAGCCCATCATCAGAGTCACCTATACACCTGCACCGCCTACCTTGACTGTCCGTTCAATTCTTACGGCCATCAATGAGGCCAGCAGTGGGTTCACTGCTAGCATCTACCACCCGCCTACCATTGAAGATAGGTCTCGGGCAATGCAGCTCCATGAACGACGCAGGCTACTCACTCGCCTGCTCTTTGTCTTTGTAGTCGCAATCCCGACCTTCCTCATTGGAATCGTTTTCATGTCACTTGTCCCCTCTGAGAATGCGACCCGAATGTACCTGGAGCAGACGATCTGGTCTGGTAGCGTCACTCGCATCGAATGGGCACTATTCATCATGTCAACGCCGGTCATGTTTTACGGCACTGATGTTTTCCATACACGTGCGCTCAAGGAAATCCATGCCTTGTGGCGTCCAGGAAGCCGGGTCCCTATTTTGCGGAGATTCTATCGCTTTGGCAGCATGAATCTTCTGATTTCGGCGGGTACATCAGTTGCATACTTCGCCTCCCTGGCTGTACTCATTGTTGACGCGGTGGTTGGGACCAAAACAAGTGCTCATAGTACCACTTACTTTGACTCTGTGGTCTTCCTGACGCTCTTCATTCTCGCTGGTCGTTTCCTGGAGGCATACAGCAAAGCCCGAACTGGTGATGCCGTTTCATCACTCGGCAATCTCCGGCCATCGGATGCATTGCTGGTCGAGAATCAGTCCGCGGATACCGGTGCTTCTGCGGGCCTTGGTTCAGATCAAATGACCCGCATCGGTGTTGATCTCCTGGAGATTGGTGACATCGTTCGCATTCCGCATGGTGCATCTCCACCTGCCGATGGGCTAGTTGTCAGTGAAGCTTCATTCCAGTTTGACGAGAGTTCTCTCACGGGAGAGTCCCGGCCTGTCAAGAAAGCCGCCGGAGATCAGGTCTTCACCGGCTCAGTCAACGTTGGCCAGCCCGTGCAGATTCGCATCACCGAGCTTGGCGGGTCATCCATGCTCGACCGAATCATTGCCGTGGTTCGCGAGGGTCAGAGCAAGCGGGCTCCCTTGGAAAGAGTTGCAGATCTGCTCACCTCTCATTTCGTTCCTGTCATTACCTTGATTGCTATTCTTACTTTTGTCATCTGGCTCGCCCTCGGTCACTCAGGTGCCCTCCCCATCGACTACCTCGACATTGCTCGTGGTGGCTGGACTTTCTGGAGCCTGGAATTTGCTATCGCCGTCTTCGTTGTCGCATGCCCCTGTGGTCTGGCACTTGCTGCGCCAACTGCACTCTTCGTGGGTGGCGGTCTTGCGGCGAAGCATGGTATTCTTGTGAAAGGTGGCGGCGAAGCCTTCCAAGAGGCCAGTCGTCTCGACGCTATAGTTTTCGACAAGACTGGCACTCTGACCGAGGGTGGAAGCCTCAAAGTCACTGAGCACGAAGTCCTCACAAAAGACGAGGAACTTTTGAAAGTTGCATGGACCCTGGCGCGGAAGCTGGAAGAGAGTAGCAACCACCCAATCGCCCAGGCAATCTCTATTTTCTGCCAAGTGCAGCCAATGGTCAACGTTATGTCCTCTGATATCCAAGAAATTTCAGGCCAGGGAATGAAGGGTATCTTCACAGTGACTGTTGAGAACTCTGGAAGTGGCCAACAGTATGAAGCTGCAATTGGCAATGAGCGCCTTCTTCATAGTGTCCTCCCTGACAACAGCGATACATACTTCATCTCCAGTCTGCTTTCAAAGTTTCAATCCAGCGGCAAATCCACTGCCATTCTATCCTTGCGTCGCCACTCTTCCGAAACATCCTCGTTTGTCCCCGCCATCGTCTTTGCGACATCGGACACAATTCGGCCGGAGGCAGTTGATGTGATATCTCAACTTAACAAGCGACACGTTGAGGTTTTCATGTGTACGGGCGATAACCAGACAACCGCACACGCTGTCGCTGAAATGCTGGGTATCTCTCGCTCGAACGTCATGGCCAACGTTTTGCCCGCGGAGAAGGCAAGCTTCGTACGACAAGTCCAAGATGGCTCGGTTCACTCTACAACACCAAGCGTCGGAGCGCAGGGCCCTCAAGGCCAGATGGGAACACGTTCAATCGTGGCTTTCGTCGGAGATGGTGTCAACGATTCTCCCGCTCTCGCAGCCGCAGATGTCAGTATCGCAATGGCATCCGGCTCAGATATCGCCATCAACTCCGCTAGCTTCATCTTGCTTAACTCGGATCTGAGCACGATTTTACAACTCGTCATTCTTAGCCGTCGTGTATTCAACCGTGTGCGGATGAATTTTGGCTGGGCCGTCGTTTATAACTTGTGTCTTGTTCCTGTCGCTGCTGGTGTCTTCTACCCGATCGTGAGTGGCCACCATCAGAAGATGGTTGGTGGTGAGATGATCACTATGAATGAACACTGGAGGTTGAGTCCTGTATGGGCCGCGTTGGCTATGGCACTGAGCAGCATTTCAGTTATCTCAAGTAGCCTGGCCTTGAGGATTAATATGGAGAGTGTGAAAAGGTTCCTGCGATGGAGGAGATCCGAGCGTGAATAATGATTAGAAGCCTGTTGTACAGCTTGTCACTTAAGCGTTCCTTTATTGATTCCCATTGAACATGATATTATTCATTGCATTCTCGGATTTCAAATCATGTATGTAGCTCTTTTCATGAAAGATGATGATCACCCAGATTCTCCCCAAACTTCGGCAATCTTCTTGCTCAGTGCTTTGCTGAACTTTTTCCGTCCCACAAGAGACTGTAACTCATCTGACATCAATGTTTCCCGCTCGCTAGGCTCCAGCGCCATGTATGCTTCCACGAGGTGCCTTGGTGTTGGCCATCGTCGTTGGATTTCCAATGCTCTCTCGCCAGTCAAACCGCGAATACACATGAGCATTTTCAAGAAGATATCCCGGAGGGATAGAGTGTTGGATTTGGAAGCGAGGGCCGAGAATGTAGAGAATGTGACTCCGTACGTGACAGACGGATCCTTGACTCGAAGTTCATCCATCAAACCAAGATAAGATTTTGTCGAGGAGATGCGCCGACTAGGAATAACAGTGACCGAGGTCGGCTTCGATGTGGTGCCAGATTGGCTGGATTGGGGCTCGTCACTTGACGAATCGCCCGCGCCGTACATTTTCCGAAGAAGCCGAGTCATGCGGGCTAGGTATCGGATTGACTCATCGAGCTCGCGGGTTTTCTTCAAGAAATACCCATTGACCACTTGTGTGGATGCCATGGCCGAGGCGGCCATCTCTTGATAAGTCGCCGCACTACCAGACGTAGAGTCGTTGTGCGTGACTTTGAATTCTTCGACAAGGTAGATCACGTTCTTGATACCCGATCGCCTGAGACGGAACTTCTGCTCGTGGAAACGGCCGTCTTTGATAGACCCAATGAGATCGTCGAGGCGCTTTCTTTCGAGAATCCAATCTAGCATTACCTCGTCACCTTCTTCGCCAAATCGAGCGAGATATGTAGGGTCCCGGCACTTGGCCACCCACATGACATCGCCCAGCTCCAGGGCCCGCACTTGTGGCTTGATACCTTTCTCTATGAGCATGTTGGCGATATAGTCTCGATCTTCTTTAGTGCGTACTTCTCGAGTATCTAGCAATAGTTCAACGGTGAAACTGCCTGGGGGAAGCATGAAAGGCTCGGTAGGGCCATCCATATGAGAAGCTAAGCCAAGTCTGGACGTAGGCTGTTCCTGTATCACAATATCTTCGTCGCCATCATTAAGAACGGATCTGTTCCCGGAAGCAGGAGCCACCTGCGACGGCTGGGTTCGAGGATTGCTGCCTGTAGATACGGCAATATTCGCGGATGCGCCGGGGAGTGTCTTTTGAATGCGCTTCGCCACCTCCCAACCCTCTTCTGAAAGCAGATACTTCCGGAGTGGGCGACCGTGCTCGTAGACGAGATCCTTCTGGACCAAGGTCTTCATAGAATTCCATGCAGTGTAGAACTTGGTCGGGTCCGGGGGTGCAGTAAAGGAACTATCACAGTACGGCTGTGCCACCTCTATCAGATGAGCCTTTGTCATACCTTGATCTGCATGTTCCCCCAGGGTGGCCAGGCCCAACAAGAGCGCATACGGCCCGGACCGTAAAGCTGGCACATAAGGCTTGGTCTTTCGCGGCTTCTTCGCGGGTTGTTCAGCAACTCCTGTGTCTGATGTTCTTTTGCTGCCTGAGAATTCACGTTAATTCAGGAACATTGGTCAGAGAAAGCGGTTATGGCACACCTTGACCGGGGACTTGTGGCATAGGAAGCCCATTCTCTTGGCAGTGAGCCTTCAGCTTCTCCGTCAGGCGGTCACACAGTTTCGGACCCAGCCCATTCAGTTGCTGCGCTTGGGAAGGGTGATCAAAAGCCAAGGGGCACGCCTTCATCGACTCATAGGCCTTTTTGTACCTGGACATAGATTAGACACGAGATATTCAATCAAGGCACGCGTGGGATACGAACACAGTCACGCCTTTGCTGTTGCGTTCACGGGCCTGGTCCAGCCATTCCTTAATCCACCCCAAAAGTAGGGGATTCGCACACTCCTCGCTCATGTTGCCCTTTCAGCCATCGGGCTATGAGGAAGTGTTGGGTCCACGGTCGGTTGGTGTGACGCGACGTGTATTTCCCCTTTGGGAACTACCATGGTCATGTGACCTAAGATGGGTAAGCACGGAAATAATATTCAAGGTGCTCACGATGTGACGAACTGGTGATTATGGATCTGTAGAGATCTGGTTTCTCAAAAGTAGAGCCCAATAATCACTTTAAATCCCCAAACATGAAAACTGGAGGTGCCTTGGTGGTGGAGCATCTCCTGTTGTGAGTGCGAGTTGAACCGCGCAAGGATGACGTCGATAACCCGGTTCCCCGAATACCAAGAACTACTCCATATCCATGGCTGAAATCCCCTGCTCAATCCGTGGATAGATCATAGCCTCACTTCCTACTTCTCCTACATCTCATCCCCAAAAATCCTTCTATTGAAGTTTTATTGCACTATGTCCCAAAAAGACGAAGTAGTTCCCATTTGGAACTCCGTCACTACAACGGCTCTCACTGTCAACACTGCCGTGGAGGATGCAGAAAAACTCCCGACTCCGGAAGGGCCGACGGATAGTCATGTACTATCACAAGTCGAACAAGATGAGAAAGGCTTGATTCAAAAAGCTGGTGATACGCCCGACATCACTGATGTGGGATGGAACAACCCCGCGGACCACACTGAACAGCTAATCGCCGGCTTATCAAATGAAGATCTATGGATGCTCATTCGAAGATTTGACAAGGTATTTACGCTCAGTAAGATCACTTCAACTAAGATATATACTGACGAGAGTCATGCAGCAAGTCTACAATGTCAAAGCCGTTCCCGAAGCACCCCTTCAAAACCTTGATCTGACTCGAGCGGATGACGATGAATTCTCGCCAGACAAGCTGCGGGCAACAATCGAACGGTTTTACACCACAATTTTTGTCAAGCTGACGAGCTTCGTCAAGCACATTGCTCGCCTTCGATCTTGGAAGGAGACAAGAAGAACGTCCGTCTTCTGCGCGGTAGGTCAATTCCAGGAGAGACAACATTTTCGGAAAACTTGAGCACTCACTTATCGGTCACAGGTCTACAGTATTGCATGGCTTTTAGACCTTCTTGTTCCTACGTTCTTCGCTGTTCTGATCGCATTGGTCGTGTACCCTCCATGCCGGGCGGTCATGTTCCCGCCAGCGCCCATTGCGTTGGTAGACAAAGAAACAGGTGGTGTGCAAAAACCCAAAGCTGGAGTTCTCGGATCTCATGATAGTGTTACCGGGGCTCCGCAGAACTTCAAGGGTGAAGCTGCCGAGCAAGAGGCTAGCAACTTGGTGGCTGGTGTTGCTAGTGTTGCTGTCGGCAGTGCTGCTGGGAAACACGATCAAGGAGTACCAGATGATGCACCTTTAGAAGACACTGTGCCCGACGCCACGGATTTGGTTTCTCATACTGCGGATGCTCAGAGCAAAGCGCATGGCCAGGTGCCATCCGATCATCATGATAAGACACGACAGCCCATGAAAAAATCAGTCATGGACGGAGCTAACATGCTAATGCAAATTATTGCCGACATCACGGATTCATGGGAAAAGATTGAGAAGTAAGTCGGTATTTCGTTATAAATGTCGCTTCCTTCGTTACATTCTGCCTCGTATTGACAAACTCAGTGCCCTATCTCCTACTCGGCCATTCCCGCGACTTACACCTCGCTTGCGATTGGCAGCTGTATTGGTTCCTGCATGTCTGTTATCGGCTTGTACACCCCTCTACATATTCTCAAAGGTAGCTGGCCTTGGTGTCGGCTTCGGCTTCTTTGGCGATCCAATCATCCAGCGCGGCCTTTCCATTCTCAACCGGGATTTCCCTCATTGGCAGAAAATTTTTGAATTGCAAAAGCAAGTCTTGCCAGATGCTAGTCAATTTCACTGATCAATCGCTAACAGCGGGATAGTTCGCTTCTAAGAGGAATCCCAACAAATGCGCAACTTACTTTGACGCTGCTGCGCATTGGCGAGGCCAACGCATCGCCTTTGCCGCCCCCACCAACTTCTCGAACTGAACCTCCTTCTCGTCCGGCCTCACTTAATCATGAGGAGCTGACATTAGGCGCTACCAGTGAGGAAATTCACGAAGCAGCGTCAGCTCAGCCAACTCACCAACAACAAGGACCACAATTGTCACCCGAAACTCCCCCCAAGAAGAATTTTGCCTCTAGAGTCATCGGTTTCTTCCGTGGAACAACTGCCACAGGTGTCGAGAGCAAGCAAGCCATCGACCGAATGCGAGCAGTTGTCGGTTCTCGCCACGCCAAAAACCGAGTCGGTGTCCTTCGCCCAAAGGGACGCACTGAAACGCCTGTTGGCCCCGTCGATTTTGACGCCCGATATAAGGGTGCGCACGGGGCCGTTGTTATTGACTCGACACAGGAGCCGCCGGTTCTTTACTTCACAACCGACATCCCGCAAGGTGGTGACCTCTATGTGGGGCATCGCAAAAAGGGCTCTGTGCTATTCTCCATACCGGTTACAGATATCCGAGAGATGAGAAAGCTTGGCGGTATGGGTTGGAAGGGAAAGCTTGTTGTTGGTTGGGCTATCGGCGGAAAGGAGGTCGTTGATGGCTTGCTTATTAAGGGCAAGGACCCCAAGCAGTCATACCAGTTAACGGCCATGGGAATGAGGAATCAACTGTTTAACCGTTTGATTGCTATCGATGGACAGGTTTGGGCAAGCTTTTGACATGATTGCATGAATGCACGCTGAAACAATCCCAGGTTTGGAGATAATGTATGCTTAGAATTTTGGCTATCGTTGATGATGGCTTCTTCTTCGAACCGTGAGTCGAAGATCGGGTTGAATGGAGCGTTGTCAGCAAGAAGTCATGATGCAATAGTTCTGTCAATATCAAGTACATCAGATTCTTCGGTCTATTCATCTTGATCCACGGTAACACGGAACGCACCACCTTGTTAGCCTAGACCTTAACCTTACGACACGCGTCGATCATGCAATTGACAGCGTTCAACCGCTGCACCTCAGACATACAGCCAATGCGGACCAAACTGCTGAGAGCTCCAGCGACCCAGTTCTGGCTATTCCTGTCATTACCGACTGCATTTTGGATCGGAGTACTGGCGCAGGCATTATGGATCATCCACTACGTGACAGTATCGGTTGGATTTGAGACTAAAAACAAGTCCGCGAGCTGCAGGCCCAGCTTTTTGGGACCACCAAGTTCGATCGCGACCTTGAAGAGCGGATTCGTACCAGCGAGATGGTAGAGGCGCTGCTCGCCATCCTCATACTTGACGTATATTGCCGCGTTTTGGAGCTCGACGGCATCGAGAGAAATGCCTTCGAAGACGGCAATGAGGATCTCGGCTGGCATGATTTTGAAAAATGGGATGTATAAAAGCTGTTTGTACCTACAGATGCGAGTGGTATAGTATGGAATAATTCAACCACGTTGTTTAAACATTAAATCTCAATTGTGGCCCTCGAGTGCCGATCTAGTCGCTCCTGCCTCAGAGCGCTGAGCCAGTCGATGATCATAGCGGACAGGTACAGTGGGGTTTCATAAGTTTGAAACTATGAGCAATGTTCAGAATCAGCTCATGAGTCACAAGTCGAATGATAGACTCAATAATTATACGTAAGCCATCGAGAAAGACGATTGAAATGACCTTTAGAAAGACCTTTCAAAAACCAAGAAGTGAAAGCATATCTATTAGGGGGTCTCTGATCTCTAGACTCAGACTTTTGAACTACCACTGTACGAGAGCCTCAAGCATTTGAAATGGGAGAATCAATCGGGGTAGATTTTCGTGACAAACGGTATCATGAATCTGAGGATATTTCTTTCTGAAAAACATGTATCGAGTGTCATGTTTCAAGCTACCAACATGGTCCTCACTGGCTACACCCCGGCCGGCTCGATTCTGTCTTTGACCGTGCAGCCCGTATTTTGAGGTCGCATATGACGGTTTTTCGCGCATGGATAGGTGCAAATCTGATGATAAATCACTCCGAGGATAAACCATCCGATGAACCAACCTATGAGATCGAAGAACTGAATTGTAAATATCTGCGAGAATGGCCTTACACTTGCCTACCACAGTCATTGAATGATTGAAACTCCTGAATTGGACATTGGAGGAACTTTGAATTTCGAACACGAACACCTGCCTTTAGATTTACTTTTTGTAAGTCATTCTAGCTTGTTTAGTACTTTTATATTTGATTCCAAATGGCAAATGGTCTATCGTAGTGGTCCGAGCTTTCGGGTAGCTTGATTACACCTACCCGATTAGGAAAGTTAGACGCTCATTACTAAGAAAACGCGTCTTCCTCCCCAGTCGAGATAATATTGATATTAAATCCTCCCCGGCTCCTCTATACAAACATTCATTGAAATCCTACATCTTCCATCGTCATACTCTTGTGTTGAATGGTGAGTATTATCATATTCTATCATCTATAAACGCTCGCTAAATTAACAACAAGACCAAAAAAATCATAGACTCATTGCTTCGTCCCACAACATCTTCCCCGCCAAATCACAGGCGCTATCGAGCCACAAGACCTCCCTTAACTCCACCCTCATCTCGTGCCAAGTCGATAGGCCCCGCGATGTGGCATAATGTTGGAGTTTGCTTGCATACCAGCTCCGCTCCGACGAGCCCTTTCCTGCTATCCCGCCCACCATGAGGCACCAACTGTACAGCCTTTGAACTTCCAATGAATCATTTTGTATCGCTTGGCTGTATACTTGAAGCTCGATCTGCAGCATCCGGGCGAGGCTCGCCAGGGGAGCGGTTTGAGGTGGCAGAGGGAATGTGATGCCCACACCAAAGGTAAGTAAAGCCAAGCGACAAGCCTCATATAGAGGATAGAAGCCCACATGAGCTGACCCAAGCTGAGTTGACGGTAGCAGGGACATGACGTGCCACTGAATGACGTTTCGGTAGTCGCAGAGGGTGTCCATTCCCATCTGGATTCCGTCTTGATACGTTTCGATGAGCTCGACATATATCCGCAAGCCTCGGAAAATCTTTTGCATCTCAGGATTAACGTGGTCGCCTTCAGTTATTTCAGACTTTGGGTTTTGTGAGAAGTCATCAATCCCAAGTATATCCTTCAATGTCATTCGAGTGCCGCTGCGAATTGAAATATAGGGGAAGGTGGGTCGGGCAAGGGAACGGCTCGCGCCTAAGACACCGGAACTAGAACAGGCCATTAGCGTCTATTCCTCTAGAGATCTGTGGTTTGGGCTTGGTTGCAGTCCATCACTTACAATGATATCACAGTGGCGAGTCCAGGCAGGCCGAGTTTCTCCAATCCCCCTCGCAGAGACACCAGTTGGCGTAACCCAGCTTGGTGAACTGGATGAGGTGACAAACGACCATACACGTCAAGCCATTGCAAGCTTCGCAACGGCGCATTAAATGGAGACTCTGTTACGTCTTCCCATAATGGATTCTCCAACTTGTTCGTCGCCATACACAAAACACACAAGATCAACTCATCAGTGACGGCTTCGGCGGGGATCTTGATAGCACGATTGATTCTTGCAATGGCATCTGCCTCACAAATGGCCATTTGCTTGGCATCATCGGCGCTGAAATGACCACGTTGCTTCACCAGCCACAGCGCTCTTCTGTGGGAGTATGACCCATACAACAGAGTACTATGGAGTGCTGCGTTACTCGCAGAACTTGCAAACCATCGTTGCACACCGATGTGAGTTGTACCAAGGGATGACTTTGGCATCAGACCGGGCCACAATACTGATAAGGCTATGATGATGCGCGTCAGTTGAAGTAATGGAATTGAGGTAGGCTGGCACTCACAGTATTTGTTGGCGCCACTCACAAGGTTCAGGGGCAGGGGCGATGTCCCGATGGTCTGAAAAGGATCCAAGACGGTTGGGCTGATACCGCTCATACAACCCAATGCGCCGAACTCAGTATCATTCCCCGTGTTTTGCTCCTCCCAAAAGTCGGGTACACTTGTGTCAAGTTCTTGATTTGTGAACGTGAAAACATCCTCATCCAGTACATTTTGCTCAAAGTACGTCGGGTCAGACACTCCCGGCTCTGGTACCAGCCAAGGGAAGCCGTCTGTATCTGCTCCAAAATCTCCCGGTGTATGCCCAATAGAGGGCTCGGGGGTCTCAGAATCCGGGCTTGTCTGGTCGCGGGGGGATGTCTCGGAGGAGTTGTTGGCACCAGTACTCAGTGAGCTCTCACGTTCAAGCTTTTCCTTTGCTTGCTGCCACCTCCATCGACCAACATGCGATCGGACTATCCGAAGATTATCGGGTCGTTCCCGACTCGACGAGGGATCTGCGATGATGAAGTGTATGCCAGCCTGGGCTCGCGCTGCCCTCTGTCTTTGTCTCGGCATATTGTAGGAAGCTCCGTGCGTGAATTGTCTTCTGCTAATCTGATTGTCGCTGGTGCTCAGATGCTTATATCGTCAAGGTCTGCAATTGAGTCTGTACAGATTACGGGGGGGACCCGTTCTATTTTATATCACTCCATACCGCCGCATGCATTAACGCCGAGCCACGCGACGGATTGACAAATACCATCGTGGCGATCCCAGTCCCAAGGGTCCCGAAGTTTTTGGGATAGGGATCTAAGCGAGATGGCCAGCTATCTCAGGTGGACCGACAAGTACAGTGCCAGCCACTGGATCCACCACTGGGACCGCCAATGTTCGATTGGTGCAAGGTTGTGGGCAGGCATTATACCGTTCGGGAAAACGCTCTCTGCTGACTGTGTTTTCACCCGCACGAACCGTGCAATTCGTTCGATTAATTCAATTTATGCACCAGAATGGTGGAGTGCCACATACAAGAGCTTAAATCCGTCCGCCATGCAGATCGCCTGTTCCAGAATTGAGAGCTGAATAACGTTTGAATCCTTTCCAGGCTTTCGACCAGTATCCTTTCACATGTACCCGACGGCTTCGCTCGACCTGCTGACTTTCGTAACGCTGTCCCAACGGATCGGATTCCGTCTCGTTTGCCCCTCCGTACAATTCGTCCAGCGCAAAATTTTGCTCACAGGCTGCTTAATTTGAGTATCAGACTAACCCAAATTAAGCATAAGGTGCTTCTTGGCAATCACTGACAGATTATGCATTGTCGCCCATCGTGGCATAGTAAAGGTCCACCTAGGACTGAATTAACCCGATTGATTGGACAAAATAGCACACACTAACCAAAACAGATTTATTGTTTAATAAACATCGATCGTTCGTTTACAGTACGAATCTCCGCGGCACTAATAGCTTTTGACTGTTGACGACTCGACGGAACCAGTCCGGAGATTGTGGGGACAAGGTAGAGTTGTTTTGCGGCTGAACCATGATTGCAGACTCGAGTACAATAAACGCAAGTTCCCAAATTTTTCATGACCCTCATCAGCCTAAGAGCGGGGCAAAATATGAAGTTCATACTGTACGGAGTACATTTCCCGCTAGTCCGCATGCAAGCCCGCCCGCTAGCCCGCACATCCGCTAGTCCACATCGGGGGCATACACTGTAAAACGGCTAACAGGGCTATGCAACTTTTATGCTGAGAAATAAGCGTCTGTAGTAAGAAGGCGTCGATCTTATTTTTCTGAGACCTAGATTTCAATATTACAAATAGTGCATAACTAACTAACTGCTCCAGTAGCTCTGGACGTCATCGGTTAGGAAAAACTAACTCAATCTCATGATCAACGTAAGATTCTGCCATTTCGTCGGCAACGGCCGCAATGCCCATTCCATATCTAGAAGAATCAGTCGAAAAACGTTCTGTGGCGTGCATATTCTCACCTGAAGATTCTCGATCAGCGTAAGATTGGTCTCAACCAAGGATATGCATCATGGCTTAATTATGATCACGATCATCATATGTCACCCTTTCCTCCTGTAAGATTCATAATTTCGCTTCTCCTTTCTGTAAAAGGAAACTACACTATTAAAGCCCCCGCTAGAGTGCGGAAATGCGGAGGCCCGTGTACAGTGCCGGGGTTCAATGGGCAGGGGTTCTACCGTACTTTATTTCTCGCTGCAGTAACCTAAAATAGTCATAAACGGTTATTTGCCGAACAGGCGCCGCTGGATGCACGACCGGTTTGGTCATGCTTATCTTGTCTCAAGTCGGTTATGAATGCCGGGTATGGTCCTTTTTCTCTATGGGCATAGAACAGGGTTGAACTTGATTTCCAGAATTTTAGCTGAATATCTTAACAGGAGATTTGGTATTTGTTTTCTTCTGATATTACTCGTGAACGACAAAAGTCTAATGTCTAATGATAAGACTATGACCGTTCCAATGTGGCCTTATAGTCTCTCACCGTTTGCTCAAAGGAATCGTCGCGCTTGAAACCCAGGGCAATAGCCTGGGAATTATCAAATTGCGTGGGCCAAGACTTCAAAATCGGAACCAGTGCCAGATCCTCCTTCTCTGTGAGGAGGCTGAGCTTATCCTTGCCACCCACCTTCTCCAAGGCATCCATCATTCCTTGCACTGTCACACAGATCCCCGGAACATTGATCTGACGGATATGCGCGGGCACGGAGTTTGCGGGAAGGCGAAGTGTCAGCAGCAGGTTCTCCACGAGTGTCTTTGGCGAGCATAGCCATGATTTGAACTCGCGGTCTTCAATGGGAATGACGCATTCCTTGCCATCCAATGGCTCGCGGATCATGCCGGAGAGGAAGGACGAAGCCGCAGCCGTCGGGGCACCGGGGCGCACGGAAATTGTGGGAAATCGCAGGGTGAAGCCAGTAATGAACTTGCGACGAGTATACTCGTTGATCAAGGTCTCGCATACGACTTTCTCGGCGCCATACGAGGACTCTGGTGTTGGGATCACGCTGTCGGTCACGATCTCCGGCAACGGTTGGCCATAGACTGCCTGACTGGAGGAATAGATGACTCGTACTCCGGGACAGGTATGGCGCAGGGCTTCCAGCAAGTTGCGGGTTGCATCGATGTTGACACTCATGCCTAGGTCGAAATTGGCCTCGGAGCCGGACGACATGATCCCGTGGAAGGCGTACACTGCATCCAGCGAGGAATTGACCACATCTTTGGCCCCGGTGAGGAGGTCGGCCTTCACTGCCGTGGCATTCTCGGGATGGCGAACGCCCTTGGGGATGGGAGGTTGAACGATATCGGTCAGGGTGACATGGTAGGAGGGGTCATTCAATAGCTCTGCGGCAAGTAGCTGGCCGATGAAGCCGGCACCGCCGGTGATGAGAATCTGCATTGTTGTGTGAGAGGAGTGCCGATGGACTTGATTGCCGACTCAGGGGAGATTGTCGCCGAGGCGGGTTTATGAGGGCAGAGTGTGTTCTCCGCATTCGCATCAAGTCCGAGTGGCTCCTCCGCACCGGACTTTGCCCGGCAGGTCGCCAGCGCTCGGGGTGGATCTGCTGTGCAAATCACCGGGGGGACAGCAGGATTGACGTCTCGACGTCTCGATGCGATTGAGTAAATTGTATGTGCATGTGTCCAGAGACTGCAGTGTTGGTCGGGAGATCAAGGCGATGGTGGTGGGGGAACCGGCACGTCATTCTGTCGGACTCTTCTGCGGGAGGAGGAATTCCATAGATCAGGAACCACACTCCGTCACTGAACCCAATTAACCAATTGGGCCAATATGTTGAGATTCGAGAATACATAGTAAGGAAAAACAAGCAGCAAGGGTCAAAGAGCGGCTTCCATTGAGCAGATGCCCGCAGCCTCGGTCTCCGACGGGCAGAGTCCCGAACCCAACTGTGACTCGGCCTCCCCCGACTTTTCTCACTTTCTCCTGCCCCGCCGACTTTTGCCCCTAACCCGCATGCGCGGAGCATCACCGACTGCTTCTCCCCTCCAGCTCAATGATGGATGCCTCTACTCCACTCAAGCGGTCCTCGACCGATGCCGGTCTTGATTCACCTCGTGAGTCGAATCGCTCAACAGACTCACGACCGGTCGCTCCTAGGATATCCAAAGCCCGAGCCTGTAAGTTGGGCAGCTTCCCCACATTTTCTGACCGATACTGTTCATTGAGGGCTGACTCGCCACTCCAGGCGCAGAATGCAAGCGACATAAGATTCGCTGCGAATTCCGACCGGGCGAGAGCAACTGTACGAAATGTATCCGTAGCGGCATTAAATGTGTCGTGAACGACTTTTCCCAGAAATTCGTTGACGACGATGGAGTGTACGTTTCCCGGCGGACCCCCGCCTCTCTCCCGTGCTCTACAGGAGACAGACACCATTGATCGCATTTGCTAATCTCGTTGCGTGTAGATGGAAGTCCCAGGCGGCAGCAAGTATGCAGCAATTGCAGGCGGCTGTCTCTCAGCTTTTACGACAAGCAGGACTGCCGGACCTCTCGACCTTTGGCAGCGGTGACAGCCGTAATGGACCCAGTCCGGCTGCCTCGCATCACACCCACCGGCCATCCATTGATGCCTCCCAATCCCATAGTCATCATGATGGACCAGGAGTGGTGATGGACGTCACCCGGGAGCCATCCCAAGAACCCGATCTTCAAGACCCAGATCTGGTACCGGCGCCCATGCGCAGTCTCTACGAGGTCACCAAACTGCGCAATCTACGAAACAACCATATCGAGGCACCCAAGAAGACACTCTTGGAAGAAGACTTCATCACACGAGGACTGATCTCGATCCACGAAGCCGAAGAGCTATTCGCGTACTTTAGTCGCACCATGAATCAGCTACTGTGGGGTGGGATCATCTTAGTGCATCGTGATCTGACATCTGTCCGCCGCGCCTCCACTCTACTTTCAGCTGCAGTCTTGACCGTTGCAGCTCTGCATATACCTAATCGGACCGACACGCTAAACAGATGTTATCATGAGTATGTCTCATTGGTGTCCAGCATGGCTCTCACCCGGGCGCATACGCTGGACGATATTCGCGGCCTCTGTGTTGGCGCGTTCTGGTTATCCGAGCTGAGCTGGAAGCTCTCCGGTCATGCTGTGCGGGTCGCGACCGAGCTTGGTTTGCATCAGAGCTATCAGCGCCTGACTCGTGGGCATACCGATCAATATGAACGCGCTCAATTATGGTATTTGCTCTATGTATGCGATCATCACTTTAGTATCGCTTACGGGCGGCCCCCCGTCATCCACGAGGATGTCGCGATTCGAAATTATGAAACATTCTTGGAGTTGCCCATGGTGGTTCCCGGCGACATACGGCTGCTGGCCCAGGTCGCTCTGTTCATGATCTTGACTGAGGCGTATCGCATGTTTGGGAGTGACACGGAGCAAGCATTGACGGAGGCAGATTTTGGGCAATTGCGGGTATATAACGTCGCGGTCGATCAATGGCGATTACTTTGGCAGCCTCGGTCGGGTAGGTCTTGTTCTTTATCGCGCCTTTCCTCGATCTTTGGGATACTGATTTTCTTCTCTAGCCGACAGCTCATATGTCCGAACTTACCCGTCCAAGGGAGTGGTGCTACACTACCATTTCGCGAAATTCCAGCTCAATTCGCTCTCGCTCCGCGGGCTTTCCCCTTCGAATACCCCGGTCTTCTCCATGGACCGCAAGGAGTCTGCCAACATTGCAATCTCCTCGGCTATGGCATGCTTGAACATGGTGCTGGAGGAGCCTGACATCCGGGACGCGATTGTTGGCGTGCCCATTTTCACACATACCATGGTGACCTTCTCGGCCGTCTTCCTGTTGAAGGTCGCGATCAACTGGAACACCGCGTATCTCAGTATCAATGCGCGACAAGTGCGGCGACTCGTCGAGCGGGTGATTGAGCTGATGAATTGCGTGTCGGCCGGCGAGCGCCATCTGACTCGGCACATTGCACGTGGACTCGGCAAAATGCTAGAGCGATTTGACTCGTGGGAGGCTGGATGGCAAGTTGACGCTAACCACAATGGCAGCGAGGTTGATGTGCCCGGCGGCGCGAACGCGATGGCACAGGGATTCCCTCCGCCAGATTTGATCTACGATATGGTCGGCACCTATGGGTTTGGGCTCGATGAGAACCTGCTTGACCCGAGCATGGCGAACTTTGAGTTCTTGGCGCAGTAGTGCCAATTGACCAGTCAGACGGGGGGAGGAGAAAAGTGGCCAGGAGGCTGGCTTATTTCTTTTTTCACCCCCTGCGTATCGTATGCACTATCTGGCATCTGCAAGTTAGTATGGAGCGGGTCTGAGCCATTCTTACCCAGCCTTCGCTCAACCCGAGGATGTATTAGTCAACTAACTGTGGGTGTGTTCCTCCTTACGACTGGGATGACCAGGGTTAGGATTAGGATTAGGTGTTCTGGAATGTAAATAGACCACAATATACACGCACTTGTCTACCCTTTCCACCACGCACTCGAGTCTCCACCCCAGTGTCTAAGCTCTCATCACCTTAACACACCCCAGTCCTCCCGTAGTTTGGTACTCACTGTTTGTAGTCAACCCCATGTCGTCACCTCGTCACCTCCGCTTGATTGCGCCCCCTCTCCCTTGGTTCCCCCCAGCTCTGCCCTCTTCCCCCCCCGTTGGGGCAGCTTCGGTTCGTACTGCCACCGTTTCCCCTTTCCCTTTTCCTTTTCCCTCTGTCCTCGTGTTTCTCGCACTCACTCTGCTCTTATAAATCGCGCGTGTACTGCCCTGCAGACCCTAATTCCCAATCTCCCTTCTCCCTCCCCCCATCTATATAAGCTGGTCCAAGCACCCCCTTGCCAGCCCCGACTTTGCGCCAAATCCTCCCAAACCCTCTTTTCCTTTCGTCCCCATTTATATATTCTGACGTGATGTCTACCCGCAAGAGAAAGGCCGATCCTGAGGAAGAGCTCCAGGCCCTTCCTAGTGATGAGAGTGAGGAGGAAGAAGAGTGAGTACTCCATTTCCCGTGTTTTATTAGCAGCGATTGCTGTTGATACTCCCATCGCAATGCCAATCCCAGTCGCGCAATTACTGTGCGCGCACTATCACCAATGTGCGCTTCTGCTTACGCCCCCTGGTCGCGCATTAATTGCGACGCGCCTCGGGGCTGAGATATACCCCTTGGCCCTCGGCTCTACTAACCAAGTGCCTCCTGCTAATTCGACGCGCGCATCAATCTAGATATGAAGACTCCGAGCCCGATGTCTCGGACGTGAGCGACGAGGGCGAGGAGGAAGAGGGTGGAGAGTATGACGAAAGCGAGGAGGAAGACGAGGGAGAGGAGGTTGAAGGAGAAGGTAATTCCGGTCCCCTTCTCATCGACAAGATGTCATTGACATACCTGGGTCAATTCCATTTACTAACAAGATCTGCACTAGGTCCCCCAGCCCACAAGAAACAGAAGACCGAGAAAGGCGCCAATGGCAAAAAGGTCGAGGATGACGAGGGAGAAGAAGAGGAACCCGCCGAGGAGGACGAAGGCGATGAAGAGGATGCAGATGATACTGCAGAGACTAGTGGGCCTGCTGCGGCTGCTGCGAAGGCCAAGGGCAGTGTTGTTCCTAAGGAATCTGATCTCCCAGAGGTTGATGCCGCTGCGGAGGAGGATGAGGAGTAGGCTATTGCAACTGGCCTCGAATACCTAGGGTAACTTTGTTATATGACTATTGAATGAAAATGATGGCCCTTGTGTGGGCTTGCTGTATGATTGGACTCTGGTTTTCTCGATGTCATCTCTCGATGTATGATTGCTATCTGATGGCCCTCTAGGATTGGATACTAATTAGATAGAGATTCAATCATAGATCTAGCTGGGAGTCTTCATTAGATCAGTCTGTGGACCTTCTGGCTCTATATACATTTCGGGTACCCTGCCTCGCAGCCACCAATATCAAAAGCACCACGAATCCCTCGCCCCAGGATCTCAACCAATATCTCAAAGACGAGCTTTAGCCACCATTCCACTCCCCTGCCACCTCCCCCTTAGCCCATTCTCCGAACCCCCAAAAACAGGATCAAATTTCGGTTTCGGAACACTCCACACCTTCTCAAACTCACCTCCCATCGCAACAAAATCCCACTCTCCCCCGCAATAAGCACCCATCATCGTAAACCCCTCAAGCCGAACCCTCGACAACGCCTCAACCGGATCCTCAGCCTCAATACCATGTCCCTTCCCAGGCGATAACAACGCAAATTCAGCATCAGGCTTGGTATCATGTGTCTTATGCGCAACACCAGCCGGAATGACAAAGACATCCCCAGCTTCAGCATGTAATACGACACCTCCATCTTCCCGGGCTGAACCGTATGTGTTCTCGTGCATATCTGGTGAGGTATCAGCTACGCCGAAGCGGATTTTGGCTGTGCCGGAGAGGACGGCCATGCACTCATGTGCTTGGGAGTGATAATGCGAGAGCTGGGTGGGGCCGTATCGGAAGATCCATTGTACGTCCCAGTCGTTTTTTGTGAAGAGGTTCCAGACTGAGACTGGGTCGCAGTGGGAGGTGTTTGGGTGTTTTGGGAGGACGGACTTGTAGTGTAGTAAAGGGCGGGGGGGAATTAGGAACGAGTTTTGTTGGGAAGAGGTGGTATTGTTTGATTCCTACCATATTTGATGAACGCTTGATTGGAGGTGACTATGTTGATAATGGCTGGAGATGGCTTGTTCAGTGTATTGGAGGGAGAACGATTGATATACGGAGTAGTCATCTCACGAATGGATAAGATGACAAGGTCGGGTAGGTTTCCGATATCCCCAGGATATCTCAGACGCCAAGTTACTCAAGTGATAGAACAGGGAAGCCCGCGTGTGTTTACCATTTAAGGCAATATAACCCAGTCCTGGACGACAACCCCCATTTTACCATATAATTATAGCTAACTATAGCTCTATGGCTTGATAACTAGCGTTCAAAATTGATCCGCTTCAAAGATCAATGGCATAGGCGTAGTAAGTACAGTCGCTTGAGACCGCATTTAACCCATTGGAGAGAGCCCCGGAATCTCGGATGGATGATCCGATTATCAGATTGACATCCGATTGCGAGCTTCAGGATATCGCTGGGCGAAACTCCTATGGAGCTACTATGCATGCCATCTATTATCAACTCTGTAATTGTCTACCCAGCAGAAATCAGAGTATCTTGTACGTTTTCATTGTGTTCTTTAAGCATGCTGCCCTGAGCCGGCCGGACAAAGCCGGGTCAACCCACAAAGAGTAAGATTTAGGCAGAGCAAGGCAACTCGTAACATGTGTAGAGCCTAAACCTCCATGCACGTCGTGTATAATTACTACCTGTACCCGATCTTGATCTCGAGACAAAACGAAGTGACGGCTATACCCAATGGCTGAGGCTAATTGCACGCTAAATTGTGCTTTCGCACGACAACCTATTCCATTTTCGGATATAATGGAGAGCAGGTACACTGTATCCTTGATATCTAGACTTTACAATGTAAACATCCCTTTTACGAAAGGTCTTTCTGAATGTATTTTCGACCGTATTTCTTAATAACTCTGCAAATACTTGATGGTTTTCAGTCGTCACTTTCAGGACAGGACCACTGCCACGGAGCACAAACTACCCGACATCTGCCCCTTTCCAAAGAATCAATAGACAATGAGATCAACCATGTACCTATATACCGTCTAAGCTACAGACCTAGTAATAAATGAGAAGAATGAATTATGGAAGACAGACACATCAATGACAGTCATTAACCCTGCCGGCGCATTGCTTTACCTCAGAACCCAAACATATTTCAAGGACACGACCGCCATGCCTCAACACCGCATATGTACTAACTTCCGACTAAGCATCACTGCCACTGCTACGGAATGTAGCACACAGCTGGCAATATTGGTGTGTAAGATCCAGGACGGGCTGGGGCAGATTGGTTGCCTGAACGATGCTTCGAACCTTGACGGCGCCCTCATCCTCGATCAGCTTTCGTACCAGGTACAACAGCTCCGGGGAAAACTAGATGAACGTCAGCATCAAACCCTGGACGTAGTATATCCAGTTGTAGGGAAAGCTTACCTCGGAGTACCAGCGATACTGCCAAGCGATCAGACGAATTAGGGCACCCAGCATACCCCGGGTATCGTTTCTCTTTTCATACAGCTTGAGAAGACCGCGCATAGCCTTGGGCGAGAATCGAATTCCTAAGCAACTCTGATAGGCCTCGATACTCTCGTCGAAGTGGTGCAGACGCTCTGCAAGTTCACCGAGGATTTCCCATTCGGTAGCTGACTTCTTGTATTCCATAGCCTGCTGGCGGAACTGGGCCATCTCGGTTCGCCAGATCGTGTAGATGCGGAGATCCTCGTAGAGCACCATGAACAGGTTGTCCAACCACCGCTCACAAAGGCGCTTGTTCCGGAATTGCGTGTATGCGTTGTGTGATGGATCGGGCTGTTAAGACATAAAATTAGTAAATACTTTCAAATCCTTGGGAGGCAAGCAGCCGAGGTTGAGGCTCACATCGTCGTTTCCGGACTTCACAACCTCGGAAGCCATGCTTTGCTCAGGTCGCTCAATGGAGCTCTCAACCTTTGTGTCATCACCATTGCCGTTGGTGGCAGACTCTGCTGGGCCAGGCCCAGAAACGGAGCCTGAATCTTCGTCATCGATCTCCTCCTCATCCTCAATTGTATTCCCATTTGTCTCAGCCTCGAGCGACTGTGCTGGCTTCGGAACATGCTGGCGCTCGACACGGTATTCCTCTTCCATAACAAAAACCTCGCTGCGGGTCTTGAGCAATTGGTCCCATCCAATCGCAGCGGCAATCTTAGTGAGCAGGTTGTAGGCCTTCAGGAATGTTCCCTGATATCCAGCAGCATGTAGTTTCCTCAAAGAAGGATGCACGTAGTCGTGAGGATCCCCTTGCTTAGGCTGGCCCTCATCAATCTCATCGAGGATGCTCTCAGAAAGAATGGGAAGCATGATACGTGATGGTTGTGGCATGCGCGGGGTGTCCTTATCTTGGTAGGTGAACATTGGGCACGAGTTGAGAGTCAACAGTGCCAAATCCCACTGCTCCAAGCCAACGTAGACTTCAGCCAGGCGAGCCCAGGTGCTGAACTCACTCGGTGCAGCAGTGACAGCCCGCTTGGCACACTCGAGGGCCATTTCGCCTTCGCCTTTGGTCTGGCAGAAGTCTGCCTGGCAATCGAGAAGAGCGTAGTCCATCGGGACATCCTGCAGGGCGTCATACAACAACCGCACTGCTTGCACTTCCTCATCTGCCATAATCTGTACACGAGCTAGAAGGGATGAGACTTCGACGTCCCGTGTGCGCAATTTCTCAAACAGGTTGATACCGGATGTATAACGCCCGGTTGTGTAGATGTACTTGAGAATACCAGATGTCAAATGGTTGCTGACGGTGTTGGGGACTTGTGTCTCAGGGTCGGAGCTAAGCTGGCGACCTATGGCAATGTTAGAAGAGACCATCCGCAAACATTACTTCAGCGAGACATACCCAGGAAAAACAACTTTTCAGCAGCATCCAAGAACTTGTGTTCCATTTCGGTGTTCGTCACCGGGTTAAACCGTCTGACGCCAACAATCTTTTTGATCGCATCTCCGCTTCCATCATCGGCATATAGATAAGCCCTCAAAACAGCGCACAGGAATGTTTCTAGCCAGAGTGCTTCCGTAGCCACACGCTTGTCCCCGTGCTCATCAATGCAGTATGCCTCTAGACTGCCCGGGATCTTGACTTCGACTCGCATGTCGAGGTGTGAGAACGCATTGTAGCAACTACCTAGACATTAGCGACGATATTCAGTCCGATGGCAACCAGCTAGCTAACCAGTAAATCCCAGACACCACTTTATGAGTCTTATCGAGGGGTGAGAATGTAAGGGTGTTAACATAGGCGGCTAAGCTCGCAGATGAGGACGCATCGATTCCGGTGACATGGTGGTACACGCCGGTCTGTCGAAAGAACGCATAAATTGTTAGAAGCTGAGGATGACCGGATTGAAATGTTAGGAAGCCATACCTGGCGGGTTGAATTGGCCTTTGGTTGTTTCACCAAGTAGACCAGGTCCGGGGGACCCAATTCCCGCAAGCTCTGCAGCGACTCTGTGCGCGCATCGACCGCAACGAATAACTCCTCCTCCTCATGAATCCTAGGAAATTTCCAAGTTGTCAGTTCGATATTCTGCGAGTTGCGCAGCTCCAGTACCCCTCGAGAGCGAGCAATGGCCATGCGCATGCAACTCCGGGGAACACGTAACCACGGGTGTTTTCAGGAGTACATACTCAGGAACAGCGGGCGCGACCATGGCACCTGCACATGTGCAGTAAAGAGAAGAGTAAGAGTGGTCCTATCTCAGAGAATCAGAGAATAGGCTAAGAAAGAGAGGGGTCTTCGAAGGCAGCACTGTCGAGGGGAAGGTGTAGCTAAACAGCCTGAAAGAGCTTCAGGCCACCAGGCAACAAGGCGGAGAGACGCCGCCCTGGCCCGATTTGGCAGCCGACGCGTGAACCGCGATAAGCTTGCGCTGGCGGTTATCCTTCCTTGCTTTCTCCTATCGCCATATACCAAGCCCAGCTGTCGCCAGGGCTGTTGGCGATGCATCCTGCTACTCTCACATTCATTTACTGTCCTTGAGAACAACACACGGGCAGCTCACAACATGGCAAGCTGGGTCGCGTTGAATGTGGAGCCTGACGAGGGAACTGAAGAGGAGGTCGACGACACCAAGGAACTCCAGATTGAAGAAGCTCTAAAGCTATACCACAGTGCTCTGAAGCTCCACTCCCAAGGCCCGGAATACTATTCTCAAGCAGCAGAGGTATATGAGTCTTTGCTCAATTCCGAGATCTTCAAATACCCCGAGTCCCTCTCCGATTTCAAACGGCCTGATCTACCAGATGTGCAAACAGCTACCGCCACCGCCGACGACGCTACCGTTGCAGCAGATGCAGTCGCAGAATTCAATGTCAATGATTCCACCTCCAGTCTTTTCCAGACTCTCTACCTTTCCTATAAGAATCACGGCAAATACATCCTCGATTCGCTGCACGAGAGTCTACGAAGCACCCCCCAGGACGCTGAGACAGCGCAAGATACCGCCCGAAAGACAGCGAAAGCAACGAAGGAGGCGGTACAATCATTTGCAGAGGCACTCGAGCGTGATGATACCGACCTGAATTTGTGGAGACAGAGCGCTAGACTCGGTAGTGCTCTCCAAAGCTATCGACTGAATCGCTTTTGTCTCGAGAGCGTTTTGGCAGATGACGACAATCGCTTGGAAGTGCGATCGACACAACTTGGTCTAGAGGAAACGTTTTCTGAAGAACGATTGCGGAGTACCCTCCAGTCCCTTTTTGACGGACTGTCCGCGTCCCAGATCCCAGTCAAGAAGCAGAAAAAGGCTCTCGAGAAATATCTTCGGCAACACTCCGATCTATATTCGTATCTACCTAATCTGCCGACCGAGATACAGTTCCTGGACCCCACCAAAGGTCCCCTCGCTCTATCGACCTCGCGGCGGCAAATAAGGCCGTCCGAGGCCACATGGGAAGCTGTTGGTAAAGCGCTCCTCGAAGCGCTAGATGACGAGGAGTATGCTTCTATTGCTGATAGCCCAAGCAAAGCGATCTGTATTGAACTACCTCCAAAAAGTTCTGATGCTCTCGAGTCTCTTGAAATTGAGGAAATGGATAAAGTCTCCGAAGAGGACGCAGCAGGCCAGAGGGGCCAAATAGGGAATGACGATGTGGATATGCTCAAAGAGGACGAAGAAGTCGACAAGACAGAGAAACCCGAAGAAGAGAATGGAGAAGATGAGCCAACTGAAGAACAGGCTTCAATCGACCAAAGTGCTGAAAAACAGCTTATGGAATCATTGGAGCGCCAATCTGTTCATCCGCCCGAAACTCAGGCCGCCGATACCGAAGCAAACCCCGATGAAGCGGAACCAAAATCTCCATCTGATACGCGAAAGAGGTCATCTGCATCTGCTGCCAACGATGAGCAGCCAGAGGGGGAAGAATGAAAAGTCGACGAACACGAGCTCGAGAGTCTAATGCCGACGCGTTGGCTCAACCCGAGGAAGTTGCTTTTGACCATGAGAAGTACTATGAAGATCGTCTGGAGATTTATGTCAATGCTGATGACTGGATGTTCAACACCCTCGGCTCCTTGTACTCCAGAGTTGGCATTGAGGATCTGGGAACAATCAGCAGTCTTAGAGAAAAGGTTGCAGCTTTAAGTGATTCCGACGAAGTCGTGCAGGAAACCGAGACACGGCTGATTCAAGATCTGCGTGGAATCTTCAAGACTTGGAACGATGAAAAGTCCCGTGTGATGCAACAAAAAGATGACCTTTCGTCATTAAAGGATATCCGTGGCTCCAACAAGTCAGGGTTGTCCGTCTTCCTCGAGCACTCAAGGAGTGGTACTCGGAAGCCTGTGGTCCAGCGTGAGTTGGGCTCCGGAGAGGAGCTGTACCGGTTTTCAGAAACGGTCAACGGTAGCTGGTTGCACCCACATCAGACGTTATACGAGTGGCTCAGATATCTCCTCATGCCAGAATTTGGAAATGAACTTTCTGGGTGGCCTGTTATGAAGTCAGCATACACCTCTTTCTTGTGGTCGAAGGACCTCAAAGAGACAACTGTGGAACTTCTCCTGCGCGAGGATGAATTTATCTTCTCATTGATGAACGAACTCGTCGCGGAGACGGAACGGCGTGCTCTCGAGTCGAGTCCTGAATCTCCTTTTGAGTATCGGAAAACCAACTTCTCTGAACTTGAAATGATTCAGTCCACCTATGAACTTCACTTGGATATATTTGCCTCCGTTGAGAGCACTGGCAACGACGAGAGTCGAGGCAACCGACAAGCCCAGAATGACCGCCTTGCCAGATGGGGTATCCTCGCCCGATCAGCACTAGACCTCCTTCTGGACTACTGCCCGTCAGAACAATGTCGCCAAAACCTGGCTCTTCGTCATCTATGGGCATCGACATTTCATGTCAACCTTTCCGGCGAAGCTGAAAGAGAGCACATCTTGCTTTGTCTCCAAGATCTGAAGCACACACTTCTGGCCATCGGTGACCCCTGCCTCACTCTTTTGAATAATCCTACTATGTCTGAGTTGTCTGTTGCAACGGTCGATCAGGAGGTCCTCAAGCTTAAGTGCATGGATTTCTTCGCCAAAGTTTTCAATCCAGAGGAAGAAGACCCTGTATCACTCATCGAAGCTATTGAGCCTATCCTTGAACCTTCATCCGTCGAGTGTGCAGAGGGGTCTCCAGAGGAGAACGGTGAGAGCGGCATCTCCTCTATTTCCAGTGAAATGAGTGCGTTCCTAGACCGGGGCGATGCCACATTACGACTGTTCCTATGGCGAAGGCTCCAAGAAGCGTACCAGGCTATTGATTATCCACCGAAGATTGTTTCATGCTATCTGCGGAGCATCGAAATTATCATGAAGGAGCTAGAGAACGCAAAACACCTGGGCGAGACAAGTGGGCATCGGCAACTGAAGTTGCTTGGCTGGCTCAAGTCGCTGGATGCAATCATGGGAAAGGCAATCCCACTCGTTCTTCAGAATGTTGAAAAAGCCTATGATTGTGTTGATATGGAGCACCTCCAAGCTTCTATCTCAGCAGTTGCCCGTCTCACCAGACTGGTTCACACTTTCATCTTGCATGAGGATTCAATTCGTGTGGGCCAAATATCGGGTCTTGAACTTCGTGGGTCACTGGCCAAATCCTTCGAAAATTTCAAAGAAAGGATGCGAGAGCTTTACGTACGCTGCTGGATCTTACAGTATACCCTGCTGGTAGAGGCAATCTCTCAGAACAAAGACGTCTTCGAGGAACCTCTGGAGGACCGCATTCACGTTCTTCGCTCTGTGCATAATGCACTAGGCGTTCGCTCCATGTGCAGATACTCTCAGAAGCGATTCTTGAAACTTCTGAAATCTGAATTGTTGGACCTGGAGACGAAGGGTGATTACGAATTCGATATCTGCCAGGTTCTCCTGGATCTTCACGGCATCAAACTTTCGCCATTTGATGGAACGTCTGACCACGGATGCTCACCCGAAAAATTGGACCGGCCTACTGCTATCATGATGATCGACTTTGTCATGAGACAAGCCCAAAACATGAACATGAAGGATTTGTCAAAGTCTGACTTGAAGACCACTATCGAAAAGATGCAGCACACGATTGTTCCAGCCAAAATTTCGTCCTCGCCGCAAATGTCTTTCAATCGACGCATCTTCCATGGGTACATCAAGGCGGCAGTCAACCCATCTATTCTCCTCCGCGCAGTCCAGGGAGTCTTGGAACTGTCAATGTTGACCGTTCCGGGTGAGAATGCTCAAATTGCCGCCAAGGGATGGTACTTCCTGCTTGGCCATGCCGCATTGACAAAGTTCCGGTCTCAGAAGCGCCTCAGCCCTGGCTCGACGACCGAACTTGACGATGCGATCAATTTCTTCCGACTGGACATTGATCATGGATCCGGGCGATGGGAGACCTGGTATCGTCTGGCTCAGGCGTATGATACCAAGCTTGAGGAAGAGATAACGTGGACAGCGGATAAGATCAACAACAATCGCAGTGATTTGGCAGCTACTCAGCGGTATGCGATCCATTGTTATGCAATGGCTGTCTCCACGGCGATGAGAAATGCGGAGCCGACAAACGAGACCCGGGCGCTTCTATCAGACCTGTACACTGATTTCGGAATCCGGATGTACTCTTCGTCTCGTGGACCGCTCTCGATGGGGGCTTTCAGTCTTTCGGACTTCTCTCGCCATTTCAGCAGTGAAGAAAGCCAGCAGATGTACAAAGGGCAACCTTTCAAGGAGATGTCCTCATACTCTGTCTGGAACTTCGCCAAGAACCTCCTCAAGAGAGGCCTCGTAGAAAAGCCAAAACGCTGGATGTGAGTATCGACGCAGCATCGCTCTTTTTTTGGCGAGAAAGTGGAGCTAATGGTCTCTTAGAACACATTACTTCATCGGCAAATGCCTCTGGAAGATGTTCAGCTGTGACGCTTCTAAGCGAACGACTTCCAAGCGGGTTGAAATGCACGATGTTCTAGACGCCTTTCACGATGCTATTTCGAGCCTTCCCAGGAGGAAGGATTCCCGTGCAGACCCTATCTTCGAGCCTCATTTTAAGCTGGTGTCCATTGTTCACAAACTCGTCCTCCGCGGAGACATGAATGTAAGTCTGATTCTCATTTGTGTGGAAACCAGGATCTAACACATTCCCAGCCGACCGAGGCTAGCCAAGCCCTTCAAGTCACACCTTGGGCTCGCAAGGTGGAGGCACCTGAGAACATCGATGGGTGGAAGCCATATATCCTGGATGTCATCCGCAAGTTCAAGAGCGCCGACAAGTCCAACTGGCACCATAGGATGAGCGCTAAGGTAAAAAACAACCTTTTTCCACAGCTTGAGTATTTTGGCCTTTGTTCTAACGAGACTAGGCTGCCCACGTCATCTATGATGACGAAAAGAATGCAACGGCCGCCGCCGCGGCTAAGCAAGAGCTGTCACAAATTTTCACCAAGACGCTTACGATCCAGGTCTGGCGACCGGAATTTGAACGTCCGGGAAGGCATTTCGTGTATACCACCCGTTACGTGTACTTCTTTGTAAGCCTACTGGATCAGCTAGACGATCGTGCAAGCTTAGATCAGCTGCTGCGTCGCGTGAGAAAGAAGCAGGGGGATTTCATCGATCACACGAAACTGTGGGAAGATATGTGCTTGACTTACGCCAAGATGATCCGCAGAGCCGCGGATATCAACGAGGGTCACGAAGAAGGTGTCTTCAAACCAATCGGGTGGGAAGAGTTCTCCACCAAAACTGCCCGACTGGAGACCTTGGCGCAGCTATCGCCAGATAGTATTCCTCTCCTGGAGCTGATCCGCGACTCGCTGGAGTTGAAAAAGCTCAACAACAACTTGATGAAAGTGACCATGTTTGAAGATCTCATCGCAGACTTGTACGCTCGAGTCTACGAATTAAACATGCCCTTGCTCATCGAGCAGGTCAATGAGGAGAACAAAGAAAAGATGAAAGTCGACCATCTTCTCATGACAGGCGATGTTCACACGGAGACATCTACACCGGTCAATTCTCTTCCTGCTTCCGATACCCCAGCTCCTCGAGGTAGGACAAAGGGAATTGCTCGTCGTGATGTTCAAAAGCGTGCCGACACCATCGTCAATCTCAAACTCGGCCCGCGAACGGCAGCGAACAAGTTCAACGCCGCGGCTGACACGGACCAGTCGACCCTGCAGGGCCCGAATTCATCATTGGCACCCACTTCAGCCCCTTACGGATCAGGGGAACAGACGTCTGTCGGGGGTGATGGTGCTGGCGTGCAAAGGGGTGATCAAAACGACTTGAATGACACCGCAGACGAGAGTGATCTCAGTGAACTGGATGAGGGCAAGCTGAACAAGCTGACCTCCGAACAAAAATCCCTCTTCTCCAAAATCCATCACGCCGAAGCAGGTGATGTCGAAACTGAAACTGAAAATGATGGCGCCGACGAAGGCGAGGGGGAAGGTGAAGGAGAAGATGAAGAGGGCGACGAGAACGATGAAGGCGAAGATGAGGATGACCCTGCCGCCGCCGAAGCTGAGGCCGGTGACGACGAAGAGCAAGCAGACGAGGGAGACGATGAAGAGATGCAGGATGAGGATGAGGGTGGCCCAGATGGGGATGAAACCAAGCTTGAAGACGATGACGAGCCTTCCGAGCTTGTGGAAAATCAGGATGATTCCATCCAAGAAAACAACGCCGAAGAGCCGGACCCTATGGATGTCACACTCTCGTGAAAGTTTGACGCTCCATCATTTGCTTTTTCGGTTTGGCAACGGTGGCGTATGGCTCGCATGTCCCAGGATTATCTTTCAGGATGCAATGGCGGGGCGTTTGGAAATTGGAAGATATACTGTACTTTGTTCATTGATACCAACCCGATTTTTTAATATTGCTTGCATTTGTTTCTCTTTGCGAGGCCATAAATCCATGATTTACAACATGCTTCAGCATCTGCGTATTAGGTGGCTTTGTGATTCGAGAGATACTCCATCAGCTTGTCTTTTCGTAATGACGAAGAACCAACGAAGGGTAATACTAGAACAACAACACAATTTGCAACAACGAAGAAATTGAATATTATCTGCAAAATTATTGAAAATAGTAATCACAACAAAAAAGGAAGACTCCCAGGAATAACCAATTAGAACGCCTCAACCAAGAATATCCTTCCTTGCCCAAGTGTGTATCTAACAAATCCAGCTTGCCAAGAAAAACAATCAAACACAAATCGTAAAGTCATGACAATAATCACTGTGAAGTTCTAGAGGTCGCTCTCCGGTGCCAAATCCCACTTTCGAGTCGATATTTTTCTCGTCTTCTTACCAGGGGAAGAAGACTTTGGCGTGGGAGAAGGCGGCGAGAACATGCTGTCGGTAAGATTGAGCTGGTTCATGCGTTGGAGGGCGTTTTCAATGTCACTCTCCCGGCCGAGACGGTTGGCTGTTCTGTTGGGAGAGGGCGGGGCATGCTTTGCCCTAGGCTTGCGAGTTGGAGAGTGAGAATTCATTTCGCGTTCGAGGATGGCCAGACGGCGACGAAGTTGCTCATTTTCGTTTTCCAAATCTTCCACTCTGTCATTCATTGACTGCTCGGGATCTTCGTAGATGTTGAAGCCGCGTGAGACAAGCTCGATCTTCTTGTCAATGTGGTCATCGTTGCGGCCAATCTGAGAAGTATGGAATTAGTAAATGCATGCATGGCAAAGGTCCCAATGGGAAAAAATCTGTTTACCTGCTCATCCCATGCAGTCTGCCAGCGTTTCCGTTCTTGCTCCATTTGCTCATCCATATCAGCCCAGCATTCCTCCCGAACCTCTTGTTCGATCATCACACATCGATCTTCAGCAGCTTGCAATCTAAGCTCAACCTCCGAGCGAGCAATCTCTTCTTCGGCCAATCGCACAGCAAGCCCATGGCAATCCTTCGATAGCCTGGCAATTTCAGCCATAGCACGCCCGAGGTCCTCGGCAATAGCAGATGCGTCATTGGGTGATGTGCGACCACTAGTCGATCGACCGCGCGCAGAGACCGCAGAAACGATTGACTCAGTCAGAGATGGGACGCGAGGCACTGTCACCTCACGTGCCAGTGCTGAGTAACGCAGGATTTGAGAGGTAGCATTAAAATCCCCAAGAGGGTCAGCAGTCACAACCATTACGGCCTTCTGAGGATACTGGCCCCGAGACATCTGGTTGGATGAGGGGAAGGAATTAGAGAACAGAAGTTCAGTCAGTTTGCACTGGCGGTACGGAACGAGGGCAGTCTGAAAAAGTTAACGGATACTCTATAATCATTTCAAGACGGACCTTTACCTTGACCCCATCTTGGAGGTTGCTTTGCATTTGCAGGCATTGGCCAAGATACATCAGACTCTCGTTGATTTTACCAGCCTCTGCAAGTGTTGCGCCAGCAGTCTTTGCGGTCCTAGCACGTTCAGAGCCTTTGTATTATTAGCGTTCGACTCAAAACAGGCAGAGGGGAAAGGATCAAAGTTACCTGCTAAGTCAACGACTGTCAGAGTATTTCCGGTCCAGGTTGCCTCGCCTTGTCGCTTGCTGTGTGCCAGCTTCTTGACTTCAAGACAGAAAAATCCGTGACTCCGTGAGCTAACACTATTAGCTCCAGTACCTGTGACCTTGCGCTCTGTCAACCCGACATCGAGAATAGCCAAGGCTTCTTCGTAGCTACTGCAGGCAATCTTTCGGAGACCTGCAACGAGCTTTCGGTCTGGAGATCCTTCGGTAGGTTTGAATAACAAGGGGCGACGTCGGTCCTTCTGAATGTTTCCGCGGGACACGTTGTTCCCTTGGCCAGGTACGATTGAGGGCGACAACAGATCGAAAATGCGGTCATTGTAAACTTCGTACATGGATACCAGTACCACGTAGTCGGAGCTCGGGTTTAGCTCCACGGCAAGATGGCTCACGTCTGGCAGTCTCGGGGTAGGAGGAGGGCGTTCGCGGGGCTGGCGGCGGGGAAATACTAATGCAGGTGTCGGCTCCTTAAAGACATAAAGTCGTGATTTAGCTAAACGGTCCTCGTGAATATTGGGACGGGTAAAAGGGAGAGGGGTCATGGATCTGGGGTCGATCCTCCTGGGTTTCTCAGTTGACAATGTGTCAAAGCTGAGTTGATCCACGCCATTGGGACTGTAAATCCGGCTGGGGTCTGGGCTTCGAAGGCTTTCAGGAATTGTGGGAAGACCGGGTCCAGGTACAGGTACTCGCTTGGTCGGCGATCCTTCATGGGAATTTGGGGGGTTGGAAGTCCGTACCGTTTGCGGAGTGTGTGCGCGAGATGGGCTCATGGGAGTTTGGGCTCTCGAGTTACGGCCAGCACTAGGCTCGCCGTAGACGGCTTCCAGGAAAGTTTGGGCTGAAAATATTTGGGCCTCCGAGGCGTCCGAAGCGGCTAATGATGCGAGTGTTAAAGGGCTGATGCTGTCATCCTCGGTTTTTTTGGTAGGCTCAAGCGATCGAAAAATGACGTCGAGGGCCATCTGGGTCATGCCTCGTTGCGATTTAGATCCTAGAATGGTGTGACTCTGCCGCATATCTAGTTAGCTTGTATTGAAGCCAAAAAGAGACCAAGGTATTCGAACCTTTCCACTTCCAGTCACTCCGAGTGTGGCAACCAACCCATCTCGGCCTTCTTTCAGCACTCCTCTGATAATGGGTTCCATTCCGGTGTCGTGAAAAACATCCAATTGTGTCGCATCTTCTTGGAAGACCTTTGTGAAACCGAATTTCTCAATAGCGCGTTTGCGCAGGTCATTAGGCGGCTGGAGGGTAATATGTGTTGGAACGGGCGCAACGATCTCTCCGTCATCTTGAGATGCCTCTGGGGGCTCAACGGTCAGGAAACGGTCAGCATCGTCAGGTCTTTGGGTCATGGGAGGGCGCAGTCGCAGGTAGACCTGGAACAGCGAGGTCTGGGGCTGTTTGGACGGCATTTTGACTCGTTATTTGGGTATGAGTCTGCCTTTCGAAGTGAATGTGGAGGTCAAAAAAGCCGTTGGCGGGCTGCAGTCGGCACGTTGAGGAGTGCAGTCAACACCGCCTGTTCCCAATCGGGAAAGTCTTGTGTTGTCTCGGCAACCGCTTATCCCCACAGTCACGGGACTAGATAGTCACGAGTCTCTCTCCGTGGATATGCTCTTAGTCTCAACAGTTGTTTTTCGCTGGTTTGCAAGTCACGATGCTCTCGTTGTTACGCGACTACAACATCATTCAGGCGACATTCTTTGAAGTTTAATCCCAAGGCTGTTTTCTGGTTTCTGGAACAATGACGATGGAGGTTTCCTCCACTCGGCCTGGGCCGCAGCCACACTGGCCCTCGTGAACTGCTGCGGAGATCTATCTCCTCACAAGGACCAACTCGTATCCCAGCCCCTCGTCATACATGGTTCTACGCCTTCAAGACTCCTGGAACTTGCGCTTGCTATCTCTGATATTAAGCATCGCCGGACCCTCTCTCGGACTCCGGAGGCTCATTAAGATCCACGGATCGGCGCTTGGACCCAAACGTCTCCTCGTATTTGGGCTAGGATGCTGCGCCTTGCCATGGTTATCTGGTTAGGGTAACCTCTGCTTGCTCACTGCTGGCTGGCTGTGACGGTTCCCACCATCTTGTCTCGGCCCGGTGATTGGCCCAAGCAGCCGTATTGCTGCCTTGGCAGCTTCGTTCGTCGTGACCCAATCCGGTAACCTCGTTTTCGCTTGTTAGTGGCCGTGAGAATTTGCAGGACAAGGCTGAGGAGAAAGATGCACCTCAGGTGTCACGTAATACCTATAAATCCCATGAGGAACCACCTAGCTAGTGCAGAATAAATCTATATCGGTTCGAGTCTCAGATCCCTCTGTCTGAACACCGCTTCTTGAACTATTCCACACTCTGTGTACTTACAGAAGAGGACATTAATTTTGGAACCACAGTAACCATGCTTGAGCCACGCGCGTATCGTGAGTTTTCCGACTGTATCTTCGATCCTTGTAGGTTACATCCATCTAACATCAAGCAGAGGAAGGTAGTTTGTGGTTCTATGCCCCAAATAAAGGTGCCGCGATCGCCTTCGCAGTCCTCTTCTTCCTATCGGGTGCCATTCATGCTTATCAGAACATGTCAGCAGGCATCAACATTGGGGCCCCTTCTCAACATAGACACTGACAACCTCTTAGAAAATACAAATCCTGGAAAGTGACCGGTCTCCTACCATGGTCGGCGCTCCTCTTTACCGCAGGGTTTATTATGCGGACGATCGGCGCCTTTGGTCAATGGGGTAATGTTGGTGTTTTCATCGCTAGCAACGTACTACTTCTTGTTGGACCGTACGAATCTCCCAAGCCCAGCTGTTTGCCCTGGGAGTGTATTGACGTACTGACGTACTGACGTTGATAATCATAGGCCCGTCTACGAAGGCGCCAATTACTTCATTCTAGGTAGAATTCTGTACTATATTCCATATCACTCGCCCATCCACCCCGGTCGTGTATTCACCACTTTCGTTGCCGTTGGTATAGCCATCGAGGCGATCACTGCGAATGGAGCCGTTCGGATCGCCGGTGCTGATTCCACGCCCACTTCGGTGAGCACGGGTAAAGCGTTACTGAAATCTGCTCTCATCCTGCAGATTGCCTTGATGGTTGGCTTCATGGCTCTGGCTGGAAGGTTCCATCACAATTGTTCCAAAGGTCGGGTGCTCAACCACAAGATCAAACGCACCCTGATCGTCCTCTATATCAGTTCTACCCTTATCACTATCCGAACCATCTACCGCACGGTCGAATACTTCACTGCTGCCAGCTTGAATACATACGAGGATATCGAGCACATCAGTCCCGTCCTGAAGCAGGAATGGTTCTTCTGGGTATTTGAAGTGGTGTTTATGTATAGCAACACCACCTTGTTGAACGTGTTTCACCCTATGCAAACACTACCGCGCTCAAACAAGATCTACTTGGCCAAGGATGGAGTGACTGAGATTGAGGGACCTGGATATGATGATCCTCGCCCATGGTTTGTTACTCTCGTGGATCCATTTGATGTTTATGGTTTGATCGTTCACCACGGCAAGAAGGAGAAGTATTGGGAGTCGAGTGAGGCGCAGCAAGGAAATACCACTCATGCCGTGCAGGAGGCATGAAGCCACACTTGATCCCTTTGGTCATCTTTATTGTATACTGTATGAAGCTTCGCTGGTTGTGGATCATTGATTTGGCGCTGTTTCGTTTTGTTAACCTCTATTTCTCAACTTTGCTTTTCATGTTCATATCATACCCACTATAGACTGTCGATTTCATTACAACTAGTTTGAACAACGAGTTGATATTGTGAGAGATTGAGTACAAGTTCATTGTTTAAGAGACAGACGCTCACTGATAAATGCCCTGTTGCCTTTTGACATCAATCGTCGACGGCAGAGCGACGTGAAGAACAGACATTTGATTAGATCACATGGATGAAAGTACGGCCATATCGGGTCAATGGGAACTGCCCGTCATCCGTTGCTTGTAGAATGATTGAGATGGTTTGACCAGCCTTTGCATCTGCAGGAATTGCAATATTCGCCGTATTGTTGCCACCCTCAGTCACAGTCACAACCCCTGGGTACGTCCCCTCTTCGAGATATTGCCACCAGGATGTGGTGACCTTGTCGAGATCAGGATCGCTAACTACACCTGCCAACATCACTGTTTGTCCAGCACGCGCATTCACTTCAGTTCCGTTCAGACACTTGACCACCGGGGCATGGTTGGCACGTGTATAGTTCGCTGTCAAGGTCCACTGTATCCGAGCAGCAAAATCATTTTGGACAGCGGCTGCCCAACGATCCGTTGTATAGTAAGCGGCCTCATAACCAGTGTGGTTCTTCTCGCTTTCAACCATCTTCCATAGGTTCGGCGAAGTGGTGTTTTGAACAGCTCGGCCACCCCAGCCACCGAGTGTCGGATTAGCTGGGTCTTGGAGACCGGTCGTCAACAAGGGATTGAAGACGACGTTGTCACCCTCGGACAAGAAGCCGTACGAACCAGTCGGCTTGCACCATTGGCTTGAAGATTGCAGCTCTGCCAAATTCCCGAAGACATCCTCAGGGTCACCTGGCATTGACTGGCCGTCGAGCCAAGCACGATAGAGCTTCCCGTAAGGTCCTGTTTCTATGTGCGCCTTGATCCAATCACCCGAGAAGTATTCTTCGTCGTCCGGATAGCCACGGGGATTACCCATACCCTTGCAATTGTAACCCCACGTTTTGTATCCAGCTGAGAGCTCCTCAACCCGGATCTGTGGCCAGTTGGGGGCAATGTAGTCCGCGTATGTCTCATCCTGGAAGCCACTAGCCAGGATGATCGCTTTGCGAGAAATGGCGTCTCTGGTCTTATTCCACTGCTGTGACTTTGAGTGTTGCTCCTCGATTGACTTTAGGGCACGAGCGATGGTGTTGGTTCCACCCCATGCCTGCAAGTACAAAAGTCGCGGGTCTTTATCCAGAAGCAATGACCGGATCAGATTCGAACCGTCAGTGTCAAGTTCCATTTCACCCTCAAAATTGATATTGCCAATTTTGACCTTAGACAACAACTCATCCGGCGTAGGGTAAAATGGATCATGGCAGTTCAAATTCGGATAAACCTCGGCATACACCTGGAGGAGTATATCTTGGATGGTCCGCGTGCCCGTCCAACGCCAGGTCCACTGTGGAGTGCTGTATTCTCTGTCGGAGATAAAGAACTTGGTGCCATTGCCATCACCAGACCAGTGGTATCGACTAGATGTGTAAATGATACCCTGGGTATCGAGTTCATTGGTGTATAGCAGGTAACGGACCAGAGAGGCTAAGTCGTCCTGCTCCAGGTCTGTCGTTACGACGGTTCGTAGCATTTGTGACCTTTTAGTGGCATATGCCTGGGCAGCAGGTAGCGTGGCAGCCAACAGGCCAGCCGTGAAGAGGTAGTCAAAGAATAGCATTTGATGAGGAAGACTATACACCTAAGTATGTGGTCTTTAAAAGTAAGTTTGTTCATCCAGACTCTCGCAGCAACCTTGCTGTATTTAAGCAAATCTACATTTTTTGGCCATGACAGAGGCTAGGACAGCCCGTGGTTATTCTTTCCCTAAATTCGTGACCATTGTTGGGTGGCATACTCCTATGATGTGGGGCTGGCTCATATTCTTCAACACATATTCAGGGAAGATTGTCATAGACGGAAAATTCCCTGAACGATGTGGGGAAGATCAGCACCCTAATGCCTAGTGCGGGGAACCTGGGGAAGGTCGAACCACTTGAACTCATTGCCCCCCCCCGGAAAAGTGCTTAAGGTTGCTTTATCTGGACAAGATGTCATCGTAGCCGCCCCTGGCAGTTTCCCGAATGGTCCAAATACTGATGATCCTGCCTCTATCAGGTTGGGATTACCTATTTTGAGATACTAGCATCGCACTTGGTTGTGCGCGAATATGCAATGCTACAATTTAAAAGAGGTCATATTAACAGTGAGAAGCAATTCACAAACAGTCTCTCTAATTTATACACAGAAATCAGATGTCATACTCATCCTTTCCCATTTCTTCCTGAATTTCCCAGCTGTACCTGGCAAATCGACTTCGTCGTCGAATTCTCTCACCATAACACAAAAACAATGGAGGTACGATGCAAAAGACAGTAGCCACGCCTGCCAGAATCGAGACTGCAATATTAGCCCCCAGCCCGTTAAACATTTGATTTGTGAAGAGCGGAAATGCCCCAGACAGCATGCCTCGTAGGAACGCCACAGCAGCGGTCGCACTGGCAGAGTAGCTCAAATAGCTATCTGAGATATACCCATAGAGCACGGTGTCCATTTCAGTCAGAGCATAGCCGACCAAAACCAGAGACAGTGTTGGGATAATCCATGGCGTATTCGGTCCTGGTGTCTTGGGGGGAATTGTCCAGCCAAACCACCACAGACCAATGGCCAAAAATGGAGCCCCGAGAGCTAAGCCCACAAGCTTGTCTTCCGGCCTGATAGGCTTTCCTTGCATCCTGCGCTTGTTGAAAATATAACAGTCCAGTATGCGAGTGAATGTGCTCAGACATGTCCCGAGCCCGAGAGCCATGAACATGAGAGACGCCTGTGATGCTGAGAATCCCATGGATTGGTATATTGGCTGTAAGGCTTCCGTAAAAATATAGATGAGGGACATCGCGATAGATATCATCATGGCAATTGTGAATATAATGGGTTCTTGGAAGAAAAGCTGCGCGGGACGGAAAAGAGCCTCTTTGACAAAGGTCTGTAAGTTGGGAGAGTGGTCGTGGTTCAATGCTGGAGGTATCTCTGGAATCTCCCGTCGCATTCGATCAACTTCGCAAGTCAAGATGTAGGATGACCGGGATTCGCGAATAAGGAAAAGGAGGCCGGTAATGCCACCAATGATGATCGCATATGTAAAAAACACCCATCTCCTAGAAATCTGTTAGACCTTGATTCCAAATGGATATGCGGGAAGTTCATACCAGTTGAGAAGTTCAATGATGTGACTGCTCATGATCGGACCAACAATCAACCCAATATTCGAGGCCACTGTCCAGAAGAAGACAACCCAAATTCGTGCCTGGGAGTTGAACATGTCCTCAATACTTCCGCCCACGATAGTGCTAGGAACTGCCGAGAGCAACCCAGCTAATGATCGCATGATAACAGCCCCGGTAAGAGATTGTGAAAATCCGATGACGAGACAACAGACACAACTCAGGCCACTGCTGAAAATATACATCTTTTTGCGACCAAAGGATTCGGACCAAGGTGGGAATAGAATAGTGCCAATGGACTGGCCTAGAAGAAAACTAGCACACAGTTAGCTTTGGTTTTCCGAGATAAGCCTATGCTTAGGATGAAAACTCACAGTGTCACAAAACAAAAGGTTGCAAATGTATGATCTAAGTGATATTCATGTTTGGCCTGCGCCGCTGCCGCTGCCTAGTCCGGTCATTAGAACTTCGCTCGCTGGTACGCGTCTCTTGAAACTCACTCCTGCAGTGCTGCTAGCAGTTCTTTTCCAACGAAAGAAAATCAGCCTTCAATAAAGCCTCTAATGAGATGAGGGTGGTCCTACATAAAAAGGTCCAACGCGCAAATAAGTCCCGTATCATATGTCTTTCGAAGAACAGACCAGTTCCTTGGATGTTTTGGATTCTCTCTTAGCCATCGTACGAAGCTGCCGTCTGGTGTTAGCTCAAGATAGTAGTTTCGAAGATGTTCATGCAGCGAGAACTTGGTCTCTTCCATAGTATCTTGAGAGTGGCATTTCATCTTGGAGGACAGAGAATAAACGTTCATTCTGTGAAACGCGATCGAAGGGAATCCGGATTTGCTCATTCAGAAGAGTTAGGGAGTCTAGCATTTGTCAGATTTCAAGGTGCGACATGATCGTCTCAATCTACGTCTTTTGTGCATAGCACACTCTAAAAACAGGGGGTATATTCCGAAGAATGCAAAACCTCCCCTTGTGATCTACATGCAGGACAAAACCTCCGACTACACCGTCAATGATCGGACATATTCTCCGATTTGTGTGAGAAGACCTGTAAGGGAGGAGACAGCTCATGTAGCTTACTGCCAGTGAGTTCCATCTTCCTGGCACAATTCTTCCCATCGTTGTCCCCAGGCTTTTCGAGGGGATCTTCTCACACTGCTCATTGTCTTTAATCCTGTGACATCGAGTTCCAGGGATGGTGAGCTGTCAGCATTCTTGGTGGAATGAAGGGGGCCTATGTCTCTGGAAATCTACACCCGTAGCTTGATAATTAAGTTTTTCGACGACTAATAGATTGTTTGGACATCAGATTGTGATGTCAGGATTAACTTGAGCATATTTCTAGGGCTAGTCAAGCTATCACCTGAGCATGTTCCGGGATAAGTGTAGAGCTCTAAATATTTTTGGAAAATGCGATATAAGTCGCTATAGGTGGCTCTGTACCAGTTTCATTACTTCAAGGGAGTTTTTTAGATTCTTGACATGTGTAAATATCGACTGCCCAGGTCGCTGTGGTTCTAGAGTCGACTTTGCGAAGCCGTGAAATATATACTGACCCGGCAGGAAGGAAAAGTACACTGGCCAAGGTTTCCATTGTCAATCCAGTTATAGATGATAGTCTGACGAGGGGAAATCCCAACCGGTGCGGGCTGTATCCTTCCCAGCAATCATTCCTCAGTAGTAAAAAAGCCATTGCTTGTGTTAGTCTCAAGATCTATACAGCCTGAAAATGATGTCGCCGAATCACGTGATTAAAACGGGCTCCTGCTTAGACGATGTAGGTGGCTGCCGGAGGAATACGAGGCGCGGGGACTGGCAACCAATGGGCGTTTTCAGAGATGAGCATCAAAAGTACAAAGGACCAAATCAGATGGCGGTGAGATGTGGGTCAGTTTTATTAGGGGTGCCCCCCAAATCTGGGCGTGAGCTAGACATCAATAACACCCCCACCTGAAGGATTCCATCGGGGTATGGCCGGCATACGAGGTTGGCAGGCTGGCAGGTCACACCATTATTGAACTTCCAGAATGGTTGGCGTGCCTTACAGCAAGGGCTGTTTGCTCTGCCGAGAGCGACGCATCAGAGTTAGCAGTCTCTCACGCTTATAAATCTGATACCAAACTGACTTTGGATTAGTGTGACCAGTCTATGCCACAATGTCTTCAGTGTCGCAGGTATGGCGTTGCTTGTCCTGGTTATAAGCGTGCTTGGCAATTCCAGGATGAGGGACCCCGTCTTCAGAGACGATATCAGAAGAAGTTTCCCATTGCTGGTAATAATAACGTGAGGCATGAACCCGAGGCTATCCGCCGTCGTGGAATTATCACGCGAAACCAAGTCTTTACCAACCTTTCGATCGATGAGCGTGTCTATCCAGCTTTGATCCAACAATGCTTCATCAGCCAGCAGCCGCGAGTGTTCAAGGAATTTACCTGCGCTGCCTTTCCCACGATGTTCTTCCATAATGAATTCCGCTTTGGGGATGGCTTCACCTTCCCGGACTGGGTGGTGAAGCACTTTGGCAAGAAGCCTTATTATGATGCGGCCGTCTCGTGTCTTTCAGCGCAATACCTCGCCCACCTCACTGGAGACCCAAGTGTCAACCACTTTAGCCGACAGAAATACTCCCAGGCTCTGGCGGCAATCAGGCAAGTTCTAAATTCAGATGAGGAGGCGTCCTCGGATGCCCTACTGATAGCGGTCATTCTCCTCTCTTTCTACGAGATGAGTACGCGAACTACCCGAGATGCTTGGGTATGCCACTCGAGGGCGGTAAAACATATAATGATGAAACGGGGAATGGACCTCCATCTTTCAGGGGCCGGTCGTGTCTGCCATTTTGCATACAGACCATTCCTGATTGCTGCCGCGATTTATGAAGGCGAACCGTGCTTCCTGGGTGAAGACGATTGGCAGGACCTAGCAGCTGTTCTTCGAGCGGAAGACTCTCAAAAGAAGAGCGAGTGGTCATTCTACATTGATGTTTACGAATCCATTTTCATGGAGCTGGTCAAATGTCCCAGATACATTCAAGAGGCGCGAGAGATCACTTCTCTTGCCTCTTCAAAAGCCCAGCTCCTGGAAGGGAGCATCGCCATGACCTGCGATCGACTGCGGGCACTGAATGACGAGTTGAGATCACAGCTTGCATCAAATAATCAGCGGAAGCTGGGAATAGTATTCCGTGGTTTTATCGGTCCGGAGCCGAACGGTTTCCCAGAGACGAGTCCCTCACTACTTCTCAGCGCTGCGGCCAATACCCTTGAAATCCTTGAACAACTTCGAGCCCGATTACAGATATCTGTCTCCTTCAAGGAGGAAGCGGACTGCTTGGCGCCATCATCTATTCCGCAGAGTACCTGTACAGCTAATGTTAGCCTCCCATGCCTTGATTTTCGTCTTGTTTGCGAGCTTGGCGAGGGAATTCAAAAGGATGACCCTCGGGCATTTACATGGCTTGATCGGGTCGCCGGGTCAATGGGGCTTCTAGGGGCAAAAGCTATCTATTGAAGTCTGCTTGGGGTGTATTACATTTACATAATTCTATTTTGGAGCTCTGGCTCCTCTTTCTCGCGACGTACGAACCGAAGATTGCCTACGATGTTACACTGTCTGGATGGTTCTAGAAAATTTGTAGGATTTTGAAGCTCATAGATCATACCATCATGGCGATGGCTCCTTTTTGATGTATGGCTCTAGCTCGTCCACAAAAGGCTTACGAGCCCATACCCTTCGTCTGTCGGACTGTTAGCTACAATATTCCTGCAACTAGTATCTCTCACAAACTCACGCTCTCTGATAGATGTGAAACCGCGGGGTTTTGAGTTCCGCACGCATTTTCGCGACGTACACGTGAACTTCCTCCTTCGTCCACGGCTGTGGTGATCCAAATTTGGTCAGCAACCACATGCACCATCCTTCCATTCCAGACATCCAGTGCTGGAAGTTGACCACCCCTGCTTCCTTCAGTCTCTTATCCCTAGGCCATGGACCAATAGGCCACTTAGATTCTTTCTCGTGGATTTCGACAAAGCCAGCTTTGCGAATATTCTCTGCCATGGTGTCAATAGCATTCAACTCGCGGCCAGCCTTTTTTGCACACTCCATCGTGTAGACTCCCCAGGAATGAAGAATATTATCTGCAGGCAGACTTCCATCATCGCATAGAACTACCGGACTAGCCTCGATTTGTTCAATCCATCCACCAGGCTGCAGTTTTCTATAGATACAATTGGTCAGAGATGTAATCATGGAGGCATTGCAAAGAAGTGCTTACTCGTAGCATTGCTTGTACACTCGATCCCATTCTGACTCAGTGAAGGATCCAATCATGATTCGCATATGTATCAAATCAAAGGGCTCACGCCAGGTCCACTCTTGCAGCGCATCATCGACCTCTAGAATGCAATTGGGTGGCATCCAGGATACGGGTGGTGGAAATAGGTCGACTCCACGTACCGTCGCTGAAACTATTTAGTACTTTGCTATTGTAAATGCGGTATTAGGTACTTGCCATTGGGAAACATATCAGCCACGTCACTGAGACAGTCAGCATTCTTTCTTCCAACTTCAGATTCGTTTCAGGACATACATTGCCCAAACGCCCTTCCCGGTCCCAAGGTCAAGTATGTGTTTAGGATCTGTACCAATCGGAGATCGGAAGAGTGGGTTCGGTCTATCTGAGTCCAAAACAAGATTTACTAGGTGTCTGCTAAAGTCAGAACTGTTTGGGAATCCTACTAAGAATGCCGCACTTACCCTGCTTCGTAGGTCTCAAACATCTGGTCATCTGATGGGACGCTGTGGCCTAAAGTTAGAGGTGGAATATGATATTGGGATATTAGAACTTCTTACAGATATCCCTCATCTCGAAGGTTCTGGTATCTGAGATAGAAATACACAGATCAGCTGCGGATCACAAGCATCTCTTGGCGATACAAAATATTCACCGTCTTCCATTCTCCATCAAACCTCGATATAAGGAGGATCCGATGGATGTTGTTTCCCTATCACATTTCAGTTGAGACTCTAGAGAGACACAAGGCCCAGTATATCGAGAAAAAGAACGCACGATTGCCAATCATCGGGGTAGTACTCGCCATCCCTAACTTGATACAAATCTGTATCCTTAGGTCAAACCTCAGAGAGAGAATATGACAATGAAAAGCACATTTTGCAGGAACCATGCTTACCACAGCGATGACTTGGTCCACCATAATTGCCACCTTTCTTTGATTCACCAAGACAAAGAAAAGCCAGGGAAAAAAGGAGGGGTCGCGGTTTAACAATGAAAGTCGAATTCGCAACGCAATCATAGTGGGGCCACACCCTGGTCTTTGAATGCAAGACCGTTGCACATCCCGCTGCGGCGCTCCTACGCATTGCGGCTTAGTGGAAGACGGAAAGACGCGCCGTCCCGTCGAGTCAGCCACCATGGTTTGCTATGGGCTGGCAGGCTGGCAGCACGGTAAATTATAGTTGACACCAGCCTGGATTTGTATCATCCGCCGAGTTCCGATGGTTTTCAAAACAAGTTTAATGGGGAGGAAAGCGAAACGTAATGGACCTTTTTTGTTCCTCATGTTACATACAACGGTTTGCTAACTATGGGGTTGAGACTACAAGTACAAATATGCTGAAGGACTTAATAGGCAAGACGCCCCCGTTCTTTTTGGCTTTATAACCTGGTTCGTCAAAATTGACTCGTGTGATTCCACCGTATGTGAGTCTGAATTATTCTTGTACTGTACTGTAGCCTGTCAAGACTCAAAAAGTACTCTGGGTCCACACCTATCATACAGAACGATTGAGCATTATTTACAAGTAAACTTCCGTCGAAAACTTGAGCAACAGGCCTCACAGTACTCAGGCGAGCTCTTATTCTATCATTTTTCTCTGTGCCTCCTCTGGCGGAAAGAAGACAGTGTTTTTTTCCCCTCGAGCACCTACTAATTAGTATCTAAAAGATGCTAACGGCCGACATCCAGGAAAATTGCCTTGTCAGGCCCACCACAATGACATGGATACACTTTAGCCTCCTTCCATTTCGGGCGCTATTTTTCCATGTCGGTCTTGAAACACGACTTATATTTCATCCAATTGGATTGATGTGCTTTATAGATGGGGCTATAATAAAGCAAATTCTAGGTGATTTTTCAAAGACTTTTAATATAATCAAGGCATTTCTAAACTTCACAAAATATCTCTTGTTGTTACAATAAGTAGGACGTGATCCCTTCATGGACAAGAAATAAACATGTCCATACAACGGAGAAACAAAGCTTCATGAATCCCGAATATCCCGTTATGGTAATCGATCGGACGAGTGCCAAGCAGGCTGACCGCCCAGCACCTCGAATCAGCGGCGACTCTGGCGAGGCCACCTCTCCGCAATATTCTGCCAGTTCGGTCATAACAAAGCTCCCGAAGAGCACAACTAGCACCAGTCCATTGCGTCTGGCAGTCTATCCATCATGCTGTCTGCACTCTCCTCCAGCTTGAATAATGCGCGCACCACCGTGGCGCAGGTGCTCAACTTTGCTCTAGTATGTGCTGTCCCTGCTTCAGCAACCTTTGCCTACTTGATAGACTGTTCCTACGCTCCCGTCATCCCAGAACAGGGCTAACCACGCTTTTTCTCGATGAACAGGTTTTGTCGACTGCGTTTATGCTATGGAAGGGACTATCTGTGGCGTCTGCATCCAGCTCCCCAATTGTGGTCGTCCTCTCGGGCAGCATGGAGCCTGCCTTCCAACGAGGTGATCTTCTGTTCCTATGGAATCGCAGCCCTCGGACGGAGGTGGGAGAAATTGTGGTGTACAATGTGGGTCTCTTCTTTATCTTCTGCATTCGCTTCGTGTCTTGCTGACTTTGAGATAACAGGTGCGCGGAAAGGACATTCCCATCGTCCACCGTGTGGTCCGAAGCTTCCCCGAGGTCGAGGGAAAGGCGAAGAAGGTGAAGGAGATCACAGTGTACGTCTCTGAGAAATTCAAACTTACAGTGGACTATGTGCTAATGCAGAATTATAGCGACTCAACACCTTCTCATATGCTCTTGACTAAGGTATGTTTATTCACATCAACCACATTTTGGACCTTGTCGAAGCTAATCTCGAGTGCCTTTCGCTAACAGGGTGATAACAACCTTGCCGATGATACTGAACTGTGAGCTGATTTCCGCTTCTCCTTCCCTTCTTTACTCGAGTTCTCATCATGTTATTTTTAGCTATGCCCATGGCCAGGATCACCTCAATCGTTCCGAGGATATTGTAGGAAGTGTGCGAGGATACATCCCAATGGTGGGATACGTTACAATCATGCTATCAGAGCACCCGTGGTTGAAGTCGGTTCTTTTGGGAATCATGGGCTTGATGGTCGTGCTTCAGCGGGAATAAATGTTGTTTAGGTAAAGGCAAAACAGTTGATAGCTAGCTACGTCAGGCTGGCCATATTCAATTAGTATGACATACAAATGGGCCACAAAAAAGGCCTCAACCATCAATTTGATAACCACCCATGATCGTAGGGCTTTGCTTATTGAATGATTCACTTAGAGGTAGTTGGGCGAGTGAGCTTTATCGACTGGGCAGTCTGGGGCTGAGCTGGCCGATAGCAGACTGACGTCTTCACCCACCCCACTCCGCAAGCTAGAAGAAAGCTCCCAAGCTACCCCCCTCCTCCCTGGATCTCTCCACTCGAATCACCACTCGGGCGCTATTGGTCTTGCCAGGAGACTTCCCTAGACTATAATTGCCTCTTTCGCTCGCTTGCAAGGGTCTCTTCTGCGCATATCACTCGTATCCTCCTTGCCACCTGCTTTTCCTTCATCCACCACCCCGCACCCTCCATCACGCGCCCCGCTACGGGTTGACCATATTCGACAAGATGGGCAGCCAGAAACGCATAGCTAAGGTATGATGTTTTTGGTTTCTTATTATTTGCTGTTACAAATGTGCTTATTCTTCTTTCACAAATAGGAGTTGAGCGAGCTCGTCGAGTCGCCTCCGGAGGGCATCATCGTCGAATTGGCCGACGAGGCCAATCTTTACAAGTGGAAGGTGTTCATGGAAGGGCCAGAAGGGTCACCATATCAGGTATGTCCTATCCAGAGTCACTTGTGCCCGCGATGAATCCTTGTACTGGCCGCGCCCTCGGAGTCTGGCTGGAGAAGAGGGCCACAAAACAACAACAAGCCCGCTCTTCCGCTCCCTATACAAAGCGCCATTCTAACACTCATCACTACCTATAGGGCGGAAAATTCCTCGTTAATCTCACCCTACCCACCGAGTACCCCTTCAAGCCGCCAACCGTCTCATTCGGAACAAAAATATACCACCCCAATGTCACGAATGACGAAAAGGGGAGCATGTGCTTGGGAATGTTACGGGCGGACGAGTGGAAACCTAGTTCCAAGATCGCAGCTGTCCTGCAATTTGCACGTCAACTGCTTCAGGAGCCGATGCCTGATGATGCTATCGAAGGACGGATCGCGCAGCAATACAAGAATGACCGGAAGCGCTACGACGAGATCGCGCGGGATTGGACTCGGAAATGGGCTGTTTCTGAGTAATTGTTGGGTGGGGGATGGGAGACATGATGAACGCTTGAGGTTTTACTTGTGATCTGATGTTGTTCGAGCCTTCATGCAAAACTTTTGATGTTAACAATCCACATGCCTGCGGCTGAGCGAGACGGGCCTGGGAGAAATCATGGACTTTCGATAGTCCTCATGCGATGAACATACATAATTCAAGGAAGAATTTGCCGTGGTCAGTAGCTATTGATTCGGTTTTTCTACACCAAACCGCTACTATTGTAGCGAGCATTGGGGGTATGTGCAGTTAAGGGTACATGCACATCCTACTTCAACCCGGAGAAGGGACTGAAGAGAGTACTGGAAAGCCTTTACTCCGCATTATTGTGCGGGCAGTCTTCTCCAGTCCCTTTCATTCCAAAACCAGTAACTTAACAGTAGATACGGCTCGTCGGAATATATCATGCTCAAGATTCCGGTTCATCCTAGGTGGGGCTAATGCGGAAAATGTCCTGGGCAGAGGCTCTGTTTGTCATGGCACTTTAGTGACATAGCTGTCATAGCGCTCATTTTGAGGCCAGCTCACATGGATAAGACGACTAAATAGCGGAATTATGCCTCGATCGTTCACAGCTTCCCCGCAAATGACCCCACGGGCACAGTCGCTCTACGATCTCTGGTTGGCCCATATATCTCTACAGTTCTTATGCCTCGGGAATGTTGATGCTTAGATAATGTATATATTAAGGTCCTTGGATCAACCGCTTTGATTCATCTGTATCGAAGCTGAAAACACAACAATGGCAGTCATCTCTGAACCAATATCATTTGCATCGCAACATGTCGGAGGCATCCTTCTCCTCCTCGGTGCACTCTATCTAGCTTCCAACTACCTCAGTCTAGGGGTATGCTCTGTTCCCGGCCCATTCCTGGCAAAATTCTCCAATCTGTGGAGATTCATCGACGTCGCAAATGGTCATGCTGAAGCGACATTATACGAATTACATCAGAAGCACGGGGATTATGTACGACTGGGGCCGAAGGTAGTGAGTGTACGAGATTTAGATGCTCTGAAAATGATCTATGGTATCAATAAGGGATACCGGAAAGTATGTTGTCCTTCATATGAGAGATTACAATGGAATGGGCACTAACATAGGTCCATCCGGAAGACAAACTTCTACCATGTACAACAGCAGCTAGCCAAAGGGAAGCCGACTCCTACACTCTTTACCACTACGGATGAAGATTTCCACGCTGCCATCAAGCGGCCTATATCAGGTGCATACTCAATGAGTACTCTGACCGAGTTTGAGCCCTTTGTTGATCAGACGATCCATACTCTGTTCGGGAGACTGGACGAGTTTGTAACCAGGGATGAGGTTTGTGATATTGCGGTCTGGTTGCAGTATTGTTTGTGCCTTCACACCATTACGTTCTTGAATGGTCCTTGATTGACATGGACAGATGCATTCGATGTAATTGGGGAGTTGACTTTCAGCAAACCACTTGGGTTCCTCGAGAAAGGGGCCGATGTGGAAGGCATTATCGAGGCCCTTGAGCATATGCTTGACTACTCTGGAAAGGTATGATCCTTCACGCCCAGCAAGCAGATCAAATCTCGCTGACGACTCTACAGATTGGCCAGATGCCGTGGCTTGATTATATTTTCATCAAGAACCCCCTGAGACGGCTTGTTCAAGGGGGGCTCAACGGGTGCGGTTGCTCGTTTTGCGCGGGCTCGCCTCGATGAACGGTTGATGCATTCAGAGTCAACAGCGAAGGACAATAGAGATCCCACCCAGTCGCACAGAGACTTTCTTGCCCGCTTTCTGGAAGCCAAGAAGAAATACCCAGATATTGTTACCGATAACCAGGTCTTTTCATATACCGTGAGCAACATGAATGCCGGCTCCGATACTACAGCCATCTCGCTTAGAGCAATCCTCTACTACACCCTCAAAAGCCCAAGGGTCATGGCGAAACTATACGAAGAACTCACCACTGCTTATCAAGAACGCCGGATCTCGCTCCCCGTCTCCTGGAAGCAAAGTCAAGACGAGCTCCCCTACCTCGATGCAGTGATCAAGGAAGCGCTCCGCCTCCATCCAGCTGTTGGGTTACTTCTCGAACGAATCGTCCCCACCGGTGGACTCCAGCTTCCCAACGGTGGGCCATTCTTGCCAGCGGGGACCATTGTCGGTGCCAACCCCTGGATTATCCACCGTCACTCCATCTTCGGGCAGGATGTTGAATTCTATGTGCCGGAACGCTGGCTGCGGGCGGATGGGGAGTCTGAAACAGCTTTCCACGCGCGGAGGCAGGACATGTTCCGAGCAACATTCACATTTGGAGCTGGACCCAGGACGTGCATTGGGAAGAACATTAGCTTGTTAGAAATTTACAAGTTGGTCCCTTCGTTGTTTCTGACATATAAGGTGAGAACGGAGTGGTGGTTTTCTACATATAGAATATATATCACTAGCTGACGAGTGCTGTTCTGCAGATTGACCTTGAGCATCCGGAGAAGCAATGGCAGACTGTCAACGCGTGGTTTGTGCGCCAAAAGAACATGCACGTCAGACTGGCTCGGCATGATAATCTCTAGTCAATGCTGGCATACTACAGTATGAATGCCGTCTTTGGGTACTGGGGAAGTGGAGAAGTGGACATGTTGATTCTGACACACCAGCAAAGAAAAATTTAGCGCTAAGATAGAGCCGACATGTTCGCAACCCCGCACAATGCCGAGAACGGGAAGTTTAAGAGAGCTAATGGGTGTGATAGGTTCTGTAGCATCTCGTTAACTCGGGAAAGGGGTTTGTGTAGAAAAGCCCGGCGTCACGCTTGCATCGCACTTGCAATCTGTCGGGTAGGGGCGAGCCGCCGAAGTGGATCGGAACCAGGGTCTAATTTGCCCAGCCTATCAGGGACGGTTTGGCTCGCAAACGGGATGGATTGGTTCAGGGCTTGCAGGTTTCTCAACTGTTGTTCGTTCCAGATATATAGTTCGAGCGTACAGGATTCTGTCAATTCGAACACATACCATGCTTGCGAAACCTTTGATAAACCTGTCAATTTGTTCATCTAAGCGTGCCGTGTCTAAGCTGACTGATGGTCATTTAACTCGACTTCTACCTTTCCAGAAGGAATCCGGCGTTGGAGGTGAAGCCCCAGCCGAAGCTCCGATACTTGTTCCTCGGTTAGGGGATGGCTTAGGCCCTGGAATTAGGAATTGGACAGGTAAATTTGTTGTTTGATTTGGAAGACGAGGTCATGAGATCCCTTTGTTAGATTGCAATTCATGCATTGTACAAGGTCCCTGTCGTTTGTTGGTAGGGGGTTAGGGGCAGACAATATTATTCTAGCTGCTACAAGCGGATGACCCTGATCGACAGCGTACCCCCTGGTCGGCTTCTTCCCGGGAGATACCCGGGCCATCAGACAATAAGATTGAAAGTTATTATGGTAAAAGCAATGAAGCATGGGGAAGCTACAGTATCGTTCGTACTACTAGGTACTATGCATGCTGCACTGGTTGTAGCCACGGAGACACAATATGTAGCCAAGACGTCGTATTGTTATGTGATGATGTGCCGTCCAGACGCGCGAGGCGTCATATTTAATTTGGTTGAAGTGTGGCTTCTGGCGTCTACAAATCAAACATCCTCCAAAATCTTGATCCCAATAATAATTATACGAATCACGGAAGCAAAAAGTGATTAATCTCGATCCGAAGCGAATCCTGAAACCGCCGTCGCTCTTTACGTCATGTGACGCTAGCCTCAATTGGGGTCTGTTGATTTTTGTCTCGGCGACTTCCACTTCTTTTCCGGTTTCTTCATTCCAGATTCCTGTCGCCCTTTCATTCCACTCCTCTGGCAGGCTGTGTCGTCGGGGTCAGGTCTTTTATTTCTTCTGCTCTTCTGTCTTTTCCGTGGCTTTTCAATTGCCAATTCCTGCTTTGCTGGAACATACCCAGCGTCCAACGAGCTACCCGCTCAACCCTTTTCGATTTTCTTCAACTTCGCCCGTGCTTTCTCAACGCCGACTTCGCGTATACGGGTTACAGTGTACAGCGTACACCGACCGTGTCAATTGCTTCTTTTCTCCTCTTTACACTCATTTTCAAACTTTATACGCCTTGAACACCTCCTCGGCAACCTCCACGTTGATTATTCCTTGCCAGTCACGAAAACCAATGTCCAGCGGGATCTGGGTGCTAGCTCGTGGCCATGGTCACAGAAAATGGAAGCCCTCGATATGCTCCTCCCTCGGCTGAATCGGACCTGCGTGGTCGTCGAAAGATTCCGCATCCACCGCGGCTGGACCCTTTGAAGATTGATCCACGCGCGCCGCGAACCAAACAATCGACTCCGAGATCGTCGCCGCGATCTCCCCGCTCTCCGCATCTCCCGCGTTCGCACTCACCTCTGCCTCCAGCACCACAGACTGCAACAGATGACCGACCGTGGCTCCCTGAATCACTCCGAGCGGGTTCACCGCAAGGTAGAGACGAATGGAGAACGAAACAGAGTTCGACTCACACTCCCCTGTTCACACCACCTCCTGATCGAACGCCCCCAATGTGGTATACTCACGACAACGATTTCGACCGACAAAATCACCGCAAAGGGCCGCCGGCCAGAGGTGGTCTCCGCATTTCCATGTCGACCTCCCGGCTACCCAACAGACGACCGCGGCCGCAAGTCTCCCCCGATCGCTCCCAGGACAGCGTTGGCCATGGCCTGCCATTGCCTCGGTTCCCGTCGAAGGGACCTGCTGATGATAAAACCCTCCGGACGAGCTTCAATTCTGCTATGACCTCGCGCTCCAGCATTGAACAACACTCCGGTACCGAACGCAGCAGCGTCCTGACCAAGAGCAGCTCAATTACCGATCTCTCGCCAGATACCCCCGACGGTCCTTATGGGATGGATGATGGCATGAGTGTGGAAGATGCGATCTCCATGTATCTCGATGGCTTCAGCGACGTGGCTGAGGAACCCTCATCGCCCACGTCGCGAGCCGAGAGCAAGGCACCCTCAATCACACCTCCTCCTTCGAGAGATGCCTACCTGGAGGGGGCAGTTATGTTCCCACCGAGGACGACGTCACTTGAAAGTGTACCTCCCATCCGACCACCTTCGCAGTCCGATTTGCCAGAGACAGCATACTTTGAACCTGAATTATCACAACTTCCTATACCGGAGCCTATAATGGAGATTGCTTCTCCACCACAAACTCCTCCACCACCCCCACCACCTGTTATCACCTCTGAACCTGCGCCCCAAGAACCCAATCTCCCCGAAAAAGCATCCCCTAAATCACCCTCCTCCCACCAACGACAGCCGTCAAAGATAATAATACCCGGGCCCGTCCCCCCCCTCTGAACTCCGCGAATGCCACACGTGATGACTATGGATTTCGCAAAGCAACGCAATATGTGACTTTGGACCAGTACGAAGCTTGGAAGGGATCTTATTCTGGCTATGCTGCGCATCGTCGGAGTAAGTGGCAGGAATTGCTCAAGGAGCATGGTCTCCAAACCGCCGATCCTACTGTGTTTCCAGCACAGTCCAACAAGGTGAAACGTTTTGTACGCAAGGGCATCCCCTCTGAATTTCGGGGCGCTGCTTGGTTTTGGTATGCCGGCGGGTACGAGCTCCTGAACCGCAACCCTGGTCACTACGATCGACTCGTGGAGAAGGTGATGGCTTCTCCCAGCAATGATGACAAGGAACACATTGAACGTGATCTACATCGCACCTTCCCAGATAATCTCCATTTCAAGCCGGAGTCTGTGGATGGTGGACCTCAGAACTCGAATATCACGACTGAGACCCAGATGATTCAATCATTGCGCCAGGTACTGTATGCTTTTGCACTGCATAATCCCAAAGTTGGCTACACACAGTCGCTGAACTTCATCACCGGCATGCTCCTTCTATTTCTTCCGGAGGAGAAGGCGTTTTGGATGTTGCACATCATCACCTCCGTGTACCTGCCAGGTACCCATGAGGTCAGCCTGGAAGGTGCAAATATCGATCTTTGGATCCTCATGGTTCTGCTACGAGATTCCATGCCGAGCATCTATTCCAAGATTGCTAGCATGGATGGATCCTCCATTCGCGGTAAACCGCCTGCTCTCACTGTGAACTCGCGACTTCCTGACATCACTCTGGGATTGACCAATTGGCTTATGTCCATTTTCATTGGAACACTGCCTCTTGAAACAACACTGCGAGTCTGGGACATTTTCTTTTACGAAGGTTCCAAGACGTTCTTCCGTGTTTCACTTGCAATTTTCAAGGCTTGCGAAAGAGACATTCTCGCAGTTTCGGATCCCATGGAAGTCTTCCAGGTAGTACAGACGGTTCCCAAGAGATTGTTGGATGTCAACACACTCCTCGAGGACTGTTTTGTGCGACGGCATCGTGTTGGTCAAGGCCGTATCGAAGAATTGCGAGCTGCACGACGAGTTGCTGTTCGACAGGAGAAACTGCGGCGCTCGGTCGCCTTCAGCAAGGGCCAGATCCAGTCTGCGACTGACAATTTCCCTGGTTCACGAAATGGAGGGGCCGATATCGAACAACGGGTTGTGAACTCCTGGCGTAATCTCAAGCAACATGCCTTCCACAGGGAACCGGGCCGTTAATTTATTTTACTTCTCGGGGGTCATCCCTGCAGATACGCTCGCATTCACTGGGCTGAAGCGACCGGGCAATGAGAGTCGGAAAAAAGACTCCAGGCGCTAATCCACTGTTTTCTTAATTGTAATTGACCTTGTCAAATCAACAAGGCATGTTGGGCACCTCGCAGCACATTTGGCGGGGGAAAGCCCTTGCATTTTATAGGCGTCTCGAAGGTCGGGGGGAAAGGCAACGCACGTCTCGCATATGGCACATATTAGATATCCTATCTGCATCTTGTTTGTTCATGTTTCCTCCCCTTCTTCTTTCTTTTTCTCTTTCTCCTTTAGCAATCTTGCATCATCTGTACATACATAGTGCATGAAAATCCACTGCCAAGAATCTGCCCAGCAGGCAACCTGCTTAACTACTTGGCAAAATTGAAAGACTGAAAACTGGGATTCGCGGTTAGCTGAGTCTTGGTACGAACTATTGGGTCCTGAACCCTACAGGGCTGATCATTGGGCCGATCGTGGTTCCTCTGCGGCCAACTATCGGTTGCACTTGCATGTCGTCATGGATTCAAATGCGGAAGATAAAGCTCCTTGCATGCCCACCTTTTTTTCTTTTGTTGAACCTGTCCCCTATTTCTTCTGACAGTTGCTACTCACTTGTTTGAACTTCGACGTCGCGATCGTCGTGGTCTGCAGCTATGAGTGGACAAGCTGCTAGTTATTACGACCAGGGCCAGGGCTTCGATGCCCAGGGTCAACAACAAGCTCCTTACGAGAACAAAAATAATGGGAACTACACAAATGGATATGATCAGCGCGGTAATGGCAACTACCAGCCACCGGTCAATTACCAACCACAACAACCAGCAAACTATCAGCAGCCTGGTCCTGAGCAGAAGCCCCAGCTGCCTCCATACCCCGATAACCCGCCCCCCTACAGTACCTTCGATGAAGCTTTCAAGATCGAGAAGCCCAAGTACAATGATATCTGGGCGGGTCTTCTGGTGAGTTTGAAGAGCTTTGCCCTGATAGTAATGTAACATTGCGATGTAAAAATACTGACCCCCATCACAGTTGATTGCTGTTTTCCTGGGCTACGTCGCTGTGTCCGGTGTGACCATCCACAAGTATGCCACGAACAAAGGATTCAGTGGAGGTGGCATCTACGACTCCTCAAATGATTTCTCACTTAACACGAATACTCTGGTGCTGTTTATCTTCGTCTTATGTGTCGCTCTCGTCTTCTCGTGGGCATATTTCATGAGCGCTCGATATTTCACCAAGACTTTCATCTGGGCAACCGGCATTCTGAATATCGTTTTCGCTCTCGCCACCGGAATCTACTACATTGCGAAAAAGCAATACGGAGGTGGAATCGTTTTCCTACTCTTCGGTGTCTTCGCGATCATTTGCTTTATTAGCTGGATTCCGCGTATCCCATTCACGGCTTTCATGCTACAGACGACTATGGATGTTGCACGCAACTATGGCCATGTTTTCCTCGTCAGCGCTCTGGGAGGTATCGTGACTGTCGCATTTGCTGCCTGGTTTTCAGTGACTTTGGTTTCGATCTATGTCGCATACGAGCCCGACTCCACTGGTACCAATCCCTCCTGCGCGAATGGTGGTTGCAGCACCGCCAAGGTAATTGGGTTGACAGTATATGTGACGTTTGCTATGTACTGGTTCAGTGAGTGGATCAAGAACACTGTGCATACAACCATTGCCGGCGTTTACGGTTCGTGGTACTTCTGGAGTAAGTCTGCGGGTGGCATGCCCAAGGGCTCGACTCGTGGTGCATTCCGTCGAGCAACGACCTACTCCTTTGGCAGTATCAGTTTCGGTAGTTTGATCATTGCCTTTATCAACATGCTTCGCCAGGCATGCTCGGTCGCGCAACGACAAGAAGCGGCCCAGGGTAATATTGTCGGCAGTATTTTCATCTGGATCTTGGGATGTTTCATTTCGCTACTGGACTGGCTCGTCACTCTGTTCAATCGCTATGCGTTCTGTCACATTGCTCTATACGGCAAGGCGTATATCCCAGCAGCAAAAGATACCTGGAAGATGATGCGTGATCGTGGAATCGATGCCCTGGTGCAAGACTGCTTGATGGGTCCTGTGTTGACTATGGGTTCGACGTTCGTCGCTTACGTCTGCGCTTTGCTGGCCTATCTCTACCTGCAGTTCACCAAGCCCGCGTACAACGATGGTGGTGACTTTACTGCTGTCATCATGGCCTTCGCGTTTTTGATCGGCTTGCAGGTGTGCCAGGTCTTTATGACTCCTATTGGTAGTGGAGTTGAAACTATCTTCGTTGCTATGGGTTGGGATCCTCAGGTTATGATTAATGATCACCCGGATATCTATTACAAGCTGGTACAGCTGTATCCTCGCGTGCAGCAGGCCATTCATGCTTGAAGTCGTTGCAAAATTGACGCAAATTGCTTTACCCCGGTTTCTGGTTTCCTACATTGTAAACCTATTGAAAGGACTTCGTCAGCTACGAAGTAGATATTTGACGGCTGGATAGGATAATGATAATACTTAATGAAAGAATGGTACTCATATTCATTGATCATTACAATCTCGATCCTAACTGTTAACATAAAATGGTGTACAAAAGCAATTTAAAGGACACACGTATCAACTCCACAAAAAGAAAGAAAAAACGACATCGACAATGATTATCTCGACAGCAAAGCTCCCCACAGAATCCGACCAAGTATACCCCTACAGAGCAATCATCAACCCCATAACAGCAGCAACACCCAGCGCAGCAATACCACCCTGAACGGCACTAGTCTTGGGAGCCGCACCCTGGAAAGTATGGAAGCGATTGGCACTAGCACCGCTAGGAGTAGGGGTAGCAGCCGACATCTGCGAACCAAAGATAACAGAAGAAGAAGCAGCCATCATAGCACCGTTAGAAGAAGCAGGAGTGGAAGCAGCCATCATAGCGCCCATGCTGCTGCTCATAGGCACATCGACGGGGATCTGGGAAATGTGCATGGGGTTGAGAGCGGGAGTGCTCTTGCAGCTGCATTCGGTGCGAGTCTCGGTGACATAGACGACACGGGGAGCGGACATGTCCATATCGTCTGATGAGGGACGGTAGGCGCGCTTGTCGTTGGCGAGCTCCATGGGCTTGCTGGCGTGGCGGGCTGGGGCGGCGGCGGAGCCTTTGCTGGTATTGGCGCAGGCGGCGGAGATGAGGGATGTCAGATCTGGTGGTTTGTTAGTTTTTAGATTGTTTGAATTGAATTGTATCAGGGAATTAATGGACGTACCAATGCCGGCGGTCTTGCAGGCGTCGGGTACCGCGGGGAGAGCATCCTTGTTTGCGCAGAGGCAGTCGGTGTCGCTCAGGTCAGTGCAGTCGGAGAAACTGGAGGTATCGACGCTCGCAAGCGCGGTCTGACTTGGGTTAGAAAATGATTTGCGAAGGTGAATCAGGTTACTTACAAGACAGCTGTCAATGGTGCCCTGCGCTCTGGTAACGGCAGCACCGGCCAGGATGAGAGAGGCGATAAAGGAACGCATTTTGATTGCTTTTTGTTTTCTCTGAGAAAATAAAATAAAGTTGAAACAACTGGAAGGCTTACTGGCCACTTAGGTCAAGTATAGAAGCAATTGAAAAGGGGGATTGTAAGAAATCTCCCACCGTGGCGGCCATGGGCGTCGGTGTTGACTTAAGTAAAGAAACACAATCATAACAAACAGGACACATAATTGGCCCTTCAACATCCCTTGATACCATTGACCAATTGAGCACTCAATTATGACGTGAGAAGCATTCTGGAGATGTTCCAGTAGCCAAGGGGATGGCGATTGACTCGTATGGACAAGCTTTGACTGGTATCTGGGTCAGGCCTTTATCCTGGGATAAGCATTGTACAGTTACTCCAGCACAAAATTGCACATAACAGATCCTACGCACTGCCCGTGTTGATCACTATGGAATGACGAAAGAATGTGCCAGGTACCATGTCCCCTGTCGTTGACTCGTTGTGCCTGGCAATATCCCTGGATACCCTTTTCTCCGAGGAATGTCCATGTCAACTCGCCTCTCATTGATTTTGTCCTACTTTAGGACTTACCACCACAGTAGTGATTCAATTACAAAATTAGAGTCCAGCATTTCTCTGTCCTTCAAAGCTGCTACATCATGGGGATGACTCGATAACAAAGCTACCACGTTGAATTGGCCTCGAATCAATTCTTGTTTAGCCCTAACATTGATAGGCAGTATCTGCGGCGCGCGCTTCCTTCGCATATATTCCAACATACACCTTTAGCAAATGGCTCTCTACTTCTCTTTCTTGATTTAATTCTGTGGCATCTGTTTTACGCTAAAGAAGCAGATCTGATCATCAAGCACAGGTCATCACCAACTTCCAACAAGTAGTCCAATCACATTTTTTTACTTCCAAGTCCAAGCCTACACAATCTTTGAATGTACGTAAAGGGAATCTGAGCTGATGCACATTACTTGTTTTGATTGATTTTATTAACACTTGAAAAGCCCCAGCTACTGATATCCAGATGAACCGAGAGCCTATGCCGCCTTGAATAAGACAAACCTAATTACAAAGAAGGAAGGGCTGAATAAAATGTGGCAGGGTATTATATATGAAAGTCCAAAAATCCAATCCATATCTCAACACCTAACTGCCGTACCTATGCCCGGACGTATAAGATATCGGCGTTTCCACATAAGAAAGAGGTCGGGTATCGTGGGCCGGCGCAGGAAGTTCGGCAACAAAGCTTCGCGCATCCATCTCTTGCGGAATAGGACCAGATTGGTACTTCATGTCTGCTTGGTATGCGTCGACTGCGGCATACTTGTGGAACGAGGATCCACTGACTTCCGACGGCGAGGGAAGCGATTCGCTCATGGGAGGGGGCGGGGGAGGAGGTGGTGGTGTGGATGAGAGCACGCTGCCATCTGTAGGGGCTGGTTCATACGCAGGCTGTTGAGCCTGCTTCTTCTTTTTCATCAAGATGAACATGAAGATGGCTGCTCCGATGCCGGCCAGGCCCACGACTCCACCGACCACACCTCCGGCGATCGCGGCAGTATTGGATGAATGGTGTGCAGGAGTTGCCGCTGCGGACCCTGTTGATGAACCAGAGGCAGCAGTGGATGAACCTACGCCCGTGGATGATGGCACGTTCCGGTTCACTGAACCTGTAGCGGCAGCCATGTGGAAATAGTCTGAGATGAAGTTATCGTTTACCAGGGATCCGATCACAGATGCCACTGTGGGAATTCCACCGACGTAACTGAGACTGCTGCTCACGGGAACGTTGTTTGAGTATGGGTGGGCCGTCAAGTATAAGGTCTGGGTGGTGTGGATACTCGAGCATCCAAAGTCTGTGATGGATAGCTCGGGGTAGGTCCATTGAATGCAAGATGCAGCCGTCGACTTCGTGCAGAAGATCGCAAATTCATTTGCAGGTGACTCGGTCAGAGTAGGAGTTGCGGCAATTCGAGCGGCATCGTAGCAGGTAGTCTCGAACAGGCATTGCTGGGAATAAGCGTTGTCGCAACAGCCTACCATGGCGGGATAGTTGACGTCTGCTGTATGGAAGACACATTGTGTGTAGCCGTAGCATGCGATTTCAGAGGCTAAAAGGGTCAGAACCAAACATTCGTGTATATCTCTATCGAGTAGTGAAAAGTGAAGAGTGGAGTGAGCGCATACAGTAGTCCAAGATTCCGTCCACGAAACCACATACACTGGCACTAGCCCATTCTGTGTATGTAGTTGTCGCTGGATTAGCAGCACTTCCAGTGGCAGAGACGACGGTTCCCGTATAAGAGTCATTATAGCCATTAGCACGTCGGTGCAATCCCCTTACACCCGAGTCGGCCCATGGTGTCGCTTCAGGGAGATCCAGCCGCAATGGATCATGGGCCGAAGCAGTTGAAGAAGTCGTCGAAACCCCCAGAGCCCGTGTCAATGGGAAGAATGAGAGGGCATACAGCCCTATTGATTGTTTTCGAACCATCACGACTGTGGTAGACTGTGAAAATTCGAGAGTGTGCGCGCGTGGCGCACGGCACCAGAGTCCCCTATATACTCTGGAGCGTCCCCCGTCTGGGCGAAGGAGCTGCTCATTTCCGCCGTCCGGACTGTTTTTTAGTTTGCTTTTTCATACGGAGCACGATCGTATCGAGTTTGATAGGCTTTGGCTAGTAAGTTCTCCACCTGCTCGCTTCAGAGCCTGTCGTGAGTGGTGAAATTGTCTCTTGGCGTGAGCCGAAGGCTTTAGTCTCCAAAACAACCTTGTGAATACGAGGTCGGCTAAGCATCGTATTGGATGGGTCTCAGGAGAAATATTCGTGTGCCCAATGCTGGGGATCAGGAAGGATGTTAATTTCCCAAGCCCCATCAGCTTTGCCATTTTTTGGGCGCACTTTCGACTAGAGTATCGGTTCAGGAATGGCGTCGTCGAACTTGAGAGACGGTGAGGACGAGACGGCGAGGACGGAATAGTGCGGAGGAACAGGGGTCCTATTGGTGACCCCACATAGAGCCTCCGCTAAGAGTCTTAGGGACTAAGGGTCCGGAGTCGCTATCGATCGAAAGGTCAAATGGCCCATAGGCGCCACGAAATCACAGCTTGGAGAGGCTGAGTTCCGGGCGCTTTGGCCCATCCACGGGTCAACGAGGCTATGGAACGAGACCCTATCGCCTGGGCTGTCACCATCTTTCACCGTCCCTTTCGACGTGTACGGACATGCCGAAAACGAGACCTGCGGGGCTGCTTGCATGATGCACATACGAAGTACACTTACAGAACGTGATAAGGATCGATCACAAACAACTCTGAAAGGTCATACTCGGTTCTACCCGCTCGGCCAATTTCCTTTTCAGGGCTCGTCGCATTGGCATGGAAGTGCCACTAGCTGATTCTAGGGAAGTGGTGTATTTGAAGACACAAAACAACATAGATCTCATTCAATCAATGGGTATAGCAAGCCAGATAGTTACTCCCGTCGCTCTAAAACAGCAAATATAAAATCCAACCATGACTCCAAGCACCACTCTCTCCGAGACCAGCTCAGAATTTGTCGCTAGTCAAGCAGCGCGTTGAATGAACTAGCAACCATGCTAGTATCTTGACCATCAAGGTCAATCCCTTGACCAACATGTTCAGTCCGAAAAACAATATTTTCAAGAGGGTCCGCGTAAGGCCAGGAAGCTTCTCGCCTTCTCGCATCGACCCCTTGCCATAGCGGCCATATTTCTCTAGATCGAACTCTTCAACCACGATCTCTTGTTGACCTTTCTTCGTAGTCCGCACCTGACCTGCCGGGGCGGATGGATATTTCTCCCAGAATTTGAAGAAACTTTTTCTTTTCGATGACCCCTCTGCTTTAGCGTTCGCAGCTTGGATTTGGGATGCCAGCTGGAGACTCTGGGCGTAGTCTTCACGCTCGGCCTGGGTTGTGATGAGTGGCCCGCGGTACGGCGCACCAACAGCCTGTCCGAAAGAGCCTGGCTCGGTGAAGCTAGGTGATGCGAGTTCCATGTCTGCCAAGATTGGGTTCGTGGCTTCGTCCGAGACCGCGACCGCGAGCATAGCTGCGATGAGCGAGTCGATGGCATATAACGAAGGAATAGTGGCAATGACAGCAGCGGGTGAGATAGTCAGGGTCCGAGTTGCAAAGTCCAGAGATGCCAGCGGCTCGTCTGAATCAGCGACCGGGAGAACCGAAGTGCGTGGATTAGCGGCTTGCTGCGCTGCTGCTAGGGCCATCGAAGATGGGGGGCCAGTGACGAGGATTGTCGGGGCTTGATGAGGCATCGCATCACTTGACGGCGCAGAAACAGTAATGTACAAAATTCCCGAAGACTTGGATCGCACAGGAGAGAGAGGGATACCCTGAGCTCCCACCAGGGCTGGGGGTTGGTGTCTGGTCAGGCAGGGGTGTCGAAGCTCGTAAAGCCTTGAGTTGCGGTTCCAGGACAAACGGCAGGACTCTTGGGCAGCCGCCCGCCTGAGAGCTTGATTCTCAACATCCGCTGCCTCAGATGGAGCCAGTTGATGAAGTTTGCTGATTTCGTCTGCTTGCTCGATAGCAAGCATGGCGGCAAGCCTTGAAAAGAGCTGCGCAACAAGGCCATCATGAGGATGCTCGCGACGTCCACGGTCTTCAAGACTCAAAGTCATGATAGGTACATCGCTGTTAGGCTTCGATGGGGCTCCTCGCGAGATCGATAGTTCGTCATTTTCAAAGGTCTGGAGAGTGTAAAACGGCTGTTGAGAATTGCCAAATGTGAAGGTCGCTGGTCCAGTTCTTGATCTGAGTTAGCAAACGATCACAAAATGTATATCAACAAGTTATGAGATACCTTGACATGCGCAGGTTGAATGTCCCAGCGAGACTTTGAGGCCGCTGACCATTTGCAGCTTCCCACAGCACCTCCAGATCATATGGAGTCGAGTATCGAATCTCTTCCGAATCCGAAATACCATTTGGAAAGTTCAATACACTCGCGGGAACAGTCTTTGGCCCTAGGACATGATCAATCTCGGAAGAGGAGGTAGCTAAAGTTAGATGCGGCCTGCGTGACTTCTTTGTCGGTTGATCACTACTCTGCATCTGGAATTGAGTATTTTGGTTGTTCAGAGGGACTTTTGGATCGAAGCGAGGAAACAATGATCTCATTGGAACTGGTGAAACAGATGACTGGGATGATTGAGGCGAAGCAGTTGAGCTGGTAGTGTGATCACTGCTACTACTATTGCTCACATGCCCGCGCGATTGCAAGACTCGTGCAGGAGACTTGTTTTCTTGTCGGCTTTGACTGCGGGGGGACCGAGGAGACTTGGAACTAGGCGTTGATTCCTTCACGGATGGAGATTTGGACCGCGTATTCTGTGCGTGAGATGGCGGGGGAGGTAATGAAGAAGTGTCTTCGATGATTTGAAGAAGCACAGACTCGGCTTTGGTAGAGTCTTTGATCTCATGGAGAGAAATCGGAGAGGAAGGCTCAACCTTCACAGCTGGTGTCTTTTTGATGCCTCTGCGAAACGGATTCTTGGCCGCTTTTGTCTCCGGTGAAGGCGGAGGAAATAATTGAAATTGACTCATCGTGACAATCGTATCGTCGTCGTATGAGCCGGTGCTTTCAATGACAACTGCACCAATAGAGGATATGGGCTCGTTTGGTGTCCCGGTCGAGCTTGACAGGAGACGCGAAAGAGCGCGAACAGGGGAAGGGATGTTTCGACTGACATATACTCCATGCCCATCGATGGATGCTGCTGAATCTTGCGAAATCGCAGTAAGATGTGCCGATAATCTGCGGGCATTATTGTATGTGACAACCCTATTTTTGGTGTAGGCGCTTAGCAGCTAGCGGGTGTGATTGGACCGCCGTGGTGGGACGAAGATGCCAAGTCCAGAACGGCGCTACGAACAGAGCCGCTGATTGGTGTTGAACTTCGAACTCGTTGATTTCTAGCCACTCTGACCGCAGATTGGTGGCTGGCTTTGTGCAGAAGTCACACCGTTAGGTTTGTTGCGCTGAGAATCCAGCGCATACACAACAGGCTTTGGCGGCACAACCCCGCGGGGGGCTGGGCTGCGTGCAAGAAACTCTGCAGGCTGTCGGTAAAAACGAGGATGAGGATATCTATACATTGGCTCGATCATGCAGGATCAATATTTACATCATATGGTACAAAGTTAGTCGTTTCGACCCTGGTCATGCCCTGAAGCATCATCATGCACAGAATAGGTAAGTCCCTCTGCCATGGCGATCGCCCCCTCCATATTGCCCTTGTTGTACAAAAACAGTCCTTGCAGAGCTGCTGCGCTTGTGCTCTTTGATCGGTCAGCTTTGTGACCTTGCTCGTCCTCAATCAAGCCAAGGTGATGAAGTCGATCGAGGAAAATCTTTTTGTTGGAGCCATCGGTATCGATATCTTCATAGAAGCGATCCCAAAGCCGGCCGACTTGGTAGCGCGTCACTTCTCCGAGACGCACCGTCATGTCTACGCGCCCCGGTCGGACTAGGGCCTCGTCCAGGCGCTCGACGTGATTGGTGGTGAGGAAGATAATGCGTTCCTCGGCGCTGGCAACGCCATCAAGCGCATTCAGCAGGCCCGAGAACGTGACGTTCGCGCCGCGATAACCGTCCGAGTCGGTTTGAACTCGGCGATTAGAGAAAGCGGCATCCACGTCCTCTAGCAGAACCAGAGTTCGGTTGGGAACAATGGTCAAGAGATGGTTGAGCCGGTCATCAGTCAAGCCACGCTCACTCAGGTTCAGAATCGCAATGTCGTAGTCCAGCTCACCCGCGAGCGCCTGAATAAATGAGCTTTTACCCGTACCTGGGGGTCCGTACAAGAGATATCCACGTCGGTAGGGGATACCACGGTCATGGTACCATGCAGAGCTTGAGATGAAATCTTGGACGTCATCCACAATGCGCTCCGAGACGCCCTCGTCAAGCACAACCGATTCGATAGGACGCTTGCGTCGCGGGTTGCCAAATGGTCTCCATTCTGTTCCCCAACTGTTGTAGATTGTCGTCTTCCCCTCGTGTGACTTTGCAGCGTATGCATGAGCTTCCTTAAAGAGATCCTCGAAGATGTGTCGTTGAGAGTAAAGGGTAGTCAGGGTTATGGTCTCCCAAGGCTTTCCAGTTTGAATGTCACGGGACTTGGATTCTCGCACTCGGTTCACGAAGACAAACGCGTTCTTATAGCGAAGGATATGCTTTCCAGGTCCTGGGACCAGCGAGAAATGCGTATGAATAGCTCCATTCGAGTGTTCCACCTTCGATGTCTGAATGGAGAGGTGGCGCATGCCGGGGGTCATTTTGTGGAGGAGGCGGTCGACGAAGCCGGTGCTATTTGCGGCCGCGCGGGTGGTATTGAGCTGCGATTGTTGGTATAGTGTCATCCAGTGGAGAAACCATGGGTATGAATCGTCCTTGATGCTGATCTCCACGTCCACCAGCATCCGGCGGCGCAACAGAGCTGCTCCATGGCGGACTCCCCTCTGCGCAAATGTCAAACCTGCGCCCAGAGCTCCGAGGCCGAAACCCTAGACAAGAAGAGATTGGTCAGCTCTAAATTTTATTGCGACGTCAACAAATATCGAGAAAGAGCCACATACAGCCGTGAACAAGGGATTACTCGTGACTTGCGACCACAGGCTGCCATCTCCCTTCTGTATCGCCTGCTGTACTGTCGCCTGTCCTAACGGAGGTGTCCCTGTCCTCTGCTGCAGAATCAAGTCTGTCGCAGACGGAGCAGCTGATGGCGCCACATTAGAAGCACCATTTGGCTCCATGCCGGCCGAATTGAGTTGAAGTTGTGGACGTCAAAATGTCCCATTGACGATGAGGGAACACCATCAGATATCGGAGTTACAACGGGCCGAGCAGCGTTGCCCCCCGGTTGCACAGCGGCAAGCCAGCCATGGAATGATCAACAGAACCCAGACTTGATGCTAGTCAGTAATTCGCCTACCTAGCTAGCCTAGGCCATTGGCACCCGATCATCGCCGATCTTGATTCCGAACTTGATCTAGAGCCGGATATGGGGTTCGCAGGATGCCGTCGGAGAGTCTCTCTATCCGATGCGGAGTTATCGGGCTTAGCCACTGATCGCATTTCCCTCCTCCGTCAGCTTACTTCTCCAATCACATAACTGGGACGCTGGCGTAGGGTCCGCGCGCTGTTCGATTCGAGAGGTGACTTGTGACTTGCTGCTCTTAAAGCATCCTAGATTCCCCCATCGATGAGGAGCTTTTTACAGCGCCCCCAGTTTTGTCAACCGACAAATCTTTGGCGCGTTTCCTCCTCCTCTGTGCGCAAGATGGGATCAACTACCACAGGCGTGCTGTATGCCTTGAGTGTCGCCAGCGCGCCGGCCAGACCTGCTCCAGAAGATGCTTCGGCGAAAAGTCACCATGCGAAATCGGGATTCAGAAACCCTTGGGAGTAAGTTGTCTCCCTAACAGACTCTCCTCTAGCATTTTATGTGAGACCAGTCGGCTGACCAGAGGATTTATACAGCTCATGGAAAGACATTAACTTGAAAATCCCAGCCGAAATTCTCATGTAAGCTCAATCGCGAGGTATTCCGACTATATGATCCGTCTGCTGACCCGTCTTGCTTTGCCATATAGGCGCCGCTTGACAGGCAAGGCGAACGTCCCCAATACGACCGCGCCGACTGTCCCCGTCCGCAAACCAGAATTCCTTCCGAGTCGAGAGACTCCCAATCTTCGGGCAACATGGCTCGGCCACGCCTGCTACTATGTCGAATTCCCTGGTGGTCTACGGGCGCTCTTTGATCCTGTTCTGGAAGAGCGTTGCGGACCGTACAACATGCTGGGTCCAAAGCGATTCACCGACGCACCATGCAAGATCAAGGACATTCCCATGATTGACGCGGTCTTCATTTCTCACAACCACTATGACCACCTTTCATATCCCGGAGTTACTGAGATCGCAAAGCGACACCCAAACTGCCACTTCTTTGTTCCATTGGGCGTGAAGGCCTGGTTCAAGAGGTGTGGCATTAGTCAGGTCACCGAGCTGGACTGGTGGGATGAGCGCGATATTACTTTGTCACCCACAGAGGAAAAGGAGGCCGCGGTTGAAGCTGTGGGAGATGCTGCTTCTACGGCAGTGGGGATCAAGGCACGGATTGGATTCCTGCCCAGCCAGCATGTTACCGCTCGTACTCCATTTGATCGGCATCAGACACTCTGGGGCTCTTGGACAATCGAGTCAGGGGGCAAGCACCTTTACTTCACAGGGTATGTCTAAACATCGAATTATGTCTTGGTGAGTACATTGACTGACTTGAACAACAGCGATACCGGATACCGCTCTATCCCTGAATTGCCTGAGGGGGAAGATGAAAATGATCCCAAGTACAATTTCCCCGTTTGCCCTGCTTTCAAGCAGATTGGCGAGTTCCGCGGGCCATTTGACCTGGGGTTGATCCCCATTGGTGCATATGCTCCGCGTCATATGTTCAGCTCGATGCACATCGATCCCCATGAGGCAGTGCATATTTTCCAAGAAACCAAGTGCAAGACGGCGCTGGGTATGCACTGGGGTACGTGGGTACTCACCGAGGAAGACGTGCTCGAACCACCCGAGAAACTCAAGACCGCACTCAAGCAATTTGGTCTGCCTGAGAAGGGCGTATTCGACGTCCTTGATATCGGAGAGAGCAGAGAATTTTGATCCGATGACTTCTGTGACATTCAATAGAGCATCACACTTACTGTACGATAGTTGAAGCACATAGGACGTGAATAGGGATCTACGGATAACAATCTACTTTAATCTATGATGATCTGCCATTCGCAGAAAATTCAGGTATTTCTATAGGATGGAGACCATCCAACCTGTCACCAGCTTTAATCTTTTATTTTAATCAACATCAGTAACTTCACCTTGCCTAGTGTGTTTATAGCGGGGAATCCTCAACTACTTAACGTAGTAGATCTGTTTGCCTAGTTTGTCCGGCCCGTTTGGGTTTAGTGTCAGGGAGCTCCCACTTTGGAAATTTGGGATGCGGGCGACCTTCAACGTGGATCCGAGTTGGCTCCTTTTCTGTGTCCATCGGGAGTGTTTCTTGTTCCATCTGCACCAAGTTCACTTTTTACCTTTCTCCGATCCCACACTAGACCCTCCGCCAATATGCAGGCTCCAGTGGTGGTGATGAGTACGTTGCCCCTCATTCCCGTTTATCTCCCTCCCGGCTGTTGCTAATGCCCGCCGAATAGACACCAATGCCGGCGACCGTCAGGTCGGTCGTCGTGCGCAGCTTTCCAACATTACTGCTGCTAAGACGTATGCGAGGCCCATTATCCATTCCGTTGCCTATATATCCCCTCCGGTGCTAATACATCCAACAGTGTCGCCGACATCATTCGGTCATGTCTCGGACCCAAGGCCATGCTGAAGATGCTGCTCGACCCAATGGGCGGCATTGTGCTGACCAACGACGGCCACGCCATTCTTCGTGAAATTGAAGTCTCGCACCCCGCTGCGAAGAGCATGATCGAGCTCAGCCGGACCCAGGACGAGGAGGTTGGAGACGGAACGACAACGGTCATCATCTTGGGTATGGATTTGGTCCCATTTAAGGGGATGGCATAGGAACGTTTGCTAATAACTTATTAGCCGGTGAAATGCTCGCCCAGGCCCTCCCCCAGCTCGAACGTAACATCCACCCCGTCGTCATCATCTCCGCCTTCAAGCGCGCCCTCGCCGACGCCCTCCAGATCATCGAGGAGGTTTCCGTACCCGTCGATATCCACGATGACAAGGCCATGTACACCCTTATCCAGTCATCCATCGGCACTAAGTTCGTCTCTCGGTGGTCGGACTTGATGTGCGGCTTGGCCCTCCATGCCGTCCGGACAGTCTCCTTCGATGTGGGTGGTGGCAAGCAGGAGGTGGATATCAAGCGGTACGCTCGTATCGAGAAGGTCCCCGGTGGCCAGATTGAGGATTCCGAGGTTATCGATGGTGTCATGGTCAACAAAGATATCACTCACCCCAAGATGCGGAGGAGAATCGAGAACCCCCGCATTCTGCTGCTCGATTGCCCCCTGGAGTACAAGAAGGGCGAGTCCCAGACCAACATTGAGGTGTCCAAGGAGGACGACTGGAACCGTATTCTGCAGATTGAGGAGGAGCAGGTGAAGCACATGTGCGAGGCCATTTTGGCTTTCAAGCCCGATGTTGTCATCACCGAGAAAGGTGTTTCCGGTAAGTCAAGCCCATGAACGGGTGCAATGAAAGTTTCGTCCTAACTTTAGGGCCACACTAGATCTTGCACAGCACTTCCTGATGAAGGCCAATGTCACCGCTCTCCGTCGTGTGCGAAAGACCGACAACAACCGTATCTCCCGTGCTACCGGTGCCACCATCGTCAACCGTGTCGATGACATCCAGGAGTCCGATATTGGTACCCGCTGCGGTCTGTTCGAGATTGAGAAGATTGGTGACGAGTATTTCACATTCATGCGCAAGTGCACGGCCCCGAAGGCCTGCACTATCCTCCTGCGCGGCCCCTCCAAGGATATTCTGAACGAGATCGAGCGCAACCTCCAGGACGCCATGGCCGTTGCCCGTAACGTCATCTTCCACCCCCGACTGTCGCCTGGTGGTGGTGCGATCGAGATGGCTGTCTCTGTGAAGCTTGGACAGTTGGCTCGCTCTGTCGAGGGTGTGCAGCAGTGGCCGTACAAGGCCGTTGCTGATGCCATGGAGGTTATCCCCCGGACATTGGCCCAGAACGCCGGTGCCAGCCCCATCCGCGTGCTTACCCGCCTCCGCGCTAAGCACGTTGAGGGCCACACCACCTGGGGTCTGGACGGCGAGTCTGGCAACCTGGTTGACATGAAGGAGTATGGTGTTTGGGAGCCTGAGGCTGTCAAGCTCCAGAGCATCAAGACCGCAGTTGAGGTATGCTATTTACAATGCCGCACTTATAAACACAGTATGCTAACTGCTTTTAGTCTGCATGCCTGCTTCTCCGTGTCGACGACATTTGCAGCGCCAAGTCGGCGCAACAGGCTGGCAACGTCGGTGGTGGCGAGGAGTAATAGACGAGCAAGATCAAAAAGAAAAAAAGACAACAGGAGACAATGATCCATGGACTTGAGGTCCGTACATATAATGCTACACGACTGCCTCTGGGGTGCTTCTTTTCTGTATGAATATCCTAGACCAAAATGAACTGTCATATGGGTATCTTCGTATAATATTGTACAAGTAGTAGTAGTTGCTATGATAGATCTCCAAACTAATCTTCAATCTTCACTTCAATCCTCATCATGAATAATCACACCAGGAACCTCCGCCGACGAATAACCCTCACAACCATCCGCCGTCGGATCCATATCCCGACTCGGAGGCAAAGGACCAGGACCCTTAAACAAAGACCTATCAACATCCATCCCCCCATTCCTAGTCCCATTCCCACCACCACCTTCGTTCTTCCCCCCACTCCTCGCCGCCCTCTTCTTCTCCCTCCTCCTCCGGTTCTTCTCCGTCTTCTCCTCATCCTTCCTCCTCGCCTCCTCCCTCTGTTTCTCCCACTCCGCATCCCCCTTCTCCTTATCCACCTCAGACTGCATCATCTTCAGACGCTCGTACTCGCGCCGCCGACTCGCCTTGTACACGTGGAACTCGCCGGAGCCCGCACCGGCCGACGAACCCTGCACGTTGGCGACGATTTCGGGAGGCGGGGCTAGCGAGGATGAGGTGCGCTCCTTGGGGGCGCCGGGGAGGCGGAGTTCCTTTGAGGGGTCTTTGAAGAGGGTTTCGATTTGGTTGGCGTGTTCGGAGACTGGGGTTATGGCGCGGCGTTTGGTGGGCCGTTTGCTGCGGGGGTCGGCACTTGTTGGGACTGATTCGGGGCCTGGTTCGGACATTGTGATTTTGTTGTTTGGTGGAGTGGTTGGTTTGGAGGATGTTGTAGAAGAAGTAGGGTGAGGTTGGCTGGTTGCGACGCCTTGTCTTGTTGTGGTAGATGTTGCGATTGGTGTAGTTTTGACTTGAGAGGTCCTGAAAAGATTCAGACCAAGATAGTCGAGGTATGGAGACTGATGAGCCTCAAGGATGCTCTTCGAAAGCAGGATTCAAAATGAAAATGCGATTGAGAGACGAAGGTAGTTTGGCATTGACGGAAGAAAAGACCGCGGCGAGCTCGGGGTCGAATTGCGACACGCTAACCGTTTTCGGATACATCAAGTATACCTGCTATGTTTAAACTGCTAATTATGCCAACTAGTTGACAAAAGGACATATAAAGAGGGTATACAGCTTCTTGATAGACTAATAATATGCTTTCTACTGGGTCAGAGGGTTAGTAAATTAATTTCACTTGGCAGTGGTGATGTTTAAGCTGTACTGATAGAGAATCCTACGGTCGCTACATCAGCAGGTTGACGGTGCTTTTGATCAACGGTATTTGGGCTAGCTGGAAGAATAATTAAAAATGAATCTGTCACTCCAAATATTTGGATATAGGCAATTGCATTTCAGGGAACTTTTGGTCTTGCTTATGTTAAGGTAATTCAAAAAGACAGATGCATGAGAATCTTGCTTTGGATAGCGCCGCAACTTGCCAGTCTACCCAGGATTGATTTAGATAGAGACATGAGAATAATCATCTATTCTGTTTTACTCAAATGCAAAGGCTACATCAATTACCTTAAAAACCTGCTTACATTTTCGGAGGAACTTGTACTTCTTTCTCTGTGAACCATCGTGTCCATTGTTGAGACTGGGGGTTACTTTAGCCAAAGAAACTAGGCAAGCTCCATTGCCTAAATGACTGATTGACTCCAAAGGCAATCAAATAATATCAAGAGGCTATTGTTCTTGCCTTGAACGATTCCTAGGCTGGAGCTCTTTCTCCTAATTCGTACGGGGATTTTTATTGGAAGCCCAGGGCTCAAGCTTGCCGGGGGGTGCGCTGCCTCCAGCCCTGGTGCCTCTGGCTCTTCTGCCTTTTCCTCTGCACCACCACCGCAGCGTTCAAGCCTCTCCTCTCTTCCCACTTCCACCACTTTTCCCCTTCCTCTCCCCCACCTTTCGCTTCTACACCGATTCCTTCCATCCTGAACTACGATCAAGTGGCTCTTGCTGGTGCTCTCTCAACCCCTTTTCTCTCCCAAACTCCTTTTCACAACTCCCCCGACTACGAACCCCACTTCACCATGCCTACTTATCGCATTGGTAAGATACCCTTTTTTCTTTTCACAAAATACCTCCAAGCCCCCATTGGTGTTTCTTTCTGGTTTCTTCGGCTACTCGCCTTAGCTACTTCAGGTCTACTACATCATTGCATCTCTAGACGCGTGAATGCACGCGATGTGGAGTCTTGATGCTCAAGCTGTCCATCACTTGGCCCGTGCCCCAAGAAACACACATCACCGATGACCTTGATACTTGACACTACTACATGATAAATTTTGTGGTCATTCAGAAAGCTGATTTCTTCTATAGAAGTAGCGCCAAGCAACCGTGCTGGTTGCAAAAACAAAGAATGCCAGGACCAGAAGATCAAGATCACCAAGGGTGAGATCCGGTTCGGCACCTGGGTCGAGACCGAGCAGTTCCAAAGCTGGAACTGGCGCCACTGGTGAGCTCATGATATGATCGAATCAACAGATATATTACAGAATTAATTGCTTCTAGGGGCTGTACTACTCCCCTCGTCCTCTCTCACCTCGTCAAGGCTGTCTTTGAGAAGGACAACTTGACTGGTGACGAGAACTTTGACAAAGTCGACGGCTACGAGGAACTCCCCGAGGTCTACCAGGAGACCGTCCGCGCCGCCCTCATCCAGGGCCATGTCGATGATGATGCCTGGAAGGGTGTAAGTACTTACAATTCATCTGACCTCACCTCTGTTGATGTTTCACTTTCGCTGACAGCCAATCTTAGGACCCTGAGTGCAATCGCCCTGGTATGCGTGGCTTCCGTGTCGCCAAGAAGAAGGCGGCTGCTAAGAAGGCTGTTCGTGATCCATGAATCCTTGAGGCTTTATCGAGACTTATACTGACACGGCCATAGGCGACTGATGACGAGGCCGAGGAGACCAAGCCTGAGGCCACCAAGGAGGCCAATGATGAGCCCAAGAAGGATGGTGCCACCAAAGACGAAGGTGCCAAGCCTGCAAAGGAGGTGAAGAAGGCTTCTCGTGCCAAGAACAAGGCCGCCGATGAGAAAGCCACCAAGAAGGCTGGTGACAAGGTCGATGTCAAGGCTGATGAGAACGGCACCCAGGAGGAACAGAAGCCCGCCAAAGCTAAGAGAGCTTCTCGTGCCAATAAGGCCGCGACTGATGTCGCCGCTGAGAAGAAGACTGCTGAGCCTGCCACCAAGGCGAAGCGGACTAGTCCTCGTGGTAAGGCCGCTACTAAGCAGGCCGCCGATAAGGAGGCCACAGACGCTGAGACTCAGCCTGCCAAGCGTCGTGGTCGTCCTGCCAAATCTGCCGCTGCCGCTGAGACATCGACCAAGCCTGCTGCAAATGGCACCAAACGCAAAGGCTCGGATGACAACGAGCAGGATGAGACTGCTCAGAAGCCCAAGCGCACCCGCAAGAACGCTCCGGCTGCTGAGAAGAAGACTGAGGAAGCCGCTCCCGAGAAGCCCAAGCGTGGCCGCAAGACGGCTGCAGTCGCGGAGGAGACCGAGGCTCAGGAGGCTGCCCCTGAGAAGCCCAAGCGGGGCCGCAAGAAGGCCACCAAGGAGTAAACACTCTCCGTCTTCCTGCCTGGTCATCGGTCGATATCAACTGAAGCTTGTACCTATCTCAACCAGGCTGAACATGGTTCGATGCTGTCTTTGCTTTGTCTGATTTCCTGCACATGATATGAACGTCTTTTTTCCAGGGTGCTGATTGTTCTGGGGCGTCTCGGCGGTTGTTTAATTTCTACGTTCATGGGTGATTTGTGTTTCGAGTTTTGATTTTTGTTTTCTGATCTTTTTTCTGCTTCGCGTTTAATCCATGGCTGGTGAGAGATGATGTCATGGAAACTTTGTATCAATATTTCGAACTTTGTCTTATCACACCCGACGACTGCAATTTTAACTGCAATGGATATTTTTCACCTGGATTCCTTCTTGAACGTCTTGCTTAAGACCGTAAATGGGGCTTTGCTATCATACTACATGGTCTCCCATGCTTGAATATTACCATGGACGGACGAAGCGCGATTGAGAGTAGTGTGATCCAGATTTGGTGAACATCAAATCGTCATTTTGTCGGATGATACATCTGACAATGGATGAATCCTCGCTTACAGGCTTCATATGTTCCTGTCCGCGTACTCGTGTATGAAATGGCACCATGGAACCCATTCCTTCAATCCCATAATGATCCAGTCATACAAGTTCCTTGCACCTCAGTGGACACCATCGGTAACACTTGCATAGCCCACCTATATAGGAAGCAATCTATTTTCAAGCCTCCCATCCCAATCCCGACATCTATTTCAGAAGCTTGACATATTTCAGCAAATCAACCGTAGCCAAAGCATCAACAGCTTTAATAGCAGCCGCAAAATACGGAATCTCCACTCCATTATAGTCACAACTATGACCCTTCACACCAATCGTGACATCGCCGCTATCTCCATCCCCCCAGACAAACTCCCGAATCAGCATGGACTCGTCGACGTTGCCGAGGATGACTGCCGTGGTGTTTTCTTGTTGAAGCATCAGGTTTGGGATATCGACGTATCCTAGCTTTGAGCCGCCTAGGGTGAGGTTGAAGATGACATGGCCCTTGGGAAGTAAGTAAGGGTTCTAGCATTTTTTTTTTCTGAAAATCTTCGTGCGGGGGGAATAGGGCATACCATTTCGACGATGAACGGGGTTGGATTCTTCAGAGCGATTGTGGCGTTGAAGTTGAATCCATTGACGGGTGGATTCATGAGATCCAGACTTGTGATGTTGAATGCACCTTGTGAGTTGACGAAGTCTGCAAGACAATGTTAGGATGTATAGCGAAGCTCGATGGGGTATCATCGCGTACCGGTAACATTGTAGCCTGTGTCAATTGTCAGCATCAACAGTATCTCTGATCTCTCAAGGAGCTGCCAAATCTTACCATTCATGTTCATCGTCTTATGAATATTCAAGTGAGCAGTCGGAAGCGCACCAAATTTCAAGTCCGGGTCACCAGTCACCAAAACACCAAAGCTCTGATTCGTAGCCGCCGCAACAGCCAGCTTCGAGAGACACTCAACACACGACAAGTCAAGATCTTGATCAATGTTCAGATCTGCGCCATTACTAAAATCAATTTGAGGCACCGGGAACACGGCGAATTCCTCGTTGGTGTCTGGGACTCGAATGCTTGCATTGAACGCCGTCAAGTGCCCACTGCCACTAAACCCACCGCCCATATTGAGCTTCTTTGACTGGCTGACGTGGAAGGATGTAGGTCGCGGGTTGGTGATGGCGAGTCCCTCGTAGTCGAATTTGTAGTCGTTAATATAGTCGTTGGCAAAGTGAGGGATTCCCACGTAGACACTGTTGGCATTAGCACCTGTACTCATGAACATGTACCTGATGGCATAGCTTACAGTGGAAGAACAACCACGAGAACAATGCAGCAAAGCACTATCAAATAAATCCACCATCTTCTTTTCATATGTGTCTTGAATCGTTGCCATACTGTCGGCTTTTTGGCTGGTGTCTCGGTCGTACCATTCGTATCTGAGCCGGAGCTGTCTTCAAGATCGGATTTTGACATCTTTCATCCAAATAGCCACTTTTCCGTCCTTCTTCAGTTATTGTCCAGCTCAGAATCACTTTGAGATACCCTGAAGAATGTTCAACAAGATTCATTCAAAGAATAGACCCGAAATGTCACCAGCAAGACAGACACCCCTTCCCATCGTATTGCAATTTGCGACGTCCAAATTGTGGGGAAGAAGACGAGTGGAAATTCCCCGACTGGACTATAAGAATTATTCCGGGGCGCACTCCAGCTTTTTGAATCAGCCAGGGTCGCAATGATGCCCCGTGGGGGCGCTAGCTGATGTCAATCACAGATCCAATTCACATGTGAAGCCCAAACCCCGTTATTTAGGGCTGCGTATTCGGCTTCCGAATACGCAGCCGCAGATCGATCGGCGTCAAAACGCACTAGAAGGGGAAATGGTCCGGAATGTTGATCTTCTATCCAAGATTGGTAACAGACACGCGAGAAGGACGTTGCTTTCGTAATATTTGGCTATTGGACTGTGACATCAAGATCATCTCTACGCTTAATTAGGTGGCGATGGTGGTTGTTTAATGTTGATCTTCGTGGATGTACGGGAGGTTAGATTTCACTACCTGGTCGAAAGTACTGGATGGATCACAATTCATGCGCATGATTTGCTCTCTCCTTTTTTGCCTTTTCACTATATAAACTTGTCAAATAATAACCTGTTGCCAGTATCAAAAAAAAAACCGTGCTCCCGCCGCCTAGGAGTGTGCCCGGCCGTACGTGGAGCTCGAAGCGTCAACACTGGCCCAGTATTTTTTTCTTCCTTTGTTTGCCCCCTCATAATATAGTAACGTATGAAGATCGAAACGCTTCCAGAACGTATTGTTTTTCAGAAATCATCAATACCCCGTTGGCGAATCTGATCGCGAGGATTAGCGTATCTCTCAGGGTTTTTGCGGTTAAATTCAGAACGCATCTGTGTCACAGAACTGTAGAGATCGTTTCTGTCCCTCATGATCTCCCAGAAACGCTGCGGGCATTGGTAATAGATCAAGTCCTGTGTATCTGCGATGAACTTGATCAGCCAACCCTGGAGATGGTCGGTCCAGTGAGAGTCTTTGAAAGCCATGGCAGTCACTCCAAGCATGGGCTCTAGCTGAGACAGGCCCGGGTACGAATTCCAGGCGGCCTGTAGCTTGAATGTTATCTTTTCCACGAGATCAACCATGTTCAGGTGGCGGGCGTAGTAATAGAGACACCCAAGTTGGATTATCTGTTCATGAAGTTCTTCTGAATTTGTGACACCCTGAAGCTGGAACTGCCGATGTATACCGAGACAGTCACCAATCTCAAACGCCTCGGCTTCTTCACAGGTGCTCGGTCGTGCGTTGGAAACCTTCAACAGCTGGGGAGAGAATTCCGAAGTGTTTAGGAAGGAGATCAACTTTCCCAACTCGGGGTCTTCGATGGTGCAAACGTCGCGGAGTATAGCTAACAATTGTTGTGAGCTCTCCTTTTCGAGGAGAATATGCTCGATCATGGCCGAGAGAGTCCAGGTTCTTTCGAAAAGCGTGTTCTGGAGATCGACTAGAGCATTGTTGATGTCTTCAGTCGGTTCTTTCTCCATCTTTGTCTGGGAATCCTGCGCCGGTAGCGTGCCGGGTGCCGATTTCCTCTTTCCGAGACGCGAGCCCCTGACCTTTTCGTGCTTCCCAGCGTGGAGACTTTGGAACTGTTTGTTCTCTCCTGGGAAAGTCAGGGATCTCGGGCTCTCCATATTCTGACCAGAGGACTCAGCCAGGGCCCGAGATGCCGAAAATGAGCTTGTCAAGGCTTGCAGCTTGCTCGGGGGCTCTCCTTCCAGCTCCGCTGCATCAATCTCATCTTCTGAGTTGCTGTCACTTTCCTCCCGATTGCCACCGCTGAAAATAGAAATCCCGCGGGTTATCTCCTCGAAGCCATCGGGTAGTATTAGGCCAAGTCCTTTGATCCGTTTGCCTTTCTCCAGCAACTCCTTCTTAGCCATGCTTCGCCAGAAATCCATGCCTGGCTTTTTGTCGGCAATCTTGACCAGTTCCCGGTATATCTTGATGTCCTTTCTATAATCCCGTCCTTCAATCTTTCGTGTGAAGATGCCAGGAATCTTGCTTCCGAGGACGAAGAAATCCGAGATGCAAATCCAGCGACTAAAAGCCTTGTTAGCTAGACGTCCTCAAACATGACAGTATCATCAAGCACCACAAGGCAAGCAAGGTAAAGGATCATGTATAGGTATTCCGGTTTTGCCTGAGAGTATGTCCCAAAAGACGTTTCGAAAGACGTCTCGAAAGAGGGCTGAAAGAGGATGCGTATCCGGAAGCATTGAATGGAATGTCTGACTTACTATAAGTTCCTGCCTGGGAAATAGATCGGGTATACTCGCTCCTCCAGCGGCGTTTTCCACTCGCCCGATACTGGTTTCGCAGTGTTGGGGCGCCTACTGAGACCAGGTACATCCTCAAAGTCATCGGTAAGGCGCACCCCAATCCAGATATCGGTCTTGTGATCGCGTGCGCTGTTCTTAAACCGGACAATGAAGGTATCACCGGGGTTGATCTCCGTGGTCGCTTTGACGTGCTCAAGGTCCGTCGTCAGAGGGGCGTAGCGGGTCATATTGATTGGCCGGATTGAGCTTGGATTGGCTGTGGAAAGAGGAAGTTGTGACATGATGAACGCCGATCTTCTCGTATACAATGCTTGATCTGTAGTGCGAAAGTTAATAGACGTCGGTGCAAAACCAAGGAAATGCCGTGCAAGTCCTATCAACCTTTGGGCACACCCTCAGCCTGTGGAGCCTGGCCCGATCGAAGGAAAAGACTCACCTTGGTCTATCCCGAAATTTCGAAGTAAGAGGTTTCGAAGTCTGGTTGGAAAGGTGGGTTCGGAGATGTAATGGAGAGATTGGGAAAAGAAGTCCGCAGATGCTAGCCGGAGAATACCTTGTAGGGTAATTCTTCCAGGCTTTGAGCTTCCGGCGGAAGGAATGAGGTGCAGTTTGGCGGAGGCTCTCGGGCGACTCTTTCCTGTTTCGAAAGATGTTTGTCCGCACGTGATTTTGAACGTGCTGGATATCGTTCAGAAAGAGATGTCGGGATTAGGAGGGGAAGAGATTGAGAAGAGAGACACCTGTGGGCAAAGTAAGAGGAACGAGATTGTGATCAGGTAGTTTAGAAAGAGCGCGGTCAGAAAAGAGGATCAGTGACGGGTGAATTTGTGTAACTGAGGTATGAGGATCTTTGCGGTGGAAATTTTAGCAAAATATCAACCAGAGAATTTGATCAGAACGTACCTGAACGAGGAATGGGTGAGACGGAGGGAAGAGAATTGTCGAGGTCGATATCAGAGATTGGAGAAAAGAGAAAGACGTGATGTGAATGTTTCAAAGTGAGTATCGGCCGGGAGAGAATCCAGTAAAGAACAAATGAGATAGGTAGAGTTCGATTCCGTTGCTGATGAATAGTGTTGATACGACAAGAGCTATACGAGACTCTTAAGCAAGCCAGGGTATTAGTTTCTCAGGACGGATAAGTGTAGGTATCCAGAATTGTGAAGAAGAAGCATCTGGCTTTATCGAGTCGAGGGTTTCCGTGTATGAAAGAGACTGTGACAGGCTTGGTGGAGGTAGAAAGGAATAGGAGGTGACGTTTAACAGAGATTGATGGCAAACACGGGCTTCAACGGGTGTGATATAAGTGCTCTGGGTACTTTAAAAGACGTAACTCTAGGCTAAGTAAAGATCGTCTCAGAATTATAAAAATCTTCCAAGGACTGTCGTGCTCAGGGTACTGGTGTATGGAGAGGTTTGAATGTCAGATGATAGGAAAACTGAGCAAAAGGAGAAGATTGCCACATCAGAAGAAGCATTATCACGAGCAGCTGCAAGGTACTAGCTGATATATGGTCATGCTATAAATGGTAACGATAGAAGAGCAGGCTCCAGGCCGGAATTCTGCTTGTGTGGTGCTGTGGGCAAGGTAGTTCTGATGCCGGATCATGGATCATTGAAAGGTTTATGAATCATAGAATCTCATCATACTTCAATTTTTGACTCGCTGAGGGAGTTTTTCCTATTAAAAGCAGTGAGATTGCGTGATCAACGCTTCAATGAGAATATTGGCTTCTATGTCCATGTCTCGAGATCTCATACCTCTATGAAGGCACTTCTTTCACCCAAATATAATCGGTCTACACGATACAAACATCGAGGACTTCTACTATGATTACGAAGGAAACGACTGAGGTGGCCGGATTTCTCATTTCCTATTTCTCAATCATCATGGGGCATACAGCCCAAAAGCAACACACGGTGACCGGTCACCATGCACTTAATGAGTGGAGACATAATGTCGACAAATTGAACAAAGCGCAGAACGCAGACGCAGAACGCGTGCAGAAAGTCACTAGAAATGCTGTTGAGATTCGACGAATCGAATCAAGGAGTGAGCGTATCAAACAATTTCAAGTCACCATACGCCAGGGAGCATCAATTAAAAATGATAAGGGGGTGGTTCATTCAAACCATCAAATGGCGGCCAACCTCGAAAGAAGCGAAGAAGTCGATTTTGCTGTCAAAGCAGAATCCTGAACTGGTTCAAAATCAAAAATCGCAGTCAGATAAAGCCATTATGGTTGAAATCAGCATGCCTCCCAAAATCAATTTCAAAATCGAAGTCGCTTGAACTGAGACAACAATACAGGCGATGAGACGACCGGTTAGAACAACCCACGGTTCCGCTTGGGGCTAGAAAAGGAATATTGTAAGCATCCATGAGCCAGGTTTGCAACAGTGACGGGTGTAAACGATCAAGAGACGAACAGACCAAAGGGCAAGAAAACAAGAAGACGGGACAGAAGGATCCTACCGGATCTCCACGAGGTCGTCCATGTGGTTGCACATTGCCACAAACAGATCAAAAAACAACTTGCCACCCATCTCCATTTCCATCTGCATGGTTCCACTTCTCTTAAAAGTCCTGCGAGTACGGATGATGAGAGCCAGGTAGTGAGCGCGCAATCGAGACTCCGTGTCCGGTGTATTGTCATAGGCGTACCGAGCAGATCGCAAGATCACGTCGGCTGGAATACCCATTTGAAGCCCCTGCTTTCTGAGGGCAAGGCGCTTCAGACCTTCCAGGCCGTACTTCTCGGCAACGCAGTAGACGACCGTATCACGGAGCACAACATCTCCTACGCCAGGGTGGAAGATAGTTGCCTCGCTCGATCCGCGGCCTCCATTGTTACTGTTATCCTGTGCATTCTCGAGGTGCCAAGAGTCTCGACGCTTGCCATGTAGCAGGCGCGGATAGTAGTCGCCCTTGTACAGATACTCCAGAACACAAGACAGGATTTCAGGCTCCCTATTTAGTTCGTAAGCTTGGGTCCTGCAAAAAGATCATAGTCGCTCTTACTCGTCAGGCAAAGCAAGTTGCTTTGCACCGTCTTCCAGGAATTTTTCCTTCAAAGCAGTGCGAAAGAACGGCGAGATGGACAAGACATCCTCGTGGGCAGCAAACAGACGCTGATCCTGGCCAACCATCATGGTGATGATGGCGCTGGTAAGAGGGCTGCAACGAATGATCTGTTAGCCTGGCTTTGATACAACACTGTGCTATCCGAAATTTACCACCTTGGCGCTGACGAGGTTTCGCCTTTGTCCATGCTCTCCCGCATCTTGTCTTTCGCTTGCTCATCGTATTTCTTCCTGGAAGGCTTGACGGTCTTCCCCGCCCGGTTCTTCGAAGAAAAGGAACGTTTAAACATCGTGAATACAACGGTGTGTGTTCGATTCGAATAGCTACGAAGCGTTGGAGGAATCCTGAACGATCAGAAGGAGCGATACGAGTTGGTCAAAAAGAAGGAATAATCGACGCTGCGGATCACACGAGCATGTGAGGGTCGGAGTCTGGAAGCCTTCGTCCGAAACAGTCTCCCCGTGTCATCAAGAGACGGGTTGAAGCAGATTTCAGATGATGGCTTAGCATTCGAGAGTCTTTTGAGGACTCACGGCGCGGATTTGTCGACTCTGGCAGGCGTAAGAAGAAGAACGGAGGGAGGAAAGGGTCACGGCGCTATTTAAGAGATGAGGTCAGGTGATATCAACTGCAGGTGCCCTCATCACCTGGGCGCAGGCTGGTGTAAGCCAGTGCAGGTCGATGCAGGCCAAATAGAGACCAGGCCCCGTCATCTGGGATCTGCCTAGCCTCGTTGGCAACTGGCGTTCGGATGGTGGCGCTAAAGGCCGGCATCGTATTGGCGGGGCGAGTCGGCGATCGGCGTGGAGAAAATGCACGGTCGCTTGGTCTTATCGAAGGTGCATATGTAGAAGTACATAGTTGAGCTACTGCCTAGACTTACGAAGGAAGTGGATTGAGTTCAAATGCGAGAAGTATGCTTAATGTTGACATTTTTATACGTGTCAGCGAGTACACAGTTTGCTGACCCAGTACCTAAACACAGGCTGCAGGTCATGTTGAATGGCCAAGCATCCAATCTCACGTCAAGCCCCCAGCGTGGTACTTTCTCGCCCGCGAGAAAAATAACATGCGTCGATAATAAATCTGAGCCTAGTGCTGATGCATATTGAAATATCACAATACACCTTGCACCATTCTCATACAGGTCCACCTTACACTCAGCATCCAGCGGCGCCTAGAGTAATTCCAAAGCTTTGGAAGTGTCCAGCGGTAACGCCATACATGCCGTTGCCAGCAGAGCAAGAAAGGTCACGCTCGCCCGAACACTTAACACATGTACTCGCAGTGCCCCAGCTGTAATACTCCTATAACATGAAACAAAAGACATGAGCAACCTTGCAAAGCATTGGGGTAAATGGAGCAACGATGAGGACTTACAATTCCATAGTGCTGGAAGTTGTATGGTGACAGGACATACATGTTCTGAGCAGGTTCGTTAGCACACAGCATGTAGTCAACCCAAACTTAGTTCAAACTTACTGGCACTCCATCGGCAACGTTGTTACCTCGGTTCAAGGTACCGCTCTGGGAGCTAGCAAATCTGGCCCAGGCCGCGTTTCCAATCGGGAATGCAGCCAAGGCATTGCTAGTGATCGACTTTCCAGGGAAATTTTGGGCGAGAGCCACGTATGAAACATAAGTAAGCGCGCCACCAAGCGAGTGACCGGCTGATTCCAATGTATAATCCGGGTATTTAGCCACGAGGGATTTCACTTCTGCGATCACGGCATCGTGCACAGAAGCCCATGGGTTATAAACACCCCTCATGATCTGGACTCCTGCTGGGAAGCTCACACCCGACAGGGTAGGAGTGATCAAGGTTGTATCAACATCATTGAGGATGTCCGTAGCTGAGCCTTCTCAGTATCTTGAATTATCGTTAGAAGCAAGATCTCTTCACTCACCCGTAGTTGAACCTCTCATAACAACCGAGATCTTCTTCTGGGTTGGAGAGTACCCAATATAGCCCTAAATAAATTGAGTCAGAGCACTTCGGAGAATCTGAAAACTACACGTACCTGAGTATCGGTCAAACCGTTGTAGATCTGCTTGGTAATGGTCACATCAAAGGCACTTAGCAGACAGCCGGTGTATGCGGCCGATGATAGCTTCGCAGCACGCTGAAGGGACGGGAAAGCGGCTGGATCTGTATAGATTTGTGTTAGCCAAATTATTCATTTGGTCATTGAATTCATAGTTACAGACCGGATGTAGCTCGCTTTTCAATTGTCGGGGCTGCAATAGCCTGGGAAGCAAGCGCGATGGCCGCGATGAAAGAGATGCCGTTGACCAACATTCTTGGATCAATGTAGAAAATTGAAAAGGATGTCAGATTCGATGAGCAGGAACTCGTTCTGATTCTCTTGTGATGGACAGGAAGATGAGGACATGCTCATCTTATATACTTTTCGAGTCCTCCACTGGCACTAAATGCTCATAATCCAAGTTTGGGTCAATGCATTTCTCAACGCGCAACCACAATATTTTGTCGGCATAATGGATGGATGTGAATATAATGGGCTGTACCAGGGTCAAGCAATCAAAGGCATATAGACTTTCGGAGATACGTCCAACCTGGGGTCCCCCCGGATTTTCGAAATGCGGGGAAGGTGGATAAGGCCCAATCATTGAATGAAGAACAGTAAAGGGTCCATCAAGCCGAGGATGTAAATTTGACTTCTAGGGTCTTGATTCAATTCGTGCTATTCAGGCTATTTTCGGGCCAGGGGCTGATTGGCACATCGTGGTTGTCTGGTGGTGAAACCTTGGAAATGCGGCGTAGAAGCATAAGAATCTGCAAGTGGAATTGGAGGATAAATCATCCTTCCTGAACAAATTTATAACATACCGCCAGTTTTAGATTTAACTTCAATCTTCTACACTACAAAAGAGAGGGCCTTTTGGCTCGTTTCTATATAGTGCTTCGCGTAGGCCGTAGCCGTGGGCTCGGGCTTGATGGACCTCATTGTTGAAAGGTTCGTGATAAACATTGGTCAACAACATACCGACCATCATCCAGACATTTGATCTTTTTACCGGGCTTTGACCTGTTGCCTAATTAGGTATCTAGTGTCGTATTGCATACTTGAACCCCGCCCACGAAAAAAGCTCGGAGATAATCGATCATCTGTGCCCTGCCTCGATTCTGAGTTTCTCTAGCGCCATCATTATAGATTCAGCAAACCCTGCTAGCATCGGAGAATGATACCTATATGTGAGGCCACGGGACGTTCCGCATGATTAAGTTGAAACTCGTATCTGCAAGATCTTCTCATTTTGATCAGGAAGTGAGCGGGGTTTCATTTGGTAAATACCAGAATGCAGGGGTGTTTGTCCAAAGCCGACAAGGGCAATATACTACATGCCGATGCCAAGTCGGCACATGAGGATTCGGCATTTGGGACCGAGGTTGAAGACTAGGTGTACACCGGTTTATTGTCCACGACTCAACGGAAACTACCCCGAAGCGTATTTTCCTAAACCAGCATAGCAAAACTTTAGATATACGGTTCTGGTTTTCGACGCGGGAGAAGACTTTCTTCAAGAAACTTGGTTTATTCGGTAGTTAGAGTTCCACCTAGCGAATTGCTCGTATATCTCGTTCTTCGACGTATGCGGTGACTAGCGGTCAATCTCCCATATCATGGTAGCTCATAAGATTGGTCAAGACCTATTCTGATACAATTAACTAGAAATTCTTGCGCCCTTCTCTGAAGCAGCCACTCCTAGCATTGCGAATCATTTCGCTGAAATTCGTGAGTTGCGAGCAGCCAATGTAAGCCTGTATACATATCACCAGAGCAACTCAAAGAATAAGTATCTTTTGTATGAATAACAGCGGAAGAGTGCTATGACACTGCATACTTGGTTCAAAGTCTCCTCCATCTGGATTTACCATGGAAACAATAACCGACCTTTTTCCAAGGAGCGCCACATGAAAGAAAGCTTGGGACCCTTATGTGGCGGTGCAATCTAAACTGTGGCGGTGCGATGGAGAGGTTGTGGGGTTTGTCCCGCACGCCAGCCACCGGTGATATCATCGCCTTCCAGGAACATGCTTGAGCTGGAAAACATCCAACATTTTCATATCCTAAGTTTCTGATCAGTCAAGACGCCACTGTCAATAGTCTCAAGTTTAGAGACATTCTTTGTCTGCATCTCTAGCCGCCACACTGGGTGATCTGTCAGCCAGGCGCCCTTAGTAACCCCCTGCCCCTACTACGCGCTATCGCGTTTCAACGATTTGTTTTTCCTTGCAAACCTCCTCCATCTCCTGAGCTACGAGCAAATTTTCTTCCAACGTACATTTTCGATGGCGATGCAATATTTCAACCAGATCAAAAACCGGCGACGGTCATCACTGATCCCAAATCCTCCAAAGCCTGTCCTGACTCCCGAGGACGAGGCATTTCTACAAAAGGTTACCTCTGATCCGGAGCATAGATCAGATTCTGCGGCCCAAAATGAGGCTCAGGATTTGGGGGGCTTAGCAGAGAGCTCTCAGAAGCCTGTTGTCGATGATAGTGCCCTAGATGTTCCATTGCCGTCCTCGCCAGTAGAGGAATTTGGAAAGGAGCTCGGCGAGGAAGAAAGAAAGGCACGAGAGCAGCCTGAAGACAACAGGACCAAGTCCGAGCCTGCAAAGCCAGAAGATACCCCCGTGCCAGAGAAGAAGAAACGATGGAGCTCGATGTTCTCGAAGAAAGCCGCTGATGCGAAGAAGGTATGCACTCCCGCTCATCAAGGATGTTCTTTCCAGCTGCAAGACCTTTCGATACTGATACCCAAACTTAATAGAATAAGCACTCAGCCTCTGCGGACAAGTCACAGACCGAGACGCCCACTCCCCCTTCCATGACAGCAGCTGCAACAGATAACGGAGACGAAGCGCGGAAGGACCAGGAAGACATGACCGATATCCTGGAACGCTTGAACCTAGCTGCGGACAACAACCGAGTCTTCTCCGTCAGCGATGAGACCCAGGAGCTACTCCGCAAGTTCAAGTTGATCTTCAAGGATTTGATCAACGGTGTCCCAACAGCCTACCATGACCTGGAAATGTTGTTGACAAACGGCAACCGGCAATTGCAAGACACATACACGAAGCTACCCGGCTTCATGCAGAAGCTTATTCAGAAGCTTCCAGAGAAATGGACCGAATCGCTAGCTCCAGAGATGCTCGCTGTCGCCAGTGAACGGGCCGGTCGGAGCGGAATCAACATGGAGAATGTGGGCAAAGCAGCCGCCGTCGCTGAAAAGGCGGGCCTTAGTGTTCCAAGTCTCAAGGAACTTGTTTCCAAGCCCGCCGCGATTGTCGGCATGTTGCGTTCTATCATGCAATTCCTACGGGCTCGTTTCCCAGCCGTGTTGGGCATGAACGTCCTCTGGTCGCTGGCACTATTCAGTAAGTGATCACGAGCAAGATCTATTATTCATCTTGGATTGTTGAGACTAATAAATCTACAGTTCTGCTTTTCGTCCTCTGGTACTGCCACAAACGCGGCCGTGAAGTCCGCCTCGAGAACGAGCGTCTTGTGACGGAGGAAGAGATCAGAAAGATGAATGAAGACAGCTCCGAGGGCCAGGGCCAGGGCCAGATTCGCCCGACAGAGACTTTGACAACCACCGCACCGCAAGGTGCCTCGGCCGAGGAAGTGCGTGAGGGTGTGAAGAGAGTGGAAGAGGCCAGAGCTTCGGCGGTTGATGTTGCGGCCGCCTCTGATCCTGAGCTGGAGGCGCAGAGGGTAAACGAGGAGGCCCCTCGCCCTGCTGCGGTCCCGACGCGGTCGAAGTCGCGGTTGGCTATCTGGACTCGATCGAAGCCAGAACCGACGCCGAGTAATATCTCGCCTTATCCCGGGACCTAAAGTCAAAAAGAGATCCTCTTTCCCTGCAGGCTGGATGGGCCGTCGGTACACATGATCCTAATTAAGGTTACAGTGTAAAGAGAACACGGGACGGAAGTCTTTGGCTATGCACAGCAACGATGACGATTTATGGCCTAGTTTGTTATGACGGTTGATTGAATACACTCCAAGTAATACGACGTTTAGGGAATATGTAATGCGCATTCACTCAATTCAATTCAAGTCTAATGAAATCTTCAATGGCTCATCTGTACAGTGGCCTCCTGCTACTTGGAAGCTCGGTGTTGTGTGGATGGACCTCAGGTACGGCACTCCCGAGCCGCATCTCCCGGGAATATATATTTCAGTGTAGCGCCATGAACTAGATACCTGATGTTCAGATACCTGACGACCTTTTAGTGTTGAATATACATATTTGTCTAAACGTAGTGAACGCCGCCTGATGCGTTCGTCCCGACCTTCAATCCTACGGGGTTGCTCATAATCTCCTTCGCGGAGATGTGAAAACAGAATGTTCTGGTCGGGTGGGTGGAGTCATCCTCTTTCTCCAGAGCAAGCTCCATCAAAACGAATTTTCTCGAACCTCGGCATCGGATGGATCCTTGAGCTTAACCGTATTCAGATCAATTGACTCCATATTCAAGTAATGAATTGGCACATCTGGGTGGAAAAGGAATGAACACGGTGGCGCTTCCATAGAAGAAGGAAAAACAGCGCGCCTCACTTCTCAACGGGCAACGCTGTTCTCCGAAGCGCCGACTTAAAAATAGGCTAGCGGCTGTGAGGATTTTCGTTGGAGTGGAGCTTGGTTATTGGGCACTGGGAGAATTTTCATACAGTCAGTATCCACCCTAGCCACTGCGGGGCGACGATGATTTTGCAGAAGACCACGAGTTGCCCGAAGAACAGAAAGGACCGAAGCTGGAGGACAGAAGGGAGAGGTGGCAGGAAGTGGCACTGACGCCCCCTTGCGCGAGATTAGGAGCCCATCCCGTGTCGCTATCACGGTGGTGATGATGTCCAGCGGCCCAATATTGACTATGTGATAGGAACGACGATCTATCTCATGCAGGTTGCCGCGCCTGCCATGTTGTCCACCCCCTGCTTACCGCCTTTTTAAGAATACATACAGTAAGATCAAACAACATCAACAGTAAAGATAGACGAGTCCGTACGACGATATACTACTGTACCCATTTTTTGCTCAACAGAATTATTACATACGGAGGCTTTCCAGACCCGGCCAGCTGGACCGGAATGGAGAAACCCGAGTTGCCACCGCGGGAAGGAAAAATCAACACGATGAAAGATCCAACCAATAGGAAGGGTCCGAGTAGCTAGCTTAATCATATCTCCCCAGTGGAATCGGTGGATGGCTCATGTCCAACCATGTCTGGAGCGCGGTCGAGTCATCAAACAATATGATTCATCTTTTGACTTCGTTTCCGAGTGCAGAGCAAGGATTCTGATCGGACGATGAATCATAGTCTCTCTGCACGGGTCAGCTCCTGCACCCAGCGGGAGGGGGAAGGGGGCTGACGTCTATCATTTAATGTACATAGATTGTTAGTGTTGGAGCTAGCGTTATGTAGGTGGAAAGTATGGAGTTCGATAGGGTGCCCAATATGTCCTTTGGACTGTAAGTGTAAGCCCTTCTTTGGTCTCACATGCCACGCCTAGAAGAGGGAGGATCATAACAATCATCATACAAAGTAGATGTAGAAATAAAGTCATTCCATACATTGTAACTGCTGTATGAATTTTCTTCTTCCGGTGGCACAAGAATGGACCCGCAGAATACCCGGCCGAAGCAGCATCCCCTTGTTATGACTTTATTTTTTTCTGCCCCCCTCTTTTTTCAACTCCGTCATCAAGTTTTTGAATTTTTAATTTTAATTTCTTCCTTCTCCAAATCAAAACCACTCATGATCCTAGTCCTTTCGAGTCATTGATTTAACCAAAGTATATAGATCAGCACCTTGGATACGATCGAGTCAGCAGCCTTTTTCTCCTTCATTCCTAGCCCGAAAGTAGAATGTAGCAGTCAGAAAGAAGCATCATCCTTTAATCGTTCTGGGGGGTCAGGAAGAGGAGGGGAGGGATTGGCTATTTGCAGATTGCCGCGAGCTGATTGGCGTAAAAGATGCGGTGAACTGAGGCCAGCGAATGGGCAGGCGTGGGAGGAACAGCCTGCGGTTTAGTATTGTCCAATCAGCATCAGCCTCGGCCGTCCCCCCGGTTCCACTTCCGTTTTGGCGGGAAAAATCGACTGACGCTTGACTACTTTTCGGGCCTCTTCTGCCTCGAATCTCCCCTTCCTTTCCTTCGTTTCTTCTTCCCCCTCCTTCATCTTCACCCCACCACTAAATCAACATTTGTTGCTGTCGGCTTCTTATCCCATTCATCACCCTTTAACAACTGTCACCCTACAAAATATCGTCGAGAATTCCTGCCAAATGGCTTTCGCTGAGCTGTAAATGCCCCCGCTGGGGAGCCTGTTCTCGCCGGCTCCCCAGTCCAGCAGCTCCGATCCTCAATTCCCACTTGACGATATTTGTTTCCTCTTTCGACGCAACGCTGTGAAGCGTCGGAATTGCCCCCCAGTACAGTCCCAGAAGGAGCACTTCAGCGTCCGTGCCGGACTGCAGGTGCTTGTGTGGTTTTGATAATCAATTCCTGACGCTTATCCTCCTCTTCTCCGACCTCCCTCGAACCTCCTTCAATACCGCTTCCCTATTCATCCTGAACGAACATATCTCCGATTCCGCCTACACTTCGGCACAAATTACGTATCTTCAACATTGCCAAGATCAAGCCGACTCTTCCTACAACGCGACCTAAAACCGTGATATCATATCACTACACCAACCACGATAAAAGCATTTGATTCATCCAAAACAAGGCACAAAATATCTATCATAATGCCTCAATCAAGCGCCTTTGCCTCGAAGCGGGCTCCCAAGGGTTCCTCCAAAACCGTCCGTCCCTCGACCCCGGATGCCAACATTATGCGCCAACTCGAAATGTCTCCCAAGACATCAAACCAGAACAAAAAGCAGAACAACGGTCGGATGGGTGGACAGAACTCATCTGGTCGGAAGAGACGGGCATCAACATCTTCCGTCTCAAGCGTTTCGTCTGTTTCATCGATCGACGACCTCGACCTCGAGGGCGGCCTGAGTGACGATGTGGACGATTCGGATGATGATGCAGATGACGAGGAAGACCGTCCACGGGCTGTCGCCCCGTCCTACGGTCGTCGTCCATCCAATTCCCGGAAGACGGGGCGCCCACCAGCCAAAAGCAAAAGAAGACGAGTCTCCCACGACGAAGACTCGGACAGTCATTTCATCAGCGATCCTAGCGATTCCGACGATAGCTCGGATGATGTTTATGCCGCAGTAGACTATATCACCGATGGAGACGATGAGGAAGGTGATGTGGAAAAGATGGAGGAGCTCATGATCATGGAGTCGGAGAACAAGCACCGCGTCCTGCCTACATCGGAACTCTCTGAGGCCCAATGGGTCGGCTCTGAGATGTTTGGCGATTCGATGATGCTCCCCGCTGCATCCTTCTTTGACGAGGAGCAGCTTTACAGCGCCATGGAGACTTTTGGCGAAACCGATATGGCCAGCGAGGCCGTTGAAACCCCCGTGGCTCGTCGAGTCCACTTCGAAGAGCGGTCAGATTCATCGTCGGATAGTGACTCTCACTCCGATGACGAGATTCCGGGTGACTTCCTCCAGCAGGATGCCCTGGACCCACAACTGCGTCGCATGATTGAAAACGACAACAACGAGTACTACCGCAGCCACCGCCAAAAGTCTGAAGAGATGTATGGCGATGCTGACTATGGCCACGGAAATATTTACCACGTGGAGTCCGAGGGAACGTCCGAGGGCAGCCTCAGTGGTTATGAGAGTACGCTGGCTGCCTATTCATGTTATATTTTTTTTTTTTGTTTATTTACTGACAAACCCTTTCCAGCTGATGATGGTGATACCACAGATGAAGATCTGCCTCCTCCCGCTACTATTACTCACCCCAGATCCCTTCTTCGCCGGGACTCTACCGACTCCCTGGTCGCCCCTGGCGAGGACAAGGCGGACACTATCCCCCGCCGCCGCGGCCCCATCATGGGAACCTTTGTGGCCGATCCCCACAAGCCTGTTGCGTTGGTCGACTGCACTGGCAAGCACCTCGTGATTATTCCTGCATATGCCTCCTCCCGTCACGACTGGCTGGATTCGGCTGCCAACAGCATGCCTGGAACCGCGAACAACAGCCCTCGCCAGACTACCCTGCAATTGATCGACGAGAGCGACACTGATGCCCTTGCATCCCCGAACCAGACTGATTTCAGTCCCATGCTGGCCTCCAGTGCCAATCTGATGATGACTGCCCTCGGCAACGACTTGACGCCGGGTGGGCAGGTCATGGGCCCCCCCGAGGCCTTCTACCCCTCGCAGGACTTTACCATTGATAGCTCTTTCGAGGATGATGACGAGGACGATCCCGAGGCTGCTCTCAATGTGGACGATTTCATCGACTTCGGCAATGGGTCCTCGGATGAGGAAGACAATGACCATGACAATGACAACTTCAACGGTTTCGATGATGACGCTCTCATCTCCCCAATGGCCACTTCATCTATGCAGCCTATGGGCACTCCTACCCCAATCCGCAACTCGGAGTCCCAGCAGGCCAACAACGCCGAGCGCTTCCTGAACCACTTGGACAAAGGTATTGTCACCGCTTTCCGTCGCAACCACAACCGGTACCAGGCACTTCTCCGCCTCCCGCAACATCGCGAGTTCATGCCCGCCAACGCCCCCTCACGGCCTGCCAGTGTTTTCCGACACGCTAAGCATCAAGACATGCGCACTCCAGTTCGCAAGCGCAAGGCCAGTGGCTATGCTGGTGGTGAGGCTGTGCGGCGCAAGCTCATGGATACCCATCGGCGCACCCAGCTCCCATTCTGAGCACCTCCACAATACCCTCCTGGCTTGTCCTGGCCTGTACAGGACAAGTCCTCTGCTGGCCAAAAGTCAGCTCTAACGATTTCGACGAAGTTTGGATTTTTCCCACCAAGATCGCATGATACACACGGATGCTGTTAAATATGTTTCGAGTCGCTGGCAGACTTGGCCTTGGGAGACCGTCGATGTTTTCTCCGTGTTCCGAATTAGACACACAGAAGAGGTCTTTCTTTCGCACCGAGGCGACCAATATTTCGCTTTCTTGGTTCATAGATAAGATCAATCTTGCCCTTTTTGTTTCGTTCTATCTGAAAGACAAAAGCTGGGGCGCGGATTCATCGCGTCAACCCCGTGCATTCTATGTTGTTTACCCAAAAAGAAGATCGATGGATGATGGCCTTTGGCCCCCAAAAGTTGATCGATTCTTGTGTTTCTGCATTGAGTGAAATTTGTTGCCAATATTCATTCTCATTCCTTTCCCTCTTTTTTCACTCCCACTTCTATCTTATTTTCCTTCTTCTTTTCCTGGCCATGTACGTCCTCGCTGTTGGCGGGGTGTGGTGATACCTCTGGATGTTTTACGGAGTTTAAATGAGAATCTATCTTTCAATTTTCTTTCAAACAGAGTTACTGCTAATAGACGTAGACCTGGACTAAACCTGTAGAGTAGATCTACCAATTGCGTTTCAAGTCATTGTCGTCACTGGCAGACTGAATCCGTAGAGTGAGTGGATCTGTAATTCAAATAAGGTTGCCTGCTCGTAGAGCTAGACTGAACCTGTAGAGTAGATCTCCCAATCATGTTTCACCATGGATCTGTGGACTGAAACTGTAGAGAAGATTCCTCAATCGCTTTTCAAATCACAGTCGTCACTGGTAGACTGAATGTGTGGACTGAATGTGTGAACTGAAGCTGTGGACTGAAGCTATAGAGTGAATCACCGGGCGTGTCAAGCCTATGTTGTGATTGCTTCCGGAGCTATCTAGAATGTCCATCTAGACGTGTTTGCCAAATCTCCAGTTTGTCCATGGCGACCCCGGCCTGGGCCTTTTCTGGTCCTAAGTGCTTTCACCTCTTCCTTCACTCTTCGCATATCTCATCTTCAGGATCACCATCGATTTTTCTTCACACATCAACCACCGCACGTGCTCTACGCACTGCTTCAAGTAAGTGAATCCAGAGATCACCGCGTGTATCACGTCGAGATCTTTTCTTCCAGAACGATCTGGCTGACCTTCCTTCTCTGCTACAGGCACCAATTTTTTTCATCCCGTGCGTGAATCTCCTCGTGCTCGACCTTCCTTGACCTGCATGATTTCGAGAGTGGACTACACGTTTCATCTTACTAACCTGCCTGATCTACCGCAGACCAAAACACCGCTTCCAAATCATCAACAAGTACGTGAACCCTATCATCCCCGACCTCTTGCTCCTCTCATCGACCTCGCATCAAGCCCTCAGCTTCCACCACATCCTCTATCACTCCCTACTCACAACAGCCTTAGGAAAAATCATTCCCACAATGCAGCCGGCGGACGACACCGGGTGTACCTATTATGTCGTGGTGAAGCTCGACGAAGTTTTGCTGGACGTTGAATAGGTTTCGTGAGTATCTAAATCGAAGAGTCGTTCATGAAGAGCAAAGGCTTCTCTGTCCGGGGCTCTACCGTTACCTACAGCGATCCGACCAGAACTCTTCCAATAGATTAAGACTAAAGTTAAGGTGGTTTCAGAATCACACCGTCAACCCTGCACCGCTTGAATCCCTCCAGGGGCTGTACCAGGTTCAACAGTTCTCCTTCGGATAAGAGAAGGATCGGTTGGAGGTCGCAACGTGTACTGGCTCATTATTGACAAGGTTGACCTGCATTTTGCCGAGAAAACGGCAAAGAATGAACCGCCGACCTAGTAGTGTCTTCAGTAACTACGCGTTTGGGGCCGAGTGCATGAGCTCGTTCTACTCGGAGAAACCACCAAATCTTCTAACATGGCAGAGGCCAGACGAGACCCCAAAGGTCATCTGGGCGGGCATCAGTAACAGTTCTTCCATAAATCCGAGACTGGCCAGACATGGGTTGAGTGAACTATTGACTTTAAGTATCGGATAAACAGCTTGATTCGGATGGTTCTACCATGGCCCTCTTATTTTTAGGTCAAGTTAGTTCGCTGTCTCGGTTGTGAGATGCTTGGTCTCTTGCTTGCCAAGGAACCATCCTATTCAGATAAAGTACGAACATGGCATGGTGATAACCTATTTGCGACCTATCTCACACTTCTTCCCTGTTTTCTAACATATATCGGCTTTTTCGGATTTCCGATTAAGCTTCCTGCATGAGCTACAAGTGGTAAATATACGTTGGAACTACCCACAGGGGCTGTAGGTTGCATCTGTCAACGCCAGTCTCGCTCGCAAGATACCCTTCACGGAGAATTTCCACGCGGACCGGGGTAGGTCTATCCGACAGCCTAAGTGTATAGTGTGGCGCCCATGGTCTCAGGCACCCGGTCTATATACTAGCGGGCTCTAGTATGGAGTAGTCATGAGCTAGAGAGGTTCTTAGCTTTAGTGACAAGCCTCCCCCGCTAAGGAACATCTTAAGGGGGAACCACTGGAATAGGTTAGTCATGGATGGGCAAGAGACTGAACGCTGGTGTTCCCTAGTCATGGAATGGATGAAACGGGTGCGATTCTTCAGGGGAAAAAAAAAATAATAAAAAGCGTGAGGAAAGCTATGCTTCAGGGCGCTGAAGAATAATGCAACATTGTTTAACGCGAAACAGTTCTCGCATGATGTCGGGACACTCCTGCAGTTAGGCTGTTCCCTGGAGCTACGAAGGAAGGCAAGACTGGTACGAACCACTGGCTTGAAGAATCATGGGTTCCTGTTCCTGTTGGAAATGCATAGGAGTTCCCTGGCATATATTACCTTAGGGCGCCATGTCAAGCATCTGGCAGGCCCCATTCGCCGGTATTTTTAGAGGGCGCCTTAGCCTGTAAACAAAGCAATCGTGCGACATCATCAGGGGCGGCAAACCTTGGCCATGACCACGAACATTGACATCCGCTTTTTGAAACAGAGCGTGAGAATTCATGCGAAGCATATCACATCCGGGGGAACTCATTTGAGCGGTGCCTGTGAATTTCTGACTGAATGGAATTGACAGTTTGACACATACGATGGCAAGGCCGCTGAACACCGATATCCGGCCTGATGCGGCCCCTCTTGCAAGTTGCTGGTTCCAGTGGAACCATCAACCGGGACTTGAAGGTGGAGAGGTCCGTCTTTGGCATCGGTTACGCACGAGGGATGCAGGAACAAAGGCTGCTCCAGCGCTAACGTCGGGGGCCAAGACGGTCTAACCTGTCATGGCTGCGCCGACGACCACTTCCCCACCTTAGTGCAAAGGGTTCCCTGTGGACGGGTTAAATGCTGTAAAAGTTGTTAGCTACGGAGTTGACTAGTTCGCTAGTTAGTAGTACTTGGTACTTCGTACTCGTACACTGGTGACCGGACTTCCAGAGGTCGATGGCCCCTGCTTAACATGAATCAAGTAACTCCGTACAAGCTCTTGCCTCATTGCTCCTTTCCGTCTCCTCCGGACGCCACACAACCCCTGGTTTGCTATCCAGTTTAGTCTGGCTTTGTTTACCCCTGGCGGGGGAAAGAAAGAAAAAATCCGAGGTACTAGAGTGCATCGACTACTGTTCTTGCTTGCTGCCTTATTTCCAGCAACATAACTCGAGTTGACGCTGCCTTCGTCAGTGTTGCTGTGGACTTAAAAAGGTAAGCATTGGATCGACCGGCGCGAAGCACGCTGGTTGGGCAATTGTAAAGCCGCCCGGCGCTACGAGCGTTCTGTGTACTCCACTGACGTTGTTCACAATGATGATCAGTGATTTAAACGTTCATAACCATAAAAAGCTCGGGGCGACCGGCATTCGCACCAAGCCTTCACGGGCATGGTAGGAGGACAAGCCCATGCTATTGTCTGCAGTCAGACGATCAGCCGTGGGGGAGTAGAGGACCGGTCTGGCCCAGTTTTTCTAGCGAGAAGTTTCAGGGCGAGACGCCGGCGGCAAGCTGGCTTTACCACCCTGCAGAAGCGGAGGATGTCGGTCTTTCTGATCGGTCATACTCCGACAAAGTGGACAGCAGACTGTAGGGTTGTATCAAATTATTAATGCACAAATGAACTGATGTATGGACGGTGGAAAAGCCCTCTGCATCGTCTGTCTCTTCTGGGAAGTTGGAGAGTTGATGTGGGTTCGACTGCCCAGGGGCAGCCTCTTCTCGGCAAAGCCGGGATTAAGAAGACCAGCCCCGCTAGTGGGGAATTGAAAGAGACGGGCGATGATGCATCTCGGGAAAGAAAGAAAGCGATGATCGTAACCTGATTCTGATGTTGATGAAGTCAAGCATCGGCACTGAAGTTAATCAATCAGTAGAAGGGCAGGCTGGATATCAAACTGTCGATCGCATCGAAGCCTTGGGACTCGATTGTCTCTCGGTCGGCTTTGTTTCTGCATGCAAGTCCATGTCGATCTGGCGCCAGCTTTTTTTCGTTCGTCACATCGGCCCAGATGAACACCCGAAAGAAAGCGCAAGGGTGAAATATCATGATCCATTCAAGGACTGCAGGGACTCAGGGACAGTCTGAATGGGATGCTATTTTTAACACCCTTCCCCGGATCTTGCCCATTGGTCCAGTGACTAGCAGGGTCGTCAAGTAAAGTGGACGTGGTTGCTGGACGGATCGCACCAGGTCTCTTTGAGCAAGTTGACTGGGTCTTTGTTTGGTGCATTCTGAGGTCGGCGCTAGACCCTGTTACAGATGCTCCAGCCAGTTCCTGCACTAGAAGCATGTCCAGTTCGCGCTGAAGCCTGACCCTGGCTGCTTTGGGGTGGGACCCCGTTTCATCTGCACCGCTAGCGTTGAGCCGATTGGCGGACTGGAAACGCCTTCTGTGACGGGATGTCTTACCATTTGTCCATCCCAACCATTCTATGTATGCCTCTATGGTGTAGAGGCAGCAGGTGTTGCCGAATCAAGCTGCAAGCCACCAGGGGGAACAGGGTCTCCTTTGCGTGGTTTGTGGGCTGTGGATTGTTGTTTGTGGGTGGCGGTTGGAGAAGGTTGCAGTTTGATGGAAGAATCATGGGAAGAAAGTAGCCTCAAACATCTTAAAAGGCAGCAGCCTCCCCCAGGCACCTCATCTAGAAAGTTGGCTTCTCCATTGTTTCGTCTTTTCGTTGTGGTTTTTTCTTGTTTTCCATTTCTGGTCCTTTTATACTCCTCCTCTCTCTTTCCATACTCCACTTGGTTTCGAAAATCAACACACTCGCTCAGGAATTCCATTCCTCGTCCCACTCGCTATATCTTCAAGATTATCTTGATCTGGGATTCGATCACTCATTCTGATTGTTGCTGGTCTACAATCTGCCATAAAAATAGGCTTACTGTTCGCTTTCGGCCCTCTTTTGCCGATTCTTTTGCTTCGTCCAACTTCGTCTCTCGTTGACAATCCACCTCCAGCATGAAGGCCACTACTTCAATCGCCTTCCTGTCGCTCCTGGCCTCGGCCCAGGCTACTTATGGGGTATGATCTCGTATCTCTAACTGGGATATGCCGTGTTATTCTCATCATGCTAATATTTGCTTTGTGATGTCTAGTACTGGGGCTCTGACAAGTGCTACTCCAGTCCAGGCCGCGCCCCCAACAAGTGTAACGACCACCAGCAGAAGGGCTTCGACTGGTCGGGTCTTTCTACTGGTTCGTTCTCATCTTACGGTGGCTTCGATTTCTCCGGCTTCTCCTGCAGCAACAGCTTCGGCGGTGCCAGCCACTCCAAGCGTGGTGTATGTTATTCCCGCCTCCAACTATGAGATATCAAACGATGTCTCTCATTGATAGTCCGATATGCTAACTTGCGATATTGCAGGAGAAATGCATCACTGGTACTGCTTCCAAGAGCGGAAGCTCCTCCTCTTCCTCGGGCAGCAGCTCCCACAGCAGTGGCTCGTCCAGCTCCAGCCACTCCTCATCGCCTTCGTTCTCTTGCGGCTCTGGCTCTGACGAGAATGGCTTCTCTATCACTCACTTCCACATCTCCACCGATAAGGATACCGATATGAACATTGTCTACAGCATGCCCGATGGTTCTTCTTGCCGCAACACCGCTTCTTGCTCGTCTGCTGGAACTACCGTGACTAACGACCAGTGTGGTGGTGCTACTTCGGTCTCCTTCGAGCTGCCTGACCACAGTGACCACGATAGCTGCGACTTTGGCATCTACAGCGTTGGCTTTGACTGCACTCCCGGCACCACTTCGGCCCTGCCTACGCCCACTCCTGGCAGCAGCTCGTCCTCGGTTGCTTCGGTCCCTACCGCTTCCATCCCTACTGCTTCTAGCCCCGTCGGTTCTTCCGTGCCTGGTGTGCCTTCTCCCTCGATCCCTGCTGCTACTACTCCAGCTGCCGGTATCACTCCTGGTTCTAGCGCTCCTCCCAAATGGACTACTTCCACTGTGTACACTACCAGCGAGATCACGATTACCAGCTGTGCTCCTACTGTTACCAACTGCCCCGCTGATTCCACCACCGTGGTCACCTCGACCATTGCTATCTCGACCACTGTGTGCCCTGTGACTGAGACTACTCCCGCTGCGGGACAGTCTACTACTCCAGCTGGTCCTTCTCCTACTGAGACTGCCCCTACTGGATCTATCCCCACCGGGAGCGTCCCCGTCGGATCCTCCAGCCCTGCTGGCCCCAGTGGAAGCTCTCCCGTTACCGCTTCTGCTCCTGGCTCTAGCGCTCCTCCCAAGTGGACTACCTCCACTGTGTACACTACTAGCGAGATCACTATCACCAGCTGCGCTCCTACTGTTACCAACTGCCCCGCTGATTCCACTACCGTGGTCACCTCGACCATTGCTATCTCGACCACTGTGTGCCCTGTGACCGAGACTACTCCCGCTGCTGGCCAGTCTACTACTCCAGCTGGATCTTCTCCTACCGAGACTGCTCCCGGCGGATCTAGCTCTACCGAGTCTGTCCCTGCTGGATCTTCCTCGAGCCCTGCTGGTCCTAGCGGTAGCTCTCCCGTGACTAGCCCTGCTGGTCCCAGCGGCAGCTCGCCCGTTACCACTTCCGCTCCTGGCTCTAGCGCTCCTCCCAAGTGGACTACCTCCACTGTGTACACTACTAGCGAGATCACGATTACCAGCTGTGCACCTACTGTTACCAACTGCCCCGCTGATTCCACTACCGTGGTCACCTCGACTATTCCTATCTCGACCACTGTGTGCCCTGTGACCGAGACTACTCCCGCTGCGGGACAGTCTACTACTGCTACTGGATCTAGCCCGACTGAGACTGCTCCTGGTTCTGGCGAGTCTAGCCCTGCTCCCTCCAGCACTGTCCCTGCTAGCACCGTTCCCACCGGTGTTAGCGCTGGCTCTTCCACCGTGCCTTCTGAGGATACCACCACCTACATCACTACTTATGAGACTGTCACCACCTGCCCTGTGACCAGCACTGTCAGTTCTGGCTCGTCCTCAACCGTGATCACTACCAGCACCCTGTCTACCATCACTGTGACTTCCACTCACACCACCTGCACCAAGTGCACTGCTACCGCCACCGGCACTCTCCCTGGTTCTGGTTCTGGCACCACCCCCGTCGCTGATGCTACTGAGACCTCGCCTGTCTCCAGCCCTGTACCTACTTCGTCTTGCCCCAACGTTGTGCCTCAATGCATCAACACCTGGCTTAGCATTGTTCCCAAGTGTACCTCCAACAGTGATGCCAAGTGCTTCTGCCCTAACAAGGACTTCACCGACAAGGTCATCTCTTGTGTCCAGGCCTGGGGTGCCTCCAAGGAGGAGATCCAGAATGCTCTGTCCTACTTCACTGGTATTTGCGCTGCTTGGGTCCCCACTAACCCCGGTATCGTGACTGCCATCCCCTCCACCATCACCCTCGTGCCCACTGTTGTTCCTAGCGGTGCCAGCGGTGCCACTGCCAGCGCTGGTATTACCGCCCCGGCTATCACCTCTGCCCCCGCTGCTCCCTGCACTACCATCACCTACTCGACCTACACCGTTACTGTGCCCCAGGTCAGCTTCTACACCTCGACTGCCTCGGGCTCGGCTACGACTGTCGGTCTGGTCCCTGCCGGCCCCAGCGGTGCTTCTCCTGCCAACACCGGCAAGGTTCCCTCTCCGGTCGCCGCCTCATCCACCTTGGTCACCGCCGCTCAGAGCTCGACCCCCTACGTTAGCTCTAAGGCCACTGCCACCGCCACCACTTCGCCCATTGCCTTCAACTCGGCCTCGACCGTGTCGATGGCTTCCAGCCTCCTTCTGGGCTCTGTGGCCGCCTTCCTCGGCTTAATGCTCTGAACGTGCCATGCTCTACAATCTCTTTTTCAAAGTGATCTCTTTGCCGGGCATATTTCGCCCCATGTGACATTTCATACAAATTTTTTTTTTCTACATAAATGTTTCTGAAGTTCGATCTTTGTGTCTTACATATCAATGTGCCGTTCCGCACCCGAATTTTCCTTTCTGATTTTTTCTCAAGCCTTCACGACTTGGATGTTTTGTCGACGCTCGGATCGCTGGTGCTTGAGCCGGATACACGACATGGGCCGTGAATGGACTGGTTGATTTGAATGCCCACCACGAGGTAATTTGATTTTGTATTCTAATATTCACTCCCTAATTGCATACATTAGACCTCGTGAATTGTTTGAGTGAATAAGTTTTCATGTAGATCCACGTAAACTACCTTGACTAATAGTGTAGTGTCATAGTTATCCACCCATAGTTAACTCTTCAATCTCTATCATCTTAAACATTGAAACAGATTATACATAGTAAACAGTGCATTTGATCTCCACCAAGATTTCCTCTCTGGGCAAAGCCCTCACTTCCACAGTCGTTCGCGCCGGTGCAGTAGTACGATCCGGCCAAATACGATTCCACTCCTCATTCATGCCCTTATAGTCGTCTTTCATGTTGGTCACAAACACCGTTGCATCGATCACATCATGGATACTCGCTTTGCCCTCCGAAGCACCTTGAATGATGGCGTCGATATTGGATAGCACGGCAGCAGTCTGTTGTCGGATGTCGAGGGTAATTGTGCCGTCTTCTGAGGGCGTAGCTCCGACGAATGTCCCGTCACCGCGGCGGGATGAGGTTCCCGAGACGTAGATATATGAGCCCTTGCCATCGGGTGATGTTACTGTTCGAGCGTGGGGGTAATTGGCGAGTCCTTGGGCGTGGGTTGCCGGTCGGAAGTACGGTGTGCTTTGGGACATGATGATGGGTTGGAGATGCCTGGTGAGACAGTGTTTGATTGGAAAAGTGGTCAAATTGGACGATAAAAAGAATGGATACTAGTAATCTATTGCGAATAAATGATCTATCTTGTGCTTTATCTTGTGCAGCTCATGAGAGGTCTGCACCGGATCTATCCGACCGGCCCGATATCCGACCCGCGACGTCATCCGAGAACGAGCCAAGAGCTGCTTATCGAACATGGAGAGTTCGCAAATTCGTAAAAACATCCCGACTCTGGGCTCCTCCTTCACGGCCAATGCCGGATGCCTTCATGCCTCCGAATGCCGTCCCAAGCTCACGCACTAGCCAACAATTGACCCATACCAACCCGGCATCGATTCGCTCTCCGACTCGGCGCATCCGAGAGAGGTCCTTGGTCATTAGAATACTGGCCAGTCCATTCGGATTATCGTTTGCTAGTTCAACGGCCTCTTCCTCTGTACCAAATGTAGAAACTGTAACGACTGGTCCGAAGATCTCGTCGCGCATAATGCGACTATCGGTTCGCAGGTTGGCCAACACGGTCGGTGTGATCCAAAAGCCCTTCTGTGGCATTTCCGAAGGAATTTCTCCTGTAAGAAAGTTGGCGCCTTCCTCCTTGGCTTGCTTGAGATAGGATGATATCTTGGTATAGTGCTCCCGTGAGACAACAGGTCCAATTGTTTCTCCACAGCGGTAATTTTCCTGGACATAATCCACAAAGGCCGACAAAAACTTCTCGTAGATAGTGCGGTGAACGTAGATCCGAGAACCGCAGAGGCAAATCTGCCCACTATTTTCGAATGCAGCCTGTGCAGCTAGTGGAACAGCCTCTTCTAAGTTGACATCGTCGAATATCAATGTGGGATTCTTCCCACCGAGCTCCAGTGACAGATGCTTGCCAATATCAGCCACGGTATCCTGTCGGATGCGGATTCCTGTAGCCGTGCCGCCGGTGAAAGAGACACCTCGAACACGGGGAGATTTGACAAGAGCTGAGCCTGCACCGGGCCCATCTCCAAAGATAATGTTCATCACGCCAGGTGGGAGTTTGGCTTGTCGGAAGACCTCTCCAAGCACTAGGTTGGTCAGTTAGTAGTCCATCGGAAGAGCGTATTGTAATGAAGAAGGAGAACTCACAAAATGCAGTCATACTAGTGACTTCACTGGGCTTTGCTACTCCAGTACATCCGAATGCAATGCAAGGAGCAATCTTCCATGTCAAGAGATAAAGTGGCATGTTCCAAGGCGATATCAGGGCAAAAACACCCACCGGCGACCGATGCTCATAAGTCATCGTCGACACCGGCCCGTCAACATATCGAACAGCACCTTCTTCATGGAGAATGTAAGTTGCAAAGTATCTAGTAGAGCATCAGTATCCAGATCACTTCGATCAGCCTCGACTAAAGCTAGTCCACATACCGGAAATTTGATATCGCGCGGTCAACCTCCACACGAGCACGACTGAGCGTCTTCCCCTGATCAAGACTCTCCCAGACAGCAAATAGCTCTTTCTTCTCGTTCAGGATAGTAGCGATTCGAAGGAGGATTTCCGATCGCTCTTGTCGTGAAGTTCGCGACCATGTCGGGAACGCCCGTGAGGCGGCGTCCACGGCGCGATCAACGTCGGATAGCGCACTGCGAGGAATCTGGGCCAATAATTCACCGGTCCGAGGGTTGAAAGAATCGATACGGTCAGTGGGCTCGGCATACTCTGAATAATCGCCTTCGATGAAATTTTGGAGGCGGATTGGGGTGGTGAGACTAGCCAGGTAGGCGTCGGCTTGGTGCGCGGTGTCGAGTTTCCAAAGCGTGGAGATCGGATCCATTTTCAGATGAGGTTATGATGAGAAGTGCAGATTGTCTCCGGTTATTTCCCAGGTAATGTCGTTATTTGAGGTCTGGATAAGCTCTTGTTATAATGTATAAGTGTCGTTCCGACACTTGGAAGTCCTCATCCGCGCTCCGGATAGCCATCCGATTCGATCATTCCCTGTAAATTCGGGCCTACTAGCAACGAGATGGAGATTAGATACAACATGTCCTTTCAGTCATTTTATTCCAGTCAATATGCTATGTCAAGGAGCTTGATAAATTAAACCACATTTGTGATCACCATCAGATAACATTCAAAAGTGACTGACTAACTAGATGCACTAAATCTTAAAATTCTGATACATGTCCTCTAACCCAAGAAATTCGATCGCGTTACCAGCAAGCATGCGTGCTCGCGTCTTACTAGAGAATAACTCGCCCACCTTCTTATCACTACTCAACATCTCGCCTGGATTGGGCATTTCACCAAGCGGGAATGGATAGTCACTGCCCATGACAATTCTATCCGGCCCAATCTTCTTGCATATAAGTTGCAGTAGATCCGGATCGTGCACCAAGCTGTCAATCCAAATATTGTGCTGATGTGACTCGAGGTAGTTCTGGGGCGACACTCCCTCGGAACGATGTGCAACCAGATCTGGTCGGCAATTGTAGCCGTGTTGGATACGCCCGAGGAGAGGCAAGTATGCACCACCAGCGTGTGCAAAGCAGAAACGGAGTTTTGGGTGTCGAACTAGAACGCCTGATGAGAGGATGGCATGGATTGATAGTGCAGTCTCACTTGGCCTGATATAATTACCCTCGTTAGATATTGTCACATCCTTCTCATGAAAATTGCCGAGCCACTTACATTCCGATTAACCATGCAGACCAGTAATTCCCCCATCGGCTCTTATTCTCTCGTTCCAACTCATATCCTAGAGGATGCACAAAGATGGGCATATCCAGATTTTCGCAAGCTTCCCAAAAGAGATCGAACTTGGGATCATCCAGAGAGCAACTATTGATCTCGGTCCCAATCTCAACACCTTTTAACCCCAGATCAACCTTCGCTCGCCGAAGCTCAGCCACAGAGCTGGGAACATCTTGCAGCGGGACTGTGGCAAGTCCAACAAATCGTCGCGGGTTATCTTGGCAAACAGACGCAATATGGTCGTTCAGGTAACGGGCCAGCGCCGCAGCAGGTTCGATCGGCTTGTCGTATGAGAATAGGATAGGTACAGTACTGATGACCTGGACATCTACCCCCGTGGCATCCATATCCTTCATTCGCACGACAGGATCAAAGCAATTTGGCTCCACTGTTCGGAAGAATTTCTCGCCAACGTACATGTCGACTTTGCTCGATGCTGCGCCAGTCTGTCCAGAGGCGTCGCTGCCGGATAAACAGTGTGACCGAAGATTCATCCAATCCTCTCCATTCTCCTCTCGTGATCCGTATAATTTTGAGAAGTCGGGCAGGCTTGGCGGCATAATATGCGTGTGCATATCAATCCGCAGAGGCGCATTAGAGCTGGGAGGCTCGTTGGTGCCGGCCCATCGCTGCTGGCCGGAGTTGCAAGAACAACAGCTCGAGTTGATTGGCATTTTGTAAATATTGAAATACTCAAACACACTTGGCCTTCAAGACAAGATCGTAAGTTATATAAATCAGGGCAAACTGCCGCCTTCAAACTGGGTGGAGATGGCTTTCACCAATCGCGGTTCTATGACCCAGTAGCCACTCTGGGACGTGCTTTTTGAAATGATAACTGCGTCGGGTGCACCAATACATTCCATTCACTTCAGCCGGTTCCCCAGAGCACGATGTTGTAGTCTCGGATCTACCCGGTCAATCAATCGGATGCCGTTGCGGGTCGGCTACATCCATGCCAAGACCCTGTCTTACATGGGGTAACATTACCAGCATCAATCATGCGGAGAAGGCTGGAGTTCTGAATGCCATGCTGATTTAAGACCCTTTTATACCGGTTTCATATCTCTCTCGGTAATCTGGAGCATCACCACCATTCTTTGCCTTTGCTCTTGACAGAAAATCATCATGGAATCACAAGCAGCCACCATGTCTTCTATTCCAGACCCAATCGGCTTATCTTCTTGGCTTGCTTTAAACTCGGAGAGTTTGAAACCACCAGTGAATGCCATGTATTTGTACTCAGGGAAAGACTTTATTCTGATGGCTGTTGGAGGACCAAATACGAGGAATGACTACCACAGTGAGTTGTCATTAAATCTCCATTAAAGTGCGGACAGAGTAATGCTGACGCACTTTGAATGAAGTCAATGAGACAGAGGTAAACATTCCATTTGAAACCTGACTTGAATTAACATCTTCTGACTGTTTCGAATTTCAGGAGTGGTTCTACCAGATCAAAGGGGACATGTTACTGAAAGTCGTCGAAAATGACGATTTTCGTGACATTATAATTCACGAAGGCGAATCATTTCTCCTACCAGGTAAGCTATGATTTCCCGGGCATCACGCTTTGCCTTTACCCTTTGAGTATATTTCACTTATCATCGCCGATCTATCTTGTAGCAAACACGCCTCACTCCCCGAGAAGATCAAAGGACACGATAGGCCTAGTGATGGAACGAACTCGACCGCCGCAGATGATTGATCGTGTTCGGTGGTACTGCGGTAATACTGAGGCCCATGGTGGAGTCCCAACAATTATAAGGGAGGAGTCATTCTACTGTGAAGATATCGAAACACAACTCAAAGAGGTTATTGACAACTGGATGGAGGACGAGAATAGCCGGAGATGTGGAAGCTGTGGAGTAATCTCTCCTGCTCACTGATTTTGATGTTGCAACCACGTGGGACTTTCTTGTTTGAACGGTTGGTACATTGTATGCTACAATCATAGCCTATAGCTGGTGGAATAAGATTCTTGTCTTGTGACATGGAAACCGCTTGATGCAGGCAACAGGGTCAGTAAAACGTATTTAGATGCAAATAATCATGAAAATATCATTAACCATCAGGCTGAGAGAAAAATTGATCAATCGAATCCGTCAACATTGCGTCTCCGAAGAAGGAGGTAGAAACTTCCTCTGAGGCGATTTGTCGAGGGGAAACATCGGGAAGAAACAAGCCTCCAGTTGTGATCATGTGGTCCATTATGGGGCAATCAGATGAATCCCTTAATATCGGAAGCATCTCCAGGGTCGGAAGATCATTAGAAGATGAGAGACGCCGAGAGGGCAGTGGAGATAGCTTTCTTCGCTTGGAATGTTGTTGGGAAGGGTCGTCGAGTCGACTATGTTTAAACGAAGTCGCACCTTGTGAGCAATCGGTATCGAGTATATTGATTATTGAGTCATTCGAGAGCTCCCAGGGTGAATAATCAAGTCCCTGAAAATCAAGCGAACCTTCGGGGAAATGAATCGAATGTGTCCTGTTCGCACCTGGTGTATCACTTTCCTCGTTGTCTCTTGTACAAGCCCTCTGCCCAAAATTACCAAAGGTCTGGTAAAACAAATCGTGCTTGCTAAGCTCATTTTGAGTCAGACGCATGTCCTCTTCTGTCAAAAGTTGATACTTCTTGATCTCAGGCCACTGGATCTTCACCTCTCGAAGCATGTTCAAGCCGCTCTCGACATCCATCCAGGCCTTTCTGGTAAAGCTCGGGTTGCGTGCTAAGCGCATACAATGCAAAAGGACCTTTGCACTTGCAAAGATGGCTCGACTCTGCTGAATCACGAAGTGGCTTGCCGGAACATGGGCAATTACCTGCGGAGAGGCTTTGATGCAGTTAGATGCAGCCTCCGCGCAACGCAAAAATGCCTCGGGCTCGGCAATATTGAAGCGCTCAATAAATGTGCGATAAAGGAGGACAAGCCCAATGTGGTAAGATGAGACAGCAATTGCTTGCAATGCAAGACGTCCCACTTCTGAGTTAGGGGTCTCCAGTTTCGGCAGAACTTGCTTTGTATAGTATTTCTCCAGCTCAGCGTCGTGTCTTTTGACATAGGATCGAAGCGTATCCTTGAGCTTTATATTCTGGGATGATTCGGGTTTTCGAATCAACCTCACAGATCTGTAAATGCGGCCCATGGTAATGTGAAAGTCTGCGATAACCGAGAACCAGGGATTTGCATTTTGTGCAGCAGATGATGCGCTGTAGTTTTCCCCATCGCAAGAATCGATCTCGCTCTCCGCATCGTCAATTGCTAATGGCTTCAGAAGTGCCGTTGACAAGGAGCGATCCAAGATGTAAAGACACCACCAGAGGTTGGTATGCGCAAGACGTAGCTCATTTGCCTCGCCAGCAAGATTGACACTGTCCTTTAGGTCAAAGCCTTGATATAGGCGAATTGCATGTCCCGCAGTGACCCACGCGTCGTTCACTTTGCCTCGCTCAATAAGATAGAGGCTGAGAAGACCTTGTGCAGCGATAGTATTGATCGCTGCTGAAGGACTTGGCTGGTAGGATTTGCCTGTACTCAGCGAGATTGCATGCCGGTACAATAGCTCTGCAAGATCTATCCATTTGTACACTTCGAAGCCTGCCTCGGCGAAGACTTCGTGGTCTTTTGGTATCACTGAAGCAGCGACCGCCAAAATTGCGTAAAGAAGAATTGGAAAATCGTTGGCAGCAGTAAATGTCTTGCCTCCTTCTTGAACTGACCACAAATTATATTGTTGTCGGAATCTGCGTTGGGTAATGATTGGAAAGATAGGGTAGATGGACTGGTAAAAGAAGTCGATTAGGACTTGCATTAGTGACTCTTCAAGATGTGTTACATCAATCGATGCATTATCCGTATTGTAACCGTCAAAAGCCGAATCGTCATCGCTGCTACGTCTTATAGACAGAGGGATCGCTGTTGGTCGTTCTTGTCTCTGGACCGCCGTGTCTGTTGAGGGTCCTCGCAAGTGACCCACTCGCGAGTCGGAAGGCGCACTCTCGTCGGCTAAAGTGGCCACGGTAGTTGCCGATTCCCCTCCCTCGGCACAGGAATAGTGATTCAAGTCCTGGTGATCGTCCATACTAGTCACTGTGCTGGGCTTCAGTACAGAGGCCCCCTCTCTGGCCTCCAGCGCAACCGATTGCTGTCGGAGTCTTTGCTCCATGAGTGATAAACGGCTCTCAAGTTTCAACACATATCTAGAGCCAAAATTAGTCGTCTTTCCTGGTTTTGAGACATACAATCAGGATGACGGAGAGAAGCACTCACTGCGGATCCACCAATCTCCTATTGCCTTGTGGTTCAACATAGACACACTCTGCCTTGTTGCGTGTACAACATTGACAAGGTTGCTCCCCGTCGCATTTGACCTTCTTCTTTCGACATGCTTGGCACGCCCGCCAGACCCGCTGTCGCTCATACATAGTGCCGCAAAAGTCTCATGGTAGTAAATACCGATGAGTTGATGGAGATGGTGATAGAGATGGTAAGGGGTAGAGCCCAGGTCGGAGGGTCGGATAACAATCTACCCCCGCTCTGAAGCGGAAACCTTTCCGGGAACTGAGCCAGTCGAAGGAAAATGCGCTAACTTGATTAGGATTAAAGATAAGTTCAGCTGGCCAATTGGATACCTTTAATTGAGCCCCACTAGGTAAGGTTACCGATGCATCAGTACGAGCTAAACGTGAATAGATGAAGTACAGCCCGTGTAGCACGCAAGGCTGTGCGGGGAAAGCGTATATAGCAGCACTATGTAGTGAAAGCCTTCTCATCGCATTCCTTGCTTGAACACGAGAATTGGGCGACTGGCATACCATTCCAACCCCCGACGAGCCCGCCTTTGCAAAGCTTGTCTCCAATAGGTAAGCAAGTAACGAAGTCAACAATGACTGGCCAATCATCCTTTCTCAGCATGAAATTGGTCGGATTTATATCATTATGTACGAGCCTGAGCTTGTGGATATGTCCAATGCCAGCTTCAACAGCCTCCATGCATTTTTTGCGATCAAGTTTGGCCATGAATGTATCCTCGATACGATCCAGCAAAGTACATTCGTATTTCACCAGAGCGAGCCTGGTAATCCGACCATCGTCAACGACGCATCCAAGGCATTCTGCAATGGAATGATGAGGGTTAGGCTTGAAGCGCTCGTAGATTTCAGCCTCATGGAGTGGTTGCTGGTGTTTGGATAATGGATAGGGTTGTAGAGTATGCAGAAGTTTACGTGGATGCAGCTCAAAAAATCGGGATTGCAGCAAAATTTGAAGATGATTAGGTCCCGTTGTTTGGAGAGACTTGGAACAGGATGCCCTTCCCTCAAGGATTTCAAGCGCTTCAAATACTTGGAGCATCTTTGAAACTGGCCCTCAGAGCCACATTTTTGGCCTGAGTCACCCGACTAGATAGTTTTGTCTTTGTACATGGTACAAGCCTGTGGCTATATTGATCTGCATCAAAAAGCTGCAGCAAGAGACAATCACTCAGCTAGCCCCGCTTTCTCGCTACAATCCCCTTCCTGATTAGGAGAAATGCATCTCTGGATGGCTGTGCCCTTGCCTGCAACATCACATCAACAGTCTAAACGATGTAATTACTGAAGCCGTAGCATCTGGGGCCAGGAACTATGAGCTATTTTTTATCCACTACCTGCTGTTTTCCTTGGCAGGCTATACGAGCAAAAAGTAGACGACGTCACTAAAATCCTCCTTCACAGCCTTCGAACGGATAGTCATAATTCATCCTTGCCATTGCTGACATCAGCTTCATCCTCTTGTCCCTCCGGCCTGTCTGGCGAGTACTGCTGCAGGCCGGCAGCAGTAGCTTTGAGATGCGTAAAGTCGGGAGCATCCTCACCTAGCCCCCATGCGAAAACACCACCAAGCTGTTTCTCATCCACTATTTCTGGGAACTTCTTCAGGATGGCTTCTGGTGTATCCCAGGACCAGAAAATGTTTTCTTCCGAGTCCCAGAAGTAATACCCACCTCCAATTGTATCGTATACACCGCTTGACTTTGCTCTCTCAAAGGATGCAGCTAACTCTGAGGGGACCTGGTCATGCCATGAGAATCCCCCTGCTTGTCCAAGGTCCACCCCCGTGGATGGATCTTCCATTAATGCAGTTGGACATCCGATAGGATGTTCTGCGCACTCGTCAGCATGGCTGGCATCCGTCTTGAACCACTTTACGTAGTATGCAAATCCAAGGTTTAGCTTCTCAGCGGGCGCGCCACTTTCTAAGTATGCGTTGATGCTTTCAATAGATAGCTGCAAGCCTGTATGATGCTTGGTGATGGTGTCTCGTCGATTCATCAGGTCATATGTCATAACGTTGAAAAAGTCAATCGATGCGATGATTTTTGGGACGGTTTCCTTCGTAAAAGCGACCATGTCTCGTCGGAGGCCTGGGACAGCGGCTGTGATGAGCTTCTCAAGGCCTATTGCCTTTCGGATCTCTTCGAGAAGCTTTGGGTATGCCTCCACCTCCCAGGCCTTTTCTGAATTGGGGATTTGTTTATAATCCTCTCCATTGCCCCTGCGGCTGGTCAGAATGAAAACCGCGAAAGCGCAGAAAGTAATTGAGAGAAAGAAAACCGATTAAGCAAAAAAAATGATGGACACACCCTGGATACTCCCAGTCAATATCAACGCCTGGGTTTGTTAGCAGTTGACCATGGAATCTAGCAAGGATGGTTTACCATCTGCGCCAGTATCCTCAACCATCCTTTTGATGTTGTGCGCAAACAACTTTCGGCTCTCATTGGTCAAGGCCGCCTCAGAGAACCCTTGCGTGTCGCCCCATCCACCAATGGCGACAAGGATTGATGTTCCGACCGAGAACTTTGGTCGGACTGCATCGACAGTAGTAAACAAAGGCCAGCTTGAGGTGTTGTCCTTGGTATTGAAGATAGATGATCGCATGAATGCTAGAGCCACGTGCGTCACATCTGATACAAGAGATAACTCAGGGACTACATCGTGTTGTCTAGCAATTTCAAGGATCCCTTTAGTTCATGTGTCGAACACTAGCTTTAATGTAGGCAAACTTACCCAGTGAGGTACATAACACATTTGATGCCGTGTATCTGTGGGAACAGGGCCATCAATGACAATATGACACCGTAGACTAACATCTCGGGCATATCTCAGCCAAAATTGTTCATGTAGAAAAGAGCAAGCACAAAAGTCGTTGAGGATATAGACGGCGAGGAAGCTGCGACGCGACGTGAAGTGGTGCCAAGACTCAGTAACTGCAGTAGCCATTCGTGATCACGTGATTAAACATCCCAAGCACAAAAACTGGCCAATCATCTACTCGGAATACAAATTCACTGCCGCCAGCCTTCCCAGCCCAGTCTCGCAAACTACAAACTGCGATGAAACAGTTTTCCACGAGAAAGTACTTTTACGCTGTTCTCGAGCGGGGAGGACTAATATCGCAAGAGGCTCTCGGCCCACCAATTTCTCTCGAAATGCGGCCTCAACTAATATTTTAAATCAATTATCGCAAAATATCGTCTCAACCGTAATGACAGCTAGCAAAGCCTCGCCGGAGACGAAGGTGACTTTAACCTTCGACCAGCCGCCGGACGAAGGTGCCAATGGGGACATGTCCTTAACATTCCAGAAGACCTCAAGACTATCGACGATAACAGTTTTTCCATCAAGGTTTCGAAGATGCCGGGAAGCCAGAACGATGAAACGGGGTATCTCTGGCGACAAGTTCAATAAAGTTGTAGTCGGAGAGTTTGACTCGCCAGGATCTGAAGATTGAGAACAAGGTTTAGATCCTTACTGATAGAGAGACAGGGAGCGATTTTTCTGTAAGCGATTTCTATGCAGGTTTTGTTTGTGATAGAGAGGAACGCTTCATGATATGACGCAGAAACAGTCGACTACCGTTCTTTGGTCAATATATTTGCAGATTGACCCGAGAGTACTCCGTACATGGATTCTGAAGTGAACAGAGCCTTGCCAAAGACACTAGATATACGGTATGTTGTCAGTTCCCAAAAAAACATCACAACCAGTCCAACTTTGAGTACCTTGCAAAGTCCCGTCAAGTCCAAATCACCGGGTAAAAAGGGGTCAAGTAATATGAGAGAATATTTCTTCTGGAATTCATCACCCAAATACTCCACTAACGCCCAAGCCCATATCAAAAGCCTCAACGAAGATCCTTCCCACAAAAAAACGGCTCTATTTATGATCGCCATGATCCGCAAAAAGAAAACAAATTAGTGGATACTAATGAACAGATGGTCAGTGTGGTATTTCGTGCTGAACAGATCGACAGAAGCAATAGTTCGGGATGATCAGCCCCACTGTTCATAGAATGGAGAGAATCCTTCGATGACTGGGGTATCGGGCAGATTCTTTTATTCCCCAATTGGAACATTATGCAGATGTATAAAGCAAAAACGCTTCGACTGCATGGTAACTATTGAAAGGTGATCTGCAGGTAGGGGATTTTGCGCTTGGTACATTGGTAGATATCGATGACAGGGCTATCTTTGTAGTATATGGATGAATTGGGCTTGAAAGGGGTTATCTCGCTCGACCTTCATTATCGCAAGCTTCATTCAAGGTATCAAAGATTAAGTTCAATACTGTCAATGGAATGGTCATGCACGCAAAGATATACCATCTAGGGGAGGGCTCCGAGGGTAATATACAGCTAGCGTGTTGCAGTAGAGTCCAATGATTGAAAGGCAATATTCACCGAGAAGCCGAGCCCCCAGTTTCTACAGGAGATAAGGATCTGACAGGATGCAGGCCGCAGTGAATTTTCTTACAAGGGGGGTAGAGTGACCAGGGATATTTTCTGAAGTCTATCGCGGCATCCAAGAATCTACGATCATGCTTTCCATGTACCTTGATAGTCCCTCGATAGCTCCCTCCTCGGTGACTACTCTGGACTACACACACATGCCAACTCATCACGGCCAACCCCGAAACAAGCAAAATACCGACTCCATAGACTCGGCGACCAGCCACGATTGCGACGCTTTTTTGCCCCCCACGATACCATCAACGCCACGCGGAGCATTCTAGAGTCAGTCAGATATCTCTAGAACGTTTTGATAATTTGAATAGAACGCCATGTATGGCCCAGAGGCGCAAGAACCCGGGGATAACCCAAAGCCGGTGGGGGGGGCGGGTTGTTCAGCCGATTAGGCGGATAAACCGGGGAGGGCCAGAGAGTAGACTCGGGATTCAAAAGGGCCCGCGGTTGAATAGATCCGGGTGTAATGAGCGATTTTGATTGTATATACATACTGGACTAAGTTAGTGTGGTTATCAAAGAGCTAACAATGGCTTTATCTGAGTCTTTGCTGTCTGGTTTGTGGCGTCGTCAGCGCCGGTCTGAAAGAGCTGCTAAACACGGAGTATGACCGGGCGAACAACAATGCTCCCTACAGGAGGAGAGAGAGTACCATGGACTATGTACACTCCATGGGTATGATGATCATGATCACCGGCAGTCCTGCATCCTGCATGCACTGAGTGATTTCTTGGATTTATCCGTGGAGCATCATCCTTCGATCCCAAGCATTTGAATGGCGTTCAATTATCGGAATTCCCTCCTTGCAAGAAGCGTGACTAGGGCCTGTCAGAAAGGTCAGAAAGAAAAAAAGAAAGCAGGGCTGTCATGCGGAGATCAATCCGCTTATCTCGGCTGTCCGTTAACAATATGTTTACCATATTTACTGCTGTAGAATAGGGTTCTCCTAGTGGCTGAGTAGAACCAACCAAGATGCACTGATAAGCTGGTGAGTTACGATAGGCCAGGGACCCCAACCGGGTCATCACTTCATCCACCTCCCACACGATCCATCATCTCTTGGCTTTCGCCGCATTCCGAATTTCCCAGGGGAGGAAGAAGGAATAGTACGATATTAATATTGAATAATAATGGACAAGGGTTATACTTGATACTACTAGTTTCATGTTTGCTACTGCTACTGCAACTGCTACTGTGTACTTTTGCGTCATGCACAGGACAATGGACATTGGACCTAGAACCTAATCAACCTTCAACATTGGACCACAAGTGCTGACATCAATATAACTAGTTAAATTAGTTAGTGAGTTTCAGTAGTAATATCACAATATCATGATTTTCCCAAACTATCGACTGGCAACCGGAGCTCCCCTTGCGAAGGTCGAGATAAGCATCCATCCTCGGCCAGTAGGCGTTCAGTGCCCCTCCGAAGGACCACTCCAGAACAAAGTTGACCGTTGGACGGCACCTAATCAACTTGAAATAAGTACAAACCTACTACGCAATGTCATTCTTGTGATTATCCATTGTTGTACACTGTGGATTCGGGTTTATAGGAACCCCAGTCGCTCGTTCTCTCGGCGTGGAACAATCCCCCGATCTATACTCCCTATCCATACACTCCGCACTTCTTTCATCCTTCTACTATTCAACCTGATTAAACCCTCATCGTTCATCCTTCTACTTTCTACTCTTTTCTCCATGAACAATGCTTCAGCCACAATGGCCCACCCCCACCCCCAAGAATACACCTCCGTCTGGTGGCCCGAGGACCGAATCAAAGCGACTCTCAACACCAAATATGTCTTAAGCCGCCTCCGACCCGAGAACGTCCCGCGCCTATTCGACCTCCCACGCTGGGGCGAGGGTTTAACCAGCGAGACATACATGGAATGGATCCTGCTCAAAGCAGGCCGTCTCTTCTTGATCCTCGATACAATTGGAATCCCCGATCGCATCTTTGCGCTCGTCGACGAATCGTGCGATGACGATGATCTCCCGATCGCCGAACAGAACGTGGATCGACTGGGTCTGTCGCCTGCGGGGAACGATATCGCCCTCGATACTAAGTTCTTTCATACGCAATGGCGGTATCTTGTGAGAGGAATTGGTGAGGGGGAGCATGTTACGTACACGCAGAATGAAGGTGTGCCCGTGGAAGTTGTCCGCACTACCACGAGTAGTGACGTCCAGGGTCGGGATGACACCGCCGATAAGGTAGTTCTGGCTGGCGCGGTATGTCGCGTCTACTTGCGCACGCAGATCCAAGTTGGCGGTGCGCCGCATTTCTTTTCGACGGCGGAGGTGCTGGAGGAGATTCGGGGTTTGCGCGAATTGGCGCATCAACATGTTATCTCCATCCATGCTTCGTATTTCGTCGACGATACCGTCTGCGCCCTCTTCACCGGCGCCGAGACCGACCGCACTCTACATAGCTTTCTGACAGATGAACCGCCGACGTTCAAACGGCAGTCGAAAGAATTTCGTCGCCAGACTCTGATCACTTGGCCGCATTGTCTCGCATCAGCTGTGGCATGGCTGCATGCCCGTGGCCATGCCCACGCAGCTATCAGACCATCCAACATCCTCGTCGACCCCAATTTCCACATCTACCTGGGCCAATTCCAAGCTCTAGACTCGCTCCTCGCACCACCCCGAGTCAACGACCTAGAAGCATACCAATACTCCGCCCCAGAACGCTGGGTTCGCACCGCAGCACCAACCATCCAACCCACCATCCCAAGCAAAACCCTCCTCCCATCCGGCGGCCGCACAGGCCGACGCAAGAAACCCCCCGTCTAGCCCTATCAACTCTGGACGAAAGCCGCTCCGCATCCCCAGACCTCCCACGTCCAGACTCAGCCGCCTCAAAAGGGACAGTAATCCGTATCGGCCTACCAGGCTCACCATCACGCTTCTCCTTCGTATTCTCCTCATCATCCTCATCTTCCTCCGCGGCATCGACCTCCGGAAACACAGATAGCACCAGAAGTCCAACACTCAAACACCACCGCAGCGCAATCTGGAGTAGACCCAAAGCGCTCCTTTCCACACCATCAATCACATCCTCCAATTCCTCTACAACATCGTCCTCAGCAGCATCAACAACATCCCTCGTCTCTTCGCCCCCAACTCGCCCCTCACCATCCACAACCACCAACATCACCCCCCAGCAACAATCATCAGACCCCTCCAAACCCTCCCTTCACACATGGCACTCCACCCAAACAAACGCCACCCACGCAGACCTCTTCTCCCTCGCCGCAGTAACCCTCGACATCCTAACACACCTCTGCAAACGCTCCCTCTCCTCATTCGCATCGCACCGCTCCGCGCGAAACCGCTCCGCCGGGCGAGGCGGCGGCATGGCAGACGCATCCTTCCACCTCGCCCGGAACGCAGTCCAGGTCCAATCCTGGATCGCACTGTTAGAAGGCGACGCGTTAAAACGCTGTCGACGTGATCGTGGCAGTGATCGCGCTTATCACGCCGTACCGCGGATGTTGATCGTTTTGCGGGCGATGTTGGCCGCAGAGCCGGAGAAGAGACCGCCTGCGAAGAGGGTGAAGAAGTGCTTTGCCTCGGCGATCAAAGAAGTCTCGAGGAAGGGTGGGGAGGGGGTGGTGTTGCATTGTGCGGATGTGGATAGGGAGGAGAAGAAGAGGAGAAGGAAGGAGGCGGAGTTAGCGCTGCAGAGGGAGAGGAAGATGAAGGAGGAGAAAGAGAAGGCGAAGAAGGCGGCTAAGGCGGACTTGATCAAGGATGAGGAACCTTTCTTAGATTCCACGTCTGTGTCTGAATTCGACTTTGGATTCACTGATGGTGGAAGTGATAGCGAAATCGATGAGGACCAGGAAGACCAGGCGGATGTGGTTGATCGGTCGATCTTGGAGGAAGAGGAGGTGCCCATCCAGGTCGACCGGGTGTCCCCTCAGCTGTCATTGCCTGCTCTCGATGTGCATATTAGTGGGATGGAAGGTTTGACTTTCCGTCATGTTTGATAGGACCAGCTTTCCTGGAGTGATTCTGGTTGTTTAGGGTTTGACAAAGGGGGCCTCCTCCTGGCACTGAGTGTTAAGGGTGTTCGATTGGCGCATTGTATTTTTATACCTTATTGGGACGGATTGTATCGATCAACGACTGGACGATATGTATACCTACTTTCTTACCTTATTTACCACAGATCCTGTTCATTAAACCACTTTCGTTTGTGTATGTTGTGGGTTTCAACCCTAGTACTCGAAGTGAATTGCAGGCCTGGTATTAGCTTAAACAGTGTGCACTTCTCATAGCAAGCTGGAAAGTCATTATGAATGTATTTGAATTGTTCGAGACACTTGTTGTACCGTGTAACTCTCACAGAAACCCCTGTCTATCCTGTAGTTTCAAGAACGCGTATTGATACAATTGTAGAATCACATCTCTGCCATCAAAAAGGGCACATTGTGCGATATCAACTCACTTCCTTTACAGCCACAAGGCAAGGGCTCCCACGCCAGCGGAGAGCACCATAGAAATCGTCAGCAGGTGAGCAGGGGCTGAGGAGCCGTGGACTCCAGCTGCACTAGCGGCGTTCTTGGTAGAGCTTGAAGTAGCACCACCACCACCAGAAGCAGTCGAGCCCTTGCCAGAGGCAGTGGAAGCACCCTTGGACGATTCCTCCTTGTAGGTCTGTCCCAGGGTGGGTAGAGGGGAGCTGGGGTCAACTTCCCAGGCGCCAGAGGTGTAAGCAGGACACTCAACAGCCGAAATGCTGCCCGTTTCCTTCTTGTAGATGGAGAGAACAACTCCAGTCGGGTTCAGCGTCGCCCAGTGGGACTTGAGGTTGGCGAAGTCAGGCGACACCGGAGTTGGTGTGCCCTGGCGGGTGAAGCCATCTTCGACGATGGTGTTGGTGGCAGCGCTGACCGAGGGGCCGTAGTTAATCAGGCCGTAATCGTTGGTCTCCTCGATCCACTCGTAGATGATAGCGCCAGACCAAGTGCCGGACATCTTCGAGCCAAAGATGGAGTCCTGGTCGTCAAAGGTACGAGGTGCGGGAGTGTTGCAGCCGGTCTCGGAGAAGAAGATGGGAATGGGGTAGTCGGTGGCATTCTTCTGCAGCATGTTGTATCCCGAGACCTCGTAGCTAGACTGGCCGCACCACTCGTAGGCATTCAGCGAGTAAAAGTCCAGACGCTCCGATTCGTTCTTGGAGCACGCGAGGTAGTTCTGAAGCATAGGGCGCAGGTCGGCGATATCTGCAGCGGAGTAACCGACGGGAATCTCACGGTAACCCTTCTGATTACGGTAGGCCTTGATGTCGCGGGCAGCAGCCAGAACGTATGGGGCAGCGTGGGAGCCATTCGCCGTGGTCAGGACTTCATTGCCGACAAAGACACCGGCGGTGTTGTCAAACTGCTGGAACTCATCCAGGACTTCCTTGAAGCGGTCCAATTGGGTCTCGTTCCAGTGAGGGGAGGTCTATATGCAATAGTCCATGATTAGTGCCAACTCGTTTTTCACCAATAACTCAAAATCTTATCGCCCTTACCTGCTCAATCTGGGTTGTGAAGGTATCGAGATCGACGAACAGGTAGATACCAGCGTCAGCAAAGGCCGTCATGCAGCCCTTGTGGTCGGCATTGGGATCCACGTGGTAGACTCGGATGGCGTTGGCGCCCAGCTCGGACATGCGTACGATATCGCGCTTGCACTGGGCAGTGTCGATAAGGGGATCGTTGGGAGTCAACTGATAGGCGATACCTGGGACTCTAGTTAGCAACACGGATTCCTCGGGGCAATTCGATACGAGAGTTTCCCAGACGTACCCTTGAGGTAGTACTGTGTGCCATTCTCATAGAAAAACTTGGATCCGACCGCGGAAATGGTGGGAACCGCGCCCACCGTCGCAGCCTGGAGGCCGGCCAGCAGCAACGGGACTGCGGAGAGCGCAAGAGAAGACAGCATTGTCACTTCTCAATTGATAAGATGTGTCGGGAATGGATGGATGGGTATCTTTATAGATCGTGATGGTCGTGGAAAATCTGCGTGGATGATTGCAAATGCAAAAGGGGAACGAATGAAGTGCTGCGCTGGACAACGAGGGAGTCGCGGGCAGTCGCTGGTCGCGTTTGCAAGAAAAGGAAAGAACCACCTAGGGAGGCTCGAGAGCAGATGCAAGCAAAGCAAGAAAAAGAGTGGGAAAAACAGCAATCGCGACAGAAGTTGGCAGGAGCCGAGCGAATACTTGGATCTGAGACCTTGGCAATCCGGTGTTCGCAAGATTACAGTGGCAGCCACTACCCAACTAGCGTGCCAACGGCCTTCATTCCGGGTCCAGTCCGCGACATGCCAGGGGATCAGCAAAGGGACAGGATGCTTTTTCCGGGTAAAGGGCCGACATATCGAAAAGATTGGTGATTGAGAGGATCAATTGGCATATAAGATCAATGGTAATGAGAGTCAATCGCATACAGCAACTCAAGCGCATAGACTTCTGCCATTGACGCCCGTTTGAAACCGTTTGGATTGTTTCCGAAGCTGGTGGGGAACGGGAATCTCCGAATGCTTGTGCCTGAATCTGACCGCCAAGATTATCCACATTGATTAATGGTTGGGAATTGCATGTAGTTCTGCCCCTTCTATTCCTCACCGCTATCGTCTGGTATCTGAGGCTATGGTACCACCACGACTCCATATGTTCAGTCGTTTCAACCCATTCTCTCCTTGCCTCCCGCTGCTACCACTAAGTAAGATCTTGCTAGTAATCTACAGTCAGAATACACATTCTGTTTCAAACTTTTCCTTGCCTTAGTCGCAATACCCTTCCCTAGACATCCCACCGAACTACAGATCAAGACAGTCAAGGTAATCAGCACTGTGGTCTCCCCGCAGCTCGCGTCAAGCCATCACCTACAAGAAACAGGCGACCCGTTTGAAAATACCAAACTCAATGCAGTCTTTCCTGACGTCTTGTCAACTTCACATGCAATCCAGCTCGTGGAACTCGCGAGCGCAAAACTATTGAAACCCCGCCTTGCTCGGGACTGTGACGTTTCAGTCACGAACCGGGTAGACGTGAAACATATACGCCCATCGGTAGTAGGGACAAAGCTCATCACTTAAGTGACTTATTTTGGATTGGAGCTAGGAACTCTCTTGCCAAGGTCCAAGGTGTGGTTTCCGGGGCTGATGGTGCTAGGCTGTGTATTGCCATGGTAGATGTATGGATTTCCATTGTGTGCAAAGTTGATGTCGAGGCCGCAGCTATCTTGAATTTTGGAAACCCCCTGGACGTGAGAGCCTTGACACAAGCAAATAGTGCCTGGGATATCGCTCTTGCTAATGATCGTTCTGATTTAATGCACGCGAACAAAGATGCACCGCGTATTCGATTAGCAAGTGATCGCAGCAAGGGAGGGAGACATGATTTTCTTTCAGGATTTGAGCATTGCATACAACATGGATCAGACGGTCTGGCCATATTGTGGCTCACAAAGGGTCGAGATGTGCTCGAGATCGAGGGTTTATCGAGTGGCGTACAGTTAGCAGCAAAACATCGTGGCCTCTTGTTGTCAAGTTACTGCTGGATAACAGGGCAGACGTCAATTACCGAGCGAAGTCATCGAGTAAGACGGCACTGCACGAAGCGGTTCACAGGGCAAGCTTCGACATCGTTCAATTATTGTTAGGTCGAGGAGCGTCCCCGAACCTAAGGTATTCATCAAACCATGATTTACCACTGCATACTGCGGCAGGGATGGGCAACACAGATATATACGCTGCACCGCTAAAAGCTAGGGCAGACGCCGATAGCCTGAATGAGTATTCCTGGACTCCGCTCCTGCTCGCTATTCATAGCAGCACAAGTGCAGATAGAGTGCAACTCCTAGTCGAGAGGGGAGCTCCTTTCAACCACGCCGAGGATGAAGGCTGGACGAGCCTGCATTTTGCTGTGGATTATGGTTGGCCAGGTCTGATAAAGTACCTGTTGGGACACGGTGCTGATTCTACCATCGAAAATGCCCGAAAGGATACTCCTTTAAGGCTTGCTGCGAGTTGGGTTGATTATTGGATCGAGCTCAGAGCTTTTGGAATGTGGAGTTGATCCGTCCCTTGGACCTGGCTGTTGCACAGCTCTTGAATGGGTACAAGGAAAGGAACTGTTTGACTGGTCTTTCAGAACCACCTCGCTGTTTACGACCACAAGGACTGATATCCAAATACGTCGCGAGCAGCACTACGCAGTCTCATGTCAGGCCCACGAAGCATGTTCTTATCATTGAAAAAGAGTGCCAAGAGTTCAATTACCCAAGGTTAAGCTTCTAGATAAGCGTGGGAACGTGGCCGACAATCAACCAAGGTAGGTCAGACTCTTTGGTGCCTTTGGCTTCGTCATTGCTCACCGCTCCGTGTCATATCTGAGATTTAAGTGTTGCAAGTTCTCGGAGACTACATATACGTGATACAATCCAATCCTCCAATTGGCTAGCGAATTATTAAAACATAGACGTTTTTTCTCTGCCAAATTTAGCATGAAAATACGGCAGTCAGGTTCCAGATCTCGCCGCCATCGGCTCCAAGGCAGCGTTGCCCTAGCCCTAGTCCCAATTCAGTGGAGATGCGGATATCGAAGTGGCCCGCATGACATCGTGTGGCCGCGTGGAGTATGCATGTACTCCGGATGGAGTATGTATGCCATCATATCTCGTGCTAACATGACGATCAAACCTGAGAAGATGGAACATGGAAAATGTTGTACGTACTCACCGTTTCTTCACTTCGTTTCCATGATGTTGGAGAAAGGAGATGCAAACCCGTAGTAAATCCCGACTGTGCTCTTCGTTTTGAGGTTGTTTGAGGAAGTCAACCACATAGAAATTAAACTCCTCCTATTGGAGATAAGCGTGGGAACGTGGCCGGCCAGGGTAGAAAGATCATCCAGTTTAATGGATGTTGAAATTTCCTGGCCGAACTTCAACAGTCTTCCACTTTGTTTAGCCCAGAGTCTGCCGAGTTCCACTTGGAATTATTTTGATTTTTGGATTTCTCCGACTTCTCCTCACTTCCCCTCTTCTCCAGACCACGGCCTGTGCAATCATTACTATAAATAAAAAAGAGGGATATGTGTCTGACGAATCCTTTCCATTCCACCACGTATCGGAATGGAGGATCACCGCATGGTCGCACTGAATGGAAACAAACATTACGACGAACTCGAAAACTATCAAGTTCACACAATAAAGAATAGAGACGAGAGAGAGAGAGGTGTGTGTGTGTTTGTTTCCACCGTTCCATCCGAATTCGGGCTGCCAAAGAAACCCTGCCAATCTATTACTTGTTTAGCACGGCCCGATGGAGTTCTTTGTTATGCACCACCTGGAGTCGGGAGGGATCAACCCCCAGCAAAATTTGGACCGCGAGCCTCGACGGCTTCTAGATTCTGGATCGCTCGCCGATTAGCGGTCAGATAGCGTTCACCCACCCACCAGTCCGCGACCGAGATATCGTGACCATCGGGGGACACTCAGGCCGTCCGGCAGACCCCGATGTTATTGGGTATGGAGGGGGTTTTGGGCCGCGATGGGCCTGCCGATCGGGAGGAGATGCTGCTAGCCCTGTCTGCGCGCCCGTATCAACATCGTGAATCTGCCTATCATATCCCCGATGGTTGGAGGATCAAAGGAAAGCAACGAGGATCGGACCCTGGCCACGCTGGCACTGGCCATCCCCGTCAGAATGGTGCATCGTTACCACTGGTTGCACTGCGACAAGAATCGGGAGGAGATGCCTTAAGGGAGTCCAACGAGAGTTGAAGGTCTCAGAGGCTTGATAGATAGCGTCAATACGACATGCTGAGTGGATAGGGGGAGGACGAGTGTTATCTCCAAGTATAGAAAGGTCTCAAAAGGGCACAAAGGCACGGTAGCAGGGCCGGTGAGACTCAAGAGCCACCGCCACGAGCCCAAGTACCAAGTAAAAGGACCTCCTCTTTCACCACCGCAATGCACCAGCACACCACCACCATATCCTACCCAACCAACCATTGCAAGCACTTCAAAGAGACTCCAAGAGAACCTCCCAAAGTAACTTCGTCCAGACCGGCCAGACTCTGAAAGCCTCTCCACTTATCTCCACCCATTCCGACCTCCTCCACCAATGATACTACTCAATATCCTCTGTGGTCGTCAGCAGTGGATCCGGAATCCATTACGATCGACTGCGTCGACCCTGGACTTGAGTCCTTGACCCTGGACCGTTGCTGGCACCAGCTTCCAGAGGCAAATTGCGCTTCGATCTGCAATCTTGCTCTCATGACGTTTCCGCAAAGGGGGCCCCCTTTCCTTGTCTGAGACCTTTTAAGCTCGCTCACCAAATTTTGACTATAATAAAGTCGTGCCCGCATCCGGCGTAGACATCCCCCACACGATCTCGCTTTTTTTTACTTCCCTTCCTCCACCCCTTTCCCTGAGCATCACCCTCCCCGGGCCCCTATCTCTCCTATGATCGCATTCTGTCGACATGATTCTATAACCTGGCCGACCCCATTCTCAATCACATCGCTATAACCTTCGAAAAGAAGCAAAAAAAGGAGAGTATATTATATTCTACACACACGACCTACCCCTCCAATATGTCGAGCTACGAAGCTACTTCCCCTTTTCGGGTCTCGACCCACGATCTCATCCAGTTGGAGCGCAATGAAGTCTTCCGTGCCATGCGGGAACAATTACGGCGCCAAGATTGTGGTATGGAAGGGCCCAGCTTCTGCGCTACCCACCGTCACTCATGCAGCTCCGCCGAGCAAGAGTCCTTCCGCCTCCATCGCGATATCATCCACACACTGCTGGTCCCCCTCTTCCTGATCAACCACCAAGCCGAGCGAATCGCCGCCCGCGCGCTGCCAAGCAAGAAGGGCGCCGAGCCCGAGCGAGCGTTCAGGGGTGAGGCGCGCAGTGCCTTTGCCTGGCTATCGTGTATCTTGACTGAGGAGCACGATTGGTACCTGACCGCGCGGTGCCCGGGCTGTATCGTCCTGCATGTCCTGCACTCCGAACCCACTATCCGCTTCGTTACCGTGGCGGCCCTCCTCGCCGGGCCCCGCTCAGGCTTCGACTGCTGGCTGGCCGCCCTGGAGACCGCTGTCCGCGAGGATCCCTTCTGGGGCGATGCATTCTGGCCTGAGATTGAGGACCGCGCTGCCCGTCTGACCGATGGTGTTCAGCAGCTGGTTCGTCAGTGCCACGAGCTCCGCACTGCCTTGGACAGCCCGACACTCGCTACTCCCACACTCGCCAAGACTTCAACCACCGTCTGCGAACGTTCGGCATCTACCTGCACCATCCCCCTGAAGCCTTCCAGCTTCGCCCGGAAACAAGTCCGTCTCAGTCGGGAAGAGCAGCGCTACCGATCATCGCTTGTCTGGAATTCGTGGAACTGCTCTCGGGAAATGGATCAACCGCTCGGCGGCAGCACCCCGACTCAGTCTCGCCGTCGTTCTATGACCTCATGAATGGTCCACGTGGAATCATGGTCATGGTTCTACCTGACCATATTTATTTAACATCACCTCTTTATCGGTGCAACTCATCTTTGACACCGAACCCTCGCCGCGAAAGCAGGCTCTGCCGCATATCGGCGACTCCTGGAAAAGTCCATCTGTTGTTTCTTTCCACAGGCTGGAGCCTGCGTGGACTTCTCTTGGAAGTGTAACCCCAGTATCTCGATGCCGCAGACACATGGCGTCATCCCCGCACCCGGCCTCCCCCCCTTACCGATTTGCGACCGCGAGAATTCCCGCGACGCAAGGATCAACGGGCACCGACAGCTGTACCCGCAACCCATCCGTGATAGTGATGGACATGCGATGATGATCCGAAGTTGGTAGGGCAGTCTCTCTCACCACCGGAATATCTCGGGCAGACTGGACTGTCTGGGTTGCAAGGCGCCGGGCCAGACTCGTCGTACCGCGAATGGAGGTCGTCTTGTGCGATCTACCATGCGCCAACCATCGACCATTTACCATTTACCATCGACCATGCCAGATATCATCTTCTGTATGCTGCCAAGCGTTTGCATTGTGCTCGATGTGATGGTGACCATTACTATGCACCAGTTTAATATAATTCTAATCATAATGATACTCATAACAATTATGCTCTCCTCTCTCCCACCTGCAACCCACCTTGTTCAATGCCGTACAACCATCGTAGAAATCGAAAATCCAATTCCCCTCCCCCACTACACCGAATGTATCCTCTGCCACCAATTTCCACAACATCCCGCGTCTGAATTGGGTACTATGTATTGGTAAAATCACGTACGGAGATATTCATGGCCAGACCACCTTGTCAAACAAATAAACTACCTCCACGGGTCTATAGTGATAGTTAAAGAAAATAAGCAAAGACCCATGTCTCTCACTCATCCACCCTCCACCATCCACGCTCATGTCTCAAGCTCTCTCCCACGCAAGACCTGACACGTTTTCCGTGCCGCCGGGAAATGTGGCAAGGCCACACTCTATCCGAGACCCCTCGGTGGAGCCGGGGAGATAACCCTGGACGGCGAACCAGATCACGGCCAACGGTGGAAATTAATACGGGCCAACGGTGTTGAACCTTGTAGGGCAACCCGGGGGTTTTACTGTAGGCTGCTAAGTTGTTTGGATGGCAAAATGACAAGATGATCAAAACATGGATAGTTTAATCTAATTTAATACTTGAAGAATGCAAAGTGGACTCGACTAAAGTCTACATGAGCAGGGATTAGGGAGGGGGGCCTGTCATGTCTGCTCGGTCGGAGTGATCCGATCATAGTGTATGTACCCAGGGAGAGGTCAGGTCAGGGTCTTTTTGGGAGAGGAAGGGGGATATTTGCAAGTTGGAAGGTACTGTGCTTAGTTATAGTGGTAGGTGGGAGGATATATTGAGGGAATAAAGTACCGAGTACTTATTCATCTATTTGCAATTTACTCAGTTCTTTGTATATGTTAGGAAAGAGTCTGGAGCATGAGTAGCCATCAATTCATTCATTAATTCGCCGGTATAGGTAATTGAGCGATTAACTGAATAAATGAAAACCAGTCAACTATATTAACTCTTGACAGTACCTACCTAGGTAGTGACTCGAAGATATGATCACCCGGGGGATGCCGGCAATAACTACTTATGCCAACCAGGATACGAGGTCCGCTTCGGTGGAAGAAGATACACACTGCAGGCGACTCGAATAGGGTACACAAGGTCTAGGTACATACCAGCAGAGTTCGTACACCTCGAAGATGCCAGACTGCTACCAGACTTCAGGCCACTCTATTACCTGGGTACTGGGCCCTCTCGAAGCCAAAAGAAAAAAAGGGAAGTCAAAAGAAAACAAGTAATGCAGGAAACCCAAAGGGAGGCCTAACCCCTCAGTGGCGAGGTCGCCCGATCTGGCCGGAAACGTCGAAGAACCAGAGAGGTGGTGGTAGCGGGTTGGGTAGACCGGGGAGGACGGCATAGAAGTTAATCAGTACATATTACATACAGTACATGCTTTGGTAGGAAGGTAGGAAGAGGAGTTAGGGATAGAAAGGCGTTTAATCATTGTACCTTATCATTCGTGGTTTGAGAAAATGAAGTACATAATGTTTTGTAGTACTATCGTCTTACTACCTCATTTCTTCGGATAATCGGAAACCAGAGGAGAGGAGGCCCTTGGTTCAGGTGATGACGGACACCGATGCTAATATAAACACAACAGTTTCATCCCACTTCACACTTTGGGAGAGGAGATTCGAGGAGGGGGTCGTTCACCTCATATCAATGATCGGACCCAAGTTCATCAACTCGATGCAACGAAGAGAGATTATCTGTTGTACAGAGTATACATGGATGCTGTACATAAAGAGGAAGATGATCGCCCCCGAGTGGGACTTGGCCCAGGCTGGACCAGAAAGCCACCGCCCAACGGGACCCAATGGGGCACCTGACCGGCCAATGACGGACCCAGTCACGGGGCCCACCCGGCCATGGACCAAGTGTCTAGAATCTGGTCTCTTTTTTTCTGCCGTAGCCTCCGTCTGCTCTTACATACCATGCAGACTGGGCATACTACTAGTTATGTACAAGCAGGGACTGTTCTCTGGACCTGACATGGTTGAGATTTGTAGAAATGATCGGGGTGAAAGAAACACAAGAAAGAAAACACCCGGATCAAGTAATGATCCATACGTGTACTCGATTTGTTCAATAAATGCCCATCGGGACCACGACGAAACCTGGATCCGATGACTCGATGACTGAAGGTCTAGAACCTGCCCCATCTGCCCGAGTCTGGACTCCCCTCCTGTACCGAATACCTCTCTTCACGCGGTGCCGATCATACATTGTCCAAGTACCCGCTACGTCCGCCCCCATTTTCCTTCCTCGTCCCCCTACTCTCATTCTTCAACTCGTCGCTTTCCTCCTCGTCTTCCTTGTCTTCTAGTCTTTCTGCTTCATTCACATCTCTCGCCCGTCCCGCCATCCTTCCTCGCTCTTCTCCTCTATCCTCCCTCTCTCCGCCCTCCACGCCTCCTCCCTCGTCCTCTCTCCTCTCCAGTTAGCTGGGCCTCTTCCCATGCCGTCCGCTGTCACTCTCCGCCCTCCCGACCGGACCGACTGGACAAACTGGATGAATTCACAGTGCAATGGATGGTGTGGGCCTGCAACTACCCTCCTAGACGATCGAAACATGCATACCTCCCGCGCCGCCTTGAAAATTGATACCGACCGTCGCTTCTCCCATCACACAGCGCTGGACTCATTATCAAACGAGGGTCCCAGTCCAGCTAAGCTTCGCCGACGAGCATCTCAAGGCTCCCTACGCACCAAGCCTTCCCCCGTCTCCCGCTTTCTATCCAAGAGCAGCGTGTCCGTCCACTTCCCATCCTGGGACCAGCGCGGCTCCTCGCCATCGCGAAACCGGTCGGCCGATTCCCGACTGCGCTTGTCTAACACCGTGTCTCGCGGGCCGAGACCGTTGACGGCTCAATCTCATTCCCCATCGACCTCTTCTTCACCGTGGAACTCGCCTCCATCTTCTTTCCAGTCGGATTACTCGGTTACATTGCCGCCTACTCCGCCGGAGGACGATAGCCATATTGCCTGGAACCCTCAGTCGGAAATGCTGCTATTTGACGATCATCCGCATCAGGAGCCGGGTTCCTCGGCCATGATGGATGAGGGCCCTGGGATGGACACTTCGTCGACGGGTCGTTCCGATACTCTGAGCAGTTCGTCTAATGGGTCTTCAAGCTCGGGTGGCAGCCCAGGTCCTCACGACGAGATGGATTTGCAACAGGATGTGGGATCGTGGCTGGACCATGGTATCAATGTGACTGGTAAGATAGTTTCCCACAATGGCTTTTTGATGGTCTCTTTGGATGTTTCAATGTATTGGTTACTAACAAAACTGATAGTATCATCATTGGGAGTTTCAAACCCACGAGGCGAAGCTGTCAAGATTGTCTCACAAACACTTCCATACCCACGACCTTCTGACCAGTCGATTTCCGTCCCGAGAAACGACAGTATTTTCTACTCGGTTGTCCGAGCTGTGCACGGCCACTTGCAACAGGGCCACTCCCCATACATCAATGTCACCCACGCCGTCCCCGAACAATTTAGTCTCTCCAACCTTCCCCACTCTCCCCCTAGCACTCCTCGATCTCCCACCGCTGCCGATGAATACTTCAACGCGGCCGTCTTCTCCAGTGCAGCCGTTGTAGGAGCCTATCATGACTACCGCGGGCCGATTCAGAGGCAGATCGTACACGCCCCGATGCCTATTGTTCCGCCCCACAGTGTCCATATCTCTGTTCTCGAGCGGTACCTTCCCCCGCCGTCCGCACAGGAGTACCGCGATGTCTTTTGCGCTACTCGTCCATCCTTCCTTGTTGATCGTCTCTCCGAGTTGTCGCCGGATGGCGGCTCCCTTCTCTTCGTTTACCCCACGAAGAAGGGTGCTTCGACTTTCAAGTCCCAATATTTGGGTCCCCTGCTCGACCCGCTGCTGCGACAGCTGGTTGTAGTGAATGGTCTGTCCGCCGATGTGGGTCGTTATCTGGGCAAGTTGTCCACCGTCTCGATGATGGACGACTTTGCCACGATGAAAGCCAACATTGTTGCCCTCTGCGAGGATCTGAGCTCTTCATCCTCGCAGTTCCAGGTAGCGGATGCCGGCAAGGCTAGCGCCCATCTGGACCGTGATCTTTGGGTGGAATGGTATATCCACCAAGAGAAAGCCCGGATGAAGGAGGTGCTCAGCCTATACTGCCAGAATGGCCGCCGGCCACCAGTGAACAAGGCTCTGACCACAGGTGGCTCGGGCGGTCTTATGCCTGACAAGGAAGTCACCTCTTCTATGCTACTGGGCGAGATCTTCGACGGTATCCGCAAGCGCCGCTATGGCGAGGACAACGAGCCTCGTGACGGTGTGGAGCTGGGTGTGTTCGTGATCCGACGCACCCATTAAACAATCCCCCTCCATCCTCATAATACCTACCACCCACCTCTCTCCTGGTAAACCATTCTTCCCTTCTCCCACCTCCTCTTACACACATACCCAGTTTTTAGAGCACGGCAAAAATGTCTCTTTCTCTTTTTCTTTACCCAGGCAGCCTCGGTGTGAGGCTGCCATGAACATCATACCGGACCCTGGCGAGTGGTCCCTCGGAGTTGGTTGTGCGATTATCTTTGTGTCTTGCTGCCTTACCTTTCCCTGTGGGCTTGTGTTGTACGAGCCCCCCCCCCCCCCCCCCCCCCTGCATTGTCCCCTGGTTGGATTGAAACGAACGAGAATACCCTTGATGTTGGCGCGTTTTTTTTTTTCTGGCAGATGAAGATGTGATGATTGTTTCGGTTGGTGGAATCCTGGTATCCTGGTAATGGATATAGCGATATAAAATACACGATTGAGTTGTAAGAGTGAGATTTTTCCTTCTACGGTATCTGGAATAGTAGGGCTTGTAGAGGTGGCAATTGCTAAAACGACGATACACCTCTTAGTCTAGTTTAGCGCAGTAATAGTATTACTATCTTCCAAGGTAGAGGTCCATAAGGTTGAGACCCTGACAATTCAAAACCAACTTAGTAGTCACCGTAGAAAGGTATCTGTGCTATCAAGAAAGATAATTCGGAAGACATCTAGAAAGACCTTTCAACAAAGAGTTTTTGAAGCATGCCAAGTTGGTCCATTTCTCTGGTTTCTAGACTTGAGCTTTTGAACAACCTTAAGGATATCCTAATTATAAGATAGTAATACAGTTACAGCGCTAATCCCCAAATGTGCTTGGATCGTGTGATTAGCAATCTTGTATCGTCGCTTTAGCAATCCCGTACATGTGTATGAATGGATCTCTTGGAAAAGTATGTCCGATCAGGCCTCTTACTAACGCTCCTTGACTCGCCTTCACTTTTTGGTGTTCAATGCTAGTCATACCATAAGGTTACTGCACCAGAGTAGGCATCTCTAGGCTATGATCTCTTCCAATCGGGAAAGACCTAGAAGTTTGTATGATGCCTGCACATGCGAGGTTAATCGGACGCTTCTTCCACACAAACCTAGAACAATAACAACGATTCGACCACAACAACACGTACGCGTTGCCTCGGGGGAGTAGCTGCCATGAAGATCTTCAAACACCTTTCTGTTTGTCCATCCAAATACTTAGGCATCCCCCTCTCTTGCTTTGCCTCTCTACCCAAACCGTCTACATCGACTCCACACTTGTATGCTTCGCACCGGTCAAACTTTGATCCGATAACCCAGCGCTAACCGGGAGAGCAGCGCATGCTTCAGCGCCGTCTACTTTTCTGACGATACCACCACTTCTCTGCTTCACGTCTTTTCCTCCACGTCTTTTCGCTCCTCCCACGCATCTTCTTCCTTCCAGCCAACTTTGGAAGTATCGTTGACTCTTCCCCTCGAGTTCCTCCCACGCCCACATCTGATTTTCCACACCCATCTCAATGGCCTACTCCCCCAGGGCCCCAATCCCCCGGCGCCGGGCCTGCCTACCATGGCGGTCCGACCTCTCGCACACGTTCAGCCAGTCCTCCCGGTGCATCTGGGACTCTCTCCAAGAGGGATAAACGTCGTACTGCACTGCAGGAACGACTCCACGACTTGACGGCTACTTTCTCTCAGAACCGCGACGCCCAGTTCCGACAGCAACTGCACTCCCTACAGTGCGATATGACCCTGATCAATAATGCGGACCCGTACCAGGCTGGCCCTTTGCCTGACTCATCTGAGGATATCGCGCACTTGATTGAGGATACTGTTGGTGGGGGGAAATTTGCCAAGGAGATGGCAAGTCTCTCAGGAACTTGGTACTCCAAGTTTGTTCATGAGATCAATAATGTTAAGGAGCAGAAGGACTCGGATTTGGCTCAGATTATGGTATGTTTTTTGATCATTCCTTTGCTTCATACGATTTTTGGGCGCTGCGGTGCATTGCATTTTCTACCCTTTTGTTGTCTTTACTGACCGTGGAATTGTCTTCCGCAGAACCGACACCAGAACAGCCTCGATCGACACCGCCGCGAGTACGATTTCCGTGTCCACTTTGCCAAAGAAGAGTTCAATCAACTCTCTGGCACTCTGCGCGAGCGCCTCATGCAAAGCATTTCCAGCAAGCGGTCCCGTCTTATGCGTGAGAAGGAGCAACTTGACATCGCCGACACAAACGCCCTTCTACTCCACCCCAATCAGTTCAGCATCACCAACCCCGCCAGCCCTGGTGGAATCCACGGCAACCGCAAGACCCGTCACACCCGTCACCGGGTTGACCTGGACGAGCTGGGCAACGGCATTGTCTCAGAGCTGAACAAGCGCAAGCGCAAGGCTCCAGAGGAGGACGCTGGATCCCCTGTACGGGAAGCGGGCGGCACGACCCCCGCCGAGCGCTCCAAGGCCTACGTCGAGAAGCAGGCCGCGCCCACCTACACCATTCAATCCCTCTTCACCGACAAGGAGCTCAGCGCACACTCCAACCACGCGCACGTCGCGACCGTCCACTTCTTCTCGACGTCCAAGCGCGCTGACCAGAACTCTGGTGCCGTGACAAACGGCAACAACACCGAAACTGAGGAGACACCCGATGGCACCGGCCACGAGGATAACGGGACTCCCAGTGCCACCGATATGATGCGCACTGCGAGTCAAAATTTCCACATTACACGGTCGACCCGGGGCACGGCCGCTCACAGCGCTCTCAGCGCTCTGGCCGATCTCGCTGATAAGAATGCGACGCGCCCCGCCCTGCCCTACCATGTTCTCTCCAACTATCACGCCCGTCCGAACGGCAACGCGCCTCCGTTGACCTCTCTCTTGAACGAGGAGGTTGACGATGACCTGTCGAGAGTCGACCGGCTACATACCAGCAAGCCGGTGGGATGGATTGATTCCTCCCTCATCGACCTGGTCGTGGCGCCATTGCCGTCCGAGCCAGTCGACGGGCACCCGCCCAACCCAGACCGCTTCACCTCGCTGCACCCCGACTTCCCGTCGGTGGCCGGGGTGCAACTCCAGCCGGCACGGCCCAATCTTGGTGCCGAGATGTTTCCTGCTCTCGCCATGGAGCGCGAGCGAAGCAGTAAGCGGACGCGCCACCACTGAACAAGGTGGTCGTGGTTTTCTAGGGTCGACAGTGGTGTGATGGTTGGATGAGTGTATGTTAGGGTAGGGGTCGGGTGTGTCTGAGGTGGTTCTACTGCTCAGTTCGGTGTTCCTTTTACCTCTCTTTTCTCTGAGTTCTGAGTTCTCGTCGGGAGTAGGTTACGTTTGGATTGGGGATTGGCGTTTGGGGTCGGGGGTTAGATTTTCATCTGGTTCTTTGAGAGTCATGTCTATTTTTTGGGTGAGGTGGCATCCTCCGCAGGTACTAACCCTGCTTGAATATTCATTTTTACTTTCCTGTCTCATGCATTTTGCTAGACTGTAGACTACTCTGGTGGTCTCTATAGATCGAATCCAGTGAAGGCAGTCGACACCTGAATAATCAGGTATACAACGGCATGACGACATGGGCTTGATAAGCTGGGTAACGATAACGCTATCATTTATTCACGTCAACGAAACTAGTGTACAGTATGCTGTGTGAACTACGGGTTGGAAACGCGGTTTACATCGGAGATAGGACCAGCTCAAAGTTCTCAAGATGAGGTGATTTCGGAGAGATATGGAGTCATCGGCTGAGTTGCGCAATCGAGGGTGGCCATTGAGTGGTTGTTTCTTCGCAATTCTCGCCGAGATGACAAATGCGACACGATGACGGGGTTTGAAGGTTGATCACTAATTGTCTCGTATGTCTCCGGGTTATGAATGGAGTATTGGTTTCTTGGAGTATTTAAGAGGATTGAATCCTGTTCAAGTAGGAATTATTATCAAGTGCGCTTATTTGCATTGTTCTGCATTTATACTCGTCTCTACATACTCGTCTCTACATACTCGTCTCTACATACTCGTCTCTACATACTCGTCTCTACATACTCTGCTATATAGAATACTCCCTCGCATACCAACTCCCATCTACAGCCACCAGAATAACAGACAACATGTCGACTACAACTACAACTACCACTACTACCGCCACGGCTGTGAATACCACAGCATCAGACTACATCCCCCGCGGCCCAACATCTGCCGAACTCACCTTCTACGCCCCTCCCGCCGACGACTCCGCGCCATTCAACTACGTCGAAACCCCACCCCCAGGCCAACCCAAATATAACTACGGCTCCCAGACTGAAAGAATCTCTCTAACCGACATCCGCGGCAACGAAGACTCCTTCAATCTAGACAAAGACTCCTTCCAAACCCTCCGAAACATCCCCTCGGCAACCACATACTCAACCTTCGACTCAGAAACCTCCATCCGCGAAACATACTACCCAGAAGTGGAATCCCTCTTACTCAAACACGTCCCAAATGCCCACAAAATCATCCTCTTTGACCATACGATCCGCCGCGCAAACCCCAATTCCCCCCGTCAACCGGTAAACCGCGTGCACGTCGATCAAACTCCCGCCGCAGCACTCGCAAGAGTAAACCTGCACATCACAGACCCAGCCGAAGCAAAAGCCCTCTCTGAAGGTCGATACAGAATTATAAACGTCTGGCGTCCACTCACCGCAGAACCAGTCCAATCCCAGCCGTTGGCATTTGCGTCTGCGTCCTCGGTAGACGAAAATGATTTAGTGCCTATTCAGCATCGATATCCGGATCGGACTGGTGAGACGATGGGTGTTAAGTTTAATCCGGGCCAGAAATGGTTTTATTGGTCTGGTATGACCGGGGATGAGAGGTTGTTGCTTAAGTGTTCGGATTCGCAGGGGTATAGGGATGGGGATGTTGCGCAATGGGTGCCTCATACGGCGTTTACGGATGGGAGGACGCCCGTAGGGGCGAGGCCAAGGGAGAGTATTGAGGTTAGGGCCTTGGTTTTTGGGTGATTTTTTGATTGATAAATTGGGGGTGTTGATGGCATGGGTTTGGATTTGAGATTTCAGATATTGCTCGCTTAAGTTGGTGGGATTATGATGAATATGGATTGTTTTGAATTTAATAGTCTGTTATGATGGCTTTTTCGTTCAGTTTTATCAAGGAATATTATAGCTTTATGCTCGTTGAGGCATGTATACTTCTTCTACTTCGATGTAGAGTCTAATAGACTATATTTGACCATGGAAAACTGACCATTGTCACTGCCGTAAACAACGCTGGGACGGTGAATTATATCGCCTCCCGGTTTGATACCCGCAATCAGGGCTCAATATCATGATGATGAAAGACTTGGAATTCAATTCCGGCCCTGGTAGTCAGCAGTCTAAGATCCTACCTGAATTCTACTCTCAATATCCTCTTACCCGTTTGTACAGATGCATCCATACTCTTCCTCCTTACACTTGAAACAACATCCACCTTCCAGCCTTCCAACCTTCCCACCATGACCAGTTCATCCAGCGACATCGCAACCTCCTCCGGCCCATCCCAACACCCCTTCTTCCGCGGCAACATCGGTCCTCCCCTGCGCACCTTCACAGACGCCGCCGCCGCCCCAGCAGCACACGTCCGCATCCTCCCCGCCATAAAACACGACCACCGCGAACTAGAAGCACACATCCACAAAATCCTCCAATCCGAAGACCCCGACGAACAAACCCGCTACCAAAACAAATTCATCTGGGAACTCGCCCGGCACACCATCGCCGAAGAACTAATCGTCTACCCCGCGCTAGCCAAACATGTGAAAAACGGCAAATCCATCGCAGACAAGAACCTCGCCGAACACCAGGGTGTGAAGGAGCAGTTGAAGAAGTTTCAGGAATTGTCCGCGGGCGATCCGAGGTTTAAGCCTGCTTTGCAGAGGTTGTTGGAGGATCTGGAGAGACATGTTGAGGAGGAAGAAGGAGAGGATTTGATTTTGTTGGAGGAGGGGCTTTCGAGGGCGGATAGTGAGGCTTTGACGAGGTCTTTGGAGAGGATGAAAATGTTTGTGCCGTCGAGGTCGCATCCTGGTGCGCCGAATAAACCGCCGTTTGAGACTGCGGTGGGGTTTTTGACGGCGCCGATTGATACGGTTGCCGATTTGTTTAGGAAGTGGCCGCCTCCTGGGGAGGAGAAGAAGGAGGAGGAGAGGAAGAGAAGTTTGCCTATTATTCAGTAGATTGTTTAATCATTGGGTGTGTGTTTATATAGAATGAATATTTATAGATGTGTTTATTTGAATATTGGTGATGGTGATCCTTGATCATTTCTCATATTCTCAGTCAAGAATTCACATATTATCTGAGTAGTAAGTACAAAGAGTACCAGCTTTTGCTCTCCTCAACCTTGACATGTCACAGCAGTCGACTCGGCCGTGACCAAGGTAGACGCAAATTGTCCATACCGCTGTAACCGACGCAATTTAATAAACCGATTAGTTGTATCACTCCTCATCATCGCATTAGACTCCTCCTTGGTAGTCATCGCACTTTCCAACGACCGGCGTCTCTTCCATGCTTTGCGAAACTGATTGCGCTCTTCCTCTTGCTGTCTGGTGCGCATTAGCATAAACCCTACATGGGCTGCTTTCTCCTCACTCAATGCTTGAATCTTAGTTGAAGTGACAAGCGCATTAGAATCATACTCAAAGTATCACGGGGGTTCGAGATATGGTTGGTGTGAATAGGGGTGTCTTGGCAAAAACCATTATCTACTTCCACACATAAGAAAACCAAAGAAATCAAAACACGTACATAGGTAAGCCAGAGTTCCTGCTCCGAGCTCCAAGCCTTCTGACATCTAGCCAGTTGTTTCTCCGCCATGAGAAGTTGCTGCTCCTGTTCATTTGTCCAGCGACATCGACTGCGAACGATACTCGCCCAACTAACCACGCGAGCCAGCCGCCCCCCGCGCGTGGAAGATGATGCACTGCTGCCATGCGAGGGCTGGCGGCGAATATCATCATCGAATTGGGACTCAGAATCAGAGTCCGTTTCAGATGACTCGCTGAGGGAATCCTCCGGACTCGTGGTGTGGTCTGGGCTCGGCTTCACCGCTATATGCAAGGTGTGCGAGACGTCACATTGCAGGGACGCGGACTTGGGGGAGAAGGTTGTGCCTGGGAATTCGTTCCCATTTTCGGCTTCATAAGTGCCGAAGTGGATGTGCTCGTGTGAGTCACGATCGGAAGTGTATATCTCGATATCGATCTCTTTTTCTTTCCCTTTGTCGGTGGACGGACGGCGCTTCCAGGGGAGAGCGAAGGGGAAGGCACGTTGGACGATAGTCAGGACCGACATGGGCACGCTGGGGGGACATTGGATGTCGTAGAAAAAGAAAAGAAAAAAAGAAAGTATATCTTGAATGAGAGTCGATGGGTGAAGGATTTCGTTTCTTGCGGAGATGTTCCCCATCGGCCCCCTTTATACTCTTCTCGCGGTTTCTCCAGAGTTTTCACTCTCGTTCCAGCCAGAATTCAGAACCCGACACCTCAGGAAACCGAAACGATCATGCAGCGGCGATTTACACAAAAAGTGGGGTTCGATCAGATACATCTTTTTTGCTTGGCTGGCCACGCGAGAGACACGAGAATCTCGGCGTCTTTGGTTGGTCCAGCCCCCGATTGTTGGCTGCAGCTTTGGTCGAGACTGCAACAGGTGCCCAGTTTGAGCGTTGCGCGCGTGTACCTCGAAGATGGACGTAGTTGTACATGCGTTCCATTGAAAACAGCTTAAGTACATACTTCGAGAGAGGTGAGATAATTCGATACTCTCGGGATGTAGATGGCGTATAGATGGGGCTTTACATGGCTGGAGATAATCAACAGTTATCAGATCGTTCACTATGGTGAGAACTATCTAGGTTATCGCCACCCTATTGTTGGTCCCGTTGACCATCGGGAAAATAAGGAAGCAAGATGAACGATCCGAGCGTTCATGGCTAGGTCTTTCTGGCAAAGTTGCAGCACTTGAAACTCAATACAAGGTGTTTGCAGCGGCCCAAGGATCCACTTCAGGGATATGATCATTGTTCAATTGTATAGTGCAGGTCGAAAGGGGGGGATAGCCCCTGGTACATACAACAGGCTCGAAGACCAGTCAAATCCATACACAAGATAGGTATTTCCATGGCATAACCAACCCAAAAAATAAACCGTGAGGGAATCATAGAAGAACAAAAAAAAGTAGGGGAAAAAAAACACACCCTGTGCAAGAAACAAAATACCAACAACTCCATCCCAAATGCCCAACGACCCAAGACTCCCTCACGTAGAGAGATAAAAAGGGAACACCAGATCAAAACCACGTATACATCCATCTGTACACATTTCAACGCCATGTATCAACAGACGCCCCCCGGGCCGACTTGGCTTTCTGATTCTCTCGGATCTGCTCGCCAATAATGATGCTAATCAATCTCCGATGGAGGTCAGCTTCGGTCCATTCGACTTCCCCACTTCCACCATACTCGACGTCGGCGCGCGAGAGATCAAACACAAAGCGGTCTATGATGGCAAACTGTACTTCGGTGATGGGGACCCCATGATGGCCGTCTGAAGTCCAAATCCAATCACCGATGATCTCTGCACGCCCTGGCGCCTCGTGGTAGGGGAAGCGTTCCGGGGAGCGCTTTGCCATTCGGTAGACGCGCCGAAGGGCCTTGTAGTGTTCATCCGAAAAGTAGCCGAATGTTGGTAGGGGTCTAGGCCGTACTGATTTGGCATGATTGGTGTTGATCATCTCGACAGCATCGGCCTCGACCAGGTCTTCTTCTACAGAAGAGGTCTCTTCGGCAATGTCGGCTTCTGCGTCAACGTCTGAAACATCATCTTGCCCGCCATCAAAGTCACCTTGCGCAGAAGGATGCCTGTCTTGTTCTTCAATGGAAGGCACATAACCACGTGCCTTCACCTGTGGGGGACTAGCCGATTCTTCCAAGTATCGTGAAGGTGATTCACTAGAACGGTCTGAAAGCTGGGCAGGTTCGTAGTTTCCATGAACATCTTGTGCCAATTCGATGTTGGCAATCTCCACCTGATTCTCCTTGTCATCATCTTCATATTCGTCCTCAGCAGCTGAAGCTGAACTAGAACTGTCATCCTCATCTCCGTTGGGCGCTTTCAGCCACCTAGGTGTGAGACTGGTAATTCGCTGGAGCCAGGTTGATGCCGGGGCATCCTGGTCTGACTGGCGTGGAGGCTTCGGAGTGGCGGTGGCTGCATCCGCATAACCGGGGTCGGTCTCGTGAGCAGCATCAGAAAATGGTTCATCGGCCTCTTCGTCGGTCGACTCTTGGTGAGAGTTGTTAGGTTTGAAGGCGGGAGAGTAGCTGAGTTCTGCCTCTGATCCGATTTCGGGGCTAGACTGGGATATCGGCTGTAGGCGAACTCGCTGGCCAGTCTTCCGTGTGGAGGATGCAGATTTCATCGCTGAAGGAAGTGGAATCCCCGGTCGGCGATTCGGCATTTCTCGGGGTGTACTAGTCCCGTTATAGTAGCGAGCACGGTTGGGAGTCTCCTCTTCAGCAAGTATGGCAGAAAGATCGACATCCTGATCTCGGAGCTTTCGAATATGCGTCGGTACCTGATGTAGCCCATCGGGATGCTCCAGAGTCACGTAGGCCGGGGAAGAGCTCAGCTGATCTTGATTTGCAGAGAGGCTGGCAACTTTTCTCCAGGGGCTAGAGGGGTCCTGAACGACGTCCCTCTGGGCCCGACTCTCGGACTGCTGAGAGAGGTGGCTTTGATCTCGAGCCTCCAGTTGCCAAATGTCATCATCACCGTCATCGTCATCCAAGGCCTCTTGCTCCATGTCCATATTTTGATCATGTACAGGAAGCGGTTCAAGTACATGCTCAGGCTCGGAATTAGAGGTGTCTTGACGCCAGATGTCTTCAGAACCATCGTCGTCATCCTCGTAAATAGGTTCCTGCTCCACATGTATTGCTTGAGTTGTGACAGGCTGGGATACGGGGACAACATCCGGCTCAAAGTTCTCCAGCTCTTCATCGAAAGATTCATCATCGGGGACCTCCTCGTCAAATGGCTCCTCATCGAGCGGCTGTTCATCGACAGCAGATTCAACACCAGTCTGCAAACGACCATCAAAGGCATACCTAGGATCCTCTTGGGGGATATCCTCATCACTCTCAATGTATATGAGCCTTTTTGAGTTTTTCGGATCCCTGGCATGGCGGCTAACGATCTCACGCTCCCGCTGCCACTCTAACTCTCGCTGTGTTCGTATGGAGTCGTGTGTGTTGACCTGCGGAGAATTCGTCTGTCGAGATTGGACTGATACTGGCATAGGCTCATCCTCCTCTTCCTCTCCCTTCTCCTCCTGCTCGACTTCGCTTTGGTCATCATCGCCTTGCGTCTCTCCCATGGGATAATCATAATCATCCACTGGGACAGGTTCATCCTCTATCTCCTCAGCTTGAGCTCTAACTTGCTCTTCCGCTGCTAGTGCTTGACGTATGGCGAGCTCTTGCCCAATACCAAGAGCAGCCCGCAATTCTCGCTGCGTAGCAGGACTAAAGCTGCTGAAGACACCCTCGAGACGCTTCTTTCGACTCGCATTGCCACTTCCCGGGACTTCATTTTCATGGGGCTTGAAGGTCCCTTGGAGGGCCATACCGACACGGACTACCCTGGCTAGACTGATTGGGGTCCGCCTGGGTGTGTTATCTAGTGGCTTCTCCGTTAAACGAGTCATATGAAGCTCGGGATAAGAAACCTGAGCAGGAGCCTGCGCCTTCGCAGTGTGCCGCTCCAAACTGGTGCGCGCGAGTGCGCGTGGCCTGGGAGAGCGGGCTTCGGTCACTGGGCTTGGCCTAGTCGAACTTTGCGTATCACTTCGGAAGTTGTCGATTGTCCCTGGCAATTTGCGTTTCAAACGGTCCCTAATACGACCTATCTCTCGCTCTTTCCCAGGGCTATCTGTATTCATTTTGGCGCTGGATCCAAGGCCATATTGTTTTGCTGATGGCAACGAATCCAGAGAGACCATGGTAAATCCTTCGCTTTCCATGATAGAGTCAAACTCTTCATGTTCGTCCGTAGGATCTGGCAAAGGCTCGGTCTGGTTCTCATGATCTGTGCTCGTCCGTTGTAGGTCTTCGCTCACCTCCACGGTCTGCTCCTCGGGATGATTCTCTTCATCGGCCAGCGAGGAAGTCGGGGTTGGAGTTGGGTAGTCATGTGGAGACACGGTGTTGCCAGCGAGGCGTGAAGACCTTGCGGATGAGCCCATTCTTTCTCGAGTAGGCGATGGCATTTTGGAAGGGGTCGAGTGTATGTTTTCGTCATTATCAAGGAAATGGTGTTCCGTAGCGTCGATGATCGGGGTATCGTAGGTGGCTCTGCCATATTCACGGGCTGTTTTATTGTCCTGGGTCTGCGTATGTGCTGACGGTGGAGCACGAAGATCTGCGATAGGCAAATCATCCGCTCCGAGGGAATCGCTTTCATACCCTCCATCTGTAGCAAGGTTCATTGGGCTCCATTGGCGGTCGGGGTTCGCGCTGCCATCAGCAGTTATATCCATCGGACTAAAATGTTGTTGGGCAGGCTCCACTGTTGGAGTGGGCTCATCTTGTGGCTCGTCTTCTGGTTCCTCTTCCGGCTCGTCTGCTAGCATCGAAATTATTTGCGGCTGGGGCCTCGGCGTATTCTTGCGCGCTTGGGCCGGTCTCCTTTTTGGCGTGGCCCCTGCCGGTCCTGGGGTATTTCCTGGGCTTCCAGGCCATGGCGAGCCGTTTTGCGATTGAATATCTGATTTCCGAGGGCGGCCGCGTCGTTTCGCGGGAGATTTTGGTTTCAATGGACTTCCTTCATCCTTCAACGGCACCTTTGTTGTCACGGTCGAGGGTCGTAATCGTTTGCGCGACGGGCTCAACTTGCCCTGGTTCTCCTCGTCTTGCGTCGCCTCGAGCGTGACTCGGATGCGCCATGGGCTCACGTTGCCATCTTGTATGAACTTCTCCGGCGAAAGCGACCTTTGGCGACCATCGAGTTTCATTGTCGGCGAACCGGGGAGGAGGACATCGTCGAAGCGAATTGAGTGCCCGCTTCTCGTAGGACTGAGCGTCACGCGCCGCCGTTTCGCTGGAGTTCGTTGGCGTTTCACGGTCGCAGGTGACAACCAGCTCTGGCGACCCGTGAAGGGCTTTATTGGGGACGAAATGAGATAGTCGGCGTCGCCAGGAGGGCCCAAGATGTCGGGGGAGGAGCTCTGGCTGCGCGACGTGAATGACATGGCGTACTCGTTGCGATGGAGTTTTGGGCACGCGTGCCGCTAGGGAGGGGGAAAGAACGCCCCTTGTGGAATGTACTGAAGTCGAAGGTAACAATGAGTAGGCGATATGTACAGGAGTAGACCAAACACCGCGGGGCAATGGCATAAACAAGTCTCCCGAAGCGGCATGAGTCGGTGCCCACCTGTAGGCCCTTTGGTGGATGACACAGATTATGTAATCGTGTCCTAATTAGGAAACTATGTAAATATCCAGGAACTTTTTGACATCGTGAGCAAGAGCAATAGAGCAACTGTGGGGAGTCTTGTCTTGATGGAATTTTGAGATGCATCATATAGCCAACTATTGATCCGATACTGATCGCTTTTCCCACCTTTGCCTCTATAGCGTTCATGAGGCTTACAACAATCACTGTATTTTCTTATCAATATAATTTTGTATTCACGTCTGATTGCGCATCGAACACGCCCACTCAGTAAATATCTTGTGTGGATTTTCGAAGTCTCACAGCGCAAGCAATTTTACACGCCCATACATGGATTGTAAAGTTATTGGTATGTACATGTAATACCTCGTCCTCATCAATCTGCATGTCACGAACCCGATCCAGCTCTGTCCCACAAACACGAGCAACAGCGTGCACACATTCGCAGAGCATCTGAACATCTCCTTTCGAGAATCCAACTTTTCTACAACCCTTAACATGCCAATAGGTCATGCGCGGAAGATTCTGGCCCATCACAGCGGGTAAAACAACAATCTCCGTATCCACGTCATCCAAAATCTGCCGATCAGACTAACACAGTCCATAAGCAATATCGCAAACAGCAGATCCAAAATCACGATGTCGCTTAAACAAATCCAGCAGAGCGGACATATTCTGCGCATACATCTTCTGCGGCCATGATACACCGCGCCGGTGATTTGCTTCATCGCACTGCCATCCTTCCCGACAATAAGGCAGTTCTTCCCCAATCACTTGCTCTATGCTAGCGATAGCTTCGGCTGGCTTTGGTATTCCGAGTAATGCAACGGTTTTGAGTATTACTTTGTTGAAGCGGAGAGTTATGGCTTTACGCTCTTCGGGTGTTGAGTGTGCACGTTCGTTGAGCAAGTACAAGCATAGTTAGCCTGCCATGATGTATGGCTCTGAGCTTGGCAGGATAGCTCCAAGGGCTGTCAGATACCATTTTTCGGTTGGGATATTGGATCCCTCGAACTTGACCTAGATTTAACGGAAAAGTTTTCATATCGTAGGTTCACCGAACCGCGGTTGGCTTCGGGAGGATCAGAGGGCATGTTTAGGACGACGATGTAGTATTGACACGGAGGTATATGTACAGGAAGTACAGGGGACTATTTTTAGAATGCCATCTTCTACGCGAGAGATAAAGAAATTAGTTTTGGATTGCTCGCCTTTTGAGCTCAATGACGCATGTTCGAAGTGACCTAGTGTGGAGGGTGGCAGTCCACGGAATCCAGTCCCTCGAGCATGGCCAAACCAAGGTCATGGCGGATATCACACAGGGCTACCTGACTATCGATGTATATATCTTGGTGTGAGCATAAGATGCAAAAAAAATACACGGCATTTCCTGAAGAGTCAGGCTTGTTATTGTTTTTATCTACGTCCTCTTGCACTTCAAGATATCAGATATCAATGGTATAGTGCCTTAGAACTGGTAGTAATAGCTAGCTAACCAATGTATCTAATTAAGCCCTATATCGATTCCAATGTCGATCCGTTTTCCTTTATTGACCTAGTCTTACTGGATTAGTCTATGCCGGCATCGTAGGTGCCTGCCGGCAATTCTTGACCTGCTGCACCGGTTTCTTGGCTTCAGACTATCACTGAGTGATCGACAGGGACAATCCAGCCCACAGCTAGGATGGTCCCTGGTCAAGTCGCGATACAAATATCCCCTTCAAGCCTTTTCACATCTCGGGCATCTCGTCTTGGCTTCCTTGGCAGAGATGAACTAAGATGAGTACCAGTCAATATATATACGGTTTTTAGATGTTTAGAACAAGTGGTATCGAGTCCCTCCATCGCTTTTCACCGGATATACATGTGCATTTTTTATGTTCGTCTTGCCTCTTCAATATCTCGAATGCCCACGAGAAATATGATCAGGCCCAGCAGAGCTCCACAACAAAGAGCACCATCCAGCCCAGTAGTCTCAGTGCAGATCTTTCCTGTCCAGTAAAGTTGATCATCATGCCATGTGAGCAACTCGAAAAGGCCCGCGCCACTAAAGTTGAGCTAATCGTGCATGAGATAGTTCACGATACCACGCGACGTGCCTTGATCTTCTATGACTTCAACACAAAACGGGGTTGATCGGCATGACCCCGCGGCCTCATACATGGTACGAGCGGGAGGTTTACGAAGCTGACCTTTGTTGCTGGTGCCTGGCAGGACTATGAAAAACGTGGCGTCAGTTACCAAGCTGTTGTCCCCGCGTGCTGGTAGCGAGCAGTGCCTTGATATGAACATAGCAACCGAATTGAACGGACAACCAGGTATAGGCAGCATGGCTTTGCTCATTACCCAGCTGGCTAAATGGTCTCACCATGATATGTAGCCGACTATGGTTAAATTGTTCCAGGGTTCTTCTAAGCGGCAAGCGAGCAGCCGAGAATGATGAAACTCCGGATAGCTAGGAATCAAATGTGTGGTACCGGGGATCTCGAAATGGCTATACTCCGGGCGAGTCCCGATGAGACGAGGGCAATCAGACCGCCATCTCATAAGATACTGAGCTGGCTAACTATCTAAAGACTTTCAAAATAATTAATTCTCATTATTATGAGGGAAAAACAGAGGAATATTAACCTGTTATTGTTTTTTCCCGCAAGAAGCAAAAGTACCTACAGACTACTCTCCATCGGGGAACATCGGTAAGCGATCGGCATATTTCCCTTCTTCCCTTCATTTCTGCTTCCCATCGCCAGGAATGGGCATTCCACCAATATCCTGCGGGCTTCTTGTACTAGTACGAGAAGGGTATCAACTCCATTATTACGAAGTAAATCCCCATAGTTTTCCGTTCTCTTGTGGGAAACAATCTTTATCAGGGTAATCTGGTGTCAAGTACTCCACCGGAGTTTTGCCGCTCGTGCTAAGATTTCGCTGGGCTAGTAGCCTAGCATCGAGGTAACATTTTAACCGTCCCGTTAAGATGCGCCTCTCAGAGCTTATTGCTGGCCCACTGGTGGGCCTAAACAAAGCCAACGAAGCCACTTCCTGTGAGATTCGACTGGATTCAACTGGGATCCAACCGAGGGTTAATAAGGCTAATCTTAAAGTAGACTAGCGCAATGTACTTCTCCGCTCCTCCACAGCCTCACACATCACATTTCTCCCCCTAACACTGGCTTCAATCCATGCACAATTGCATATCCCAGCCCGAAGCTCCCCAAAGTTTCCCCTCAATCCTTTCATTCTCCACCTTTTTATGGTCATCCAATGGTGGAGTGTGATCCTTTCACGTCACTGCTGTCGGATAATTCGTGATTACGGTGGGCCTCAGACCATCGACTCTGCATTTTACCCCGGTTTCCTGAAGTCAGTTAGCCCCGCCCCCCTAGCGTCCAGCCATGCGGAGAGAGGATTAGCGGCGAATGACGATGTTTACTATGATCGGAAAGGAGCTTCCAATAATTATTCCATAAAATGCGCAGCCTTCCCCTCGGCTGCATCCGCTCATTCCTCTGTCCGGCGCGTGTTACTCCTCGACTCCTCCTTGTTTACTGCTCCCTGTTCCTTACAGTCACTATACTTTTGGGCGTCAGGATGCATTTCAAGTCGTACGTCGCTGCGGCCATTTACGGTCTGCCTGTCCTCGCGAATGCCGCGCCCTCTCCAGTTGCGGCCTCTTCGGATGCCAGCTCCAATGACGGGCACTTCAAGACCTACACGATCAAGGCGGCGAATATCACTGCCACCCTGATCCCGTACGGTGCGCGTCTAACTTCCCTCTTGGTGCCGGATCGTCATGGCAAAGAGCAGGATGTTATCCTTGGCTACGATGACCCGAAACAATACCTGCAAGACAGTGCAACAAACCGCACTTTCTTCGGTTGTGTCGTGGGTCGCTACGCGAACCGTATCAAGAACGGAACTTTCACCATTGATGGTAAAGACTATCATGTTCCCGAGAATGAGCATGGTGGCCTCGACACCCTCCACGGCGGCAGCGTCGGTTATGACATGCGCAATTGGACTGTCACGTCGCACACTGACTCCTCCATCACCTTCACCCTCTTGGATCAGGGCTTTGAGAACTTCCCTGGCGATGTCATCTCCCATGCCACTTACAGTGTCTCCACCGAGAAGTCGGCAGAGAACCCCAAGGGTCTGCCCCAGTTGACCACCAAGCTTGTGTCGCTGGCCCTGACCGAGAAGACCCCTATCATGCTCGCCAACCACATCTACTGGAACCTGAACGCGTTCAAGAACCCCACCATCCTGAATGACACCACCCTGCAGCTCCCCCTCTCCGAGCGCTTCATCGTTGGAGATGGCATTCTCATCCCAACCGGCGAGATCGGCGACGTCGACACCGCCTACAAGGGCGCCCTTGACTTCACCGAGCCCAAGCTCGTCGGCAAGGACATCGACAAGACCACCGGCCTGTGCGGCACCGACTGCACCGGTTACGACACCTGCTGGCTGGTGGACCGCCCCGTTGGCTATGGTGGTGAGGGCGCAGTCGTCCCCACTGTTCGTGTCTCTTCCGATACCACCGGTATCTCCCTGGAGATAGCCACCAACCAAGCCGCTATGCAGATGTACTCCTGCAACGGCCAGAACGGCACCATCCCGACCAAGGAGTCCCAGGCCAAGCGTAACAAGGCCCAGGATGGCCACCCTGGCGCTGCGTACGTTAACAAGTACGGCTGCATCGTCTTCGAGACCGAAGACTGGATTGATGGTATCAACCAGCCTCAGTGGGGTCGCCGCCCTTACCAGATTGCTGGTCCTGATGATGGCCCCATCGTCAACTTTGCTACTTACCAGTTTGGTACTATCTAAACAGGGGATGGTAAAGGTCTGAGGCCGTTATACACGTTCATTGAAACGTCATATCCTCTAATTCGTTATTTGGACTGTCAATAGGTGGCTACGGAGGCCGTAGGCCCAATCATGTACATATCTAGTCTTGGCAGCCGCACACTTCATAGTAATCTGCTCTCCATACATCAAATTCTTCTTCCGAAACCTGGGCCAAAACTACGTAGGAGATTGTATTCGTGATCGGCTTGACCTCATAGGCGATTTCTAGCTCATCTAATCATTCTCTCTTTCTTCCTTGGTCACTGCACATGTCCCAAGCCAAACCAGCCTCATAACGAACTTGCTCAGTTCTCGAATATGCGAAACCTCGGTTTTCGTCAAAGCTTGCACAGGCATGTTGCGTATTGTATTGGCAGCTGATATAAGAAGCTCCAGATCAATCCGCGATTGTGCGTCGAGAGGATGGATGACGATGTTGAGGAACAGTGTTAAAGCGGCCGCAGTCGAATAGAATGTAACGAACCTTAGACTTGGTTAGCATTCGTTGCACAGAGATCCATAGGAGACAATCTAAGTCAGTACTTACCGAAAAGCTCCTTCCGCAATCAAGCTAACAAGAGTCCTCAAACACCACATTGTTGAGCGACTAGCCACCAACGACAAATCAAAGCTCGAATGAACTACACTATGCAAATCCGGCATCTCGTCACTAGTTTCCACCGTGCACTTTCTGACTGTCGTGTGAATGATGGTCATCAGGTGATGATAATCTAATTGCAGTGACAATCGTCGGATGATAAACGGGATGCCTTCATCAGATGAATTCGGGAGAGTATTCTTCGAGACGAAAAGTGCTGGGCGGAAATTCGCAGGGATGGACAGTCGCCAGTGTTCCATCTCGTTGTCTAATTGCCGGATGTTCAGGAGGAGCTGGTTGTCGTTATCCTTCATTGCTCGCGCGGATAAGAGCTGCCGGTAGACTTTCTCTTTTAGGTGCGTTAGATGAGGGTCTCCTGGGAGATGAGGACTAATAATGGTACTTTGAATTTGGTCGCTACTTGTCATGGAGAGGGTTAAGGTCGGTCGGTAGGTATAGTGGTCGAGGTAGTTATCAGGTAGGATTAGATCACAGTAGATCTCGGTGAGGAGAGGAGGGTTGCCAGTGAACAGGGAGATGTCTTTGTCGAGCATGTAGCATAGCCAGAACAGCGTTCGAATATGGTGGAGTTCGCGTTCTGAGCGGGCATTCTCGAGCCTGGAGACATTCGATGAGTCGCATAGATGTCCCTTGAGAGCGCAGACTACACGACATGCAATCGATTGAAAGAAGGTCGCGCCTTGCCAGTCGGTACAAAACACGCGCTGTATTTGCTGTTTCGGAATATCAGCCTGTATATCTTGACCGGTCAAAATGGAATGAGAACTAACCAAGATAATTGCAGTCTGCAGTGTCGACACACTGACATCGTCGGCGATCTGTAACAAGAGCCAATGTGCCTTGGCTGCGCACGAATCCGCATCTATGGGGAGGGAGATCTGTCTCGATATGTCTAGGTGAGGCGCAATAGCTAACATGCTCAAGACACAAGCCCTGGCTGAGACTTGCATAGGCGTGCACAGATTTTCCTCCATATGTTCATATGCGGTCTCAATCGTTGTCTGAAACAGGACCTCACCCAAGACTGGGAAAGCGAGTCTGAATGAGGACTTGAAGAACACATTCACAATTTCCTGGGTCACCTCCTTTTCGGGTAATTCGCACGACGCCTGTGAGAAAGATTGGTGGAGGGTGGAAGCTCCGGATTGCTTTATAGGGATACTGAAATCCGCCCACGAGACTGGCTGACCCGTCCTTTTGGAGAGCCATTCACGGCCTTCTTCAGTAGACATGGGTATGCCATTAAAGTACCAGTTGGGCCCCCATTGACGGGCAGATTTATGATTTCTGCCAGGATCCTCTTTGGCGGGGTGATCATAGGAGCCAGTGGGTGTCTGTGTAAATGTAGCGGGCGATAGGGAGCTTCCTGAAAAGGTGAATCCTTCTCTGCCACTTGCTACAGTTGAAGTATGGCTGGTGCTGATCCTCGAAGGAACTGGTGTCGTCAATTCTTCTTCATTATCCAAAGCATGACTTGATGACTCCGGAGTCGATCCAACCCGCGACAGGGCACCCTCTAATTCCTGGATACGTTGGAACAAGGTCTGTACATCGCTAGAATCCGGAAATGCGAAGTTTTAGAATCATCCATAGAGACCCACGGTATAGATAACGAGAAAGGATTCTGACCTGTTACGCCGCTTCTTCCGTGGGTTCTCTCTCTGAAACGTGCATTCAAGGCCACGCGAATCGCACCACTCACACGGGCCATCTGGATTTGGAAGAGAGCATTGGACCTGGATGGAAATAGGTCAGCATCCACAAGGCTAGTAAACTCAAAACCCTTAATTTAGGCTTAAGTGTAGTCACCTTTCTTCGATAACAAACATCGCATGCCCTCTTCAGACGGTAAGTTCTCTTCGGGGGCATTTGGCGGTGACTGCTGGTTATTTAGACGGTGTATACGGAGTGGAGTACTTTCGGAGGTCAAAATCTTCGGAGCTTTCGGAGGCCGTTGTTATATCATGTGATATGTGGATGTCGGTTCAATGGGATGTGATTGGCTTCACGTCACTCCAGCAAGAGGAGCTTGGTTTCGACTCTGCCCGTTCATTGCCAATGGCGACCCGCCTCGGGATCCCCACTTCCCTTTAAGCTTCAGCTCCTAGCGGCGTTCGGAACCTGAGCACGCCGGATCGTGAGATTATCTTTTGGCGAATTCTGGACCATCATGCCAGACTTAAACCTCAGGGTAGAACCCCCTGACTCTATGAAAACAACATTCACATCACAGACGACGCTTCAGAGAAGCTCGGTGAACAATGGCCGCCCGCCGAAGCAAGCCGGCGACACTTGATGAGAGCGATCCTCTCATCGTCGACCCTGAAAATGTCGAGGTTGAAGCTTCAGCTCACACTGAGGATGAAGACCATCCCCTGAGCCAAATCTCGACTAGGATGACGTATCGCCTCTACATATCACATTTCCTGTCAACATGGAATTCCCGCGTCTTCGAATTCGGGGCTGTCCTGTACTTGGCTACTGTCTACCCAGGAACGCTGCTTCCGATGTCCGCCTACGCGCTTTCTCGTGGACTTGTGGCGATTATCTTCTCATCCGCGGTGGGCTACTACATCGATGTCGGTAACCGTTTGCAGGTCATTCGCGTTTCAATTGGTTAGTTGCTCGGTTTTTGGAGACAGGCAGATTATTCGATTAATAACACTAACTACTTTATAGTGTTGCAACGACTGGTTGTGGCTGCATCGTGTGTAATATTTTATTTACTGGCGACTGGACCTTCTATGTCACGCGTAGCCAACGTGTGTTTGCTGGCGACTCTCACACTCCTGGCTTGTATTGAGAAGCTATGCTCTATTTTGAACATGGTATCCGTGGAGAAAGACTGGGTAAGTTTATAGACGAACTTATTAATGCTGGCTTCTTACTGAGATAATACGGCAGGTTGTCGTCGTTGCGGGAACCGATCATGCAGGTCTAAGAAGTACGTTATGAAGAATACAAGATACACTGGAAGTTTCGAAACTAATCCATTCGTTAAAGCTATGAACGCCCAAATGCGACGTATTGACTTGGCCTGCAAGCTGCTCGGACCTCTTTTCATCGCTCTCATTGATGGCATATCAACGGAGACCGCCATCATGGTCAATTTTGGGATGAACGTCTGCTCAGTTGTGGTGGAGTACTACTCAATCGCCAAGGTAAGACCTCAGTCTCTAGCATCCGGACTAGAAAGCACCTTGCTTACAGTTCGTCTCAGGTCTACGACGAAGTGCCAGAACTGCAGGAAGCAAAGAAATTCCCTCATATGCCCCGAAACGAAGAACCTGCTCAGCAAGGATTCTTTGTGCGTGGCTGGAGCGCTGTGTGCCAAGGCGTACGACAGGCTCTGAAAGACTTCGATTTCTATTTCCGACACCGAGTCTTTCTTCCATCCTTTGCTGGAGCTTTGCTGTACTTGACAGTCCTATCCTTTTCGGGGCAGATGGTCACTTGGCTTCTGTCGACGGGCTACGATTCGACGCAGGTCGCTGTTACAAGAACTCTGGCTGTTGCATTTGAGGTATTGGCTACCTGGGTCGCACCCTGGCTGATGGGCAGGATAGGGCCTACCCGGGCTGGTCTATGGCTGGCAAGTTGGCAGATTACATGTTTGGCTGGTGGTTTCGCTATCTTCTGGCAATTCGCTAGCCAGCCTTTTCTTTCAGCATCTGGTCTTGTCGGTGGTGTGATTTTCAGCAGGCTAGGCTTGCGAGGGTTTGATCTATGTGCCCAGATTTTGGTTCAAGAGGTGAGTTGTTCAAATTCTTTCAACGGCATATTTTGGTAGAGGAGATGGCTCTAACATTCGATTTTCACGCAGGGCATTGATGCCAAGGCTCGAGGGTCCTTCTCATCAACTGAAGCTGCATTGCAGAACTTGTTTGAGATCTTCTCCTATATCTCGACCATAATTTTCTCCCGTCCGGATCAATTCAAATGGCCGGCCCTTATCAGTGTGATTTCTGTCGGCCTTGCTGGTCTTCTCTACGCGATTTACGTTCGGATTCAAAGGGGCCACTTGTTGCACTTGCCGAGCTGTTTTGCCCATGATTGCCTTCATCGCTCTGGCCAAAGAGCTATGGACAGAATTTCCTCTTTCTCCGACATGTGATTATTGGTCCTGCGAATTCAGAAGCAGCTTCAGCAATTTGACATGTATACTAGGAGTATGGGACGAGGAAAGCGAACGTGATTTTGTAGGATTACTACTATCAACTACATTATCCTACATAGCTTTACGCGCTTTGGTCATGATCTGCCCAGGCGCTAATATTTGGGGGCCAAAATGTAGCCTCCATCGTCGCCCTTCGAGCTTTCTCAGCCCTTTTTTATCCGCCCATAGAACTCTCCTTACCTCCAATTGACAATGGCTGATTGCTTCTATCTACACTCGGGTATAAAAAAGATCAACTATGACGATTTGCCTTGTGGCGACGTCGACCAGCTCGGCCATAATGTGACTTGTTGCGTTCGAGGCTCCACCTGCCTAAGCAATGGACTCTGCCAAAACGCCGGAGGTAATGGACATTACAGTGCTGATTGCACAGATCCAACTCTAGAAGATCCAGCATGTCAGGTTCGCTGTGGTGAGTTAACATTATTGAAACCCCTTCTTAGAATTCGCTGACATTGGTATTCTCGGTACAGGAGGTCTTGCCGGCTCACAAGTTACCTACAATTCAACTACCAAACTCTGGGCATACTGCAGCTACAATGGGGGAGAACCAGATTGTTCAATAGCAACCAACGAGGTCTTTCCAGCCCCTGCTCCATCCAGTCTCACAACAATCATGGTTCTCCCTACCACCGGGGCAGCCACATATTCCACGCCATCGGCGACCGCTACAACTCCCTTGGTCACAATTACAACCACGCCTTCACCCTCGTCATCATCGTCTGGTATTAGTTCGGGGGCTGCCACTGGTATTGGTATAGGCGCTGGCGCCGGAATAATCCTTGTCGCTTCGGCGATCGCCTTCGTCTGTTTTAAACGGCGGCGACACTCGAATACAAAATCGTTGAATTCTGCTGGCAATGTATCTTCTCAGCAGGCTTTAGTGGGTGAGTTGGGGAATGAGACGATGATTGGGGAGTTGGATGGTGGACGCACAATGTATGAGCTAGCTTCCACGTCCAGATTGAAGCCATAGTCTCTCGTCAGCTTGGGACGGAAGTCGCCTTTTGGGTGGAAGAAGATATTCACAAGGTTCACTCTCAAATCTGTGCGGTGAAAAATCATCTCACGGTGTTTTTGAGCATTCATACACTATGCTTGAAAAATGCACCGCCCGATTCTGATTGGTCGAGCTGTCAAATCGAGCATATACTTTCTGGGCACAAGCTGTGTTTGCGGCCACCTTGCCCCTTAACGATCGCCTTCGAGCCCCTAATTCCTTGGCCACGAGACCATTGCATTATTTCCTATATCATTGTATACCTATGATACCCTATTCTTTAGTTGACACTGTCAATATCACTCGGAGTTATGAGTTCCCTTTTAGACGGAAGAGCTCCTAGTCTACGCCTCACAATTTCAGCCACCAGAAGGCCGGACCTGCTCGCCATGTGGGATAGAATGATTTATCAATAGTACAGTAGATAGAGCATGTGATGAGCCAGAATGAATCTGGTATTTATTTTGTGCTTGCATCATCAGTACGCTGTCCAACATTCCTGGTGGTATCTACTCGAATTCAAGCTTCCAGACATCCCCAAGCCTATCGTTCGACTCTCCCAGTCCACCATGAACGATAATGGCATTTGAGGCCGCGACATCAGCATCAAACCAGCCCCGTGCAAGTGGAAGTTCGCTACCTTGCAGATCCACCTGCTCCCACTTCTTATTCCCAATGTCAAAGCTCCACACATCACCCAGCATCTTTCCGGCACCCTGGTGACCCAATGAACTAGGATCTCGCTCTCCAAACAAGGTAATCAGACAAGACCGACCACTAGCAGGGACCGGCAACAAAGCGCTAACACTGCGTGGAGTTGGACCATCCTTTCCATCGGGAGCATACACATGGGCTTCCCAAGAGTTGGTCTCCGGAGTATAAATATCCAGGTTTCCACCCTGCTCAGTCTTCCCATCGAAACCGTTCATACGATACAACTTTCCATCCGTAAAGGTAATTGATGTACCGCCACGAGGGGGATCGAATGCAGGTGCAAGCTCAGTCCATTCCTTGCGCGAGACATTGAAAGCCCACAGGTCTGATAGTCGTTCGGACTCGGGACATCCGGCATGGATGTAGAGTGTATCCTTGCCGTCACTGGTCATACAATGATAGCTACGAGCAGCCGGGACTGCAGTCGAGTTCATTGTTGAGGGTTTGACCAGACACCAAGTGGAAGTGGAAGTGTCAAATTCCCAGATCGCGCCCTGTTCTTCGATCGGGGCCATTGCGACTCCACCGCGGCCGGAGAATAGATATATTTTTTCATTGAGTGTCGCAGATGCTGTTCCGACGCGTGCGGAGGGGGATTGCAGTGCTTGAGGCTGAGTAGCTTTGGAGACAGTGGCTATGAAATGATATGATTAGCATCGTTGGACTCTTCTTCCTTGTTATAGCCCGCCAAGTACCATTGTCTAAAGACACGGCATATACAACATTGTCTCGAGGCTCACGCGGCCGCAGCTCTCCTCCGAAGATGTATGCTTGGTTGTCGACGACCGAAACAATCTGGGAAGACCGCTGAAGGATTTCGGCCTCCAGGAGCTTGTGGCACTTAGCAGTGATCGCCATTGCGAGAGCAAGTGAAGTGTTTAGACTCGGGAGTTGTATGAAGGACCTGTTTATGGATAATGGAATGTCAACAGCGGAAGAAGCGAATCCGTAGCTACAAATAATCCGCAGTGCCGAACATCATGTCATTAGATAGTGGGGACTTTGGGAGGTTCTCTCAGGTTCCGAATCGCCGCTGCACCTGTCTAAAGCGGGTAGGGTAGCTAAAGCAGCCAATTATACGAAAAACTCGTCTACCCTACATAAAGACGATTTATGTACTGGGCCAAATAGGACTAGCCTGAACTTTACTTGTGAAAATGCGGCCTCCGAAACCTCCGAAGTACCTGGTTTGTTTTGTGAAGCTGCCCTCGCCCTATTTGGCGTTGATCTAGGCCAACTATATGTCTGATGTCTAGCAAACAGTCCAAGATCGAATATAATGCTTTGTTCGCAAGCTCAATTGATAAAGACACTTTATTTCCAGCAATCTTAGACCAAAATATATCTGGAATCTGCCTAGGTATTATCTACTCTTGGTCTGAATATATCTACAATTTGGACAAAATATTCCGACCATTTTCTCCTGTGCCCATAACAATCTCCTCTTCCCAGTAATTCGGGTTGAATGTGATCCTGTTCAACGGGTTCAAGCGATGAGCCCTATTGTAGAGATCCTCGTATACACGACCGTCATATCGCCCCAGAGCACTGTAGCATAGTTAGCTTTTGTGGTCAAGTTATTGATACAAAATCCAAGCATGGAAGCAATCACCTATCTAATAGGTAGTCCGGAATCTTCCACGAGTCAACCAAGTTGACAGCATGTGGGCGTATCCGTGCCATCAACCCCTGGACGCGCGACGGAAGGGCGTTGAGACTGGACCGAGCGACAGCATTGCAACGGAAGACTGGACATGGATTGTTGAATCAGTAGTGCTCTGGCGCAAGATAGGATGTAGAGTGGTTATTTCTCACATTCATATCCTTCGTTCTCCATGGTATAAAGAGCGAACAGGCGGAAGACGTCCCACAAAACTGTCTTCGTTGGACCTGAGAGAGTCTGATCTGTTGACAAAGCTTTGAAGAAAGTGGCCACTAGAATTGACTGAGATTGAGCTAGTGTAAAGTATCAGCATATTGACCGAGAGTGGTGAAGGATTAGGCTTTACCTTTGCTCAACTTGTGAAGCTGGATGAGAAGGCTATTCCAATTTTGTTTCTTTAATACACGCTGCTCATATGCATCGTATGCCTGTAAATGTTAGTCAATACCGCCAGAGTCCAACAGGTTCCAAATTTATCAACAAACCAAAGCTGTTGCTCGAAGCTCGAAGCTCTTCACGATATCTTGATCGTTCGACAGTGAGATAGGCTGGCTAGCACCAGCTTGTCGCTTCGCTCGAATGAACTCTTTAAATCGAGCATCGGTCTCATCTGTACCGGGAGTGTTGATTGATTCCACCGCATCGGTCATCTTCTTGATTAGATACGCGGCAACTTGCTGCGTGATCATCCAATTGTCACCCTCGACCGTGGGCTTGGAAAGGTAGTCGTTATTTAGCTGGATGAGGCCGCTCCCACCACCGAAGCCGTGTCCACCCATTGCTCGTCTGCAGGTCTCGATTCCATCGGCAGCAAGCATGGTACATAGACTCTTTAGTCCTGATGACATACTATGCATATGAGCCAAGGAACGGAAATCTCCGCTTTCAATATCCTCTCGGGTAGCTCGATACACATTTTGCATGGACAGACCAGTATAATGAAGCGCAAATGCGGTCGCTACTAGCGGGAGGATGCGAATTTGAACGGTCGGATAGTCGAGAACTGACATCTCCGGCCCATTCTTGTCACTATCTCGATCTTGAAATTGTCGCCGAATGGCAGTGTATCGAACTGCGACTGTGACTGCTCTTGCGAGCACTAGCCTGGCATGGTGGACAATGTTTGCGCGGACGTATGTTAAAGATCCATAAACAAGAGCTGGTTGCTCTGGCTTTGTATACGTCCCGGAACTGGGATCGACACTTGAGTATCGGCATAGCATCGCAGAATGAGGGATGCTGATCATTATGTCAGTTAATTTTGCCTCAAGCTAAGGGGGGTTTGACTTACCGGAAGTTGTCAAAGAGCATATAGGCATTGTCCATAGTGATATATCCATATTTAGGTCCAATGTCTCCAATCACAACCCCATTCAGAGGTTGATGTGACTTCATGTCGCGCACTTGCACAATAAAAGGATGTGGGCCGTGAGATACGTATTGCTCTGGTGATCCTGGCTTTGGAAGAAACAACTGGGCGACAACGATGGCATGGTTGGCAACACGACCCAAGCTTCCATTCCACCACTTACTTGCCGTCAGCGTGGGACTGTGCAGGATAAACTCCTTGGTACTACTATCCCAACGTGCCTCAAGCTCAAGACCTCGAACGTTGCTACCATGGCCAAGCTCAGTCTGAGCGTACGCACCGATGATCTTCCATGACTCAATCAAAGGCATCCAGTAGGCACGCTGCTCTTCACTTGCTTGCTCTCGAATGGTCGTGACGAACATCTCCATGTGCAAAAAGTATGGAGAGACGTCATCGACCAAGTACTGGGCCATCTTATAATCTTCATGATCCCATCGATGCTGATCAGTCATTCGGCGCAGTAACTTTGCACGCGCCAGGCCAAGCTTGAATCGTTCCACTCGTGACAGGTTTTGTTGTTTTTCCTTCGAGAAAAGTGGCTCTTTCTGCAGGATGTGTAGTATCCGAGCTTGCCTCTCGAGAAACCCATCTGCTGGAAACAAGTGCTTACTTAACCCATCCACTGAGAGGTCGGACTGCCCTCGCTCACGAGCGAGGGTTGTGGGTCCATCAGGTTGACTTGGACGAAGCGTATCGGTGAAGTCTGGCATGTTTTTGATATTGACTGCATCAACCCATGGAAAGTAGTATACTGCGGCAACTGACAGCCAGCTTATATGACTTCCATATCTTCATGTCCATCTCTTTCCCGAGTTTAACCTAGGCCTGTGGTGACACTCTGTTCAAATTCGCCGAGTGCCGACTGCCGGTCGGTCTTTCCACTGCGGGGCTGATCGTGGGGAAGTAGCCGACTTGAAGATCTTAGGAGGTAAGAAAAGTAACGCGGGCAAACTCCGATGGTTAAATTATTGAATATGAGGTGGAAAGCTCTTAAGATTCGGCTTTTCCCGCTATCAACAGCGAGTAAACGGGACAGCTCCAGGGTATTCGATAGCAATGGGTGACCGGACTCTTTATGTACCCTCCCACATAGGGGAGAATGTTCTTCCCAATCTTCCTTTCTTTCATAAATTGCTTCGATACGCTCAGCGCAAGCCTTCGCGCATCGCTATCCGAGATGTAAATGCAGGCTTGGAGAAAACATACCGCGACGTGCTCTCAGATGCTCTTGCTCTTCGTGTCGAATTAGAGAAGACACTCGGCCAAAGCACTCTTCGCGAACTATCTGAAGACAAAGAAGTCTATATCGGTCTATTGGCACCAGGTGGATATGAATACACTGTGGGGTTCATTGCTATCCTTGCGATGGGTGCAGCAGTGGTACCTATGGGTGAGTTTATAATCGGGCTTCACAAAACACATAACTGACTGACATTGAGTAGCTGCTGGGTTACCGGTAGAAGAGGCGTCTTACTTCCTCCACAAAGCTCAATGTGTAGCCTTGGTGGCCAGTACAACCAGCGAAGAGCTCGGGAAGTCCATTGTCCGATCTATGGGCGAGAAGAAAAACTTCGCCATCCCTTGCCTCGCACCCATCGCGTCGTTATTCCTCCCTACACCCATCTCAGCTGAGGATGTCGTTATCTCATCAAACAGAATGCTTGATATGAACGGTGCAAGCGCGGTCATATTCACATCAGGCACAACAGGCCCACCCAAGGGTGCAGTCCAACGGCGTACTTGGTTGACCGGCAACGCCGAGACCGACGCAGACTTCTATCGCATCACCGAAAATGACGTTGTGCTCCATGTATTGCCAGTTCATCATGCCTCGGGTGTAGGACTTACGTTCCTTCCTTTCCTCACAGCCGGTGCATGCATTGAATTCCGGAGCGGTGGCTTTGATACTGCGTGGACGTGGGAGCGCTGGCGTCGTGGAGGGCTGACATTTTTCTCCGGCGTGCCTACCATCTATATGCGTATGATGCGGTATTATGAAGAAAACATAGCCAATCAGGCACCCGAAATACGCGATCAATACGTTGCTGGAGCGCGTAGCATTCGCACCATGTTGTGTGGATCATCAGCACTTCCTGGTCCTGTGCAGGAATTTTGGGAGAATTTGCGACAATTACCCATCTTGACTCGGTATGGCGCTACGGAGTTTGGAGCAGTCATTAAGACAGACTTGGATCCTACTGGTACACCACGTAACAGCGTTGGTCGAGTGGTCGAGTCGGTATCTCTCAAGCTCGAAGAGGATGGTCATCTCCTTGTCAAGTGTCCTTATATGTTTTCAAAGCAAGTGATCCTCTTCTCCAGCCGAAGCGTCCTCGTCACTAACAAATTATTAAACTGACAGATATCTTCATGACGAGAAAGCGACTATGGAAGCCCACGATAAAGATGGTTATTTCAAGTCTGGTGACATTGCCCGCCGGGAAGGAAAATATTATTTCATCCTCGGTCGTGCTTCCATCGATATTATCAAGTCTGGTGGCTATAAGATCTCGGCATTGGATGTTGAACGAGAGATCTTGGGGCTGGATTACGTTTCTGAGGTGATGGTGGTCGGCGTTGAAGACGAAGAATTCGGACAACGAGTGGCAGCCACCATCAGCCTCAAGACGGACCCGAATACCACGCGCAATAGTCTTACTCTTGCGGAGCTGAGAGAGGACCTCCGTACCAAGTTGGCTGGTTATAAGATGCCAACTATTCTGCGGCTGGTCAAGGGTGAGCTGCCCAAGTCAGGTACAGCAAAGGTGCAAAAGAAGATTTTGGGACCGAAATTCTTTCCACCTAACTATCGAGAGATTCCCGAGGTTCAAGTGTGGAGCAAAGGGAAGAGTGCAAAGCTATAGATACCTTCAAAGAACGTTTTTATATGATAGAACTCAATAAGACTTGCTTGAATAAGAAATATTGACTTTTAATACGGCCACTTATTTTTCAAGACTAATAGATCTCACAAACAAAGAAAACGGATTACATTCAACCTCACTCTGTATGATCATATTTTGGCCTTTGCAGGAGCAGTGGTCATCCGACTATGCACATAGCTAATCCGCTGGAATTTCTTGATCGCATCACCCCAAAGCTCTTGACGCAACAGAGCATAAACCCTACAAGTAATGTTAGCATCAACAGCTCCGCAATGTGTCTAAATGTACAGCCCTCTGAAGTTGGGTTGGTATCCGAGAACTCACCCCATTCTAGCCTTAGGTGCCACCTTATTCCCAAGCTCGAGTGCAGCATCAAGCATTTTCTCCGGTTCAGCAATCTCGTCCACAATCCCATCTTCTAGAGCCTCCTTACCGGTCCACTTGTGCGCTTCGAGTAGCATCTTGCGCGCGATTTGAGGACGCAATTTCAGCCTTGGAAGAGAACCAATTCCGTCGAAATGCAGACCAAGGTTCACGGGTGGCATAGAAATGAAACCTCGGCGTGAATTCATGATGCGATAGTCGTGCGCCAGTGCAAGAGGACAGGCACCCCCGAATGTGTGACCAGTGAGTAATGCAATCGTTGGGAAGGGGAAATCAAGGATAGTATGTATAAGCTAGACTTAAATTAGTATCTTCTTTCAATCAAACTGCTCTATCTTGCTCATTGCTTCAAAAGAACGGCATACCGGATAAAAGCCATCTGTATTCGCAAATGGATTGGTGTCTGCTTCATCTAGCTCGAGACCCTAGTAAATATTCATTAGCTTTCGCCCATTTACAAGAACTAAAAAAGCGGCAACACATACAGTGCACCAGAATTTGGCATCATTGCCTCGAGTGATAACAGCGCCTTCGGAGTCAGGTCCTAGCAGTTTCTCGACTGTCCGATAGGCGCGTATCATCTCCTGGCAATACAAAGAATTCAATCGATTCTCTGGGGGTTTCTGCATAGTCAAAACGAAAACGCTTCCATGCCTCTCGAGCGAGAGGTTGCGAAAGGTTGGGATATCAGCCATGCTGCCAGGTGTGTCTGTCAACCAAATATGAAGTTAATAGAGAGAAAGATATTCAAGCGTTTTTAGAAATATCAGTCGTTTCTTTTGGGCGGAATACGCGAATATCCATGAGCCGAGCTTCATTGCTTCCCCGCACGCGTTAATCCCTCGGACCCCACAGTCTGTTTCCTAGTAAATTCACCGATTGCCGATTGCCGGGAGGGGCGATACAGCCTTCATGAAAAGACACTACAAGTCATTACACTCTCCATAGCAATTCTCGATGTCGTGTCATCCTGTTGGAGGTGAATTTCATGAATTCTTTACCATGAGAAGTCCGCAGATAGATCTACCATTGAAAATCGCCCGTCCATTCCATATCCTTGAACAGCCAATCACCCATGCCCTGGTATTGATTATGGAAGAACTCGTCCGGCATACCCTGTGTCATATCCCCCATCACGAATCCCATATGAGGGTCCAAAATCGTGGTCAGTGGCCGATAGTCCTCCGTAGATGGCACGGCATCCACAGGGCGGGATTCGGGGAATTCCTCAAGGGAAACATCTGCGGTCTCGATAATCGGCTCAGTCTCCAGTGGGGTTTGTAATGTAGCGGGATTTTTAGAAAGCATAAAGAACTTCCATGCCCAGGATAGATCCGGTCCGAAGTGTTCAAAGAATGGCCGGTGCTCTCGTGGAAGCGTCGGCAGATTTGTCGTGTCTGACTTTGTCGTCCGTTGCTTCCTTTCGGCGATGCTTCTCAAAGCCCTGAGACTCCCTTTGGCGGATGACCAACGTTTGGCAAGAACCTCTAGAGACAGGTAAATCGTCTCAAGACTCGTAGCCCCCTTGTCCCATAACGCTGGTATATTCCGACATGAGAGCAGCCCGATGCCAGCAGCTAGCAAGTGGAACGTGAATATTGGTCCCAAGAACTGGATCTCATCTCGGGCCAGGAAGTCTTCAAACATGCCTGCTACAAAGGACGAGGCAAGTACCACTGCCGGAGATGGTGAGTTTCCCGGACTAGGACGGCACATGATGGCGAGGCAGATGAAGTATGGGATGTGAAGCTGGCGCGCTTCAAAAGTATACGGAGCTAGATTGTTCAACGTAAGTTCCCATTCTGATGAAGACGTGGAACGATTGAAAAGTCGTAGTGAAGCGGGAAGATCTCGCGTCCACCTGTAAAGGCGGTTCTCAATGCTCTGTCGCATGTGTCGTGTGAAGCTCTTCCGCCGGTAACACTGTGTGAGATGACCAAGAATAGAGCCAATTTCAACGTAGGCGATGAAGAGACTTCCGTTTGAGCTGGCATCATCAAAGTCTTCCAGACACGGAGGAGCTAACTCGCAATCTTCTATGTTGACTGCAAGTGGACGCCCTTGTCCTGCAGAAATCAAGCAGTCCCTGGCCTAACAATGATCAAATCAGATACCAGACACCACCTCACAAAGTGCTACTAGGAACAACTGACAAATAAAGTCCACCACAGCCTCCGCCTAAGGCCAGCTTCTCTCTTGTTTGTGGGCTCCTTATGTAGACCGATTTGATGAGCTAGTCCAACACCAACATATCGCCAGAAGCCGCTGGTGTTTGTGGAGACGTGCTCAGGGCCTTCCGGATTATACCAATGCAAGATACACACAGCTGCGACGACAGTCACTGGATTCTTCTCATAGCCTGACCAAAACAAGGCTTTTGCTCGGCGATAGAATTGATGAGTTGATGCATATGCAGTGACGGCTGGTGCAGAAGTAACCCGGCTTGCTGCGACGAATATCGATTGCAGGAGAAGAATTGAGGGCTTCTGGGAGCCATTTTCTTCTAGCCAGCTGCGTTCAACGATAGGCATCCAGGGTGAACAGCGTTCCATGAAGGTATTGATGAGGCCATCGCGAATTGCGCGCGGCGGGAGCTCAAATGCGCCTTGTAGCCGGAGCAATTGAATATCATCATCGGAGGGGCCATCGGCATCTCCTATGGGATATGACCTGGCTTGATCTTCGTTGATAACCACTGTATCGTCGAAATACCTTGACCTGGCCATAAAGCTCAAACTTGAAGCTGACGAATATGGGTTGGATGCACGAGGCGAGTCGGTTAATCTCGACCTATCCTCGGTAGCCGAGACGTTCGGTGCACCTAATTCATCCTCGGAGCGTTCAACCGAAGGTCTATTAGCACTTATCGAGGCTGGTAAGCCCATGGACTGTGCTTCATTCCAAGACAAGCGGTGTCGCTGTTGTCTTTCGTCATCAATTTCAGTCTCGAGTTCACCGTCACTGGTTTGCTGACGTTTCCGCTTGCGCTCTCTCTGGCTGTTCATGGGTTATTTATCTGAATCTTCTCAATGTCAATATGTGTTTATGCTCACCAGCAGGGCCATTGGTGTCGTAGGCAATTCAAACAAGAATTAGTGGAGCCTTCAAAGATGCATCGAACCTGTAATGATCAGCTCGTCTCTCGGTTAATCCGGGGCAGCTCTGATCTAACCTTCTTTTTGTTACACGCGACACACGCCTTCGGTGCACGTAATGATGGCGGACTAAACTCTCTCATCGTAGTGACCTTGTCTCGCAGCTTTATTCCGTATAAGTCTGCACATTCAAGTTGGCATCGAACGGGCCAAGAAAGCGTGGGTCTGTTCTTCCCCGCATTTCCTGGTCCGAGGCAAGTCGGCAACAAGAAATCGTTGGTGAATTGTGGGGTATCTATTGAGGTATCTTCACTATGTAACGCAGAATTTTGGAATGTACAACATCATGCCCAGCCAGCCAGGGTCCAGCTAGATCGATCACCGGCTCTCAAGCCCGATCGGCGATCTGGGACTGAGGGTTCCGAGTCGCGAGTCGCACCAGCAAGCCCATGCTGCAGAAACTTCTCTCGCTCGATCTCGACCATCCCACGTAACTTCAAGCTAGTTACTAGACTAGCTCCAGCCCATGCGCCAAGAGATTCAACTTCTCGTAGGACTCCTTGTATGGGAACAGGTATGTCTTTATTCTGTCGGTGCAGCTTTTGTTCCACAAAATCAATCTCTGGCACTTCCTGAGACGGATCGGTCTTCTCGTCTTTGGCAGGAGTCTCTCCATTTTCGCTAGTGGGCTTCGGCTTCTGCCCATTAGTCTGAGACGAGATCCGCAGGTCCTCCATTCGTTGGCGTTGTCGTTCGACGGCTTTGCCTCGAATCGAACTCCACCCATATCGTTCTATCAGAGAAGACACTTCTTGAAGGATCCTCTGTCGTAATCCAGGAATTCGAGCTCCACCACCCACAAACACAATGCGCGACATGCACGTCCCGCGTGCATCGGGCGGGAGAGCCAGGAGAGTATTGTAAACGAGCTGCGGTATCGACTTCTCCTCGTCATCCAGTTCGCTTTCTGGGGTTCCTGTTGCAAGGAGGACTGTTTCAACGGGCTCTGCCAGGCGGGGAGAATGGCACGTCAACAAAGTCTTGTGCTGGGTTGGTGGGAGAAGGTATCAGGACGGTGTGGGCTGGCAATTCCAATTCCCGTTGTTCTCCATCATTTGCGCGCGGCTTGCACCAAGCGAATCGAGTAATGATCTCTTCGCAATATGCAAACCCAACTGAGATTCCGTCGTCTTTGGCCTCCGTCTCGTGATCCTCGCCAGACGCCAGACGAGAAAGAAGCCGCCCCAGTTCTTGTTGGGTGGACTTCATTGCCCTTGTACTCCGCTTTGTGGTGATTTCTCTGTACTCGTAAAGACCGGTCGCCGTAGTTTCCGCCCATCCAATGTCCACCACTAAAGCAGAGCGTAATCCCGCAGCGGTTGCCGACATGGTGGCACTTGGAAGGAGAGTGATGCTAGGAAACCTCCAGCGGCTGAATAATGTAGAAAGCAACGACGAGAGCAATGGATGCGGCATGAGAGAGGGAAGGGTCAGGACCAGGCGAGACGAGCCGGCGTCCGTCAAGAGGTACTGGTTGTATGTTTCGCGGAAGAGGCGCTCGATCTTGTCCTCCAGCAAGCCCAAATCAACCTTGCGAAGGTCGGGCTGCCACAATTCATAGTCTCGTACCCAGTCCTCCGCATTGACTGGCTTTGGCAATGGTCCATTGCCTGCAGCACCCTGAATCCAGCCGCGATAGTCCCCCACTCTCCTTGATTCCTCAGGACCGAATCCCACCACACAGAAAGGTGTACCATTGCCTTCAAATCCCGCCCGTAGCCATCGTGCGCCTAGCTCAAAGATAATTGCATCATCCTCGTTTCGAAACGTTGACCCCGGTGACGTCGTACTGGCGAAGGAGGTATTGCCTGAGCGCGAAGGTTGCTGGGGCGTATGAGGTGAGGTTGGCCGGGCTGTCTGTGTATGACGCAGATTCGAAGGGGTTGACATCTTGGGTTGCTTTGGTCACTGGGTGGTGGTGCGCTTATAGCTCTGTTCGCGAGCTCGTATGTTTGTTTAAGAGCTGCCGTGCCCCTCGGAGGTTCAGAATTCCGCAACACAAAGAAGTCGCATTCGCGGCGCGCCGACCGTAACTAAAACGCCATACAAATCGCTTCGAATTGTCAGACTCAGTCGTCTCTAAGTAAGGGGCAGCACTGACAGCAATTGTGGGGAGGGAGTGGTTGATTGGCAAACGGGGTCGCGGAGCTGTACGCGCTGGTGGGAAGCAACGGATCTTCATCGGGCCGTGGTTTATTTACTCGTCAACATTCTACCTCTCCTTCTGCAACCACCTCACCACTTGCCCTGCATGGCCGCATCCCTCGCTTTCTGAAGCCACTGACTTGTTGAACCCTGAGACCAGCCTAATGGGTATCCCAGGGTATGTATTCCCCGTCATTTCCTTGATTTGTTGCATGATCGAAGCTGTGGGTGCAAGCATGAAAACACCCGCCTAGCAACGGCCTCTAATCGAACGTATGCGGGCGCATTTACTGCCTTGAACAACCTCAACTGATTCGAAACAGGCTCATCAACGCCATAGGCATAGGAGAGCGGGTCTCTCTGGCTAAAGTGGCCGGGTTGCACCTAGAACGAACTGCGAGGCCCATCCGAATCGCCGTTGATATCTCCATTTGGCTTTTCCAGGTCCAGGCGTCGCGCGGAGGCAAGAACCCGGAATTACGCACGCTTTACTACCGACTACTCAAACTTCTCGCTTTACCTGTCCATCCACTGTTCGTTTACGATGGCCGTCATAAACCCCCGTTCAAGCGAGGCAAAGCGGTATCGCGCAACTCTGGCAATTTACCGGTCATCCAACGTTCGAAGGATCTTATTGAGCGGTTTCGGTTTCCATGGCATGAAGCGCCCGGGGAGGCTGAGGCTGAGTGCGCGCGGCTACAACAGGCTGGCATTGTCGATGCAGTGATAAGCAACGACGTTGACACCCTGATGTTCGGATCAACATTCACAATGATGAATTTCTCGAATGAGAGCGGCAGCGGGGCATCGGGAGCAACACATGTCACTTGCTATCACTTAGGTAGTCAGGGACATGTATCAAATGTTTCCTTGGACAGGGCGGGAATGATTCTCTTCGCTATGCTCAGCGGAGGAGATTATCTTCCGTCGGGGGTCGAAAAGTGCGGTCCTGGTACCGCTGCAGAGATTGCAAAGGCTAAATTTGGCGAGGATCTCCTTGAGATAATTGCCTCACATCCGCCAGACCTTGACTCACAACTCTCCGAATGGCGAGAACGACTGCAATACGAGTTGGACTCGAATGAAAGCGGCTACTTTGCGAACAAACATCCAGCAGTCCGGATTCCAGAAAGCTTCCCAGACCCAACGATTCTTGAGTACTATGCTGAGCCGAAGGTTTCTACGGATGAGGAAATGGCTGTCCTCAGACACCGGCTTAAGCATGCTTGGGATCGCGAAATTGACCCGCTGGCCATTCGAAGCTTCGCTGCGGATAACTTGGATTGGAAATATCGCTCGGGTGCTCGAAAAGTGATCAAGAACCTGGCAGAGCCTTTAGTCTCATACAGGCTTCGCCGCCAAAGACCAGTGTCGGGCGCCTCCAGTGGCTCGCTTGCTCCTAATTGCGATGCGCCATGGCTCCAAAAGGTCTATAAGTGCCGCGCGAGCTTTGGCACAGATGGCATGACCGAGCTTCAAATCGATATGCTTCCGATTGATGTCGTTGGCATTGACCTCATGGCCGAAGAACCAAATCCTCCATTGCCGACCAAGGAGACGGAGCCTTTACAGGACACAACTCAGCTTGGGGGTGAAGAAGATGATGCAGAGCTTTCTGCCGATGACCCTCAACCAACAACACCTTCAAAGATTCGCGTGGCAAAACGCTATGATATTTATGACGTTCAAAAGATCTGGGTCCTGGAGTCCGTCGCCAGGCTTGGCCTTCCCGCTGTTGTCAAGAAATGGAAGGATGAACAAGCTGAGAAGGCCAAGAAGGCTGCTGCCCCCAAGAAAGCGAGTACTCGACGAACGGCGCCCAAGAAAAAGGGGATCATCGACCCAGGAATGAAACGGGGGAGCATCTTGAAATATGGAACCCTCACGAAGGAGAAATCCGAGCTCTCTGCTTCTAACAAATCGTACTTACTGGAAAGTGCGTCAACAAAACGACAATCGGCCTTGCTTCGGACTTTGTTTTCTTCATCTCAGGTCTTAGATCTTGAGGATGATTCTTTCACGCCGAGTATGTACTCCCAACAACACACCTCGGATCACGCGTGTTATTCTTCACTCGAGGTGGACGAGTTGACCGAGACGTTCTCCTCGCTGACCACTAGATCACAATCATTAAGCGTGAAGCGCCATCCAGCAGCTGCCCGATTACGTACACGATCCCGAGCTCAAGCTGTGGCAGGTCCTGCGTTTGAGCTCGATGAGTCAATCCCAACATCTTTTGATCCCATCATTGTGCAGGAAGCATCGGTTTCACCACCAAGACATCTGCGCTCCTCAGTTTCGAAATCAAGAAAGTCGACAACTGAAGTTGAAGCCGCCAGAGAAGATCTCGGGGCTTCCGCACGCAAAACCAAGCAAACTTCTTCAAGTGGTTCCAACAAACCCGGTATGGCCCGACACGCGCTCAAGGACGCCTTCAATATCGACCTTTTGGAAGAATCTATTGGTTCACTATCAATTTCCGGGGAACATGATGACCAAAAACCTAATCCCCCTGCCCCCTCATTGCACCAACCTTTGTTATCAAAGCCGAAGGATGACACCTCCAGGCGCCCTTCGCAAATCAGGACTGTGGATATTGCTCGGCCATCAGGACAGGCTGTACCACAGAAGGACAAGCCAAGAGCCCAAAATGATTCCGCAATCGTGTCAAAACAGACACGTGATGAGCATGCAATCCAGTCAGAGACTCATCCTTCTCCCAGAAAGGCTTGCAGCCCCTCAAAGGCCCGTTCAAGGTCGAGCACAAAGAAAAAAGAGCAGACTTCGAGCCATGCTCGAACAACCGGTCATATTGTAAACATCACGGCAGTTGATGGATTCTGGTCAGTTGATTCGCCTTCTGAAACAGAGGCAGGTTTGGTCAAATCAGAGGCTGGTCAGATCAGTGTTACGAATGACGCCCGATCTGTAACGAATCATCGGAAGAAGCGTTTGGCTCGAGTGAGCATTGTGGACATGATTTGATATGACTAAGATACCCTTACTCCTTTATATTTGCTTGGTTTTTTTTTCCCCTGCAATACTTGGCGCTAAGGTGGGTAAATGGGGTAATGCATAGCGATGCGGAAGACGCAATATTCCCATGTTAGTTTCTTTTCGGTGTCCGTCGAAATTTAATTCTCCAAATCCAGAGATCATTATTCTACTTGTTCTCTGCATGGTTCATTCCAGCCTAAACAAGACTGTGTCGATCGAGATCTACGCATGCGGACTTTAGTGGCCCATCGGGCTAGCCATGCTGGACTACGCTCTGTCACAAGTTTAATCTGTTTGGAAGCTCTTATTATCAGATTCTCGACGATCTAGCGCTGGAGCTAGCACACGACATAGAGGCACTCTAGTTTTGTGCGGAGTATGGTTTCGTCCGAGACAAACAAGTGTACCAGATGATCAAGCCTTGATGCACGAATCCGTGTTCTTGGGTGGGTGCGACGGGAAGCTTGATGGGACATGATTCTTTGTCTGTGGAAATCGAGGGCCTTATGATTGTTGTCATAAGGTCTGACAAGCATTAAACCCCCTCAAAGTTGCAACCTATTCCACTTGTTTACAGCGAGATGAAAAGGTTGGTTCAAGTCACCGATACTTCGTGAACGCTAAACAACTCGTAAACGCCCTCGGCGGCCCGACTTGGATAGGACGAACCCTCACCATGAAAATTTCTCTGATGCATTTTGGAGCTTGCAAAAATGGAAGTCAACACTAAGTGTTTGTTTCTCAGGCTATATAACTCTCGGGCTGGCGGGTTCCACAAGATGCAATACATCATTCCGTTGCTTTTCTCCTTTCTCCTCTCATTTCTTATAGTACTCCTCGACCCAGGTCTTGATCTGTGCTACTTCAGCATCAATAATCTTCTGGACACCCTCGTTCGCAGCACCATTCTTCACAATCAGATCCGAACAGTGGAAACCTCCTGAAATAACATTAACCGGGGCGGAATCCCGAGACGCAAGTGGGCCTCCAGGCCGGAAAGAGGAGGAGACACCGGATGATCTCCAGGGATCAAATTGTCTGTATTCTCGTCAGCGTTGTTCGACATGCAGAACATGAAACCTAGTGTATTATGAACATACCCATTGGCCCAAATGAGTCGAGTGGTGTCGGTCAGAGACCAACCCTTGGTCCACGAGTTAACCTGAGCTTCAGTCTTGCCCTTTGCACTTCCAAAGGTGAAGCCATTTACTTCGGGGAAGTAAAGAGAGCATTGTCTCTGCCAGTATTCGGCGTTGACGGTGCGAGACACAAGACTGTCAACACCAGAGGGTGCGCCACTAAGAACGAAGAAAAAATATCAGTAAACATGATACAATCTCGGAGGAGAATGGCAGAATGGCATACTCTTGCCAGTAGAACAGAGGCTCATTGCAAAGGAACCACTGCCATTGTCGATCAACGGTGTTGTTCACAGAAACATCCGTGAAGATAGGGCTGGATGCATTGTATGTGTTGAAGCAAGCAGTGGTCGATGGATCAGACCAATAACCATAGTTCGCACATGCTATTACCACTGTAAGTAGTTGTAATGATTCCTTCAGAAGTTTCAACTCACATCCAGGGAAGTAAACCTTCTTGAACCATCTCGCGTAGCCTTGAAGCGCCTTTTGAAGGCCGACCCCGCCTGCCCCGGGAAGTTTGCTCGTCCCGTTCTCGACATTCTGATTCGAAGTCAGCATCAACAATTCACAAAGTAATAAGTATCAGACGACTTGATACTGATACACACCTCAACGTAGTCGCAGAACTTATAGAATCCTGAGTAGCCTGTGTAGAAGGTATTGGACTGCCATAGCCAGGGTCCATTCTCCAAGGCGCTTTAAAGAGACACAAGTCAGCTTATATGATAACTGCCGCTGAAAATTGTGTAAATACCTAGCAAAGTCATCGAAATGTTCAATATCACCGAGGCCAAACAGCTCCTTAAGTTGCTGGACCTGCTTCTTGGATCCAGATTTGTTGACCTTGTCAATGTAGTCGACAACCCTGCTGACATCCCGGCTGCAATTTTTGGGCATTCCTTCCTGGACAGGAGTAAAATATTGCCACTAGATCGCAATTAGTATTGATGAAACTCCCTCTCTGGCCCAAAAAGTGCTACTAACATAATCAGAAATGGCCTCGACGGGAGCGCTGGACGCATGATACGCCCAGAATGTTCCGGGTGAGGTAGACTCGGTCCAGGCTGCGAGAGCACCACTATAAGACCCTCCACTCAAGACCCATGGCTGTTATTTGCAAAATCAATCAGCCAAATGCTTTTGGTGGGGCGAGAAGAGAATTTCATACCGCATTTTGAGCATTGCTGCTGCTGTTAGTATCAAAAGGAAGCTTGACATTCTTTGCAAAGTATGTAAGGTCCGCAATCGAATTCTCCAAGGTCAGTTGTTGCAGATTTTCCGTCGTCAGCTCCAGATAAGGCGATGAGTCTCCCCAGTAACGGTCTATTGTCCAACATAAATCAGCCCTGTCATGGTTGATGGTGGAAAAGAAACTCACGCTCAATCATGACCACTGCACCCTTGACTTCCTGTGCATAGAGACCGGTGATAGTCCTGTTGGTTAGATATCCCGTATACTGATCCGCCGCTTCTTCTCCGGGTGTGAACAAGACCACCTAACAAATTCTAGGTCAACATACAGAGCAATATGACTATGCAGAAAGGAAATCTTACTGGTGAGCCCTCGCCATCCCACCAGGCCGAGTTCCACCAGTAGCGTTGGGGAAATGTCCCAAGGCTCGGGTTCTTATGATCAATTAGCTGCTGGAATGTTGACTGTCCAGAGCTTGCAGTTGAAGCAGCTGTTGAAGGAGGAGGGACAGGCTTTGGTGCAATGGCCGCCTGAGCGACCGAAGCACAAAGTGCAGGCAACGCTACGCGAATTGAGAAATGCATCGCCAATCGATAGGGTATGGTCTAGACCTTAGTAAATTTATACAGAGGCTTCATACCAGGGACATAGGCGGCCGCTTTATATGCTCGAAACAACCCCTGAGACACCACTGCACACGACGCTCATGGTAGTATTCTAGGTCCACAAAAGTTGGGACGCTCCAATAAATTGAGGAGCATCTTGTGCCGGCACATCACCGGAGCGGGGGTTGTGATGGTAACCTTTCGGGGTTGAAGTGAGTACTTACTATCACGCGATAGTTCTAGTGCGAAGCTAGCTGCATAACTTGCCGTCCACCTGAACAACGACGTGCGTGATCTTCTTCATCCGCTGATATGACTACGACAGGCTTTCCAGATGTTTTACATTGTGAGGTCTACTGAAGAAAAATCGAAAAAAGATCTCTTCAAACTCGTAATTCTTCCTTTGGTCATGAAACTTTGGGGTAGTACCATATCTTTCGGGAAAGCAGTGCTGTAGCTAGTTCATGATACCACCGTCGGGAGTCCGAGCCAGCGATTAGCCGAGAGACAAACTAAAACCGATCAAAGTTCAAATTTCAATGTCCGCCGATATGCACTAGTAATGGACAATATTCAGGCTTGAGAACCGGGCCGGTAGATAGGATCAATAAAGCTGCACTACTTAGATAGGAAGCACTGTAGGCTCCAGTCTAAATGTAGTTAACCAATTACCCCGCAAGACTCGGCCTGCATCGGATAAACGCAGATTGATATTAGCACTCTTCAGTGGACACTGATTTCTCTCATCCGATCTCTACTGTCGACTCTCTATTGTCGACTTCAATTACTGGCACTAATCATTGCGATCGATCTCTCTGTCGACTCTCTATTGTCGACTTCAATTACTGGCACTAATCATCGCGATCGATCTCTCTGTGACTAGACCTAGAGGAAACCTGCTGGTCCAGCTTGGTCATCAAATATTGCGAGATCAAGATGGACCTCCTTCGACTGAAGCTACCGACTTGGGTGTAATTTCTTTCTTATACTTAGCTCAGTGTTGATTCTATTATTTTCAGGTACTTACCCAAGTCAAAGGGTGTGGAGTAAACATGCCCAATCGTTCCAGTACAATCTTCTTCATCTTCCGGCTCTGCACACGGAGTACCATCGGATGGCTTCACAATAGCATCAGGAACGGAATAGACTAAACCATTTTCGAAATCAAGCTTAATAGTCGGAAAACATACCGACCAATCATACTCCTATTCATAATCTTGGCGCCAATTGAAGTTGGCCTGAAGAGGAAGTTCATATTGAAGGCGTTATCCTTGGCTTCAGTCTTTGCCCACTATATACTCATTTGTCAGCACAGGAAAACTTCCACCCGTTTCGATCGTACAGAAGCTTTGCTAGCACGTTTTTCAAACGCATCTATACGATACAAAAAAGGCAATTAAGCCAGCTAAACCCCAGGTCACTAGCCTTCTTGTGGCTTGAGAGGGGGCTAGTGCCCAAGCCATTGGTAAGGAAGGGCAAGTGTTGGGTGTTCAAACATAGTCATCCATTCTCCCCTCTACATCATTTTCTAGGGTACATATTATCACATGTGAGTGAACCTTGGTCATGCCCAGAACTGAGGCATCTTAAAATTACAATTCATTCTCCAGCCTATTCTGGCTGGCAACTTGGTCGCTAATCAGTGCTCGGTGATCACATTGCTATGGACTTAGCAGACAGCCGTTGTGGGTGGTCAATGCCATAGATACGTGGAAAAATAATGGAAAATTTTGGACATTCGCAGGAATTATGTTGATTCATATTGAATAACTTAACCTAGGCAGTCGCCCAGCAAGACACAAACAAACAAAATCAAAAACAGAGGTAGTAGAAAGGCGCTCACGATGTCCAACTAGCCTGCTCACTGAATGACAGTTTGAGCCAAACTGGCCAATTTAGCCAATTCAGCATTGGGAACAGGGCCGGTGTTGAAAGGTGCGAGATGAACGCTAGGTACGAAGAGCGAAGTCGCGGGGAATGTGTATTCCTCGAATGCCGGAAATGGAGGTAGCACACCATTAATCAAGGTTGGGCCGCCTGGCGATAGGTCCAATATCGTGGTCGCGGCAACCCCCGAAAGAACTGACAGCTTCACGATGACAGGCGTAGGCGGAGCAAGTATCGAGATCGGAACATATATATCAATCGCCTGTTGGCCTGCGAAGGGACCGGAAGTAAGCTTTTTGAGAGTCTCCAAATCGAGATCGGCTATGGCATCAGGATATTTGACGTAAACCTCCAACGAGGTTGCAGATACCTTGCGCATAGTACCTTGTAGCGGCTGAACCCGGCCTAATCCAAAGCCAGGGAATACGTCGAACTTCACGATTACTCTTAGAAAGCTCTGTGTTCCTTGTCTGGTTTAATACCCGGGCCGCCACTTTTCTGTAGTCCACGGGCAAAGGTAAGATCGGTTGGCTTTTGGCGTGCATCAATCTTGAGGAATCCTTCACAGGTTCGCATAGACGCCAAGTACTCCAGAGCTTTGATGAGCTTGCCTGAAACCGCGCGATGCTCCTCCACGGAGCTATTCTGAAGCAAGTTGCCGACACTGTCGAGCCGGACGTCTATCACATTGCTTGAAAGGGTATTGTCAAGACTCTTGGCCCATTCTCTATATGCCGCTGCATATCTCTCTGAATCATTGGGTTCGGAAGACAGTATCATATCTGTGCTGGAACTTCCACCATTCACTTTGGTGCTGAAGTTGCGAGATTTGCGATGACTGTCGTACTCGTTCGTGGATCTGACGCTTGCATCGGCTTTGGCACTGCCCACGAAGCTGAACTCTGCGCTGACGTAGCTCTGGAAATTTTCCTTGGAGGTAAATTTGCTCATATCCTCATCTACTCTCAGCCGATATCTAGCTCCGAAGGTGCACGCCTTGATGACATGGGTCCCCCATCTGCGGAAGAACTTCACATACTGACGATGAATGTCATCAGTTTCCTCTCATTCAGGCAATTTCTAGCGTCCTCCACCAGATCCGAGTTGATTCTCGAGTCAGTGAATTCATGACCCTTGAGCTCCAGGCTGAACGACGTATGAACCGAATCAATGAGGGCATAGTATTTACTATGGCTGAGGGTTGTGCTGTAACTGTACTGAGCAGACGCGCTGGCTGAGAAACCAGCGTAACTGCCACTGACTGAAGCACTGGTATCCAGTTGATGAGCCATCTGATCCCCACTTTCGACTTTCAGCGATTGGGTCTCTGTCTGGCGGCTCCCCATTATTGCTTGGACGTTCACAGGTAGTAGATAGGTTTTTTCGTCGGCAAAATTTCTCTATTGCATATCCTCTACCAGAGTAATCACAGTGCTTCTATCACATTTCGTGACATCCAGTTTGAAAGGATCATGTTCTATAGCAAGCGATGCTTAGTATCAGCTGGAACAATCACCAGGTAGGCATTGATATGAAGAAGTTGAAAAAAGGGCAAGAGAGGAGCATGATCTAAGGCACCATCCCAATTACTTACCTCCCGGGGGTAATGATATACTTTGACCAAGTAGGTAGACATCATTGAAGACAGGAGGACTTTTTGGAGCCATTGTGAATTGGATGTGATATTGATTCTGAATGACGATAAGAAGTGTCTGTAGATGAAATTCTAATGACAATTTCTATAGGGGCACCAGCAGTAAGTCTTATATCCTTTTTCATATGTCAAGTCCATCTTCTAAAGATGGCTGTGCGATGGGCTGGCTGAATTGCCCTCTCCGCTCAGTTTTCCTACGCCACTGAATGGTGATATTTAGCGATAATAGGCGATGATGCCAGTCCAACGAGATGAATCCGAAGGTCCGACTTGGGGATGTGAAAGCCCGCGAGATCAAGGCGGGGTTTCTCTAGCAGTAGCCAAAAACCTCCTCCATTCACGATTTTCAACATGTATACCCAATAGCATGCATGTTAGTCAATACTATCACAACCGACTCGGTTATGAATCCTGCAAGTGCTGCCGACTGGACCAAGCGAGATCACTTGACCTAAAGCGGGAGCTCCGAAGGCCTAGTCTCCTCAGAACATGGCTTTTCAAGCCGATGTGAGCATCGCCAAGCGGGCGCCCCTTAGTGAACGTAGAGGGGCTAGCTGGACTTTCGAAAACGGGTAAGCACTGCCGATAATGGCTAGAAACGCATGGGATAGAGATTGACCACAAATCTATTATCTTTTCACTAGATCTCTTATACTAAGGTTATGGTAATAATGATGCTAAAGGGCATACCATTTCTAGTCGAACCCCTCAAAATCATCGCCATCCCCTGCACCATTCAAGGCTTTCGAATTGCCCGAATTCTTTAATAAAAACTCCTGCTCATTTTTGAGACGGATCTCGTTAACCATCCGCTCCGTCTCACGAGCTTTGTGCTTTTCTTCCTCGGGCAGCTGCTCCCACCTCTCCTGGTCCTTCCGTGCTTTCTTGAGCTCCTTGCGCTTGAGCTTCTTCTCTCGGTTCTCCATATTGTGACTCCAAGAAGCATTTTCGGCTGCACGCCGTTTCCGCGAATCCTGGTTTTGGTTCTCATCTCCCAGTGCAGCCTCTTCCATAACCTCTTTGCGTCGTTTCTCACGCTGCTTATCCTTATAGGCATAATTGTCCCAATCTATCTTGACACCTAGAGTCTTATCTCCGGTGAAAGTACGGAGCTCAGGCATCTTGGGCAGTTTGAGAAGACCCCAGGCCTTACCGAGAGCCTCCCAGTCCAGATCAGCCACACGGAAGATGCTAGCTGCTTGGTGCTTGCTATAACTGCGAAGCCAGCTGACAAAGGCTTTCTGGCCCTTATCATGAAGAGCACGGTCTTTCAACATAGCATTGCGTACTAGTTGAGTTGCAGATGTAGCATCACTATCGCTGGATGATTCTGGGAGATTGTAGGGCGCAACAGGTGTCTTGCGCACCTCCAGGAACGAGACGTAGTCCTCTTCGCGACCGGGATGGAGAAGAACGATACTGAGACCCCGGCGCCCGGCACGGCCGGCACGGCCGCATCTGTGGATGAATGTTTTGGGGTCCGATGGAGGATCGATTTGCACAACGAGGTCGACAGATGGAATGTCGAGTCCTCGAGAAGCGACGTCGGTGGTTAGGAGAATAGCGGGGGTGGTGGAGGTAGTGAAGCGGGTGAAGTTTTTCTGGCGGGCATTGGCAGGATGTTTGCCGTGGAGAGGGACGAGGAGGAATTCATTTCCTAGAATGATAGGTAATATGATGGCGAGATAGTCCACGCTGGAGCATGTTGAGACAAAACAGATCGTTTTTTGAGGCGTAGGGTGGACGGTTGTCAAGATTTGTTTCAAGATGGAGTATTTGTGTGCCGGAGGAGTAGTCAAGTAGGTCATTTGAAGACTGGCAGGTGTACGTTTGTCTTCAACACCAGCACCACCCTTGACCTTGACGGCGACCTTGACGGGATTGCGAAGACCCACACGGACAATCTGATCCACAGCTTCGCTGATACTGGCACTGAAAAGACCTGTCCTCCGTTGCTTGGGAAGATGGCGCAGAATTCTTTGCAAATCCTCCTTGAATCCGAGATCCAGCAGGCGATCGGCTTCATCCAATACCAGCATCTCAAAAGATGATTGTGAACAGTGAACATGGGGCGAGGAAAGCAGTTCCAACAGTCTTCCAGGTGTGGAAACTAGCACGTTCGGAGATTTCTTGAGAAACGTGCTCAAATCCTCCGCTGGAGATGTAGAACCACCTAGGAGGAGTTGTGGTACGACTTTGAGGACCGAGGAAGAAGACTTCGGACGAGGCGCATCGCCCTCGGGAGGATGAATCGCTGCGGCCGAGGCAGGGTGGAACTCGAGCAAGGACAAAAGCACTTGATGGATTTGTGATGCCAATTCTCTATACAAAGAATACTATTAGCAGGAGGGCCTAAGTAGCATTCGCCGTGGGTTTGACTAACCTTGTCGGAGAGATAATGATGGCGCCAATATGATGTTTCTTAATCGGATCTTCGAGGCGCAAGAGCTTCTCGACAACCGGAATCAAAAATGATAGTGTTTTACCACTGCCAGTGACTGCTTCCACGACCACATCCTTGTGCGCCATAAACAGAGGAATGGCCGAAGCCTGGACGGGCGTCATGCGCGTAAAGCCCATCGATGCCACAGCGTCGAGAGTCCATTGCGACAATGATGGCGTGATGCCATCCCACGCCCTCGAGGATGAGGGAGCCTTAGGAGCCATGTGTGATCAAGATGTAAGAAGAACAATCCCAAGTTGAGACTTGACGCCGTTCGCCGATCGCAAAGTCGCAAAGAAAAAAATCCGTTATCGATAAGATATTGTGACACGTGACAGCGGGTTTGGGCGGAAACGGAGATCGGAAATCATCAGCTCTTCTTGCTTTTTTTGCGCCAGCACAGCCTCCATTTGACCAAATTTACTTCTTGCTGAGTCGATCTTCTGGGGGCACAAGCCATGCACTGTGTGATTTAATCTGGCGCCCTCGACTCCTCCTCCTACGACCGCATCTCCAAACGATCGCCCATCATTCAGTCGTTAGGAAGTCTACTGATTCCCTGCGGCAGTCTTGCCTGCGACAGCACCGAGTCCTGTGCACGACCATTGCTCGGTTTCATTTGGACACCAATACTTCCACAGTTTTCTATAAGAGCGCCCGAAATGTCCTCCTCTCCAAATTCTGTCCCCGAGACTCCGCGAGTCATATCTCCCTCGCCCTCGCTATCCGAAAGAACCGAGGCACGTGATGGTTATTTTGCGCCGACAACGAGGTCAGCATCGCGACGACAGAACTTGTCTGGGGCCACAGAGGAAGTTTCTGGTCCAGAAAGGTCGAATAGCCCGCCTGGTTGGACGCCCTCGACGTCGCGCAACCGTCGACCAAAACGGCGGTCCAACCCAAAGATGCCAGCCTCGCCCCCGGCCAACGGCAAATCCTCGAACGGCTTCCTTTCGCCAAACCTTCCAGACGCTTTGCACGATATTTCACGCTCCCCATCGCCCCTCGGCCTAATTCCCTTACACACGCGGTATCGCAGTTTCATTCACCGCCATGAAATTCCTCGAAAGCTCCTGCACGTCTCGATCGGTTTTGTGACACTCCACCTCTACAGCCGCGGTGTTCAAACAACACAAATCACACCAGTGCTCTTCTCTGCGCTTGTTCCTATTGCAGCCACGGACATCTTGCGCCACCGCTCGGAGAAGGTCAACAAGCTTTATATTCGGTGCATGGGTGCGCTTATGCGAGAGACCGAGGTCTCTGGATACAATGGTGTAATCTGGTATCTTCTCGGCGCGTACGTCGTCCTGCGGTTCTTCCCTAAGGACGTCGGGGTCATGGGTGTGCTTCTTCTGAGCTGGTGTGATACCGCTGCATCCACATTTGGCCGTCTCTATGGCCGCTACACACCGCATCTGCGGCCAGGAAAGAGTCTGGCTGGGACCACGGCCGCTTGGTTTGTTAGTGTCGTCACGGCGGCAGCATTCTGGGGCTGGTTTGTTCCCTATTTCGGTAGCTTCCCGAACGATCCCCAGGATGCGTTCATGTTTACCGGCCGCTTGAACTTGCTCCCAGACTGTGTCCGGGGCCTTTTGGGGTGGGAAACTGGTGTCACTTCCACTACAATCACTGGTCCCCTGGCCCTGGGAGTGATGAGCGTTGTCTCCGGCATTGTGGCCGCCGGCAGCGAGTTCATCGACCTGTGGGGTTGGGATGATAACCTGACGATTCCTGTCCTCAGTGGACTCGGTCTCTGGGGTTTCCTGAAAGTTTTCGGCTAAACATTCCATTCTCCGTACAGCTTCTTTTATATTCCCCCCTTGTCCCTGCTTTTCTTTTCTTGGCATTTAATGTCTAGATGACCGGATGGTTTATTTACCTTCTCAGACATCGCATTGCATCAATCTGGTTTCTGGTTTAGACATGGTACATGACCAAAGCTCTCTTGCCGTTGTGGATATCTTCTCTCTTCAGTTATGCTGCTCGGGCGTCGACCTGGTTTCTTTTTCCCGAGTTTGATTTAGTTCTTGTGCCATGCGTCTACAAGCTCTCAGTATATGTGCTCTATCTATTGTCTCGGCAATTTGGAATGTATTTTCGCATCTCGGACCTCTTCTCATACATGCTATGCTGTACATCACTGCAAAATTCACGAAGTTAAGCTTATAGATGTCTGTGCTCTTTGCTCATTCACTTCCCCGGAACAAGTGGACCCTGGGATATTCCAACGGTGTGGGGCAATGCACCTTGGCTTCCTTGATAGGATTAGCGTAATCTTGCTTAGAATATCGCCTTCGTACGACGGCTCGAATCCTTGCACCTTAAACTTTTCGCAATTGAGATGCACTCCGCCAGGCGTTCTGTGTGCTATGGACCGGGCTCCTTCGAGTCAAGCTGATGATTCTTGTTGGACGTGTCGTCGTCGATGGAAATGCGACCGGACACTCCCTTCTTGCCGCAAATGTGCTGCTACGGAACTGCACTGCTTGGGCTATGCCAAAGAGCGACCCCTGAGATGGACGAATAGTGTTGCAAGCAGAGGGAAATTGATGGGCATAGGAGCTTCATGGATGTACTGAAGGGTGTCAATATACCAAAAATCTCGACACAGCTTTTGCAGGTGCCGGCTTACAACGATGCCTTCTATCACAAACAGAAGACCCTTGCTTTCCTCCGGGACCAATGTGCAAGGGGCCAGTTGAGAAATCCAGATGAAGTATTTGCTTCAATCCTCTTATCAATCTGGTTTGAGCTTATGGATTCTGGGAAAGATCGCTGGAAGGATCATCTTCATGGATTACAGGACATCATGCAAACCTTCAATTTTCCCAAGGGCTTGACGGCATCAATCCCCTATTTCTCTGAATGCTTCGATACCAACTATGCCATGTATGCCTCTGTTGGGTTCAAAAATCCGATTTCTTGATTGAACTAGTCCTCTTTATTGCAGTTTCGGGATTATTGGTCCAACATTCGTCAAAACCACACAGCTCTACCAACCTATCTTCACCACGATACCCGTGATAGACGTATTGAAACTTTCAGAGTCTCAAACGTGGGCCGGATGCCCAGCAGAACTCCTTTTTGCATTGTCGCTTATCAACGCCGCTTCATCAGATCCAGAACAGACTCCCGATGTGGTATATCACATATGCACTTTACTTCGAAAGTTCTCCCCGAAACAATGGGCTGCCGCTGGAAGCAAAACAGACAACGTGATGCCACGATATAATTTTGCCAGAATGTGGCGAGCAGCAGTAGGGATATACGCATCACAAGTCTTGAACGCGGCTGTTGAAGGGTTTGACATTAGCCCACAATATCCCACGAGCTCTTCGGACTCGGTTGTTTCAAATATTAGATCAATGGATCCATCAAATGCGCACTACAGGGGTCTGCTATGGCCTACATTTGTCATCGGGGCCCACTCACCTACCCAGAGAAGTGTCATTGTCGAGTCAAATGGACACTCGTGGGCGATATGGCGCTGTGAGAATGTCACTAATGCTTTGAGGCTTCTGCAAAGGATTTGGGGGCTACGGGAAGCAGGAGGCATGCCTCAACGCTGGATTCAATATGTATACGAATCAGGAGAAGCATGGATTTTTGTCTGAAAAGTTGAGACTACTATTAGATGATCAAAAAGGATGAGGGGAATCAAATAAGTTAATTGATACAAACAGAAATCTCAAACAAATCGTAAGCCGAGGCTTTCGAACTTCTCGAATTGAGCCTCGAAGTACTCGACCGGATCTGCTCCTTCCACCTGCCAGTATTTCTCCACGATCGGCACAGCCTCCGAATCTGTGTCCAGAACTTCAACGAGGCTTCCGCGCGCTGGCCATGGCAGTGCGGCAAAGTTACCATCCGGCGATGCCTGCAACAGCCAGGCAACATCGTCGACAAGAGTGCGGGGTGGGGTGTTAGCGGGGATAGGAGCGGTGGGCGAGGCTCCTGGGCGGAGGGGCGGGAGGGGCGTAAGGTCCTCCCGTCGGAAACCAGAAGGAATAGATCCGACTGGGGGTGTATCTGGATTTTGAAGGTATGAGGAACCATCGATGGACATGGGATCCGAACGATAGGGACTGTTATCCAGTAACGCACCAAGGAAAGAGGGGGAAGAATAGCCAAGAGCAGACGGCGTTGACGTATTGCTACTAGGAATCCGCGTGGATTCCCGTAGACGACTCGGAGTCTTCGGCTTGAAGAGCTCAGCCTTGTTGCGAGCTCGGCTAAGTGGAGAGGGATCGTCATTTTCGACGGCGAAGTCTTCCGTCGCAGCTGCGTTAGGGTATGTGATGTCAGCAGATGTCTCAACATATTGCGATAAGTGCCTTCGCGGCTGTAGGGAAGAAAAATATCTGGCTGCATTGGATGGAGGACTTTGAGGGGAGGCAGAAGAGGGTGATGATGAAGAGCCATAAGGATCTGGCGCTTGATAGCCCCGGCTCCGCTTCACTGGACGTAAAAACGACGAAGACATATCTGAAGCAGACGCTGCGTCCCGCTTTCGCTTGATCGCGGGGCGTGGCATAGTGGGCAATGTCGGGGATGAAGCCGCCAGAGAAGTATCTTCGAACGTCCGCGAGGTCTGCGAAGGCTCACGAACCCGGCGCAGAATAGAAACCGGGGTGGTGGGAGCAGACTCAAAGCGCTCGTTATACCAGTCCTGATTGATTCCTGAGCTGTATGGGGATTCAAGGTCTGCCCATCTCACCCTCTTCTTGGGGGCATTGGGGGTTTGAGGAGGTTTGGGAACCTCTTCTGCCTCTTGCGGTTGGAACAACTTGGGAAGGGTGAAGAGGCGACCAGGGTTCCAGCGCCTTTCTCGTCTCAACCAATAAGTGGCGGCCATCTTGGGAAGAAAGGCACGGTGAGGGAATCGGTAGGCCTCTTCTGCGCTTGAATCGCAGCAGGGAACCGGATGCTTTGGGAAATAGACACCGTTGATCATCGTACCTTTTTGGGAAGCTTGGGCTCGCGATTCGCGACGGGATTTGGACCCATTTTTTGGTGTAGATCTCGGGACTTCGTTGGTCTCCAATGACTGGGTTGCGGCCGGAGAAGTTTGAGAAACCGAAGGCGAGTCGGGGTCGTTCAGCGATCGGCTCGAGTCGATTGGAGACAGATCGGGTGGCGCAAAAGTTCCTCGTCGATTCGGAACGAAACCGGTGGTACGGCTAGGAGGTTGATTATGACGGGGCGTAGTGGTCTGACGACGGACTGATCGCTGGGTACGCTTCTGCTGCTTCGGGGATTGATCAACGCGGCGTTTCTTGGTAGGGGGGACACTTTCTTGAGCCGCTTTGGCAGCATCTTCTTCAGCCTTCTCCACTTGTGCCTTAAGCACTTCCCATTCCTCGGGTGTGAAGTCTTCTTCGTGGACGGCGAGGTCGTCTTCATCGAGACCAAAGCCACGGCTGCGCTTGCGTGGGTTTGCCCTTTCCGCATCGACATTCGACTTTGCTGCGGTCTGGATAGGAGCCTCCTTGGAAGCCCTTCCGCGTGAAGTAGGGGAAGTCTGGAAATGTGAAGCCATTGGGACGAGTCCTGAAATCGGGGAAGTGCGAAGATTCCCCGTATTAGCGGTGATTGGCGATCCTCTTGGCGAGGTCTCCTTCGGGGGGTTGGAAGAAGCATAGAGCTTTAGACGGGCAGCTTCCTCGGCGGCAGCACGCTTTACTGCCATGGTTTCGCGGTTTCTTTCCTCGGCCCTTTTTCTTAGGACCGCTGCGCGAGCCGCATGTCGTCGCTTGACGAATTCATGCTGAGTCTCGTGATCAGGATCAAACGAAGGATCGTCGGCAGCAAGAATTGTTCTGGTGTCCACAAAAGACATGGTACGACGCCGTGGACGAGGTAGAGGAAGAACAGGACGCCGGGGAGGTGAAGGAGGCAGACCACGACGAACCCGGGGCGACATCTCTTGATCGTTACCCACTGGTGAGAATGCCGGTGTTTTGGTAGGCTCAAATGTCGCAGTGGGGGAACCGAATGGGCGGGAGACAACTGTGGGGGGGTATCCACAATTGTGACAGGCACAGCTAGAACAAGTTCAGTGGGGGAGGTAGGCGCGACGGACACAGCTGGCTCACTGGCAGCAGCAACGGCTAACATCCAAAAGTAAGACTTGAGTTTCGGTTTTGTGAAATCGGTTAGAAGGGAAACTTACCTGGCTGGTTCTCATTCTCAGTCTCATGATCATGGTCATGCGCGAAGCGGCCTCGAAGGTCTGTCCATCTTCTAGACACATTATTGAAGATCCATCTGCTCCAGCCTGGAGAAACGTCAGTACCCGCGGGAGGGGCGGTCATAGGGGCCACAGGAGTGGCAGGGGTCGACCGCTCGGGGGTCGTGGGGGGTTAGTCTCGAGGACCACAGTCGCCGGAGGAAGATTGGGGGATTCCTGCTCGTGGGCAGGGTTGGTTTCTTCTCCAGAGCCATCCTTGAGCTCGGGCTCACTGTGGAATGACAGGAGCTGTGGGAGGCGATACAAGGTCCGGCCAAGACTGCCACGGCTCTCAATGCGACGAGAATTAGACCTGTTCGCGTAAGAGGTGCGAGACCGGTGAATCGGTGTGGCCTCTTGGGCACGCAATACTCGGGACTGTTCGGACACGGACGTGGATGGCGAGGCTCGGGATCGGCGGCGGGTTGACTGTCTTCCGGACCGCACTGCACGAATGATGGAGATCAGTTTAACGTCGTCCAGGGCGGAGTGCGACTGGGCCGTGTTTGGGTTCAACATGGGGATATCCTGGGACCATCCGACTGCGGGAGCAGTGATAGTGACGACAGGCGGAAGGGATGCACCCTGGCTGCGGGTGCACAGGCGGTAGAGGGACCGCAACTGCGTCATTAACCAGCTTCTGCCCTGCTTGCCAGGGATCTCAGTTGAGGTGGAGGTTGTCGAACTTGGAATGTCGCTTGCCGTGGAAGCCGCGGAATCGACAGACGACGAACGAACGGGGAAAAAAGAAACAGAAGAAGAACGGAGGGCAGAACGGGAAGAACGGAGGGAGAAAAAAGGAGTTGGAGACTCACAGACTCCAACGATTGGAGTGGGAACCTCAGGGTCACTGCTCTCAATTGACGGGAGGACAGTGACGGGGATCTCAACTGACGGTGATGCAGGAATATGCATCTCGAGCTCCGCCTGGATCTGTTCGGCGGCAGACTGGTCAGCTTTTTGTCTTTCCGACAGGTCGAGGTCCGCAAGGGAAAGGTGCAAAGGGTCATCCTGCAGCTGGTCGACGGCAGGCTCCCCGACGGTAGTTTCGTGTGGGTCCTCATGCTCTGGGATGGTGCGAAGGTCGACATCGGGGGACTTCACCTTTTCACTGGGTGCTTGAGCACCGGCACTCGAGGTGGCATCATCACCCTCCAGCTGGTTAGGCTGAGGAGTGGCAGAGGGAGGGGGAGAAGGGGAGTGTGTGGTACGGGACGTCGCCTTCTACAGTAAAACAGTCAGTCAGGAGCTTCTGTGCCAGATGTCTGGATAACATACCTTCCTGCCGCGGGAGGCGGCCTTGCCACGGGTCTTGCGAGTCTTGGGCTCGCGGACAGGCGGGGCAGGCTGGTCTTCCTGCGGTTGAGCAGACGCAGAGCGCGTCGCTCGGCGACGACGAGGAGCAGGTTCTGGCAGGCCCTCGGCGGCGTTCGGAGAGTTCGGGCCATAAGGCTTGGAGCGAAGGCGTGGAGGCATGGTGACAACACACCTCAGCAGCAAGCTGAGAAACGAGGTTGGAGAAGGTTTTGATCGCGAAGACGTAACTGAATGTGGACGTTTAAGGTGTTATCCTCAAAGACTTGTGGGTGGACAGTGACGTGGGAAGATGGAGGAGAGAGGAAGAAGAAGAGTAGGAGGAGGGTGAAGGGAATATTTATGTTTGCCCATGGGCGTGATGTGATCCGTTGTGATGGCGACGTGTTGGGACAAACAAGCCAGGCGCGATCGTTGCCTGCTTCCCAGTGTGGGCAGAAAAAGCGATGCCTACCTTTTGTTTGCTTACCATGGGATCATGACCGTGATTGTGACGTGCCAAAAATCAAGGACTCGCGACAGGCAGAATACCTCCAGCCGGCAGGGCGGTGAGACTAAATTATATTGCTGCCTCAGGCACGACACTTCATCATACAGTAGCAAGGTCCCTGATAGGCTTGATTAGTTAGTAGAACAGCGTTCCAGTGCGGAAACCTCTCGATTCGAGTGGACTATGAAGCTATTGTATTATTGATTTTAGGAGAACACCATTACTCTAAAGAACAACATTGTCAAGATCCTCCAGAGCATACGATACGACCAGTTAATTGCCCTTGGTGCAGGTTTTACAAAACGATGGGAATAAGTCAGTGAAATCAAAACAGTGCTATTGGTACATTTCGCAACTATCCCTCCTAGAAGAGAAAAAAGAATATGATATCTTGCTATGATACAATGGCTCTAAAGAGCAATCTCGCCTTTCCATGCAGCATCAGACAACCCCAGGGTCTCCATCAAGTTCTGCCACCGGGGGCCACCTCGCTCCTTCTGCCGAACATACTGAAGAAGCTTCTGTCGCTTGTGGACAAGAACCTGGAGATTGCGTTTGTTGTGCTTGTCCTTGTTGGCGGTTTGTAGATGCCGAGACAAGTTCATGATCTTGACAGTCAGGATGGCGACCTGCACTTCGGGGGAGCCGGTATCCACTCCGATACGGGGGACTTTCTCTTGGTGAGAGGACATGGATCCCTGTAGGATACTCGATGGCTTTGGAGGGAGGATAGAGTCGGTGTTGTGTCGCCCAAATTGCTCAATACACCTCTGCACGTTCAGCCGCAGACGATCTTTTGTGTTGCCGTTGCTGAGGTTGACGATACGCTGAATTGCATCCATGGCAATCGAATGCTCTTTCTGATGCAATTCCGCGGCTTCCTTCTCCAATTGAGGGTCGGCAGTGTCACGGTCCGGGTTCTGGAGCGGTTCCGTCAGGTCCTTCGAGAATTGCAAGGCGCTGCTGAGTTCGTCCGACTTCAAATAATAGTTGAGACCTGAGCTTGCAGCCAGAACCTGTGACCCATTCTGGATCGCTTCGATCTCTTGGATAAACGGCGTAGGTTTGCTCTGAACGGGGTCGCCGAGCGAAGCCTCCCGCTCCGTCTGGAGAACTTTTTGTCGAGAGAGGTTGGCGGCCTTTCGCTGACGCGCCTGTGCAATCATGAAAAAGTCGGATCGCTTTTGAGGCTGGGCCTTGGCCTTTGTGGATGCTGTTCGTAGGGAGGCATTGGTCGCGTGTGGCAGACCGGCGGCCAACGGCGTCTGTCCGTACAAGGTGCCTACCAAAAGTCATTATGTTAGCATTGAACCGCGGGAGACAAGCTTGGTGATCATAGGGACAGTCCTAGTACCTGTAAGAGCCTTCCAAGAAGGCTGCACGGAGATACGTGGAGGCATGGTGGCCGTACTGTTATCCTTTGATTCGCAATAGCCCCCGGACAAGCCTGAAGTTCTTCGCATCAACCTTTTGGTCGGGAAATCATGCGGCCGGCCGAAGACACGCTAGTCCAATTTGGGGCCGATGACCATCCTGCCTCAGGCACCAGGGACCATGCCGCCAAGATTTTGGAAGATTGAATTTCCTTATGTAAGCAGGCACTGCCCTAGCCCTAATTCTCACAACCCGCAAGCGAAATTCTCCCGAAGCGCGGCGTGAAACATTTCGTGGTTCGGCCTTCGATCTCTTCCCTCTATCCCCACGACAAGAGCCAGACGATTGATCTTTCCAACATCATCAATCAATCAATCGCCCACCATGGCCCCCTCCCAGCTCCCCCCCCGTCTTCAACCCTACCTCGCAGGACATTGAGATGCTCCTTGCTGCTCAGTGCCACCTCGGTTCCAAGAACCTCCAGGTGCACATGGAGCCCTACCTCTGGAAGACCCGTCCCGACGGTGTCAACGTCCTGAACATTGGCAAGACCTGGTATGTAGGAAGAATCGGGTCGCGACACGGTCAAATTTTGTGCGCTTGAGTCTAACGTGCTTTGCGCGATTGAATAGGGAGAAGATCGTTCTGGCTGCCCGTATCATCGCCGCCATCGACAACCCCGCCGATGTCTGTGTCATCTCCGCTCGTCCCTACGGCCAGCGTGCTGTCCTGAAGTTCGCCTCCCACACCGGTGCTACCGCCATTGCCGGTCGCTTCACCCCCGGTAACTTCACCAACTACATCACCCGCTCTTTCAAGGAGCCCCGCCTCATCGTCGTGACCGACCCTCGCACCGACGCCCAGGCCATCAAGGAGGCCAGCTACGTCAACATCCCTGTCATTGCCCTTTGCGACACTGACTCCCCCACCGAGTTCGTCGATGTTGCCATCCCCACCAACAACAAGGGTCGCCACGCCATCGGTCTCGTCTGGTGGATGCTCGCCCGTGAGATCCTCCGTCTCCGCGGCACCCTGGCCACCCGTGAGACCGAGTGGGACACCGCTGTCGATCTCTACTTCTACCGCGACCCCGAGGCTGAGGAGAACAAGGAGATTGCTGATGAGACCAAGGTCGCCAGCGCCGATGAGGTTGGCCCCGCTGCCGTCGAGTCTGGCTTCGCTGGTGAGAACTGGGATGCTTCCGCTCCCGGTGCTGGTAACCCCGGCACTGCCTTCGCTGCCGCTACCGCCGCTACCGGTGCTACCTCCTGGGAGGCCGATGGTGCCGACTGGGCTGCCAGCTCCGCCCCCCAGGGTGGTGAGTGGGCCGCTGAGTCCCAGCCCGCCGCTGCCCCCGCCGCCGGCGAGTCCACCTGGTAAATGCCAGATCGGTGGTGACGAGGATAGGCGTTGAAAGGGAGAGATACTTGATCTCGAATTCAAAAGCCATGCCGGGATTATTGTAACGATTGCTCATGTCCCGTCAAAGGACACGGGGAACGAGGGGGAAAGCTCTTGTCTGTTCTATCACGTTCAATTCCGTTGCAACAATGGGATTCACACCATTTTCCCGCAAAAAAAGCCCTTGAGATGTCTATCCTAGTTTCTGTCAAAATGATCCAAAAAGCAAGAAACTGAAAAAAAGCAGAAGAAAAAATGAGCTTTCACCGGGAACCTTTCCAGTCCTTTTGCATCAGTGGCCTCTATCTCTTTTACCAGCACAATTCTTTTTTCGATTTTCTGTTTTGTCGCATCGGGGAGGAATAGCGATGACAACCATTGACCTGGCGCTTATGAGGGAAAGAGATCCAGTTGCGTTCTGTGACTGGGGGAAAGCCCTGTGCTGTCAATCAAACAAGGTGGACTTAACCGTTACCTTGGTTTCTCCCTGTATGTTTTATTCTAGTAATCGGAAAGAAGGTTGTGCTCGGTTACGTTCTGGTCCTGTAGTATAAGTCCCTCGGAGGTTGTAGGCATTGATCTAAAATAAGGGCGTATATGAGAAGTAAACAACTATCTTGCAGATTCAAGAGTAGATCAAAATCGTGGATCATCAACCAGAGTTCCGGTTTCTCGACCTGGAGCTATGCGCTATGGAAGTCTAGGCAGAGGAGCAGGCATGGTATCCGTTCTACTAACCCGCTTTACTGCAATAATATCCCAGACTTCTCAGTGTAGACAGCGTTGTCAGTTTGGCGTTCTGGCGAGGGTTCAGCTTCGCACGGATCAAGATATCTACGTTGCGCAATAGTTCTACTTGAAGAGATGAATCCCTCCTTCGTAATCCATTCGAGTCACGTCTCAAAGAATAGTACAACCACCAGCACTTTGTCCACCCTGATCAGTGGTAGTCATTCCCGCAAGCCTCGCTAGGTCCTCAAACGTCTCTGCCAATAGTTCGCCCGTCACTGCCGAGCACTCGGCATATCCATCACAGCGGAGCTCCTGCGCAATACCGTAGGTCTATACAGGATCATCAGTTGGAGTCTAGGATATCTCTGCAGGTTATCAAAACGTACCTCCTGTGGATAGATTATACCCTCGCCTTCTTTCCTAAGGTCTCGTTTCAACCCCAGCATCATGACGGGAATGCGTTCACCCTGGCCATGTTGGAAATAACGTATGATATCGTTGCGCCACTGTTCAACACGTTTAGCGCTTTGAGCAGGATGAAAGGCAGGCATCCAGGTCGGGATATAATGCTTACCCCTCTGAGCCCGTCTAATGTCTGGCGGTTTGATATGTCAAATGCCAGGACAACGACATTTGGATGAAGACTAGTCCAATGCTGATTTGGATTGGACGTGTCATATAGCTCCAGTGTGAACTTTTTCTTCGAGAATTTTATATCGTAAATAAATGGTTGATCACTGTCCCGCAAGATCTCAAAGTCGGTGTCCGGGGTAGCACCCGCTTGGGAAGGCCTCATGCTTCTGCCACTCTTCAGGCGCCTGCGCTAGGATCAGTCTCTATCTTCAAGGTATATTTCTTCTTTTGAATTGTCAAGAGGGAGACAGTGCTCCCGAGCGTGGATCTGGGTTGGCTATGGACTCACGATAAGAAGGTGGACTTGCCACAACCTGGGTCGCCCAGGAGCAGCATTGTGACCGTTGTTTCGGTATCTAGAGAGTCTGGTTCGGCCATGCTTCTTGTTATCTCTGTTATTGTGATACTCTCTTTCGAGCGAGGACTGTTATTGCCCAGTTCCTGGCGGGAATGTTGGTGATCATGTGTAGAAATAAGGTTGTGAGAGGCAGAGCTGCTGACTGGGTGGATTTACACCGAGATATAAATGCCCACATGGACACCCCGTAAACGGTGCCCATACTTGAAGGTCATAGATTTTGGAGTGAAAAGCTATCGAGGTAGTTATTTCGGACTTGCGTAATATCGCAGGGCTAACATTACAATCAATTACATTCATATTCAGAAGATAACTGCAAGTTATGAATTGGTATAACATTACAATACGAAGTATATTACGCCAAATACCAACTGCTCCGCGGACATCAAAATTCTGCCCTCTTCAGATCAACTCGCCCAAGCACTGGGTGGACCGAATTCACATTCACTCTCCAGTGGCATGTGGAGACCATCACCAAGGTCCATTCTACTGACTCTACTTCGAGGCCACACCATTAAACCGCAAACGCGATTCCTGAGCGAGCACCACTCGCCCAATCCAAAAATCATGGCGGGCACCAGCGATGAGGGGAACAACCCCGACTACAGCGCCTGGAGCAATTCCAGCCTGATCGAGCGCATTACGGAACTCGAGCGCCAGCTGCACTCGCAAACCACGCAGTACACGGCACCAACCCCAGCGGTCGGCGAAGCCATACCCCGCGCACCGATTGCTACGGATGTTAGCGAGCCTGCGATCCCTCTTGCCGATACACACGTCAGCGTCCCCTCGAAGAAGAAGCGTGTGCACTCTCCGGATGGCGATATATGTCATACACCCGGGCGACTGCGCCCTCATAAGGAGGAGCGTGGGTTTGATCCGTCGAAGTATCAGACGCGGTTCATTGCGCTGAAGTTCGCCTACTTGGGTCAGCGGTACAATGGTCTGGAACATACCAATGGGAATACTACACCTCTGCCTACTATCGAGGAAGTTCTTTGGAAGGCGCTGCGCCGCACACGTTTGATTCTTCCGCAGACCTCGTCTCCGGCAGACGAGCCGGACGATGTTCACCCTAGAGAGCAGCGGCCCTACTCTATTCATTGGGATGGATGTGATTACTCCAAGGCTGGAAGAACCGATCGCGGTGTGAGCGCATTTGGACAGGTCGTTGGTCTAAGAGTTCGTTCTGCGAGGCCACAGCCTAAGCCCACGGCCTCGACTGAGCAGGAGGGTCTACAAGATGGAGATGCGATGCAGGTTGAAGAGCCAGCTGCAGATGCGGGCTGGGATGATATCGCGGATGAGATTGCCTATATACAAGTCCTGAACAGGGTGCTCCCCGAGGACATTCGTGTTCTCGCCTGGTGCCCTCACCCTCCGGAAGGATTCGATGCCCGTTTCTCCTGCCGTGAGCGCCGCTATCGGTACTTCTTCACCCAGCCAGCATTCTCCCCCACACCTGGTGCATTCGGCTTTGAGAACCGCGCAGGAACCGGTCAAGGCGAGCGCAACAAGTATCGCGAGGGCTGGCTGGATATTGACGCCATGCGCGAAGCAGCCAAGCATTTCGAGGGTACTCATGACTTCCGAAACTTCTGCAAGCTCGATACAAGCAAGCAGATTGAGAACTTTGAACGGATCATCTTCCATTCTGACATCCAACTCGTGAACCCAAAGACGAACCCCCTGGGATATGTCGGCCAATCTGGATTCCAGATCACAGAGGACTTTGAAGCAGATGTCGACATGCTGTCTTCGCAAAAGCCCGAGCCCACTGTTCCTCAGGTATACTCTTTCAACTTGTATGGATCTGCCTTCTTGTGGCACCAGGTCCGCCATATGGTGGCTATCCTCTTCTTGGTCGGTCAAGGACTCGAGTCTCCATCCATTGTGCCGGAGCTGTTGGACATTACCAAGAACCCTCGGAAGCCATCATACGAAATGGCATCCGATGCGCCACTGGTTCTGTGGGACACAATTTTCCCCGACGAGAGCAGTGGTAGCCGAGACGACGCCCTCGACTGGGTTTATGCCGGCGATCCACGGCTCAACAAGAGCCGCAGTGCCAAGGGCGACAGCAAGTATGGCTTGAATGGTGCTGTAGAGAGCCTGTGGACAGTCTGGAGACAGCGCAAGATGGACGAGATCTTGGCGGGCGCCTTGCTTGACTTGGTCGTCAGTCAAGGCGACCACAGCTTGGTGACAAAAATGGATGGCAAGCAGGGAACTGGCAAGAAGCAGAGCAGGGGTGCCAAGATCTGGTTGGGAGGAGACGAAGCTCGCACCGGGGGAAGATACGTCCCCGTTCTGCAAAAGGCCAAAACAGAGGCCGTTGATGTCCGGAATGCCAAGTGGCTCGAGGCTAAGCAGCGCAAGAACGCCATCAAGGCAGCCGCTTTGCAAAAAGAGGAGGCTTAAAAATAGACGTATATACTCACATATGAAGTATTGTACCATAAACTTTGAGCCTCTCGGTGCAGTCTGACTGCTTAAACAGTAGATTCTTTTTGTAGTAGATGTCCAGTCTCTTCCGGATCGGATTGATCATACGCTCGGCGCATCAGGACTTTGCATCGTAAAGACAGCGTCGAGAGCCTCTCCACACTTCCTCTAGAATCTCTCGCTTGGGAAGCATTTGCTGAACTTGGGTTAGCACAGAACGTATGCTAGCCAGGGGGCGACTTACAGGAAAGACCACTAAGACACCGGGCTCGCCCTCCACAATAACAGCTAGATAGAACCGAACCTCGAATCCCTTGAATGCTTCATGAATCACGATGTCCTGAATCTGCGTCGTGGGAATGAATCTTGTCGCAGCTGTCGAGAGATAGGTGGAGGACGATGTGGATGTCTGGATTCCGAAGCCTCGAATGACCAGGAGCGATTCCTCTGCTTAGCTGTTAGAGCGTGTATGGGCAAATCGCACGCATATGTAGGTCGAACTTACCAGTATATCCCCTCCTAAAGACTCCGTAGAGCACCAAGGCGCTGACGACAGCGATTACCCAGGGGTTATATGAGTCCACCCGGCGGCAGACATGCGCTCCGAGGGGACTTGACCATATATCCTCCCATGATATGATGAACAAGTTTCCCCTTTCGAAGAAATGCCGTCGTAGGCGTGTAATCCCTACCACGATCACACAGCAGAAGAGCAATGCTCGCAGGAGGATCTGAAGACCAAATAGGATCTTCGCGGGGGAATTGGATCGTCTTGGCGCATTGGAGACGGTAAAGCTGACGGTCGTCGGCGTAGGCCGCTGGACTGTGAGGCGGCCCGGCATGGTTGAAGTGCGGGGGTTCTAGAAGCTTACAATCCAAAATCGTAAGCCTTCGCAATGCAATGGAGACTATAAATGAACACTACCCCCTCGAGTAGACGCAAATTGCGGAAGAAGCTCACCCCCGAACCAAACACACGCTAGTCCGCATTTAGACTTTTGGCATCTGCAGCGCCCCAGTCACGTGTCACCAGTAACAAGCCTCCGTTGACATCGGGGCTGGTCTATCGGGCACCAACACTTCCCTCTCTCCTTTCTCAACCTCACCAGAAATGGGTGACCGAGATCGAAGCCGGTCTCCTCGCCGGCGTGACACCCTCGACCGAGATCGACCAAGGAAGACGGGTGGCTTCCGCTGGAAAGAGAAGAGGCGCGACGATGAATCTCGCGACAATGACCGCCGCCTAGATCGTGGATACAGAGACCGAGGTGACCGCCCTCGTTCACCTCGGAGGGATCGCGATGGAGATCGTCCCGGAGACCGACACAGAGACGGTGATCGTGACCGTGACCGTGAGCCCCGACGACGTGACGACCGCGACGCGCCCCGGGAAGACCGCGAGAAAAAGGTGGAGAAGAAGGAGAAAAAAGAGAAGAAGCCAGTTGCACCGCAGTCATCTGAGCCCATGATCGTCGTCCATGTGAATGACCGTCTGGGTACCAAAGCTGCGATTCCCTGCTTAGCCTCAGATCCGATCAGTAAGTGCCTCCTCTCTGCAGCATCTCCCAGGAAGGCTATCGGCCAAATATACTCATACTACGTTCTCTACAGAGCTCTTCAAGGCCCAAGTGGCAGCCCGAATCGGTCGCGAACCCCACGAAATCATGTTGAAACGCCAGGGCGAACGTCCTTTCAAGGACCAGTTGACGTTGGAGGACTATGGCGTGAGCAACGGAGTACAACTTGACCTGTGAGCCTTCGCGTTTACCCCCATTCTCTCTCCGGCCATATTTGATGCTGACTATCTTTTAGGGAAGTTGGAACCGGAGATTAAGAGGACCTCATTATCCAAATGAAATTAGGGTGTTCGGCGGGACAGTTCGGCGTTCTCAAAATTCCACGGATCTGGGTCATAGGAGCGTTACGATGCTTTTGTTTTCTCTGCATCACTTGTCTCATCTTTCTTGTTTCCTTTTTTCTTTATGTTGCTTCCCACCGGTCTATGAGTCTCTGGGTCTTTGGATCTATGGATAGAATATTGTATTTTCCATGTGGATGGCCATATGGACAATACAGTATTGGACCTCAAGATTCCGGATCATATACCTCCATCTCCAACGAATGATGACTCAGCCGAAGAAGTTCCAACCAATTAAGGTTCCCTGGGTAGCGAGACGTAGGCTTCTCTCCAGAGAGCTTTTCGCTTACCAGTGCTTCGTGCTGCATTCCCGTTGCCGTTTCTCCTGCGGGGCTAAGAGCAGACTTGCACCGATGCCGCAGGTGGGCAGCCTTATCCTGCCTGAGGCATCCATCGGCAACCAACCCGAGGCCGAGCTGCCGCTCCACTCTCCAAAGAGGCTTTTTTTCTATCGCGGGACCTCACATGGGCAGTTTCTTTTTTTTCTCTAATGCCTTTTGTCTGACCGAACACCCTGACTCTGACTTTCTCGAGTCCCTCCGCAATGAAGTGATCGATTTACTCTCCACTCTTCCAAACAGTTCTCCCTTCCCTCTTACTGCTGCTGCTCTTCTCTTGCAACTGAGCACACATCCTGCCGGCCCCAGTTTTTCCGTCCCTCCGCAAGATTCCTCGCCCTCCTCCACCCGATCGAGCGCTTCCCCCCGATCTCTTCATTTGAGATCTCGAACAGCTCCTACCATCCACCATATCGTCGGAATCACTCAAGTCGAAAATCATGGTTCGCAACCTCGTCGTTATTGGGGGCAACTCCCACCCCCAGTTGACGCAGACCATTTGCGGTGTGCTTGGCATCCCCCCGGCGGATGTCCTGCTCTCCAAGTTCGCCGTCGGCGAGACCCGAGTCGAGATCCAGGAATCTGTCCGTGGAAAGGACGTCTATATCATTCAGTCCGGTGGTGGTAAGGTCAACGACCACCTGCTGGAGCTTCTGATCACTATCTCCGCCTGCAAAACGGCCTCGGCCCGACGAGTCACTGCCGTTCTTCCTCTCTTCCCTTACTCTCGCCAGAGTGATATCCCCTACGACAAGGCTGGAGCTCCCCTTGTCAAGTCCTCTGTTCGGGACCGCCCCAGCAACGGCTATACCTTTGAGAGCACTCCCTCCACGCCTGGTCCTGGAATGAAGACGGAGGGTCTGGGTCTGATGAACGGCATGGAAAACTTGCAAAAGAGCCTTGCCCGAGCCCAGATTGAAGAGAGCAATGGCAGTCCGGTAAAACGGCGCCCCGCGAACGGGCTTCCGCGGAGTGACACTGCTGACTCTCTCAAGTCTTTGGCCAACGGCGTCCACGAGGATTCCTCCAGCAACGCCTCCAACTCGTCCAAGATCAACTCTTTCCAGCCGCGACCGGGCTACAAGCAGTGGGTTGCGCAGGCAGGCACCCTGGTGGCAGACCTGCTCACCTGCGCTGGCGCGGATCACATCATCACTATGGATCTGCACGACCCACAATATCAGGGCTACTTTGATATCCCCGTGGACAACCTTTACGGACGTCCTCTGCTGAAGAGCTATGTTCAGCGCAACATCCCCGACTTCAAGCAGGCCGTTGTAGTCAGCCCCGATGCCGGTGGTGCCAAGCGCGCCACGGCCATCGCCGACTCCATGGGTATGGAGTTTGCTCTTATTCACAAGGTATGCAATTGATTACTAGTGGGCTCGAATCTGCTAGCCGGCATTCCATCTAACCATCTTTGAAGGAGCGCCGCCCCACAAAAATCACAGACCGCCAAAATGCCACCATGATGCTGGTTGGTGATGTCCGCGACCGGACAGCTATTCTGATTGACGATCTGGCGGACACCTCCAACACAATTACCCGGGCGGCGAAGCTGCTCAAGAAGGAGGGTGCCTCCAAGGTGTACGCCCTGGTCACCCACGGTATTTTGAGCGGTGATGCCATTGAGCGCATCAACGCCAGTGCCCTTGACAAGGTGGTGGTGACCAACAGTGTGGACCAGAGTGAGCACCTGCGCCGCTGCCCCAAGCTCGAGGTTCTGGAGGTCGGCCACGTTTTCGCTGAGGTGAGTCAGATACGTCGAAATTTAGTGGATGACGCCACTTGCATTTGCTGACCGCTCCAACCCTCTAGGCCATCCGCCGCGTCCACCACGGTGAAAGCATCAGCGTTCTTTTCCAGTACGATTGATTTTCTAAACAATCTTTGCATGAGTGGAAGATCCGAAACCCTGATCAACCAAAACACACCAAAAAAATACTGGCTTCATTTCCTTTACAAGCTGGCATGCTCTAAATGAATTTCTTTGGATCTACGGGCGTTTTCGTTGACACAGAGTCATCTGTCTATTCCATTACCACACAAATTTTTTGGTTTTATTTTCCCACAACATAGAAACCTTGGTCCCAGTAGACTTGTTGCTTTGAGATTGAGAGCGTGTTCTTGTTCTTGTATAATTTCTGCCTTTCCATGTTGCTCTTGCTCTTGCTCTTGTCTGGTCGCTGGGACTTGGCTGGGTGCTTTCCTTTGTCTAGGGCTGCCTGCTTTTATCTGTACATACACTACTTGGCTGAGGGATTGGCAAACCACTTTTTGACTGCTGTCATTGTCTTTCTTTTTCTTTGCGTACTTTTTATTCATAATCAACAGCTGACCGAGATTCGTGCATCAACATGAGAAGCGCAACAAGCATAAAGGGTTGAGATATGCGGCAGTCTGCATCAGAAAAGGCGCGCCTTTCCAGCCGGGACAGGACAGTGGAAAGTTCATGAAAGGCAAACTTCTTGGCTAAGACATAATGGTAGTACCTATACTTGTACATCGATGGTTTGACCGAGTAGTAAACAAACTCTTGCCATCGAGGACTCTGAGATCAATCATATCCTGGATCTAGTATCCCGGGAACCTGCAGCTCAATGAACACTTCGCTATCTTTCAGGGAACTATCCAGTGTCCAGGCTACCCTAACAGCAAACGAATAAGAACAAGGAGGTCATTCATCTAATAGACGAATTCTGCTCTTCTATGTCACAAAAAGAGATCACAGGAAAATAGGAAAATAGCCCAACGCCTTAGAAGAACAAAAAAGCCAAGAAAGCCGAAACCAAGTGTGGCCATTGTCTTGACCGAGGAAGGTGATGCGCTGACTTTAATACTGAGAAATGAGAAAGGAACTGGGTACTCGATACAACGAAATCGGCTACCTGCCAAAAAAAAAAAAAAGCAAATACACACAGCCGTGGAAAGGGTAAGTACAGTAGGAACAAAGGTCATGAGGTATTATTCGGGGTTTAGAACACGGAGATGAAGTTGCCAATTCTCTCCTTCTGGTTCTGGGCAATACACTCTGAGATCCAGGTTACGTTGCGGATTTCCTGATAATTGTTAGCTTTGGTGATCCCAAGAAAAGGATTGTTCATGTATATGGTGCTTACCTGCTCCTTCAGCTTCATCCATGCATATACCACCGCCGGGGTGAATTGTCGAGTGAACACAAACTTGGACATCTCCATCTCCTTCTGGTAGAAGAGATCCTCCAGACTCTTGCCATCAGCGGGACCTCCGCCCATGCCGCCGAGGCCGCTGCCACCTTGGCTAAGGCCTACGGCGTCGAAGAAGCTCTTGTAATCAGAAACAGCGCTGACAGCCAAGGCTACACCCTCGACATCCTCGGCACGGGAGAGCATCAGACTACCCTCCGGATACAGGTTGCCGAACTCAGGGTAGAGCTTCCTCCGCTCCTGCTTGGACAGCTCAGTGCCGAAGGAGTTGAGGGTGATGTTGATAGCGCGGCGGTCGGCCTCGAATTGCAAGATCTCTGACATAATCTCTTGGGTCGGCCCAGAGAAATCCGGGTGGGTTTGCACAAAGTTGTAGAAGTCCTCCAAGTAGTTCTTGTAAAGAGTGTTGCGCACAATCTCGATGTTCAATTCATCCAGATCCTGATGGCTCAGGCTGCCCTTGAAGTATGGGGCGAGAGGAGTTTCAATCAGCACCGAGTTGTACAGCTCCTCGATGTTGGTTGCGACACACAGCACTGGCAGAGTCTCGAACCAGCCGAGCGGGTGGCATCGCTCTAGGAGCTCCCGTGTGTCTCGCTCGTGCAGGGTTCCGGTAATTAGAAGGGCGATGTTGTCGATCATGTAGCCGTATGTCAGATACTCGAGGAACTTGGCAGTTGAACCGACGGACTGGGCGACGAGGTACCGGAACTCGGAGACCAGCTTGTCGGTCATCTTGCCTGCAAGAGCGGAGGTGGAGGGGTTCGGGGGGAGAGTGGCAAGGAAGTCGCCATAAGCCGGGCCTAGCTGCAGCTTCACATCTGTGATGATAGTTGTTAGACACCACAGTCTATGGTCGAATAGCTGGAATGTATGTACCGTCAATGGTTTCGCATTGTGTCAAGTTGGAGTAGTTCTGGCCGGTCAGAAGGCTGTTCCGATATCCTCGGACAATGCCCTCGACGAATCTGGGAAAATATCAGTACCATGAAAGTTCATAATTGCTGTACATTCACTAACCCGCCATTCACATTAAAGAAAAGGCCCTCCATGGTGTGTGAAGTGGGATGATAACTTGGGGGAGGAACAAGCTGTAGCTCCCTCGTCGCCGTATGCTGGCGGGTCTTACATAAGCCACAGCCACAGCCACACAGTGTGGCTTGCGCTTTTGCACTTTTTTTCTTCCGTGCAAAATTTCTAGATTTCTCCTCTTAACGGTGAATTACGTCCACGGTCCACAATCTCCCCCCCTCTCGTCTTTCTTTTTTAATTTCGACCTGGGCCCCCTCGTCCTTTAACTGAATTCCCTGTTCCCACAAAGCCCGCTCGCCGTGGTTGCCCACCATGTCGCTTTTCATCCTTACCGAAACCAGCGCGGGTTACGCCCTGCTCAAGTCCAAGGACAAGAAGCTCTTCAAGCGGGAGTCTCTCCCCGAAGATGCCAACACCGCTGAGGGCATCTCCAACCTGTACGTTCAATCACTGCTTTGGCGAAAGAAAAATGCCCCCCTGGGCAATTAAAGCACCCCGCGCGGCCGGCGCAAAAATTTTTGGTTCCAGTCGACAGCGATACTGACTTTTTTACGTGTAGCTTCAAGTTGAAGAACTTCAAGAAGTTCGACAGCGCCGCTACCGCTGTTGAGGAGGCCGCGTCCATCATTGAGGGCAAGGTCACCCCCCTTCTGACCGAGGTTCTCAAGGACCTCAAGGACGAGAAGAAGGCCTCTCTGGCCGTTGCCGATGTCAAGCTCGGTATGTATCACTGTTTGAAACCGTTCTTGGGCGATTCACTGACCTCAATGACCAATAGGAAATGCCATCAGTAAGGTGCCTGGCCTTTCCCTCGAGCTCATTGCCGACTCGACCACCGCCGATGCCTTCCGTGCCATTCGTGAGAACCTGATCACCCTCATTCCCGGCCTTGCCCCCAGTGATATGTCTGCCATGTCCCTGGGTCTTTCCCACTCTCTCGCCCGTCACAAGCTCAAGTTCTCCCCCGATAAGATCGATACCATGATCGTTCAGGCCATCGGCCTGCTCGATGACCTCGACAAGGAGCTCAACACCTATGCCATGCGTGTGAAGGAGTGGTACGGCTGGCACTTCCCCGAGCTGGCTAAGATCCTGAACGACAACATTGCCTACTCCAAGCTCGTCCTGAAGATGGGCATGCGCACCAACTGGGAGACCACTGATCTCGCCGAGATCCTCCCCGAGGAGATTGAGGGTGCCGTCAAGACCGCTGCTGATCGGTCCATGGGTACCGAGATCAGTGAGGAGGATCTCGAGAACATCCAGGCTCTTGCCACCCAGGTTGTTGAGTTTGCCGAGTACCGCCAGCGTCTTGCCAGCTACCTGTCCTCCCGTATGAACGCCATTGCCCCCAACTTGACTGCCCTGGTCGGTGATCTCGTTGGTGCCCGTCTCATTGCCCACGCTGGTAGCTTGACCAGCCTGTCCAAGAGCCCCGCCAGTACCATCCAGATTCTGGGTGCCGAGAAGGCTCTCTTCCGTGCCCTCAAGACTAAGCACGACACTCCCAAGTACGGTCTGATCTACCACGCTTCTCTGATCGGCCAGGCCACCGGCCGCAACAAGGGCAAGATGGCCCGTATCCTCGCTGCCAAGGCTTCCCTTGGTATCCGTGTGGATGCTCTTGCTGAGTGGGACGATGATGTTACCGAGGAGGAGAAGGCTGCTCTCGGTACCGAGGCTCGCTTCAACCTGGAGCGCAAGCTTGCTGGCCTCGAGGGCAAGCCCATCAAGCCCCGTGGCGTTAACATTGCTCCCAACGGCGCTGCTCAGCCCCAGAAGTTCGACTTGAAGGAGGCCCGCAAGTACAACCCCGATGCCGATGCCCTGGCTGACGTTGAGGAGCCCACATCTGCCAAGAAGTCCAAGAAGGACAAGAAGAAGCTGGTCGAGGACGTCGAGGAGGATGAGGAGATGGAGGATGCTGGCTCTGACGACGAGGCCGAGGCCAATGGCTCTGCAGACTCTGAGCTCGAAAAGCTCGCCGCCAAGGCTGGTCTCAGCGTGAAGCGGTACCAGCGCAAGCTTGAGCGGGGTGAGATCACTTTCGATGCTGCTGGCAACCCAACGTCAGTCAGCAAGAAAGATCTGAAGAAGGCCAAGAAGGAGGCCAAGAAGGCCGGCAAGGAGGACGGCAAGAAGCGCAAGCGTGACGACGGTGATGACAGCGAGAAGAAGAAGAAGAAGAAGAGCAAGGGCGAGTAAGTGGCTATATTTTGTTCAAAAGTTTCGTGCAATGTGATGGATGGCTTTCGCGAATCTGTATGATATCACTTTTTTTGTTTCGCGGCCTTGCTCGCTACACGCATGTTTGGGGGCATTTCAAGGTTGATTCTACCTGTTCTTTGTTTTATTTATGGCGCAGACGGTGCTTTATGGTACAAGGCAGTACAGTTTTTCAGCTGAATAATCTGTTCATACTTTATATCTTGAATTACTTGTAGATTTGTAGAAATAATCCGATATAATGCTCACTAGCAACATTGTATATAATATCCAAGACGGCAAGAGACACCGCTTCAGTCCGTAAAACTATGACCGCCTGTCATACCGCCATTTCAACACCACTCTATTCTGCCGGCACAATAAGCTTTTTTCCCTCACCACCACTCAGAACATCTCCACCTTTACAGCTTTGACTTAGTCAAAGTCAAGCAACACCATGAAGGTAAGAGAGATCATCCTGTGAGACTGACCATTACTAATCTTCAAACAAAGATCCTCGACCCCCAAGCTGCAGTCCTCACCAATGTCGAGGTACTAGCCTACCTGACTGCAAACCCGCCCCGCCGTCCTCCGAGTCGGCCTCCAAATGCGCGTCAATGGGTTCCAAGTCCAGACCTGAGAGACCACAACACAGTCGTTAAAGAGGTGAGTCCTACAATCAATCTCTCCGGCCATACAAAATTCCCGACTCTCAATCCCAGCATGTCACCATCAAGTGCCCATCCCAAACCCAAGACCGAATAACCCATCTCCTCCCAAATCAAGCCACAAAAAAAGAATCTACCAGGAATATCACCAACTAACAAAACCACTGCTACCAGTTCCACAACTACGTAACCCGCATCTCCCCCCACCTCCTAAAATACCCCCGCTACACATCCCGCCCCAACTCCTCCCACTCCCAAACCCAAGCAGCAATGACGCGAACAATGCGCCCAACCACCACCACCACCACCGACCCCGAATCCTTTTCCACAACCCTCCCACCACCACCCTCCAAAGACTCCACACCCATGGACCACGCAATCCGCGAACTAGTCCTCAAACTGCGCCCCTATGGCCTGACGAAAGCCGAGGTCTTGACGATCATGAACCTGGGTATTGGTCTCTCCGCGGGGTCATCGGAGGATCAGGGTGGTGGTGTTAATGGGGAGGGGGTTATGGATGTTGATGGGGGACATGGGCATGTTAATGGTGATGGTGAAGGGGGTGTGGAGGGGGAGGAAGGTGAGGGTGGTGAGGAGGCTGATTATGGTGCTTTAGCGCTGTTTGATGCTGTTATTGAGGAGAGGGAGGAGAGGATTTCGGAGGAGGATCTTGTTGCTATTTTGGGGATTATTCGGGAGACGCTTGGGGAGGGGTATAGGGGGTGAGTTTTGAGATTGATTTAGGGAGATGGGACGAGCTGTGTTTAAAAGAAGATTTTGGTTTGATATCCCGGGGCTTGGTGCCTCAATGAAGTGCTTTATTGCGGAATGTGGTTTTTTAGGAGCTTGTAGCTTGAGTTTCTTTGTATGTACACCATGTAGATCTTGGCATTTGCGTCTATGAGACAACCCGAATGATAACCAGAACTCCATGGGATACCAAGGACCTGGCCACAATGCCATGGTCCTGGAACGAATCAACAACAATGGTATAAAGCGAACAAAAAAAGCGCGGGTGAATCTGCCAGCAGTAGGGTCTTAGACTGTGGCATCCAAATCTCCAGATCCAAAGGGTAAGAAGCTTGAAAGACCTCACAAAAGACTCCTTCAATGCAACGATCAACAACAATCAAATCGAGACAATTCACATCTCTAGAGATACTCATCCTCCTCCCTCTCCTTCCCCTTAATCAAATTCCCAAACTGGTTATAAATCGGCACCTCTGGATCACCATTCTCCTTAGCCCACGGACCAAGGTCATCATCAAACAAGTCTCGCTCCTGGCCCTCACAGACTTCAGAGAGCGTAACCCAATTCTTATCGTCGGTCCAGAGTCCACCACGTCCACCACGCATATCCCACCAGTCCTGGCCACCCAGGAGCGCAGACTGCGCGGCATCGAAGTCGTGCGCGGAGCGGACGTATCGTCTCAGCAAGGCGCGGGCCCAGGGGAAGAACCACATCTTCTCCCACCACGTATTGCGCAACTTCGGGTCTCCGTTGAGATGGACTAGGACCGGGACAGAGGCGGAGTGCGGGTTTGTCATGAGAGGGATGTTATTCCACGAGTGCTCTTTCGGGTTTGGGAGTTTATCCAGGGTAGTGTTGTAGGCTGGTGCGGTGGTTTGTTCCCTGGCGAAGCGGGTTTGGTTGAAGGGGTTTGGGAGGGCGGCGATGTCTTCTGGTAGGAGGAGACGGTGTTCTCGTGGAACACCGAATTGGCCCTGGAGGAGGGAAGTCTTGGTGATATTGTTGAATTTGATCCACTCGACGTCGTTGCGCGAGAGGATCTGGTTGAAGAAGAGGTGGGACTCGTAGTCTACACCGATGCCGTATTCATAGCGATGGCCACTCTCGAGGCGGACACTGATGCCGTCAATCTTACCTGCATCGGATATACCCAGCATTCCGTAGAACCATTCTTTGACTCCGCTCACCGTGCGAAGTCGTTCCAGTTCTCGGACCACTTCCTGTCGTCCGAAGATCTGGGTTAGGGCTTGGTAGTCGCCATGCTTCTTATGGCGTAGCTCCATCACACGTAAAACCTCATCGTAGATGAGTCTCAGATCAGCGGCCTGGCCAACTACTGCGCCAGGATTCAACCATCGAGGCCGGGTCAAATGCCCATCAGGGTGGACATCTGTCTTCCAGCCGTACACATCTGGTGGTAAAGATGACTCCGGAACAGACACACATCCAGGATCGCTGTCCAGGGCACTGTAGCAAACCTTGCTAGCCCCGAATAGTACACGCTGAGTATACTTCTGCACCAGATCCGGTGGAGCGCCATTGGCCTTTTCAACCTTGGCATAGCCATACTTCTTCTCCAGCTTCTGATTGTTCTTGCGCAGGAGGTCCTGGAACCGCTCCACCAAGACTCGCGGGGGTAATTGAAAGAATACATCCTGGGCATCGACCAGCAAGACAAAATCCCGATCCTTAACCATACGGCTATTCTTGAGATAATCCCGCACGCGGGTGATCCGCTCCACTGTACGCTCCAACTCAGTCGCCCCGGGCTTCTCATGGCCATAGCCGATCAACGTTGGCGGCGGATATCCCAGTATCATAGCAGATGTCATCGTGCGACAGGCGCCGCGGGAGCCCTTCACGGTCGGAACAAGGACATGGAGGTGGGGGTTTGTCTTCTCCAGATCATGGGGAAGGGTATCGTTGACAGAGATATCTGATTTTCGAGGAAGAGCGACCTGCGCATCTTCCGGGCGTTCAGGAAATGGGTGACGCGATGGGAACTTGGCCCAAAAGTCCGGCTCGTGTTGGTGCTAGATATCAAGACGGTCCGGTTAGCACAGGCTACAACATTCATCTTTCAACATGCCTCCCCTCGAGAGCGAGGCATGTCCCATTCCACATCCCTGATAGGGGAAGAGATCAACGCTTACCCGAGACGACGATATCATCCATAGAAGAAGTAAAAACGAGAGCACTGAAAAGGCAATTGCCTTTGTCCGATGTGTTCGCGGTCGATAATGGGCCGCCTGCCATAATAGGGTCGTGGCGGAGGGCTTGGCCTCGTCGAACTGCGAGAACGACGTGCTGGACGACGCCATCCTGACGGGGGGACGCTCAGATGCGAGTGTTCGGGGACAAATTGAACATTGCGCGCGCAGCTTGTAGCATTCAACGTTGCGACGGGCGGGAACGTTTCAGATATTTAAACTGGCAAGGCCACGCGGGAGGTACGCAATCGACAATTCGACAGTTTGACGTGGAGAGGGACACCCGCAGCGATCGGCGCGCCTGTCCCGTTTTCGGCACGAGTGACCTGCTACGTAATTAGAGTTGTTGGGTTGTAACTAGTCACAGTAGAGACAGATGTATGTCAATGATACATGATTTAATTGACTGAAATAATCTGAGACTTGCCCAGAATCGTGATATTTAAGCTTTTCCCTACTTTTTACTCTAAATAGATCTCCTCCCGTAGCCGCTGCAAGTTGCGGAATAACCCGCCCCCAGGCCCTCCGCTGTCACTATCACGCCTCTGCTCCGTTCGCGATCGAGGTCCTCGCTGATTCTGCTCAGCCATAGCTTGCTGGTGCTCCAGGATCCGCCGTCTCTCATCCACAATCCTGCCCAGCGCATCCACAAACCGTTGACGCGCTTTTTCCTCTGCGGAACCCTTCCAGACTACCGATAGATTCCGCAGAGCCTCGACACGGCGAGTCGCTGCCTCGAGTCCATCGCGGTTACCCCCGTCGCGATCCAGTAGCTCCGTTATCTCATTTCGTATCTTCTTCATGATTTCTTGTCCTTTTTCTTCTTGGCTGTGACCCTCGGTGCCGAGTTCAGGACCGGACACGGAGATAAATGATGACGAGAATGATATTTCGGAGGGTGGAAGTGGCCATTCCATTGCATCACCGAAGGTCTGGACGACGTCTTCGAGTCGAGAGCGGACTTGGTTGAGGGTGCGGAGGTTGGCGATGTATTCGGGGTCGTTCGTAGCTGGGGGTTCCTGTTGCTCCTCTGCGGTTTCGGTATCTTCCTGGGTAGCTGTTGTATCTTCGGCCGTCTCTTTTGTATATTCCTCCTTGCGACTCGCTGTCTTGGCCTTGTCCTCTGATGGTTCGTCGGGGACAAACTTGGTAATGTCCTCGCGCAGGACCTCGGTCAGGGTCTCTGACAGACCAATTGTCTCTCCGCGTAGCACTTCCACCTCGTATGCTAACCGTCCACCACTGCGAAGGATCTCATCGCTGAGTTGGGAGAGTGTACTCGATAGGCGGACGTTCTGGGCGCTGATCTGCGATAGGAGAGACTGGACTTGGGCTGATAGCTCCGTCAGGGGTACAGAGCCTGGCGCTCGGGAGGCATTAGGCTGAAAGGATGCGACTGTCAATGGTGATAGTGTGTCATTGAGGAAGTCGGCGGGGTCGAAGTTCGGGTCTTCGAAGTTGGGTGTTGTCTCAGACTGCGGTTTACCCCCGGCCCGTGCAGTCGAGCAGTAGCTTTGGGATACCATCTTTGTGTGGTCGCGACTGCTCGAGTGGCAAGGTTCTGTCTTCTTTGCCGGAATGATTGCGATAAGTGTGTGTACTTTGAACTCGGGGAGTACTCACGTTTAGCTGTTGTGTTGGCCGCAACCTCTCCGCACCTGAGCGATTCACCGCCTTGGGGTTCAGGCACAGATTCAACCTCTGCATTGTTCAATATGCTTAAGAGGAATAAATGATTACAGGTACCTATCAGTAGATGAGTATGATAACTACGCATCCTATTCATTCTAATTTGAATTACGTATTATTGCCTTAAAATTGTAGGGTGCAAAGGGATCTATGCCCGCTTGGAATTGTCCAAGCAATATCAGGGCGTAGAGTCTCCAAATATATACATTTGTCGCCCAATCATCACAATATTATCTATGCTCCACCTATGAATTTAACGGAATTGAATCTTCACGTAAAAAAGATAAAACGACCATCAAATAACTACCGACCATTCCAGCCAGTGAAGCATTGTGAATGGAGAAGAAAATGAAAAGGCAAAAAAGAAGAGGCTTGCATCATCCGTGAATCGAACACGGGCCTCGTCGATGGCAACGACGAATTCTACCACTAGACCAATGATGCTGATTTGATATAAGAGCCGGCCAAAATATGCTACATATACTAATTGTTCAGTTGCTACTATTCCATGCGAGGCAACGACCCTGTCCTCTTCATCGACTTGATGCATTTCCCTCATACTCAAGTAATCTCTCATCTATCTATACATCCAACACTTGTTTCTATTTATTTCCTGTCCACTTTAAACCCCGTGGGCATATGAGCCTCAATGGTATCCACCAGGCAAGGGTGGGCACTGCCCCCCGAAACCCAACCCGTGAACCGTACGATCGGAAGTTGTTGGCCTTGTCCAACACATGGCCAATTTGGGGGCCATGACTACTGAGCCATGAACCAGTCAGCGACTATTGTCGTCTTTACGTCACCATACGCGTTCGCTCATCTCGTTCTCGTTCCGCGTTGAAGAAGCTCTGCTCACGAGGTCTAAGCCCCTCTTCCCCGATTGAGTTGGGTTCCGATCCAGAAAATTAATTGCTCATCTTTTATCCCGTGAGATACCGGACTATTTTCAAATAGTTTATTTGGCCAACATGACAGTTCTGAGAAAGTTGGATGAACTCCAAGTCTCATTCTATGATTCTGCCCCAAGCTCCACCTCAGCCTCCCAGTCCGCCCCGCAGGGCAGGATCCACTTAGTATACGGAACACATCTGGAAGACTGTGGGCCTGTCTTGGCCATGACGATGGCCCAGCAATGCCTAGAAAATTGGATATGCACATCGAAGCTTTCAACTCGTTCTTCCATATCGGAAAAAGTGGAACTGGGCATGGCATGGCATGGCAACACAATGATGGCAAAAGAGTAGTCCAGGAACGGGAATGGAAGGATGACATTCAGACATAACTGTCTGGCATATACGGAGTACTCTGAGGTGTCTACCTACATACCTCGGGTTACCCGAATACGGAGTCTCCTAAAATGGATATCCCTTTTGTAATCCCTCAAATAACCCGGCACCACGGCATCGTGATACTCTTCTCGTGCTCGTAATACTAAAAGTAGAAGGTGAGTGATTAAAATGAATGCAAATGGTCACCTCCAAACTAGTCGTTCGGTTAGTCGGCAACCAGGCGACCAATGTCCATACATAGTATGGATGGATCGAGGCGGAGTGGATCAAAGAGTCTTTGGCCCTTTGCGCCCGAGAGAAACACAGCCTTGACAGTCATGACAGCCATGACAGCCATGGGAAGCCATGGGGAGGCTTAGAAGGAGATCGCTTGGCTCCCGGGGGGCAAGAACCATTTCCGAAGGAGCTTGGAGGTGTATCATTGGTGAGAAATTAAATTAATAAATGATTCCATATTTGAGAACCAAAGGGACCTTTTTCCCCAAGGCTAGGAGCCCCACTGCGGAGAAAGCTGGCCGGGCAAGAAGTTGGATCATCGTACTCCGTACTTACAGTACTACGAAGTACTCTGTATCCATTTTGGATCGCCCAGGAGGAAGAGGCCCAAGTTCCCTTGTCTCTGGCGGTCCATCGGGACAGGTGCAGTTAGCTTCTGTTTACGTTCCCCAACTTCCATTTATTTAAACCTTGCAGCACCCCCTCCCCTCATTCCATTTTCCACTTCCATCTATCCCTGTACTCCATCCTTTCTAGAATCTCCATTATACCCAATCTCCTATCTACACACTCGGAAATCATGTCCGTCAACGGTGCTAGCACTGGCAAGGCTTCGGTCCAGGAGCCATCTTCATCTCGCCCTCACGGCCTCGTGAATGTCCAGCCTGCCCGCTTGGGCGACTTGCAGCCTCGCTATGCTGCAACAATCCAGCACGATGATGATAACCCTGATGCGCACAGCTGGTACGCGAAACTGAGTAAGTGGCCAAATAACTCGAGAGAAGCTATCCTCGCTATCAATTCTAACTATTTAATTGTGTCCGTTTAGTGCACAGCTTGGGAGAATGTATCGGTTTCTGCGGTGCCATTCCCTGCTGTATCTGCTGCCCCAACCCCTTCAAGCCCGTCGACCAGGGTCAGGTCGGTCTCGTATCTCGATTTGGACGGTTCGTGCAGCTTTCCTTTCCCCAGACCTCACCCGGCATTAGTGTTTGATTTTGCTGACCTTGCATCCATAGCTTCGAACGCTCGGTCGACCCCGGTCTTGTCAAGGTCAACCCACTCAGCGAGCACCTCCTCACCGTCGACGTCAAGATCCAAATCGTCGAAGTCCCCCGTCAAGTTTGCATGACCAAGGACAACGTGACCCTCAACCTGACCTCCGTCATCTACTACCAAGTCACCTCCCCACACATCGCCGCCTTCGGCATCTCCAACGTGAAGCAGGCCCTCGTCGAGCGCACCCAGACCACCCTGCGCCACGTCATCGGTGCTCGCGTCCTGCAGGACGTCATCGAGCGCCGCGAGGAGATCGCCCAGTCTACGGCCGAGATCATCGAGGAAGTCGCCTCGGGCTGGGGTGTCCAGGTCGAGTCCATGCTCATCAAGGACATTATCTTCAGCAACGACTTGCAGGATTCGCTCTCCATGGCTGCTCAGTCTAAGCGAATCGGTGAGAGCAAGGTCATCGCCGCCCGCGCCGAGGTCGAGTCCGCCAAGTTGATGCGCCAGGCTGCCGATATCTTGTCCTCGGCGCCTGCTATGCAGATCCGTTATCTCGAGGCTATGCAGGCGATGGCCAAGACTGCCAATAGCAAGGTCATCTTCCTGCCGGCTGTGAACCAGACTATGCAGCAGCAGCTTGCTGCGGCGGATAATGCGGGCGAGGGCCCGAGCAACTACGGTGCTACGGACAACCACCAAGACGATGGTTTCCAGCGCGCGATCAACGCTCGCGTCGTCGAGGACATTTAAATGCCATGACTGACTACGTAGTTTGAGTTGCAGTCCCGTTTTTGCCATGGCTGTTTCAGCTTTGGTTCTATGATGATATGACATTTATGTTCGCTTTGTTATTATCACGTTTGTTCGTTGATGAGTGGTTAGTTGCTCGGCTGGTAAGGAGTCATGTCCTTGCTTGCTGGGTTTTCTCTTTGCTCTTTGAGATCTCTTGAAGCTTTGTATAATGGTTGGACGCGATTTGGATCCAGGACGATACCCACCTTCTTTTTGCTTTGTCTTGCTTCATGGTGATACCTTGGCTTATTACGCGTCTTAATTAGTCCGATGCTTTGAGCTTGTAGCATAATTCAATATTGATTTCAGAATTGCCCATTTCCCGGTAGACCAACAACATCCTCATAGCCCTAAAATAATTCGCCAGATGAAGAGGAGCGACATTCCTGAATCCGCTATAGCTTCAGAGTATCCAGTCCCGTCCCTCTGGCAAGTAGTCTATTCTACATCCTGTTAGTGAAACACCCACCATCACAAATTCGATGTAGTTCTCACCATCAACCAAGACGGAATAACACCCATCGCAACCCTAACAATACTCGACTGCGCCCCTCGCCATATCGTCCCTTCAGTACCACCAAGGACATCACCCACCACTTTCTCCGCATAAACCTCAGGCTCCATTTCCGGATGTCCCTGCTCCCCCCTCGCAAAAACTCCAATCCGATCTATCATAGAAGAGTAATAGGATCCCTCCGGCAGTTCAAATCTCGGGGAATTACTAAACCATTTTGTACGGATGTTCCCCGTGATGACGATGATCACTTTCACTCCCAGGGGTTTCATTTCTAGGGCTAGTGTTTCGCTTATTAGGCGAATTGCGGCTTTGGAGCCGCAGTACATTCCTGATTTGTATTCTATTTAGTATGATATAATGACCTTTTCGAGGTTTGACGTATTGGATTGATGGGTTAGGTTCGAACATACCTTGATACGGTAATCCCAAACAAGCAGCCGTCGAAACATTATTCACAATCATCCCCTTAGCATTAACAACCAGCGGTGCAAAAACCTGCGTTACTCGTATAACGCCCCAAACATTGACTTCAAACATGTTCTTTCCCATATCAATATCCGAGTCTAGGAGGGGCATTACAAAGCCTGCGCCAGAGTTGTTGACCAGATAGTCTAGTTTGCCGTTCGTCTGTTTTTCAACGATGGTGTATGCGGCGGTGATACTTTCGGGGGATGTCACGTCTAGCTCGAGGAATGTTATATTAGGGAGTGATTGTAGATTTTGCATTTTGGTGATATTCCGTGCTGTGGCGATGATGTGTAGGCCCTTGGCGTGGAATGATTTGGCTAGGGCTGAACCGATGCCGTTGTCGCTGCATCCTGTGATGAGCACGTATTTTGTTTTTGTTTGTGAGGCCATTTATGTGAGGGTGGTTGTTCTTTTACGAGTGGAGCATTTGAGTAAGTAGATGCTGTATTAGATAGAGCTTAAGTATATCTTGTTTACTGGATTGTTTACTGGATCTGAATGATGTCCCGTCGGGGGAATTCATGTTGCCGAGCCTTTCTGACGGCGGACTATAATCCTGCCGGCTCTTGGTACTTTTATGCCTTTCCTCTGACTGTGGTAGGGGCAGCCAATGTACCAGAGCACTATAGATATCTAAGTATACAATGATAATAGTTTAGCCGTTCTATGCATGTATAATTCATGATCGTAAAAGATGGTCCCCTATTTGTGGGCTGAGGCTACTCGCACGGAAACTTGTGTTTTCGCATGACAAACTATTCTATTTTCGGATATGGTGGATAAGAGGTACATCGAGTACTGTACCTAGATGTCCGTATACTACCTACTGCCCTTAGCATTGGCTTTAGCTATTAGAAAAGACAGTTCAAAAGACATTCAGAAAGACCTTTATAAAAGGTAAATGCAAAGTGTATATACTTACATTGTAATATAAGTGACGGTAAAACTGCCGCCTCGGGAAATGATCGGCTCCCGGAGCACAGAATAGGTTAATCACCTCGCCGCCCTAAGCACCTCACGAAGGAACATGCATGCGCTCGCTTATTGCAGGGATATGCACACACACACACGTCCTGTAGGTAGGCGGCCCGGCTGGTGTACAGAAACCGTAGGCGCGGGAAGTACTGTGTTCCAAATACATTTGAACGGCCACTGTATTCGTTTGTGAATTCACTTCATCTGTTACCCCCTATACCCCTACTGCAAAATAGCCTTCCTCGGGAGGCGCACCTTCACAATCAATCACAAGTGGTCGAACCAAAGATGGCCCCAACCCTAGCTCCTTCTAAGCATGAGCTTCTCTATGACATGATCTTTAGTGGGGAATACCTATACCGGAGAATAGCAGAGGCTGCTGGCTGCAATAGGAGTACTATCCGAAGAATCTCTTCTAATGTACAGATGTTCAGAAGTGTCAACGCACTGCATAATAAAGGCGGACGACCCCGTAATATAACCCCAGTCATGCTCGAGGTGTTGTGGGAGCAAGGGAGAATTTGGGGGCTAGCGCCCGTGTCGCACCTTTGCGTGTCTCATTGGGTTGTTAGCTTTTTCAAATCAGCCGCACTTGCCCCTGGGTATACAAATCCGGCCAGAGTCAATCTTCCCCCTCCCCCAACTCTAAATAGTTACTCTGAGCCAAGTCTTATTCATACCGCTGTCGCGCTATTAAATCTGAATCGCAGTTAGATCGCGACGTCGTGGGTATCATCAAACACTATGCGGTTGCTCCAAGGTACCAAGTCACACCATAGAAGTTGGGTAAATACGGCTGCGATTTACTAATATCATTGTCAGTCTTTTCAACCTCAGTCGCTCTATTTTTCCATGTCAACCACACAAAACAATTCCAGCACTGGTATCCTTTTTATCGAGACTCCCTAACAATAGTGGCAAACACTTCCCAATGCTACGAGAGCTACAGTCGAGATGTCCAAACGAATGGTGCATCTGATCCAAATGCGTGTAAGAATATGGTCGACTGTTTGTACAGCAAAAATGGCGATATCAACAAAGCAGACTGGTCATCAGCACTAGTGTTACTTGGCCTAACCCCAACCATCCTCGGGCAATTGGGCCCAGATATCAAAGAAAAGGCTCGGTTGGGGTTCCAAAGCCCGATTCTCGGGTTTCTGTGTGTCCTCGGTGGGCCATGTATCCCATTTACCAGACCTTGGACGAAACAAGAAGCGAAGAAGCAGATGCGGAAAGAGCAGCGGGAGGAAGGAAACTTTGCTTCTGAAGAGATGTGGATTTTTTCTCCCGGTTCACCGCTCCCAGATCGACGGTCCTGGACGCCTATAAAGATCTTTCTGAACTATCTTTTATCGGCTGCTGCGGCCGCTAACGTCCTCCATAATGTCATCACTCTCGGCCAGCAAACAGTCCTTAGCTGGAAATGCACTTGGACACACCTTCAGCTTGCATGGGTTTTTTCCGCCGTTGGCCCGGTCCTCTTCTCGGGGGTCGCTTTACTGTTCGAGAAGAAAAAAGGGAGAGAGCGTTCTGCTGATGAATCTTCTAAAAAATGTCGTGTTGCAACAGCATACTTAGAAACCTCAGCCAAGGTTTTTGATTCTCTATCAAACATTCTTTGTGCTGGGCATGTCGTCTTCGGTACAATATTGCTCTCTTCGGCCCTTTTTATTGGTACGCTCGATGCCTTGGGAGTTGTCGCACGGTTTGCAGCATCGACGCTTGTCTGCCAACTGATCACTGCATTGGAACTGGATACAAAAGTGAATGAAAAGAAGGAGGATGATGGAATGACTACCACAGACCAGATCTCCATCCATGGCCCCTGGTTGAAGTACAGTGGTTGCGACGACATCTCTGGCAACATGCTAATCGGTGCCATCAACAAAGGCGAGGCCAACAGAGTCAAGACCGCATTCACTAGCGGACACGACTCCGTTACAGCCACTCTCCGTGACTATAAGGCTCGCGGTATTCAGTGGGTTGTTATTGGTGACTGGAACGACGGTGATGGTTCTTCCCGTGAGCACGCCGCTCAGAAACCCTATCACCTTGGTGGTCTAGCTGTCATCAGCCGCTCCTTCCCTCGTATCCTCAAGTCCAACCTAGAAAAGCAAGGTATACTGCCCCTGACCTTCTCCGACCCTGCCGACTATGATAAGATCCATGCCGAGGACAAGGTCGATCTGATGTGCAATGAGCTCGCTGTTGGCAAGCCAATGACTCTCCGCGTCCACCCTGCCGATGGCAGTAAGGCCTTTGATATCTCCCTCAACCAAACCTTCAACGCGTCCCAGATCGAGTAGTCCACGACGTTTCCGCCCTGAAAATCATAACCAAGAGCCGAATATCAAGTAAATAGAGGTCATTTTACCATTTAGTTGTCATGCTTCTCTTCTTTTTGGTCTCGTTTGAATAGATCTGTGTAATTTGCTTCCTCAGGGCTCTGAAGATGGATTGAAAAATACATATATAATTATAGAAAGCAGTCTAGGTTCAACAGATTAATTTAGTATCCAGTCAAATTTCGCATACTGGGGATTGATTTTCCGAGTAAGACTCCCAGTCCGTCACTTCAACATAGGAGTGGCAGAGAAAGTGTCAGGTCGCTGGATTCTCGAGGCATCAGCTCTAGTATTTGAAGTGTTTGCAAATTCATGTACAAGTGTCGTTCCATTGGGTCGACAATACAGTTACGCGATAAAACACCGCATATTGATAAATGTGAATCACGGTATTCAGACTGGTAGAGGAAAATTGATATTCCGGGATTATTCCTAATACGTTCTTGTGTCTCTTAGTGACGGGCTATAGAATCTCTCAAAGAGTGTAGGTGGTTGCATTGGTTTGGGGAAGTACTGTATCACCTTGCTTGCAATAAGACAAAGCATAGGCACAATAGCTCTGGCCCCGAAAGGGTCCTGTATATCTATCCGAGAAATTATACGACATAAGGTCTTGAGCAAACTATTCATTACATCCTAGATTCCTGATTTTGCTGGATGTTGCCTACATTATCCTACCATATTCATGAAAAAAATAGTTAGCAAGTTAGTGATACTTGAGCGCCCCTAAAAGCACATTATCAAACTAAGATCAAATCACCTAACTTGTTATTTCACTACGATATATTATATATAAGCCTTGAAATAGATTATATAGAGGAGACGGAGACCTCCTTCTGCGTGTAAGGACATTGTAAAGATACTCTATAAGTCAGGATAGAGGCCTGTCAATCAGGTAGGAGAAAGGAAACAAGTCAATTGCTCTGAAAGGTCAAAGACTGTTTCTTGAGGAACGTAAAACCTCTCCAACATGTATCAGTTTATATACAGTTATATCACTCAAAACAGGAAGGAGATGTATACTTAGTAGGGGAATAGGAGTCGGGAAAACACGAGGCTTGTTTTAGCGCTTTGATTTCTTACTTGGAACACGTCGACCCAGTCGGGTGTGTGGTGCAGCAGCCATTCCTAAGTAGCCACGTCCACCAATAAAGAGATGTCTTAAGCGTAACTTTTAGACAAGTGAAGGGAGAGAAATAAAACAAGGGGGCTAAATAGCTGAGTTGCCTCAATTTGGCTGCGCATTAGCAGTTTTCTATACTTGCACCAGGTCACGGTTTCGCTAACCGTGCTCTAATGCGAGAGTAGATCACTGCTACATTGAAAACCCCTATCCTTTGGGAGTCAAAACCATAATTCTGTGAAGACATCAACCAGCAACTTTTCCCCAGATTTTGCGTGACGCAGACGTTTGTTTGGGTATACGGCCAAGTGTTTCTCCTATCGGCGGATAATTCGGGGTTTGGGGATTTCTTGGCACACAGCTAGTAGGTTACAGAACGGGAGCCGACAAGCCCTCAGGAAGGCTGATCGCTAGATTTATCGGTAGATAGGCCTAAAAGGTACCGTCTGGTGGGTCACATAGCCTTCAATTTCCAGGTGCAAGATTTTGAATATCGATAGACTTTCACTCGAAGCGCCTCAAGGTGTGTCTTACCGGAAGCGGTGGGAGACCTGGTGGGAGACCGGGTGGGAGGCCGGCGGAGTTCACTTTGTCGATCCGAACACCCCGCGGAGCTCAGCGAGGTCTCATCTCTTTCGAAACGCTGATTGCGAGAGCCATATTACCGATGGAAGGGTTCGGAAGCGAAATTGAATTCTTTTTCCCTCCGAGTCCCTCGGACTCTTTCGCAAACGATACGTTCCGATGCCGATTTCCTGGCTGCAATGCTCGGTACCGACGCAAGGAGCATCTAAAGCGCCATGCAGATTCTATTCACGCTCAGCAGCAGGACTTTGTTTGCTCCTCCTGTGGTCGCCAGTTTAAACGAAGGTATCTGCATAGTTACACTTACCCTTGCTCAAAATCAATCCTGACCGTAAAATGGTGCAATTAGTGATACTCTTCGGCGCCATTTACAAAAACAGCACAAAATAACAGAGCCTCTCAATCGCGCACGCCGAGCTTGTGCAAGTTGCCATGCAAGCAAGAATCGGTGCGAAGGGGGCGTTCCATGTGGGGAGTGCGTTCGTCGTAATGTTCACTGTTCTTTTCAAGGCATGGATGCTAGTGTTGCTGAAGAACAAGAGCAACATCCTAGCTCCTTCATCCCACGTTCATCATCTCCGAACCAGAAAGAGTCACAAGTATACTATCTGGAGAAGAGGAAGCAGTGTGCCAATCGTTATTTTGAGGTATTCCACCCCTTTTGGCCTTTTATCCATAAAGCAACATTCGATGTAGACCAGGAAACCCCACTACTTGTACAATCAATAGTGGCTATAGGCATATGGACATCGGGAGAACGGTCTACACAGTCTGCGGCGATGGAACTTCACGACAATCTTGATTCTGCTATTCGAGATCAACGAGTACGTCGAATCAGGAATCTAGGATATACTCGATCCGCTAACGTTCAACCATAGGAGAAATGGGATGCCTCAGAAGTAGAGGGAGCATGTAGCACCTGCTTCTGGCCAATAGCGACATACCAGGCTATCCTATTACATATTATCTTTTCTGTTCTCGTCAAAAGCGAGAGTACTGTCAACCTCGACCTGAAAGCGTCTATTTCTGCAGCAGATCTAACATTACTCAAATCGCTTGTTGGAAGCTGTCGAAGACTGGGCATGTTCTTCTACCCGAACATACTTGCTAAGTATAAGGAATCTGACCTGCCCGGATTTGTCTGGGTGGGAGTCGAGGAGATCAAGCGATTCAATATAGCGCTGTATCAGCTCTGTGCAAAACTGAGCAGCGAAAGTCCGAATGACAGGCCTTTGCTGCCTGCTGGTGAACTTCAGTTCCCACTGCCAAGCAACGATTCCCTGTGGAATTCTGTTGAACGACACGAATGGGAAGCTAATGCGAAGAGGGAGGATACAGTTTCCTTGAGCGACCACTTTCAGGCAAAGTGGATTTCCAATCTTGCAGATGTATTAGGATTCTTTGGTGTATAACTACACAAATTGAGCTTTTTCTTTCGAGTTGCCCGCAACTGTTTGATGGCTCTGTCGCCTCAAGTCTTGAATCACACGCTACTACAGACACTCATATAGCTTAGATCCACTGAAACCACCAGTGGCGGTCGGGGTTGCTCTTGATGCCGTTTCTGTTGCCTAGGCTCTGTCGGGCCAAACTCCATGACATATTCCAGACACCTGTGAGGAATTGTCGTAGATTACTATACATATATTCTGTGATCTGTGAAGGTAGCCCTCTTCGTCCCCACGAGGGAGGAACCATCCTAGTTCAATCTCTATATTACAGGATTGACTGTGGCGACATTGTCCCGCGCATATCCCAAAGTACAGCCAGTGTCTGAGCATGCTAGGGATAGACAGGCTGCCACTGAGCCGGGGGGGAAAGGGCAGCTGCATGTTTCGGGAAGCAGCGAGGGCGAGGATTTTGAGGAATATCATCTCAATTCTAATCGATGTCTGTCAATCGTACCTACCATCACTGACGGGCCACCATCACTAACCACCATCACTAACCACCATCACTAACCACCATCACTAACCACCATCACTAACCACCATCACTAACCACCATCACTAACCACCATCACTAACCACCATCACTAACCACCATCACTAACCACCATCACTAACCACCATCACTAACCACCATCACTAACCACCATCCATCTCTGATCAAGAAAAGAAAGCCCCATCGGCATTAGCCGGGCTGTATTCCTCCAAAAATCCCCTTCTCCCACTATTGCATGTATCAAAGTCTTGAATATGGTGAATAAATCGGATTATCAAAGATTCTGTAAACAGATTACACCCCGGGGTTTTGACCGTAAATCTCCTCAATGAACTGATGTCTTTTCACAGCCCTCTCAAAATCACAAAGAACTGTTTTGTCACCTGCAGCAATCGCCTCATAAATACGGGCCACATTTCTATTTATCGGACCCATCTCGGCAAAAGCCCCGTTCTTGAGCGCAAGTTCCACAATTTCGTCGGTGGCAAAGTCGTGAAGCTGAATGCTGTTTGTACCGACGATCTCGATGAAAGCACTGGGACCTGTAATTCTGATCTCTCCTTTTTCGCCGTAGATGCTCCACTCAAGTCCAGGGGATCCCTTGAATGGTGCTCCTCCTCTGATCATAGCCGAAAGTACGGCACCTGACTTGAGCGAACCCTGAATCATAACATGATCTGGAGTTGTCTTCTTGACATTCTCTTTAGCCACGGAGCCATCGGCTTTAACAATTCTAACCACTGGTCGTTGGTTTGAAAGTAGAGATTTGAAGCTTGAGAGTTCGCCAAGGACTGCGATCGATTAGCGACTGATGACAAGTTTCCTAATGTGTTGGGACCTAAGACAAACCTTCCTGAACGGTATCGAGCAAATGTAAAGCTGGAATCGAGAGTAAGGAGCCACCACTTCCACGGTCAACTAGGTAAGTTTGACTTTCAAGCTCCGTCTGTCCTGCAATCATGCCTTGACTAGTGATTGTAGTGCTAAGAACTTTGCCAATTCTTCCTTCTGCCAAAATGCATTTCAAAGTTTCGACACTGGCGTCAAACCGGCCTTGAAGGCCGACTGCGGTGAGCTTGACATTGTTCTCTTTTGCCACACGGAGGAGCTCCTTCGCTTCCTTAAGGCTCCCACCAAGAGGCCACTCGACAAAGACATCCTTGCCAGCTTTGAGGGAAGGAAGAATAGACTTGTAATGACGATCTACTCGCGTAGCGCAAACAACAAGGTCGATGTCTTTATCGTCGGCAATACCTAGTCATCTGAGTCAGATATTTCACTGTACTTAGTGTAATGCACAGAGGGGAACATAAGTTCGTTACTTACTTTGCACATTTCCATATGTTCTTACGTGGCCTGGAAGCTTGAGTTCTTTGACGCTCTTAGCAGCACTTTCCACAGATGAATTACAAACAGCCACAATTCTGAACTTTGAATCGGGGCTCTGCAGATAGGGTAGATGAGCATTAGCTGCCCATGAACCAGGTGAAAGACCAATTATACCAATGCGAATTGGGCCCATGGTGATGGTTTGATAATAAAAAAAAGAAAAATCTATGGTTGACCAGTCGAATGACCTAGCGTTCCATCTATTTAAATATATGGAAAAGTTTTGATGGTTTCATTCATTACATCATGGCTCATCACCCAAAGAAAGTCAACGAATACCCAGCCTGAAAAACTGATGATGGTTTGTCATCTGTATCCTACCGGTAGTTATCCCACCACCGACACTGTTTGTAAGCCAATTGATGATGACAATATGGATATAGTTGTCCTGGAAAATTTTCTAAGTAGTCAGATTCTGCGGCCGTTATCAATCAACCTAGAACGGGTAGTGGGATGTCGGTGGGAGGCCGATGGGATACCGGTGGAGGTGGTGGGAAGAAAGTTCGGATGCCAACGGGGAAGTTAGGTGGTGTTAAATTGACGTCCATTCTCCTTTCTGATGCATTTTAATTGCCCTTGTACGTAATTTGAGGACCGCTGTGAATCATGGCTCATTATGTGCAAGTCGTCCTCGTTACTCTCCTGGCAATCATATTTGGTTACTACAAGACCTATGTTCAAGCTGCGGTCCAGCTCTTCCCAGGCCTTGAAAAGATGATCCAACCACTCGAGGACTTTCCTGAGTATCATTGTCGCCGAATGCGGCACCCGTTGTTGGAGAGTTGCGAGGATGTCTGGCTCGATCCTAGTGGTCGCACGCTCTACGCCGCTTGCGCCAATCCTATCGCTCGCGTGGTCTGGAGCCGAGGTGGAAACCGCTACGATCTTCGGGGGCGGGTAGCAGGTGGCGGCGGGATTGAGCATATAACTGTGCTGGATATCGATCAGCCGGGGGCTGATGGCTTAGCGTGCGAGCATTGGAATTCCGCGACAGCGAAAGCAACATCCAGCAACTTGATATACACGGGGTTGATGCCCGCGTGATCGACACGGGTCGGCGGCTCGTTCTGGCTGATCAATCACCGGCCGCCACTGGATACATCGACTAGGGTACCACTGCTCGATGTTACCAAAGTAGGGGCTAATTCAACTATCGAAGTGTATAACCTCAATCTACGCCATAGTACCCATCTACTCCACGTTAAAACCATCGTCAGCGAGACGATCATTTCTCCAGACAATCTAGTCGTCATCGACGACAACGAAGACAGAAGAGGGTTCCTGTTCACCAACGACCACAACACCAAGGTCAGCCCGTCATGTAACAGCGAGATAAGCGGAAGTATTCCTTATTGTCCCACTAATACGGGGATGTGCCATTATACTACCACAGAGAACTTTTCCTTCCCTAATAGTATCACAAGGGACCCATCATTAGGCCTTATTTACGTCGCGCACTCTGCCCGGGGTACAGTCACCGTCCACCGGGTAGTAGATAACGAGCAACTCATACAGGTTGACGAGGTGCCGTTACCTATAGGGGTTGACAATTTGTCGATTGATACTGATGGGAACATATTTGCTGCTGGTATACCTGATCATAATCAATTTATTCGAGCGTTCAATGGCCATTATAGCACTGATTCACCCTCGACAGTGATGATGATCAGGAAGAAGACTAGTCGCATAGGTGTATCATCTCTGAAAGAGGAGTATGATGTTATCAAAGTTGTGGAGGATGGGGAGACACGAGTCCTGCCGACTACGACGACCGTTGTGTATGACCCTGCCTTAGGGCGACTGTTCCTCGGGGCTTTGTCTTCACCCTTTACAGTGATCTGTGAGAAGCAGAAATAGATTTATGCATATCCGTCCGCTGTCTATTACCTACAGTAACTCGCAGAGTTTAATAAGACTTTGTATACACAGGAGGATTGTAGCAAAGGCATCACTGCCCTGCTTGACCAGGTCGAGGCTCGTTGGAAACAGTACGTCTCATTCCTCCGTAGAGCTCTTCCCTCTTTTCATCATTTTTCTAAGCCTTGTCAGAACTTGTGCATGTCTCCGCAAAGATCCTGAACAAGAATTCCGGAAGCTATCTATTGCCATCCTGCATACATTTCTCGACTAGGCCCTGAATTTGCGACGGGGCAAAAATGGGAGACGGTTGCCTGGAATCAAACCAAAAAGCTCACGGGAGACATTCTGGAAGGTTTTTCGGCTGGTCTTCGAAAGAGCAACGTCAGAAACGATCGGAAAACTCATGAATCGACAGATGCACCGGGTAAGAAACTTCAGAATGATCTTTCCGGTAGCTAGTTGAAGCTGGTTGACGCTGCTCTCACTCAAAACTAAGATAATATAGCATGTAATTGCCCATAAATCAACTGAAAATTCACTGAAACAGGATACTTTCCATGCATCATCGCGACGTCTCTGTAGTTAACAGAGACAGCACGGATGCGAATCAAGACATCTTGGGGCTGTAGCGACGATGGTAGCTTCTCTTCCACCATTTCAAGAAACAAGCCATCTTTGCTGCGTCGAAACGCTTTGTATGATTGAGGAAGGGACATGGCAGGCGGCGAGATAATGAATAGATTCCGCAACGGATTCGGTCCGGTGTGTCGAGACTGAATCTTCAGACTCCCAGAAGCCTAGATATTGTTTTCTAATTTCTAACCAGTCCCTTTTACTCAGAGCCTACTTTCGAGATTGCTCATGCTTTACCTTAGTAAGTTACTCTTTCCTCCGAAGGGTGATTATAAACCTGCCCTCCGGCTTTCACCTGTCTCCCACCGGCCTCCCACCTGTCTCCCACCAGCCTCCCACCGGCCTCCCATCTGTCTCCCAGCGCCGGTTTCCCACCATCGGCACTCCCTCAGCCATGAAGTTACAGGTAACGACGCAAATAACTGTTCGTATTTCGCAACAGCCTTAATCATATGCAACTCAAATGATCCATAGGGTCTTTGTAGCATTGTCGGTCGTAAGGTCTTGTATTCCGGCCTTGTTCTGGGAAGAGGGCATCGGCTGGTACTACATAATCTCGGGTATCTTCAAGGTTAACGTGTTGGGATGATACTTGCTTTAGCTTTTATGTGGGGCGTCGATGAACAATCGAGAACCCTAACGCACAAGGTTGGAGCTGGATAGATTAGTGATCGACGACAGTAGCGTTCGGAAAAGTAGTTGGCACTGGATTCCTTAATCGTTAGTAAGCCATATCGAAGAAGCAGAATATGTATATATAACTCAAGGGGAGGTCATGGCTGACCTGTTAACACTGATATTATACGGATAGCAGATAGCTTTTCCTTTTGCCTTGGCTGTGTTGTACTACCTACGCCCTTGAAAATGCCTGCTTTCAATTTCTCGACCACTGGGTCCGAAGTAGTTGCTGCGTTGCCAGATCGAGTCACTGGAAAGACATGTATGTATATATTCCTGGGAACAACCGGATTTCCTCTATAATTGGAACGAGGTTTTGCTCGATTCTTTGTTGCTGAGAAATTATTAGTTGTGATCACTGGAGCCAGTTATGGTGGGCTTGGAGCCCACACGGCCCTTTACTTAGCAGCCGCCAATCCTGCTGAGATCATCCTTCTCGGGCGCTCCGAAGAGAAAGTCTCTCCAGTCATGAAGGAGATCAGCAAAATCAGCCCCTCTACCGTTGTTCGACTTATCAAAATTGACCTCGCGTCCTGCGCATCAGTGCGCGCCGCGGCAGCGGAGATTAATGCGTCTGTCTCGAAGATCGACGTCCTCATTAATAACGCAGGCATTATGGGTGTCAAGTTTTCTCTGACTGCTGAAAACGTGGAAAGCCACCTGGGTGCTAATCACATTGGTCATTTCCTGCTCACCAACCTCCTTATTCCGAAACTTGAAGCGTCTGGTGGTGGTGCCCGGATTGTGAATGTATCCAGTGCCATGTACCAGTTCAGCCCAGTTATGTTCGACAACTACAACTTCTCCGACGGCAAGACCTACAACGCTTGGATAGCTTACGGACAGTCCAAAACAGCAAATATCTTGTTTGCCGTTGCATTGGCTAGGAAACTGGAGAAAAAGGGAATAAAGTCCTATTCGTTGCACCCGGGAGTCATACAGGCAACGGGTCTGTCGTCCGGGGTAGATCCAGCAGCGTGGCCAGTTGTGGGACCTATGTTCGAAAGCAAGAAGCTGGAGATGCCGAAGGAAAAGAACATCGAGCAGGGCTGCGCAACTACTCTTGCTGCGGTCCTGGACCCCGCGCTTGACGGTAAGTATATTAATATAAGCGGCTGAACGAGTAGAAACGGGTAGAAACGGGCTAACAATTTCATGCAGATCAATCAGGTTCATTTCTAAATGACTGTAATCCAGAAAAGGTTTTGGACTACGCCTCTGACGCCTCCAATGCAGATAAGCTGTGGACTCTGAGTGAGAAAATTGTCGGAGAGATATTTTGCTACTGAAATGCCTCTCAGTTCTGCTTCCCAAATGATTTGAGGTGGCTTCGGACACATATAGCGTAATTGGAGGGCTACCTGTCTTCGCGTTCTTCGGTAACTAGAAATGTTAAAGTGTGTTTATTAGGAACATATACATGGCTTTTATTCTCTTTTCGAGCAATGGCGACGTAGAAAAACTTCTGGTAACTGTCGAACTGAGACAGCGGCCAAATAACTACAACTAGCACCTTCCGGGATACGATTATTCGCGTGTACTCGGTCGGCCGTGTATTTTTTTTATTAAGTAATCCGACGACGACGATTCTCTGTGGGAGAGCTCATAAGAGTGGCAAACTTTCCCATATCTATTGATGGAGATCCGGTAGGGATCTCCCTCGAGGGAATCCCCCAGTCGGGATTCTCCTAGAGGATGATTCCAGGGCCAGGTTGATTGTTCTGCTTCGGCCTATATAGGCCTTCCCTTCCTTTGTTTCCTTTCTTCTGCAGAGATAGTTCTCCATGTATTCGAACTAGATTGTTCCTCTCCTGCTTCCTTGCGTAGTGGCGATAGATCGCCATCATCTATTATTCAATCTGACCTAGCTTCTTCTGCGAGGCAAAACGTCGCCGAAGCGTAGTGTGATTATTAGGATCCATCGATTCAGGGGATGTTTGAACTCGCGTCAAGCGAAGTACGGAGTAATTTATACGAAGTGGAGGACGTGATCGCCTTGCAGAAGAGGCTCTTTCACAACGGGTATAGGCATGCAATATGTCGCAAAGGATTCCTAGCCGTGGGAACCCCCGAAATACTTCTACTATTGATTGCTCTCTGAACTTTGGGCGAGACTCTGCTGGATGTGAGAGCATGCCTGTTGACCCTAAACTAGGACTTGACCCAGTGAAGAAAAGGGACTATGTCCTTTGCAATAGCTCCTAGTGAAACTCATGTTCTGCCCGGTCTTTGACTGAGCCGTCAGATACAACGATGGACGTATGATGAAGGCCATTCCAACCTCTCTAGAGACATGTTAGAGAATGGGTGGGAAGACTGAGGCGATCAGATGCGGTGATGATTTCGATTTAGAAAATATGTTCCTATATCATGTACGTACTATTTGAGTAGTCAGCTCTTGCCATTCAAGTTAGCTGTCAATAATGGTACTCCCTATATCGAGGTGGCGAAATCGGCCCAACAGAACAATCTCTAGTCTGTACCACCATGTTTCCCCACGGTGCAAGAAGAATACTATTACTATAGGGAATTTACGCCAAAAAGTACTGAAGGCTCGGTTTGCTAATTAAGGATGACCTGAAATATGGGGCCTATTAAATAGCCTAGTGATGATTTAATACTTATCAAGACCTAAGCATAGCCGGCACTAAACAACTCCTGGGGTATCCGCAATGCGGAAAATGTACTTGGTAGCGCTTGCTCTTCCGGCCTTCAAGTCTTTCAAGGCCTCCTCAACACCTTCCAGGCCTCGCGGCCTAACCTCGAAAGGATGACCGGAAAAACTGCCATTTTGTAATGCTCTCGTAAAATACCGAGAGAATACGAATCCTAGTTCCTCGTCGTTACCAAACCCAAGTTGCTTATGCACCGATCCCACCGAAGTAATCGATTTGACCGCAGGTGACACGTCAAGGTCGTTGGGCAATACAAAATCAACCTGTCCGCCCGAAGTGACCGACTGCCTTAAGACCTCTGCGCTTTGTGTAATGATGATGGTGTCAAGTGCGTGCTGCGCAGTAGAATATCCAGCCAGTACAAGGCTGTCTTTTATCGCCTTGGTCGTTGCCTCTATTCCTTCACGGTAGTCGATCACTGTATCTCCTTTGCTTTGATCTAGGAGGCTCCGTACATATTGGGATCCCTTCCCTGCGATAGCAATGATGGGGTGGATGTTGCTGTTGCACGCCAATTTGATCGCGTATGAGCCAACAGCCGTGCTTGCGCCGTAAACGATGAATGGGATCGGTTTTACTGCAGGCCTCCACGGCGGTGGGAACTGAAGGTGCGCGTACAAGGACACAGCAGCAGTCAGGGCAGCGAGAGGAATTGTTGCGCCTTCTGTGAACCTTGTTTAGCTATGATCCGTATGAATTTTATTGTCTTAGCGCACCTTCAAATGAGGTGTGCTTGGGAAGGTGGAAAGTTGTATGACTCCACGCAAGTGCGAATTCAGCATACGAGCCGCCGGGCGTACACATTTCGTGGAATGCTGCAACGCGATCGCCTGGCTGGATGGAAAGTTAGCTCGGACCATTATAATTAGTTAAGTCGGCTTACTTTGAATTCAACCACTTTAGATCCGACCTTTTCAACCACACCGGCAATATCGTCCCCCTGGTTCACTCCCTTCTTGGCCTCAATCATCATGGCAATACTACTGTCCCCAGAAGCTGCAAGGTCTGGAACCTTCCAGTCCTTGGGATTCGACCCAGAAACGACCACTTTGATAAGAACTTGGTCATCGTTTGGCTCGGGAATTGGGCTCTCAATAATCTTGACGGTCGGCCCTGCCAAATTGATTACCTCTTTCATGATTTTCAGTTTGAATGTTGAAGTTTGAGGAAGTTGAACTAACAGCATCCGGGTGCAGTTGAAGGCCTACATTATATAACTAGCTCACACATTTGCCTTATCCAGGGTAAATATTGATTACAAACCAGTTCATAAAGCCCTCCTTTATTCAACAGATTTAATAGAGCTTCTAGCTCATCATCGCATATCCAATTGCGTCATCAACTGCATATTCACTGCTCAGCTAGGTGCCAGTGGTGGGAGACCGGGGAGATATGTGCGGTGGGAGGCCGGTAGGAGCTGGGAGGGTTCGTAATCTGCCATCGGAATGAATTACTAAGGAAAAGCCCGAGTCTCTTAAATTCACGCAAAGCAACATTTCACACTCGATGAAGAAGCTCAATCATGGCTGCTGCAAGAGATAATTCTAAGCCCTACATACCTGTTGCCGGTTGTGCCGATGATGGCTGGTCAAAAGAAGGCCAGGCGACTGCCACATGTTACTGTGGCGCTGTACAGTTGGCCTTTGTAAGTGCTCCTAAGCATATCACCTTGTTTAACAACTTCCGCTAATATCGCCGACAAACCTCAGCCAACACAAGGCCCAGGCCTAATCGACACATTCACCTGCCACTGCACGGACTGCCGAAAAATCACCGCATCCATGTTCGCGACCAATTTCATTGTCGCGGACACACATCTTAAACACCTACGTGGCCAAGAAACCCTCAAATCATTCAGGGAGTCGAAAACCATTGCCTCCGGCAAGGCAATGACAAATACTTTCTGTTCTACATGTGGCTCACTCATGTACCGCATCAGTGAGGTTTTTCCAGGACACAGTATCCTGCGTACCGGAACAGTGGATGATTTCACCCTGCACGAAACGAAATTGAAGCCCAGGTTTGAGCTGTATACCAAGGACCGGGTGGGATGGCTTCGGGGGGCAATTGATGTGGCGCAGGTCGAGGGTTCAGTTTATAGTCCAAAGTGCACCAGCCCTTCTGCACACTGAATGAAGTGATTGGGGCTTCAGTGTGTCAACTCCACAGCGCTGGTCACAGATTCACGTGGCCAAGTAAAATCACTTTACTACTAGGTGATATTTGAACCTAATGACTTGGTTTCCATTTGCTAGCCTCTCCATTACTTGAATTTACGATATTTTCCACCGGACTGCTAGAGCACGTTACAGTACAAGGGTAGAGACGCTAGTTTTCCTTTTCTTTTCAATTCGGCCTGTAGCATATTCCCAAAGTCTACTGGCGTCCAAAGTGGCGGTCTAGCCATGTCCTCAGGATATGAAAGATATAGAAACCGTGCCAGCGATAATCCCGAGTTTTTAAAATGACTACCCTACCTCAGAAGAGAAATTCGAGTACTACAGCTCGAACGGCCTTGCTGCTCCACATAGCCCCAAAAGGAATGGGCTGACGTCTTGTCACGTCATAGTCACGTCCGACAGTTTGCGTTTCGTTGATCCCGCTCACAGGAGCCACTTCCTGAGTAACAGCGTCACTAATCATCGTGACAGCGCCCACGGCACTGCTGGCACAGGAAGCGAGAAGAGAATAGGGAGACTGAGTCAATTGGTCTATCTAGAACAGGAAGACGAAGACGACTAGGAAGGGAAGAAGAAGCAGAAGGGCACAGAACAGGGTCTATAAGGCCCTGAAGCACAAAGGAAAGGAACAGGCCTAGACCTGGCAGGAAATCACCGGCCTGCTTCATGCAGGGCCAAAGAAGACGACAAACCCTGCACACCCTTCGAGGTCAAAGGGATCGAGTCATCACATCGAAGCAGTATCCCGTTCTTCCTGTTCCGAAATGATGCGAACATTGTCATCCAAGGCTGTCAACACCCTTCCCGGAGCCTTGCACCACTGGGGCAGATTTAAAGCCCCCGTACAGCCGCGATGGTCCAGAAGCGAAGTGTGAAAGCACCTGAAGGCGCCGAGGTTCGACGATCGACTAACCAATTGACGTGTGAGGTTACGGATCAAGGGCAAAAACGCCTTATCTCAACTGCAATAAGGAAAACAGAGCCGAAACGAGGCCGGGTGGAGGAAGGCACTCGAGTCACCGTGGGCTATAGTAAGGTTTCTGTAAAAGCACGATTACCAGGCGCTAGTATCCGCCTCCTAGCGCTCTTTACCGTAGGCCACATCACGGTATCTCTAAATACACGGATGCTATACGCTAGTACCTGCCTCCTGTTAACCTCTACCTCCCGGCGCTCTTTACCGTGAGCTATATTACGGTTTCTATAAATCATGATTACTAGGCGCTAGAGTCTGCCTCTTAGCTCTATTTGCTGTGAGCTATATCACGGTTTTTTAGAAAAGTATAATCACTATACGCTAGTATCCGCCTCCTAGCTCTTTTTACTGTAGACTGTATAACGGTTTCTTAGAATAAGCTAGGATATTCAGCAGATCTCTAATCTCTAATAAACTAAGTAAGTACGTGGTCGCCTGTAGTTCTAAATAATCACCTTAGATAGCCGCTTTGATACAGAGAAACTAATTTAGATTCTATTTTTATCCGTGCGCTACTCACTATTTTTTAGAAGGCGTGTATTCTACGTGTCTATACCTCTTACCTAGCTTCTAGTTCTGTGGCTTTATTATTTAGCTCTTTAGAAAAAGAAAACTAATAGGTATAGCTAGTGCACACTCTTAATAAATCATAAGTAGGCGCGAGACGGAAGCAGACAGATTACAGTTGTATTCTCTATCGAGGAAGTACGCTTAAGCTCTGTCGGATTTACGCTGTGTGCATAAACCCTAGGTTGTGCACGAAGCGTTCGTGCAGGTCGATCGAATACCACGGTTATGGAAGAGAGACAAAAGTGCAATGGAGGTGGGTCGGCAGCGAACAGGTTGAACAGTGGAATGTCAACACAGTTTAATCAGAATTGCCTTGAGTTCTATTCGTGAGTGAAATGGGTGTCAAACTTGTTTCATTTAGCTAGGAAAATAGGCAGTATTTATAACTTTAGGTACATGGCAGAATGTCACAGGAAAAGACTAATAAAAATTCAGAATAACATGGGGGCAAACGAGAGTGTTAGGAAACTCGTTTTTCTTTCAATCTGATGTGATAGTTGATATCTTATCCTCGTATTGTGTAGTTGTGCACTGGTGTTACGATATACCTGACATGGGGTTATCCACAAACGCCGGTGCCTCAGGCTACCAGGACCCTGGTAAGCCGCCAAGCTTTCGGTGGAGGTTCACTGGGGCTTCGCTGCCAGTACGTGTACGGACTCCTGCAAGGGAGGCCCTTGTAGAGGTTACACAAGCCTCGTGTTTTCCCCCACTCCCATTCCCCTACCAAGGATACATCTCCTTCCTGTTTTGAGCGATATGACTGTATATAAATTGCCCTATGTTGAAGAGGTTTTACATCTCTCAAGAAACAGTCTTTGACCTTTCTGAACAATTGACTTGGTTCCTTTCTCCTACCTGATTGACAGGCCTCTATCCTGACTTATAGAGTATCCTTACATCTGGGATGTTGATCCGATTGGTTCGATGTGTATCGCTTATCAACACGCTTAGTGCGGGGTATCGCATATCCACATGTTGAAAGCTCTATTATAGGAGAAGACTTAAGGTATAATAGGGGTTATCCAAGAAGAATAAAGAGAGATAACGCTATACTTATAAGCAGAAGTCATCTAGGATATAGATATCAGCGTTAGACTACCTAGTCAGAATAGAGGTTCCTTAGTTTCGTTACCTGACCTATATATAATATCCCTGAGTAGTGGATATACGTTAAACTATCTCAAGATCTTGATCCGTTACTAGCTTTGTGTAAAGATACTCTATAAGTCAGGATAGAGGCTTGTTAATCAGGTAGGAGAAAGAAACCAAGTCAATTGCTCCGAAAGGTCAAAGACTGTTTCTTAGGGAATAGAAAACCTCTCTAACATAGATCAATTTATATACAGTTATATCGCTCAAAACAGGAAGGAGATATATCCTTAGTAGGGGAATAGGAGCGGGACTAATATTGTGGTACAAGGGACGCATGAAACAGCGTCAAAAGTAGCCATTTTCGGCGTCGAATTTACTGTTACCTAGCATTGGGGTGTAAACCCGTTTCTCTAGTCTAGATATCAAGAGTCCAGTGTAGCTTTTCCCCACTAATCTAAAGACGGAATAGTCTATCGTGCGAAAGCACAAGTTGGCGTGCGATTAGCCTCAGCCTATTTATGAATCACTTTTCTCTTTTTCAACTCTACCGTAAAACAACATCTTGGTAAAACTACCATCCTTCACAACAAATCAACCCAATTCACGTCGACTCATCCACCGAGTACGGAGGCACATCCTGCCCCTTCTTCCAGAAATACTTTGCTCCAGTATGAGCCTCTGGAAGTCTCGATTGACCAGACAGACCATACATATTCTCCCTCAACGTTCCCCCCTTCACAGCATAATCCGACCAGAACAGACCCCGACGACGCAACTCCGGCAACAAAAGCTCGATAATATCATCAAAGGTATCCGGTAAACTGGCATAACTCAAGTTGAACCCATCCACATCACCAACGCTCACCCACCGCTCCAACTCATCCGCAACAGTCTTGACACTGCCAATAATCTTGACTCCATTTCCTCCGAGGACTAGGTAATCGGCAATGGTCCTCTTGTCCCATTTCAGGCCCTCGGTGCCGGGAACGGTGCTCGCCCAGTGATTCACCATGCTCCGAACGGCTGGTAGCTCGACGAAGCGGAAGTCTTGATCGTCGGCGTATGTGGAGAGATCGTAACCCGTCCAACCGCCGAATAGAGCCAATGCGCCCTCCCGATCACCGTATTTCTTGAATTCTTCGAACCTGGCCTGCGCGGCTTCGTCGGTCTCGGCCACGATCACCAATGCTCCCGCCACAACCTTGATGTCGTTCGGGTTCCGGCCTAATTCGGCAGCTTGTTGGCGGATACTGTCCACCGAGGGACGGACTAGCTCAGGTTTCTGTGCATGGAGGAAGACTGCTTCGGCGTGCTTGGCGGCGAAAGCTTTGCCAGCCGTTGATGTACCAGCCTGAAGCAGAAATGGTGTTCGCTGGGGACTCGGCTCACACAAATGCGGACCGGGGACTTGGAAGTATTTACCCTTGTGGTTGATCTGGCGTACACGAGCTGGGTCCGCATACTGCGCAGTCTTCCGAGAACCAGAACCATCATCTGCATCTGAGCCATTAAATGTCACAGCATCATCCCTCCAAGACCCCTCCCACAATTTATAAGTAACATCCAAATACTCATCCGCAATCCGATACCGCTCATCATGCTCAACCTGCGTATCAAGCCCGAAATTCCTCGCCGCAGAATCCAAATAACTCGTAACAATATTCCACCCAATCCGCCCCCCACTCAAATGATCCACCGTCGAGAACCGTCTTGCCAACGCATAAGGCGCATCATACGTCGTCGACGCCGTAACACCGAACCCAATACTCTCCGTCGCGGCCGCCATGGCGGGAACACTATACAACGGATCATTGATGGGGAATTGAGCTGCAGCGGGGATGGTAGGATCTAGATTCGCAGGTCCTTTGTAGACGTCGTACCCGCCGAGGACGTCGGCGAAGAAGATGGCGTGGAATTTTGCGGCTTCGAGTTTTTGGGCCAGTTTGATCCAGGTTTGGATGTTTTTGTAGCTTGAGCCTTGGTCGGTTGGGTAGCGGAATAGACCTGGGTTTAGATGGCTGGGGGAATGCATTGCGAAGGCATTGATGATGAGTTGTTTTTTGGTTGTTTCGGACATGGTGGCGGGGGTGGTGATGATGGAGAGAAGTATAGAGATAAGGAGGGATGAGAGAGGGAATTAAACGGAAGATTTTCTTATCTTCCGGAAATTTTTTCTTTTCTACATCTATTTTCGAGGGGTAATTATTCTAAATTTATTGTTCCTGGCCTGTCAACCCCGCAGGTCCCTCCTTGTGCAGATCTGGATGGCGTGCATGCTGGTGCAAGGCGTGCAGTTGGAGTCCGATGGCGTCAGCAGCACAACGGTGGGGTGGAACGCGAAGTGACTGATAGCATTGGAGAGCTATTATTTGTTGAATTGACAATACAATTGGTCTGTGGTCGGTATCCTCCTTGTTCCGTTTTACTATCCCTCGGCCGATAGACGCCAAGGTTGTGATTGACGATTTGAAGCTGTACTCCGTATTTGGAACGCGGGTGTGGGATAGAATGCTCTTGTTATTTCTCTCTCTCAATGAAGACCAAAGCCATCTAGGGAAATCTGAGTACTAAAATTCTGAGATGCTTATCTCCTAAACACTGTGGAGGATGTAGACACAACCTACGTAGAACACACTATATTCGTTACTAAGAAAGTTAGCATCAGAACCCCAAATAGGCAATAATATGGGATATGACCATGTTTCAGGTCAAACAATCACTCCCCCCTCCCTCCGATGGCCTAGTTGGTATCCACCATAAATTGGTGAACCGCAGATGTGCCCTGGAGGAAAGGGCAAACAAAGGAAGAAAAAATACTGGGCCAGTGTTGATGCTTCGAGCTCCACGGACGGTTGGGCACACCGCTAGGCTGGGGGGGGGGGGGGGGGGGGTTCATATTTTTCCAATAGATCTATCTAGAGGATATCTATATTTTATTTACCATAATTTTTTAATAACCCTTTTGACGGTGTTAGAGGGTTAAAAGGGGGTGCTGTATAGCACTGGTGTGGGATGGCGATGTTTGTCAATGTCCTTGGATGGCCATGGAGTAACAAGATGAAGTATATAGGGGAGAGCAAGGTTGAGGTTCGATTCACGGAGGTGGAGGATTTATTAATTTCGAATTTTGAATATTTTGGCCTGTGGGCAGTTGGTAATGGCTCGATATCAGTGCCTGATATACAGGCCTCACCTCACACTTAGCCCGTTGGTCTAACAGAATAACTTCATCTAGTCTCAGCATATGTTGAGGCTTCCTGCGCTAACACGCCCGAGTACCATAATTGAGATTTGCACTTGCAACTGAAATGTGACTAATAATGTTTTTTTAAATCCTCAGAGTAAAATTAAACATCCCACCACCCCTCCAAATGCGATCTCAAATCAATCTCCTCCGGCAACTTCAAATGAGGCGTCAAATTGGCATTCTCCGGCTCAAGTTCCCTCGACGTCCACCCATTCCCAAAGAACGCAAATCGATTCCCACTCCCATTAACATAGGTATACTCCCAATCCTCCCATCTCGGATCCCGACGAATATAATTAGCATGCGCCGCACTGCCAGGGAACAATCCATGAATACGAGCTCCGGGTTGACCACCATTATACCACGAACTGCAGTTGGCTGTCCACACCGTGCGCGGATAGAACGAGTCGCAATACTCGACAAAGTCATCCGCGGCCTGCTTTGTGGGAACGATGGATTTGATTCCCTGGCTGCGGAACTTGCGGATTACCTTTGCAATGTATGTTACCTGGTTTTCGACGCTGTTGGGAACGGTACCACTGTGACCGGAGGAGTAAGGTCCACCGAGCCAGAGGAGGTTGGGGAAGCCTGGAGTTGCAAAACCAAGGTAGGAATAGGGGAATCCGAAAAGACCGTCTTTCTTCCAGGCAGATTTGAGGTCGATGCCGTTGGCGATGATAGAGAACGGAGGGGCGTGGTCGACGTTTGCACCTGTTGAACAAATTGTCACATCGACTTTTCGTTCAACGCCGTCTTCCGTGATGATTCCATCTTCCGTGAACCGCTTGATACGTGTGCGGATGTAGCTGACATTATCCTTGGTGAGAGCCTCGAGATAGCCAGGTCCGGGAGTAGGGCGGCGACAGTTGGGTGGGAAATCCGGGAGAATCAAGTCTGCCAGCTCAGGCTTTTCTGCAATGCGCTTCAGCATCAATTCAGTCCATTTATCCTTCAACTCTTGATTTTCGGCCGTGTCTTTGAAAATAGCCCCAAAGCGCTGGAAGAATCCCCTCTCCACTTGCGTGCGGTATTCCAAGTATTTCTTGGGATCTTTGAAGGATTCTAGCTGCTCCTCGGAAAAGAGATTCGGCTCTAGTCGGCGTACACCAGTGTTCCCACTGCTGAAGGAGTCTGCAACCCAGGTGGGATTGCGAGCGTAGTGGTCGACGTGACTGGCAATGGGTTGGATGGATGGAAGTACTTGCAATCCAGAAGCGCCGTTTCCGATCAGGGCGATTCGCTTTCCTTTCAAGTCGATATTGTGATTCCAGTTGGAGGAGTGGAAGAGTGGGCCTTTGAAGTCTTGGATTCCTTCGTAACCGGGAAGCTTCCAAGCATTGAAGTGTCCGATAGCGTTGATGACAATATCTACCTTTTCCTCGTAGATCTGAAATAATTGTTAATCGTTCCTGCTGGGCATAGAACAGAAACGGGATGTAGAAGAGGGAGGCTACCTTATCTGAGCCATCGACATGCTTGATGGTGACTTTCCACTTTCCTTCTTCGGCAATCCATTCTGCTTTCTGTACTTGTTGCTGTTGACGCAGATATTGGTAAACGTTGTACTTTCGCGCTACGCCTTGCCAGTAATCTCTAATTTCTGCACCCTGGGCAAACTCTTCTGTCCACTGCGTGTTGGGTGAAAAGACTGATTGATATGCGTGGGCGGGAATATCGCATCTCACACCAGGATACGTATTCTCGAACCTGTTGCTCGGCTGTTAGAGTCTAATTCACTATGAAGAGCATAATGCACGCGGCCACACTCTTGGGAGAGTATGGATTTGATCGTTTCCAACATGCAAAAAAGGCGAAGACGGCTTACCATGTACCTCCCTGATGGAAAAAAATTAGTATTCTCACATATTTATTGAGTTAAGAGGATATATGAACATACCACGTCCGCGTTCTTATCCCAGATGCGAAGATCCAGACCAGGCAGCTTGGCAGGGAGTAGTATACCAGCAGTGATTCCAGAGAGACCAGCACCGATGATGCCCACCTTAATGGGTCTTACTTGATCAACAGGGTGCTCTTCCAGCTCAAATCGAGTTTTGGGCGATGCCCCATTGGATTTTATCTCATCGACTGTACTCTCAATCGTCACTGAAGGACCTTTGAATGGCTCCGTCGTCTGCGTGATGTAGGTATTTTGCGGTATAGTCGCAATCTCGGGACTCTCCAGAAGTGCCATGATGAGTTATTTGGAAATATATTCTTGTTGACCTCTTGAAACTCAAAGAATATTGTAGATAGAGCTAACGTATCTCAAATTGGGATTGCTAGGATTAATGTATGGTTCGACCCCTCGCCGTATTCTGCACGCCATCTGGAATATTTCACACGCCACCCGAATCATCATCCAAGCAGGTAACCAGAATAGTTAATGAGTTGGAATCATCGCAAGAAAGCCGATGGGTGCGCCCATGCTGCGATATGAAGTCGTTTGATTTGGTGTTGCTAACATCATTGCCGAGAGCGATGGCGTCAGGGATTTGGAGATGTATCTTGTGTCAACAACACCATCAACCCCACTGTAATCGCCATTGTGGGGTAACGGCGTTACTATTACTCTTTTTGAAGGGTGGAGGTCTTGATATAATATTGCGCGACTGAAACTGCTCTTGGCATATTGGGCTGATAAGCCAACCATACTGTATCCGATTTGCCGGGTCGAGGCTGGTCTCTCGGCCGACTCAGAGGAACTTCAATTCAATTTGGAGAGACTCATGGAGACAAAGTGCAAAATGAATATTGAATATTTTGTCATTGATGTGATTACGGAATGTTTCCATTCCATCTATCTTGTGTGAACATAAATAACTCTGTGCCCGCATAGGTCACATAGTGCTTATGAGAATTGTGATACCCCATAAACTTTCCACACTTTGGGTGATAGGCTTTAAATGGACAACCTGCATTAATATGATAGGATTGATAACTGGAGACTCTATAACTATCCTATTGTAATTCCATTAATGAGTCTTCTCTATGTAGATTCTCGTTCTACGGCAGATCGGACCGATCCTCAGGTATAACCAAAGACACGATAAATTGCGATTCATATTCCATCAATAGGAGACCCGAATAAATGACATTCAAAATAAGCTATCCAGCAATCTTCAATAGAAGTTCTTACTTCCAGGTGTTATATGATTCGAATACGAAGCTGTTGCAACAGCACGGCGGGCGGAACAGCGCTGGCCTCGGCGTACTTCGGCGACACTACAGCCTTGCCGCCCATGACTCACGACGAACAACTACTCTGAACAACTCAGTTTTCATGGCGACCTGAACAGACCATCTCAACACTCATAAGTTATCTTTGAATCCGGTTACTGCCATCTTGCGGAGATCTCAAAAGCTTCAGTCAATCGCTCGTTGGAATTTTCCACCATGTCCTTTGCCCCACCAACAACCGCCACTGCCCCTCGAACATGGACAAGGCCAGACAGCGAATTCTTCATCTCAACCAACCCATCCCTGCTATCAGTCAAGGCAGTCAATGAAGCCTTTGGACAAGAATGGCTCTACTGGGGCACACCATTCCCCGAAGAAGTGATGCACGACATGCTCCACGGCGCCATGAGTTTCGGCGTCTACAAGACCATCCAGCCCCAGCCCGAGGGTGAACCATTCACTCCCTCTACAGAGACTACAGAGCAAATTGGACTTGCACGGATGGTGACAGATGGCACCACCTTTGGATATCTTTCAGACGTCTACGTGCTTCCAGAATACCAAGGCCATGGACTCGGGAGATGGCTTATGAGCTGCATCTCGGAAGTGTTTTCTAAAGAGAACATGCCATATCTACGCCGTATCATGCTTTTGACGGGTGATAAGCGAATTCAGGGTTGGTATGCTAAGGTATTTGGTATGGAGGTGATTGCACACGAGCATCGACCGGATATTGGGCAGGACTTGGTCTTTATGTGTGCTCGTCCGAATGCGAAGTCTTGAGTATCAGAATCGAAATGATCGAGTATAACAGTTGCATTCCTTGATCTGTACTTAGCCAGTCTCTCCACTCATTCTTATCAATATTATAGATAGATCTCGTACGTTCTATCTGCATCTCCTGGTGCCGTGTTCTCTAGAAGGAGGTGGTCGTGTATGTACTGCGCAATCCGAAGGACCGACGAGACGAATGTTTGCCCTCTCCCTCTCTGGCCAGAAATTTCCTGTTTCGGAAGGACCTGCTTGCTGAAGCTGTTTGATATCCAAATTCTCCTCTTCTCTTCTGTTCTCTTCTTCTCCTCCTTCCTTCTCCTCCCATCTCTCTCCATCACCCTCCGACCTCTCCATGTCCATTTTCATCCCCATTTTCATCCCACCCACAAATATTCCACCATATCAGGCCTTAATGGCATCGCTTCTCACCTCAAGAATACTTTTGTCCCATAGGCCTCAATTTTCTATCCTTTATCATGCCTTTTTCATGGTTCCGTGAGACCAGGAATCGCACCGACGTGGTCGATGACCTCCAGGCCCGGACTCGGCAGCTTTCCCTCGCCCATCCCCCCCGATCTTTGGCTCATACATATTCTCCTATGTCCTCGCACACGAAATCCCTTGCGAAGATTTACTGGTCGGGAAGCCTCACCACGCCGCGAAGTCTCTCCTCAGGGTGAGGCTGCGCAGCAGGGCGAATCCGCGCCGAAGGATGAATCCTCACAGTCTCACGATACGTCTGAGAAAGAGTAAGTCTTACCCCGATAACCACTATGATGGTGTGTCTGTTGACTGACTCCATCCCAGGTCAACCAACTGGTTTCCTCACCGTTTGTCGACATGGCCTTTGCCACCTGAGGAAAAGACATCCCCTTCGCCATGCAAAGCCTGCGGCTCCCACATGGTTAGTTTCGTATCATGCTTGCCCTGTTTGACATTCACGCTAACTCGTTCTATCTCAGACCATACACATCTCCATTCATATGATGGGAGTGCTAACATGAGCATACCAAATATCAACTTTCTTGTCCTATCTCATTCACTGGCTTTCTTCTCATCAAGAAGCCCGTACACTTTGCTTATTCGAACCCCGAGATCACGTCCATTTATAGATATGAAGTCTCATCTCAAAAACCGCGAGAACTCACTGTTCACATGTTTTATCCTCATCTCACTAGCCCATGCGCCTTGTGTCTGCCTCACTATTCACATATGTCATGCTCACTTCAACATTTTCAAGATTGTCAATCAAGTCTTTCATTTCGTCCAACTGAGATGGTCATGATACCTTTCCGAGCTTCATCCTCTGTGCAGCAGCCAGCCACCGGGCAGGGCATTGGACATGCAATCCATACGTCCAAACACTCTACAGTGTTTACTGTTGTGACCCGGGAAGGCGGAGGATTTACTAGGAGCGGTGTGGAGGCACAAGCCGCAGGGAGGAGCCCAGGGTGAAGAAGCATCGTGCAAATATGGCCGACAACGTGGCGAAGAAGCGCCAACCAACATCCCCTCGACTTTACTTCCCTCTCTTCCTTCCTCCCTCCATCATCAAAATGCTGGATTGTTGACAGGATCCATGTGAGTTCCCAGATAACAGAATTTCTTACAACTAGTGGTGCGTGATCTGACCAGGCTCTTAGGAGCAGGCGTTTTTTACCATGAAGCCAACTCTCCGCACTTCAACGAGCATCATCGAAGCTCTGCATACGTGATTACCATCATTACCTTCCATCCGGGTACCATCTATGGTCGCATTGACCATCATTTCTCCTTGCTTTTCCTTTCAAGTCTACGGCCTGGATGATTAGATCCGAGCTGTGAGTCTTTGGCATAAATCACCTGTTCATTTCATCATCTATTGCTCATTTCATCCCCAAATAAAATCTTGGCAAACAAAACTGATTTCATATCACTCCTAAGACCGAACTTTGTAGACTAAGCCTTCACCAGGGCAGCTGCAAAGGAGTAGGCAAGTCTTTGCCAAGTACACTCTCCGCCGTACCAATGTCCCTTCACGAAATAATTAGCATATCCTTCCAGTATACAGGTAGACCAACTTACCTCGGTCCTCTCGGCGCCCAGTACTCGCCAGTCTTGCTGATATCGAAGGTCTCAACAAAAGAGACTAGCGACTGAGCAGCTTCATCAGGCGTCACGGCTGTTCCAATAATCAATATCAGCTCTCTCAATCCCTGTAAGGAAGCAGCTGTTGCAGGGGTATACTAACCACCCCCATCATCCCAATACTTATCAAACCCAACACCCTTGGTCATCTCCGTCCTCATAAAACCCGGATGAACCAACCCCACCGCAATCCCCTTCGGCTTAAGATCCAAACTCAACAATTTCCCAACCATATTCGACGCCGCTTTACTAGCATGATGGCCATAATTGCCACCACCTTCCTTCTCATGTCGAAGCGTAATACTACCACTCTCACTACTGACGATGATCACCTTGCTGCCTTTATCCAAGAACCCCGCTTTAACCAGATGATGCACGATAAAAACCGGGCTGATAGCGGATATGGTGTACATTTTGGCTTCTTTCTCCCAGTCGGGATTGTCGAAGGTTTCGAAGCCAAAGTACCCCGCTGTGATGATGACGGTTGAGAGTTTGGTGGATGCGGGGATCTGGGAGACTATGTTCTGGCCTACATCGGATGCGGATACGTCGATTCCTGTAAGCCAGGTTATTTTGGACTGCGAAGAGGGCGGAGAGGAGGATCGCGAGGTTCCGAAGACGTGGTTGGAAGGGTTCTTCGAGTAGAGGTTGGCTAGGGAAGCTCCTAGCCCTCGAGTGGCGCCCACGATGAGAATTTTGGTGCTCATGCTGGAGGGTTATGTGGTCTTTTCTGATATTGCAGTGCTTGGAGGATATGTAGGGTTGAACAGATTACTCAAATATTGAATGGATGTCATGCGATGATATTATCATCTTAAGAGAAGCGTCTGACGCAAGAGCGATGACGTAATAGCACGGAATGAATGCCGCAATACGACAAGGAAATATGGAGTACAGTAATCGAAGTATATGAACGAGCTACGTAGTATACGGTGATAAGGTAATACTAACTTGCTAACAATATCCTGGCCCAGATCCTTCAATGGTCGTTGAATGGCAGATAAACAATAAGTGTATCAACACAGGTGTATAAACGTGGAGATCTAATTGGGTTGCCTGGGTCGTGGCTAAGTGATTATCCTCCGAAAATAGAAACTCGTTTAAGCTCCAGTGGTCAACCGGGGCGATCATATATTAAAATACAAAGTGGTCGGAATATCTAAAGTAGTGTTGACAATCGACACTTCAGAGATCATCAATAGCTTCAATCTCCTAATCTCACTGTTTTCACATGATTCATCGTATGAGCTCCATATCCTTGGCTCGTCATCTGCTTTTGAGACCGATCATCCGAGACAACCTCCACTTCAACCAGTCCCCCGCCCAACCGGCCATGTAGAACTAGAACTCGCATTACAATCCTAGGAAAGAATGTCTCGTAGCCTTTGGGGGCCAATTCGGAAAATAAGACTCAGTCTTGAGACCTGAGACACACTCTTTTCCCCCCGGATTGTTCACCTACTAGACTGTACTCGTTCCAAATTCCAGTCTGGTGCTCTTCTTGTAGCGCTTAGTCAGATCTTAAGAGAAGCTGGCCCTTGGCCAACATTTTTTTGAAGATCAAACTTGTTTCTCACTCGACCTCGCTCCCTTGCATGGCCTCGCCGGAGCTGGACATTCTATGTGGTCGCCAGCCCAAGCATGACCGGCTTCTCCAAAATACTGCCAACAGTGCACAAGTTTCGAGCTGCGCTTGCCCGGAGGAAGGAGTCCAAGGATCGATTACACCAGTAAGTGGCTGCTATCGACTTCATCCTGTACTTACAGTGCTACGGGACTACAAAGCTTTTCTTCTGATCAGTTGCTAATCATTATCGTCTCACTGGTGATAGACTCAATCATGCCGATCCTCCCCCTCCTCCATCCCCGTGGGGCCTCCCAGTCGAGATTCAAATCCAAATCTTTGGCTACTGCGGAAGCCCCGATTTCTACAACTTGAAGCTGGTCTGCAAGGCCTTTAATGCGCTCTTGTCCTCCAACGAACACGAGATCGTCCGCCAATACCTTCGTCAACGCCGTCATGGTACCCTACCTTCCCCGATCGACAATGAGCGAACCTATACCCGCAATCCCGAGGATGATGTCGTACTCCTGTCGGACCTGTTCCCACCCTCCAAGAGCGCCAGGGGAGGTCACCTCTACACCTTCAGATATCTCCATGGCCTACGGTCAAGGCAGAAGCAATGCTCAATGCTATGCTACTACCTCGCAGACCGGGTTATGGAGCGGTTTGTACAGGCAGAGCCTATCTTCCTCCGATCCTCGTTTCCCACACGAAAGGCCGAGCGAACCGCACTGGTAAAGAGAGGCAAGGCGAGCATATGGTTCCACCTGGCACCGCTCATGTAAGTTTGCGACTCGAGCCATTGAAGCGCATCACGAGTATTCGGTCTCTTTCTGAACCGCATACAGGTACTACACATTATACTTCCTCCAGTCCTACGCCTCCGCCAGGCGAGAACATACAAACATGCTCCTCCGCGAACACGAGGCCGGACGCCTCTCAGTTCCGATCTCGATCGAAACACGCCGACGCATGTACCGAGACTTGCAAACCCGAATCCTCCAAGCGCCCCCCTTCAGTAATACCGCCGCGCTGGTTGCGACACACCACTGCATGCACCTGCTCGTCTCATACATCCGATACACAATGGCGCCGGAGGCGGAAATAGACGATTCATGGATCAGCTCCCTCCTCACGGTTTCCCCCTTTACTCGAATAGTCGAGTTCTTCTCCGCTGAGATCGGTGATGGGGGTAACCAGCGCGTGCAGCGGAAGGACTTTATGTATAATTTCTACCGCGACATGACGGCCCATGAGAAAGATCGCATGAATTCGGTGATCTTTGGGCGGGCGTCGGAACGGAATTCGCATAGTTCTGTGCGAGATTTGTGGTTTGATGCTGCTTCGAGAGAATTGGAGTCGAGACAGGCTATGCCGCATGATGTGGAGACTGTTTGGACATGGAATGGGATTCCCATTTTATTTGGATGCCAGGATTGCAGGCCGACTTCGGGTTGGCGGGCATGATGGTCAAATGTTGATGTTGCATTTTTTTGAGCGTTGTGGCGTTGGGTAGACGATTAGCAATACATTAGAGCATCCGGAGTTTATTATCTATCATTAAATATGCTGAATACATATCCTATTTATCTTTCTCATTGACCTCTATAATTCATTCGCTGATTGCGTTGTATATTGACTGTTTGTTTTGTTTGCAACAGAGGCGCGTCGCCAAATATCAACCGCGACAACGACAACCCAAAAGCCAAGCCCTCTATAACTTAACAACTCAAATTAAAAGATGGAGCAAGCTTCACGGTGGCAACTCTTCAACACTTCATGGACACTCCACCGTCTCTCCCCGCTCCACCATGCCAAAGACTTTGAAACTCTCCTCAACAACGAAACCGCCTTAAAAGCATACGCCACGCGATTACGCGACCAACTTACCGGCGATGTCCTCGCAGGCCTGCATTCCGCCGCCACCATCGCAGAAGATGACTCTCTCTCCAAAACAGGCGCACTCCAAGACTGTCGATGGGAGTTTTTCGCGACAGAGCCGTCGGCGGGGAATAACCCGCGCTCTACCACTTCATCATTCCCGGGTATTCTAGTGACGCTGGAATACGAGAATATCACCTACAAAGGAGCACTCTTATCTGAAGTGGACTCGAATCTTCAACCGCGGACGGGTGTTACAGCTCTACCTTTACTGTTGACTAAATTCCCCAACGCGCTGCGTCAAACATTCATCACATTTTTGACGTCCAATTTTGATACGTATGTCTCGAATCTGCGACTTTCGTCGACCTTTTTGTGTGCTGGGTTGGAGGGGTTTGTTGCGGGGTTGGAGGGTGTGGTTGTTGAAGATGTGATTAAGGAGTTACAGCTTACGCTGGCTTTTTCACCGTCTGTTGCGCCGGCGTTAAGGAATGTTAATGTTGGGATCCCTCGTGGGTCGTTGGTTGGGTTTCTTCGTGAGGAGAAGGGGACTTTAAAGGGGAAGGGGAAGAGTATCCAGCGGAAAAATCGGGTTCCTTTGATCGCAAATCTGACTGCTTATTTGGAGACGCATCTGGCGATGAATGTGGATCTGGATGGGTCGCGCCAGGATAAGGTTGCTAGGCAGCATGTTCGACTCTCGAAGGTTGCTTGTGCGGCGTTTGTGCTGGGAAGTGAAGGGCGGATGAAGCTTGTTGTGGATGACAGGAGAGCTGGGGAGGGCGACGAGGACGAAGAGCAGGAAGCTCCTTCTTTACGGGCGAGTGAGACGTTGCTTCGTGCTGTGATTCGGAGGGCTATGATTGGCGATCAAGTGACTACATGAGTCTTTGATTTGCTTCGAATGACAGAATATCAGCTTTGACGGGCAGGTCCGGCCATGGATCGGACAGCCTGTCCAATACTATTTTTCTTGCGCTAACAGCAGCATGAGGATCGGTGATCGTGGCTCGCTGTGACAGCAACTTCCTATGCCCAGCAGCCCTCCACAGTCGATGCTACCTGTGGAGATGTTCCTACAGCCAACTCGAGCCGAATCTTTCGAGCAATCACCGTCATCGCGACTCAGAGCCAACACAAACGGAGATCCGGGTTATCTAGAGACAATGCGTCTGGTTGCGCAATAAGCAAGCCTGGAAACGCCTTGTGGCACTCATCAATTCTGGGTCAATTTGTCTATAGACAGAAGGCCAGAGCAAGACCAGATCATGCGACTGGACCAGATGTAGACCCAGAAACACACAAAGAGCACAATAGTCAAACAGAATCGCTCACTCATATCAAGTTTTGTTCGCTCAAAATAGACAGGCTCAGTAACAGCAACAAAAAGGACAGGGTAATCTCGTGATGTACAAGAGGAAATTTTAAACATCGCCCAATGTTCGAGAATGCAAGGCGCAAAAACAAAATCTACAGGTCATATATGTACGACGAGGCGTCAGATCAAATTTCGCTCTGTTCCTCGGTCTCAGCCAACCGCAGCGCCTCATCAACGTGAGGCACAAAATGGGTGAGACCACCACACTGTTCCACAATTCCACTTCGCTCAAACATCCGGAACACGTTGGCGTTGGGCACACGGCAAAAGAAAACTCTCACCCCAGTCTCCACATACGCCTGCACGATCTCATAGAGGACCTGCGTTCCGGAACCATCGATGCTCGTTACGCCGTGCACATCGAATATAATATTCTTGTTATACTCCGCAGGACGCATACGCGGACGAGACGGGTGCGTCCGGCTAGATCCATAAAGCTCCAACCGACGGAGTCGGTTCTTCAGATCGCCCGTATTGGCGAAAGTGAGAGGCTCGGGAATCTTGACGATCAAAGCGCCTTCGATGAGTTCGACGTTTTCGCGTTGCAGTTCGGCATTCTCGAAGCGGGTGTTTGTGCCAGGGACCTTGCCGAGGATTTGAATTCGGGGTTGGGTAGCGTGGCGGATGAGGATTATGACGGAGAGGCCGATGCCCATGGCCATGCCGAGTTCTAGGGAGTAGAAGATTGTTGTGGTGAAGATGAGGAGCATGAGGACTAGTTCTGTCCAGCCGCGGAGGCGGAGGAAGAAGATTACGTCGTGGGGACATTCTTCGACAAGGGTGTAGGCGACGACGGAGATCATGGAGGAGAGGACCGCTTTCTGTTTGGTATTAACACAATGATTCTTGGCTGGGTATGAGTTTCATGAGACTTACCGGAAGGTATGAAAGGTATGGTAGTAGCACCAGGATGGCAACGAGGGTGATCAGACTGAGGAAGATGCTGCTCATTGGAGTGCGTGCACCAGTCTGAGCGTTGACCTTGCTTCGGCCATATCCACCGAATGCCGGGAGAGACATGAAGCAACCACCAAGCAGGTTGGCCACGCCCAGCGCTACCATTTCCCTGTTCGCACTCATGTGCATGCCCTGGATACCATCGGGCTTGCTATCACCTAGCCCCTTGGCTGCGACAGAGGACTCAAAGAAGCCCAAGAGAGTAATGATAAAGGCCTTGCTCATTGCCGTACGGATGTGTTTCATGTGGCTGAATCGGAATGGCCAATTAAAGGCAAACAGCTGGCTGGAGGTGATCTCGGTGTTTCCAAGAAGTTCGAGTCCCTTGTCCTCCCAGTTGAGGGTATAGGCCAGGACGGCTGACAAAACGACGATAATAAAACGGTCTGGGAAATATATCACTTGAGGGAAATGAGGCATCATCCACTTTTTCAGCGTCCTGGGAGAAGATTCCGTTAGTTTGATATCTCATACCCAAAGGAATACAATTCTACTCACCGGAAGAACATGATAATAGAAAAGCTGACAAGCGAGACTATCGCCGTGAGTCCGTGGCTACTCCCGGCATTGCGAATAATGAATGTCAGCTTTTCAACAGTGGTACCATGACTGGCTCCAGCATCCTTGGCTAATCCAGCAAGCCCCAATTCCGGGATCAACTGGTCCACGAAGATGACAAAGCCAATAGCCGTGATGAAGCCTCTGAGGAAAGGCCGGCTCAGCACATTATCCAGGAAGCCAAGTCGAGTGATACCCGCAACTAAGATCATAGTCCCAGCCATGGCAGTGGAGATTCCAATGATGATAGCACTTTCCATGAGATCATCATCTTTCGAGCTCCCACTTGGCATACTGGACTTGACAATGGCACCGGTCAGCAATGACCCGGCCGCCTCTGGTCCGACCACCAATAATGGGCAGCTTCCGAGGATCGCATAGACGAAAGGATGAATCACGAAAGAATAGAGACCGTTGACGGGAGGCGCATGGGCAAGGTTTGAGGCCAATGACAAAGCCATTGGGATATAGATGGACGATATAGTCAGTGCGGCGACCAAGTCTCCGCGAAGGAAGGACCATCGATATTGGCTGATCCAGTTGAAGAATGGGATATAATATGATATGTACCTGCAGGAACCCATTAGCTCTATACCAACCATCTCACAGGCGTACGGAGAAAGCCCCCGAGGCTACCGGTGGGAACGGTTTGCATACAATTTCTTATCCTCGTTCATTGATAGAGCCGAAAGAGACGACTTCATTTGCGAGGTATATTCGGAGTCCGGCCGAGATCCTGGGTGGTCTTCTCCGCCGTGGGAGTGACTCGGCGTCGCCCCCGTTTCCTCATCGCCATTGTATCCAAAGTGAACGCTGGATGGTACCGAGTACCCATGTCTCTCTGCATCTTCTGGCCGGGGAGAGAAGGTGCCATGGCTACAGCGTCGTTCACCGCATATCGGGTCCGCCTGATGATAAGACTCTAGTAGCCGGGTTCTTGCGTCTGGCTCGCTCGTGGTGGTGATTCCAAGACCCGGTGTTCCCCGTCCATCGTCACTGGAATTAGGTCCTGGGGAGGCCGTCCGGTTGCCCGGGGTGCGGAAGATGTTGACGATACGGCTCTGGAGAGAGCGGTGTCCCTCCGAGTCCTCGCGGAGAAGGGGACTCGACTCCGACATGGTGAATTATGCGGGGATGAAAGTCAGTCTCAGCCTCGATTCAGTCACCAGAGCTCAAGTCAAGCTCTCCATCTGAGACAGAAGCAACGGAAGAACAAAAAGAGGAGGCCACGGCTGAGACCGAGGATAGCCTTGGGGTTTACCGACCAGCTATCTAAGCAAGGGCGGTGGCAGGAATTAAGTGGTCGATGGAACTTTAGGGACTGACAAATGATAGTGAGAAGCGGGGCCAGTTGGAGCTAACATGATGAGCATCCTCTAGGAAAGTAGGAGAGTCTTTGATTGCATCCACCAAAAACCGGGCAAATAATAGGGCCGCGTCCATTCGAAGCAGTATGAGCTCGTCCGGTCATCTGATTCGTCCGTATTAATCGCCTCTGACGCTCTCCGCTCGGCAATCTTTAGGCGGTGAGCTCTGGCTTGACCAAGGACGGAGGACGGACTTTAACTACTACTACAGTAGCCATGGACTGTATATCATTTCACTATACGGAGTTTTAGTTGGTCTATTCCTATATAGCTCCTATATATCATCGTCGCTTCACCCAGAATTCAATGAGCAGACCGAATTGCTCAAGCTCTTCGGGACGATAGTAGTAAGACACATAGTAGATGCAAATAATATCTTGTAAAAGAAGTAGTTAGACTTTGAAATCGAGACCCAGTCTCTCAAGTTGGACTTCAGAGTGTTAATCTGTCATCGTTTGCCTATTTCCCTCCACGAATCTTATGGGGTTGTAGTTTTTCTCGTCTACGACTTGTAGTCTTGAACTACTCCGCCTACACCTTCCTTTATCACATCACGTGACTTTCTTCGATACTGGCCAGGTCCCGTGACCGCGGGCAATGTGGGTTTTGAGCCCGCCACAAAGAGCGATTTCAGTCGTGCTTTTGCTTCAAAGTCCCTCGCTCGAGACCCTATCTTCCTTCGCTTTGCTCAGATCCGTCTATTCAAGGTTCGAGCTCGTCATACCTCTTGGACTGCCGTCTTTCCAGTCCTCCTTTTGCCCGAAAATTTCTCTCTGAAAATCAGACTGCAACCCCGCCAAAATGTCTTTAACAAATTGCCGTTTCTACGAGGATAAGTACCCCGAGGTTGACAGCTATGTCATGGTCAATGTCAAGCAGGTACGAATATGGTTTACTCTTTTGCATGCACCCAGGATATTTTCACCTAACATTTTTGCGTGATGGGGGTAGATCGCCGAGATGGGCGCATACGTGAAGCTGCTCGAGTACGACAACATCGACGGCATGATTCTACTTTCCGAACTGTCGCGGAGACGTATCCGTAGTATTCAGAAGCTCATTCGCATTGGGCGGAATGAGGTTGTTATCGTCCTCCGTGTCGATAAGGAGAAGGGTATGCTTGCAACAATATCATGATGCGAAGGAAAAGCCCAATTGGCTGACTCATGGGTTTTGCACAGGCTACATCGATCTTTCCAAGCGTCGTGTCTCCCCCGAGGATGTGATCAAGTGCGAGGAGCGTTACAACAAGAGCAAGGCGGTGCACTCCATCATGCGCCACGTCGCCGAGGCGACTCAGACTCCCCCTTGAGGACCTCTACCAGCAGATCGCCTGGCCCTTGAACCGGAAATACGGCCACTCCCACGATGCTTTCAAGATTTCTATCACGTATGTGCTGCAATGTCTTGTTTTCGCCCTTGAAAGGAGACCTACTAACCATGGTCTATATCTTACAGCAACCCCGACGTCTGGAACGAGATCGAGTTCCCCAGCGAGCCCGTCAAGAAGGAGCTGCAGCAGTACATCAGCAAGAAGCTCACCCCTCACCCTACCAAGGTCCGTGCCGATATCGAGGTCACCTGCTTCGGCTACGAGGGTATCGACGCCGTCAAGAAGGCTCTCCGCACCGCCGAGGCCAACAACACCCCCGAGAACCAGATCAAGGTCAAGCTGGTTGCTCCTCCTCTTTACGTCCTGACCAACCAGTCTTTGGACAAGAACCAGGGTATCCAGATGCTGGAGGCTGCTATTGAGAACATCACCACCAATATCAAGGAGGCCGGTGGTAACTGCACCGTCAAGATGGCGCCCAAGGCCGTCACCGAGCACGATGATGCCATTCTCCAGGAGCTCATGGACAAGCGCGAGCGGGAGAACATGCAGGTCAGCGGTGACGAGGACGATTCCGAGAGCGACGAGGGTGTTCCCGAGTAAACCTATGCAGTCTACTTTCATACCAAGGGGCGTCCAGCGTTGCTTCGCCGCTCGCGACCCGCGCAAGGGACAGAGGAGGGGAAATATGGGGAAGACCGGGCGAACTGGATAGAGAAAAGCCATGCATGTTTACGCGATCAATGAGATGAAGAAAAAAAAGGCTTGATGGTCTCTTACGTGCTACGGGGCACGATTGCAGTCAGATATTGCCTTTGATCCAAGAGCATTCGCCTGCACCTCGGGTCCGGGGATGATTCTATCATGTCCCTTTCGACGCAGGCGCCATGTGCCAGTCGATAAGGGCCTCATGCTTCGTGCCCTTTTCTTTGATGGTTGCTTGCATGGAACGAGGTGCATGTTCTGATGTATATTTGTTGTGATGCAACCGAGATGTTCAATGCCAGTGATGCTTCTAGAGCTTTCTAAACAATCCTTAAACGTAACTTGAATTTCTTCGAAACAAAAAGATTGACGTACGCGGAGATAGTTAACCGGGAATGGCCCAGAATGGCTTTGATAGCGGGGAAAACTTACGCGTGTGGCTTCGCCCGCCGATCGTCCTCACCGCGCTTCTACAGTACCCCTTGTCAACCTGGAGTCTCTGGTTATTTCTCGGACCTAGTCCCCTGTACTACCCTTGAAATACTCAAGATGGGAGTTCTGAATGATCTTTTCGGTTTTAATCGCGAGGCGCATCATCGCGCAGCGGTCGAGCGTCGCCGACGTACGTCATGATCAACACAAGCTGTGTTCCACCACTAACCGCATCGCAGTGCTTCCTACCCACGCCAACGATGAGAGTCAGTCGTTGGAGTCCTCAAAAGAGATTGCCAAGGTTGCTCTGCGACTGAAGTATCAAATTGAACAGGTGGTCTCCTGTGAAGTCGATGAGAGCACCCTTACCAACCCAAACAGCCGGATTATCTCCCAGGGTGTAATCGAAACAGCCAGGCAGGCCGGTGGAGAGGACTACAAGGCCTGTGTAGTCTTTTGTCTGCTCATCTGTCTGCGATGGTTCAAGATGCAGTCCAATGTCGAGTTGTGGGATGCCGATCTCCATCTTGGAAGAGCTGTGGCTTGTGAGGTTATCGCGAAGCGCATGTACGAGCTCTCTCATTGGCCACAAACTTGATGAATCGAGATTGCTGATTGATTATCTGTAGCATCGAGAGTGAACCTGACCAAGACTATCTGCTCAAGAATATCCTCTTGAAGCGCTATTCTATCTTCACTGAAGGGGAGGAGACCGCCCCTGCCAATGTCATCGAGCGCTCGGTTGATCTCCACGCGCTCAGAGTCATTAGCTCTGCTGGCTACCAGAAATGTATCCAGTATCTCTGGCGCGGCTGGATCTGTCAAGAAGAGGGCAATCCGACTAACTTCGTGGAATACAAGGACAAGTCTAGCACTGATTACTGGGTTCATTTCCACCCGGATCGGATGAGGACCCCTTTATACCAGAATATCTGTCAGATACTCTTCTCGCTAATCTACCTTGTACTCTACACAGCCGTGATCAATACTGTCAACCCAACTGGAGACTTGGACACGGTGGAGTGTATTCTTTACCTGATGACACTCGCGTTCATATGTGACGAGGCAGCAAAGTTTTGGAAGGTGGGACGGAACTATCTCGAATTTTGGAATGCCTTCAACTCAACACTTTACACTTTGCTTGTTATTTCATTCGTTTTGCGTGTCGTCGCTTTGGCACATTCCTCATCAACTCATGACGCAGAACGGCAACTCTATAACGGCCTGAGCTACAACTTCCTCGCTTTCTCGGGCCCCATGTTCTGGATGCGCATGATGCTCTACCTCGACTCTTTCCGATTCTTCGGCGCTATGTTTGTTGTTCTGCGTGTGATGATGAAGGAGAGTCTGATTTTCTTTGCTCTGCTCTTCGTTGTTCTTGCTGGTTTCTTCCAGGCGTTTATTGGTATGGCTCAGGTCGATTCCGATGTCGATATGACCAGACCTATCATTCAGGGCATGGCGAACAGTGTCATGCAGAGCCCTGAGTTTGAGATTTTCCAGGATTTTGCTTTTCCCTTTGGCATAATCCTCTACTATGTCTTTAACTTTGTTGTTATGATTGGTAAGTCCTTGGGTTTCCTCCAAATCTTCCAGAACTTCTCTCTAACAGGTCTCCAGTTCTGTTGAACATTCTCATTGCACTTTACAATAGTGCGTATGAGGATATCTCTGGCAATGCTACCGACGAGTACATGGCAATCTTTGCGCAAAAGACCATGCAGTTTGTGCGAGCTCCAGATGAGAATGTTTTCATTCCACGTGAGTCCCTCCTCCAATCTCTGGGCCTACAAGAGCAAGAACAATCCACTGACCCCTTGCAGCTTTCAATCTCATCGAGATCCTGTGCTTGGTAGCTCCATTCGAATGGTGGCTCTCGACGAGTGGCTATGCCAAGCTCAATGACGTTGTCATGGGTGTGCTCTACTCGCCTCTACTGGTATTGACCGCGTGGATCGAGACTCGCCAGGCGACCCGGATCAGATGGAATCGGCGACACGGCGAGGAAGACGATGACTGTGAGCAGGAGTGGGAACATGTAGCCCAGGATGTAGATTTTGATCTCGATGATAGCTGGAAGGAGGAGGTCAAGCAGAGCACTCCAGACATCAGGGTGGACAGTTGCACTTTGGAGGTCCGGCAGCTGAAGGAGCAGGTTGCTGCGCTGACAGAGCTAGTGGCGAAGCTTACTGAGAAGACTGAGAGGGCGGATGGAGCGAATTGAGGAGAAATTAGTTGAGCTAGTCTGAGATTTAGGATACTTTGTGTAAGTGGATACTGTAGAATTCCATGCCCGCTCTGGCCAATTTTCTACATACCCACCTCACTCGGATATATATCTCAGCCCTGAGTTCCCCGACCACCTCGCTATGCCATTCGAATTATTTCAACTTAGACCCGTCCACCCAATAGAGTTCATTGTCAAGACAAACAAAAACAAAGCAAACAATCCTTCCCATCCACCCACTCTAGCAAAAATCACAATCTCTCCCCCAATGCATATCCAAATTAAAAGCAGCAAAAAAGAAATGATCTCAGGTTATCTGTAGGAATAGCCGAACGCGGGGGTCGAACCCGCAACCTTGAGATTAAGAGTCTCACGCTCTACCGATTGAGCTAGCCCGGCAGGGCTGGTTGAAGAGCGAGGAGTTTTATGGCTACATGACCCTGCGTTGTGGGGTGGAGACTTTTGATGGATCTTGGGTTCGGATAAGTCACGTGATTCAATGGCCTGGGGCAGGAATTTGATTGTTGAGAACGCAGTGGATGGTGCAAGGCCATTAAATGAAACGTGGAATTGTTGGAGCAAACAGGATTTAAAATGGTATGAGTATGCTTGTTGAAGTGTCTCAAATGTGGGATTGTATAACAAAGCAATTCTTGATTCTTTCCAGTACTACCACTGTACGGAGGTCCATCCAAAAAGTATTGCGCAGCGCACGTACCACCATTAAATTACATTAACGTACTACATAGTATAATTTACCGGCCTTCCTTATATTCGTTCCCCCCTTCTAATTCAATGATCTTCTTGATATGCGTGGGTATACGCTCAATCCAAGCCTGAATCTTTTCCTGCGGTAGCTCTTGCCAGGTTTTATTCCATATAGCAATAGCTTCCTGTCTAGACTTAGGCGCTCCCTTTCTAGTAGTCTTTCGTTTCATCCAAGGCCACGCAGGCTCAATAGCATTGAGATCAGGCGAATTTGGGCACCACACTAATCGCTGCACCTGAGCTGCATCAAATACTCGCTGTTGAATATAATGATTATGCGCTGGAGCTTTATCTTCCTGTACGATCGTTTTTGGCCGCGTTGTAGCGCATTCCTTAGCAAAAGGAATAAGCTTTGGTAGAAGAATCATCTTTTGATAGCGATACCAATCAATTCCACCCTTAGATCCTCGTGAAAGCTTTCCATTCTGCTTATTGAATCTCCAGGTAGGCTTTTTACCAGCAGGCTGTCGACGAAGATTGATACGCCGTACGCCAGTCTCTAGCTCCCACTGTTCGCGTAGAATTGGTTCGATCTCTTGATTAAGAGCTTCAATCTCTTGCTCTGCTTCACGTTTTTGTATAGCAGTTTCAGGGCACCAACAGTGACAAGGGCCTTTTTTATCGTAGGTAAAACAGCCCCAAAACATAAACTCAGAAGAGCCTTTCCAACGCTCACGAATACACGAGCGTAGAAATGCTTCATCCTTAGAACGCCAAACACGATAACCACCACGGCGATGTAGAAGAATAACCGAGGTTTCATCAGAGAAGATCACATTCTTCCAATCGTCAAGAGTCCAGTGCTCGTGAGCTAAGCACCAAGCTAATCGTTCAGCGCGCATCTTCTTCGTCAGTCCAGGCTTCCTCGTCGGTTTCGTCTTGCGTAAACCGGCCTTCCTGAGGATAGTCCAGACAGTAGAGGATGAAATTTCGATCCCTTCCTAGCTAAGTTCTCCAGCAAGATCAGCGCATGTTTTCTCTCGACCAAATCGATCAAGGCGCACCTTCGACAGAATAGTGTTAACCGTCTAAGGATCTTGCTTAGTTGGCCGACCAGAGCGAGCACCGTCTTGAACGTATTCGTCGGTGATCTTTGTATAGATTGGGTCAAAACCGCGCTCTATCGCGCGCGCGTAGATACGATTAACAGTAGCAATTGATAGATCTACTATCTTCGCGATCTCAGCAGACGTTTTCGTCGTATACGCCCTTAATGCGACGACAGTCACACGATCAGTAAGGGTTGATTGTTTTGGCATAATGGTAGATGTAGGCAGCAGTAGTAGTAGATAGGTAGTAGACAGAAGATGAAGGCTATTCTATTCAGGGGGATTGTGTGTATTCGCTTGGTATAACGCTAGTGGTAATATAATGGTGGTACGTGCGCTGCGCAATACTTTTTGGATGGACCTCCGTACGGAGTAACCGTAGACATACGCCACTATCTGCGCAGCTTGCAATGCCCGATCTTACAGGCTGGAGGCCAGGGCCCACCCTTACATAAGCACCTAGCGCGTCGGGGCGGCGAACCCTCTGGAAACCGAAATTATATCGAAGGTGGCTTCTTCGATTTGGACAATCCCACTTGGACGACTTATCTCTTGCGCGGCTTCTGCATGCGTTCTTAGGTCGTTCTCTACTGGACCCTGATTGTGGTCACCCGTTGCCAAAATGTGAGTCTTTGCCTTCCATCAAGCCCCTACTGCCCAGATAGGAGCCCGTTTCTCGATGCTAAACAGTATACAGGGCAAAACTCGCAGATGACCCCCAGATTCAACATGCGTCCCTGCACATCCCCCCTCCCCATCCAATTGCATACCTATGTTTGGCCATTCTTGATAATCTGGCCCGTGTTCTTTGCCTTCTACCTCTCCCCCGAGCGCTATGATACCTATATCCAGGGTCAGGAATGGACCTTCGTCTTCGCGGGGTCCATCATCACGGCCCAGTCGCTGTTGTGGTTGATGACCAAGTGGAACATCAACATCAACACCCTGTTCACTTCTACCCGCGCCAAGTCCGTCGACACTGCCCACCAGATCAAGATCATTCCCATCATGAACGCCGGATCTGCCGAGATCTGCCCCATTATTCGCGACAACTCCGGTGGCAAGAAGACCGTCTCGTTCCTGTTCCAGAAGCGTCGTTTCCTGTTCTACCCCGAGACTGGCACCTTTGCCCCATTGTCCTACGCCCTTGATGCCGAGCCCAAGCCAGCCCTGAAGGAATTCCAGCAGAGCAAGGGTTTCACCACCAAGGCCGAGATTGACCGCGTGCAGCACCACTATGGCGATAACACCTTCGATATTCCCGTTCCCACTTTCGTCGAGCTCTTCCAGGAGCACGCCGTGGCGCCGTTCTTTGTGTTCCAGGTGTTTTGCGTTGGACTGTGGATGCTAGATGAATACTGGTACTACTCGCTGTTTACGCTTTTCATGCTCGTCGTCTTCGAATGCACTGTCGTTTGGCAGCGCCAGAGGACCCTCAACGAGTTCCGTGGAATGAACATTAAGCCATACGATGTGTGGGTGTACCGCGAGAACAAGTGGCAGGAAATCACTAGCGATAAGCTTCTCCCCGGCGACCTGATGTCTGTGAACCGTACCAAGGAAGACGGTGGTGTCGCTTGCGATATCCTTCTGATCGAGGGAAGTGTGATTGTGAACGAGGCCATGCTTTCTGGAGAGAGTACCCCGCTTCTCAAGGAATCGGTTCAGCTCCGACCTGGCGAGGACCGGATTGAGCCCGATGGTCTGGACAAGAATTCGTTCGTGCACGGAGGTACCAAGGTCCTTCAGATTACTCACCCCAACTCCAATGGAGAGGACATCTCGAAGAGCTTGCCCAATGGTGTTACTTCGCCCCCTGACAACGGTGCCGTGGGTGTTGTTGTGAAGACCGGCTTCGAGACCAGCCAGGGTAGCCTGGTGCGGACCATGATCTACTCCACTGAGCGTGTTTCTGCCAACAACGCCGAGGCTCTGCTGTTCATTCTCTTCCTTCTGATCTTCGCAATTGCTGCCTCGTGGTACGTCTGGCAGGAGGGTGTGCAGAAGGATCGCAAGCGTTCCAAGTTGCTTCTGGACTGTGTTCTCATCATCACGAGCGTTGTTCCTCCTGAGCTTCCCATGGAGCTGAGCTTGGCTGTCAACACCAGTCTCGCAGCTCTTAGCAAGTTTGCCATTTTCTGCACCGAGCCCTTCCGCATTCCGTTCGCTGGCCGCGTTGATATCGCCTGCTTCGATAAGACTGGTACCCTCACTGGAGAAGACTTGGTTGTCGATGGTATTGCCGGACTCACTTTGGGTCAGGCCGGTGCTACCGTTGAATCCGATGGCGCCCACACGGATCTTTCCAAGGCATCGCGGATTGGTGCCGATACCGCTCTTGTGCTTGCTAGTGCCCATGCCCTGGTGAAACTGGATGAGGGTGAAGTCGTTGGTGACCCAATGGAGAAGGCTACTTTGCAGTGGCTTGGCTGGACTCTTGGTCGGAACGATACCCTTACTTGCAAGGGATCCGCCCCAGTTATTGCATCCCGTCCCGTTGAGTCTGTTCATGTCAAGAGAAGATTCCAGTTCTCTTCCGCCCTTAAGCGCCAGAGCACTATCGCCACCGTCACCACCACCGAGCCCAAGACCTCCAAGAAGAGCAAGTCTACTTTTGTTGGTGTTAAGGGTGCCCCTGAGACTATTCAGACCATGCTTGTCAACACCCCTCCGAACTACGAGGAGACCTTCAAGTACTTCACTCGCAATGGTGCCCGTGTTCTCGCTCTCGCATACAAGTATCTCTCCACCGAGTCCGAGCTTTCTCAAGGCCGTGTGAACAACTATGTCCGCGAGGAAATCGAGTCCGAGTTGATCTTCGCTGGCTTCCTGGTTCTGCAATGCCCTCTCAAGGAGGATGCCATCAAGTCCGTCCGCATGCTGAACGAAAGCAGCCACCGTGTTGTCATGATCACTGGTGACAACCCTTTGACTGCCGTCCACGTCGCCCGTCAAGTTGAGATTGTGGACCGGGAGGTTCTTATTCTGGATGCCCCTGAGCATGACAATTCCGGAACTAGACTAGTCTGGCGTACTATCGACGACAAGTTGAACACTGATGTTGACCCAACTCAGCCCCTGGACCCGGAGATTCTGAACACCAAGGATATCTGTGTTACTGGTTACGCCTTGGCTAAATTTGAGGGCCAGAAGGCTCTCCCTGACTTGCTTCGCCATACCTGGGTTTATGCCCGTGTGTCCCCCAAGCAGAAGGAAGATATTCTTCTTGGTCTGAAGGATGCTGGTTACACTACTCTCATGTGCGGTGACGGTACCAACGACGTCGGTGCCCTTAAGCAGGCCCATGTCGGTGTCGCTCTTCTGAATGGTTCGCCCGAGGATCTGACCAAGATCGCCGACCACTACCGGACCACCAAGATGAAGGAACTGTACGAGAAGCAGGTTGGCATGATGCAGAGATTCAACCAGCCCGCCCCGCCCGTACCCGTGCACATTGCCCACCTCTACCCTCCCGGTCCTTCCAACCCGCACTACGAGAAGGCCATGGAGAGAGAAATTCAGAAGAAGGGTGCTGCCGCGGTCGCTGCCGCTGCCGCTGCCGCCGCCAAGTCTGGCGAAGAGATCCCGACTATTACCTCGCCCGGTGCCCAAGCACTGCAGCAAGCCAATTCCAACCTGACTCCCCAGCAACAGCGCCAGCAGCAAGCCCAGGCTGCCGCTGCCGGTCTTGCCGATCGCCTTACCTCGTCTATGTTGGAGGCGGAGTTGGATGAGAGTGAGCCACCCACCATTAAGCTGGGTGACGCTTCCTGCGCCGCGCCTTTCACCAGCAAGCTGGCCAACGTTATTGCTATTCCGAACATTATCCGCCAGGGTCGTTGCACTTTGGTTGCCACGATCCAGATGTACAAAATTCTTGCTTTGAACTGCTTGATTAGTGCCTACAGTTTGAGTGTCATCTACCTTGATGGCATCAAGTTTGGTGATGGTCAGGTTACTATCAGTGGTATGATGATGAGCGTCTGCTTCTTGTCCATCTCTCGCGCAAAGGTATCTAAATCCTCCTTTCATATGCTCGAATTTCTCATGCTGATTATTTTCTATCTAGTCTGTTGAGGGTTTGTCCAAGGAGCGCCCGCAGCCAAACATCTTCAATGTGTATATCATTGGCTCCGTTCTTGGACAGTTCGCTATTCACATCGTGACTCTGCTTTACTTGACCCAATACGTTTATAAGATTGAGCCGTAAGTTTTCACCCGGATGACACTGAGGATTCTTTTGATACTAACTAGTACCACAGAAGAGGAGACAATATCGATCTCGAGGGCGAGTTCGAGCCTTCCCTTCTCAACAGCGCCATCTACCTGCTCCAACTGATCCAGCAAATCTCGACCTTCTCCATCAACTACCAGGGTCGTCCCTTCCGTGAGTCTATTCGCGAGAACCGGGCTATGTACTGGGGTCTGGTCGCCGCCACCGCTGTCGCCTTCTCCTGCGCCACCGAGTTCGTGCCCGAGATCAACGAGAAGCTGCGTCTGGTTCCTTTCAGCACCGAGTTCAAGATCACACTCACTGTGCTGATGATCTTCGACTACGGCGGTTGCTGGCTGATTGAGAACGTTCTCAAGAACTTCTTCAGCGACTTCCGTCCCAAGGATATCGCTGTTCGCCGCCCTGATCAGCTGGAGCGTGAGGCCGAGCGCAAGGCTAAGGAGGCGGCCGAGGCCGAGGCCGAGAAGGAGCAGCAGCAGAAGATCTAGATGTGATGAGACGGGTGAAGATTTAACTGTCTTTTCTGTATTGTATACATAGAGGGGAAGATTGGTCCATAGAACTGCATGACATCTAATACATGGTTCTGTCGAGGTTATTGATTGAGAGCCCCATCGCTTCATTATTTGCATATTCGATTATTTCAATCGCTTTCCTTTTGGATTCCATTCATCCTTGATGTGCCAACTTGACGCCGTATATAACTTCAGGACTTGGGGAGGACACGGACAAGGCTCCAAGACCGAAGAGCCCCACCCCCGAGCTTCTGCCTAGAGCCCTGGACCCTGAACATCTTAAGAGCCTCCCAGCTTCCACAGCCTTTTGTTCTCAATTCAACCTCTGCACATCTTGGTTCAGTCATATCCACTGCCATGCTTTCAGAACTTCCAGAAGAAATACTCTGGCTCATCTCCAAGCAGCTCGAACATCAACATGATCGGCTGCACTTGGCAACCTCATGCCGTCGACTCTACGGGGCACTGCACTCGTCCATCTTCTGCAATGTCAAGCTTTGCGGTTATGCTTGGGGAACTAAAGATACGCCATCTAAAAATGCGCCCCAGGTATACCACTTCCTCTCCACGATTGCCCGAAAGCCCAAATACGCAAGCATGGTCCGGGTGCTGGACTTGGGCTCCTGGGAGACTGAGAGGACTTGTGACGCTCACGGGTATCCAAACGACTTTGATTTCGACCGTGACCTCACGGAGAAGCTGGTACGAGAAGCAACTAGTGATGAAACTCAGCAAGAAAAATGGGTCAAGCACCTCGAAATGGGAATCACAGATGCCTGGCTAGCCTTGCTCATTCCAAAGATGACCAACTTGCGCAAAATCAGCATCGTCTGGACTGGAGATACAGACTATGTCACCAACATGTTTGTTAAAGTTGCCAAATCAGAGACTCCCGTCTTCCCGCATCTCGAAGAGGCCTGGTCCGCGCACTGGGATACGGAGAACGGCGCAGAAACAGAACTGATGCTGCCGTTCTTCAAATTTCCTTCCATGCGAAAGATAGGTGGCTTTATGCTCTATGATGGCTTGGATTGGGATGATGAATACGGCCAAAATGAGCCTTTCAAAGACGTTAATATTGGTTGTTCAAGCATCACCGATATTGATTTGAGAATGACCAATGCAACGAACGGATTACAGACTTGGATACGAGCCTGCAAAGCGCTGAAAACCTTCAGAATTGGCGATGGCGGGAACATGGTATCATACGATCCATCTCATCGGGGCAAGCTGTATGAGGCTCTCCTATTTCACAAATCAACATTGGAGGCGTTATCGATCAGCGATGACAGCGGCGGTTATGAGTCCGACGAAAACGAGAACTTATTCATGGGGTCATTTGCAGACTTTACGAATATGAAAATCCTACATATTGCTTGCGAAAGTATCCTGGAACGGGATGATGAAGGAAATCCGACACAGAACCTAATGGATGTGCTTCCGACTTCCTTGGAACTCTTATCCCTATACGACTCTAATGGGACTTTGTTACAGTGGTGGATCGAACAGTTTGAGCTTCTACTGGATTCAAACTTCTGTCCGAACCTGAAAACCATTTGTGTTGAAGTCTCTAGCTTCAGACGACCTGAGGTTACTCCTCAGGAAGAGGAACTGAAGCGTCGATGTCAAGAGAGAGGTGTTTCATTCCTGGTTCTTGGTTCGGGATCCGAGGAGGTAGTAGATTACTGGAATTCGGTTTGGCCTTGCGGTCAGCTCTTTGAGCACCAATATTAGGACTCAATGATTTTATTAGATATGAAATCGGAGGGTATAGACCTGGGGAGATCAAATATGAAATCAATATCTTTCCCACTGAATCAGATAGCGTTCATGTACGGCATTTTGAAGCGTCTATTATAACCCCCTCCCCAATCTCGACGGAGTATGCCAAATAACCCGGCAATCGGTCGAGAGCTCAATTACTGTCAATCAACCTTTCTTCACATACTTTGTTCTGGCATCAAGGTCCTTTGAAAGAAAAGTATAGTTTTTCCATAAATTAAGAATAAGATTCTTGATATAAACCAGCATCTTGAGAGCGTCTTCAAGCCCCGGGTCTTTACAAACCACAACCCCACGCTGACACCCCCCCACTTGGGATGATCTCATCGCTACGGCTGTCCTTTCTTCGCCAACAATCTCCTCTTTCACAAACTCTCCCATTCCTCTCATTTCCACAGAATTGCTTTACGACACTTATTTCTTCCAATATGGCGCCTAAGCAGACTCTCCAGTCTAAATACAAACTACTCTCCGGCCATGAGATTCCGGTCCTAGGTTATGGGGTAAGCATTCGTTTATTGCATTTGGACGTGAGTAATGGTTAACACGTCATGATAGGTGTACATGATGTATGTATCAAACGAGAAAAAGATTATTTTCAAGGCCTAACTGACAGCTTTAGCCCCCCTTCTTCAACTGAAAAGGTCACCTTGGAGGCTTTGAAGGTTGGATTCCGACATGTACGTTCATCCCAGTCGGCAGAGTATATCGATGCATAGCACTAAATATGTATCCCAGGTCGATTCGGCAATTATGTATCGCAACGAAAAAGGTTGTGGCCGGGCTATCCAGAATTCAGGACTCGACAGATCCGACATCTTCCTTACGACCAAGATCCCCCCGGAATCAATGGGCTACGACGATACAAAGCGGGCCATTGATTCGAGTCTCCGCCAGGCAGGACAGGAGTATTTCGATCTGTAAGTCTCACTTCCATCTTCCCAAACCCCCTTCACTCTAAACATGTTCAATGAACCGGGGCTTACACCCCTTATTTAGCATACTAATCCACGCCCCCTACGGCGGCAAGGAAGCCCGTCTAGGCTCCTGGCGCGCCCTCGTCGAAGCCCAGAAAGCAGGTAAAACCCGATCAATCGGTGTATCCAACTATGGCATCCATCATCTCGAAGAATTGGAGGAGTATATCCAGAGTGGAGGTGGCGGCGAGATCTCCGTGGGTCAGTACGAGTTACACCCTTGGCTGGATCACTCGGATATAGCAGAGTGGTGTCAGAGTCGAGGGATTGTAGTTGAAGCGTATTCTCCCCTGGCACATGGGACGCGGTTCCGAGAGCCGGTGCTGAGAAGTATTGGGGGGAAGTATGACAAGTCGCCTGCGCAGGTGTTGATTCGGTGGAGTTTGCAGATGGTAAGTAGTCTATGGAGGGTCAAATGCTGTGGTTCTATGTGGATAAAGAGAAGACTAATTCGGTATATTAGGGCTTTGTTCCACTGCCAAAATCTGTGACGCCAAAGCGTATCCAGGAGAATTCGGAGGTGTTTGATTTTGAATTGGATGAGGAGGATATGAAGTCGTTGGATACGGGCGAGTATAGTCCTACAGACTGGGATCCGACTGTGGATGAGGACTAGACATGTAGTCATTTCTGTGAGAGGCTATATTAGGAGTAGTGATACATAAAACACAGTCAATATGACCCTGAGTTTGTTAGAATTAATATTGAAGCCGTCGAATCGTGTGGAGCCTACCTATCGGGCTTCTATGTAGTGGATTTGTCAGGGAGTCCGGAGGGGCTACCGAACCATCGCGGGGTTTGCGCCTCCGGCGGAATTTATTCAACTCTGCTTCTTCGCCTTCTACTCTCCTTTATTGTACTCTTTACCACCCCCCGGCTACATGAGCCGCTTGAGAAAAGGATAGACCCAAGATTCCCCTGGTATCCCGCTGATCACCGCAATCATGAAGTTGATCCTCTCCACCTCGTAAGTCGCCGCCCCTCTCAGTCCAGTCCAGCTTGCGCCGGAATATCCTCAACCAACGAGAAACGAGAACTCAGTGACTGACGCGCTGTGCGCACTAGCAATATTATGAACGGAGGCAGACCGTCTGTCATCCGCTCGCCGCTGACGCAGAAGTCCAACATCGAGTTGATAACGTCCCTGCGCTCGAACTTCCTGGCTTCGCAAGTGCTCGACGACGGTACGAACGGGACCAACGGCGATGCGAACGGATTACACCCTGAGAAACGTGATTATTCTTCGTGGACGGTGGATCACGACGGGGCTCTCTACATTCCGGCCGTGGATTTCTCACAGCATGGACTGGCCGAGGAGCGGGATCAATACGATATCACGGTGAAACTATTCTATCTACCAGGGATTCCAGCCTCGAGACGCTGCGCACACACAAGGGAAGCAATTGATCTGGTATTGAAGGAGCTACATGTCAAGTCTATCGATTTGCTGATAGTTTCGTTCCCGGGGATTCTATTTGATGCGGACGACGACAGCGATGAGGAAGGGTCTGACGCTAGTGGGGAGGATGACTTTGACAGCATGGTGCAGACGTGGCGAGTGCTTGAGTCCCTGCATGAACAGGGCATGATCGCGCAGTTGGGCGTCGCCGAGTTCGGCAGCGAGCGGCTAGCGCGCTTCCTCCCACATACCCAGCTCAAGCCTTCGGTGGATCAGATCAACCTGAAGGACTGTTGCGTGGTGCCCAAGTCCCTTATTCTCTATGCCAAGCAGGAGAAGATCCAACTCTTGACCCACAATGATTGCAATGATATCCTTCCGGTCGGCACGACACGAGAGCTCTTGGGGCCGGCGGATAAGGGAGGTGCAGGCATCCTGGCTTCGACGCCAGATGCTAACGACGGAATTCAGGGACACGTCGAGCCGCAATGGGTGGTCAAGTACACGGCCGTGGTGAAGGATCGCGGCGTGGTTGAGAACAAGGGATATTTCGCTCTGGCAGATGTCGGCACATGTGTCAAGTCCCAGTCATAATGGAACGAGGGGAAGGTGGTTGGTTAAGATGAGTGGTCGTCAAAAGAGGTTCAGGTTTCTTTTTTCATGATTCAGCGTTGGCGTTTTTTGCGAGGGTCCAGATGAGACGAAATCGTTTGCATCCGCCATTCGGACAATGTATATTGAAGACAAGGGCAGTCCCCTTATCCAATCATGCTCCGCTTGCGGCCTCTCATCCGCACGTCCTCCAGTCTCTTAAGCGTAGATCCAGTTCCCTTGTGGCTCTCCCGATATCCATGCAGTACCTCCTCGAAGAAGGGCTCCGATCGGGGGTGCGTACTTCCAATAGCACGCTCCAGGACATACAAATCCACCGCGCGGTCCTCATCCTGCGTACTTTGCCCTGCTAGACCAAAGTCGATCAGGACAACCTCGCCCTCCATGGAGACACCCGTCGGACTGTCGGTAATATCCTGAGCAGGCGAGCGCAGCATCAAGTTACTCGTAGTCAAATCTCCATGCACGACACCAGCCTTGTGCAAACCACCGAGTGTATGTCCAATCCGCTTCATCAAGCCCCGCACCCGATCTTCCTCCTTCTGGAGCTGAGTCTCATCCAACGAAGCAGCATTCTTCTTCATCCATGCCTCCCACTGCTCAAGAACCACTCGCACCACGGGTCCTTCAACCCATTCCATCATCAACCACGCCCCTCCCCACGCGCTCTCCTCCGCGCCTTGTCCTTCCCAGTCCATCGCTAGCACGGCGGGGACACTCACCCCTTCCCGGACCAGTTTCACTAAGCATCGCGCTTCTTGGATGATGCGCTGGCGAGTCAATCGGCGGTCGAGAATGGGGTGGCGGTAGGGCTTGGAGGGGCGGACTTTGAGGGCTGCTGGGATGGAGGGGTCCAGAGAGACGGTTTTGTAGAGGTGGGCCTCGGCACCTTGGACGAGGAGTGTCGGGGCTGGGGTGGTGTTGGTGAAGGGGGAGGGCAGGGCCGGGGGTCTGTATTCGTCGGCCATTGTGGTGAGGAGGAGGTCGAGCAATTGAGGATGTGGGTGTAGAGGGTTGATGTAGAGATGGAGGTGGAGGAGCAGTTGGAGGTGAAAAAAGTTCCCGGAGATGGGAAATGGTGGGGCACTACCAACACGAATTGGCAGAGATCTGATAATCTATTGAGTTATCCTATCAAACTTGTATGAAAAGCCATTGAATCTAAAGAGAAAAAAATGGATGGTTGCTTTCAATTGTCCAATGTTGTATGTCTGTTGGGCATATCTTCTCTGGTAATACTAACCCAGTGAGATGTTAGGATGGACCATTTACATCGAAAGTAATTTCATGAAATAATCTATTTCGATGCAATTGACACTGCCAAAGATTGAACTACTGCAGAACCTTGTATCAAATCATCTAATAGAACCTGAGATAATCTGAATGAAAGAAACTGTCTATCCGATCTAAAGCCTCACATCCCCAATCCCAGCCCTTATCAACAACAATTCCCACCCTCAATCAAACTCACATTTAGCCTTATTCACGACCCTCACCACTTCCCATGGCATACTCAAAAACGGACAATGCCCCGAATCAATCTCCTCAGTAACAAACCTCCCCCTCCCCTTCCCCCCAGCATCCAAAGCATCTTGCACCATACACCGCTGCAAAGGCAACAAAATCGCCAAATCCCTCTTACAAAACACATACATCGTGGGTAAATCCATCCACGGAGCCCCATTAATCTTCCCAGGCCCAGCAACCCAATTATGCGTAACATTCTCTTTAGCCAATTCCCCCGCTACCACCGGATCATCGATATCATTATAGAACGAAGCGGGCGCATTCCTCGCAAAGATAGTTCCATCCCCGTTACTTCCTACGTCGACTTCGCCCGGTAAACCGTATTTGGTTATCACGTCTTCGAAGGTGTGGCCGGGTTGGATTAGCCATGCGCTGAGGAGGAGTAGGGAGACGATGCCGTTGCCTTTGTGGTTCGTGTGGGACTGGGCGTAGAGGTCTTCAGTTATTGCTTCGCAGGCGACTATTCCGCCGTAGGAGTGGGCGAGAACGAGGATTTTGTGACCTTCATTGATGAGTTCCTGCGCAGCTGTGCGGACGGCGGCAATGTCATCGTCTCGGGTGGCTTTTGGGGACCGTTCGTCGCCGCAACTGGGGAGGTGTGGGCATCGAACAGTGTATTGTTGGGACTGGGTGAGGGCGTTGATGAGGGGTTGCCAGCTCGATGGGAGGAAGAAGGCGCCGTGGATAATGAGGATTGCTGTAGGTTTTTGGCTAGACATGTTGATAAAGAGGGTTATTGCCCCTGGTGGTTGTGCCTAGGATTGGCGGATACTTGAAGTAGATCGATGCTACACTTCGTGATGATCAGGCTTTGTCTTGATGGGACCCCGGGTGAGCGTGTATTCAGTCTTATATAGGTCTGTGGAATCAAGCGCTTTTCAATGATGTTTGATCGGCATTCGGGGCTATGTAAAGCACCGTCAATACATCAGAAGGGGCCACGTCTTTTGGCCCCAAGGTGTCCTCAAATCAGATCAATTATTTATGATCACATTGTACGGTGCTGACAAGATGACCTTTGAAGGTTTCCACCATCTACCATCTAGAAGCTCCACAATTGGGGGGGCCTGATCGACTTTCCAGCATCGTTAAATTGCTTATTTTTCCCTTGTAGAAGCGAATTCTCTAGCGCGGGATCCGTTGAGAGAGTCCTAGATTGAGGATTGATATTTCAGGGTTAAGGAAAGAATCAAGAACTCGTGTATTTCTTTGGTTTGGCAAGACGTTAGAATGTTGAAGGTGATCAGAGTGATCTATAATGGGTTGGAGTACTACAGTGATAGCCAATCGGAAACGTGTATAAGCACTGTTGGAAGAACGGCATTATACGGCTTGAACGATATGAATAACAAACGTTGAACAATGCATACATCACAAGAGTGAAGGGATAATCAAATTACGAAGGACCATTTGCTTCTCAACCAGAGCACCGCAATCTGGCATTGGCAGGCACGAGGGATATGTACAACTCTCCGAAGACATCGTGGAACAAGGTCCACGATCGAAGGTAGTATAAAGCCAGTGTACACAAAAGAATAAAAGCTTCATTCCAACAAGAAGCGACAAAAAGAAAGACGGTATGACCTACTCAATAACCTAGGTCCAAGAGTACATCATATCCAAAAAAGGGTCTTGACCAAAAGAAAAGGCTTTGCAGCCCAAGGAAGGAATGTAGAAGAAGAAAGAGAAACCAAAGGGGGCAAAAGATGAAAGGGGACCATATATCAATTTCACGACCAACTCGCTCAAACAACATCACATCAAATATCCTGCTGAGACAAGAACAAGACAGACATAAAAAGGCACTACCACGAGAAACTCTCCTCAACATAGTCAATATTCGAGTTAGCCTGTCTCTTGCGGCACACCTTGCGGACATCATCGCTCAAGCCACCATTACCACAAACCAACACGCCCATGGCACCGATCTGATTCTCAGCCTCCATACCAACAAGAGTGTCGATGTTCGGTCGGCCAGGGAACATCTGCACGGTCGCAGAGGGACTCTGGATCTCCTTGGTGTTACGGGGCCGAGTGACGAAAAGCATGATACGGAGGACTTCGCGGCGGCGCTCCATGGCCAGGATACTGGTCATCCAGGGCCGGATCCACTCCAGGTGCTCCGGGGATTGAATGATCCAGACCAAGGTCAGCCGGCGGGTTGCGACGGTGCCGTCGGCGAAACCGGCGACCAGGTGTCGGACGAAGGGGACGTGGTGTGTGATACCCACGCCACCGGCGAACAGCATCACCGTGCCGTAGGAGTCCATGGAGTGGATGTTGCCGTATGGTCCTTCGGCGTAGGCGCGTAGGGTGATGCGTGAGCCGATGGCGTTTGAAGCACGCTGGAAGAGCTTATCGGTCATGCCGGTGCGGCGGCGAACGAGCAGGGAGAGAGTTGTCTTTTTCGGTACGCCGAGTAGATCTTGTCTGGCGATTGGGAGGGACTTCTCGCTGGGCATGGTTTCCTCGACTTCGCTCCAGCCGACGGAGAAGGGGTGTGCCGTCCACCAGCCAACAGCTGGGATGTAGAGGTAGATGTGCTGGCCAGGCTTGAAGGTCCAGGGGCGAGCCATGCGGAGACTGATGCGCATGCAATCGCCAGGCATGGCCTCAATGGTTGCAGTGGTGGACTTACGGCCGAAGTTGCGGTAGATGATACTGAAGAGACGAGTGGCACGCTCTAGGGCCCAGAGAACAATCGTGGCGAGAAGATACTTTTGAGCAGCCAGGCCATTCAGATGCACCCATAGGAAACCAAAGGATACGGCGGCAATGGCGATGTGAAGGTGGAGGAACGTCTCGTAGAAAGCGTGACGAATGGCGGATGGCGAATGCAGCATGAGGGCCGTGAATGCAGCGGTGGCCACCAAGCCCGCAAGGAGGAAGCTGCTGGAAGCCAAGGCTTTTGCAACGATATTCCAGCCCGCTTCCTGGCCCTTGGGAATTGCCCAGGCGAATGTGTGAGCGAGAGCCTCGAGCACCACAATACGGCCTAGCCAGCGGTGGAGGAGGTTCCATGTGTCGTAGGGAACGTGCAGCATAGCGATCAAAGGGTTGTTGCGGCCAGCCATGATGATCAGAGGAATCAGGTTGACAGTAGCCATAGTGCCAGTACGGTTACGCACAATGCCTGCCAGAGTGTCTTCCTCGGAGTTAAAGGGAGTAGTCACTGTGCAGAGGACCACATTCATGGCAACGACACCGACAATCAGGAAGCCATGGAACCGACTGGGCAGGGTTCCCATGTTAATAGCCGATGAAAGCTGGAACTCGCGATTGTGGCGGGTGCCGAACAGCGGAGCATAGATCAAGTGCTCCTTCAGCCAGCAGAATTTGTCGTGGGCAGGTACAAAATACTTCTGCTTGTCATCGGTGAAAGTGGCCAGTCGTCGCAGGTGGCCAGAGAATCGAAAGGCGAGAGACCAGACAAAGTATGCTGCGGCAGCACAGCCAAGTGCAAGGATGGTGTAGCGTGCCAGGTCATCATTATAGGCTTCATACCACATCTCCATGGCACTGTTCTTGCCTCCTCCTCGCTTCTCGATAATGATTTCTTGGGCACTGCCCAGTCCCGCGAGGGACAGAGCCAGCAGCAGGGATTGCATGATGGTACTGGTTAAGATCGTAGTCTCGGGAAAGATGAGAGCTTTGGCTGATTTTGAGCAAGACCAGCTTGCTGTAGAGGTGACTGAGTTGGAAGGCAAGGCCAATCGACCAAAGCCTTTCTAGAAGCGTTCTGGTTTCTCCTAGGCAAAAGTCCTGGACGAATGCAAACCAAAGCAACCCCAGGCTGCTTCAGAAGGCACGGAAAAGAAGCGAGGTGATTGCTGAGGAGGTCCCAGAAGGCCTATCAATATGTCGTTGAGTGGCTGGAGACGACGATAGGACCTGCCTAGATTGAATTGAAGGAATTGGATGAAATTCAAAGAGAGATGTAGGTCAAGGCATCAATCGATGGAAAGTTCCGTTGGTCAATTGGGTGCGCAGCACGGGACGACAGGAATGACAGAGCCACTGGAATATCTGGCAGAGGCTGTATGTGATTTTGTCGGTGGGCAACGAAAGGAATGCTGGTGATCCGGTCACTGGCAAGGGCAAAAATCGCGAATGGAGCTTGTCCACCGCGTTGCTAGACGATTGTCGGAGAAACGAAAGGAGGCAACAAAGCCAAAGAAGATAAAAAGAAAGGGAAGAACAACAATGGCCTTTTGTCGATGAGGCAAAGGAACCAAAAAGAAACGAAGAAAGGGAACTATCGAGGCCTGCGACTACAAAGGGGGATGGGATGAAATCGAGAAGGACCACTTTTTGCCTGGTATCCACGCTTTTCCTGAATAATAATGGTGGGGATATATGAGACAGGCCAAGTCGGCCTAAGGGCCATCAAGGAGAATGTGTAGAATCGAGTAAGACTGGGCCGACGGATAGTGACCGTCCATTATTCAAGCGTTAGCGGACGAACTGTGTATCATGTATTATCTTGTTCGGCGTGTCTACTCCGAGCCCTCTCTCTCGTCAGGGATCGGGGAAGGGGAATTTGTTTGGCGCCACGCTCTCAAGCCTTCGGCAAGGAATGTTCATCTCATCATTGATCCGCAGGAGGGGGAAGATCGGGACGGGATTTTCTGTCACGAATGCAAAAATCGAATGGATGAGTTTATTTGGAGGGGCTCAAAATGGAGGAGTACGTAGTATGGCGTCCGGAGACGACCTTCCACGTTCCATGGGATCGAATCGGGTACCTGGAGAGTGACCCATTGTATCGAATCTTGAATTTTGCCGTCAACCGGAACCTGACATGCGATATGCGACATGCGACAGGTCAAGGTCGAGGTACACTTGGCGCCGCAAGTGGCGGGGATGCAGTCGGCGGGATGTGACTGGCTGGTGATGAAACGTCCCAGCTCAAGCCGTGAAGCAACAAGCGCCAGCCAGCCAGCAGCAGGCTAGCTGCCGAGCACTGATGGCGCCGATCCTCGTCATCGCTGGGTTGGCGGACGACTGGTTGTTTGAGATTGGGCCTTGCTTGATTGATGGGCCAATGGGTGGCTGGATAGTGGATACTTGAAGAGACCAAAGGGGTAAAGTGTGGTGCTGCGGAGGGGAAGTTTGGTGGACTCTGCGACATGCTTAGGGTCACTAACAAGTCACGAGTGTCGGACCAGATACTAACAACAGTCTTGCGTACAGACGGAGTCCCACACTCTATTACTGATAAAATGTCTGACATACCTAGTCATAGTTGCATATTTTGATAATGTGATTAAATCAAGTTTGTTGTCTACAATCCCTCCAAAACGGAGCACTGACAGATGGACCTGGCATCATGCACGGCTGCAAGTATGGAGCATGATAGCATCACTCATGTTTGAAACCCTCCATGATCGAAGGTAGTCATCTTGCATATTCCATGGAAAATGACTCCTCTCCTACTCGGTACTTTCTTTTTTCTAACTACTCTATTTCCCGCCCTCACTCCCCTAATCTTCCCAGTATCACGGTTCATAATGCTTGGCACACCGGGGCCTTCATTTATGTCAGACCTTAATCTCCCCTAGATGGAGAATTTCCCGCCGAGTCCACAACCCCAAGACCCAAGACCTATGATAGTCAAGATAGTTAATCACCCGAATACCAATAAGATCCCGCTCCCGTCATCTCATCTTTCATATGTACTCAGACACGAGTGTCCACTAATCAAAATCTGCGCATTATCGCTGCAGGCGGTCGAAACAGGGATATAGCAAGAGTTTGCTAGAGCCTAGACGGGAAGAAGGTCTCGGAGTCAGACCTGTCTTTGCAATGGCATGCCGAAAATTGGTACTTTACCAGGCCGTCGGTCGTCTCTCCTCTTTGGTGGACAATCGATTTTTCCTGTATGTCTCCAGATAAAGTGGGTTTATCAATGGCGTCCGGCGAGCTGATACAGATGCCTTGGCACTAGACGTTTCAAGAGTCTAGATTGATAGGTGTCACGCTATCACTCTAGTCGTCTTGCCCCTCCCGCTCTCGTGCCGCTCAAAATAAGCTACTATTCCAACCTAGATAACCATGACCGACGGAGTAGTACTATTTTAGCTATTGAGTGGCCAACTATTCAAGATTAGCCATTCTTAGTGTCTTGGAGCATGATCCTACTGTGAAGAAGACGGGAGACTGTGGATTCATATTCAACATACTTTCTCCATGCACAATTAAATTGCAGATCCGACTCGTATAAACTTCCAAGTACCACTTTAGACAAATGGGAGGCGGGGGAGGTGTAAAACAGGCAATCAAACAAGTAAGTGAATTAGAAGCAAGGCAGAGAGACCAGGAGTATTTCACACAAAAGCAGACACCAAAATAATAACAACCAAAACAAGTCCAAAGCCGGGGGTATCAAATCAGAATGAAACACCAAAACCCCCAATCTAAACAACAGGCGGGCCAGCGCCCACCTCTAACCGCTCATATTCACCACTGGTTTTCAAGGAAAGGAGCGTCCAGGCCCAGTGTCGCGTGGGCTAGACAAGCCCGGGCGCTTTCCACTCTCACGAGTACTGTGCATCAATCTATCAATGACGCTCGTGCCCGGTGGCAAGATGACTGACAACACATCCTCCCGAAGGATCGACCACAAGACCCTGATTGACAACGAGCCCTTGTTCCTCAACCTTAAACAGGCCGGGGTAACAGTTTATAAGAAACTAAGCTCATCATCGCTGTCTTCTTCAGAGCAGGGTATGAGCATTGATCTCCGCGGGGTGACAACTCGCAGGGTTCGACGGGGAAGGACGGACGTACGGGATCGCCCAGACCTGCGCCGCTCCACTGCCCGGTGAATCCGCTTCTCGACCAGTTCCGGTTCTGAGTCTGACTCGGGGCCCGGCCGAGAAGGTGTCTCACTGGTCTCAGTTTCTTTCTTGTTGAAAATCACTACATCGACTTTCGTCGGGAGCCTTGCCGTCGTGGAGGTTTCCTGCTTGTTTACCATGCGGTTCGGTAGAGCACGTAGAATACGACGCTGCGAGGGTGCCGGCTCCAGAAATGGAGATTTGGGGGCAACGGTAGTAGACAACAGTCCACTCCTTCTTCTGGTGATCCGTTCTTGATTTTCCACAATGACAGGCGCTGGCCGTCGTCGTTTAGCTATTTGCAGAGGCGAAGAGTCTGTGCACTCAAGGGGTCGCTTTAATCCAGCGGACGGTGGTGACGAGGTCATGCTCGAAGGAGGCTCCATGAAGCGATCGGACTCCTGATCGGACTCGTGAGAGCTGCTGCCTGTAGAGCAGGGGATGTAAGACATTGGCATTGGCGTTGAATTCAAAAAGGCACGACCCTTGGCCACGGCGATCGGTAGTGCGTTCAACTTGGCCGCGGGAGTACGAGCAACCCACTCTCCAATGCTCTCCTCCCAGCGAAAACATCCATTCCGCGATCCCTGCTCCTCCAACCCGTCCGAAGATGCGGGACTAGGTTGCCTCTTGCCCAGAAGAGTAATGACCGTCTCTTGAACCTCAACCGCCCACACGTGATCGTCTGGCTCACCGGTACTCTCTGCGAAATCCATGGCAGCTTCCACGGCCACTCGACCCAGAAGAGTAGACAAAGCTGGCGCATCGGTCATGCCTGGGAGCCGTGAGAACATGCGACGAACCTCTCGGCCCAAGCAGAGACGTTCATCATCTGTCGTACTGCCAAAACATCGGAGGGCTTGCCGGGCAAACAAGGCCAATTCTTTGACTAGACCCGAACGGGATGCCAATATCTCGCAATATCGCTCAAGAACGGGCGTAGAACTGACCGTGTGTTTAGGGTCGCCTCTCCAAATTGCATCGTTGCATTGTAAAAGACAATCCGCCACTAGAATGCTGCCACGCCTGAGTAACTGATGGAAAGTTAAAATAGTGGCGTGGGAGAGCGGCTGAGATTCCATGTCTTTCTCAAGGAGGAAGCGAAGATAATTGATGATATGACCAGCCTTTGTTCCTTCGAAGTTATCCGGGACATCGAACCCCCGGGATCGCGAGATGTGCATGCCGCACACCGCTGCCAATAAACTCGTCACATGGTTGCTCAGCGCATCTTCCACCGGCACAGGGCACTTCCGAAGGAGATCAAGTCTGTCCGTAGTTGAAACAGGAGATGTTATTGTTCGCCTTGCATAGACAAGACCGCAGCTAGCCGTATCACCTCGTTCTGATGCTGGAACCGCGATAGCCGGTAGAATATCGGCAGCTGATGTGAGAACGGCTTCGATCAGTCGTGAGGCGGCGGCACAGTCACCATCCCCTCTCGAAAATGATATAGTCGCCCGAGTCATCCAACTAGTCCATGACCTGGTCGCCATCCACTCTGGAGGCAGCACACCACGTGTGAGAAGCTTGGCAAGCTCATCAAAAACGTACGAGCGATGGGCCCGGACGTGGTGCGAGTATTTCCGTAGTAGCCTGATAGGATCACCCGGCTCGTTTGAGTCGGTAAGAGGTTTGAGGGCGACGGGATAAGGATAGCTTTCACGCGTCGATAGAAATATCGATAGCAATGATTCACACGCGTCAGGCTCATGATGTCGACACTTTTCAATCAATGCACATGTGATCGGATCTGTCAACCACCCATTCATTATCATATTCGAAACCAGGTGAATGCCTTGTGCTCGAACAGCCTCCCGAAGGGGCCTCCACCCTTGACCATGGGGGGCATAATAGCTTTCCAATTCGGTAAAATACGCATTACACATGTCCTCGTCATTATCATCATCCAACTCGTCCTGGGCGTCCTGCTCATTTGCGATGAATTCAGGCAATCGTCGTACCACTGTCGACAACAAAGACCGAGTTCCACGGACGATCTGGGCCGATGTCTCGTTGGCATCACGTTTCGTAATTCGAGTATTGCACAGAAAATTCTGAAGAATGCGGTCGAGGTTATGTACTATGCTGGCGAATCCCGGATCGCTGGATTGACCAAGTATTTCTTGCCAGGGGCTTTTGTGAAGAGGGTACCTGTCACGGAAGGCCTGAAGTTGTCTATGCGGGTTCGTTGGCCTGATCTGTTCGGCTGAGGGTTGTGATTGAGCACTCGCAGGCGCTTCCCATCGCTTTCCCGTGATCACCGGGGTTGCGAGCTCAATTGCGCCGGGCAGAGTACGACTGGCTTCCGGACTATGTATCGACAGTCGCGTTCGCCTTTTGCCTCCCTTGCCTTCTCCCCGCGACGAATATTTATGCCGCAAGCGCCGCTGATCGGGCTTCTTTCCAGGAACCCAGACCGGATCATCCTCGTCCGCGTCTGATCCCGAGTCATTGTCCTGGGCCTTCACAACTTCGCTTGTGTTTTTTGTACGAGTATTGATGTTCGTGTTATGTTCAAGTATGTTCGAATCGGCTGCGATAATCGCTAATGTCTCATAGTGCTTCTCGAGTCGGCGGTAGATTGAGGCCAAGGGGCGTAACATGCGGTTGGCCCATCTTGCGGTGGGTTTCACGTCGTCCATTGGGGGGTGTATGGGAATAACTCTGTCAAATAAATCCATATGTCTATATATTGAAAGGTCAGTCTCAACTCGAGCTGCTCAGAAGGTGTTCGAGGTGCCTTGGGACGTACTTAGAGTAACAAGGCTCAGCACCGACTCGTCATGACGCACGCATAGCAGTCACCACGCCTAGCGTCCAGGCATTGCCAGTCGCCAGCGCAATAAAATAACAAAGATGCCAATTTATGTACTACAACTCAAGAATAAGAGGTGCGTATTAAGGCAGAATGTAGGTAGAACAAAGAACACGAAATAATTGTCAATCGGCGACCAGCAGAAACGAAGTAAACAAAGGTGGGTCCCGAATGCGGTCAAGCGTCCAGGCCGAGGCCGCACCGCCAAGACTCGAAGCTTTGTTGTATGAATTTCTTAAAATAGTAGTGGAAGATGTGGTATGAACATGATAGTTTTGATCCGTCATCATATACTATGACCCAAGTCACAATGCTAAATGCAAAAATTCTCAGGTACACAGGGCCGTCGCATCGTCAATGCACATCGAATATAGGGCCATATAAGTACAACCAAATCCATGAACCTTCCCATGCACTGCCCAGGAACAAGATCAATAGACCCAGAACAAAAAAAAAGAAGATAGAGAGGAGAGAGATCTAGAATAATACAGTATTTTCCCGCTCATCAAACCGAACCAGGTCCCCCTCCGAAAAACGATCATGGAGTATTTTATTGTTAAGACATGCGAAGGCCAAGAAAAGAAGATGAGAAATGAAACACCAATGTCAGAGTGAACAAATTTGAGTAAGAGTCAGACAGAAGTCATTTGCTCAGAGAAAATTTAAGCCTTGGACTGCTTGGATCCGCGGAGCTTAGGGTTGGCAGCGGTGCGCTTCTTCTGCTTGGAGCGGGAGGAGCTCTGGTCACCACCCTCGATGAATTTCAAAAGGTCGTCGATGCTGCGAGAGTCCATGCCAGATCCAGTGGCGGGGGCCGTGCCAGCAGACTCAGGAGCGGTCTGACCGACCTGAGGCTGGACTCGAGTTCCCATGGTGGGAGCACGGGGGTTGATGTTGATGCGACGCAGGCGACGGGCCTGGATATCCTTAGCGTGCTTCGCAATGGAAACGGCATTCTGAGTGAGCTGCTCGAGCCATGTCTCAGCCTCCTTGGTGTTGCGGTCCTCGGGGCCAAGCTGGGCAAGGAAAATGTTGTAGGCCTCGCGCATCTTGACAACGGCAGCCTTGGAGTCCTGGTCCAGAGCCAGAGCCTGGGCAAGCTGGAAGAGGATAGTGGCAGTGTTGATAGACTGAGGGCCAAACAGGTTCTCACAGACGGACAGGGAAGCCTCGAACCACTTGCGGGAGTCAGCGTACTGCTTGAGGTGCTGCAGCATGACAGCGGCGTTGTTCATGGTAGTGATCGAGTCGGGGTGGTTGGGACCATAGATGATCTTCCAGAGATCCATGGCGTGCTTGATGTAGACCAGAGCAGTCTTAGTGTTGCCAGAGGCGTGCTCGAACAAGCTCAAGTTCAGGTAAGCCAAGATGGTGTCCGCAGAATCGACACCCAGAGTGCGCTCAGTGACGATGACAGCCTTGCGAGCCAGCTCCACGGCGGCCTCCTTCTCGTCAGTCTGGTAGTAGAGCATAGAAAGCTGGTGGTACAGCTTGGCGACCTCGGGGTGGAGGATGCCGTAGATCTGCTCGTGGAGAGACAGAGACTCCAGAATGAGCTCCTGGCCCAGTTGCTTCTGGTTCTGCATGAGCGAGATGCGACCGGCCTCCAGGGCCTCCTCAGCCAAAGCGCTGCGCGGGGAAGCATCCTTGACCAGCGGAACGATGTTCAGGATATCATCCGCAGTGAAAGTGACAGCCGGCTTGTTGGCCTGGACGGGGGCGCGAGTAGGGGACTTGTTGTCGCCGCCCTTCTTGCCCTTCTTCTTCTTGTTGCTGCCATCATCCTGGCCATTCCCGTTGGCAACGGGAGCGACAGGGGTGGGCTCCTTGACCTGGTCCTTGGTGAAAGCGAACTCGCGAGCGCCGAGCTGGAGACCCAGCTTGATAGAGATATCACGCAGGAGCTGCAGGTGGCGCAGAGAGTTGACCCATCCCTCCTCGAGAGAGAATCGGTAGCGGATGGCAACCTGCTTCTCGATCTCAATGCGCAGCGACTCGGGGGTGACCTTCTCGAAGGAAAAGTCGCCATCGGGGTAAACATCACGCAGGGACTGGTCGATCTCAGCGCGAGGGGCAGAGTTGACATCAGTGCCCAGCAGGCAGTTCAGGAGCTGAGTGATGCATGGAGCAACGAAGGGAGCGGGAACATTACGCAGGTATTGGTTGGCAACGTGCTTGAAGGCACGAGCAATCATCTCCTGGACCAGGAGAGTGGACAAGGCCTGAAGACGAGGACCCTTCTCGGTGGACAGCTGGGCCAGCTTGCCGAGGTAGCGAACATTGATACCCCGCTTGTGGAGGAGCTGGGTGAGCGACTGGCCGTCCATGGGGAAGCCAACGTCGCCATCATGCAGGTCCTGAACCAGGTCGGGCATGATCTTGGAGCGCAGGTGCTCGCAGGCCTCCCGCACTTCCTTCTCATCCTGGGCCCACTGCTCCTTCTCCTCCTCGGTCTGGGGAACCTGGCCGCTGAAAACATCAGGGTTGAGGGCGAGGTTAAATCCGGAGATATCAACACGATCCTGGTCCTCGCTCTTTTCCTCAGTCTTCTCCTCGGAACCCTCCTCTGGCTTGGCCTCCTTAGAGGCTTCCTCGGCCTTGGCAGCCTTGCGGCGCTCGACTTCAGCCTTGACGTAGGCGCTCATCTTAGAACGCCAGTACGACTCAACGAGCTCAAGGCGCAGGACCGACATGCGGTGAGGGTAGGCATCGCTGCCCTCCTCCTCCTGCCACAGAGCATCCAGAGGAGCCACGCGGTACAGATCAAGAACGTACTTGCGTCCATCAGTACCGAGCAGACCCTTGGTCTCCACGCTGCCCTCAAGGTCATGACGCTTGCCATCCTTGTCCCAGACAGGGTGCTGCTTAATGCGAAGCGCCTTGGACAGCTTCTCAAAGACGGGCTGGAAGTCGGGGTGCGTGGCCACAACCTCCTTGCCCTCAACACCGCCATAGTCAATCTGGTGCTCACCAGGCTCCCGCTGCTTGAAGATACCAGGAACAATGCTCTGACCAACAATACGCTTGCCCAGGTAGTCGACAACGACAGTGCCGGGAGTGAAAAGACCCTGAATATCGAGCTGGTTCACAGCCTTGATACCCAAAACGTCCTTGCCAACAGCCACGCGGGCAGCCTCGTCACCGCCCTCGGAGGTGAAGGTGCCAACGCCATCTGCGCCGAAGGAGTAGAAGATGTTGTTGTAAACGAAGATCTGAGCATCCCGAGCCTCAGTGGGGTTGAGAGGAGCAACCTCGCCGCGGGCGACCAACACCGCGCCACGAGCGGCAGCCTCATTATAGTCAGCGAACAGCTTGGAGGTCAATCGCTCACGGAAGACGCGATCCTGAACGGTATCCCGGGGCAGCTCGCGGGTGGTCTGGAACTCTTCGTTCCAGTCCCGCAGGGTCTCAGCATTATCCACACCAGAGATCAGATAGCTCTCCTGAGAGCGAGTAATATCCGGCTGGTGAGCGTTCTGGCTTGAAGTAGTGGGGGCAACGAGCCAGGGGCTGTTGGGAATGGCGTTTTGGAAAGGGAAGGTGGTCAGGAGATCCTTCTGGTTGTTGGACTCCTGCAGAGCCTCAAAGGCGGTGTTGAAGGAAGGCGACAGCTGAGAAATCAGGGTGAGGAGAGAGTGGGCGTTACCCTTCACGTTCTTGGGCATGATAGTTCTGGGGAAAGGATCGAACTTGGTGTTGGAGCACTTGTTCACGAAGAAGCCCGAAACGTGGGAGGTGATGGGGAACTGCTCGCCCTCATTGGTGATGACCTGGAGGTAGAGCAGGTGGCCCTTCTGACGGAGGTTATAGGGCACCGGGTTCCACGGTGATAATGAAATTGACTTCACTGTCTTAGGAAGAGGGGCCTGTTCCTGGGGCAGGATAGTCTGGAGCGAGGACTCGCCGGTCAGGTTGTACTTGGCGAGCGAGTGGTCCTTTTCGGACTCGCCAGCCTTAGCAGCCTCAGCCGAGATGGCATCGTGCAGCGAAAGACCGGCGGAAATACCGTGCAGGTTGTCCACACGATCACCAGCAGCACCAACCAGCTCGCGTGTCCGCACAACATGCATGCGGGCCTCCTTCTCAGTGTAGGGATCCTCAACCAGGACGATCTCAGAGTTGGCCTTCAAGTCGGGGACCTCAGACAGCTCGACGAAATCGTTGATGCGGGTTCCGTTATACTCAAGGTGGAAGCATGTGTACTGGAAGGTACCGGGCAGCTCGACGATGGATTGGCGAACATCTTGCACCTGTTCTTGGCTCGAGACCTGTGGGGAGGAAGACGACCGAGTCAGAGAGAAACGTCTAATATAAAACCTGCTATGATATAGCACGTACCATCACCTGGATCTTGTGCGGCTCGTGGGGAAGCTTCACGGAGATCTGGAAGAGACCTGGACTCGAATCAGAAAACTGCCATACCGCCCTAGCTCCAAAGATGCAACATACCACCCGCATTGTCATCCTCGGCAGCGCCCTCGGGGTGGGTGCCGTTTGTGGGGTCTTGGGTAGCCTGAGCAACCTCTATTTGAGGATCAGTATATCGTTGTCGAAGGGAATTTTGTTGCGGTGTATGCTGTGGTCTGGGGTCTCGTGTGACCGTTACCGCGCGCAAGACCTCGAGAATTGACGGACCTTTCGAGTGCTCCTGCTCTCCATTGGGTTGCGCCATGATGTTTAATTGTTGAACAGGATAGCTTCCGACAAATTCAAGATGCGACGAATAGCTACCTCACAGCTGTGGAGTGAAGTTCAGACGAAACCGATCGGGAATGGAAAAAGCGAGGACCTGCGGGGATTGAGCAGGGATGGAAAGAAAAGAAAAGAAAAGTCGCTATAGTACAAGGATCAGGGCAATTGAACCAGTTAAGCCAATAACCCCGGACCCCAGAGAAAGATGCAAAAGAAAATCGGTCGGTATGGGGGAGAAGGGACAACAGCGGTGGAACGGAGGAGAAAATTTCGCGGATGCGGCATACCCTCGGAAGTGCTCGGGCGGTGGGTTCGGGGAAGACGCCGCGGAGAGTCTACTCCACATTGTGCGAAGAAGGAGAAAGTTTTGAGACATAACGGAGAAGGGGAAAAGGTGGCATTGATAGTCATCATACTGTTGACCTAGATTGTATTGATTTACTTTCAATTGTGATGTTCGGCGTGTAGAAAATTGGCGCTATTTAAAGTGATGACCTCCCTATAGTTACTTTGGTGCCTCAGGCCGCCACATGTTGGTGGACGGAGAATTTTAGAATCACCACAGCGAGACAGGCTACTATTTAGTTATGATGTGCACTTTCAGACTGGTTAGTATTTTTATGTTTATTATCCAATTGTCCTATATTGAACTCCATTGGTCTTACTTCGAAGTGAATTGCCCGGGTGCTATGGAGTACCGGCTCGTTGCCCGCTTAGTTTCGGATAAACGACCCTCTAGCAAAACCAACAAACTTAGGATGAAAGGAGCCTTGAAGAGATTCTCCGTAAGATAAAAACAGCAGATCGATAAGGATTTGTTGTCTGTGCTTTTTGTGCAAGCGGATCCTCCATCTTATGATCCCTAGGTATACCTCGAGCTTCTCCTGGAAATATATATAGCACAGCTCCGTAGGATAGCCTGAAAGCACAACGTTACAGTGTACCTTGGAAAAGAAAAAAAACCACTGCTATACTTCTTGTGAGAGAAAGGATCTTCTATGTACAAACAAACTACTAAGTCGATATGTTTTCCAGCACTAGACAACACCGATAGTATGCATGTTCCCCAGAGCCGCGAGGAGTCTCAAGTGCCGAGCCACCGAGTCCCAGATACGATTGCCAAGACTCCAGTTGTCGAAGATTGGGCTCCACTACGACTGAGCTAAGCCACAGTTTCTCCTTCCACCTGAACATCCTCCTATCGCTGACTTCTATTCAACATGTTTCCAGTCTCTCCTTAAGGTATTTCCGCAGTCTCATCTTCTTCTCTGTGTCTTTTTTAAACCATCACCTTGGGGTCTCACGCCCCGTCCAATCTCTTATCTCCGAAGCGCCATTACCCCTGTTGCTGTGGCGCTGAAAGTCGCGAAGCCTCTCTAGTTTTAGCGACTGTTGCGCTCTGCATCTGCATCCATTCGATAGGACGTGCGGGACCATTTGTGCTGAATTAATCTCCAAAAAGAGAATCAAACTCAGCGTCTTTGATCCAGCCCTAATCCAAGGGCAAAACAAAGATTCTGAATATTGTACCAATTGAGGCATTGAAACATCGATTTCAAGATGTTATGGAACCGGCTGGGACATCCTCTTCCCTCCTTTGCTAGGCGAGGATTGACCAGACCACTTCGGTACAATGGAATAGTTCTGCAAGCCACAGGTCAGCGGTTCAATTCCTCAAACCCGCAAAACACAGGTCAATACACGCCCGATCCCACCGACCAAAATGAATCGGAAGAGGGTCAGGGCAAGGGTCGCAAGAACGATTCAGACCCCAATTTGAAAAGTACAATCTTGAAGATGCTTGAGACCGCCGCAACAACCGCCGCTTCGATTGCTATCCTAGGGTAAGGCTACCGTTGCTATGTACAAGGTCGAGCTTGCTGGCTAATCTTGAGTTTATAGTGCGGCGGGATATTCCTATCACCAGTACTACAAGTACCTGATCTTGGATAAAATGGACAACGCGTTCAAGCCAGGTGATCCTGCTCTTGAGATCGCAGGTGTAGTGTCGGGAAAACACCACTATCGTGATGAAGAGCATTGGGTTGTTCGGGACGAGCAGCCTCGAATTGACGACATTGTGGCGGGACGACGTGGTGGTCATTACTATCTAATTATTGGTGAAAAGGGCACTGGAAAGACATCAATGCTCCTGGAAGCTATGCGTAAGATTGATGGTAACAGCTGCGCTATGTTTGAGGCCCATGCGGATCTGGAAATCTTCCGGATTCGGCTTGGAAAAGCTCTTGACTACGAGTTCCACGAGGAGTACTCCATTTCCCCAGTCCTCTTTATCAAAAGGTTCGATGGCCCTAACAATATATGTGCAGTTACATCGGCAGCTTGTTCAGCATCCGCGGCCCGCGAGACACCACCCCGTTGTTGGATATCGAGCGGGCCTTCAACAAACTGGAGAAAGTCGCGTTGAAAAGAAGACAGGGAGGCTCTCCTCCGCTTGTTCTCATTGTCAATAGCACTCACCTTGTCCGAGATGATCACGATGGGCAAGACTTGCTTGAGATGATCCAGCAGCGCGCTGAGCAGTGGGCTGCAAGTGGGCTGGTTACAACCAGTAAGTTGCTACCAGCTCTATACTAACCCCGATTCTTCGTTCATGGGGCTGTCTAACTCGTCAAGCAGTTCTCAACAGTGATGACTACTGGGTATATGAGCGTCTGAAGCGCTACGCGACCCGTATGGAGGTCATTGCAGTTTCGGACCTTCCTAAAGACAAGGCAATGACCGCGCTCTGGAAATACCGCAAGCAGTTCTGCCATGAGGATCTGCCCGGTTCGGTTCTCGAGCACGTGTACGACAAAGTTGGTGGTCGCCTCTCCTTCTTGAATCGCGTTGCCAAATCCCAGGATGTTTTGAAGACTTGCAATGAGATCTGTCAGGCCGAGAAGACCTGGTTTCTCAACAAATGTTGGATTCTGGGTATGGAGATGGATGATGATGTGATGGACGAGCAGAAGTATTCAGTGAGTTTATCTCTTTGAGAGGCTGTGAATGCACGAAGTATACTAATGCAAAGTTAGTCTGCTGCCATGGTTCTAGCCAAAGCCCTCGTGGACCTTGAGAAGGACATGGAGAAGAGTTACGACCCACACAAGGGCCACATTCTGCCCGAGATCCCTCTCCACAAAGCACGCGAGATCATGACTCGTGCCGATTTCGTCCAGTCCTACGATCACGAGAACATCTTCACCATCGATTCACGAGCCATGGTGCGCGCCGACTCTGTCCCCATGCAGCAGGCCTTCCGAGAAATCTGTGCCATGGAAGGATTTGACAAGCACCTGGAGGACACTCTGGAGCGCATTGGTGACATTGAGAGTCTCGGTCGCACGCGTGAACTGACAATCAAGGATCTCTGGGACAATGGTAAGTACCGGATCGTGGTCCGGGATACTAAGGGACGCGAAAGTGGAACTGTGGAATTTGCAGTTGCCGAACGCGAAGGGGAGGATGAAGATTAAGATGTTTTACCCTTATGTACTATCACTTTCACGTTACCTACTTACTGTTATGTCAATATGTCAATGTATATGCTCCCAAACCATGAAACCTGCAAGACCCGTCACTCTTTGTGTCTAATAGCTCGTTCCATAATCGAGAAATTACCGCCATGATAGTTGAGTCTTTCATCGTGATCTGGCGACCCCCCTCGCCTATATTGAAGCTGTTCTATACGGGAAGAATCGGTTCGGCGATCTTTTCCACCCTAGTTAACATAGCTTTTCATCTGTAAAAATTATTATGATAAAATGTGTGATACTTTTTACTGATTCAAATAGCAAAAATATCCCATCATCATAACCCCCAATAGTGGAGATTGTAAATTTAGTGGGCACAAGAGAGTTCATCTTGAATTCTTTGAGGCGTGACCTTGGAAGCTCCCAGCAGTGACATCATCACGCACTCACCGCCGCGCCCATTCATTTCACGCTCTTTCCTCCTTCACCTTTCCACTCTCCGAGAGCTCTCTACTCCTCAAATATTCAAGTCCAGGGTCTGTGATCTCTCTTGAAGCTCGAAATGTCTCCAGGAAAGCGACTCCCGCCTGGAAGTGCTCAAGCGCAACCAACACCCAATCCCAAAGACCCGAAGGATGTTTTGAAGAGCGTCGCGCCCAAGTCGAGCTTGGCGCGCATCCCCTCGCCAGCTCGCTTTTTCTTGGTTTTCTTCGGAAGTCTGGTTCTAAGCTCGGTATTGTTGAACCTCTCTGCTGGATTTACACAAGGTGATCTTGGTCTCGTGAGCAAGCACCTCGAGGAATGGTGGGAAGTGGGGGGATTGATCGCGTGGAAGGGTGTGGAGATTGCTTTGGCCTGGCTTCTTGGGTTTGACAGTGAGTGCACCTTCTCTCGATGGAGAGCATATTTGTCGCAAGTTTTAAGAGCACAGAATGAGCTAACTCAATGGTTGCGATGCCCTCAGGCCGGGATGTCGCCTCGTTCCTCCTCCTCACACACTTACCGACCTACACCCTTCTTTCCTTCTTCTACAAAGTCCGCCCAAGTGCGGTACTGGCCTCATATTCAATCACTATTATCTCAATAGTGATCCCGTTCGCGCTTCTGCGCCGGCCTACCTCCGTTCATGACCTCTCTCACGCGCCTTCTGGCACCGTTGCCAATCGGGCCATCTTGCAGGACCGACCAACCACAATCTACACTACTCTGGCCGCGACGTCCATTTTCAGCGTCATTATGTACGCAAGCTATGCGTCCTGGCTCCCCGCTAAGCTCGTGGTACACTTCGAGGATATTAAGGATATCAGTGCCGCGCACGCTGGCCCCGCCGGCCTTCCCATCCTCTTTCTTACTCTACTCCCCGCCGGCATTGCTGCGCGTGACTTCTTGTTTGTGAGCTCTACGGGCCATAAAAAGGAAACCCCCAGGGAAGCGGACCAGTCTGCGAGCCGGGAGGGCGAGTACTTGGTCACGGCAGTGTACCGCAAGACCTGGGGCCAATTGTCGACGAAGAGCAAGATTCTCCTTTCGCGAACTATCCTGCTCGCAACTGGAGTGCTTGTCAACACGATTGTTCAGGTGGCGGGCACTATTCGAAGTGTTTCCATCGAGGGCGCGGCTACCTGGGGCCTGGTCTGGGCAGTTGCGACAGGGGCGGTGGGTGCAACCTTTGGCTGGATTGAGGCGGTGGATGGATTGTAAGCTCGTATATCAAGGAAGCGCAAGGCGTTCGAGGGTGATGGGGATTTAGTTGATTTGGGAGCGTTGTTCGGACGGCGCTCGGTCCGTGATGCAGTTATTTTTTTTTCTTTTTGGCAATTTTCAGTGTTTTTTGACACCTTAGAACTTGAAGTCCACGGGGAGACTGTATAGCTATACCATTGAGTGCCTTACCTATTCTAATGATTATTACTTTCACGTCTTTGAAGTTGCCTCTCCTCCGCAGCCCGCAGTTGATAGCAAGAGGGCGATGAAACTGGATATCTCTTAGATTGTAATATGCATTTGCGAGAGTCCTATGTTTATTCATAATCGCTAAAATTCACAAATAATCCAACCACTATCCATCAGAAATTCATCTGTGATAGGCCCTCGAATATAAGACGACTCAAGCAAGGCATAACCCGACAACGAAGAAACCACAGAGAGGGTATCTCTCTTCACGACATAGGACGATTCATCTCAATCTCGTCCGACGCATAGTCCCGCTCCGGCTTCGAGGATTTGTGCTGATCAGGCAACAACCAGCCAGGGTGAATAACATTAAACACAACAACAGCAGCAACCATCATAGCTCCATCAAGAGCAATAAAGTACTTCTCATGAGTAATCAAGAATCCACTCCACCCCTGCAAAAGCTCAATAGTACGGTAAATGCTCCGCACATAGATGCACAACACGGAGAAAATCATCGCGCCCAGCAGGGGCACAATAGACCCAGTCAGAGACTGGAGAAGCTTGTGGCGCATGGTACGCAGAACGAAATCGGCGGCGAAGAAGACGAAGATGGTGATCGAGAAGAGCTGGAAGATGATACCGGCTACCATGATGTGAGTGCCGGTTGCGGTGTCGCCGTTGATTTTGTCGGCTTCGGAGGAGGCCATGCCACCGCCGATGGCTTGGATTACGAGGGAGACGATGTCACAGGTGCAGAAGATCCAGAGGTAGAGGCTGGGCTTGAGGATGGAGGATTCTCGGCCGAGGATTTGGATGAAGCGGCCTAGGAGGACGTAGATGCCGGCTGTGAAGAATGTGGGTGCTATATTGTATTGGTTAGATGGGTTGCAAGCTACTTGAGAACACAAAGAGTCCAGCAATACTCACCGATGATAAGAGTGGAAATCTGCATCAGGAATGCGGTCGAGTTATATGGACATTTGGAGGACCAGGTTCGACCAGCCCAGCCAATGACTTCGACTATAGCGTACAATGTTAGAAAATACTCATTCCCAATTGTTGTCAAGTTATCTTTGAAGATATCTGGTGCGACATGGATGGATTGTGCGTACCCAAGCAACCAATACTGAACACACTGCACCACCATGTTCGCTTCCAGCAAAACTGAGCAGTGTGAAGAAGCATCGAGACTCCGAAGAGAGTACAGTAGGCAATTCCAGCCCCTAGTGTTGGAACATAGCCGTAGGATGTACCAATTCCAGGAACTAGGGCATGGCAGCCATCTAACAGTGCCCGACTGTCAGACATAATCGTATCGAAAGTATCGAGGGAGTGCTTCGTAAGTCGGAGAATTGATTTGTCAATCTAGCCAATGAAGAAATGAGTAAAGAGAGCTTCTTTCGCGTGTTGAATAGCCGGATCTATCCCGGATGGATGGATAATGCGACGGAAAATGACGAATTGAGTGGCAACTATATAGCAGTGAATGAATAGCAGTCCGCTTGAAGTTGCCGGCCTGAACGGGTCGGCGATAGAGAATAGGGAAAATAGGCTTCAGGCTTCAGGGTTACGGGTTGAGACAGATAAAAGAAAGTCAAAAAGAAGGCTGCCACGTTAATCCAGAGCAAAAGTATACGGAGTACATATAAAAGAACGAGACATCAAGAGGCGGAGCATCAGCACTAAACCTCAACGATAAAAAGCTTGCAAAAAGCGATCAATAATATTCGTGGGCTGTCCTACTGCCACTCGCAAGATCTACCGGGTTCAAACGCCGTTCGCTTGGTCGGAGACAACCAACCCCGACCAACCGCGACGAGCAAGGTCGAGAGGCATCCTGTCAAGACAGGGACCTGTGTCCATCTAGCGAATGAGAGCGGGGACAGAACAGAAACATTGAACGAGTAGTGGGGGCTTGCAATAACGAGGTGGATCAGGATTAGGTGCAGTATCCTATGCATAGCCATTCGTGTTGTGCCTTATGGGAGATGACATCAAAAAAGTCCGACATCATAGCAAAATGTGCCAGATCTGATAGGAATTCGGGCCGAACGATGCATCCGCAGCGACGGAGGAGAAACTTGGATCTCGCAAGAAGATCCTTTCTTGGTTTAGCTTCGATGGAGTCGGGTAGTCCTTGGCACCGCTCAGCCTTGGACCAGACACCAAACAACACCACTGAAGCCTTAACTCCGATCCGATGCTCCCGGGTGTGAAGGAATCGAAGGACGCGCAAGATGGTAAGATCTGAGCCTCTTAATGGAACGCCACGTATTGCCCGGAAAGGGAAAATGCGTCGAGGTGGGAGGCAGATTCGTGGCTCTTATCAGGCTCGATGTGCGGCGGGCTGGAATCGATGTTTAGCCTTGCGATGAGAATCGAGATCAATTGAAGGTTTTTGCATTTACCATCTGGACCCCACGATCTCGTTTTCGCGTTCTTCGATTATTCATCGCTCGTATCGTATCATGGCATCTTTTAGACCAGGCGTCCCGACTCACATTTGACGTTTGGAGTTAGGCCCAATGTGCGACACGAGTTCTAGGCCGACCTTGGGGTTTGGGGGGTCACCTGATTGGTGCTTCCATGGAGTCTCAAAAGTGTACGGCAAACGGTCATACACGATTTCTGTGCTGATGATACATTCGAGGGCCTCTGTCATCCCGCTTTTTATTCGCTCTTCTCATCCTAGGAGAATCCTCGAAAGTCTCCTCTTGCGCACTATGTGTATCTCCTAAAGCCCGCAAGCTTACCACGCCCAGTTTCCAAGTCATGCCCTTTTTGGCAAGTCCGAATCATCATGTCAACTGTCAAGATGCTTGGATCCTTCGAAGCAGCCCGAATATCAACCTTTGACACAGGCACACGTTCTAGTTTGGACCTGCCGTACATACGAAGTAAGGTGAAGTGAAGTGCCTGCCCGGAGAGGACCCACGGCAAAAGTCAAACTCGGCATACATTCGTCTACACAGTCGGCAGTTGTACTTGAATCGTGGTGAAACACTACGACTTGATACATAAATCATGAGGCTCTATCATGCTTTGAAGGTTGAATCAATGCTCATCATTCAACGAATTACCTCAGGAGGAGAACTAGCAATAATGTCGTCCTGTTCATTTTGGACGACACGGTCAATATCTAAATGGCGTGTTCTCTGTGAATTCTGGCGTGTCATAGAATCCGGGAGGATCTGGTAGTCACGTCAGCACTGCACATACTTAATAAGATCACAGAATTCTTACCCTCATGCGTTGCGATGATGTACTTCCTCGTCTCGACGATATTGTGACCCAACTCGGAGTTGAGCTCCTGTTGGTGAATTCGGATCCTCTCATTGCGCCTGGCAGCACCGCGAACGGCTGCCTGCGCGACATGGAAGCGCGATGTACGATTGACGAGCATCATATCAAATGGCGTCGTTGTACTTCCTTCCTCCATGTAGCCAGCAATCGAGACACGATCGAGACGAGGGCGACCAAATAGCAAACCCTGCAATTCCATCGGATAACCATGGTAGTTGAAGTGGATGGGCCTGTCGGCAGTGAACAAATTATCAAATTCCTCAGTGGCCAATGCATGCGGATGTTGGCCCGCGTTCTCGAGGATGAGCAAGTCGGTCACATTCACCACACGTACGCGCAGGGCTGGCGCGCGCTTGCGCAGAATCGCTGCGGCTTGGATCACCTCGAACATCAGCTCGACACCAATACCCACCAGGACCACGTCCGGATCCAGTCCATCGCCAGTACTGCAGAATTTCCAGACTGATGCACCAGCACGGCAGTGGTTCTCTGCTTCTTCTGGACTCAGATACACTGGGGTTGGCTGCTTCGAGCCTACCATGAGGTTGATGTAATTCTTCGACTTTAAGCAGTGATGCATTGTTGTCAGGAATGTATTTGCATCCGGTGGGAGATACACACGGGCCGCATAAGGCTTGAGCTTCAATACGGATCCAATGAATGATGGGTTCTGGTGGGAGAACCCGTTATGCTCCTGACGTGTCCAGGTGCTGGTTTCAATGTAATTGAAGCTGCTGACAGAACAGTGCCATTTGGTTTCACGAGCCTAGAGGAGAGATGGATGAGTATCGTGAGGAGAAATGACAATGGAAGATAACCCACCATCTTGATAAACTTGGCATACTGCACCATCATGGTATGAATGATGCCAAGGAAGCTCTCATAGGACGCGAAAATTCCCACCCGGCCAGTCAAGGTGTACCCCTGCATGAAGCCCTGACACATATGTTCACTGAGCACCTCAATGACACGCCCCCCGCGAGCATTAGAAAATTCATCCCACTGGAAATTTCGGCCTGTGGTTTCAAACACCGCGTCCAGTTTGTTGCTTTCTAACTCATCGGGACAGAACAGCCGCACGCTATCGGGATTTTCCTTCATGACATCTTTGATGAGCCGACCAATTGCCTTCATGGCACTTTCATTGGCTCCTTGGTTTCCACAGAACTTCTTCCAGTCGGGTAGAACTGGTGGTGTGTATTTGTTGTATGCTTCAATGCGCTGACCCAGCTTCTTCTCGTCGTTCTCGGGGATCACAGACTTGATCTCGTCGATGACATCGCCGTTCTCTTTGAAGAGCTCCTTAGGCTTATAGCCCGCGAGCCATTGCTGGAGAATGTCTAGTTGCCCCTGGTCAGACTTTGCCTTGGGTAGTGGCACTTGATGTGAATGAAAGGAGCCCTCGATGAATTCGCCGTTGAGTTCCTTCGGTCCTGACCAGCCCTATAGCCACAGTCAGCATTCTGGAATATAGACGTTTCATTTAAACCCTACCTTTGGGGTGCGCAGAATCAGCATTGGCCATCTAGGCTTGAGAATTGGATTCCCAGAGCGAGCTGCTTTCTGGATTTTCTGGATCTCGTCCACGGCCCATGCCATTGAGTAATGGAGATCGGTATCGATATCTTTGAGGTCTTCAACGAAGCGGACCTGGTAGCCGTATCCACTAAACAAGGCCGCGAGCTCTTTGTGATCCATGCAGCCGAAAATGGTGCGCTCGCTAATCTTGAACCCGTTGAGATGAAGGATCGGAAGGACGGCGCCAGACTCTTTGGGATCAATGTACTTGATTCCGTGCCAGGAGCTAATGAACCATTGTCAGAATTGTGCCGAATGGGAGAGATTCAAGGTACTAACGTAGCAGTTGGTCCTGTTTCCGCCTCTCCATCTCCGACTATGCAAGTCACAATGAGATCGGGGTTGTCCATCACCGCACCGAATGATACGGATAGGGCGTAACCCAGCTCTCCACCTTCATGAATCGCGCCGGGTGTCTCACCGTTGATGTGACTGGGAGGACCAGTCAGCAAAATCAAGGTGGATGTCCAGTTGAGCCACTTACCTTGGGAATCCAGTAGTAGTACTGAACGTTGAAATCAAACGATGGAGACCTTTCCCGTCGCGGGTGTACTCTGGATAAAATCTCTCTAACGAACCCTCTATCCATAGCGTTGCGAGGAGGGCGGGTGCACCGTGTCCTGGGCCAACCACATAAAGCATGTCAAGATCTCTGGTTCGAATGAGATAGTTGAGATGTGAGTAGACCAGGATCAGACCCGGACATGTTCCCCAGTGACCTGCGAAATGAAGCCATGAGTGTACATTCAACCTTTTTAGGAGAATGCTCGTACGCAAGAGGTGTACTCACCCAACAGCCTTGGCTTAATATCCTTGAATATCAGATCTCTTTTCATCAAAGTATTTTCCTGAAGAAAGATCATCGCTTGGGACGAGAGTTAGCGATGCGATCCATGTTGACATGAGTACAATATGGGTTACAGACCGGCAGCGATGTAGGAGGCTGCTCTCCGGAACTTGAGCAAAGCATTGCAGGTCTTCTCGTCCAGAGTTTGATAAGAAAGTGAGACTTGCAATTCCGCTACACAGCCTGGCAACTGCGACGGCAATGCCTCTGGATTCGGCCGATCGATAACTTCTCCTGGCATGATACCAAGAGCGAAAGTATCTTTGTAGTAATCAAAAGAAGGTCTTGGCGCGGGAGATCAACGCGGGAGGAGTACGGAGTACAAAGATCAAAATCAGTGGGACGATTTGATGATGATGCCAGATGAAAATGTAAAAGGAACAAAACAGAAGAAGAATTCCAAAAACGATAGATTCGCAATCAGGAGATTACCAATTTAATGGGTCATGCCATAGAGGGAATCTCCCCATCACTCAGCAAGAAAATGGCTATTTGATCGGCCCTGTTCCCCCAAAATTGACCGACGTCACCCTACGTTCACCCTCCAACTCTGACATCACCCTCCACCAACCCTCGGCCGTTGAATCCCTGTTCCAACAGACAGGTATCAACCTCATTCTTGTGACAGAAGATACAGTCGAGTCCTGCGATTACTGCCCACCATGGGGAAGTATATCCTGGCCGTCAACGCCGGCTCGTCGTCCGTCAAAGTCACCTTCTATACCTTTGAGAATCCCCCGCAAGCCATCGCCGATGCGCAAGTCTCGGGCATCACAGCCCCGCCACCCACGCTCAAATACCAGCGTGGCCCGGTGAAATTGAAGGAGGAGCTGAAAGAGAAGCTGAATACCCCACAGGATGCATTCAAGTACATCCTACAGCGCTGCTTCAATGATCCCGAGCTCTCCGAAGTAGCCAGCGACAGCGATCTGGCCTACATCTGCCACCGAGTGGTGCATGGTGGGGACTACCACGAGGCTGTGAAGATCAACGACGAGACACTCCATCATCTGGAGGTTTTGGAGGATTTGGCACCGTTGTATGTGGAAATAATGGCCTTGCGAAAGCAAGAACAGTCCCAGACTAACCAACTCGATCGAAATGTATTAGACACAATTTCTCCGCCCTGGAAATCGTGCGCCTGTGCAAAAAAGAACTCCCGAGCGTGACAAGTATCACCTACTTTGATTCGGCCTTCCACCAAACCCTTCCCGACTACGTGAGGACATACCCTATCAACCAGGAAGTAGCCAAGGCAAATGGATTGCGGAAATATGGCTTCCACGGAATCAGTTACTCCTTCATTCTGCGCTCAGTCGCTCAATTCTTGGGTAAACCCCAAGAGCAGACCAACATCATTGCGATGCATATCGGAAGTGGAGCTTCAATGTGTGCTATCAAGGAAGGCAAATCAATTGATACTACGTGAGCGTGGTCTCGTAATGGTGGGCTAGATTGGATGCTGACAGATCTACTAGCATGGGCCTGACTCCATTGGCAGGACTGCCAGGCGCGACACGCAGCGGCGATATTGACCCTTCGTGAGTCCATGTCAATCGCAACTATGAGGATTATCACAGAGACAAGATACTAACCTCGTGGGAACAGGCTGGTGTTCCACTACACCAGCGAAGCCGGGAAATTGAGTCCTGGTAGCACCAAGGAAATGCACATCAGCACGGTAACTCAAGCCCATGAGCCTACTTCTCCCACTACAATGACTGATTCAAGCATCTTGTGGCACGTTTAGGCAGAAGAAATCCTGAACAAGCAATCCGGCTGGAAGGCTCTAACCGGTACGACCGATTTTTCCAAGATCGCGGTCGAGAAATTCCCCTCCGAAGCCCACAAGCTCGCCTTCGATATCCTCGTGGATCGACTGCTAGGGTACATTGGTAACTACTACGTGAAGCTAGGCGGGCAAGTAGATGCCCTCGTCTTTGCTGGTGGCATCGGCGAGAAGAGTGCACTACTACGGCAAACGCTGGCCGAGAAATGCCAGTGTCTGGACATAGCCATTGATGCGAAGGCTAATGACAAGGGGCCGGAAGATAAAGAGACGGTCAAGGACATCTCCCAGGATGCCGGCAAGGGGCCTCGAGTGCTGATCTGCCAGACCAATGAGCAGGTGAGTCTTGGCATTGAGAATGGTGGGGAAGGGAGTCGAGGGGTGATTTCTGATAGATACTAACGAGTCATCAATAGTTTGAGATGGCATACCACGCTATTCAATCGCACCTTTGAGAGCAATTGAGTTGAAAGGTTTGGTAGACATGACTGGCTACAGGATACAGCGACCGAAAAATGGTCCTGCCTATAATTCCAAATCAGATGTGATAGGTGTGGTTGACGAAAGTACCAAAGCAGAAACTTGTTAATGAGACACGGATCATGCGACAAGTATATGGGACCAGAATGCGTCAACCCTAATCTCATAAAGGATCGATTGAGTTTCATGACTTGAGGTCAAGCACGCATGCTCAATTAGTACGCAGCAACGTTCTTTTGCAACTTGCACTCGATACTCTATACATATGTAGTCATGATTCATTCCAACCTGTTCATTCCAGCCCTCCACAATGAACAAGGTTCCTACATACCAACATCTTCCTTCCACTAATCAGGCCACTGAACGGAAAGCTAAGACGGTCGGTTTGGGCTTTGTTTATTGGGATTGGACAGCGAGAGAAAAATTGGAATGATGTGATGCATCATCTGGACCCAGACAGTCGGACACGACAGCTTGCATCGGGGGGAATCCCTTTACCCGATCCCCGATCCCCAACATTCAGGTAGGTTTGGTGATCCCCTAGCTTAATGCACGATATGGGAAAGTGGGAAAGAGTGTGATGTGAGAGATTTCGATCGCGGAAACAAAATAAAGTACTGTACTTTTGGGTGTGTGTAGGGACTGGAGACGATCGGTCGGGTCTGGATGTTCGGGATGGCCGATCTGTAGGATGGACGATAGAAGTACGAGGGATCTAGGTCTGATGGGAGTTACGTTTGTTAGACATGTTTGATATGATATCTGATGTCCGATTCCTGTATACACCGCACCTAGTTTACGATAGAGTGATATGATACTGTTAACTAGATGATGGAGTACTCGATCCGTGCATTACACATGTCAAATCCAGGCCCAGTGGCTGAGCAAAGCTGAAGAATTGCAAAGCCAGGTACCATGCAGGTGAACTCCATTTTCAGTACTTTGTTGCTCTATACAGAAACCCACTGAAATTGACCCTGCCTACGCAAAGTGTCATGCTTGGTACTCCGCATAACAGCCGGACAGCCGGACAGACAAGTCGACGACAGTGGCAACCAGTGGGTCATAGTACAGGCGTCATGTATGGGGTTGATGCGAGTTGATCTTCATGATCTGGTGATGCATCTGCTATGTCGGTGGCTGGCAGTAGCACATCATAATGTACGGAGTATTGTTTCCAAGTCCAGGGGACTCCCAGGTTCCAACCTCCCAGCCTCCCGCCATCTCGCAGGATCTCCACTGCCCGACCCGAATCCGTACAAATGGTCAAGTTAGGGTGGCTGGAAGCATTAGCCGTTGAGCTGCAACTGGCCGCGGAATCTCTAGTGAGCTTCCGGGGCTCCAAGAGGCGTTTGAGTGGGGCCCTTTGGCGTAAAGGTCCATCATTTGCATAATCATTGTTTTGTGGATAGGGTTTGATCCATCTCGACTCTCGAGTTGTTGACATCCGTCAAATTCAAGGGCGCTGCAGCTGCGAGGAAGATGCGAAGCTGCAAAGGAGAAATGATGCTGGCATGAGCACCTCATACAATCCATCCATTCCTTAAACCCGCCTCCAGGTAAGAGTGGCAGACCCGACAGGGAGGAAAAGCAGGATGATCGTACCCGACACAATGGACGCTGGGGCAGTGGAGGCTGGCGATCGTCATCTATCTGTTTTACTTTTTAGTTCCCTTTTTCTCCTACATCGGTTTATCCAGATCGTGTCACCTGCAAGTTAATCGATCGTTGGGTCAGAGAAGGAGAGGGTTGAGGTTCAGATTGAGGCTGAGACTTTTGGATCCTGACAATCTAAAAACTCTACCGGGATGTTCTGGATGTCTTCCGGCTGGTCGATGTATCTCTGTTATCCATTCTTTCAATTGATTTCTCCCGAACGATTTGCGGGATTCGCCATGGTGCGGTTTGCCGATGATCAACCCGTAGCGACACAAAGATCCCTGACGATATTCTCCAACGGAAAAGGGGCCGTCTGACTCCATTGAGGACAAAGCAATGAGTGGGCTAGAAACTGCTCTAGATTTTTCGGCTTTCCGTTATGGATTAAGCAGTCATAGTTATACTGCAGGGCGTGGAATCGCCGGAGGCGAAGGCCACGGGGCTCCATTTAATGCGGGTGATTGCAGCTTCCCTTCACGATCGTGTTGTGCTTGCCGAGGGACTAAGTAGGACCTAACGAGAAAAGTAATAGTCGCTATAGCTAATGATAGCAGTGTATTATCCACTGCGGAGTCCGGCGTATGGCGCAATACGCTCCAGACCCAACTGGACTTAACTTCGTGGATTCTGGTGGGTACCTGGTAACCGCTAGAAGTAGAGAGACTCCATATGGTATGGATACAGTCAAATGGATCATTCCCACTATGTTCCAGAAGGCTTCTTTGTATGGAGCCCGAATCTTCTAGGGAAAGGCTCAGGATAATGAGAATTCAGTATCTACCTCCTCACCTGCCTAAGGAGCACACACTAGGATCGGCCGGCTTGGGTTCCGCGCAGGCTTAGCGCCCTGTTGCCTGGGATCCTGCTCAGCGTAGACCAACAGCCAGACGTGTCACTGTTGGGACTAACAAAGACGTAGGCTGGGCTGGCTGAAAAAGTGGCCCACGACACAATAAGAACCGCCGCCACAGTTTTCATTTTTGAGCGATTAACACATCGATCGGCGGATTCAAGAGAGAACAAAGAATCTCTGCCTTAGCTAGTGGCACGGCGTACTTTTGACAAAGTAACGGATGCTGGAAACTTGGGAGACTTTTCCAGATTTGCGATTGACTACAGTACTGTACATGAGATCGTCCACCTCCATCAAACATCCCCTGCTTTTAGGGTAGAGGCGATCGTGCTGCAAGGCGGCTATCCATTGTCCACAGTTAATGCGACCGGTTGGCTATTCCGCAATACAATCTCCTCCCCGATCCCTGCTCCTGCATCGCGCCACCCTGTAGGTACACTGCAGTGGCGCGCACGGTACTTGGGCGCCAGCGGCACTGCGACAGATGGATGCGTCCTGCGGAAGATTCTTGATCGGGGAAATTGATATGCACGGAGTACAATGGGGAACAGATTACGGAGTACAGAATGTACATATGTACGAGATGCAAGTAGTGGAAGTAGATCATATTCAATATCAACATTTTAGGCACCAAGTATCTATGCCATGGACTACATGTATTGACTATTTACAATTTACAATTTACTCCTTACTATATGGAGTAATATGGGCTGGAACAGCCGAGGCATCGTCTAAACCTTGTGCCCTGCATTCAACTCCGTCCGGCTATAGGGGCCCAAAAAGCGTTCATGCAATATAGCTAAACCTTGTTTTCGCGGGAGAACTAATGCATCGAGCCGCAGTCTGGAGACGCGTTTCTCAGGTACCCGATGTGGCGACTGGCGAGCTCACATCTGACTGGATCAGGCTCGGCTGGAGAACCACAGACTTGAAATTGAGGAGCCGTTGTACCTGATGAAAAATCCTGGTTGATGCAGGGCAAAAAACACTACTTACCCTATACTCAAAGACAAGCTCCTCTGTCTATACACACAATTCCTATGGTTTTTCCATTTGACATTATTTTCCGGGGCATTTGTTTCTCCATCCTTAATTAGTATTGATCTATTATTCTGTAATCACTTTACAGACTAGCATAACCACTAGTGTACCACGTTCCATGGAGACGGCACAAGGTGCTCAACGGGGAAGACGGAGTCAAAGGCCGGCGCGGACGGCGGCGGACATCGAACGGAGCCAGGAACTGCGATTAAACCAATCGCTAGTCTTTTGACGGGCCAGTGAGGCGATGAAGAGGGTCGCTGGGGGAGTGGGCGAGTTCTTAGCAGTGGTTTTCTCTTGTTCTCCCGTTTCTAGCGCCATTCTAGCTGTAAAAGAAACGGGGCCTACCCGATGCGATGGAGCCAGTTGCCGACCCCACCAAGAAGGAAAAGGAAGCTCGTTTCCCTGACAGTCAACTCCGTCTCCTTTTTTGGGTGGTAAACCCCGGCGGACCAGCGCGACCCCGTCCGGAGAGGACTCACTTACAGTATGTAGATGTAGCAGCCTAGCTCGTTAATTTCTATACCCTGCATACAATATTATCGAGCCTTCTTTACCTTTCTCTTGCCTCAGAGGGGAGGGTGATCATCGTTCATTACCAGGTCCCAGGCCGATGAATCACGAAAAGACCAATAAATAAAAAGAGGATAGTCACTCGATAGAAAGACACGAGATGCGTACCATCGCAACCCAAAAGAGAGACCATCGACCTATAGACGCGAATAGTACGGAGATATGGAGCCGAAGTTTCTCCTGCCCGTGTTTCGTCTCGATCTCGCTAACGGCGCCGGGGAATATTCCGCAGCACGGTAGATCCCCAGTTTCGATTTCAACAATAATTATTAAACATTATCAAAGAACCGGTGGAAAACACCAGGATTAGACACGCGATATTGACTCGATGGTGAGCAATACGGAGTATACTTGAGCACAGCCATCGTTTGTGTTCCCCCCTAATTTCATCATTAGCGCGTTGGGGACACCCGGCTGAAACAAGCTTACGAACCAATGGAGCAGGGTTGTTGGGGACACCTGGCATGTCAGGAAATGGGGGGAAAACTATAATGGTGAACAACATCGTACAGAAGAAGGAGCTGTGGCTGGATTGGGGGAGCCACTCACGCGGCTCCAGTGTGGCGAAAGTCTAGAGCTGACGCAAGAAGAGAGAGATTTGTCCTTAAAATACATGAGTATAATATTCGAAGGTATGCTTTATTCTTATATGTCCGTACGGACTACGGAGTATAACCGAGGAATTGACAGGGATTTACGGGGGTGGAGCTGGGCTATGGAATTGATTTCTGCAGTTCTGATTACAGTAGGGTGTTTACAGAGAAAGGAGTCCAGAATGTTCTCAAAGAGGAACAGAGAAAGGTAAAGGACGGAGTACGTCAGGGACGTACTGAGTACAATAATACGACACTATACTGTACTTAATAGACTTCTTTTTGATGTACAATCTATTGATGTTCTGCATCTGCGCCCTACGGCACCAAAGAGACGGAAGACGGAGTACCAGTGGGAATGATGGACAGTACTACAGTCTGTAGTCTGTACAGTTCCCGTACTTTATTTACGGACCTAAACTCCGTCCATGCCTATGGATTAATGGGGGGAGTCCATCCCAAACCCCCGGGAGACAGTAGAAAGGCTAGAAGGCGAAAAGAATGTTCATACGTAACCGAGACCTGGAGTGGGCGCGCTAGGGCTCCTGATTTGGCTTTTGCATCAACGCGCCCGTAATAATGATGGAGCCTTCGGTCTCCTGTAGCGCCCCGGGGGTCCACCCCCTATGATGGAGCCCCTCGACGCCCCCAACAGGATCGGGAAGATGATTTACTTGATCGATCAGTTGACACATACACGGCGCTTCCATAAAGACCAGAAACACAACCAACAGAGCGATGAAGTTGGTGATAGGTAGACAGAAGGAAAAAGTGATTATGAGACAAAGGAACCGTAGATTTTCGGGAGTAGTGGGAAAACGAACAGGGGGACTAAGGAATCGGATCACGATTGGTGTTGTGTAAAGAGGATGTCTGTGACAGGATTCCACTAGGGAAATTGGTCACTGGGCTTTCACTGGCTTCTCGGAGAGGAGTCACAAGAGGGAAATGAATGGCGATGGAATAGAGTCCAGAGCAAGGCTACCCGAAACAAATAGCCTTCTTAGTTAGTAGGAATCTGACTTTCATTATGATTATTATAATGATTGGAACTTCCATTCAGTCTCT